AAGAAAGAAAGAAAGAAAGAAAGAAAGAAAGAAAGAAAGAAAGAAAGAAAGAAAGAAAGAAAGAAAGAAAGAAAGAAAGAAAGAAAGAAAGAAAGCAAATATTGAATGTGATCAGGCAACGGCAGGATGAGACCGTATGTGAGTAGGTAGTACGTTCTTTAGAGGTGAGTAGTATCCAACTCAGTTAAGCCGAAGTCTGGGGGCGCTCTTCCCGCTGGCGGGAATGGCCGCGGAGGGATGCTGCCGCTGCATGGAGGGAGCGCGAACGAGATTGTGGTCGTTGATCAGCTTCTGTTTGAACGTACGACAAGGCAGGGACTGTGTTGAAGTCAGTTTCATAATTTAATCATGCTTAAAATGTGAGTTTGTATAAGAGTAAATAACATACCGCTAAATCCGTAACCATGGGCAGCCCCTTCTCTGTTTTGAGGGTTGATTTCCACTCGAATGGCAATATTAAGCCCGCCATGCATATCGCCTGTGCTGCCAACACCGTCCGCGGCCGGGTGAGCGGAACCGGCCGCCGACTCACCTTTGTGCAACGGAGAGTGTCCATCTTTAGGAATTGGGAGTCGCTCGGCGGTTTGCTGTGCCGCATCCCCATTGGTGGGGGGCGTCTCGATTTCGGTAATGCAGGCATAGTTGCGAGAGGGCATGGTGACCTTGTTCCAAGAGGCACTCTTCTCTACTCCTCCTGGTTGACCATCGACGAAGTCCATAAGTGTTTCATCGGTCTCTGGATCCAAGTGGTGAATCTTATTTCTTCGCGCCAGAAGGTTTGCAACAGCCTTGGGAGGTGGCTTGTTGGTGATGGCGCTACTGACAACGTTGACCATGTACCGAGGATCATTCTCACTATGGATACCCAACTTAGGGTTTGCGTAGAATCGCCCGACGGCCGCCAAGTGCACGTCACCTCCCAGAATTGTTACGCGGACGGAATTGTTCTTGGAGAACTCTTGAAGGCGTTGGATGAACTGTCTGCGCTCCCGCTTATGCTGGCGGGCTGTGTAATGGTCATCAAGGTCATCCAGCAGATCCACCTGGCCATCAAATTGGTTGAAAAGGCCGCCGGCAAGCCCAAATCGCTTGTTCAATAATCGAATGGGAGCAATTATCGGTGAACTTAGGATATTCTCGAGCCACGCAAGGCGTGGGTAAGCTATCGGAACACCTAGAAGCACGACCAGGTGTTTAATATCGCCATGCGCGGCCGAAACCTCTTGCTGTAGCCGAGAGAAAATAAGGTCGTAGGTCTCCGGATAATTTACCTGGTGGCGGGTACGTTCCGTACGCGCATCCACTCCGATGAATGCCATGCGTTTCCCAAGGCGCATGTACAAATTCCGACTCTTCTCCTCAACGTACGGGCCAGGGCGCTTGCCAATGACCCAGCTATTATCCTCTGCCTCGTTCTCCAGCACAAAGGTATCCTCCAACTGTCGGGGATCGGCACCTGCAGTACCATTGACGGCCTGCATAGTTTGCGGAGCATCGGTGGTGTAGGTAGATTTCGGCGGCGGAATGTGATGCTGGAACAAACAGTAGTATTTGAACGCAACTCCGCCGATGCCACGGAAGACGGCGCACTTCATAAAGTGGTCAGTGTAAGAGCCGAACCCATCAATGATATCGTGGTCGTCCCAGATGTTGATCTGAGGGATTCGCCCATTCGCCTCTTTGAAGGGCTCAGTAGAGTACCACCGGACATAATTTGCAAAATAGTACTCATCACACCTAGCCCGCAGGTCATTGTCGAAGGAGTGCGTGCGCCTTTTGTGGGGGTTGGAGATGGAGGTCCATTCCTTCAGCGGACCGTCAACGCGGATACCGTCATTATAGATCTGGTCGCCACCACCAATCATGACGTGGAATGGCTTCTGTGCGTGCACGCGCAATACGTCACTCCACAAGTTGGGACCGACCCAGGCATCCATGTCCGTACCAACGGAGAAGCCATTGCAGGAATGGAACATGAGGCGCATGGACTGGGTGCGCGAAGGCACGACGAAATCCCAAGGCGATTGAACCTCACCACCCTCGACATAGCGGAGACCAGGAATAGTGTATGACCATCGCGCCTCGTAGTCCTCCAGAGGTAATGTGAGAGAGAAGCGCCAGAAAGCTTTCTTGGGGTCTTCAAAAAGGCGCTGGCCGTCAATCGCAACGCCTTGGGTGTTTGCGACAGCCTCGGAGAGGGCTGAGTCGGGGACAACGGGACCGGCTTGGCGCAGGAATAGTCGAGGTTGGGGCTGGCCGGGATTTGTGACAATCAGGACACTTCCATGCCAAATGGATGAAGAGGGCGTAACATCCATGTTCTTGAAGTTGAGCAGGGGGCCGCAAGTGACGTCGACTTGGGCGTCGGGCTCAGAAACACCGGCATTGGGAGCAACGCCTGTGGCAGAAACATTCAGTTGTTAGTCAAAACAAAAAAGGAGCCATCCATAGTGTTCGGTAGATGATTACCTGAGTAGGCCATTATTACTCGGAGCAAAGTAAAAGGGAATTAATTGAACGAGCGCGAACCCGTCCCGGACGGAAATTATCTGGCAGTATTCGATGCGAAAAGATGTAAGAAAGTACAAGGGGGGTATCCAGAAGAAACCAATTGACGAATATGGTAACGGGGGAGAGGAGGAGAGAGATGAGGAGCAGGGAGATTAAGAGACTCAGAGACTCAGCTGCTGGTGGAGCTGAACTGGGCCCAGGACTTGGGAGGGATTAAGTAGGGAACCTTGTTTGGATTTTGGAAGGAACGGAGGTTGGATCCAGGGACCAACAGAACGGGCCACATTAATACACAACACCTCTTAGTTAATAAAAATCTTGTTCACAGACTAGCACAGCTATAGAAGTTAATCAGCATTGATCATGATGAGCCTAGGCAGCACAATTCGCACCCCTGTGATTAAATCTCCCTTTATGCCCAGCTCGGCTTCCGATCCTCAGGTCAAACAAGGCTCGTGGCTCGCGGCTCGCGGCCCACGTTCTCCCAGTAGGGCTGACAATGGCATCCTCAACCTCGCGATCTACAAGTACAACAGTATATATCAAGACCAACAGAAGATAGATCTTCGATAAGCTCTCTCGCCGGGCCGTTTGGTATTCAGGTCATGCCCTATAACCCTGCAAAATGACTGAGACCGTATGATACCACGAGAGACCTTCCTTGTACTATTGGACGGAGCTGAGCCACAGCCCAGCCACCCCTCACTGCTTCGAGTCAGATGTGTGGCTGGCGCAGCAGAAACGAAGGAACACACGGTGACGCAGTCAGATAGCCAGTCGGGCTTGAATCGGGTAATAATGGTGCAGATGCGATCGTGCATCAAGCAGTTCACTGGCTCCTCAAATTTTTTGCTGGACGCGAACCTTGGTAGCGGAGAAACGAGATTATGAATCCAAATCCATGAGTTATCATTGATTAAAGACTATCAATTATTCTCCGCTTCTGACCCATCGCCTTTCTTGGCGTTTCTGTACTCTGTACAGCAGTCTACTCTGTACAACCGCACTCCTCTGTACAAAGTGCCCTTTTTTTCTTTTTTTTTTTTTTTCCCCTCTAACTACGCCATCATGGACTGCCACATGCGGATGAATAAAAAAAACCCAGACGCAAAGCAATCGAAGACGCAGTCCGATCAGTATCTCTCAAGAATTGCTTCAATGGGTGACACCTAAATGCCAAACAAACAAACAGCCCGAACCCCCGGGAACATGTGAACCGGAAATTGAATCAAACTGTCGCCAGAAATATCCCAAACTCCGTGGGTGCTCATCCTGGTTCTCTGTCCACTCGATTAATATTAGAATGCTGGAGAGGAGACGAGAATCCGGGCCATCCTGCACCAAATCCATGTTAACCATCCAACGATGACTGTCAATTCCCAACACAGGCTATTAAATTCTAATGCCCATTTCCTCCAACAAATCTCCAAACTTGTCGCTGTTCGCAAACGTATCTAGCTCAGGGTTGGCGTGCACCATCTCTAGCGCCTGTTCCAGGAGCATAGAAAACGAAAGGTGATGACATCCAGTAACTTCAAACTTGTTGCACGGCTCGGTGGCAGGGTTGACAATCTCGGGAGACCCAGGACTGAGGCATCGTTCTGAGGGTACGGGAGAAACCTGCCGAGATTTCGGCGAAGGAGTTCTAGGTATCTCAGTTCGGTTAATTGCCTTGAGATCTATAGATCGCCGTTCGGTTTTGGCGAGGATATCTTGAAGTACCGTCTCTTGGCTCTGAACGACTTCGGTTTCAGGGACGATGAACAGTTCCTCCAGCCGCTGCTCAACGCGCTTCTTTCTCTGCATGCGCTCGTTGTAGCGTATCTGATTGCATGTTTCAAGTCCAGGCGCTTCCCAACTCTGCCCTTTCAAGCTACCATCTTGCTCGGACTTTTCAAAGGTGTATAGGTCGTTGGTATACTGGTTGATCATCGTTTTGTACTTGTATTGCTCCTTCGAGTGGCCATCCCGCACAGCAAACCACGCCCTGTACGAGGCCCTTTGGAGGATCAAACGACCCTGTTCAACATAGGAGCCAAGTCTTGCCTGGAAGTCAGGAAGGGATACAGCATTCTGCTTAAAAAGAATCCCGCTAAAGTCCAATAGCCACTGGCACCACAGTGTAGCAATAATAATCTCAAGACCGGGGTCGTCGTCGGACTCCAAAGCCAAGCAATTGGGACTTGAACTGAGAATACCCATTCCAACATGCATCCCTCCTTTCCCAAGGCTGGTATCCATGATCTGTGTGAGGTCGGGGACTGTGGTGGTATACATATTGCTGCCATTGTCCCAGACACACCAAATATCGCTGAGGTCATGAGGAAACCAGTCGAAGCGCCGGGCGTACAGAGTTTTGCAGTCATAGTCGAAACCCAGGACGTAGTATCGACCACCGAAGGAAGGGTTTCGCTCCGCAAAATGCACTCGATCTGCTATCGGTAAGATACCAAACAAAAGCTGAGGCTGATCACCAGGAGAGCATTGGGATATCAGTGCTCGATCTTCTGCGAACTCTTCGTACGGGAAAGGACGACAATCAGCACCATCAAATAGGTACATGCTGTCACGGCGAACCTCCAGCGTCTGGCCCTTTTCAGCAGAGCAGAGATACAAATGGTAGTCGACAATGTGCCACGGATGACTGACGACATATGCGGGAGGGTCTGAACGTCGTCGGTCCTTGTTCTCGTGTTCGAGCGGTTCGTAGTCGTCTTCTTCGATCATTGAACTATCAATTGCAAACATTAACGTTTCTTCATCCTGCTCAGTCACCCCGCCGTACTGGATATCTTCAGCTTCTTCGATGCAGTTCAGCATTCCTGGCTCAGTCACATCGTTCATTTCCTTCATCGCCTCGTGAGCATACGGTAGTGTATCCTCACTTGACAAAACACGCTCTTCATCTTCCTCGTACGATGTTAATGCCTTTCTTTCTAGCAGCCCGCGAGCCAATCTGAGCTCCTCTCTGGTTCTCTTCATCTTGAAAACCGGAGTGACAGATTCTGCCCTAGCCGCCGCTGCTGCTTCCCCGGGTACACTACCCTCGATCTTGGACGACATTGAACAGCTGCTATCAGAACAAAGCTTGACAAATCCAAAGTAGCAGGGAGTGGAGAGGTGAATATGAGAAAGAATCAAGACGTGGACATGAAAGATACCGGAAAGTTAAAGAAACTGGAAAAGCTTTGCACTGAACGGCAAAGGAGAAGCCAAAATGCATTGTACAAGGTGGCTAAAATCTAAGAAAGGGACAAAAAGTGGTATTTTCCTAACTTGAGGGGGTAGTTGTGTGCAGAAGAGCTCAAAACGTGCGCATTGGATTCTGCAGTCTTTGTCCTCACTATTCCCTCATGGAACTTGAATCTATAGTTATTTGAATGACCTCAGAATACAAGCCCCAGATTCTTCTCCTCTGCCTCGCATCCCGGGACTAACTTGACGAAACGCACCACTCGCTCTTCAGCAGACTCTCTGAAGCTGCCCCTTGCCCAAACGGGGAATCAGTCAACACACCAGACAACCTCGTCGACAGCTACCTGGATAGGCGACATTCTGCACCTCAATAATTGTCATTCACGCACCAAATAAACAGAGACGAATATAGAAATGATGCAAACAAAATGAAAACATGAAAAATCCTTCTAGAGGCTATCATGTTTCACAGTCCAAACTAAATTCCCCTAAACGCGACCTCTAGTTCTATAGCTGAACACAATATGTAACACGCTGGTTCTACTAATAGAGCATGGGCATACCGTATATTAGATGAACTTCGCTTTCGTTCAAGGATTTCTTGTTTTGCCAGAGGAATCTAATTCATAGTTGCCATACAAACACGCTATCCAGGTGCCAAACGATGAAGTACTCAAAGTCTTGGAAGTACGGTTCTTTGTTCAAGGTGTGGCCCTGGGCTCTCCCTGGAAGCTCGGTGTGCTACAAAGTTTGAAAAGCTCAAGAGAGATGGCTCAATAAGATAGACTGGGTATTTATTTATGAAATCACGTCTAAGAAGAGAAATTGGCACCGGGTAATTATACAAAAAAAAGCAGTAAAATACAATCAAGAAGATACTATCGCTTCTCTCATCTGTCTTGCTAGCACAGCTCCCAGAATAGACCAATTGGTGCTACCGTGAGATAACCTTATCCAGCCAAGCTCTATTCCTTTCCCGTTCCTTGCGCATATTCTCTCTCCAATTAAGTGCGAAAATTGCACCGGTCAAATATCCGCCAAGGTGTGCATAATAGTCAAGCTTGGGCATCCGACGGTTCATTACGGCGCCGGCTATGTCAAAGGTAACTAGGCCAGCAAGAAACATCCAAGCTGGTGCAGAGAGCTGTTGTTGCCAGTCGCGGGGTAGGAATGCGATTGTCCATTTTTCACTGGGGAAAAGGTTAGCACGTACTCTAGTCACGAGTCCTATTGAAGTTGAAATTTACTCTGAATGAATAAGACCGGACGCAGCAACCATGCCGGCGATTGCTCCACTGGCTCCGAGAGAAGTGATGAAAAGTGAGTTCTTCAGGACATGGGTTGTCAGCGATGCGAATGAGCCTAGTACACCAGATGCAAGGTACAGGGCAAGGAAATTGCCTCGGCCGATGTCGTCGTGCACTTGAATAGGATGTTAGCACGGTCGAGCTAGTGGGACAGGGTAGTAAGGACAGGAGATATGACAAGTACTCACGTCTAGTGCCGAAAATCCAGAGAACAAACATATTGATGCCTAGATGAGTGATAGTCTGGTGGCTGAAGACATTTCCAACGAGACTGAATACACGGGGGTAGGCAGGAACGCTGATGAAATAACGGTTAAGGAGCCTCCATGCTGGTGGCCAAGCTCGCCATAGTGCGAAAACTCCAACGTTTATACCAATGATAGCACCCACCGTCGCAGCCGCAGGTGGTAGATTTGGCCACATACGATCTGTCCTCGCCGGAGCTTCGTATGTCACAGCGAAACCGTAGCATAGTCCAAGAGTAAGGAGAGTGAAGATAAGGGCCGGAAGCAGACGGGTGCTCTATGAAATCCGTCAGCAGGACATGTTGCGCCATAAGGCCATGGTATTTACCGTCGTCAGAGCACTAAAATCCGCATCAGTATCCGTCGCTCGCAAGTGATGTTTTTGTATCCATGCAAGAAGCGGTCTCTGGCTAGGGTCGGCTCTCCCTCTGACTGTATTCCCCTGTCAGTAATTCCTGGTCTCAAAAGTCCAAGTTCACAATAGCATACCCTCCAGTGCAGATGTGTCCTCAAACTTCTGAAGCGCAGTGTTCTTTGCCAGGTGCTGCTTCAGCTTCTCTCGGTCGTGCTCCTCACCCTCGAGCCATTCCTGCCGTTTGTTTTCTGCCTCCGCGAGGAGTCTCTCCTCATTTCGTTTGCGGATTTCCGCTAAGACACTCTTCCCTGACGGGTCGTTCTTCTCGCCCAACTCTGCCCCATATGATCCACTTTGAGGTTTATATAGTCCCAAGTCTTCTGCTTGCCGGATAAATTTCTCTTCCGTTTCTCGCTCTTCTCTTTCGATTCGGGCCATGATAGCGGCATCCTCGTCAAGAGGATAGTTCTTTCGGAGATATTCTAAACCCTTATCAAGTATAGCAGGATGCGAGACACGTTTGATGTCGGCGGGGAGATCGAGATCGAGTGTACCGGCAAGGCGTCGAGCTTGGAGCACGGAGAGGACGCGGTTGCCCATGGCCGGAGATAGCTTGGTTCGGGTTCCAAATACCTGTTCAATCTCTGCTTTGGAGAACGGTTCATTGCGAAGCTGGACTCCCTTCTCAATTGGCGGGGGCGACGGCTTGCTCGATGATAGAGGAGCGGAGCTCTGAAAGGTGCGCGAGAGAGCCCGGTTCAGAGAGGGGGAACATTTTGCTTTGGGGGTGGCCACTCGTGAGAAGATCACGGTGAGAGGTCTCACGGAGCTCAAGAGCCGTCGCGGGGTGCTGTCTAGGCACCAGATTGGAGAGATTTGTCGACCAAGTGAGCGGCATGGCGCTAGGTTTGGCGGGTGCAAGCTTGGAGACCGAAGCCCCAAGCATGGTGTGCGCCATGCTACGCAAAAGACATTGCTCATATCCTGCGGCTTGGGAACAAAAGCCTGTCCTAGAATGCGGCGTAGAAGATGACTTGGATGATGCACTGGCTACAGATTGCGGAATGGTTGTCTTCCCCGATTATCTTCTCCGCAGTCGCCGAAAGTTGTTCCGAGCATGTTTCATTGAGCTCTTGCGGGTACGGTTTTCTACGGGATGATAGGTTTTTTTAAGTATTTTTCGTCCGTAGAAATGTATATTATAATATTTTCTGTCTTTCACTTTCGCCTTTATTTTTTTGACTGCGAGCAAATGATTGATACCCCAATTGATTACTAGTAGGTTCCAGCGCAACCGTGTAAAGATATATAATCATGCTGCCAACCTAAAACCATCGATTTTGCCCCTCCTTATCGTATTCTACTGACCAATACTCCCGCGAAACCGCAAAACTACTCAACATTCTCATACAACGGATACTAAAACAGCTAAATGTCCGTCGAAACCCTTCCGATAACGCCTGTTGCCTTCGCGGAGGCTATCAAAGAGCTGAGCCTCCCCGTCCTCTACGCCAAAGTTGCCGAACTGAGAAACTCCGTCGCACATCTCCAGCGCTCAAACCAAGAACTCCGCCTCTTCATTACGGAGTCATGCGAAAGCGACGCCGAAAAACAAGAGTTGGAGGGATATATTGCGGAGAACGAAGGGGTGAAGGGGTCCATGAATGAGCGGATTCGGCTGTGCAAGGCGGAAGTTGAAGGAAGGGGCAACGCTTGGATCGAGCTAGACCCCGAAGCGAATGAGGCTACAACTACGAGGAGGGAAGAAAACCAGGAGCGGGAACAAGACCGACCAGCTGCCCCGGGATCTACAGCCGGTGCTGCAGTGAATGGTGCAAGTTCGACCGCAAATGAACCAACGGAGGAATCAGGAACGGAGGAATCAAGAAGCCGAGATGGGGATGGAGACGAGGGAGTATATCTTTGATGATTTGAGTTGGATTTCATCTCTCACTTGGCCACGTTCTTCCAGGAAGGGATATTTCGCTCGGTAACGAGCCCCTTCTTGCGATGAGATACCAGGTCTGAACTACACGGGCCATCACCGGCAGGTGACCACGCACCTGATCGCCGCCAGACAGTGGACAACAGCTCTACGACATACTTCTACTATGCATACTCAGCTTATGCGGTTGGATGATCTGGCCATGTACCTCCATTGTTCGATTGGTTGTCCAAGCTAAACTAATTGACGCATGATATGTGTCCATCTGAGATCTTCTGCATTGGTCTAGATGAAATAGTAACGTTTATGGGAGGTTTCGCGCGCGAGTAAAATAAAGGGAGGGGATATGCATAATCACAAGAACAGAATGTTCGCTCTGCGTGCTAAATGCTCGAATTCTCAACCGTGTTCGCATTATCAGCCGATCATCCATATGCTGGAAAATGGCAACAACCGAAAGCAGGAATGGCAATGATAGTAAATCAAAAGAAATCGGGTTCCAACGCCAGGTTAGAAACATGTTCGTCATCAAAGGAAGAAGAGGTACTATGTTATCGAGATTAGCTAGAGCCCTGCTGCCCCCAGTGACCACCGGAAAGAGCCTCTGGCGGGATACGCTGCTGCTTGATGAACAGGTCAATCAGGGGCTGCATCGGCTCCATTTCCTTGTCAGATACAAGCTTGTAGTATTTCGCAACAGTAACAAAATGAACAAAGCACATGTTGAGGATGTCATGCTTGTTAATGTGCCAGAAGGGGTTCAGCCAGTGTGCATGGTATAGATGCGCATAGCAGCGGAACATCTGCTTCATAATCCCCTGGCAGTCTTTGTAGAAAGTCCGTGGAAAGCCGCTGGACTTGCCGATCCAATCCTCACCGGCGGCATTGGCGGCGGCATTTGAGGCTTGAGCGCCCAAAGCCTCATTAAGCGCAAACGTCTCAGGGACTCCCGTTACTTTCTCTGTTGGGAACATCACTGGGTCATGAATCTTGCTGACAATCCATTTCTCCACCCGGTTGATGAACTTGGGAGCGGAGATTTTTGCGGCTTGTGAATCCACGAGCCAAGTGTAAGTCAGACTGGATGACAGTCAGTAAGCTGTAAAATAGATGGCTGCACAGTTCGATAAAACATACCGGCCAGCAGACATGGTTGGGCAGGTGGTCTCGTTGCAAATGGGAAGTCCGGTATTACTATTCACTTCTTGAATGACTTGGAGCATGCCATGAAGTAGACGGTATTGTTCAACGACTGTATGGTAAAAGACAAGATATTAAGCCGAGCCCCAGACGGTGGGGTTGCGAGATACTTACTTTGGTGGGCTAGCCATTCTCCGAGTTCCACGTTCTTTGGGCAAGCGCACAGCGTTAAGAAGTTACCCTTAACATTAAGCGGCGCATATTTCTCCTGAAAAAAGTACTTTGGGGCATCGGGGTCGTAAACAGCAGTGTTCTCGATGGTGGAGTGGTTCGAGGCCAAAGACGGTGAATTAGACACATGGCCAGGAGGGCCCTGGGAAGCGGGGGACTGGGTAGGGCTTCCGGTATTCATCTTGTTGGCGTTGTTATTGTTTTTATTATTGCCGCCTCTGCCAAAACCTTGGCGGCTGTATAAAAGCAGCTGTGTTAGTATTTGTGACCCAGATTTGCGTAGAGCTGGGAAGTGACCAGGGTTATAACAGTAGGGAGAAAAAGGGGAACATGGGCGCAGAACAAACAAGCACAAAGAGAGCAGCAATACCAATGCAGTTAAGCAAATAGCGCGGCATCCTGACTCCGTGTTCAGGGGCTCTATTCAATATGCATTTTAAGGAGACGCGGCAATGGAATATGCTTTGCAGGTGTTTTGAGTATGCATTAAAGGGGAGGGAACGTGAGGGGCAAGGAAGTAGTTGTACTTACACGCTCTGAAAGAACGTAGCCATGATTGATGAAGAAGAGCTAGATAGATTGCCGGCTCAAGAGACGTGTCCAAAATGGAGCTAAAAGGGCACGGGGAGAAAGTTGGCTGAGAATGGAGATAGCAGCGGCTCTTGGTTGGGGTCTGCAACTCTTCTGCTGCCCGCTCTTCCTCAGTTCCGGACTCTTGTCTCAAACTTCCAATCATCGCTTGGGTCTGGCCCCGGGGAGCTGCCGCCGCTAAGCTTCTCTGAGCTCGGAATGGATTATTCTGCGTTCCTACTATCGGCGCCTCAGGCCCCACAGTCATGCATGCTCTGCTTTCGGATTCACCTCCAGACTGAATCGCAGTGTGCTTCACTAAAGCTCACCGCTTGCAATTACGGGATTGCAGCGTCGTGGATTATCAGACTGTTTTTTCCAGCATTACTTGTATCTTATTGCCTTTCCCACCCCGCCTGGCCCGTCCAATTGAGATAGCTATCTCCGTTTTGGCTGGCCATGTCTTCGTCTGATGAAGACGTGGTTCGTCGTCCTGCCCGGAGCGGCGCCGACCAACCCTTGAGCGAGGCTGGAAGTGCACCTGGTAGCCCGGCGCCTATGTCTGACGCTGGAAGTATGAATGGCACCGGTGATGACGACGCGGATCTATTTGGATCTGACGGCGGATCCGACACAGGATTTGATCAAGATGCAGAGTATGCGCCTTTCCCCTCAGCTTACGACACAACACTTTCGTGCACTTTCGTATATTCGGATACCGCAATAGTTATGACGTACTAATATGCTTGCAGCCAACATAAGCGAACCCTCGATGATCGGGAACTTGATTCGGCGGACGATGAGGATCGATATGATCGGGCTGGCGATCGGATGGATTATGAGGATGGGGGCGAAGGAGAGCTCCAAGAAACAGTGAATATCATGGACTTGAGCTTGGCCCGGGCCCCGGAGCCAAGGTCGTCCAACGGCGAGGTTTGTGCCCGTGTTCTGTGATTGTCATGACCTCTTACTCATTGCGCTGCCCCAGGTATACACGATGCCGGTCCCGAATTTCCTTTCTGTAGAAACGGAGGAGTTTAATCCAGAAACCTATGTTGCCCCCCCATACTCAACTGCTGCAACATCTCTTTGCTGGCGCTATGACCCTAATGACGAGGGCTTCCTTCAGTCTAACGCCCGCGTCATTCGCTGGGAGGATGGTTCTATGACACTTCAGCTGGCGTCTGCCCCCAAAGAACAGTACAGGATAGCGACAAAACCTCTTGCTCCCCTCAATAAGTCTGGCGACTACGATACGAAATTGGACTCCCATGTGTATCTCGGAGCTGCATCCGAAACGTCGGGCGTGTTCCGATTGACTTCTCATCTAACTCATGGACTTACCGTATACCCTACTACTGTGGAAACAGATGATGCGGTTCAACGACTTCAGGAATCTCTAGCTGCAGCTTCTCGCGGTGGCAAGAAGACGGTCGATGGCTCGGCACCTGTCATCGAGGTGAAGGAAGATCCCGAACTTGCCAAACGACAAGCTGAGCTCGCGGAACGTGAAAAACTCAAGGCGGCACGTCGTCGCGAACAACTGGCAGATAGGGAAATGGATCGCGGCCGCCGAACTGGCATGTCGCACCGAACCGGAGGTGCCGGACTTACTGTGGGTGGCTTGGAAGATGATGACGGTTTGCTCGCTACAAGACCACGTACGAAGAAGACGCGTCGTCCTAACCGTAGGGGCGAAATCTACACCGATGACGAGGAGGAGTATGATCGCCGTGGCCGAACGCGGGAAGATGAATATGATGAAGACGATGGCTTCCTTGTCGGTAGTGATGAAGAGCCAGAGGTCGTGGATGATGATGAAGACGAAGACGTTTTGGAGGATGAGGATATGGATGCAGAAGGAGAAGAAGACCTTGCACCTCCTAAGCCTAAAGAAAAGCGGGCATCCCCTGCGGCTGGAGCAGGTTCTCCTCCGGCTAGAAAGAAGAATCGGTATGTGGTGGATGACGACGATGAGGAGTAGCTTCCATCCTCTTCATTACGCAGATTTTCAATTTCTTGACGCCGTACATGAGGATAATACCGCGGTTACTTTTTTAACGACAGCTGTAATTGTATCTACTTTGGGAGAAAATCAATGGCGAATGGGTGATTATTTAATCGGTTTTTTTTGGGACTGCACATAGGAGGGGGAAACAAGATTAAAACAGAAATTCAACGCTCTCTGTATATTGCAGTAAGTACACCGGATGGACGAGTGAAGTTGTCCCCGGTCATTTCATGATACGCGTTCGAAATTAAGTGCTTCCTAAATGACAGCCATTTAATCATACGAAGCGCTTGGTATATTCATTGAGAAGCCCATAACAAACTCAAAACGCCTAAGGTCCAATCATGAATCGTGTCGTATCAAGGCGAAACGCTACTATCGGGGCTCAGAGACGGTACACTCTCCGGGTATTCATCCGACTGAAATCCGAATTTAGCAATGACATTCCTCGCACTCTTTGCGACTCGAATACAAAGCAAATCTTGCTCGTTGTGATTGAGACAATCCTGGTCGGACGGCTGATTAAGACGCTGTTCCGGAGGCAGTGGATGGGAGCTGGGAGATTCATGCCATCGTCGTTGGCGGACCTCCATCTCTTCAATTAAATCAAGTACGCTCGGCGCCTGCTGGGCACAAGTGGTTTGAGCGGCAGGGTCCATCGGCCCACGTATAACACTGAAACGTACTAGTTGGCGGAGGTAATCGTTCCAGGCAGCTCTCACATCTAAAGTTTTGTTCGTTGTTGCGGCATATGCCGGAGGAGCAACTTGGTTCCCCAACTCACAGGCTTCGGCTTTTGAAACGCGTAGCCATGAATCAGCGATCACGTTAAGAAGAGTACCTGTGAACATGACGTTCTGTAGGCCTGTGTCGAATTTTGTTGGGCAGGACTGGCAGCGAATGACGGATTGGGCTGTTCTAGCAGAAATATACAGGGAGCAGATCGTATGTTGCGATATCGGAAAGGGTTTGAGGGAAGAAAGGTGGCTAAGGCAGAGATAGAGATATGAGAGGCAAGAGCATTCTTGATCAGGCGATGCGTTTGAGTTTGACGGCATTATGGGAGGGGTAAGTCCTGGCGGCATTGTGAACGGTTTAGGGGCAGCTGCGGAGACACTAGAGAAATCAGGCCAGGGAGAGGTTGTAGCAGGGACTGAGCTCATAGTGTCGCTAGGAGCTAGTTGCCATGTATGGCGGTGCTCTTCATCAGTCGATAATCGATAAGGAAAACTGTATGGTGCGGGATATATTGATGAGAATAACTGAGGGTCCTCTGTGACGTCTGGAAGTGGCGTTCCTAGATCTGTCGGGGGCATATGAGGGTTTTTGAAGTTGGCCCAAGGGTCATTATCGGGCACATTTATGTACGGTAAGTCGCCATCGTCTTCTCGAAGCCGCTTCTTGGGCGGTCGTCCCATTTGCTTCTGCACTGAGTAGTGACACTTGAGAGACTGTTTGGTGCAACGATTGCATCCTGACGGTTCGCCAGAACATTTAAGTTTACGCTTCCCTGTTGGAAATATTACATTAGTAGAGTTTTCGGGGGAAACGTGTTATGCATAATATAGACTTACTGCACTCATCGCACGCCGCATGTCGTTTGACGGGTTGTGAAGCGGCGGTAGAGACATCTTGGAATATCGAGTCGCCAGTGGATGCGGGGTGTGGCTGCCCCCACTGATAAGCTTCGTACTGCATTTTAATCTCGGATTGCGCACACAATCATGTAGCAATACGTACCCAACAGCAGGGCAGCTTATTTCTCAAACAGAGAAATAAGATGAGGCGTTGCAGCGATATGTCAGCCAGGAGACTGGCGAATGACCCCGATGAAATCTAGATGAAGAGGCGGTATATCACGTGGGCGGTGAGGTTCATATGACATTTCTATTTTTTTTTTTTCAGTCTCCAAGTAAATCTGTGGTTGCGAGCTCCAAGTCTGAGCACTGATTCGCCCATAATGCCGACCTTAAAGGATTCAAAGAAGCGAAAGGCGGTTACGCGGGATGTTGAGGAGGAAGCAGGTGTCTTTTCTGGAGATGAGTTGAATTCTGGGGACTTGAATGGCGCTCTTTCAGACACTGCGCACGACCTTTCGAGTGATGAGGACGCTAGTGACTCGGAAATCGAATTGATTGATGATTTTAGCAGCGATGATGAAGAAGAGGATGATGAGAAGGAGATTGACAGCGATGAAATTCCGTCGGGCGGAGAAGACGGGGGTGTTGTAGCGAAAAAGCTACCTCTAGCGATAAACCTGAATGGTCTGTCTCAAGATAAAAAATTCTCGAGCGAGGAGGAACAACTGAATTACCGCATTGAGAAGGATGCGAATGGAAATGACCGCTACATTTACGATGAAATTAACCCTGATGACAATTCCGACTACTCCGACGTCGAAGAGAATGCGAACACTATCGGCAACATCCCATTGTCTTTCTACGATCAATACCCCCATATTGGCTATGACATTAACGGCAAGAAAATCCTACGCCCTGCAAAGGGAGAGGCCCTTGATGCATTGCTGGATAGCATTGAAATCCCTAAGGGTTGGACGGGTCTTACCGATCCATCGACTGGAAAGCCATTAGAGCTGAGCCAGGATGAACTCGAATTGTTGCGCAAAGTACAAATGAACGAGATCCCAGAGGAGGGCTACAACCCATACGAACCCCTGACCGAGTGGTTTACGACCGAACAGGAAATCATGCCTATTAGTGCTGCGCCTGAGCCGAAGCGTCGTTTCGTACCATCAAAGCATGAAGCTAAACGTGTTATGAAAATTGTGAAGGCTATCAAGGAGGGTCGTATTCTACCATTCAAACCCCCTTCCGAGGAGGACGAAGAAGACAAGGACTTGATTAAGTATGATCTTTGGGCTGATGAAGCTGAGCGACCTGATCATCCCATGCACGTCCCAGCTCCCAAACTCCCACCACCCGGATACGAGGAGAGTTATCACCCGCCGCCTGAATATCTGCCTGATAAGAAAGAACGCAAAACCTGGGAGGAGGCGGATCCTGAAGACCGAGAGCAGGACTTCCTCCCCAACGATTTTGGCTCTCTTCGCAAGGTGCCCGGCTATGAGAGTTTCGTCAAAGAAAAGTTTGAAAGATGTTTAGATCTTTACTTGGCGCCCAGAGTTAGGAGGAGCAAGCTGAATATTGACCCCGAAAGCTTACTCCCCAAACTACCAAGCCCAGAAGAGTTGAAACCGTTCCCGACTGCATGCGCGGCCGTTTTCAGAGGACACAAAGGCCGTGTCCGTAGTCTTGCTGTTGACCCTACCGGTATTTGGCTCGCTACTGGTGGAGACGATGGCACTGTTCGAGTTTGGGAACTGATAACTGGCCGTCAACTGTGGAGCGTCCAAATCGGTGAAGATGAGGCAGTTAATGCAGTTCGTTGGCGTCCGGGTAAGGATGCTGTCATCCTAGCTGCAGCAGCAGGCGACGATATCTTCCTTGCAGTCCCGTCCATTGCCGACCCCGAAACTGAAAAGGCGAGCATGGACCTCCTTGATGCTGGTTGGGGATATGCTGCTTCAAAGCCTGCTCCAAAGGCCACGGACGAGGAAAAGAAGAGCACACCCCCTCAGTGGATACGTCCCTCAGCGGCCCTTGCAGACTCCGGTGTATGCGCTGTGATCCCTCTCCGCTATGTCGCGAAATCGATCTCATGGCACCGTCGAGGAGATTACTTTGTCACAGTGTGCTCTGGCTCCTCGACACCGGCCTCGGTGGCTATTTCAATCCACACTGTTTCTAAACACTTAACTCAGTACCCCTTCCGTCGACGCATCAAGGGTGGAGGCCCACCACAGACAGCTCACTTCCACCCATCGAAACCTATCCTTTTTGTCGCCAACCAACGTACAATCCGTGCCTACGATCTTTCCCGCCAACTTCTCGTCAAGATCGTTCAGCCTGGTGCCCGCTGGATTTCGTCATTCGATATCCACCCAACATCCTCCACTGCCGCAGGTGGTGACAACCTCATCGTCGGTTCTTACGACCGACGTCTCCTCTGGCACGATCTCGAGCTCTCCCAGCGCCCATACAAAACTCTCCGCTACCACCGCAAGGCAATTCGCGCCGTTAAATTCCACCCCGGCGGACGTTATCCCCTCTTTGCCGACGCCAGTGATGATGGCTCTCTTCAAATTTTCCATGGCAATGTCACCGGTGATATGCTCAGCAATGCTAGCATTGTTCCACTCAAGGTCCTGAAGGGTCACAAGATCACCGGAGAACTAGGTATTTTGGATGTCGATTGGCACCCTCGGGAAGCATGGTGTGTTAGTGCGGGTGCAGATGGAACGTGTCGATTGTGGATGTAATCTGGCAGCTTGCTGCAGAGTTCCTGTTAATTTCCCCTCATACCTTGTGCAGAAGGGCGTTTAGGTGTATATAGAGATATTTTTTTGATATCCACAGCATTAAAAAGTAAACGTTTTTCAACTCATCAAGGATATCGTAAGATACCAGTGCGGATAAGCAATATTTGCTCCACGTACTCAAGTTCTATACATTGTAAATAATTTCAGGTCTAGACTCAACACTAAGATCACCAAACCTCTAGAGTTCTTCTAATAGCAAGATCATACAACCCCCCCACTCCAATCCCTCCTCAACTTTTCATACTTTTTCAAATCAGTCACACTGGGCCGGATAAACGACTTTGCGGCAACAAAGTCCTCAAACCTGATCGTATCCCGACGTTTGATGGCATTGTATCCGGCGCGCCGCAATAAACTACCAAGATCAGCACCGCTGAATCCTTCACACTCTTCAGCCAAACCTCGAAGATCTTCGTTGAATGTAACTGGTAACTTGCGAACAAGGGTCTGGAGAATTTCGGCGCGCTCCAACGGTGAGGGCAAGTTCACAAAGAGAAGAGTCTCCAGACGGCCGGGTCGGAGCATCGCCGGGTCGATGATATCTGGCCGATTTGTGGCGGCGATCACGTAGATGCCCTGGCGGCTGCTACCTAAACCGTCAAGTTCCGTGAGAAGAGTGTTGACAACGCGAGCAGATGCCTCAGAGAGGGTATCATCCCGACGGGGGACAAGTGCATCAAGTTCATCGAAGAATATAACGCAGGGGACGGAGGAGCGAGCGCGAACGAAGACCTGGCGGACGGCGCGTTCGGATTCACCAACGTATTTATTGAGAAGTTCAGGTCCTTTGACACTGATGAAGTTCGCCCGTGACTCGTTAGCCACAGCCTTTGCAAGAAGCGTCTTGCCGCATCCCGGGGGACCCCAGAGCAAAACACCTGTTGGAGCTGTGATGCCGACGCTGGCGTAAAGTTCGGGGTTCTTGATAGGGTCCACTATTGCGGTAGCGAGTTCATCGCGGATTCCACTTAGGGCGCCAATGTCTGACCAGGTTGTGTCTGGGATGGTTGCAAAACCCTCGCGTTTAGAAGAAGGCTGGATTTTAGGCAGGGCAGTGAAGAAGTCGGCGTTTGATACAAGGACGACCTCAGCTTCGGTGCCAAGGGGAGTTTCTTTGGCGTGAACTATGAGCCGACGGAGTTCCCTGACCTTGGGGCTAAGGTCATCTGTTCCCTCGATATCCATTTCTTCGCCGCTATTTGATTTCAATAGCTCAAGATATCTTTTAATTGCGGTAGAGCCGGCAGTGGACACCAGATCGTTCAGATCGGCCCCCACGAAACCCGGCGTTCTCTTTGCTAGAGTTTTGAAATCTAAATCATCCACAAGGCGCATCTTACGTGTTAGTGCTCGAAGAATCTGTTCCCGGACGGGTTCGGAAGGAACAGTCATGTTGATTTCCTTATCGAATCTGCCTCCTCGGCGCAGGGCCGCGTCCAAGCTGTCCGGTCGATTCGTAGCCGCCAGAACAATGACGGGCTTCCCATCTGTCTTTTCAAGGGCCAGGTCATCCATACATGTAAGAAGCTGAGCGACGATTCTCTTCTCCATTTCTCTTTGCGCGCTTTCTCGTTTCGGCGTAATGGCGTCAATCTCGTCGATAAAGATAAGGCATGGTGCTAATCTCCTCGCTTCTTCAAAGTGCTCTCGAAGGGCCTTTTCAGATTCTCCCGACATCCCTGAAACAATAGACGGAGCTGAAATGGGTATAAATGGCACCCCAAGCTCTGCCGCAAATGCGTTGGCAATCATAGTTTTACCGCAACCTGGTGGACCATGTAGCAGCACACCACGAGGAGGCTGTACGTTCGATGCTAAATAAACTTGTGGGCGAGTCATGGGAAGAATGATAAGATCTCCTAGTTGCTGAACCACGTCGTCCAACCCACCCAAATCCGAAAGACTCAAGTGTGTTGGCGGAGATCTGTCGACAGCACTTTCTGCCTTACGCCGTTTGGAGGAGTGGGATTCGCCTCCATGGTGTCGTTTCTTTGTCGATATTGGGGCGGGGGTGTTCTCTGTGGTATTGGCTTCGGACTTCGGGGCCTTTGTAGCTGTGTTCCACGCGCCTACAAGGCTTTTATTCATACTATTTGAGACCTGGGGTAGTCAGTATATAGAGAAAAAGGAATAAAGGCTTAAAAGCAAGGCCATACCTGTACTGGCTGCTCCTCCAGCCCAGCAAAATCGCCATCTACCGAGTCGTTTTCATCTTCACCCAGTACATCGGTTTTGATGACTTCGACCACCCGTTCAATGCTATCTTCGAGAATTCGCTTCGGTTTCCGGTTCAAACTCGAATTGGATCGTTTGATGGAATCATAGATCGTTGTCACTGACAGGCGAAACTGGTCGTTCTCTGCCTGATCATCGAGGATTTTGCGAACGACTTGGTAGACCTGGAGGATAAGAAGGAATTAGACGGCCCAGAGCAGCCTCAAGTTCGGTGCTAGTGTCGCACCTCTTTATCGAGGCCCTGCCTCAAAGTTGGTCTGCCCCCGCGGCGCATATCCTGTAAAAAAAACAATTTATTTTTTTTCGACTCTTTTACTTCATGATCGCGAACTGCGGATTTTCTATAATTTTGAAGGATCGGATAATAAATTGACCGATTTATTTTATATTTCCGTTATAGTTACGTAAATTCTGCCTCATAAACATGATTTTCGCCGATATTGTAGGTATAAATACGTATTAATAGTGTATCGTAACAGATCATACCAGGTGATATCGGCAGCGACGCAACGTCATTCACTGATTGATTGATATCTTATCGCCTGGCGGTCCTCGTGCTTCGATGTCAACAGCGAACAGGCCTGGGAGACAAGTTTACGAAGGCGAAAACATGCGGTGACAATGGGGAATACGAATAGCTCCCATAAAATATCCTCCCAAGATCGGTATGCTCTCCGTATTATGTTTCCTATTCATATATCTCGCAGCCACGAAGCATTGCCTCCTACTAGCCGTTCCGCACTCGCAAGGCTGAACTTCGGTATTGATGAAGTTGCTAACTTTGAATCGCCGCTCCAGAGCAATTCTTGATATGAAAAACCAGCGCGATAGACTTCATCAGTATCAAAAGCGCATCACGGTCCTCACCGACCGCGAAACTGCAATCGCCAAGGAATGCCTCGCCCGCGATGATCGCAAGCGTGCCCTTCTTGCGTTGCGTCGCAAGAAGTATCAGGAATCGCTCTTAGCGAAAACTGATGCACAACTAGAGCAGTTAGAGCAACTTACTAGCCAAGTCGAATTTGCCCTTGTGCAGAAGGATGTCCTCTTCGGCCTGCAGCAAGGAACGCAGGTGCTTCAAACGATCAATAAGGAGATGGGAGGTATTGACGGAGTGGAGAAGCTGATGGGAGAGACAGAGGATGCTAGAGCTTATCAGGAGGTATGAAAACTTCATACGGGTACTCCAATACGAATGAACTCGGCGAAGCTAACGCAATTGGACGTATAGGAAATCAGCCAGATGCTTGCCGGTCACCTTTCTAATCAGGATGAGGACGAGGTGGAGGATGAACTCGAGACCCTTCATCGTGAGGTCCAAGGCCCGGCCAGCCTTCCTAATGCGCCGACAAAATCCCCAAAAGAGGATGTCGCGGAAGAGGAACCAGCGAGGCAAGAAGCGAGAACCGGGCAGGGAACCAGGGAAAGAACTGCGATACCTGCTTCGTGATATTTAGTTCTCCAATTTGGGAAGGGTGAAATTCCCCAAATTGCCCTTCACATTTCGCGACCCCAGCATTTCTGGAGTTGAGTGTGGATTTATTGTTACCATCGAAGGCATTACTAGAATTTGGACCGTCTTAGTATTCTAATTGTGGAATTTCATATTACAATCAAATATATGTCAAATTTAGTAGTCCGGGCAGATCGAGCTTCATATTCCGATCTCATGTGGTTGTTGATTGAATGTTAAGGCAGTTGGTTTGTGAAGTCGAAAAGTCAAAATAGCGCAATCGAACAATAGCATGATAATAAGTTAGGTGGCAAGAGAATAGAATTTGAAGATATACTGCGCTCGGGAGTTGTTACTCAAAGAGATTCTCGACGTGGCCGGTGATGACATTCGTTTGTTTATTAAGGAAGAGAAAATTCTCGCATCAGATATTCGACAGACCCATAACAATTCCGCTCTCGGGTTGTAGCCGCTGATATTAGTTCCACCATTCCAAGGTATCGGATCTATCAATAATACATCTGTATTCCCACCATGTCCCATCACCACCATTCTCACGATCACGGCCACTGCCACGGCGAAGGAGACGATGGGCACGACCACTCGAATGACATCACTCCGGCCCTCCAATCTCTCCTCTACTCTCAGATCCAGTTTGACTCAATCATTACATTGAACGGTATGGTATTGACTTCCCTCTATAGAATGCAACACGGGAATCAGTTTTAATGTTTTAATGTGATACAGAAGCGACACCTGGGTCCGGAGCTGCGATTGTCAAGAAAACATGGGTGGAGAGGCAGAACGACGAGCCGGAGCTGGAGAGTGACGCAGACGAGCAGTTGTTGATGTATATACCGTATGTTCTCGGTTTCTTTCTTTCCCCATCCACCTCTATCCTTCCTTCTCTCCCAACGCGATATTGGTCATTACTGTGAACGACATATCGTTCACGATTTACCCCGCGGTGCCCCTCAACCTCGATAGCGATACCGATATATCATGATCACCATAAACACTGCCGCTTCCCGGAAAGGCTATGATTGAGACTCTGTATTTGCTAACGGTATCTCACTTATTTACAGATTTACTGGCCAAGTCAACGTCCACTCCATTCTCATCTACACTGCCCCCACACCATCCGCTCCGAAAACGGTGAAACTCTTCAAGAACCGCGACGACCTAGACTTCTCAACTGCCTCGGAACTCAAACCTACCCAGAATATTGAAGTGCCACAGCCAATACCAGGAACTGATGTTTTTGAACTGCCCTTAAACCGCGCGCACTGGAACGCTACCACCTCTATCACTTTGTTCTTCGAAGACAATTGGAGTGATGGCGAGGAAGAGGTGACAAAAGTTGGGTACATCGGGCTTAAGGGTCAGTTCATGGCCTTGAATCGAGAGCCCGTTAGCTTTCTGTATGAAGCGGCAGCTAATCCTGGTGACCATGTGGCCATCCCTGGTGTCAGTGGTGTTGGTGGCCGGATCATGCCTGGCCAGTGACGCGGTTTCTTCTGAGATTAAGGCGATCCCGTAAAGGAAAGATGGGTACTTTCGCAACGTGCTGCTTTCTTCGAGAGGACACTAGTGTAATGAAATTATGGTTTATAAACTGGTTTCGGCATAAGCATGGCAAGCAATGGCGCTCTCTGGATGTATCATAGAGTTGAACTCTAATTATCCTAGTTCAAGATTGACTGACAGAGTTATCGAATCACTGAACACTGTAGTAATTAGGAGCGTATTCAAGAAGGTAGCTTTTTTCAATCTTGGTAACGTCTCGGATGAATGTTTTCTCTCCTGTCTGCATTATTTCATGGAAGATGACCCAGTCCGCCTTCCGATTCTACAACCTACGTGTGAGCAGATAACCTTCCGAGTCTCAATTTGATAGAATGGGTGGAGTCACTTACAAACATTAGGGAGCTGGGATGGGCATGGAGGGTCATGGCCCCGCTGATTGTTTTGAACGTGCCATCTGGCTGCATCCTCGCAGCCTGGGCAAAATAGCCCGTTGTGAGACATCGTTGTATATGCTCAGCAGGTTTTGAAATAATATCAAACTGTTTAGTTTGGTACGGAAGACTCTCATCAACTCGTATTCCAAAGCGTTCAAGATATCGCTTGAGCTGGGCTCTGACACTGACAGCTCGCTGCAGCGATCGATAGTTCAGGAGGTTATCTCGACACCACTTGGAATCTTTCTTCCCTTTTGTGACGAATGCCTGGTAAACATTAAGATAAGTTAGATGATCACCTTCCTCGACGGCGAACTTTCTGCGGGTACTCTCAGAAGACTTCCGATCCCCATCGTGCTGAACCCACACTGCGCCCTGAAGGTTGACCATGGCGGCGATAGTTAGAATCTCGCTTAAGCACCCAAAGGATTGTGCCGAAAGGAGAACTCTTGCCATCATTGGGTCGACAGAAAGCTCCGCCATTCGCATGCCCAAAGGATTTGTAAGCTTGGCGTAGTCATCAACAGCTCCCAATGAATATAGAAGCTCAAATGCACGTATCACAAGGTCTGCAGGGGGCGAGGTCAGAAAGTCGAATCGGACTATGTTGTCTATTCCCAGGGCCTTTAGCTGCATGACCACAGGGGCAAGGTTGGATCGTTGGATTTCCGGTATGGTAGCCTCGGGTAATTGCTCGTATGCCTGCTGTGTATAGAGACGGAAGCATTTTCCAGGCCTTGTTCTTCCAGCTCGACCAGCGCGTTGGACAGTTGCAGCTTTTGATATTGGTACTGCCGTCAGTGTTTCGATACCCGTGCTAGGGTCGTATGCCCTCAGTTTTGAGAACCCGCAGTCTATAACGTAGACGATCCCGTTTATGGTAACGGAGGCTTCGGCAATATTCGTCGACACGACAACTTTCCGTGTGTTTTCAGGTGTCGGTTCAAAGACGTACATCTGCTGATCTGTCGTGAGACCCGCGTAAAGAGGAACTGGTAGCAGAGACTTCAACTTAGGATGGAGTGTAGCAGCGCGTTCAGAAATTGACTGAATTGCAGTTTCAATTTCTTCTCGCCCGGTAAGAAAGATCAAAATATCTCCCTCACCCTCGTGTTGGTGTATATCAAACACTGTTTTCACGCTTCGCTCCACATAATCTTCAGCTGGTGATTCGAGGAACAAGATATCGACTGGGTACATCCGGCCTTCAAGGCTTATTATTCTTCCAATGCTTCCACCAATTTCGCCATCCGGATCCTGTTGGAAATCGTCTCCAGCAAAGAAGCGTAAGAAATCTTCTGCCTGCAAAGTTGCACTGCTAACCACGATACGGAGCTCAGGGCGTTTCTTTAATATTTTTTTGAGGATGCCCAAGAGGATATCAGTGCTCAGCGACCTCTCATGTGCTTCATCGACCATAATGACCGAGTACCGCGATAAAAGAGGATCTACAAGAGCCTCCCTAAGTAGCATTCCATCCGTTAAGAACTTTATCCTCGTGTTAGAGGACGTTTGGTCTTCGAAGCGAATAGAGTAGCCCACGTCTTCGCCTATTTTGCAACGCATTTCTTCTGCAACTCTGGCTGCTACCGCGGTAGCGGCCACTCGACGGGGCTAATATAACATGGGTTAATCAAAAATAAACAGCGATATTATGGGACGGGTATTACCTGTGTCACGGCAATGGCCTTTCCGTCTGCACACCATCCTGCATGGTCAAGATATTGAGGTAGTTGAGTTGTTTTCCCGCTCCCAGTCTGCCCAATGACAATTGTGACTGGGTACGTCTCCACAAGATATAGCAAACTCTCCTTGTGTCTTGCGATTGGAAGTAAGGACGGCGGCTTGTATAGGGAAGGAATAAAACTCGTCCCGACATCCAACTCCGAAGCCATGTTTGCTTTGAAAAACAGTTTGGAAGTTTCAGTAGCAATAGGAAGTCACCTCAGTCTACAGTGAAATCCAAATATCATCTTGAATTTACACCAAGAGCTTCCGCATTGCAGTTTAATTCGTGTTCCAGGCTGCATTGACAAGGCAGCCAAGCAAACAAGCCCTGGAGAGCTCCGGTGGATCAAGCTTGGTTAAAGCAGCAATGCATACCTACCTTATCCAGTGTGTTTCTGTCACGTGAGTTAACACGTCACTGTATTATTGGTAACAGAGTGGCTGAGCTCCCGAGGTGGCTGATGCTTGGGAGCTTTGAGTGGCCTCTAATCGCATTCGCTCACTCACATCTCGATTGCTTTCTGCCTGCTGGGCTCATTTTTTTCGCCGCAGGTCTTCACGATACCAAATTTAAAACTGCAGATTCTACAACTTCCAGCGCCCATCGTTTTTATACCACTTGCGCCTTCCAGCAACCATGTCCGATACAGACAAAGCCGTATGTGTTCCACCCCTCTCTGACCCCCGCATGTTTCAAGGAATACAAGCTCACCCCCAGTCAGAACCAGCCCCCCAAACTACCCGCTGGGCCAAATGATTCAAATCCAGAGTCCCCCACCACTGCGCGTCCTTTAGACTTTGATGATGAGTTCCAAGAGACCGGTGTCACCTCCGCGCCAGCTGCAGCACAAACCCAGAGCACCGCGGAGGCAGCCCCGCCGAAACCACCACGTCCCTTGTCTCCGCAGCAACAAGCGGAAAATACCCTCAAAGAAGCATTCCCATCCATAGATGAGTCTGTTGTCAAAGCAGTGTTGATGGCAAGCGCCTATGATGTGGAGCGAGCCTTCCATGCGCTCCTCGGTCTGCATAATTGATTCAAAATTATTAGGCTATGGGCTGACAGGTTTATAGGTATGACGGATCCAAATGCGACTGCGCAGGATGACTATGTTCCCCCGAAGCCGCCGCGCCCATCTGCAGCACAGAGACAGCTGGAAGCTGATGAGCTCTATGCTCGTCAACTTGCCGAACACTACAATCGCCGTGCACAACCACGTGGAGAAGATGAATCTTATCGCCAGCAACGGGCTGCTGGTAATGAAGCGGATGAGAGAGAGTATAATTTCTTTGATGGTATATATCCTAGCTATTCGAGTGCTGGCGTGGTTATTTAACGGTGCTGCAGACGATCTTCCTGTGATTCGCGAGAACATTCGCAAGGGTTTCCTTGATACCCAGACAAAGGTCAGCTCATGGGTTCAGACTTTGAAAAAGAGGATCGACGGCGAGGATGATGAAGAAGACCAGGGCCATACTGCGCATGGATACAGCGAGGAAAGCTATGGTCGACCTCGGAGAAGTGGCGAGTTGGGCCGTCGCAGTGGTGATCGTGAGCGATACGATGCAGACCCACAAGTTTTGAGCGATGATTTCTCTGCGCTCGAACTGAGGGATACAGAAGGTTTTTCACTCCATTTTCCTTTTCCAATACTTTTGTGGCTAGACTAACAGTTAACCATAGCGCCCCCCGCACGTCCACCACGGCCGCCTGGTAGTTCCGCATTACATAAAAACCCCTCGCCGTCACCAGACAGACGTAAGGTATCGTTTCAGGAAGGACCACCTACAGAGATTGGCAACCTTTATGATGCTTCAGAACCTGCTAAGCGCCACCCCCCTGCGGGAGGAAAGCAGAGAAAGTGGCAACCTCTTTCGACGGTCGAGCCATCTCCAGTAGGGGAAAATGATCCGTTTAGCTTGGGCGATAGTGATGATGAGAAGGACAGCAAGCCTAAAGATGCCAACACCACCGAAGGGAGTGATCGCACACAGAAAGCGACAGCTGAAGATGCATCCGAAGAGCCCGCTTCGGCCTCTAAAGATAGCGATAAAGCAGAGAGTTCTGCAAAGACGTCATAAGCCCTCGTACCAGCTGTTACCTAGCTATTGTGCTGTTCTCAACTGCTACGAGCCTGCTTGATGTTGTTCCCATCACTCCCCAAACTACCTTGCCATGTATACCTTAGGTGATTGTTTATGATACCAGAGATTGTTTACGGGAGGCCTAGGGGCCGGACTAGTTCATTGAATTCTTAGTATCCCACTGTAAAAATATACCGACAGTAACATAAACTATAAACTATAATTTGAAAAGTATCATTGAAATATGAACCAGGGTATCTTAAGAGCAAAAGGAAGCGGCTATAAAGAACGACACCACACAAGAAGCAGGGTAATCACTCCGGCGACTCGTTTGGGGGGGCGCGTGAAGTCGCTTCTCCTTCCCTCCTCAAATCCTTGATTACAGTCTACGCCACGTTTGATAGATACATCAGCCTCACGACACGATAGATTCGTACATCTAGTCTGGACTCACCGCGAGAGCATCAGGATTGACTCCATTCTCGATCAAAGACACGCAGAGAGAAAGTTCAGTCCGATCCAAGTTCGTGTTCTTGAGTGTCGAATGAGTTAGCAAATCACTGCATCTGACAAGCATTGATCCTGACAGCCATGCTGAGGAATGGGGAAATGAACCGCATACAAGGAGGGTTGAGATCTCGTGAAGAATGTCAATAACCTCGCGAGCAGCCTGGCGCTTATCATCGGATTGCGGGGGCATTTTAGAGAAAAATTGTATCCAGATTTAAACTTTCAGTTGTTCAAGCCGGTCCCAGTGGCCCCCAAAAGCGTCTGCGCTGTTTCAACGAAGTGCAGAAAGAGTGTTGCCTACCCAAGACGAGTTTCGGGCTGGTCTTTGGAGTGGTGATTGATGCCCTTGCGGGTCTTGTAAGGAAAATGGTAACGTTACGATAGTTACGATAATTACCGGCGGATATCAGTTCATACGAGTGAGGATTTTCAGGAACAACACTTGAACTTCAACTTTCTTATTATTGTTAATAAGTTACCTTCCCAGCGATTCCACGCAAATTAACGTCGAATTGGGAACACCCTGGATACTATTATACATTGTCTTAATTTCGGCCGTGACTCTACTCTGCTCTCACGCTTCGAACCAAGTTGAATGTAGATCCTGAGGGGTCCAGGAATGCTAAAGGATCTGACCATATCCGACATTTGTTCCTTGGATCATTGGGCGAGACCTAGGTAATTGTCGAGGTTTGAGGTTATCTCAGATCACACGCACCGAGAAGAAGACTGAGAGTGAGGAGCTCTGTAGGAGAGGGCCTCATACTGAAGTGCTCTGTGACCCAGTCACCATTGCAGGGCACGCAACCACCACCTCTGCCGCTTTACGTTCGGCATAAAGGGATTGCACTCCTTCATAATGTTTGCTTTTCAGAGGTGTCCCGCCGGTATTAAGATGCAACTAATGCAATAAACTCGGACTCGGTTGCAGTGCTCATCTATGGGTGGATAATGCTCGATGCCTCAGTTTGCGCGGTCTTTGTATAAACACAATGGTATTGAAGAATATGGCTCTCGATCACTACGCACCATGCCGTACAGAGATCTAGATGATCCTTGACCTTGAATGTGGCACATGAGCATGTCCTAATCACTTGAGTCTCGAGCCGAGAGTCTGGACTCACTCCTGGGCCTCCCCTTTGACCCTTCGGCCCTGGAGGGCCTGATCTCGAGGAGTTGAAAATTCAGTGAATATTGGAGCTAGGGATATTATAGTTTGCAATTCCTCGACCCCTCAATTCTCCGAGGACCGTCCGAGCTCAAGAATCAATAGGCGAGGTTGGTCCGAGGCGGAAGGCTACTTGAAGCATCCCTTGCAGGGGCTGCATTTCGCAACGTGAGATTCATCGCGCCCGACCCGTGTTCTCTCACCATTCCAATACCATTGTGACGTCAAACATATCTAGGTATGGCTCGTTTGAAGGGACGCGAAAGGCTTGAGTTCTCCTGTATAGGACGGCCCTTGGGCGCGGACGCCCTAGGGGAATGCCCCCTAAGGACACCTTTTTCCCACTCGTGCTGCCTTTCTATTCCATCTTTCAATTTCTCCAAACCTGCCCTTTGTCTTGAAGAACTCCCAATCCTCAGATGTCCTTGGAGGCTTTTTGCAACCGCCGTTCTCTGGGTTTCAGTGCATCTCCGCATTTTGAGCTATGGCGCGCCTCGCATTGATTCTCTTAGGCTTTCTGTTAGCAGTCAATGCGACAGTAGTTGCGAATTACCCGTTGAATGCGCAGCTTCCTCCTGTGGCTCGAGTATCACATAATTACCATTTCGTCTTCTCACAGGGCACCTTTGGTGGAAGCGACTCTGAAACGACATATTCGCTCTCGTCAAACGCACCACCATGGCTAAATGTGGATAGCAAGTCTCGTACTTTGTCGGGTACTCCTCGGGAAGAAGATGCCGGATCATCCAAGTTCGATCTTGTAGCGACCGACAAATCCGGGTCTGCTAGCATGGAAGTTACTCTCATCGTCACCACAGACGATGGCCCAAAAATCGGGAAATCCATCGTCCCTCAACTCCAGGCGATGGGACCGACATCTTCTCCGTCCAATCTTATTGTGCACTCCGGTGATTCATTCTCGTTCTCTTTTGACCAGGAGACTTTTGCAAACACACGCCCATCGACAGTATACTATGGAACGTCATACCCTGACAATGCCCCGTTGCCTTCATGGATTGGGTTTGACCAGTCGGGTCTTCGGTTTCACGGTATTGCACCCAACATTGGCCCTCAAGGTTTCAAGTTCAACCTGGTTGCTTCTGATGTGTCGGGATTTAGCGCAGTGGTCCTAAGCTTTGAAATTACTGTCAGCCCCCACATTTTCTCGTTCAACCAAAGTTCCCATACACTGTTTGTTACCGGCGGAAAGGAGCTCGCCAGTCCAAAATTTGGCGATACTTTGACCCTGGACGGGAACAAGCCGACAAGCGATATGCTAGCAGACACTCAGTTCGACGCTCCAGACTGGGTGGAAGTGGACAAGGAATCCTTATCATTCAAAGCGACCCCTCCCACGAATGGGAAGGACACTAACGTAACAATCATTGTGAAGGATATATATCAGGACATGGCTAAGCTTATCGTCTCGCTGCAATATTCACAATTCTTCCGGGATGATTTCAACGACGAATGTGATGCTGTTATCGGCCAATATTTCGCATTTACGTTTAACAATTCCGTCCTTACCGATGATTCTGCTGAGCTAGATGTTGACCTTAAACAACAACCATCTTGGCTTCATTACAATCGTGACAACAAAACCCTCTATGGAGGAGTGCCGTCAGATATTCACCCAGGCACCTACAAACTTCAGTTGACGGCTCGAGAAGGGACTGCAGAGAGTAACAAGACATTCACCATCAACACTGTGAATGGAGACAATTCGAACCGAGATGGAGCCGCCGGAAGTTCCGGTGGCTCCCGTGCAAACAAGGCAGGCATTATAGTGATGGCAATATTCATACCGTTAGGGTGTGTCGGCATTGCTCTACTTCTTCTATATTGCTGCCGACGAAGACAAAGGTCGACCAAAGATGGAGGGGAACAAGGATTTGAAGAGAAAGCACTTCCACCCGATTCAGGTCCTCTTGGACCCGGATTATCACATTGCCAGCCCTTCGAAAAGACGACACAGGGTAAACCGCCGGCTATGGGCGACAGTTTACCGCCTGAGTCAAAACCTCCGAAATTGGAGCTAGAGCCATGGTGGAACGTTAGCAGCGAAGGCCGCAATAATGAAAGTGAAGCAACAGCGCCAGGCAAGGAGAATACTTTCTCAAGTTCAACGATTGACTGGGAATTTACTCCATTGCGAGAACCGGAACAAGATGAAAACAAACCACCAGAAGAGACCGCTACCAAACCCAGTCGGCTTTCTTTTCAAAGCAGCCCGCCAGTGCGGAGGGGTGCTTCCAATCGTTCTGGGAGACGAGAGCCGCTCAAGTCCATCCAACCAAGAAGGTCTATGAAACGAAATTCCGCTTTATCGTCCCGATCAAAACGGTGGTCCAAACGATCAAGTGGCATCTCCTCGGTCTCTAACGGTCTCCCTGTGAGGCTCAGCGGTGCCGGGCATGGAGCCGGTGGGTTTGGACCACCAGGACATGGGTTTGTGAAAGTCTCCTGGCAGAACACGCAGGCGTCTTTGCAAAGTGAAGAAAGTAACCTGGGAAATTTGGCGCCGTTGTTTCCTCGCCCCCCTACCCGTACGGGCGACAGTCAGGATTACACGAAGAGAATGAGCATGCGTACCGTGGACCGTGATAGCATGACATTGTCCGAGTCTGATTCGCTAGAGGCGTTTGTCCAAGGTCGTGTGAGAAGCCGACATTCCTCCAACCCATTCATTGCTGGTCCGATCACTCGTCGAGTATCATCTAGTCTTCGGGCCCTAGAGCGGGCTCGAAGCAATGCTAGCCGCCCAGATACTGTCAATAGTAGCACAGACAACGATGACTGCCGGCGCCGAGAACGGCCCTGTTCTACGGCAATGTCAGGGTCTATTTATACAGATGACTATCGACATTCTGCATACCTTAGCTCCTTATCGGAAGAATCGCCGAATGTTCAGCCACTGGGCGCTTTGAACAACGGGCCAAGTCAATCAAGTTTGGCGCAACATTATTCAAAGATCATTTCGCCGCTCCCGCGGTTTTTCAGCGAGTTGAGTTTGAACAACGTCAGACGCGATGATGTTGGCGCAGCCCGTGTTCCTGACGATCACCAAAACTTCCCAAATCCTCGTCGTTGGTCTAGATCGAGCCCGTCGCTACAGAATTGGCGGAGGCTCCGGAAAAGCCCTTCGGCGTCCACTTTCCAACAAGAGGCGAAATCTCGTCGGGTGAGTCTGATGCGAGCGTCTGAGCGGGACCCGAGCTACCAGCATGGACTGCAAAGAGAGCCCACGGGAAGCTTATTGAGCAGTGATATAGCGTTTGTTTGATGTTAGTCTTGTTTTAGTTGGCCAAGATACCATTCTGTTCGGTTTAAAAGGGCGGCTCTAGCATTTAATTGTGTAACTTTAACATAAATCAAAGTCCTTCTTGCGAACAAATCCTTCCATAGCTTGTCGCCGACTGTACCCCGTAACCAATCCACCAACATTGATGAAGGATCTGTTTCAGCTGGGCTTTTGTGTCTGACCCAGGACCCGGGCGACAACGATGATTGGACCCATAAATGCTTCTCGACCGCGGCATGGTGTGATTGACAGAGTTTTTCACTTCGAAGCCAATGAGGGGCTGGGTTGGACATCCAAAGTTCGATGACAGTTGTTTAAATGACCAGCATTGCATCTTCAGCTGTTGCCTCGCTCCATAGTCCATCTTTCTCATAGGGGTCAACCTTGGTGAAGGAGGTCATGTGGAGGAACCAGCCGCTAGTTAAGCGTTTCCGTCGGACTTTCATCATCTCGGCAGCACGCGACTGGAAAATTTGCACTCGCCCTTGTAGTTCACGAAACGAGTGTGAAATTTCGGTTGGGGAGATCAGACACACTGGGCTGACTTGTGTTTATTTTCTGGGATTAATTATAATCACAACCCTCAGCTGGCTTGATACCTCCCAAGTAGTTATAGTCTATACAAGCACAAGAGTATATGTGGCGCCCGGGGATGTCTCCAATTCATAGTGACAGTGACAGTATTTGTGCATCAATAGCCCGGATCTCTTTAAGACAATTAAAACAAAGACCGAAGGCCACGATAAGTTCATTAACAAAGTCTCCACTTAACATCATCCCTGATGAACACCTTCAAAGAGCTGGCCTGGGCTGGTCTGCTGGTTCTGGGACTGTCCCGCACGCCGCCTATCCATTCTGCCCTCTTGCCCTCCTTCTCTCCCACCTGATTCTGCTCCCTCCCCTCCCCCTCTCTTCTCGCCCAATTTCCCTTCGCTCAACCTCTTGCTGGGCTTCTGTGATCCTGGCCCCTTTGTCTGTTTTTCAAAAGTTAATTGTGACCTGATAGAAATCATGGGCCAGACCTTGTCAGAGCCTGTCGTTGATAAGGTACGTGAAAACTGTCTGAATCAAGTTTGCTGCCTTGAAACCCCTCTGTCTCTCTCCCCACACCACAACCATCCGATTGCGATTCCAAATGCTTTTCCTATCTCGCCCGTTGTTTGTGCTGCCAACAGCAAACCCTTTGAACATATTGTTGTCTGCCATCATGCTCCTTATCACTCGAGTTGTCACGGACCAATCCGCAGATCGTCATCCATATTTTATCCGTGCTCTTTTTTCTTCGCCCGAGGAGTTCCAGATTCGTGGCTCATATCTGCGGGGTCCCCGTCCGAGCACGACAAAAAGCTTTTCCCACTCTGACAAACCGATCGTCTTCTTTTTCTATCTATTATATGAACTGCGTGCATATATTTCCAATATTCGCTAATTCTCTTGTGACCTGTTTAGACTTCGTCGGAAGGTCAAGATGAATGCTGTATATACGGCGTTTCGGCGATGCAGGGCTGGCGAATCAGCATGGAGGATGCCCATGCCGCCGTCCTAGATCTCCAAGCGAAAGAAACCGGCTCAAATGACAAGCCCACCGATCCTGATAAGCGCCTTGCTTTCTTCGGAGTATACGATGGCCACGGTGGAGATAAAGTCGCCTTATTCGCGGGGGAGAATGTTCACAAGATTGTCGCAAAACAGGAAACGTTCTCAAAAGGCGATGTCGAGCAGGCTTTGAAGGATGGCTTTCTCGCTACCGATCGAGCTATCTTGGAAGGTTCGTAAAATGCTACCTTGAGGGGACTTTACCTCCATTATTCCCGTCCCGGCTCGTCCATGTCGAGGTCTAACCCGGTTAGATCCCAAATATGAGGAGGAAGTCTCCGGCTGCACTGCGGCCGTGAGTGTGATTTCGAAACATAAAATTTGGGTGGTAGGTCTTAAATCCGACCTATGAAAGAGGAATTCGGCCAATAACAAATTATATCGCAGGCAAATGCTGGTGATTCACGTTCCGTTTTGGGTGTCAAGGGTCGCGCAAAGCCTCTTTCGTTCGATCACAAGCCGCAGAATGAAGGTTCGTGGCTAAATTTCGGTTCAAACCGTTTTGGACCTCTGATGTTCTAATGAATGGTTTATAGGCGAGAAAGCTCGGATTAGCGCCGCAGGTGGTTTCGTTGACTTCGGTCGTGTCAACGGCAATCTCGCCCTGTCGCGTGCCATTGGAGATTTCGAGTTCAAGAAAAGCCCTGAATTGTCTCCTGAACAACAGATTGTTACTGCTTATCCGGATGTCACGGTCCATGATCTCTCCGACGACGATGAGTTTTTAGTAATTGCTTGCGATGGTATGTTTCGTCACCTCTTCTTTTCGGGCTCAACCTTGACTTCCGGATTCTGATATTCTATAGGCATCTGGGATTGCCAGTCTTCCCAGGCTGTAGTTGAATTTGTTCGCCGCGGTATTGCGGCCAAGCAGGACCTTTACCGGATCTGTGAAAACATGATGGACAACTGCCTCGCCTCCAACAGTGAAACCGGCGGAGTCGGCTGTGACAACATGACAATGGTTATCATAGGTCTTCTCAACGGTAGATCCAAGGAGGAGTGGTATAACCAGATTGCGGAGCGGGTTGCTAACGGCGATGGCCCTTGTGCTCCGCCTGAGTACGGCAAGTTTCCTGAGGAACCCATGGCCTTCCAATACCTACTGACTGAACGGTGACTGGTACAGCTGAATTTCGAGGACCGGGAATTCGTAACCAATTCGAAGAAAACCCCGATGAGTACGAGCTCGACCATGATCGAACCCGCCCATTCAGCGTGCGTCCCGGTAGAATAATTCTTTTGGGAGATGGCAGCACGTTAATTCCAGAAAAGCAGAACGACGAGGAACTCTTTGACCATACCGAGGAAGACCAGGATATCTCGAATCAAGTGCAGCGCCAGGATTCGGATACAGAAAGGAATGAACGCGAAGGGACCCCTGGGCCTCAGTCTGGAAACGCCCAGACGGATACGTCTGCTTCCAGCGCTCCAGAGACTTCGACCAGTACCGGAACACCGCAGAAACCCGCATCTTCGTAGCCCTGCCATGAAATTTACGCCTGATTCCCTTCCTTTTGGTTCTTGAAACGACTTTCGTGTGATGTACGACCCCACACCCGCCGCCGCCTTCACTCCCGGATCTGAAGTCTCACGTTTCTACCCTCTCTAACGTCGCTTATTGAGTTCCTATTTCTTATGAATGACCGGCTCTTTGGTGGTGATGGCTGAGGGGGAAGATGCGAAAAGAGACGGACTATTTGATCCCCTTCTATCTCTTGTTTTTTATCCCATTTTCATTACCTTTTAACGAACTTCCACCCAGGTCAATTCGCCTTTCGTGTCGCTCAGGTTAGATATCTAAGAGAGTTCGTGGAGGGGGTGGAGGCATCTTTTTTCCCTGTCATCTTTCTTCTCTCTGCTTGCCGGTGCCGCAAGCGGCAGGCCTCATGAGAGTACGTTTGTTTCATGTCTCGACATAAGATACCGCAACAACAGCTATTGACGAACCATTTCCCCCTTTAATCTTCCATGATTTCCACTATGTTTGACATATCTTCTTCCACAGTTTGCGCCGCCAGTTTGTCTTTCCTCGTGATATGGCGCTCTCCGTTTTCCGTGGCCGCTAGGATCCTCCCTTTCCGTCTATTTCACGAACTCGACAGTGGCTGGAAAGGCCTGAGGGCACATTTCACACATTGCACTTATGTCGGCGTAACCGGAGAAATTCAGTCTACGGCATGAATCTCGTGTCAGCAAAGGAGTTTCTGGAAACGTGATGGACGAGATCCACGTTTGTGGCGTCCTGTTTCATATCGTATGCAGATAGAATCTGTTGGCTGCTATTATTGTAAATACTCTCTTCACCGTTCTTGCATTGAAAGCACTGCGTAGCACCTAAAATTGCGCCTTCAAGTTGCTTGCTGCTCCCGAAGGATCAAGGGGCCAAGGCAGCAACGCAAACAAGCTTGAGCCTCCTCCCCCCGGTCGGGTCGTGGCGCAGTAGACCAAGGTAGTCTTGGTGCTGATCAGTTTTCGTAGGGACAAATTTGTGTATTACACGTATATTACATTAAGCTGGCAGTTAGAATCGTATACTATTGCGCAATATAATTGTAATTCCGTTTCAATACGTGTCTTATACCACGTGCTGTAAATGCTTTGATCACTCGAAAATTTTTGGCCCCTATTCAAAGAGAAGAAACAGGAGAGATGCTGCCATCAAACAATTCTTCCCTTTTTTCGGTTTGTGCTAGGTCTTGCATTCCGAGCTGTCCGGATTGCTGCTGTGTATCCTTCTGGCTTAGCCGATAGAAACGCGAACCGTCAACAGCTCTCGAAGCTCAGTCGGCGACTCCCGCAACGTCGTCTTTTCCGTTCCGTGACCCTGATTTTAGTATCCCCCACGCCGCGACCAACTCACGCCCACCCCGGGTCTTCTCTCATTCAGTCTTTCTCAATTTTCCATCCCAAACCTCCTGCGCTCTCATACAAATCGACAGAAGTTGAGCAGTGCTCCCTCAGTCCGACATCATGTCTTCCCCAATTTCTAGTAAACGCAAGCGCGCCAATTCCCAACACTTGTCAACAGCAGATATCGCCAAATCATCCACCACCGATCTTCAACAACCATCGTCACGCGATGCCTCGGGCGAAGAAGGCGACGATTCGACTGGCCCGGTCATCCCGCCAGTTGTCAAGGCCACTACCAACAACCCCCCGTCAAAACGGGCCCGAAAAGCTTCAGTGAGCGAGGCACGAAATGTTTCATCCAATGGTGACATAGGAAAGGACACTTCAATTAGCAAGGAGGATCCGGGCGAGCCGTCTGAGACTACTCCGGCAAGCAGTGACATTGAGGGACTCATCAAAGATCGGCCGGACTTGCACGTGGATACCGTCCGCGAGCAGGAGTTGATGAAGCCTCCCGTGCTCGGTCAACTACAGGACCCTGCTGGTGGATATAAGACCAATCCGCCTCCAGAAGGCCGTCCGGTCCGAGTGTATGCAGATGGTGTGTTTGATCTGTTTCATGTGGGGTGAGTTTCTAGATTCTTTCTGCTCGATGATTTTCGACCTGCGATATTCAACTTTGCTGAACTATGCTAATATACTCTCGATAGTCATATGCGGCAACTCGAACAGGCTAAGAAGGCCTTCCCGGATGTTTATCTTATAGTTGGTGTCACTGGGGACGACGAGACTCACCTGCGAAAGGGTCTCACGGTCCTGAGCGGTGCAGAGCGGGCGGAGAGTGTTCGACACTGTAAATGGGTTGATGAGGTCTACCCGAACTGCCCATGGATTGTCACCCCAGATTTCATCGATGAACATCAAATTGACTACGTTGCACACGATGACTTGCCGTATGGAGCTGCGGAAGGAGACGACATTTATGCTCCTATCAAGGCACAAGGGAAGTTCCTCGTTACTCAACGGACGGAGGGTGTCAGCACAACAGGTGTTATCACGAGGTACGTTTTATATTCTCCCGTTCTGCTGCGTATATCTCCTAACAACGTTTGCAGAATTGTTCGCGACTACGACCGTTATATCTCACGGCAATTCAAGCGTGGAGCGTCCAGACAGGAGTTGAATGTGTCGTGGTTGAAGAAGAACGAATTGGAGATCAAGCGACATGTGTCAGAGCTCCGGGACAGCATCATGACCAATTGGACAAACACCGGCCAGGAACTGAGCCGGGAGTTGCGGCAACTGTGGAATTCACGGCCCAATAGTCCTGCCCCAAGTGCAAGGAACAGCATCGATTTTGGAAGCCCACGCGGCGTCGTCAGCCCTACAGGTGCCGGCAAGTCCCATGTTTCTCGCGTCGAAGCCCTGGGTCGACCAGAAAGCATCAATGGGAGGGGAGAGCCAGACTTCGCAACCGGTTACAGCTTGGGGCTGATCGGGGGTGTTAGGGCATGGGTAAGCTTCACTCTAAAAAAATTTAATGTATGTAGCACAGCTAACAAACCGCAGATGCGTAGTCGCCGATCTCTCGTTGAAAGCCGAGCCCAGTCGCCAACTAGCGAAGAAGAACACGAATCTGAGCAGGAGCGCATCAACGGCTTCACAGGGCCAGCCCATCAAAGAGAGTAACTTACCAGCCTCTCGAGTCAAATTATTTCGATTTCCGAGGATGCATCATTCATCGTCTCAATTGTCAAGCTGATCTTGGTCCATATGGTACATAAGATAAGCGAGCCTGACGCTACTCGTGTTAGCGTAGGGATTTTTTTTTTCTCTTCATCTCCGTTTATATCTGGCATCCCCTAATCAAAGTATATGAGAGTCTATGGTTGGCCAGATTGACACGGGTACTGTATTTTCGATTTTCACTTGCACCAACATTTGCATCTCATTATCATTTTTTATTGTACAACACTCGAAAGGACACACAACAAGCATGAGGGGGACATTACAAACGGACATTCTGACGTTGATTTGATTATTAGTACATGCATGGGACAAAATTGACAGCTCCCCGTTTTCATCGTTTTTTCTTCATCATTGTTTTTCTCATTTCTTTCTTTTTACGTTTCGCGCTGGACAACTGGACTATTTGTTGAGGTAATAGTAATGGATTTGAATACTCTTTTTCTCGATATAGAGTAAATGGGTATATGGTGGAGGAATTACACCTAGGAGAGCGTGAATAGTGTGCACATGCAAAAAAAATAAAATATTTGCCTGCTCGCTTGTCTATTATAATCTGAGCTAAGTGCTTTGATCTACTCTGGCCTGTATTGAATGTAGCCGAGGGCAGAGTTCAAGCTGTAAATTATCAAAGCTAATCGAAATCAAATGGGTATCAAATGTTGCGGTATATAGAGCGAAACCGTGCGCACACATTCTTAGAACACAAACAGCTTCGATCCACGTCTATCCATTCAGGTATAAAATCGCCTCTCTCATGCGGCAGTAATAGCCAACCTCGGCCTCATTCCCCGTTGAACCCCGCGTTCCATATCCTCTGTCTCAACCGCACACCGTCTTAGCAGCTCCAACTGCGCCGACAGATCCTGCACCCCCGGTAAGGCAGGCAGCGCTTCTCCTCTCTTCGAACACATTATCATGCGCAAATGATTCCTTAGCATCACCGCATCCCTCACCAAGTCACCCTCTAGAAATTCCTTGGCAACCGCATCGCACTTAGCTGTGATCCCCAGCTCGAAGGACCGCAGGCCCCGAACGCAGAGCAGCGGCGCAACCCAGGGTTCGGAGATCGAGAGACGGAGTCTGTTTCCACCGATTACGCCTCCTGCCCCTCCTGCTGCTGCTCCATTACCCGCGGCGGCAGGGGCACCAGCAGGAGTACCTGCAAACGACCCCAGATCGACAATGAGCGCCAATTCCTCCAGCCCGCTCAAGGCAGCAACCCTGTTCCAAAACAATGCCCAGAGCCGATCATTATGCGTATGCGAGTAGATCGAGCTCTTATGTTCCTCCCCCGCCATGGGCTGCCAAACGGGCATCCATTGAATGGTCAGTTTTTTTACTGCGCGGAGGTGGTGCGGGGAAATTGACAGGCTGAAGGCGATGAAGGTCGTCAGGTCGTCGACGTCGAAAACGGAGTTCTTGTAGAGGATCGAGGACGCTTCGGCGTAGATGGCGCGACAGGTGCGGATGAGGGCGGTCGAGGAGTTGCTTAGCTGCGATGGGAGGGAGGGGTGAGTGTGTGGGTAGAGCATGCTGTTGCTAGTGGCACCATTACTGCTGGCGCTGTCTGCAGGTGAAGAAACAGCAGCAGCTAGGTCGTTGGCTCGCCAGCGTGCGGGGGTGACGGGGCAACAGCGGCGGTTTTTATCGAGGGATGAAGTGGTGTTGTTGCAGCGGACGTGCCGGATTTTGTCTTTGACCTGGACGAGGTGAACGACTTGGTCGCCAAAGGCATATTCATAAATCATAAGGCGGATCTCAAGAGGTAGTTCTGTGAGGAGGGCGCATGTTGATTGCGGGTTCATCGAGCGGGCGTAGGGATCGATGGGAAGTGAAGGTGTAGATGAAGCGTTGCTGTCGAGGGATAGCGAGAGTGGCGCGCATATCTTGCGGGCTTGGATGAGGTCGCGGACGCTCTCTTTCCATCGATGACCTGTTGAGTAGTAGTGGAAGATGGAGTAGGGGTCCCGGAGGATCCAGGCGTCGAAATGGCGCATTCTGACAACAGCAAAAGTGAGTCTATGGATCTAAGTCTATAAGGTGGATCTCGAAATCGGAAGATCTTGACGATAAAAGAGGGGACGAGATGAGTACGTATAAAGATTGATCTGCGAGCAGCAGCAAATGTCAAGAGGCAAGTGAATTGAGTCAGCTCCGCTCCCCTTATTATATACGCCGGACAGCCAACATGCCACCCAAGGCCAGATAAAAAGACGCCAGCTCCACCCACCCAAGAACCCAGGTCCAACCCCAAGGCAGCGCTGAGTGTCAAAGAGTGAAAATGAGGCTTCAGGGACACTCTCCTCCTACACTAAGCCCCATTCGTCAATTGCCTTCAGCCACCAAACCCTTTTGTGTCCTTTATCCGGGGAAGCTTTTTCATGATCTGCTTTTTTCATTGGCTTGCCGGCCAACCCCGGAGCCCATTGACCGCTGTGATTCGGGAGTTTTCGGTATGGAGCACAGAAAATGACGTTTGGCTGCATGTGGCTACGGGCAGTGGTGCCAATGATCGACCGGCCGATGGGGCGGAAGGCTGGCTTCTAGTCTGCTTTAGGCCTAGTTCAGGCTGGAGGGAGGCACGGGCGCGGACGACTTAGCTCCGGCTAGAACTCTGGCTAGACTGTTACTGGCATAATGCAGTGGAGCTAAGCTCTTGATGGACGGAAAGTGCACTTCATTTGATGCATGGATGCTGACCACACCATTTATTTCCTTGGTTGTTGATGTATCTTGAGTACATATTTGGTTTCTTAATTCGAGTTAATTTTTCTATATCATAGAGTAAGTGCATTATTGTCATATCTATCATGTCACTCATAGACAACGATCCAAATATAGGAAGGGAGGTGTGTAAAGATGTGACTGAACCTTCCCCGGAGGACTGTCCTGCGAACAAGTCCCTTAAATCGCCACCTCGCTTCTCTTGAGCTGCGCGGCGTGCATTAGCTTGCTGCTCTCCGCCCCTCTTCACAATTCACTGCTTGCAGTGGCTGCACAGTGTCCTGGCGCTCTTCATGGCGCTCACGTCTGGATAAGCTGATGGAGCACTCAATGCTGACTGTTCAAATTCAGAGCCTGAACCCACTTCTCATTATTATAGCGTTAATCACCCCCTCGCGTTCTCCTCACCGTCAGCTGCATCGGCTTGTGCCGGCGTGGATTCGCGCGCCAGTGCCACATAGAGTGCACTGCAGAGGATCAAGGCGGATCCGATCCAGCTGACTGCCGATAACGTACTGCCCCAGACAGTATTGTCATAAAACAGGGCAAAGAGCATCTGTGTGTAAAGCATGGCCGTGGCTTTGGTTCCGGATGAAGAGCGGGCACCGGTGTCCGCCTCTGGCTTTGAGACCTGTTCTTCCTGGTTGGAATGCTGGCTCGGCGTCCTGAATAATTGGTGATTCGAAGACTTTTTCCGATCTCGCGGCGGGGGTGGCACATATGCCAACCCGGCAGTTAACAGAAATTGCAGCAGAAACCCACAGACACCGAGTGCAGTGAGCAAAGTCCATTCCAAAAGTGTCCCTGGCAAATCTAATGATATAGAAGGGATAACTATGATTGCAATGACAGAAACCACTGTGGTGAACAAGGAGAAGTATGTAACTGAAACTAGTGGATGGCAGCGCTGTCCGATCATTCGGATCGATGTATATGCGGAGGACGCCCCGAGGACCCCGATCATTGCCATTATAATGGCCATCATGCGGTGGTTTTGGTCTGCATCCCCGGGGTTTTCTCTCTCTGCTTCAATCGAATCCGTTCCATCCCCAGCATCGGTTCGCAAAAAGGCAAAGGGCCGTGCGATCAAGATGACACCTATCAACGAGACAAATCCAGCAAATTGTTGCTTACGAGTGAAGATCTCGCTGGGGAGGAAGATCGAACAAGCGTAGCAGCTCAGAATCGGGGCGAGGAAAGTCAAAACAGTCGCTTCAGAGAGAGGCAAGTATTGGACAGAGTAATAGAGTCCGTACACGCCCCAGAAACCACCAGCTGCGCGGAAAATGAGGAGAGGGAGGACGGAGCGGTTTCCGAATGGTTGTGGTACTTTAGCATACCACATGTAGAGGTAGCTCGCTACGACAGTGATTGACATACGGGCGAATAGAATCTGCAAGTGTCAAACTCCTTGGAAACAAAACTGACGTCCGATGGTCTACGTTCCACAGCAGAGACGTACCTGAAAGGGCTGAAAACCTTCTCCGTTCCTCCCCTTTAACTCTAGCACCTGGGTCATAACGTTCATAGATGCTCCGAAGAACTGGGATAACATCACGAGAATCATCCCCTTACCCTGGAGCCAGAAATCCGTTGCGGTGCCCCAAGCCTTCTCTTTCCATCGGGTCGAAGGTGTTGACGGAGGAGGTAAGTTCAGAAGTATAGGCGATGGCGACCTCCGATCGTTAGCTGCCTGCAGCAGCGGCGTCCGTTCTCCATTTTCAAGATCCTGGAAGCCATTCCCGAGCACAGCCGGCGATAGAGACCGGCAGTCGCCTAGGTCAGGCGAAACAGATGTCGGTGTCGGCATCAACACGATGCTTTTAGGATAGGCAGAAAACAAGAGAAATTGTATGAGGGAGATAAGACGAATGAGTATTCTAATGAGAAAAGTGCCTGCTTCTGCAGCGTAGCTTCGAGAAAGTAAGACGTATAATAGGTGATCACTAGTGTAGGTAAAATACAATGAGCCGTTGGTTCGTGACTCGGTCAAAAGTTGGGGTCATATGAATAGAAGCCCCTCGGAAAACAAATAATCATAGAAGGTAATGATAGGCCAGCCCCTCCCTTCTCTGCGGTCTGAATAAAGGCAAGGCAAACGATGAGGGAGAAAAAAAAATGATTGAGCGTGACTTTGGCTCTGCGGCTAAAAGAAACTAATCAACTGGTGGACACTGAGGGGTTCGGCCTGATCTCCGGTTTGCGGAGACTCCAAGAACAGTCCTTACCAAGACTCTCAACTTTACCAGGATCCGAGATGAATCGATATTATGATTATCATCTTGCAGATCCTAGCTCTGCTCTTGTGAGTTTCGTAGTACGTACATAGTAGGTGCTCCTCTTTTTACCACAGCAGCAGCAAAAAATGAGTATGTAAAGAAAACTAGTAGCCTCCTGACAAGATGGGGACCCGTACAACGCAAAAATGGCATGAGGCTTCGTTTTTATGCTGGGCTCAGTTGGGCAGCTTGATGCTTTTCTACATTTTAGCGAGCATTATCTGCCGCTTTAGTAACACGAGTACAGCACTAAAAGACGCCCTGGCCCCCGAATATGCAACTTCAGAACGTCACTCAAACGAAAACAGAAAGGTAAGGTAATGATCTCGATACTATTCTTCATTCTCAAGAAGCTTTCTCAGTATATGTCACAGTGTTCTTCGCCAAACAGAGACAGGGAAAAGAGAATACTATCCAAACAATCAACTAAGACTCAAGATAGTTATGGGGCTTAGTAGCAGGTTAGGTATGAGCTTGCAACACCGACATCGGCTTCTGTACAATCGTCTACATAAAAGTGAAGGTATCACCGCCCTTCTCCCGCAACATATTCCCAACCCTCTTCGTCCCGACAATCCGTTCCAGCTTTAGTGCATCGTATTTGGAGAACAATGCGCGGACCCCTCCCTCAGCGGCTTCCACAATGCTGGCTTGATCTAGTCCCAGAAATCCCACGATCTCTCCCCAGAAGACAGGGTTGTCGGGGACACCGTACATGATGATCCGCTTGACACCGCGGAGTTGGTAGCGGCGAAAATGATGCATTCTCTCGGTATATAGAAGCACGGACTGTCGGCCGTTCATAAAGTGAGAACGTGTGCGGTTGATTTCTTTGGGTTCGGTGTATTCGGATATCGCGCCGAAGGAGACATTGGTAGTTTGCTGTGATGTGGCAAAATAGTTGCGGAGACGAACGAAATCTAGATATGAAGGGATGAAGATGAGTGTGCCGCCAGCGCTTGCCTTGTTCCGGCTAGTGGTAATGTTGCGGACGAGAGAAGATAAAATGGTGGTCGTAAACTGTTTAAACCGAGCATCTGGGTCTTTGGCTGGGGAAAGACAGTCGAAGCGGGAGAAGCTCTGTTTAACCGGGACAGGGAGTGGGAGTTCAGAGATTACTCCGTTGTACAAAGGGTTGAATTTAACCCTCCCAGATAAATTCTGCATCTGTGTCGAGAAGACAGAGTTGATTTCGGGAGTGATGAAGGAGGAGAGCATGATGAGTTGTCGGACATATCGCGCATTATTATCCAGGTACCAGGTTCGAACGCGGCTGAAATCACAGCCGTGCGCTTCTTTTGGCTGGAGATTGAGATGCTTTAGAATGTAGCTGATGTGGTCCCAGTTTTGCATGAGGAGTGCGTCGGCATGGTCAACAATAACCACTTCAATCGATGATAGAAAATCGTAGTCGCGTTTTTTAACACTGCCAATGTCAATATTATGAGCGTATTCGCTAGTAGCACTGAGGACTTACTCTGCCTGATCCATGATTGTTCGCAAGCCCAGTGGACTGGCAAGGATCAAATCTGAGGTATAGAACTGCGTAAAGAATTTGAGCGTCTTTCGTGTGAATTTGAGACCTAGTCGGAACATATCGTCATCATTTCCGCCGAATAGCTCGCGGAAATCCTCCGGCTTATTCTCCCAAGATGGGTCATTGGCAACAGAAAATGTGTCAATAAATCGTTTCTTGTTCTCTTGTTGCTCAGGTTGGAAAAATCGGGTTATCGCTTCGACTACCCGCACACAGGCCTGCTTTGTGGGTAAGAGGTAGAGTACTTTCGGTCTGGTGAAGCCCTGATCCCGGATTTCGAGGTCGGCATCCTGCTCTTTGGCCACACGAGTGTTGTTCTTAAGTACACGGTCCCTAGTTTTTAGTGCATGGTTAGTAGCGTGTACCGCCAACAGGTCTCGCATGTTGGCAGATTCTGATGTTGTCCGAGCGCCATATAAAACATCTTGGTAGTCGAAAATGTAAGGGGAGACCTGCTGCGCATTGCCACTAAGGCTTGGTATGCGCTCAGCAACAGAAGACTTGAGCTTTCTCTTGACCTGTAATCCGGTTAGCGCCAGCTACTGACAGTTGGATAAAGCACTGACCTTCACACTTGACAGGCTCTTTATCGCTCCTAACAAAGGCACGTCACTTTGACCAAAGTCGGGGACTGCGCGCCAAATTTTCAACCCACCGGGGAGCTCCTTTTTCATATTTTTCCACTTATTCTCAGATGCGGCCTTGATTTTCTGAGACAGTTCTTTTTCATTAGGACTTTGGAAGTGCGACTCAAATGGATCATTCTCTGTATCAAGTAAGAAACTGGCGGTAGAAACTGGACGATTGAACTCACCATTTCCTTCATCATCACTGTCCTCTTGTATATCAAGGTCCTGTTCCTCAAGCCCGCCTTCCTCGTCCGGCTCTTGCTGCTGTAGGTCGTCATCGAGGGATTGCACATCTTCTTCCTCCCCCATCGCTACAGCGTCACTCTGAGCTTCACGCAACACCTCATTGTCCCGATGACCCATTTTCCTCTTCTTGCGCGCCGGTACATGGTTGTCTGTTTTTGTTTGAAGCAGCTGGAGTAATTCAGTATACGGCTGCGCCGATTGTTGATCGTGTTGATCGCTATCGGACGATGCGTCATCGGCGGGCATTTCTTCTTGCGGTTCATCCTCGAATTGTTCCTCGATTTGGTCCTCTTCACCTGATGAGCTTTCAGACCTAGGTGGAACTGTCAGATAACGTGCAATGGTAAACAATTGTTAATTTTTCAGCTCACTCTACTTCATCAATGCGGGATGCTGAGAAGCCAGGGCCGCCCTTTCGTTTTATAGGACCCCCTTTACGTCCTTTCGGACCTCTGCCCCGAGGAGGGGCCATATTCTGTAAAAATATTTTTAAGGATGCTGTGCGCAAATCCAAGTGTGCCTGTCCAGAAGGCGGCCTCTTTTTTGCTGGATTTTCGGGGTTACTTATCTTATCTTAGCGCGAAATCCGGGCTGCGCACACACAATTTGAGCCTCGCAGAAGAACCTCCGCCGCCGAAGTCCAGCGGGCCGGAAGATTTGGGTCAAAGAGAAAACTCCACCCCCAGCACGGCGAAAGCAGAGGACGACAGTTTCAAGAAGGGCTTTATCTTTCACACCTGCTCCCTTTTGTCCCGCAACCATGGCTGAATCAGATTCTTTCTTGCACCTTGCCCGTCCCCTGGGCCCTGTCCTAGCGGGGTCTGCACCAACAACTGCTCCTTTGAACGTTGTCATCCAACCTCAGGTATGACTTCGCTGTGTGAAAATCTGGAGACTCAGGGGCTCAGACGCTGACTTAATGCTGTAGGCTCTTTTCTCGATCCTTGACCACTCCCTCCGCCGCAATGCTGATCAGGAACGTGTGATCGGAACACTTCTCGGAACCCGGTCTGAGGATGGCACTGAGGTGGAAATTCGCAGCACATTCGCTGTTGGGCACACGGAGACGACAGACCAAGTCGAGGTGGACATGGAGTACCAGAAGCAAATGCTTGCCTTGCACCTCAAGGCAAACCCTAGGGAGGTTCTCGTGGGTTGGTACGCCACCGCATCTGAGCTGAACACTTTCTCTGCCTTGATCCAAAATTTCTACAGTGGTCAGGGTGATGGCACATGGCCGCACCCCGCTGTCCACTTGACTGTTTCTACCGAAGCTGGAAAAGACATCGAAACCCGTGCCTACATTTCTGCCCCCGTCGGTGTGACAGCTGAGAGGGCCGCTGATAGCGCCGCCTTTATTCCCGTTCCCCACGAGATCCGGTACGGCGAGGCGGAGAAGAGTGGTTTGGAGACTGTCGCTGCGGCTAGGGATGCTGAAGATCGTTCGACCTCGCTTTTCACCGACATTGAGGCCCTTGAGCGTGCGGTCGAGGAGGTTCTCGGCATGATTGACCGCGTTTCTCGATATGTTGAGTCAGTCATGGACGAGGAGGCTCCTGCTTCTACGGCATTGGGCCAGTTCCTGCTCAATGCTCTCGCCTTAGCTCCGAAGGTTGAACCGGTCGATATTGAACGTGACTTGTACGTCTCCCTTCCCCGCTCCTTTGTCCCTGAACTAACGCAGCTAACTGTTTTCTAGTAACAACCACATTCAGGACGTCTTGGTGGTTTCTTACCTGGCCAACACCATTCGCACACAGATGGAGCTTTCTAACCGACTAGCGACTGCTCAGCTTACCCTGGGTGGTGAGTCGGGTAACGCAGAGCAAGGTGGCCAGCGCAACCAGCGAGGCAAAGGAGGCCGCGGGGGACAGCAGCGCACTCAAGAACGGAGTACTGAGGAGGCTCGCGCATAGGATGATTAGAATTCACTATGAAGATACCTTTTCAATTTTCCCTTTTAGCTGTTTTCGGAAAAATTTCCCCTCCCCACTTACTTTCACTATATTTCCTCTGCGATATGTGCCTAGGGGCTCTCGAAAAGTCTTCTATGCCGATTCTGTTCCCTTTAGATCCTGCATATACTTTGGGTTCTGTCCTCGCGCTACGGCTTTGATTGGGAGCAAGAGAACCAACTTTAAAACGACGAAAGGTGGGAAAACAACCGGAGGAACAACATGATAGAATTGAATGACCCAAAATGACCGCGGCGTATGGGAGTCAGTCTGGCCTTACACGAGGCTATGGGCTACAAAAAAAAATGAAAGGAATGCTGTACATGGGTGACTGAATCAATTATTTGGGTACGCTGATAATGAGCAATGATTTGTTTCATGCTGCAGGTAGTCTTTACTAATGGTGGCCACTAAGACTTGGTATACGTACTAGGTATATCATTATTTTATTACAATGCCTAACCATGAATCGATTTGTAGCATCCAATATAACACCCAACGCCTCCAATGCAGAGAGTACTTAAGTAGTTCATAATGTAAGTGGATATCAAACTCCCGTTGCCAACGCCACAAATCAGATGTAAATGAAACAAATCAAGAGAAGAAAGACCAAAGCTCATAGCTAATTAGGCTTCTTCTTCTTCTTAGTCGTGGTCGTATCTTCGGTCGCATCTGAATCCCGTCTGGCACCCCTCTTCCCTTTGCCCTTCGATTTCTTTCCGTCTGCAACACTCTCTCCGATATCCTCAAGACCCTTCTTCCCAGCATCCTTCAGGTTCCCAACCTGGTCATCATTTTGATCGAACTGCTTCCGAGCCTCTTTCAGCTCGCGCTCCATGCGTAAAAGTTCCTGTACACGACCTAGTTTGTTCGCATCCCGACGTAGCGCGAACCGGAAATCATCAACTTTAATCTTTTGTCGACGCGAGTAGTTTGCGTGTTGTGCGGCACCGTGGCACATCTCTAGCACGAAGTCGGTAACAATCTCATCGAGCACACGGACAGTTTCGGGGAGTGGCTCCGAGGGAAACGAAGGATGGGGAGCCGGATCACCATATGCAAGGAGTAGAAGGCGTACTGAAAACACACCTCTGTTAGCATGGGAGTTCTAGGACGAGTTTCTTCAAGTGCGAGATAAGACGAGAGGACTAACATTCGGAAGGGAAGTTCATCTGCCCCTTGTGCCTGGCGGCACGGGCTCTGGGTTCGGCCATCTTCCTTTTTTCTTTGGAGCTTTTTACCGGGTTGGGTGTATTCTCTGTCCCACAATTGTTGCTAATAGCGTTGGGTTTAAATGCGGGTTGATATGCCCGGGTGCGAATTAGCGCAGTGTCTTGAGGGTTGAACGGCCAAGCTGGAGCGAGTTCACTTGGCACATTGCCAGGGTCAAGGGAGCGAGTAGGGCCTGCAGAGACCCTGGATTGCTGCTGCGACTGAACAGCACCAGAACACGGCGAGGAGGGCCTTGTGGTTGGGGTTAATGTAGATGTTGGCGTTGGGTCTGTAGAAGCATCGGCGGGCTGAACGGCGCGCCCCCGGCGGTGAGCATAGTTGGCGACGGGCATGGCGGCAGAACGCTTGTCCTGTTGCGGGACAACCTGTTCTTGAGCTATCTAGTCACCAGAACCTCTTCGACGTTTCACTTGCTGTAACTCGCTTGTTCGATCCTGCTATTTGGATCCTGATATATCTCGAGACGTCTTTGATCTACCTGGAAGCTTGAGAAATTCCGTCTCGGGCCGTCAAGATGGTAAGTGATAACAATGAAATCACGAAAGCTGGATGGCTAGGGAGTTGGCTATGAAAAGTGAGGATATATCTCTGGGGACCTTTGCTAATTGGTTACGTAGTCGGCTTTATTCAACTTCCAGTCGCTTCTCCTCGTTTTTTTACTTATAATCTGTACGAGCGCGTACGCTCATTCCATCATGCCGGGGATTATGGACCGTAATCAGAATGGGTAAGGTCACTCGCTGCAAGACCATTCAAAATGGCCATTAACTGAGAGGAAACAGTTTCTTCGGCATCTTTTGGAAATGCGCGCGGATAGGAGAACGGTTGAGTCCGTATGTCAGTATATGTTGCGTCCTGATGGCTGTGAGTCTTCAATCCCCCCCGCTTTCAAGGGGCAAACCGACAGTGATGTTAATAAGGTGGTATGGCAGGTCTCCATTTTCATCGGCGGTTGAATGGTATGAATGATACGTATTTAATGACTCTAGAGAATGAACCCTTTCAAGCAAGCCGGCGTTTTGTTAATGAGGGCGTTGTATGATAAAGTATTCCGAATATATATCATTATTATACAGAAATGGTAATTTACAATAGCAACTATACACATGTGTATCTGTTCTATATCCCGATGCTCCATTGACTCCTATTCAAGGTGTTGAAAATCGATTGTCCACGCTAAAGAGGCAAAGCACAACACAACTTATGATCCGATGTAGACAGGGATAAAAAGTAAAAGAGAAAGATGGCAGGTCATGTTTTCGCCTTCATACTGTCCTTCAATCTTTGCAGACCTTGATCAAGCAAAGACACGCTATCTGGCTCTTTCGTAGCTGCCTGACTGGATGGCTCAACTCCAGAATCTGAATCGGGTCCCTGGTCTAACTCCTCGACGGCAGCCCAAAGCCGTTCTGGATCTCGCAGAAAACGCAGAGAATTGTGTGTATATTTATCCGGTGTAAAGCCTTCGAGTTCCATCTGCTTGATTGCTTGCGCGAGCGCGGGAACGTTTTGGGAGTTGGCATGGTTGTTGATGATCATGTTCCAAGTGTCGATTAGACAGGGTACTCCGTGCTTGCCCATCATTGCCTTCACTTTATCAGCAGCATGGGGTTGCCTGTTGAACACAAAGCAACTCATCAGGATATTCCAGGTTTGGGAACTTGGCGGTGCATGCTCGACTTCGATCCGCGCAATTTTCTTGGTGATATGGGCGTCCTTGGGAACAGAACTTAGCATGTCTTCAACTAGACGTACTGCAGGTCGCAGCCCTCGAGGGTCATTTCGGAACGCTACTAAAAATTCATTATATGTGTGATCGGTTGCTGCGAGCGGAGCGATCGTGCCATGGCCCTCCAACACGAGTTGTCGAAAACGCGAGTAAACATGTTCCACGTTCACAATGCTCTTCACACACCGAAGATATGTTGAAATGACAATATATAAAGCAACAACGGACGGCGGGGAATCGCCGCTGCCGCTCGGGGGGGTATAGTGATAAGGAACGACAGAGAGCTCTTTTAGTGGGGTGATATCATGCAATCGATTATACATGGCCAGCATGGAGTAGAAGAAGGCATTGGGATCATCACTGAAGTCGTTTTCTTTGATCATGGAAAGGAAATGCGCATGGAGAACCTTGCTCATGATCCAAGGGTTGCGGTGTAGTTCCTCCTTGACTTGGATCTCTTGCAGCAAAGCTTCGAGGCGTTGGCTATCGCCCGCGCCAACAGCATTTGTGAGTAAGGTTAGGTAGGTATAAGAGTCGGGTTTCAGCCCTTGAGCTTGCATGTAATTTAATATGTCCTGCCCGAGCTGAGAGTCACCAGTTTTATACGCATTCGAGAGAACAACGTTCATCAGGTCGCGAGTGGGCTGAACTCCCAGCTCAAGGAGCTTCGGAAGTATGCGAAAATTGCGCTCGCTTCCAGCGCCCACAACGGAGTCAAGCGTGAGTAGCTTGCAGCAATGGCGAAGAACCGCTTCTGAGTCCATAGAAAATTCCGGATTTTCCATAGTTTGAACCATTCGAATGGCTTCAATAGCACTGTCGACGTCACCAAGTTCCGTAAATCGCTTCACAAAACATAGAAGTGTTTCGGGTGTCAGAACCATCTTTTCCTTGCGCGCGACGGACCAAGCGTAGTATACGGCATTGCGCTCCGAATTTTCGACGTAAATTCGAACCGCCTTTTGGGGTAGATGATGGCTGGGCCAGTTGTCCGGATGCAAGCAACTTGTGATAAGTGACTGATCCACAACATCAGGATACAGCTTTAACAGAAATCGAATACAGTCAGTCACAAATATAAGTTTCGGTTTGTCGGTATCTTGACAAGTGATCCGTAAAAAGTCTGGCACAAGCTCGGGCGAGTGATATAACAACCACAGCGACAAGCGCTGCCAGTGAAAAGGTTTCTCGTGCCTCAACAGCGATGTCCATTGGTTGCGGAAAGCATTGTCGGGGTCTGCTTTTAATTTTTCGAATAGAGTATTATCCGCTTCATTGAATTCCAGTGGGATTCGCAAGCTCTTCTGAAGCAACCTTGCTGCGAATATCTTGTCCCGGGTAGCCCTCCATATATGGATCTTTCTGGGATTGACGTTCAACGGTCTCGATCCAATTTCCATATCCTCCACTGTCTTCCTACTCGAACCTTTGGCGCCTTTCTGCATAGGCCCATCTCCAGAATAGCGAGCATTTGGTACCCGGCTATGCAGTACATCGCGGTCCGGAGATAACGGGGATCGAGCTGGGAGTTTTCCAGCTTCTCTATGCACATCTGACACCACTGTTTCCCTGCTGGCTTCCCTGTTGGTGTCCGTAATCGAGCCGGCAACAAAGCCATCTGAAGAAACGGAGCCTTGGCCAGTCGAAATCCCTAAACCATCGTAAACTTCGTCCGCAACCACGGTATTCGATTTCGAAACATTTTCATTAAGCCTTCTTGTTCCTATGGACCTCCGTCGCTGAAAGTCGATCGCGCGGTGCCTCTGTGCCGCAAAACAAGAGGGTGGCCTAGTGCGGAGGCGAAAGAGCGGCAGGCGATGCGGACAAAATGACATTCAGAATCGCTTGCTCGGATACATTGATCTGTCTGTGACTTGGATTGGCAGGGTTTCTTGTGGAGGCGACGGTAACGGCGTACAGAACGGGATGTTGGTATTATCATGGCTGTAGTGGCTGCGTTCCCCGAGGCCAGGAAATTTTGCCGGAAACTCTGGCCGGTGGGTCCGGCGGTGGCTAGTACATGAACATCGAGCAGCCCGCATCTTCAAGAACACGGCAAGTTCCACAAAAGTCAGACTCCTTCGAATTCATAATCACATTACACTGTCAGACCAAATCCCGCAACCAGAGCCAACAATAAATTCATCCGCCGCCGCCTACCTACCGATATGTCCTCCAACCATGCATCTCTCGATGCTGCCGCAACGGATCGAAAAGCTCGTCTGGCGAAACTTGCAGCGCTTAAGCGGAAGCAGCCAGAGCCCGATACGGAGCTCGAAACCGCCGAACAGGAGAATGAGCCTCGAAATGAACTTTCCGACGTTACAAAGAAGTATCTCTCTGGTCGGAACTACGACGCGGAAACTCGTGGAGTGAAGCTGGGGTTTGACCAAACACCGACCGACGGACAAATCACTCTTGAATCACAGGCAGAGGAAATCGCAAAGGATATCGCAGAGCAAGCTAAGAAGGATGAAGATGCGGATCAGCCAATCGACCTTTTCAAGCTGCAACCCAAGAAGCCCAACTGGGATTTAAAGCGAGATCTGGACGAAAAAATGAAGGTCTTGAATGTGAGGACGCAGAATGCAATCGCAAAGCTTGTGAAACAACGAATAGAGGATGCCCAACGTACGGCCAAAGCGAAGGGCGCAGGTTCCAATGGGAATAACCAAGCAGAGGTTGTTGGTATCGAGGGAGATATGCTTGTGGAGGGCATCCATGTTCGTGAGCAGGAGGATGAGAAGGAAGACGAGGATGAACTGGCATGATTTTGATACCCATATGATCGTGTGCGAGGGCTCCGGCTTTGATCACGATCTCTTGCATATTGTTTATAGGCGCTCACTTTTGGGGTTTAGGCATTGAAACGGCGTTGAAGGTGTTAATTACGATGACATAAAAATTTGATATCGAATACACATATTAATATCAAAAAAGACTAGTATCTATACATTTTCCTCCTGGATTCCGTGGTCCACACCAAACACCTTTGCTACATTAGCGGCCCATATTCATGGCTTGAGTCAAAGCAATTCGTTTGCTATAGGGACTGAGACTTCGCTCGCGCCGTAGTGGCGGGGCACGATTCCTCTCATCTGGTCTTCGTTCATGGTGGTATGTGTTGGGTTGGTTCATCGAAGATGACTGCTTTGCATAACCTTGGTCGAGGTCGGTCTCCCCATTCATAGACCGTCTCCCCCTTGTGCCTCGGCTTTTACTCATGTCACGACTGCGACTTCTCTCTCTGCGACTTCCATCACGCGAAAGGCCGCGAGTCCGACCTCGTTCCTTCGGACTCGATTCGCGACGCCTTCGCCGAATGTTTCTTCCCGGGGAACGTGTGTGCGATCTCTCTCTGGATGAATTCGACGAAGCCGAGTATCCAGAAGATGAATTGCTATGTCGCCTCTTTCTTGACCACGACTGGGGCTCTCGTGATTTCGACCCCGTTTCTCCACTTCTCTCGCCGTACCGTTCACGTCGAGGCGACGGTGAGTGTGAGCGATTTGTAGAGATCGTAGACACGGAGCTCGCAGAATGTGTTGATATTGAACGCGTCCGCTTTGAAGCCTGACCATGGTTGTCCGGAGGGTCTAATTCATCAAGATCTCTTTTACGGCCGCGTTCTTGCTCACGTTGCGCTAGTAGAGCGTCTGCAGTACCCTCCCTGAATTTACTGTGAGAAAATATTCCAATTGCGGTATCGCCTACATAATCAAGAGTTTATGACGGACTTACGTGCGCTTGGCATCTTCTGTGACATCCGTCGTAAGCTGCGGGAGTAGTTTTGGGTTTTGTAGTTGTTGAGTGCGGGACGGACGAGCCATATAGGGTCGCTCTTGAGCGGTGGCCTTGCATTCATAACTATAGTGACGTAAATAGTAGGTCAGAATATCTGGTAGAAAGAGCTGGAGCTAAACACATATCTCGTTTCAAGCATTTCTGGCAGAGGGTAGAAGCTGTCGCCTTTGTAGGGCCCCTCATGCCGGGGGCATTTCGATAACGATTCATTTTGCGCGAATTATGAAGATGTGCGTAAAGACGAAACGAATAGAATAGATCCAGCGCAATTAGCTGACGAGAACCTAGAGAATACAACGAGCATAGATTCTTTGCTTCTTCGCGGCTGCCCAGGTAGATACGCTGTGGAGGTCGAAGCCAAGCGCGCGGCTAACCCAATCCCGCGGCCCACGAAAGTCTGACAAGCGAAAGTCCGCGCCCGATCCTCCATCTGGCTTCCCTTTGTCTGTTCGTCGACCTCGCTCTTCCTGCCAGCCGAGACGACAAAAAAAGCAGCTCCACCCACAGCTGTTATATCTGAAATACCGAGGTGTCGATTTGCTTTATTGGAAGTAGAGTTGTCGTGGCCAACGACACTCGGTTTCCTGAAGCTTTTTCTACCTGAACGGGAACCTAGACCTAGCTCCCCTCTTGAACTAGGAATACTGGCAAAAAGTCATGACAAAATCTCTCTGACAGCCGTGTAAGTTTACCCTTTTTCATGCGCGCTTTGCTTCGTTGCGCTGCCCCGCATTGGCCCTCCTTTTCCACTACAACATGCAGGCATGAATTGTGGTCTGACCTCTTACAGCTTTCCTTATGGCGAACTACGTTGTCTCAAGATATGTCGTCTTTTCTTTTTGGCTTGTGTGAAGTGGGATCTCTTAGTGGCTTTTTCTCCTTTCGAATTTCGGTTTCGCCGTGAAACTCCGCAAGGCGTTGACTCGCTTGTACGATTTTACCGCGTCGGGTTTCGCCCTATACAATTCACCCGTACCTGTTCGACAATCACACTTCGAGAATAATTGTTCAAGGACCCCTTCGAAACATTTAACAGAGGTGTTTCCGTGATTATGACGTCGCAACCGTCTCCAAGAGACGGACACCGTCTGTCGTTTGCAAAGGTATGCCCAATGCGTCTTGATTTGAACCTGTAGTTCCCTTCTGACAACAGTACCAGATTGCTGCTTTGCCTCCACCATTGAAATCGGAAACATCACAACCCTCAGATGAGAAAGACGATTCTATGTCTCATGATGAACCCTCATTTTCCGAACCACAAAACCCCGTCGGTGATTTACCCAATCATGAGAGCCCAGATTCCGTCGCTTCCAGGGCTGACGCCGTCGACCGAGATATTGACGGATTGTCGAAAACCGTCCATGCTACCAATATTTCGGAGAAGAAGAACCAGGGGAATACCGGGTTCTCTATAGAGAGCCAAGGGAATGGGCCTCTGAGGCGGGAAGATTCATTCGAAGATGATCGAACTCATCTGTCAAACTCCTCAACTAAGCCAACAAGTTTCGATTCAAAAAGTATGGCATCCGTTACGACTTTTGCAATGGACGAAAAAGATTCTCTGCGCCCCGATGACAGCGCCAGCGTTCAAGCCATAGATGAGGAAGAGTCACTCTCTGGCCATGCATCAGGTGCACCGAATTCATTAACTGGATCAGAATCTGGGGCTCGTTTTCGAGACGTCCAACGACGAATGCCTTCCCACAATACAATCTCTGTCTTCAACGATGGTTCACAACGAACGAATGGCCCGACTGGAACCAACTCCCTGGCCAACAACTTTGTTGTTTCTAATCCCAATGCTTTCCCTGGTCAGCTCATACACGGGTTCCCATCTGAACCCGACGAGAAGCTGCTTGAAGCTATGAAGTCTCCTAAGGACCGTCTTCTGATTCTTCAACTGGAAGAAAAGGTCAGGAGTTTTATTCAGAACTCCAAGTAAGTTAATAATCAAATTTACATAACTGGCCAGTCGGTCTCTCCGTCTAACATCTTTATAAGGGAACAATCTTTGGAATTGCCCCCTTCTAACGCCTTCGGCCGGCTCCTTGCACACAAGTTAGGTGATTACTATCACCTTACCCACTTTGTAGACAATAATGTCACATCGGTCCGACTCCATCGGACTCCTTTCTGTCGACTGTGAGTGCATATCTCCGTCTTTGTTCAATCAACGATTACTGTTTCTTGGCTTTCGTTTATTGCAATGATGATTTGAACTTTTTGCTAATGAACTCAGACCTACCCCACTGTCTCTCATACATGCTACCAGCAACGAGACTCCGCCGCCGGCAGTGCCTGCTATGAAGATCATGCGACGTACGGATGGGGAGCGTCCTTCCACAGAAGGTAGTATAGCAGCAAGCTCCTCCGCTCCTTCGAAAGCTACGTCAGAAGCGGGTGATAGTGGTAACGATGCAGAGCGCGGGGGCTCCTCTGCTAAAGATAGATTGACTCTCACTAGGGAGGAACGTGAAGCAAAATACCAAGAAGCCAGAGAGCGGATATTCCGTGATTTCTCAGAGTCAAAAACTCCAGAAACGACCGGGGAATCTAATGCGAACGTGTCCAGATCAAGCTCTACTAGCGGACGCAAGAAGGCACATAGGCAAAAAACGCCTCACGATGACAGCTTCGAAGCACGATCTCAGTTCAACGCATATTATCCTGGAATGCACTCTACCAACGGATCTGTGCCTTACAACATGGGCATGCAGGATCCTTCATTTCCCAACCAGCCATACATGGTAGGACCCGGTGTAGTCCCCTCCAATGTGGGATATATGTCCAACCAAAATAGTGTCATGTATCCGGGGCAGGTGAACATGAACACTGCACCGCATTGTCCAATTCCTGTATCTCCGCAAATGAGTGCAACGGGACCCTGGCAAAACGGACCAACTTCGCAACATATGCCCTACCCCGGGTATTCCATCAATCAATCACCCGCAATGTCTTCGGCCAAACCTGCTGCTGCAATGGGTAACTATCCTGTTTCTAATAATGCGCAGTTCCAGGCCACTCCTGCAGCCTGGTCGTCTCCCCCGTACCAAGCGGCGTATCCGCAACCTTCCCATCGGAATCAAGCTCCAATTCCCTGGTCAAACTATCAAGCACAACCGCTCAGTGCAACTCCTTATCCATACACGCAATACCCAGGCCAGCCGCTGAATACTGGGTTACCGGCCCACGCGGCTTCTCACCCTTTGCAGGCCAACTTCAGCAGATCTCCGTTCAATCCTCAAACTCGTTCCTTCGTTCCTGGTGGTGCTACCAGCTTGGGTCGACCTCCCAACAATGTCCCACCCAGCATGGGCCCATATTCAACCATGCAGGCAAACTTCCAACCCCAGTGGAACCAGGAACAAATTGGCGGAAACTTGTCTCGCGGAACGATACCGGGAGGTAGAGATTCGATCGCAAAATTTGGGACCCCTGCGCATCTTCCTCCAAAACCGCCACCATCCGAAGTCCCATCCGATTTTGAGTTGAAACACCGGAATGCCAACCCGGCGAGCAACTCGTACCCGAACAACACGGTACCACCATCCCAGAACGGCCCGTTGGTTGTTTCAGGAGGTACTGGCGTGCCACGGCCGAATCAATAACGGCCGCCTAGCTAGGTGCTGCCGTTTCTGCCACCTATAACAGTACCTGGGTACTATAGCGGTTGGTGATAGCTATTCGTTCTTCACTCGTTGTGGTAAATAGATAACCTTTCGGCGGACAATTTGTGAAGGACGTCAGACTGGACAATAAACAAAATGGACAACGACTTGACGATGCGAAGGTGGATATAATAATACGTACCGGACGTGACACAATAAAGCTTAGAACCGCCCATTGTTAGTTGAGGAGCTTGCGGAGCGGAAACGACTCGATGGGTGTCCTTAGACAAAAAAAAAAACAACTTATTGCAATTCTCTCTTTCTCCAGCAGCAAAAAAGTAAGCCTGCTACATTCTGAACTCAGTCGCTCAACAAAATGAAATAAAATAAAATAAAATAACCTCAGAGCTTGGAGAGGGAGCTGAATGCTTAAAGCAAACGGTGTCACCAGTTATTTGTACAGAAGAGTGATTGTAATGAAGAAATTGTAGGACGTAGAATACATATGATGCTAACTAAGATACAGGATAACCAGTCGATGCCCACTAGGTTCTCTCTCTATTTCCTCTCGAGTCCATTCTCGACCTCCACCTCGGCCTTATCGTTAATTCCCTCCGTCGCCTTTGCTTTTCCACGCTCGTTGCCCCCATCAAGCTTTACCCGAGAGATCGCTCTTTCCAACGCCTCAACCCCATCTTTGCGAAACCGCGTCACCTTCCGCACATTCATAAGCGTGAGCTCATTCAGCGTCTCAAGTCCCTGGTCACGTCGTCTTGCGACAGCCTTTGCCGTAATCGCAAACCGCATGTCTTTTGGTCCATCCACAAGCTCCAAAATCGCACTGGGTGCCTGATCATCCTTCTTCGGCTCAACTCGCAAAACTCTGGTGTACCCGCCGGGACGGTCGGCATAGCGCTCACGGAGTGGCCCGAATAATTTGGGAAGGATTTCGTGGGGAGTCTGTTTTTGATTCGGTCAATTGTGATGTTCTTTTCTCAGGATGGGTATAAAAGTGCTGGCTTTTCAATGCCACCAACTTTTACTTTTTTGTGTGAACGGAAAGCATACGTAGAATGTAGAAAGGGCAGTCCTCCGGCTTGTTTCGGTATTCTTCTTGCCCAGGGTGATCAGCTTCTCAGCTAGTCTTTGGGCCTCCTTTGCCTTGGCCCATGTTGTTGTTATCGATTCGTGTTTAAAGAGAGAGGTGACTAAGTTTCTGAGAAGAGCTTGTCTGTGAGAGGATTTCCGACTTAGGTGTCGGTATTTGGTTGCACCTCCGGCCATGGTGGAGGTTCAGATTGTCACTTGGAGAATAAATCGGACTTTCGACTGGGTTTCGGCCCGGGTTGGCGGAAAATGAACGGGACGAAAGTTCAACCTGATAAGTAGAAGTCGTCCCGATGGGATTGAAACACAGAGACGCCGGTGAGTAGATAGCGGGAGGGTTGAAGCGTGATGTTGTCGTCTGTTCAAGATTATTGCTGGGCCGCAGTGAAGTCGTCGGAAGGAATTCAATTTCTGCTCCACAGCCAATCGGAATGCGGCGAGCATCGTACCTGCCCGGTGCGCAGAACTTGCTCCAACAATCCCCAACTTCCAACCTTTATCGACAAATCAGTATACTGTTTTTGTGATATATTTGCCGCGTCTTTGGTTGCAACTATACTCGACGTGACTATATCCGATAGCCAAACGCAAACCGTTCCGTCCTTCCCTTGCGCTGTGCGATCACCTTTTGAAGCCCAAGGCCGGTATTCAATTGACCCTGCAGACTCCATACATCACCAATTACGAAACTCATAAATCCCTTTGATCATGGGCTTCTTCACTGGATTTGTATGTCTCACGCTCCTTCAATAATAAGGAGGCTTCCCTTTGTATAAACCAAACACAGGCCTATTAGCTAACAAATGTGATGGGGAAAAAGTTCAGCGGCTTTGCCCTCACAACATCAGTCCTATACATTACGATCCAAGTCCACCGTTCAACACGTCTCGAACAAAAGTCCGCTATCCGCGGCCAAACGAAGACGATTGATTGGTTAGCTTCTTCTCGAGGCGCATACGACCGCCGTTTACTTCCAAAGGATGATGAGGATATTACGTCTAGAGAAAGGGCATTGGCAGCTTCGAAGTCGCCAATGAAAGATCAGCTGAAACATCAGTGGAATGAGGAGGTGCGGTTGTTGGCGAGGAAGGCTTATGAGACCAGGTGGGAGGACGTGCGGGATGCAGCTGCGGAGGGCTGGAGAGGTGTTAGGAGCTTTGTCAAGAGGGAGTGACTATGATTCCTTTTTTTATCGCACGGGTACTTCCTGTGATTGTTAGAAACATATGTGGTGGACTTCGTGGTGAGTATGAAATTTAGATTCTGATACCCCCGGTTTGTATGCTTAGCGTTATCGGTTTGTCTTGTATGTGTACAATAGAATACAGTTGTGGTCATTGGTGGCCTATGAGTGAAATATTATCTGTTTGAAGCTTGCTTCAAACAACCTTCCCAAACAAGGACGTTGTTACGTTATCCTTGGTTTAGAGTTTGGTATATGTACCATTCGAGTAACTTGACATGGCATCAAAAACAAGGTGACCCGTCCGGCGGGATATGCTGGTGTTTTGGCGAAATCTGCGCCGAGCGTTTGCTGATAGGTACCCCAGTTTATCGCGTGGTTTGGAATATCGCATGCACATATAGTGCATAATTGAGTCGTCCCAATCCGGCAAGTTAGATCAACCGGCAGTATTAATGGTAGAATGGGAAGTGGTGCTCAAGCCGTCATCCTCACTCCAAATATCCTTGCTCTCTGCTTCCATTGTACGCATGGCCTGAGCAACATCTTCGAGTTTTGCAACCACATCCAAAACGCTGTTATTAACTTGATCAAAGTACCGATCATTTGCTTCCCGCCTCTCGCGGGCAAGCTGGATATCTTTCTCCGTTTCTTCATCCAAGTTCTTCGACGATTCATCTGCCTCCCCAGGCATATCTCCGGCTGTTCGCGAGTCTCCCTTGGGAGACTGGGGTTTCATGGTTGCGGTTTTGGGATCAGCACCTTCATCTTCAGCTTCACCCCGACCCCAGGCTTGCGCAAGTCGTAGATGCTTCATTCGCAGCTCTTCTAGAGCTTCGGAGTGTTTCTCCCCAAATACGTGCCCGCGAACTGCTGCACTAACTTCCACATCAGAAAGTGCGCTTTGCATCTCTTCCCAAAGCGCATCGGAGCCATCTACCTCGCCCCGGGACTGAGTGCGAGATAGAAACGGGGAAAGACCAGGCGCATCGAGGGGTTTCGGCGATGAACGTCTGCGATTCAATAGTGGGCTGTGGGCTGCAGGTTGACTACTTCCAGGAGCGGAAACTGAAGGTACTGGTGGTTGAAGCGATAGATTCGATGCATTATGGGACGGTGGGCCCTGAAAGAGGGCGGGAGGGGGAAGACGCTGGGAACTCACTTTCCTCAAGGCGTCCGGGCTGAGGTTGGTGTCCATTGATATGGATGCGGCAAAATTCTGGGTGAATTGCTTCCGATAGTTGCCTCACATTCCAGCACATTTATAAGAGTTTCTTTGGATAGTTAGTAGTAGTAGATCAACACGGACGGAGCATCTTAATGCCAAGCTCCACCCTTATCGTTATCGCTATCGGAAGAGCGGTGAATATTTTTCCGATCCGGACCTCGACTCGCTTAGCTGCCGTTTAGGGCGGAGGCGCACAGCAGAACATTTTCGCCTTCCCCGACCTTAGCGAGACGCCGCCGTGAAAGGAACCCTTCGACTCTCGACAACCATCCATCCAGCCGTTCGGTACATATCCATCAGTCGGTAAGTGCGCACTTGTCGTTTATTGTCGTCGTCGTCGTCGTCGTCGTCGTCGTCGTCGAAATTCAACACAAGGAATATTTCCTTCTCCCGGAGATTCCACACTCGATTTTCACCTCTACCATATCCCGCCTCCAAATTCAAGATCACACCACACACTGTCAAGACAGCAATTTTCTAACGTGAGACTCCGCACAGTCGACCTTTCTTCGATCATAATCCGACAAGATGGGTAAGGGACAGCCTAGAGGTTTGAACGCCGCCCGCAAGCTCGCGAACACTCGTCGTGAGAACCGCTGGGCCGATCTGCACTACAAGAAGCGCCTTCTTGGTACCGCCTACAAGTCCTCTCCCTTCGGTGGTGCTTCCCACGCCAAGGGTATCGTCCTCGAGAAGGTCGGTGTTGAGGCCAAGCAGCCCAACTCCGCCATTCGCAAGTGTGTCAAGGTCCAGCTTATCAAGAACGGCAAGAAGGTCACTGCTTTCGGTGGGTACTCTCTTTCCCTTCAACGCCGTATAATGGTTCTATTTGATGAATTGAAGAGGAGGTGCTGGATATGGAAACATCTAAAGGGCATGGATCTGAAGAATGGCCACTAACGAACGCTTTTTCCTAGTTCCCAACGACGGTTGCTTGAACTTCATCGATGAGAACGACGAAGTCCTCCTTGCTGGTTTCGGTCGTAAGGGTAAGGCCAAGGGTGATATTCCCGGTGTCCGTTTCAAGGTCGTCAAGGTCTCTGGTGTCGGTCTGATGGCTCTGTGGAAGGAGAAGAAGGAGAAGCCCCGTTCGTAAACGGGTGCAAGGGGAAGGAAGACGAATGATGGTGCAGGAATGATATCCGAGATTAAGTCGCCGGGGCCCCGTGCTTTTGAAGATTGGGAGGCATGGTCTATGGATCTGGAAATTATGGTTCAGGATGGATGACCCTGCAAAAGCCATTGCAGATACTGCGATTGATATACTTCATAAAAGGCGGCGCCATGATTTTTTTTCTCCGGGGAGGGCCCTAAAATCAACAAATCCTTCAAATTCCTATTTTGCGCGTAAGGAAACGTAGGGCGGGTGGATTTTATGGGAAACCCATACGTGCATATGCTTTCCAGACCATTACGGCTTTCTACGTAATCTGAAATTCGGGCGTAAGTGCTTCGGAGTGATATGATCATTTCTGGCCACACGCATCACATAGAATTATTGCATAGTACGCTCCAAGGAACCATCTAGTTACCTTGTGGATCCCGACGCCTTTACCCCGTCTATGCCGCAAGTGTAGTCCCTATACCGCCATAAAAACGCTTTTGAATTTTTTTTGAGCTTCATATGTCCCCGAATTCGTTAAGTTTGCCTCAAAAGCTGATGTCCTCCTTTCGGTAATGGTCCGACACAATACGATACAGATATGACGGTGCATGTCCACCCCTATATGAAGTTAGAGCGGTTCCTTTTGCGGTCAACTGTGTAGGGGACTTACAAGTTCGTAATATAGAGGTCAATCAATTCAGCAGGAACATAGTCGTACAGGGGGTTTTGCACATCGATCTGGTCTACAAGGTCGCCATCCTCGTAGCCAACAACCTTGCTTGAATCACCGTACTCGATCAAAGAGTCAAAGTCGAATGGATATACCGGACTTAGTTTGTAGACACCGCTTACGACGACACATGGCGTTTGGTGTACCTTAGCGGCCCGAGCAATGACACGGGTACCCGCAGCTGCAACGAGGCCGCCATTAGCGAGAACGGAATGTGTACCTAAGATGACTTTGTTCACCCGGGACATCAGAGCAAAAACTGCGGAGTCGGGAATGAGAATCACTGTGATGCCGTGCGCGATAAGAGGTTTCTGGAAGGAATCGGTGCTGAGAATTTCATCATCGCTCGGGGCGTTGCCACTGACAGTGGCATGGGTAGCCTCGTGGTTGTTAGGGTACGATTCAGCGTGAATGACAGTAAACTTCCGTTTCGCGGCGGCCTTAAGAAGGAATTTCTGTACTGTCGTCGAGGATGTATGTGTGAGGATAATTTCGTTCGAGTGAATGTGATCGAGGGCGTAAGCCGCAATCTGATCGTCCACTTGGCCCAACTCGTCGATGATCTCGTTGATTCCATCTAGAACTTCGGCGCGAATATCCTTGTTTTGGGTATGCCCGGTTAGACGTCCAGATGGCGAGGCCGATGTTGGTGTACCCGGCAATGAGGGTTCGGGTTCTGGGTGAGAGAGCAAACTGAACATGGAGACAGGGTGGGCAGCCAACGATGACATCGGCTTTGAGGCACCTCGATCAGACCCATCATGACGCAAATCCATGTCTGTTAAGTTCACGTTAACTGAAGAGCTTTGTTGCCATGTTTGAAGGCAGAGGCTTACCATCTCCCCCACGAGGCGTCTGCGGTTGGCTTTCAGAGCCTGCCTCACTCAATGTAAAGTCCCCATCCCTATCGTCCTCCGCCTCGTCACGGATTAGTCCCAACACGCGCCTAACAATGTTCCCGACCACCATCTCCCTAGGCTGTGCAGCTATCAACCGTCTTCCCACACTCTGCACCCGCTCAATGAGTTTTGAGGCATCGCTGGTCCTGCATGCAGATATGACGCTACGTAGCAGGTAAGCGGTCGCTGTCGCGCATGATCTCGAGTGTCGTATTTGTCTCCGTTTCAAAAGTCTTCAACCGCTCAGTCAGTTAGTACTGCAGCTGCAGATAGGAGACTGGGGGAGAAAGCCCGAACGCACGAGATCAGGTTATCAATGGATGTATCAATCGGATTGGTCTTTAGGGATTTCAAGAATGACGCCAACCCAGGTGTCAACGGAGCAGATGAGGGTGGCATGATTTTTACGAGTGTATAATCATATATGTCCTGCTGTACATCAGTTAGCGGGCCTCTGAGTCAGGATAAACGACACACGGGAATTTTCCCCAGTAAAGCGTACCTCTGGCACCCTCGGGGGATTTTTTGTTTAACGCGCAAGGCTCGGAAGCTTTAGCTGCAGAAGCGATTGGCGTGGAGCCAAGAGAGCGACGTTCTGCTGCGGAGGGGTAATTCGGGAGTGGGTGGGATGTGCTGGTGAAGGGAGTTTTTTGCCCGCCTTTAGTTTGAGCGCTTGGGGGAGCTGCCTCGGCGGCGGCGTTTGCTTGGCCCAACCGCATCCTCATTCCTCGCTCCCCATAGCAGATCGATCATACCGTCTCCCACTGCCGACCCCATCGTTACTCCTCATCGAGACCTGTCCTCGCGATTGGGCTACCCTGTGCTCTTCCACCCTGCTTGCCCTTCACTTCGATTCCTCTCCCTGCTAGTTAAGCAGCTGTCAACCACCTCTCGGTCCATCCTATTGCATTCCGTCTGCTCCCCAGAAACCCAGGGCTAGAGGAGCCGTGGTTTCGAAGCACGGGCTGTCAACTGGCGCATTGAGGTTAGTGCAGATGAAGATATTTCATACTCTTTCCGATTCCTTCCATCGCTCGTTCAACCTGTTCAGTCTCTGCCAACCTCCGAATGGTCCGGTGCACGCTAACTCCCGCGGATCGCGCCCCAGATACCTGCGCCAGCCCAGACACCCGTGGGCCGCATTGAAAGATGAACTCACTGAATCTTCTGTCATCTCGAGTCATTGGCCAGTCTTCGAATCCGAAGCGTAGCCGCCAGCGATCTCGTTCTCAAGGGGACGTATCCCCTGTGATTGCCCCAGGTGACCTCGCCAAATTTCGGTCCTATAGCGAAAGCAACTTCCATGCCAACGATGTTGATGAAAAAATTGGCGGCGATGCGTCCGCGCCGGCAGACGAAGCTAACTATGATGAACATACGCTTGACGAGAAAACACCCTTAATACGAGGGCTTCAAAAAAGCCCAACGCTTGCTACGAAAGGCTCTTTGGGTCTAATTGCCCAGCGGCTTCTTGAAGCAGTCACCGAAACAATCAAGTTCATTCTAGAAACTTTGGCTGCACCTGGTGTGTATGTAGCACAATGCTTTCGAGATGAAACAACAGGAAGGTACTCGCCATTGACTCCCGTGAGAAAGCTTCAACGGTCTATATCCGGCTCTTCGTCAAAAAGTCCGAATACGGCACGGAAATCTGCCACCCGGGCTGAAGGGAAGCGCCGCTCTGGTTCTATCAGGAAACTGCGAAGCCATCCATCTCGGGACTCCATCGCGTCAACAACCTCCGAGTCGGAGGGGGACCGTCGTGCTATGAAAGGACTCACAAGCAGTAAGCCTCGCACAGCGAAGAAGACCTCGAGCGAAGAATCGATAACCGATGCGACGCCTCCGCGACGGTCTATTCGGATCAAGCTTAACAACGAGGAAACTCTTCAGCGACAGAGGCAACGTCGGGCGCGGAGTGCTGACCTCGACCGGTCGTCGCGGAACGGGTCTGAAGCTTCTGTCGACCCAGAAAGCTTGAAGTCTCCGTCTCCATCTGTACATCTAGTCACACGCTACCCTCATTCACCTGTCCCTCCTCGGCCGCTCATTCCTTCCCGCCTACCGTCATATACGGCTACCGGCAGAAACGCCAGGATTCCCCAGAAAACACTCGTCTTGGATTTGGATGAAACCCTCATCCACTCGCTCGCCAAGGGGGGCCGCATGTCTAGCGGCCACATGGTCGAAGTCAAACTCGCTACGCCGATGACGACTGCTCTCTCACCTGGTGCACCCCCTACAACCCTGGGACCTCAACATCCAATCCTATATTATGTACACAAACGACCTCATTGTGACGAATTCCTACGCAAGATCTGCAAATGGTATAAGCTAGTCGTCTTCACTGCAAGTGTTCAAGAGTACGCCGATCCAGTCATCGACTGGCTGGAGCAGGAACGGAAATACTTCCAAGGGCGGTATTACAGGCAACATTGTACGTTCCGAAACGGCGCTTATATCAAAGATTTGAGCTCGGTTGAGCCAGACCTAAGCCAAGTGATGATCCTGGATAACAGCCCTATGAGCTATATTTTCCATGAAGGTAAGCAGGACATTCCTATTCCTCTTTATTCATTTGGAGCTAGCACTAATGCACGCCCGCAGATAATGCGATTCCAATCGAGGGCTGGATCAATGACCCAACAGACAATGGTCTCCTCCATCTAATCCCAATGCTGGAAGCCCTGCAATATGCCACCGACGTACGGGCGTTCCTAGCACTGCGTAGAGGAGAGGCTGATGCTCTATAAACACCTGTTCTGACTGGCGCAATAACTTTACATTACCTCAACTTGATATCCTACGCGCTAACTACCTAATTCATTGTAAAGAGCCCACAGCCGTTGATTTGAAAGCATGACGAGTGTTTAGCATTACTATCAACATTTATCCTTCCCATACCCCCTTTCTCAGCTACTGCTGTTGCATTAATTGTATTTGTTTATTCTCGTCGTTCATCTTCCATTCTCTTCTCTTCTCAGGAACATTTACAGCGTCGAGTATCACTTAGACGAAGTAATGAAGCCAAGATTGTTTCACTCTTCCTATCCGAGATGCATATATTTAAAGGATGTTCTGCCGCGCCGGGAGTGTTCCCGGTCAATGTAAACCAACCGCCAGTCTCCCGATTGCCTTTCTACGGTTCGCAAACCGCCGAACTTGACTGGGCAATCATCATCCCAGCCCGGAGGCAGGGAGCTCCTACCTCTCTTCGACCTGATACTAATTATTAGCTACTATTACGGTGGGCATGCGCTCGATAAATTCCGGGTTAATTTACTCCAATGACTCTAATCGGCATGACTCCCGAGGTCCACTTTCCATAGTTCGTCATAGTTATGTACTGGCCTCCGAACTCGGCCAACGGGAAACATGCCCCGCCCTTGATGATAGGAAAAGCCAGTGGCTCCAATTTCTGTAGGGGAAGCCCGTACTATATTCATTCATTGCCCTTAGTACTTTGATTGAACACGTATTGATCTGGAAATTTGTAGGTTTGGGCTATTCTATCTAGTAGTATCTACATTTACAGACCCTTGGCTTTCTTCGTATCGGCAAGAGATTCCTTGAGGGCTTCGATAGCCTTCTCAACGTCACCGCGAGCGGGGTCTGTAATGCTAACACCCATGTGTCCGAAGCGGATGTACTTGGTTGCAACTTCCTTGTGCAGACCACCGGCAAAGATGACACCACGGTTCAGGAGGCCGGGGAGAACATCTGGCGGGGTCAGGCCTTCGGGGAGCCAGATTGCTGTCATGGCGTGAGCCTGGTTCTCAGTCTTCGAGGCTAGCTGCTGCAGGCCAAGATCGGCAACGGCGGCCTTGACGCGATCAGAGGCCTGGCGGTGGGCCGCGAAGCGCTCTGACACCGGCCGGGATGTGATCTGGGATAGGGTGGTGTGGAGAGCGTGGACGAGTTGAGTGGGAGGGGTGGCAAAGTAGGAGGGCTTGAGGTTTTCGTAGTTCTGCATGATGGGGATCCAATTGGCCAAGGAGGAGTAGTATGAGGATGGCGGGGTCTTGCGGCCCTTGAAGGTCTCAACTGCCCGGCCGGAAAGCATGAGGATGCTGAGACCGGGAGGGCAGCCGATGGCCTTTTGGCTGGCGGTTAGGACCACATCCAGATCCCATTCGTCGAAGGCAATCTCCTCGCAGCCGACACTGCACACGCCGTCCACAACTACGAGAGTCTGGGGGCTGACCCGGCGGACAACCTCTGTAACCTTCTTGATGTCACTCAGAACACCAGTAGACGTATCGACATGGGTAACTGTGACGATTTTGTATGGCTTCTCCTTCAATGCTTGTTCAATTGCTTCGAAAGATGGACGGTCTCCAATTGGTGCCTTCAGTTGTGTAGCGTTGGCCCCGTATGTTTCCAAGCAGGTTGCGAATGAGTCGGCGAAGTAACCGGAGTGTAGGACAAGAGCGTTCTCGCCCTTCTCGACGAGGTTAGCAGCCACGACATCCCAGCCTAGAGTGCCGCTGCCAGAGACAACAAGCGGCTGAGCTGCGGGGTTTGTAGACTGGAAGAGCTTCCGGACCATAGTCAATGTCTCTCCAAAGGTCTTGACGAAACCAGGGGCGACATGGCTCTCGCTAACGATTCAACCCCGCGTTAGTTCAGCCTTGAAGAGTCAAGTGTAAATATGAAGACGTGGAATAGACTCACGCATAATGGGCCATGGATTGAAGAACAGCATCGTCGAATTCGATGGGGCCCGGAATGAGCAGGGTGGGGTGAGGGGCTTGAGTCGACATTTTGGCAACAGGAGACGAGGGGGGTTGAGAATGAGAAGTTGAAGAAGTATGGAGCGGGGGAGCAGAGCGATCGGGGGGTTTATAATCGGCGTCGTCGGGAGTCTGGGCGTTCCTTTCGGTCGAGAATGGGGTGTTAAGTTCCGGCAGCGGGAGTCTCTGATCCAGATGTCTGGAGATCAGGCTCAGGCGCTGCGATGCCTGTGTGGGCGCCAGAGTTTCCCGAGGGGTCGGCTCTCGACGGGAGAGCCCGCGGGGAAGTCGACTGGATTGGGGATGGAGGAGTGAACCAAATCAACCAAGGGCGCGATCGGGGATCGCCGGAGTGTCTGGTCGGCCCGGTGGTTTTCACAAGCAAAGTGGCAAGTGTATAGAGATATGTACACCGGGAGTTTGCTGTCAGATGGAGAATTCAATCGAGCTCTACTCTGGCTTCCTCTGATGCTGGCTGTCTTAAATAAGGGGGCTCCACGCGTGTCTGACTCCGAGTCTCCAACTGTCTTTTCTTTTTTCTTCACCGGCGACGTGTTTTTCCAGGCGTCTCAAACGGGCGGAGCCTACCGTCTCGGCCGGAAGCAGCCAATTGCCTTGGTAGAGGCTCAACGGGTTTCCCCAGGATATCGAATACCTATGTAGTATACAGTATAGTATGTGGGCATTCCTCTTATTGGCTAGACTTCGGACTTTATCCTCAACAAACTGCAATAATTGATGAACGTAAAGGACGATATAATTGTATCAAGTAGGCGTTGTACCGGCACGAGGCTTTCTCCACCACAAACATACTCCAACTTCTCAGTAATGAAGCAATTCAAGGCACATCTGGGTATATTCTGTCTTCCCAGTCTCTAAATGCTTCGTCCTGTCAAGAACTCAAACGTAGCTTAAGGATGTCTCGATACTCATGTAGGCTGGGACTTATCCAGATCGGGCGGCCGTTTAGGGCTCAGGGCTTCAGTCTGACGATCAGACCCAGCTTCCCCGCGATAGCTTCACCGTTATCGCTAGGTAGCAACCAGTGACCCAGTCTGACAGCTGCATACCAACAAAGGTTACCCAATAGTCCTTCGACACTCTGCGTGAGCTTTTTATCCACAGCCTGCAAAAGGGTCCCCTTGGAATGGGCCATTGACCCATTCACTCCTTCCACGATGACCTCGCGCTTGGTCCTGGTCATTGGTGACCTCTTTATCCCTGACAGGGCCCCCGTATGCGACCAAGTCTACTTTGCCCGGTACTTAATATTTACTAACATGTAATCCGCAGGATCTTCCAGCAAAGGTACACCGCACAGACTCAGTAGGCCACATCATCGTCGGCCACCTCCGCCTCCCAACGTTCCCTTGTTGACAGTGTCGCAGTTCCGCAAGCTCCTCACGCCAGGCAAGATCGGCCAGATCCTATGCCTAGGAAACCTTACAGATCGCAACACATTCGAGCTTCTCCGCCAAGTCGCCCCTGATCTCCAATTAGTCAAGGGCGATTTCGATGTCGACTCTCCCAATCTCCCTCTTTCAAAGGTTGTAACGCATGGAAGTCTTCGGATTGGATTCACGCATGGCCACACCATTATTCCGCCGGGCGATGCAGATGCACTGCTTATTGCGGCTCGGCAGATGGATGTAGACATACTGCTGTGGGGTGGTACTCACCGTTTTGAAGCATTCGAACTGGAGGGCAGGTTCTTTGTGAACCCAGGTAGTGCAACCGGAGCCCTGAGCACAGGGTATTGGCCGGAAGGAGAGGAACCTACCCCAAGCTTTTGCTTGATGGATGTAAGTCTAACCGATTGTTACCCACGCATTCGAAGCCCACACATTCGAATTTTCCCTAGTTACAGGGACGATCTTTCTAACGTCCAGATAGATCCAAGGTGATGTTCTGGTGCTATACGTTTACCAGCTGAAGACCGACCCCAATGGCACTGAGACTGTTGCTGTCGAGAAGGTTTCTTATCGCAAGAATAGCGTACCATCCTCATGAACCAATCCTCCGCATGCTCCCTCTGTACATATGCTATAGATACCGATTCTGTTATGACTTTTCAATACTCATTAATCGATATTCTTTCTCTCCCGACTCAACCCATTACCGATAATGTATTTATTAGATCTGCTTTGTATTAGTAGTGCATATGCTCCGTCTGTTTCTTCGTATCTATATGATGCCAAGAACATGTGATAATCTTTCTTCTAGGCTTAGAACGCTTAAAAGCATGAAGAGTACATATTTTATGGGCTCTAAGTGTAAATAGACAACTGGTTTATGACAAAAAACGTATTAGAAGACAGTAGTAGTACTGCTAGGCCTCATCCGCTCCTTCAAAGAAAGTGATGCAATAGTTGGAGCCCGATCAACGGAGCTTAAGAATTGTGATGACAAAAATTCACTAGACCAGAAAAAGAAACAGTGGCGGCTTCGATCTAACCCAAGCAATCACATTCACAAAGTCCTCTTCTTTATCTTTAATTACCAGTCATTTACCATAAAATACTTGGACTATTTTCGCTCGTTTGCGTTGGGCTTTACTCGAGGTGTGCTGTTTGGCTGGCGTTCACGTTCCTCAAGATATTTTCCTGCCGGGATCCGCTACCCAAAACAGGTGGAGAGCTTCCGCTCCCGCACACGGTTCATCCTAAGACACCTGACTCGAGGAGAGAAAGGCATTGCCTGTTCCATATACAACAATGGCAACAGAAGAACATGAGATCAAGGATGAGCGCCTGGAGGCCACTCACGAGGAAGGGGGTGACGATGAGGTAAGTGATTGCTAGGCTCTACGATGAAGCGGGCGCGAACAAGGAGCTTGCACTCAATGCGCGCGCCTGTTCGCCTTCGCTTGAGAATCTTTCTATGGCCTCATTAAATGTTTATTTCAAATTATTCTTCGAGTATATAGCGGCTAACATGTTTCCTCCTCTAGGAAGAAATCGAGGCCATGAAGCGACGGGTGGCCGAAATGGAATCCGAAGCTGCCAAGTTACGGGAAATGCAAGCTACACTCGACCAACAATCTGAAAGTTTGAAAGAAGACAAGGAGGATATCGATGCTCGGAGTATCTTCGTCGGTAACGTGGACTATGGTGCCTCTCCCGAGGAAATCCAAGCGCATTTCCAGAGCTGCGGCTCAATCAACCGCGTTACAATCCTCCTAGATAAATTCACAGGCCAACCCAAAGGGTACGTACAGCGTCTCAAATCCATATATTGAGTTGAATTTATCTGTTCAGGGACGATCTTTTTTTTTTATACGGGCCCGCGCTGACTTGATGACATAGCTATGCCTACGTAGAATTCGCCGAGCCTAGCTTGGTGGCGCAGGCTCTTGTCCTGAACGAGAGTGTGTTTCGTGGCAGGAACCTGAAGGTAAGCAGACATTGCGGTAGAGGTGGGACCCTTATGATTACTGTGTGCTAACAAAGTATATGCAGGTAACGCCCAAGCGCACCAACCTTCCTGGTATGGCCAGCCGGGGACGCGGTCGAGGCCGCGGCCGGGGATACGGCCGAGGAGGATTTCCTCGTGGAGGCTACCGCGGCGGCTATCGAGGCCGCGGACGAGGCTATGCACCTTATTAATAACGAACGTCTCGCGCGCACCTTGGTAGGATACAAAGAAACGCGCTAGGATGTCTCAAGCGGACCCCGTCGATCAGCAGGAGCACGACAAAGGAAGCGCACACCTAGTGAAGCTTATGGAGTTGAAAGGCGGATATCTGCATCGAACTTATCACGGAAGTCTTCTTTGGAGTTAGGGTTGGGCTGTACTACTGTATGTTAACCATTCTGTCCCAGTGATGTGGGCAAGATGGCGGAATGGATTATCTGATGTCTACTATCCTCTTTATCTTGAACCTAAGACTGGCAGCTAAAGGCTGGGAGAAAAACGAGAAACCACTATTTGAGGGGAATGCATATAAACAAACTACCCAGGTAGGACTTGGTTTTCTTTCGGCTCATATCTGTGCGCGTCGTATGTTGTTGCTCCATTAGATTAAAATTTAGGCTGCCATTGATAGCATTAGCCCGGATCACGGTTCCTGGCTTAGATAGAAGATTACAGATTTCGGCTCTTATATCCCGTGTTGTTGGTAAATCCGGGTGCTCCGCCAAGTATTATTATATAGAGTAGACGACGTAACAACATCATACGGATGCTTTAAGCCACAGACTGGGGCTGAGCCAGGTAGCTGAGTGTCTTGATACCGTGAGCAAAAAAACATGGGGAAGTATCTGACTCGATTATGGGAATAATACTCCACGCACGCGCTATGGCAGCCGGGGTTTTCCTACTTGTCGGTCGAGAATTCTGTTGCCTTGGCCGGTCTGGATCTAACGATCTATAATAAGAGCACAGCAGGAGTCGTCATAAAGAGTCCATCTTGGCTCAGATTCTGATCTCATTGAAAGGATAGACGATGAGAAGAGGAAAAAAGTATTTAATGAAATCGTAGACTGGTGAAAGAGCGATCACCGATGCAGGGACAGTCCATAAAGATCTTAAGTAGTTAGTCGGTAGACAGTATGAAGTAATCTTGGCCACCCCGCCTGTGACACCGTGGGTGAATTTGCGAGGATCGCGCGCCTGCAGGCCAACCCTGTTGTGACTTTCTTTCGCCTTATGAATTTCTGAACGCCTGCTTGGAAGGCCTCGTATTAATATTAACGAGACCCCTCATTTTCGCCACGGCCACAGCAACAGTCAGCCCGAGTCAACCACATTTGCGCGTTGTTCCTCCCGATCGAGCCCCTCGCCTCGTCCTGATTGGCCGCCGCAGCACAACGTCAGGACTTCCAACCCATCCATCTGCCACTGCCAGTGCTGCAGCGACCTTTGCTCAGCCCCAATACACGGTGCAAGTACAACCGCAGTCTCGCCGCGCCTCAGCCGACCCTCAGTCCATCACGTCCCTCTGTCCGAGTTGGTCTTCGACATCTTCGCCTTCCTCTCCAATCCACCCACCGCCCTTTTTCCCTTCCTCCCTGCTCTTCCGCCCTCCGAGCCACCTCCGGACCTCTCCCCTCGAACAACCATCGCTATCACCGGGCGTTTCATTCTTTGAACAGCGGTGGATGTGCACGCAGCAAATCGCTTTATAGGCTTGCCTTTATCGGCCCTCCACACCCCCAGGCGTGTATAACCGACTGGACAACATCAGTGCAGGATGGGGTCCAATCTGCCTGCGTGAGTTCCCTTGTTGGATGATCTGGCTTTTCCCACCTTTCGGAATCATCCTCTTTTCTTTGCCGCTGTATTACTTTGATACTAACATCGAGATATTATAGCCAACCAAATCTGAGGGTTACTAGTAAGATATCAACTACTCCCGCACCGAATAAGGCTCAGCCATCCTGGATGCTGCGGACAAAATACTGACTGAAGATTGCTTTTGATAGTTATCGCTGCTGACGGGTTATACAAGCGCGATGTTTTCCGTATGTTTCAGATGATGACTGGCTGTTTATCATTCCACCGCTAACTCTTATCATCCAGGTCTACCCGATCCCTTCGCTGTAGCCACCGTTGGAGGTGAGCAAACGCACACGACATCAGTGATCAAGAAGACACTGAACCCGTATTGGAACGAGATGTTCGACCTGTGAGTTTTCCCGCTACCAGTTCGACTCCGCGGGTACTAATATATTTGTAATGCTCAAGACGGGTCAATGAAGATAGCATTCTCGCAATTCAGATATTCGATCAGAAGAAGTTTAAAAAGAAGGACCAAGGTTTCCTCGGCGTGATAAACGTGCGGATTGGAGATGTTATCGATTTGCAGATGGGGGGCGATGGTAAGTGACCCTCTTTACCGGCAATTTTCGGGCTGTCACGATGTACATGCATATCCGCGGCTCTTTCGGAATATATCTCGACTGACCTTGGTTGCTTACGGCGTTTGACAGAGATGCTCACACGAGACCTCAAAAAATCCAATGACAACCTTGTCGTGCATGGAAAGCTTATCATTAACCTATCGACTAACCTCAGCACGCCGAACACTAACCAGGCGAACGGTTTGCATCGAACACAGCTCGGACCGTCGACATCAAGTGGACTTGTTCCACAGGTTGCACCAACATCGTCACTCCCCCCGGCTGGCCCTAGCTCCGTCGATCAATCGGCCACTGCATCGAGTGCGTCTTTGAACCCGCAGCGTGTCCCGTCCACTACCCGGCCGACCAGTCAACTTGCCCCTCCAAACGGTGCACCACCAATCCCCAATGGACAAGGCGCCCCGCGCGCCAATCTCAGTTCATTCGAGGATAACCAGGGGCGATTGCCAGCTGGCTGGGAGCGACGTGAGGATAACTTGGGAAGAACCTATTACGTGGACCACAACACTCGGACTACCACCTGGAACAGACCATCAGCCAATTACAATGAACAAACGCAACGTACCCAACGGGAGGCTAACATGCAGTTGGAGCGGAGAGCACACCAAAACCGAATGCTCCCCGAGGACCGGACTGGAACCAGCTCACCCAACTTATCGGAAAGCCAGCCACAAGCTCAAACCCCGCCAGCCGGTGGTAGCGGTAGCAGCAACAGCAATATGGTTTCCATGATGGCGACAGGGGCTACCACTGCAGGCACTGGTGAGCTTCCACCTGGTTGGGAACAGCGGACCACTCCGGAAGGCCGGCCGTATTTCGTTGATCACAACACCCGCACTACGACCTGGGTCGATCCGCGACGACAGCAGTACATCCGGATGTATGGCCAGAATGCCGCTGGCGGTAACACCACCATTCAACAGCAACCCGTTTCTCAACTTGGACCACTACCTAGTGGTTGGGAGATGCGTTTGACGAACACAGCTCGTGTGTACTTCGTTGACCATAACACGAAGACAACCACATGGGATGACCCTCGTCTCCCATCTTCGTTGGATCAGGGCGTTCCGCAGTACAAGCGTGACTTCCGACGGAAGTTGATATATTTCCGATCACAACCAGCACTGCGTATCATGTCTGGCCAATGTCACGTCAAGGTTCGCCGGAATAACATTTTCGAAGACTCGTACGCAGAGATTATGCGCCAGAGTGCTTCCGATTTGAAGAAGCGTCTCATGATCAAATTCGACGGTGAAGACGGCCTGGATTATGGCGGTCTTTCTCGGTAAGGATTAGCTATAACATTCGCTTGGGGTTCAATCGTTGCTAATATGTGCCAGTGAATTCTTCTTCCTCCTTTCTCACGAAATGTTTAATCCGTTCTACTGTCTTTTCGAATACTCTGCGCATGATAATTATACCCTACAGATTAATCCTCATTCTGGTGTCAACCCGGAACATCTGAATTACTTCAAATTTATTGGGCGGGTTGTTGGTTTGGCAATTTTCCACCGTCGCTTCCTCGATTCGTTCTTCATTGGCGCTTTCTACAAAATGATGCTGCGGAAGAAGGTGTCGTTGCAAGACATGGAAGGTGTCGACGAAGATTTGCATCGTAACCTGGCGTGGACACTGTAAGTTCCCACAACTACTTCGTTTGCCTTTTCTTCTTCCAACATATCTTCTAACCACCAACAGTGATAACGACATCGAGGGCATCATTGACTTGACTTTTACGGTCGACGACGAAAAGTTTGGAGAGCGCCGTACGATCGAGCTAAAGCCTGGTGGTGAGGATGTACCAGTGACTAATGAGAACAAGCACGAATATGTCGAGTAAGTTTTGTTCCCCTCCAAGCTAGTCCATCGGCAAAACTGATATCTGTAGGTTGGTTACGGAGTGGAAAATTGTGAAGCGAGTGGAGGAGCAGTTCAATGCGTTTATGTCTGGTTTCAATGAACTTATCCCGGCAGATCTAGTCAACGTGTTCGATGAGCGCGAGCTGGAATTGTTGATTGGAGGTATTGCTGATATTGATGTCGATGACTGGAAGAAGCACACGGACTACCGAGGCTACCAGGAGCAGGACGAAGTCATCCAGAACTTCTGGAAGATTGTTCGCACCTGGGACGCGGAACAGAAATCTCGCCTACTTCAGTTCACCACGGGTACATCTCGTATTCCAGTCAACGGTTTCAAGGATCTCCAGGGCTCCGATGGCCCAAGACGATTTACCATCGAGAAGTCTGGAGATCCAATTGCCTTACCCAAGTCGCACACATGGTATGTCTTTTGCGCAAATCCACCCACCCTTTGTACGTCCTTCACTAACCATTGCCAGTTTCAACCGTCTTGACCTTCCACCGTACAAGACACACGACACTCTAGAGCATAAATTATCTATCGCTGTGGAGGAGACATTAGGTTTCGGGCAGGAGTAGATATTGCATTTAAGCGAATTTTTCAAGGAAGATTGCACATCAATGCATTCCAATCTCCAGACAGCTTCACTCAGATCGCCTCTAGACGACGCGAGAGGGATTCCATACTTCAAAAAGTTCCCGACCCCTCTTTCGTTGGTTCTATTCCGAGCGAAGCACTGCCTAGGGTCATGCCATATCCGTCGAGTCCATCTCCATCTATCCTATCGTTCCCCCTTCCCCCTTCCCGCTTTTTTTTTAATTTCACGGTGCAGGTAGTAATCGCGTTATTCCCCGGTCATTCTTTTTGAGGAGAGCAGGACTCACGTTGAGATCTTACACACGGGCACATGGTATTTTTCGAGCTTTGATTTATCGATATTGTTAACCTGGTTGTGGTGGACTTGTATATACTTGTATTATCTCTAAGAACATGGACGTCTGCGTGCTTTGCTGCCTTTGTTAGTATCGATATAGTAACATGTGATGCGAACACTAAATTTGTTCTTTAGATATTTGCTCTTAGTATCTAGTATTATCTAAATCGACCATGTTTATAAATATTGATGCACACACTGAGTGCGAGCCTGGTGTCTCAAATTCAGTTTGCCGTGCTGGTATGATGTTCCCGTTCCGGGAAAATATATATCACCAACCACGATTATACAGTATGTATCCATTCATCGAAATGGCGGAGAAAAAGCATTGGACTACACAAACACTTGACATTTAGCCGCCTTTCCATATTATTTAATTCCAACGAGCGTAGCTCAGCCTTATAACTACCAAAAGACAGACCAATTTCCGAACAGAGCCGGGCTGAATGCGCCTAACTGCCTACCATATACTATAGAGATTACTGCTGACTTATTAGCTTCTAGTTATACCAGAATACTACGTGAAGAAATTGGAACATGCATGAAGCTATATCAGCCTTTGACTTGTCTTAGAACCATGCCACGACAGGGCTGAGCATTCTGCGTGCTGAACATTTCCAGTCAGGGAGTAGGATTAAGACAACCTTATTATTTTTGATCACCGGAAATCACTACTTTTTCTTGAGGAAACAGCTGATAGCCAGGTCCCTTTGGGCTCTATTTTGATACTGAAAAACCTATCTTATCCCGAGAGAGGCAAACGCGTAGCGTGATGAAGGAACAGCAAGATGCCACAGTACAGAGGTCAAGAAGATCAACGACCGACAGCAGCCGATTGAAAAGGAGAAGGCAGGGCTCGAGAAGCAGGAGCAGCAAAGAGAGAAAGAAACGAAAACAGGCAGAGTTAGGTCCAGGCTCTGGCGCCAACGACGACCTTTACTCTATTTAGTGGTTATTTCATGTGCATTAATACCAAGAGAATCATAAAGTATACCACTCTATACGCATCACATACTTATAGCTAACTCCATCAGCAACAATGTCTCGCCACCCACGAAGCTGGGATCATCGGTTTTATTAGGACTGCCAGCTTAGGCGAGGTAAACAGCCAGAATAGCAGGGTCTGGATTACTAGCTACTCAAATGGAACCTAGTGGAAGCACCACTTTGTTATAGGGTTCCGTGTAAGCTAAAGTCAGCTATAGGAATGGGTCAAGGGCTGATACTATCCTCGATGGCGCAACGGCTAATAGATGCCTTGGGCATCTGAGAAATAAACAAAGCAAGCTCTGTCACGCGGAGCAATGGGGATCTCGGAAGGGCTATAGCCACGGGGTACGGGGGTTCCTCTGTCATTTCATGAACCTCCTAGCAACACGAGCCGGGAGAAATCTGGGCCTTGCGTGGAATCTCAAAAGATACTAGGTACTCAGATCTCAACGAGTTTTTGGGAAAGGACACTTGGAGAAAAGCATTACCGGTTGGCCTTCCTCTACCTTATTTGTAGCTGGAAGGCTAACACACTGCCCAGGCAATACTCGACATGACCAGTAGACCTGATTATACGCTGACACTTATCACTGAAAGAATTATCCACTATGAAAGTCTGCTTTCGATTGCTATTGAACTCCAGCTTTCCCGTCAATAGTCGGCCTATATCTGACAGATCAAATGTCATACCGCTGTGTGACCAGTCCAGTCGACGGATCCAGGGCTTGCTTGAACAGGCGATTCCGTCGAGCTTTCATGTTTGCTTGATGGGATTGTACTCGATTGTCCGACTCGGTCATCGTGGACATTTCTTGTAATCCTGGAAGTTCAGTTAACCGCTGGAGCCTGGTGCAACAATGTACTCAACGACTGAGATATTCTTGTTTAATTGGGGACCTGATATCTACTACGAGACGACAACATATATGGCTGTATGGCTATTCGATGGTGGCTGATATAGTCACCCAAGCCCGTTTAGACTTTAGCATCACAAGCCATTCTATGCCTCCTGCACGCTTCCAATATTGCCCCGGACTATAGCCTCAAACGAACTGACCCCTTATCGGTGTTACTTTGTCTGTGTTTATATATTTGGTTCCCGATGAACAGGAAGAGCTACTCTTGTTCTTCGCATCTCATTCTCCTCATCGCTCTGCGCATTGTACAGCACCGCCAACCCTCAAGGCAAGATGCGTTTCCTTTCAGTGCTCTCCGTCCTGGCTTCGGCCTCTGTTAGCGTCCTTGCACAGGAGACCGCAACTTCCACTGGCACCTCCACCCCCAAAAACGGCGGAAGTAGCTGTGATGCCCAGAAGTACGTCTCCAACACACTCTACTATAGATCCAGGCTAACATTACACAATAACGCAGTATCCTGGACGCTTGTGTGGAATCCATTCAAGAGCAGGTCGACGCCTGCGGCCCTAATGAATGGGATTGTCTCTGCGAGCAAACCAACAACATGTTAACGTAGGTTACATACCTTTCTGTCCTAGCATCCATATTAATCAAAGAACCGAGGGCAGATGCTACAATAACTGCCCCAACGATGGCAGCCGCACCGGCATCCAGCAGCAAAGAATCTCCTACTGCAACGCCGCAGGCACGCTCTCGACTAGCAGTACACGTCCAGCTACAAAGACCGCGACTGCGACATCGGATGCCTCGTCGACAAGCGACGGGGCTGCTGCGTCGGCGACAGCGGACGATGCGGCGTCAAGACTGGAGATTGGATTGGGCGCAGGATTTGGGGTTGGACTGGCTGTTTTGGGTGGGTTTGTGTAGATAAGTTTTGATACTGGGGTTGGGGTGGTTTATATCCGCTGGCTAACGCTGGCAAGGGAGCCTGGTGTAATAATAAAGGCCGTTAAACTATAAATTGACAGATCGTGTTGAACAGCCTGGATGATCCCTGTTATAGTTGAGACGGTCAGTGCACAGGACAACGAAACTCAGGCACCCAGGCTGCAGCTGACTAAGAGATCGACCAACTGCTCCTAAGCTAATCGGCGTGCCAAGTGGACTAGCAGCTGTGATGGGCCGATGGTTCGTGCGGACTGAACTGAGCAGTTGCCAGCTGAAACAGGATACGAGACAGGTGTGCGTACACTGCAGCACATGATGTAAGAGAACAATCGATTGTCCGGCCATGCGCAGAGAACCGTGGATGGGGGTGTCAACACGCCGGACACTGCGCTTGTTGAATGCCTAGAGAGCGCGAGCCCGTGAGGTCATGATTACAGGCAGTTGGGAGACAAAGACCAGTCTGGGCCCGATTTGCGGCCGATTTGACGTGTCAGGAAACCTGCTCAGGCTGGCAGCACAGCCGCCCAATCAGCGGGCGCCCCCTCTTCGCTCCCATTCAGTCCCAATTCTGGGCGAGTCGTCAGTCGTCACCCTGATCTCCCATTGTCCGTTCGCGCTCCCAGCATTCACTCTGGCCTTGTTGTCTTACTCTTCGCTCTCCTTCTCCCAGCTTCTTCATACTCCCATCCCCCTTATCCTCATCCTCTCTCATCCTCCCCCCATCCCCAGTCCCTGGACGGACTCCTCTGCACCGACTCGGCCTGCGTTTGTCGTCTGCCTGTTCCTATCTTTCTATCTCTCCCTGTTATTAATAGACCCCGACCGTTTCTTGTTTCTTGCCGCCCAAACGCCGCCCGTGGTTTCCGGTACTCCCTGACTCCCGGCTGCATGTGAGTTGAGGAGATCCCATCCTGTACTCTCCGACTCGACTGCTATCCTTACCTCGCATGCTTCTGCTATCGTGCACCTGTATCTGCTTTCTATCTTCTGCTATTCGCTTCGAAACCTTGCTTTTTTAAAATATAATATCTTTTTATTCCAAGTTGTATTGCTTTTTATTCCGTTTGGGCCCCAGCTCCTTCCCCCTTGCTGTCTGTTGCTGTCTGTCGCTGTTCGCTGCCGGTCGCAAACGACGCCCGACGGATCTGCGCCAAACGCTCACTCCTTGGGCCACTGGACGCCTCATCATTAACCTTCCTTCCGATCGACATCGCGAGTTTCGCATGCACCGGTGCATTGTCTTGACACTCGCAAATTAATTCTATTCTTCTCCCCCTTCTAATTCTCGCTGTCCCTCCCGGAATTCCCCTCTTCTTTCTGAGACAGGTCGTGTCGCATCGCATCCCTGCATTGCTTCCGCCTGGATTGCTCGCTCCTCTCCTCCCCCCTTTGCCAAAACAACTCGCATGGCATGTTTCGTCTGCTCCCTTGGTCCTCTTCTATCGGGGGGGATAAGGTAATGGCCAAAGAGGTCAAAATGCTCGCCGCGCCTCATTGCGCCCCTCCCTCTGTCAGCGGCTTCACGCTGCCCCAGTTGAAGCGCAAGCGATCCGATTCCAACGATTCAACTACCAGTCGCGATGCTCCGGTCGCAACAAAACTACGAACAGACGATGCACCTTCGAAACAAATACCCTTTCAACAACAACCACCACCACCCTCTGCGACCAAAGATGATGCGACCACCTTGCCAACCGAACGTTTGAGCGATCAGGCTCCCGAGCGCGTGCCAGATTCGCCACCTCTGCTGCCTGATGGTGGTGGCTCTGATCCATCCGAGGTCCCGTCGCGCGACAACCAGAAGGCCGCTGTGCGCAAAGTCGATGCAGACCGGCTGCGCGAAACGCTAGAAGCCCAGATCAGCCTCGAGGTGCTGCTGAAACATAACGAACTTCGGTTGATCGATCAGGAGATCGCCAAATGTCAAGTTGCGCTGGAACAACTGCGCCGCTGCGCGGAAATCCCCTACCCTGGGTCTCAAGCTACTGGCGTATCGCAGTCTATGAGCAGTGGGACTGGAATGTCAGTATGGGCTCCTGGAAATGGACCCGCACCGATCTCTCCAGCACCCTGGGGTGTCGCAAACGGCCCTTACACCCGTCACTATTCGCGATGGTTGTTGCCAGACCCGCGTTTCGATGGTGGCGAGGTCGAGCCGGCAACACTGATGGGCTTTGGCATGGCGACTCCTCTGGAAGGTCGTTCGACGCGCGGAAACCCAATCGATACTGGCTATCTGGCTGGCAAGTCTACAAGGCCTCAAAGGGGATCATCCACTGGGACGAAACTCCAGTCTTTGCCCAGTGGCTATCCAGCTCCGAAAGAAAGAGCTGGCCCCATGATTATCCGACGAAAGTCTGATAATGTTCTTGTCAAGTTGGTTTGCTTGGATTGCCGCAGGGACAATTTCTCTAGTACTCAGGGCTTCATCAACCATTGCCGCATTGCCCATAACCGCAACTTTGCGAGCCACGATGCCGCGGCAGTCGCGTCCGGGGAGCCTGTCGAAGTAGATGACGCTGGTGCCGTTGTCAGTGGCAAGAATGAACCTCCTTCCACTTCACTCGCGCCCGGTTTTGTTCATCCTCTCATTCGCTCTGCTCATGTTATCGAGCCAACACCGCCTAGAGCATCGTCTACGTCGGAATCATCCGATAGTGCAACTCAAAAACCGTCTTCAGAAAACAGCGGTTTACAAACGGTGGAAACACCTCGTACTTTGTCTCACACACCGAGAGGCCCGAAGACCCCTACGATAGCAAAAACGCCAAACGATGCATTCACTGCTTCGGATGATACCCCTCATTTATCATCTTTGATGAAACTTCGAGGCGTTGGGCTCGATCTTGGCCAGTTGGTTGGTGATGCAAAGACCACAGTGGATCTCGAAGGATACTTTTCGGAGGAAGGAGAGTCGGAGTCTGAGCCAACTACACCGTCCGCGGAGGTGAAATCCAATAAGCCACTTGCGACTCGTGCTGGGCGACAGCCCATGCGCACGACAGCTTCACAGACAGCCTCTGAGCGCCCTGACGGCCACAAGGGGATCGAAAGACCCAATCACCAGCTGCCCGCGCTGGAGACGTTAACGCCTTCACGACCGCAGGCGCCCTACCAGTCTCCTTATGCGCCAACAGGCCCTCAGATGAATGTGCTGCGGGAAGTTGATGGAGTCGACTTGAGTCCAAATACTGTGGAGTCCAATCAAGCTCCAAGTCTTGTGAGTGATGATGACGAGTTTGAAGCGGCATCTGACTCGGACAGCCCCGGCCCTAGCTCGTCTGAGGCTGGGGATGGAGACGACTTCAGCCTCATTGATGTGGAGGACGACGAGGACACGACGGGCTCGACCACCACTAGTGATTCAAACCCGAAGCCAGATGTTGGATTGGGAAGTGCCGGCAAGCCCCTGCAGCATGGAAAAGTGAGAAAGAAGGGACAGTATATTCAGCCGTCCGTTGTCCCGTTGAATCGAGGGAAAGACGAGAAACGCGTGAGCTTTGTTAGTCCGGGCTCGAGCCCGAGTAAGGACGAGAAGGATGGGAAGCGATCTCCTGAACGATAAAGATAGATTTCTCTACTATTGTTTGAAGATCTAAGCTGGTCGAGCGAGACCTAGCTCTTTCTAGTTTTTACTGTGTATCTCTTATCTTTCTCCTGTGTATGAAATGATACGTTAGACCTCGCTGAGGCTCTTCACTCAGCGTTGCTGAGAATATGGTTCACATTATTACGATTCATGATGTATTAAACGCGCAAGCAGATTGATATTAACCCAGGTTATCCCCCCAATACAAATCAACGGAAGCCGAAAACAGCAGACAAATAGCCTTCATAAATCACCTTATAAGTTGTGGTGCGTAGAGCTTGAGCAGATGGCTCAAGTCATCAAGCTCCAGTCATGGGCCGTTGATCCGCACCAGACTCCCAGCAAAACAAGCCCACCACAACCTTACCTAGTACTTGGTACCTTCATAAACCCATAAATCCTAAAACAACTCAACAACCAACTAAACTAAACCAAACTAAAAGATGGATCTAAGTCTCAACCCTACAACAATATCTCTATCTACATTCAAAACCCTCTTAGCCTCATACAAAGCTACCGTGAAGACCAAAACGCGGTCCAAAGCGCTCGGTAAAGCCTCATCGAAGGGGAAGAAGCAGAAGAAGGGCCCGAGCAAAAAGCGCGCCGCCGACTCTATAAAAAATGAGGGAGATGACGAGCACGAGGACGGGCTAAGTCAAGACGTGAAGCAAGAGGTAGACGCGCAGGTTAAGGAGTTTGAGGCGCTTGATGAGTGGCGGTATGAGTCTCTCCCGGGACTCGTTGAGGCGAGGATTCAAGGGAAAGCCAATGCCGATAGTGAAGAAGGAGAAAGGAAAAAAGGGGATGCTCTTTCCAAAGACGAGGTTGTTAAGTTGATGGAGTGGAAGCTGTATGTTCCTCCTCCGGCCCCAGATATCCAGGTACAATTTTTAACGAAAGGCCTGCAGAAAACACGGTGTTTACCGCCCGACCCTGTTAGGCATGATAAAATCAAACCAAGAAAAGAGTATCCAAAGCGCAACGCGCGACGCGTTTTCTCTCATCCAGCAGGAGGAGGATGGTAGTGCTTCTGGACTCGACTTTCAGGGTAATATCCAGAAAGGTCTGGATGCCCTGACCGCGCCGTTGCGGGGCGTCGGGCCTGCGACGGCGTCGTTGATTCTGTCTGTTGGGTCGGCAGATGTCCCGTTTTATAGCGATGATGTATTTCTTTGGCTTTGTGTGGGTGTTTATCCGTCTACTTCCAATGCGGCTGCGGCTGAGGAGGAAAAGAATGGGAAAGATGGAGGAGAGCGAAGCAAAGAGGTTCGGCCGAACGGGGAGTTGAATGTCAAGTACAATATCCCCGAGTATAAACGTCTTTGGGATGCAGTGCAGAGGTTGCGGGCGAGGCTGAATGAGGAGGCTGGTGAGGATGAAGGCATCTCGTGTGCGGATGTGGAGAGGGTGGCATTAGTGGTTAGGCACTTTGATCAGTCTGGCCTTCAGAACGAGGCAATGGATAGAGAAGACGTAGAGGATGGGAAGAGGAAGAAGAGGAGGACGCATCATGAGTAGGATACTGTATTTCTGTAATAGCATTCACTATCTACCACGAAACAGTCTGGTAGTACACATGTAACAGTCTCAACAGATTGTGATTATAAATAATAAAAGTATATCGTCAACGCTAACAAATGACCCGCCTCGCTATGCAATAAAACAAATATGTGGTAAGGGTGTCTCAATATTATGCCCGTGATAGTTCCTCTTCCATCATAAGAGCGAGCTCATCGTCATCAATACTCGAGACAGTATTTTCGGCCGCATCTTTTCCATTTCCAGCTTCTAACCAGTTGTATTTCTTGCTTTGCAGGGACTTGAGTGCTGCACGACGCTCTTCTTCAGATGGAGGCTGGGCAGCGGGAGCTTCATTTTCTTCGGTCAAATCAATTGTTACAGCTCGATGACTGTTTTGCTGTGTAGCCGGAGCAGAAGGTTGAATATTGCCGTTAAGCGTTTTGTCAGATTGCAAGTGCACCGGATTTTGTGGACGAGGCGGCGGCACAGCAGCGTGGCCGATTATCTGATCCAGAACAGAGGCTGACATTCGCGGCCGCTTGTACCCAGCTGGGATGGAATCAACAGTGGGGACACGTTTTTCCACTTGGATTTCATACAAGAGGGCGTTGTACAAGGTGCTGACAGCGTGAAGTTTGCCCCTCCAATCGGCTGCTTCCTTCTTATATTTCTCGACGCGGGCCTGGTGCCTGGATGACACTCGTCGAATCATTGCATTCTCTTCACGAAGGACCTGTTCCGGTACTTTCCCGTTGTGGTCCAGCTTTGTATATTGCAGTAGCGACCTCTTGTACTGGTCCCGCTCGCGTGTAATCTGGGAGAGTTTGGTCTGTAGACTCAAGATCTCATGGTCTTGTTTCTCTTTCCCCACAGCGACGCATTTGACATGCATTCCCGGAGATGAAGGAATATATCCTAGCGGTCCTCCAATGGCTGGGTACGGTGAGGTGTATTCGGGCTGCTTTCCAACTTGGAAGATTTCGCGAGTCGTGGTGGAAAGAATGTCCTGCTCGTTCAGAAAAAATCGTCCCTTTGTCGATTCGCTTACTCCAGGCGTGCTGGTTCTCGGTGTGCCCAACGGAGGCTCGACAGTGTCGTCTTCGAAATCGGGTATTGGATTATGGGGCAATACCAACGGCAGGTCAACTCCACTTCCAAACAAGTTATCAAAGGTGTCGAAGAAAGAGGCAGGTGATTGGAGCTCCGAATCGGTGGTAAGCGACGGCGTCTCAGGATATTCCAACTGTTGTCGTTTCTCAGGCAGAAATTCTTGCGACTCCTCTGCGGTTCGTTTGCGGGAGAAGAGAGAACCGAGTTCTGGAATGGTAGAATCAAACAGCGGATCGAATAAATCCTGGCCCAAATCAATAGTGTTGTTTTGGGTTTCAAATCCTTCCAGGCCGGTTTCTTTGTCCCTCTGCTCTATCCCATCGGTCGCGACGGCGGCATCGGCCGGTTCATGTTCATTATCGAAACAGTCATGTTTCTCATCCTGTACGGAATTTTCCCGCAGCTGAAGCCCAGGGGAAGGTGTAAGCCCCAGATCATTCACATGTAGAGAAGGAGTATCCATAAGAGCGAGAGACTCTTGAGGAGCGGGAAAACGGGCAGAGGACCTGAGGGAGGTAGAGTTACCTTCAACCACGTCTCTATTCATCGCCAGCCAGTCACAGGTACAGTGATCGTAAATCACGCGTCTGTTTGCCTCTTCGTTTGAATCACGATTCAGTCACTCCCTACCTATTTTCCAATCTGGACCAACGTCTCGACGGATAGTCACACTGACAACAGTATGCCTACCGGCAACGCGGGGGTGTTTAAACCACAAAACTGGCCATATGATAGATAGATCAAGTAAATCAAAGCCAGAACTTGATATGCAACAGCTGGCAGAGATGGTGTGAGAAGAAACGAAGGGGTGGAGGGAGTCATCTCGAAATGTACTTTTTCGCACCGCTTGCCCGACCGCTCACGTGCGGTGTGCATGCCAGGCACAATTTAGACCCCTCAGGCATAAAACCGGCAGGATCCCAAACGGCTCCAACCACTGCAACATCAAGTTGTAAGCGAGAGCCGCGAACTCGCCTTCCAACTCCCAATCCTCAGTGTTGGATACCTAGTCAACATGAGTGTTATTCTATGTACCGGTGAGTTCTTTCGGCATGCCTAGTGCGAAAAGTTTCGCATCTCGAGAGCACTGAACTGACATTGTTTGGCAATCTAGCGGGCTATGACCATACTATCCGGTGAGTTTTATCTTCAGCTCAAGAAACACAGTATCTAACAAGTGTTAGATTTTGGGAGGCTCTATCTGGTATATGCTCGCGCACAATACAGCACCCCGACTCCCAGGTAAACCGCCTTTGCATTACACCTGACAAACGATATCTCGCGGCTGCCGGTCACAGCAATGTGAAACTATACGACATTAAGTCCACGAACCCGAATCCGGTGATGACCTTTGAAGGCCACACAAACAATATCACCGGCGTTGCGTTTCATTGCGAGGGAAAGTGGATGGTTACCAGCTCTGAAGATGGCACTGTAAAGGTATGGGACACAAGGACTGGCAGTTTGCAGCGCAATTATGCGCACAAAGCTCCGGTGAATGATGTAGTCATACATCCAAACCAAGGAGAGCTTATCAGCGGTGACCGCGCTGGTATTGTCCGAGTATGGGATCTCGGAGAGAGCGTCTGCACTCATCAATTGATCCCAGAGGACGATGTTGCTGTGCATAGTGTCAGCGTCGCCAGTGATGGGTCTCTACTCTGTGCAGGGAACAAGAAGGTATGATGTTTTTGTGTGTGAAGCCGTGTTCTTTTGGCTGATTTAATTCTAGGGAAACGTGTACATCTGGCGAATGATCCAAGAGGCCGAAGTAACTCGCATTGTTCCGATTTGTACCTTCCAAGCTCACAAGGACTATCTCACTCGTGTTCTCCTATCTCCCGATGTCAAACACCTGGCAACCTGCTCTGCTGACCATACTGCAAAAGTATGGAACCTCGACCTGGACTACCCCCCGGCGAAAATGGCCATTGCATCGGCCGCTCGGTCAAAAGCCAAATCGCCATCCATAACAGAATCGAAACCAACGTCCCCGTCTCCTGTGGGAACCGAGAGCCAAAGCGGTTCAATGCAGTTTGAGAAGGGCAGAGCAGACAGCATTCCATTCCACTTGCTCAACGGGACCCCGCCTCCTGGAAATCCTGTTGAACCGCCACCTTCATTCCCCGTACAGCCTGACGGCCCTCCAATGGACCCGAACACCGGCACACTTTTCCTAGAAACAACACTAGCAAACCACCAACGGTGGGTCTGGGACTGTGCGTTTTCCGCCGATTCTGCGTACTTGGTCACTGTGTCTAGTGACCACTATGCGCGGTTATGGGAGCTGGCGTCCGGCCAGATAATCCGTCAATATAGTGGACATCACCGCGGGGCGGTATGTGTTGCACTAAATGATTATTCGGAGCCCCGTTAGGTGGTCTACGGAACTCAGTGGATACTACTGCCTTCATCTCTCTTTTCATAGTATGTTTTCGTTATGGGTTAGCATGGCGCACGGGTTTGACGATAGTCGGAGGCTGGTTTTGCCTATATCTTGGAGTTCAGGCCTGCGAGAACTATAATGACTGTCAGAATTCCCTCTTTCTTCCGGGTCTTTGTTTGATGCTTGTCTATCCAGTCCTACATCTTCTGGTAAGCATGTAAACTGCTGGCATGTCAGGAACAGCTATGTCTGTTACGGATGCTGTCTTAATTTGCATTTCAACTTGGCATTTATTGCTGAGGGAAATGGTAATGCTGAAGGAGGCTAGTACACATATTTATTGAATGCATCCAAACACAACGCCTTGTCAATAGTAACAAAATTCCTCTGGATAAATATAAGTCATGAACATGACAAAACGGGAGGGCAGGCCGTCTGACCGTATAAAGCGTCATGGTGTTCGCATAGAAAGTCGACTCGAGGGGGATAATCATACATGCAATACCCACATAACAGCGCCTTTTAGCCAAAAATCTGGGCCGAGTAGCCAAGAATATGAACTCGCAAAAAGAAAGCATGCAGCATGCATGCACACAAAACACGACCGACCGACCGACCTTACTCCTGCACCATACGAAGAATGAAGTTCACCACAACAGCAGCGAGCAGCGAGATAGCCAGGATGGTAGGCCCGAATCGATCATCAATCCCGCTTTGGCCTCGTTTCCGAATGCTCTGGGCCCGCCAATGGAATGTAACAAGGGCATATATCATGGCGGCCATGGCAATGACAGTGAAGAGGCCGGCAGAGATGCGTCCGATACGATCTCCGAAGTTGAGCAGACCCACTGCCAATCCGCCGAGGATGACAGTGAAGTTGAGCCAGGAAAGGAAGGTTCGCTCGTTGGCGAAGAAGACCTTGGGCTCTACGCGGGTAGGGAGGGCAATCCTTTTGCCTGTGTTTCGGGAGGTTAGCTCACAGCTGCGGGGCACAGATTCTGGGTCAGGTGTTAAAGTACGGACCGGGAGCTGTTTGGAGGAGCGGTTGGCTGGACATTTTGTGCGGGGTGAGGAGGTGAGGTTGAGGTGCTTGGAGCTGCGAAGTAAGGGAGCTTTGGTTGGAGGAGGATGGTAAAAATGTGCGAAACGAGAGGAGATAATGGATAAATAAGGTACCGGGTGCAATTAACCAAGCTAAAAGATCTTCGAAGTGACGGGACTTCTAGAGGCTTGCGCCGTGGTGGGCATCACAGATGGGGCCGTTCGATGCTCTCACGGATTTAGCCCGAAGTAGCTCTTCTGCCGCAGTTAGCCGCCTGCAAGCTACCCACGTGCCCCGGATGAGCTCATTGTATGGCTGCCTCAGGCGCGGAGCGGATTATTATAACGCCGGCGGCGCTGTCTGTTGTGACAAGCAACGCGCTAGTCTATAAGTAGCAATCCAGCTTCTGGCTTGTCCTTATCAGGAATAGCGTGGAACAGACTCGTCCATATTGGACCAACCACTAGTCGCGCAGTCGCGGCCATGATGGCTTGAGTGTCTCTCTCTTGCATCAACAAGACCCCGATCCTTCTCCCTTGTCGAGCTACCTGTCTGTCAATCCTCGCCATTTCATCCCTGTATACCTTCTCTCTTAGGTAAGTGCGATCTCTTTTCCCCAGATTGCCGCCCTGCCTTGCGGTGTCGGCCCACATTCCTCCCCCACAATCGTGGTCTTTGGCTCTGCCCAAACATTGAAACGCAACGTCACTTTCTCAAGTCAACATCAACAGCTGTACTAACTGCTCTGTCGCAAGATTCACCAACAGTAATACGAAGCCTTCTTGCGAAATTTAGCACTCACAATGGCCGTCGAGACCGCTCCTACCGTACGTAAACACAAATTTCGCCTTGTGTCTTCCACCAACGCGTGTCATTTCCCGCTAACGTTCTGTCTCAATCCTAGCCGGTCCCTATTGATGACTTGACCAAGATTGCCACAGAGGTGCGTCCCTGAAACCTCTCGACCGACGCCAGACCAGTGCAATGGACTCTTCTGAGTCGGCAGCTGCATTCGAGACATTCGGCTAACTTCTCATAACCAGGCCTGTGATACTGCGCTTGGAAAAGCCGAGGGATACGAACACACCCAGGTTGGAACATGGAACTCCGAGATCATTGTACGTCTCAGCCCCTGGCCGGAGTTTTCAGAAAAAGACACCGTCTAATAAGTTACGCTCTCAGAACGGCATCCTCAAGGCCCTCATTACCGCTACCACACCCTCCACACCTAACACCCCGCCTCCATTCCGGTTCACCGTGAACAGCACCATCGTGCAACAAGGCTTGATTGATAAATCCTCGGCAGCGGACGGTTCGGCCGCCAACACCGGAAAACGCGGTATGCACTCTGCCTCCGGTGCTTACTGGGACGTCAACCGCGATGGAATGTGGACCTTCAAATACCCCGCCGCCGAAGCCAAGGGGCTGGACGTCGTTGTGAGTGTGACATGGTTTGCGCTGGGCTAATCGCCGTTTACGAAAACGCAAATAAAATAGGAGAAAGGAAAGAGCAGCTATACCATTTCTAGTTTCGTCATCTTGTTAGCTATATGAGCCTTTGATGCGTTGTGAACTGATTTTCTTTCCTGCATTGGAGCGGGGTGCATTTGCCTGACGCGAGCTTTATTTGTATGTTATGCTTCGGTTATGGCTATATACCACTGATATGCAGCAAGGAAATCAATATCGAATTGAAAGTTCAATCAATCAAAGAACCCTAGGTCAATGAACCTCTCAAAGCTCCAATAATCCTTCTTGGTCCCCTTTCCATCCAACGTGTCATTCCCCTCAAATCTCGCAGACCAGTAAGCACTGCCCTGCGTATACTGTTCCCAGGTTGCCAGCCCAGCCTTCACGTTCCTCTCCCTCAGCGCAAAACTGTTATTATATGCCGTCTGGATCGCCCACTCGCCAACGAAGACCGGGATCGACCCGTCGCCAGACTTATTCTCCGCATCAGAAAGCATATACTCGGGCAGATTCTCGGACGTCGTATTCCTGCCCTCGAAGTAGTAATTGTGCATGTCAAAAACGACATTCTCGTCCGCAGTGAAATTCCCTTTCCAGTAATCCGGAAGCTTGAAGCTCTGAAACATCACAGGGATATCACCAACCGTCAAATCTTCACTCTCAGCTTCACCCTCCCTCGTCCTCACCCTCTCCAGAACGGCCCTCCAAAACTTCACAAGATACGCCGCCGCAGAATCCGATACCGCTGCGGGGGTCCCAAAAGCACTCATCCCCAAATCACTTTCCTTATTCCGATCCGTCGGCTCATTCATAACCTCAAACGTAAACGCCCTCGGGCGACTAGAAGCCGCAATAAACTCCACAGCCCTATCAACAACATCCAGCGAGTGACCCCACGCCGTCTCATTATAGAACCACCCCCAATGCCCCACCGCCTCGCCGATATCCAGCCCATTCAACCCGCCAGGCAGACTGTGGACGTCGATGATAATGTGCATGTCGTACCTGTCAATCGCATACTCCGTTATCCGGCGGAGATGCATTGTCTGGTTTCCCGAGTAGAGGCCCGAGCCGGGGAGGTTTATCCAGGCTGCGTAGGTGGTGGGGATGCGCAGGAGGGATATCCCCGCGGCGGCGAGGGTGTCGATTGTAGATGTTGTGATGAAGGTGGAGTAGCGATGTTCGAGGACTGAGGAGCATTGAGCCGGGCCTAGGGATTGGCAGAGTGTCCATTCATCCGGGGCATTGGGGGCGTGTGTTTCCCAGAAGGTGGTGTCGAGGGAGGCTTCTTGGACGAGCCACCCGCCTAGGTTCACGCCGGTGGATTTGGTGGTTAGCCAGTTGAAGCGGGGCTGGGGTTGTTGTTTAGAGGGCTTTGAGAGGGTGGTGGTGGTGGTGGCTGTAGTGCATATTGCCAGGAGGGTTGTTATACTAAAGAGGGCTCGCATGGTGTCGAAGGTATGTGTATGAGATGAGGGATTATGTGGGATTTAAGATGGGATATGTATTGGGCTTTATAAGGTTGAAAAACCTACTTGTACTAGAGCTAGAAATCTGCGGTTATGTGGACGATCTTTATACTACGGACGACAGTATATCTAGGATATCCCGTACCCTGAAAGTAACTACCCCGAGGTTATATTGTCAAACTGCACGGGAGCTATGCATGAACCAATGGGGGATTCTTCGGGGTGCAGAATCCGGGTTGTGGGGAAAACAGACAGGATATTAATGCCTGTTCACGACCCTAATTCATATGTGATGCTAATGGGAATTGACGGGCCGTTTGGATGTCGATCTCTCGGAATTTCCAGACTTCGGTAAAGACAACCCCGAACTCAAGGCTGCAATCCGGAAGTCCCGAACGGAGGCTATCTAGCTTATTTCGACTACTGCACGGCTGGGACTCGAGATAACTTTAGATGTCAAAAGAAGGTATTTGCATGTAGCCATAACATCGTAACTAGTCAGTAGTATATACTTGACTGCAGAAATATAAAATTCCACCTACAGCCGTCTAATAATAAAAATCCAATCCAATCTATGATAGCGCCCTTCCGGTATTTCCTTTATATCCTTTTATGCATCTAGGAGAGCCTTTTCCGGTTTGTTTGTATGTTTGCGTATATATTGATGATTGCTAAAGATGACTCCTACCACTGGTATGTACAGAATGGATACCAGGATAGCCGAGTGAAATTTATCGGTGGTCTTCCGTTGGAGTGCGAGAGTGGGTGGTCGTCTTCTCCATCTCGGGTGTGGCAGCGCCGGTGGCAGTTCCTGTAGAACCCTCGGAGTGCTGTTTAAGCTGTTTGCGAGCCTTGCGTCCACCACAGCAGGCGGCACAACAGGAGCCAAGCTCGACAATGAACGCAAGAAGATTGAAGGCGGCTGCGATCCACATAAACGCCAACATACGGTTGCCGAGTTCGGCTTTGATATTGAGCTCGTACGCATCGCCAGCGAAGACATTCTTGAAGATGACGAACATAACCGTTGCGATGGCGGCGGCGACAATCGAGAAAAGGGCGGTTAGGAACGTGATAATCGCAAAAGGAAATGCGCGCAAGAAGATGAAGGTGCGGCGACGGTGCACAGGGTGGTTCCGGTTAACTGCTGCGTCGGGAGAGATGGTCTGGGGTGGGCGTGACGAAACGGCAAGCGGAGACAGAAAGATAAGAATGAATGTGAGGACAGCCGAAGTGAGGAAGAGACCAAACATCCAATGAGAGGCTTTTTTGGCCAGGTCGAGGGCGTCCGTTATATCGGAGGGAAGAGCAACTAGAGCGAGTTAGTGATACAGTTCGGTCATAACCAAAAAAAAAAAGAAAAGAAAAGAAAAACGTACTGGAAGCTCCCGCGAGCAATTCGCTTAGAATGATCTCGATAGGATTGAACCAATACAACGTTTGCGGCTTTGAGCAGAAGGTGATGCCCTCATCATTGTAACCCTCGCAGAAATTCCACAAGCCAACCTGGTAGAAGTCATGGAGACCAATGGATCGAGCAATACTGTTGATGAAGCGGGCATTGGGCACACCGAGCGGGATGATATTGGACAGATCGATTTTCATAAAATAGGTTTCTCGCAAGACAGGCTTATTGGAGACATTGGCAATGAGGACGAGGACTAAGAATATCCAAGCGATGAGGTGGATGAATGAGCGAAGGAGGCGATGCGTGAGTGTTTTCCTTGGACTCCGGCCGTAGACGGGTCGTCCAGAGGTCTTGCGAAAGCGAGGAAGCACCGCCATAGACCCTGGCTGGCGGTTGCAGACTGGACGGAGGGGGTATCAATATTCGAAACAGGGCGATATAAATACGAAATCGGTGGAGGAACGGAGTACGAGTTGGACGGTTGGAACGCAGGTTGACGCAGAGTAACAGAGTTGGCAATCCGTACGGTCGGATGACGTTAGCAGGGTCCTGGGTCCAGCAGGCGAGATGAAAATGACAAGCGAGTAAAGATAGGAAAATACTGAACCAGGGAGCAAGGCCAGGACGGTCGGAGAGGACCTGGTGAACCAGGGTGGTGAAGGTGAAAGTTTGCCAGTTGGGCTGGGGCTGGTGGCCAAACTGCCGCTTGAGAGCGCGATCTCCGTCAATAGTCGTGTCGGGCCTCGACCCAGCGCATCCACACACCCGGCCGGTGATGATGAAGCCCGCTGAATTGGCTAGGGATCTTCGGCTGATCCTGGGCTAGTTACGAGAAATCAACGCCCCCCAAGGCCTGATACTGGCACCTGGGAAGTCGCAGCTCTCCTAACTCCTTTAACTCCTTACTCCTTTTACTCGCGTTCTAATCTTAGGAGCGAGGGCTGAAGACTCCTCTCCCCACTGACACACCTTGTCTGCAATTAACTACGCCAGTCCCACCGCGAGTCCAGCATCAAAAATGTGGTAACCTGGCGAGTCTGGACCAATAGCGCTGGCTCCACGGTGGCTGGACTGCCGCTGTGGGCGACGTCATCGGCGGCTGCTGCACCCATGGGGGGGGCGCTGATTGGCTGGAGTTGCGAGATCTTGCTAGTGGGAGTTTGGCTCAGTTAGTGCGTGTAAGCCTGTCAGATTTCTGGTTAGCGCAGCCACACTGTTCCTCAGGTCCGTCTCCTCGTTGTGCTCGTCTCCTTGGCCTCTGACGTTGTTTCTATTTCTTTTCTCTGTCTGCTGTCCGCTGTCTTTTTTGGTTTATTGCATCTGCTTGTTTATATTTACTCTCTGCACCATGAGAGTCACCTATCTGCTGCCGTTCCTGGCCGCTGGTCGGGTACTCTCGCAGGACGACAGCGATACCAGCACTGCTACCAACACCCGCGAGCAAGACATCTCCCAATCGCTCGCTGACATCGCGAGTGCCATCTCGACCACAATCGACGATGCCACCGTCCCGACCGGTGACTACATCACATATTCATCCACAGTATACCTTACAGACGATGGCACTGTTGCCGGCTCAACGGCCGTCCAGGTGACGGGGACCCCCGGCAGCAACGAGACAACCGCTGCCAACGCCACTGTCACGAGCACATCCGACTCCGTGACTGTGCTGATGGGTGGGCAACAGACAACCCTCACGGGAAATTCCACGGCCAACTCCTCCACGTCCGCTACTCCAAGCCCGTCCTCGACGCCGGTCGTCAACACCCAGCCCTGCAATGGCTACCCCGAATTTTGTGACCGGAAATACTCCAATATCACGATGGTTGCTGCGCACAACAGCCCGTTCGATATCAAGGGCAATGTGGCTGCGAACCAAGCGCTGGGGGTAGAATACCAGTTGGACGACGGAGTTCGAATGCGTACGTATATCCGGTGAGGACAATAGGAATGGGAGCTAACGGTCTAATTATAGTGCAATTCCAAACCCACTACATGAACGACACGATGTACCTCTGCCACACAAGCTGCGATATGCTCAACGCAGGGACACTTGAAGACTACCTCACCACCGTTGTCCAATGGATGAGGAAGCACCCATACGACGTTGTCAGTTTTATCATCGGGAACTACGACCAAGTCGACCCCGGAAATTTCACAGGGCCTATCGAAAGGTCCGGGCTGATGGATTTGGTGTTTACTCCGCCCATGGTGCCGATGGGTCTAAACGACTGGCCGCCGCTGGGTAACATAATCCTTAGTGGCAAGCGAGCTCTTGTTTTCATGGATTATCAGGCCGACCAAAATCGCTTCCCGTGGATGATGGATCAGTTTTCACAGATCTGGGAGACCCCCTTTTCTCCTACAGATCGACAGTTCCCCTGCAACGTCCAGCGTCCGCCCGGCTTGGCTCCACCGGACGCTCGCAAGCGGATGTACATGGCCAACCATAACCTCAATCTTGAGTTTAACATTGCGACCCTTAACATACTTATCCCCAACACGGCCCTGCTTAACGAGACCAACGCCGTCGAAGGCTTTGGTAGTCTTGGAATGATGGCCGAAAACTGCACTAGTAAGTTCTGTCACTGTCCGTCACTAGCCAGCTACTAATTGATTTAGCCATGTGGGACCGTCCTCCCAACTACCTGTTGGTTGATTACTACAACGCAGGCAGTTTCAACGGGTCCGTCTTCCAAGTTGCGGCCAACATGAACAATGTCTCATACGACCGAAGCTCGTGTTGCGGCACCCTCTCTGCGGGCTCCACCGTAGTACCTGGAGCCATGATGAGTGTTGTTGTTATGTTTGTCGGAGCTCAGCTTCTCAGCTCGGTATTTTAAGCCTTATCAAGTTGATCTTGTACTGTATATATGATCTATGATAGAAGTATATCTATAATTCATGATGAGATGACTTTCGTACATACATTGCACGTATCTTCAGTAACTACGCCCTACTAACCTTGAACCCTCCCGGAACCTGCGTCTGGAAAACACCCAAGGGGTCATACTTTTCCGCAACAGCCTTCAAAAACGCCAAATTCTCCTCCCCGTATCCCCGCAACGGATCCTGGCTCTCCGCCGCATAATTCAGATAAACAAACGGCGAATCTCCACCAACAGACCTCGCAAACCCATCCAACTCATCCACGAAGGTCTTCCCAATCCAGTCAAACAACGGCGTATCCTCAGCATCATCCCATATAAACCAGAGCAGGTCCACTGAAAACAAAACCCTGTTAGTAATACATAATACACCGAAATAACATAGAATGAAGAGCTTTCACATACAGATATAATTCCCCTTCTCATCCAACCCGAGCACATTTCCCCCCTTCTTCCTCCCAATCTCCGCAAAAAGACCCGGCAGTGGCTGGTACATGCTAATGATAGACCAGTTCTCGCTGCGGGCAGAGCTCTTCGCCTCCTCGATCATGCGGTCCTGGATGGCGACTGCTTTGTGCAAGATGGCCGGGTTATTGGCGAAGCTTAGAGTGAAGAATTTCCTAAACACATTACTCAGTTACTGCCTAACATAAATCGACTGGGGATGATATTTTGGGGAGGGGGGGGAACATACTGCAACCCAGCCTCAGGCTCCAACTCGCCCGTCAAATCCTCCAAATCGGTGAAACGCATGGAATCGGATATATTGCGCATGTTATAGAAGTCGCGAAATGCATCCGGATACGCCTCGGGCTTTGTATACACCAGCGAGTTCGCAATCACGGGCACCCCCAGCTGCGAGTTGTAGTTGTAGATCGGGATCAGGGAGGCAGAGGGGTCATTGCGGATGTTGTTGGTGAAGCGCACCTGGGCGTCGATCTGGGCGGATACGGTGGAGGCATGGTCGTAGGCGACGACGCCGCCCCAGATTGAGGCTGGGGGTTGGGAGAAGGCTTGGAGGGTGAAGCTGGTGACGATGCCGAAGTTGCCGGAGCCGCCTTTTAGGGCTTGGAAGAGGTCTGGGTTTTTGGTTGGCGATGCGGTGGTTATTTGGCCGGAGGGGAGGACGATCTATGCTTTATGAGTGGGTGCTCATTATAGATATTAAGTAGGAGGGATATACTTCGAAATCAACCACAGAATCGCAGGTGAGTCCATACTGCGCGCTGTGGAACGAGTTCCCACCCCCAGTGATGAACCCACCGACGCCGACGGTTCCTCCTCGTCCGCCTGGGACTGCGACTCCGTGTTCGCCTAGGGCTTTGTATACGGACTTCCATCTCGCACCTGGCTGGACCGACGCAGTTGAAGATTCAGGGTGGTAGACGGTGCGATTAAGCATAGAGAGGTCGATCGTGACTGCGTAGTCGGCGTTGGTCGAATCAAGCACAGTGCTGTGTCCTCCCGAGCGAACGGCAAACTGGCATTGTGGCGAGTCATCGTTTGAGTCGACAAGGGTGGAAAGAGTCAGGGAGACGTCTTGTGCTGAGCGTGGTTGAACGATGCAGGCTGGGTAGAGCTCCTGGATGTCGGTTCGCCAGTAGGAGCCAAGCGAGTGGTGGTATGCATTATCGTTGGGATAGAGGACTTGGGTGCTGAGAGATGTATTCCTTAACGCGGTGCACTATTTTTTCCCTCGTTAACAAACCCATCGCAACGATATTGGATTCGATTATCTTGCATACACAAGCAGAGACAGACCCATCAGCCGGACACGTTCTCGAGACGCCATCCAGCACCGAAACAATCCTATACGGACAGACCTTCATTTGGACGCAGGGAAAGGAAAGAAAGAAAGAAAGAACGAAAGAAAAGAATCTTCAGCGGGGCCACGAACTCCTCATCGCCATCCCGATCGATTTGATTTATTTCAACAGCCCAAGCCCTTTCCCCGCTCTCTACAGATGATACGCAGTCGCGCTGGCAAACCATCGTGATAAGCATGCTCCATACTCAAACAAGACAAGACGGTGCATAAGCCGCATGGTTAGTGTCACACTGAGACGGAAATCAGACCTGTAGGAGGCCGCTACTTGAGTGTGGGGGCCTGAAACTCTGGTTATACTTTGGCCGCTGCAGCTTGCTGCAGCTGGCACAGGCGTTGACAAAGCGAGCTTGAATCAGTGGTGTGGACGGTGAATCAGCAGTAAATTCAGCCGAAAATATCCCGAGCTTTCATTCCGTCATTCTGTCAAATGTCAAGTCGCTGTTGGAATTAAGCGTTGAGAGATGGAGAAGCCCTAACTGGATACCCGCAAGTTTAATTCAACTTCGGTTATCAAAATTATATATAAATTTTATATAAGTTGATAAATCAGCAATTAATCATTAGACTAAGCAAGTACTAAACCTTTGCTAGGCTAATGATCTGACTAAACCCACCGAAAGACACCATATTTACAGGCTGAGGATCTATACTAGACTTCTAGTACCATGGTCCACAAACGTGCAATCCCATTCAGCCAAAATGACGTACATGGACAACTCTAATTCTTGCATTTCATTCAGGCCGTGTCATGCAAAATCTGGGGAAGTCCAAGTTTGACGTGGGTGGCACTCTTGGTACCATGGGATGCCTGCTTATCATACGAAACCATGGACATCCACTCTAACAATTCCATTCTTAGACTACCCAGAATCGGGCTCCTGAAAAATTATAATAATTCATATTTCAAAAACCATCGCGGGTATATGGTATATAGCTCTAAGCACATCATCTCGCATAACGGCTATGCAAAAGCAATCTATAAAGCACAAAGTCGCAGACCAAGGGAAATAAGCAAGCCCGTTCTTATACCGGATTCCGTGAATATGGCGGCGGTGGCGTTTCAGCCCGCTCCGGCGCAGGTGGTGGAGCAGTCCTGGTTGTAGTTCTGGAAGTCGTCAAGGAAGTCGCAGAATCATGGCGCGATGTAGATGCTGTATCGCTAGAAGGACGAGGCGAGGATGTTCTCACCGGAAGAAGCGCAGTTGTAGATCTCGTAGGACTGGAAGTTGTTGTATCAGCAGGCGTCCCAGGCCTAGGCGTCGAGGTCGTAGTCGTAGTCATATCTGGAGAATAACTCGGTGCAGGAATCGTAATCATCGGCACCATCGGCGGAGCAGTTCTCGTTGTCGTTTGCCCGGCATCTGCAGGGACAGCTTGTGCGGCATGTACAGCTATTCGTACAGGCTCAGGCGGGGCACACCTTGTGGTTGTATCCCCGGGTGTATATGGAGGGAGAATAGGGGTAGGTGGACGCCGTGGGTGGGTGATATTCGTTCTGTGGACGCGACTGTTGGGATCATGTAAAAGACGGCCGCCTCTCGCCGCTGTAGCAGATTTGTGACTCCCCCCTCTATTAGATTTGACGATTAGGACGACTGTTACACAGATTATGATAGCCGCAGCTGGAATCATTAACCCGATGAGTAGTGATTTGGTGGAACTGCGAGTACCGTCGGTCTCGTCGTCGTCGTAGTAATACCGTCGTGGTTTGAGAGAGCCGGCGTAGGAGGATGGGACAGGAGTGGTTTTTGGGGCTATTAGGTTTAATATATCGATTGGTGATGCGCTGACACTTGTTGTAGCTGGAGCTGGTTAGCAGGTGTTGTATATTAGGGCTTGGTGGCTATGCACTATGGCAACTCATACCCAGCAGCGCGCCGACCGACAACCAGGACACGCGGAGATTCATAATGATTAAAATCGGAAATCCAGGGAAAATATCGGCCAAGCAGACATTTTCTCTGCAGTTAAAGAACTTGGGCAGTTCTTGTTGTTTAATAGTCCGGGCTGTTCCTGGGCGCTCCATGTGGGGTTAGCGTACGCGAAGGTGGCTGAGGCTCTTCTTGCAGAGCTCATGCCCTGCTGCTCGACTTATTGGCTCAGGTTTTGGCCCCTTCTTGTTCTGGTTTGGCATAATCGGGCACAACCAACAGGCAGTGCAGACGGCTCGAGTTGAGTGGCTCTGGTCGTTTTGGTTAAGGCACAAGCCATCCGCAGCCGACCGGGTGTTATTGCGCCACGATACGCAGTTACACTGGTTAAAGTCTCCAGCCCGACTCAGGGAGACTCTACTCTACAGGGAGACTCTACTCTAAGTCTAAGCCCAGGAAGATCATTACGGGATCCTCGACCACCCTTTTATTGTGGGCAACATGAGGCTCAGTCTATCATGGGTATTACTATGCACCGGGGACTCGGTGCAGGAATAAGCTACGCAGGTGACAGATTCAAGGCAGGGTAGCCATAGGCTTTTGTATATTTATTATATTAGTCTATTTTACTTTATTCCCCTATTTCTCATTAATAGCTACTGTCATAATGCTGTCGACAGACGCCGAAGTATACACTTCCCAAACAGGCTTAGCGCCCCACACTCAAAATCGCAACCGTCACTCACTCCTCACAGTCACTCACTGCTCTCGACACCACACCTCCCGAGCTCTACCTCGCCCAATCCCCCTATCGACAAACCGGCACCTTCAGATAGTACCAAGGAGCAGTCTCCGCCCGCCGCCAAAATGGTCGACATCGTCCCCCTCTCCTCCTACCCCTCCTACATCGACCTCCTCCCCGCAATCCAAACCTGCAACATCACAAACCTCCCCGAGAACTACTTCCTGAAATACTACCTCTACCACGCCCTGACCTGGCCGCAACTCAGCTTCGTTGCCGTCGTGCGCCCGCGCAACGGCTACAAGAAACCAAACGACCTCTCCGGCCAGTACCCCAAGGTTGTCGGGTATGTGCTCGCAAAGATGGAGGAGGAGCCGACGGACGGGGTACAGCATGGACATATTACAAGTTTGAGTGTGATGAGGACGCATAGACGGTTGGGGATTGCAGAGAGGTTGATGAGGATGTCTCGTATGTTTCTTCTTTTCACATTCTACGTAGGTTCCGGAACGCTTGCTAATTACGTTTACGTCTTTGTTTAGAGAGGGCAATGGCTGAATGCCACCGCGCTCAATTCGTCTCTCTGCACGTACGTGTATCCAACGTGGCCGCCCTCCGCCTCTACCGTGACACACTCGGCTTTGAAGTGGAGACTGTCGAGAGCAAGTACTACGCCGATGGCGAAGACGCGTACGCCATGCGCATGGATCTATCGAATATGTGGCTCAACTGGGCCGAGATTGAGCGGATGGACCGGGCTCGCCATGCGAGCGATGAGAAGGATGAGGACGAGGGTGATGAGGTTGGCGAGGCCGGGAAGAAGGACGAGAAGGAGCAGGAGAAGATGGTCAAGGTTAAGGTTGGGAGAGGTTTGGGAGTTGGTGAATTAGTTGAAAAGAACGAGGCCCAGGCGGCTTCGTAGGTTGATAGCCTATTATATCGGTTGGCTAGAGTCAAATAAAGGAGCAGTGTTGAGCTGTACGCCTAGGGTTGGAAACTTGAATGGATGGAGTGATCATAGCTTCATTAAAGACGTGCAATCGAGGACTGTAACTAAGCCACTACCTTCAAGAAAGGGAGATATCAAAATGTTGAGAAGAATATGTAACAAGACAAGAAGGACCCCAAGCCCCTGGCTCACCCAAAACACCATCCGTTATCATATCACATCAAAAAGAATTCCAACCGCTCAAAACGACCAAGTGAGTGAGTGTATGCATGTAGATTTATTTGTTTTCCTTGCCAGCTTTCTTCTTTTCCTCCTCTTTATCCTTTCTGGCGTCCTCACCCTCATCTGAGCTGGCACTCGGCGTGCCAATCGAGCTAACCGCGCTGCTTTCGGAATCTGCCTCTGTTCGCTGCTGCGATGGACCTGTTGCACCAGCCCGGGCAGCCGTACGGTTTTCTCTATTATTTTCCAATTCGAGATTCTCCAGCCGCTGCTCCAGACTCTCCTCAGGCGGAGGCGCCCCAGAACCAGGACCAGAAACAGACAAAGACACAGCCGCAGAAACAGAAGCTGGCTCCTCGCCTCTAGCCTGACCCCTCCGCGCCCGTCTCTGTTGCCGACGTCTAGTCCGCTTCATCCGCCTCTGCTCGCGCTGCTCCTCCCTCGCGCGCCTCAGCACCTCCCGGAACGCCTTTCTCGTAGCCCGGAGCTCCTCCTTCGCCGCGCGCCGCTCTGCCGCGTTCCGCTGGCGATCCTGGGGTGACTCCCACCGGCCCCAGCTGCTTCGGCCTTGGCCCGAGGAGGGGTCGTTATGTCGGGACTGGTTGCCCCAGCCGTGACGCCAGCGACCGCGGCCGGAGATGCGTGCTTGGCGGCGGGAATCGCGCAGAGCGTCGAGTTGGCGGCGGAGTTCTACGGCTGCTTCGTAGAGGTCGCGGTCGTGGTGGTCGTCTAGGGAGAGGAGTTGGGCGCGGACGGTGGCGAGGTCCGAGGAGCTGAGTTCGGAGGTTGTGGAGATGGAGTCGATTGAGGAGAGGGAAGAGTCTGAGGAGACGGAGCAGACGGAGTTGCTGCGGGGGCGTTGGGTTGATGATTGGGTTGATGGTTGGAGTGTCCGTTCGGTGGTTGTTGGTTGTGAGGTTTGTTGTATGGTTTGTTGAGTAGGGTCTGGGGTGGTTGTCGTGTTGGTTGCAGTAGTAGCAGTAGCAGTAGGTGGTGGATAGTAGTAAGGGTAATATCCCTGCTGGGGCGCACCCCATCCAGAAAATGCGGCTTCAGCTTTGCGCCCGCCGAGGCCTGCTTGCTCTTCGATCCAGCGGCCGTGCGCCAGGGCTTGTTCTTCAACTTGTCTACCATAATGGGCAGCCTGCTCCGTAATGCGATCGCCGTACTTTTGAGCTGATGAAGCAAGACTCGACAACCATCCTAGCGGTCCACCTTTCATGCTTGAAGTTTCATACTGTTGAGGGTATTGATTGCCTGTCCAACCCCACGGCTGGTACTGTGGGTATGGATTCTGATAAGCATGGGGATTCGCAGGATGAAAGAACCCGGAACCCTGCTGCGGCGGAAACGGAGCTGGAACGGCGGGATTCGGGTATCCATAAGGCATTGGTGGCTGTCCTGGATACATACCAGCTTGCGGATATCCCGTTGCTGCTGGGTGCGCGTTAGGCGGCAAAGGGTGTCCTCTACCGGCTTCTGGAGCTTGGGTAGTTCGATTATCCTGCGTGGCCCTCGTAGCAGCTGGATAACAACGAGGACAGAGCGGGGATATTGGCGCAGCCCTGGGATCCGTCACATAAAAGAATACGATCCGGACAGCACGAAGCTCGAAGAAGTCCTGGTTCCATTCCTTCATAACAGTGGCGATGCGTATCTCACGCTCCTCATCCGTCTCTTGTGGCCGATCTTTTCGATCTCGTCGAATCTCAGCCCTGATTTGACGCGGGAGTTCCGCTGACGAGGATGCAAGACCTAGATGCGGAGGGAAGAGGTGGCGCAAGAACATATCCCAGTCCTGCTGAGCGATGAGCTCCATCCGCGGGTTCCAGCATCGAGGACGACGGGGAAAGTCTTTCACTTGGCTCCGCGGGTAGATGGTCATATGGTGCTCCAGCGTCTGCCCTCCATCCTCAATTACAGGTGGTGGCCGTTCCGCAAAGTAGGCGGCGGCCGAGGTGAAATGAGTTGGGATAGGCGCAGCACTTGGTCCATGAAGTCGCGCATCCCCACCGCGAAGGCGGAGAAGACTAGGGGTTGCATTAGATGAGGAGGTTGCATTTCTGTTGCTGTTCGATGGCGCGAGTAAAGGGTCTACAGCGGAGTATGGCGGCGGAGGCGCCTCATCTGGGTCCATGGCGGGGGTCGACCAAACACCGGATATGTGGAATACCAGAATAGACAGATTATAGCGTTAACAGACCGTCATACATAGCGCAGAAAATGCGATGCGAGCAGTTCTAGCCCTCTGGGCGGCGCGTACTTGGGAGGCACCCTGGTCTTGTAGAGGTTGATGGTGGGTGCAAGGCAGCAAGATTAAAAAGGCACGCGGCGACCAGCTTGTTCCACCAACAACACTCGAGCGAAGGCAGCACCGTAAGACGGACCGGTCGGCTTATTCGCAATAAGATTTAGTCCGATAGCGTAAATTACCAGATAATTGCCAGCACGCGGGATGGAATCAAAGATGAAGTCTCATGGCGGGCGGAAACAGCGGTAATGGTGATCACGGGGCTGCTTTAGTCCGATTGGTCGAAACAAGCGCCACCAACTACTTTCTATAAAGTATACAGAGTATAGTTAAGTTAGTTGGAGAATCTGGGGAGATACTCAGATACAATTCAAATAGATAAATCAATTATTAGACAACTAGTGATTATCGAGATAAAAAGCAATATCCCGTTTATATCTATATCCTACTATTTGCATGGTATCTTATCAACAATCCTCAACGCCCCAGGGACGACCCGTCTACACAAGGCACCAAACTCCAGTTTTGGAACGCTCGCAGACCAAAAGAGAAAGAGAGTTAAATCAATCCCATGCATCTCCCCAGCCATCATCTTCTTCCTCGTTCTTAGGTTTTGTGTCAATCTTTTTAGCAGGTGCAGCAGCAACCTTAGGCTTTGCCGTCGAGCTAGGACTAGCGGTCCGTGAGGCCGGTGTCGTTCGGGAGCTGCTTAGGCCTTTAGGCAGCGGTTTCTTGGCTTTCGACTGCGCGGCAAGCCACCCCGCAAAGTCCGGCTCACCGCCATCGTCGTACGGGACGGGACTTGCTTTGGGTTTCGACGTCGCGCTGGTAGGAGAGATAGTCGACGGAGCATTGAATGGGTCTTCGCCATTCCCCCATCCATCTTCGTCATCATCAATCGCTCCCCATGCATCGTAGACATCGTCTGCAGGCTCAGGCTCCTCTCTATGTACTGGGACGGGGTGTGCTGACAAGGAGCGACCCAGGGGCTGGACTGAAGGCCGTAGTGTGGCTTTGAATTCATTAGACGGCGTTGGGGATGCTGGCTTCGTCGGGCGAGGAACGGATACTGAGCGTCTGGGATCCTCGGCGGGTTTGGTGGATCCCGCGGTAGGTTCGATTTCGCCGTCAGCTGTTGCTATTTTATTGGTGAACGAAGAAATGGCCCAGCCTGCCCACGATTTGTCGTTGGACGTTCCGATACGGGCCGCATCCTTGGGAGCATCCGAACTTGTTGTTGCTGGGAGAACTGTGTCGGCCATGGTATTGCCAAACTTCCTGACACGTTGTAGGTACATGTCCAACGTTTTGTTGGCCTGGTCCCTTATGAGCCTGTGAAGATTGTTAGCCAATGACTACACAGGAGTGATTGTTGGTGACGCACTTTTCCCGATCAAGAAGAGCAGGACATATGGCAGGCAGAACTTTAGTCGCGCAATCCTCCTCCGAGAAAACCTCCACTGTTGCAGATAGCGCCAACAAGCCAGCGTTGCGAGCATGAACAAAGGGGTCTCGAAGAGCACGTGTGAAAGCTGCAACGAGAACCTTCGCTCTCGACTATAGGAGCTATTAGCTTTGGTCCAACAAGGATTTCACTCCCACTTACACCTTGGCCCAGGTTCTTCGCAATCTTCCCCAAGCAGATAGTAGTATTTGTCCGGATGCCCGGCTGCTCATCGTTGGCAGTCCGCGCCAAAAATTTAAGGAGTTCGCCATTAATTGTTCGGTCACTTAGTTTGTTAATAACAGGCAGGACAGCTTTCACCGTCTGTTCTCGAACAACGGGTGCTGCATCTGTGAATCCAGAGGTCTGCAATACAATGTCAGTATGCCCATGACTTCAAATGACGTAGCAAACTAACCATCTGAGGGAATATTTTATCGTTAACTGTCTTCTGAGAAAGGTTCTCAATCATTACCGGCAGATGATCAAGAAGACAGACTCGGATAGCTCGATCTGGGTTACCAAACAGGCGAACAATAACCGGTGTAAGTTTAGCATTGAACTCGTCCTGCGATAGCTTCCCTCCGATCTTCAGAATAGCAGACAAGACCTTTGGGCCACCGCCTCCAAACTCGACAGATTTTAACAGCTCCGGTAGAACTTTCATCTTGAAGTAGTCCTCCGGGAAATCTTCAGATAGATTTTCGAGTTCACTGGTTCCGTCAGAATACAGCCTCTAGAAGAGTTGTTAAACAAATATAGGAACTCACTTGAGAAATTCCTCCCTCTCAGACTCATTTTTCAGACCTAAGCTGTCAATATCGTCCGTCAACCGAATAAGCGGTGTCTCGAAGAAGCCACCGCTCTTCTTTCCTTGTTCAACAAAGTGCGCCGGGCTCAATCGTAGTTTGGGGTTGGCTGTGCCGAGGCGCTTATAGCTCTGGTGCATACTAGGCGGGATATTCGTCGTCTTACCGACTTGATCTCCGCCTGAAAAGCTGCCATTGAAGACCTCGAACACCAATATCGCTAGGCCATAGGAATCGACGGCCGTTAGAGGGTTGCGCTTGATCGCATCCCAACCACCCTTTACAACCTCTGGTGGTGTGTATCGAGCGGCGTCCGGTACGAGACTGCCATATGTCTGCGGCCGAGTCAGCGGTGTGACAATAAGATTGTTCCCAAATAGTCACTGACATATATCACCGCCTGATCATCATTCATTGAGCTTAATATCTCGAATCCCCCGAGCTTCCACTCGCCACTCTCACTTGTGTATACCGAAGACGCCCTCACGGCGCCGTGGACAGACGCAGCGTCTCCGTTGATGAATTTCAGGGTGGACTAGATCACGCAGAAGAGAATTAGCAAACGCTTGACTCAGGCGCGAAGTTGAGAGCATACCGCCACTGTACATAGCCCCCATTTGGAAGTTTCTTCACTCAAACTCCTGCGCTTCACATGCCAGGAAAGGGGCACGACTCGTTCCGTCACGATGTAAATAGTAGTCTCAGTCTAGACCATATGAGTATCTCCCCTTGAGAAACAGCCATTCAAGGCGTAACATATGCGAAAATACCTCAATAGTATCCAAAACCTTAATTGCCCCGGGGTGTCTCAACGTTCGCGATTTCCGCACGGCGTTCTTTGCGAGCGGCAGACGGGACTTATTTGTGGCAATTTCGAAAGTAAAAATACTACATGTTGAGCCGTCTTCCTGTATTAAACAACGCGATATAGCGGTATATTAGCGCCGTGTCCGTGAACAGTGTGGCCGCAGGAGGGCGATTGGTGGTGGCGTGCATACCCGTTTCGTTGCGTTGTGAAGTGTCCAGATCGAGTCGGAGACATCGACTCTATCTCCTAGCGAGTAAGGAAACGAGCTGCCTTTGGCCATCGCAGAGGCGACGGCGGATTTGAGGAAATCCATGGCGGTTGTTCAGGTTATACGCTGATGTTCCTAGAAGTAGTTTGTTGTTGCCGGCTGAGTTGGTCTTTTCGGAGACACGCCGCGGGCTCGGAGGTCCGCTCGGGGACGGGGATGAGAGAACGAGGAGGGCGGGCGGAGGCGAAGGATGCAAGGGAATCCAAAGGAACTGGAAGGCGGTTTCGGTGTTCCTGGGCGATCGTCGCAGGAGAGTCTCGATGTCTTTGGTCTCGTGGAAGAATAACCAGCGATGGGCGCTGTACCCCGCCCCCGATCTGGCTTAGGGCGTCTGGAGCCGGAGCTGGAGCTCCCCTGCTTCGATCGTCTCTTCCCTCTTCTCTTCACTCGCTTCACAACACCGCGTCATGTTCTACGCACCCTACTGCTCTGATTCAATTCTCGAATACAATTCACTAACCCAGGTCACCTGGACTAACCGTTCTTCTCAACATATAAAGCCGCATGCAGTACGTTCTCATCCGTCTTTCTTTTCTTCTTCCCCATCAAGAAAAAGCTGGCCATGTGCCACTATCAACACCCAAAGATCCAAACACCCAATTCTACCCACCATCCAAAAGATCAAGATCTCCAATGATGCTACTATGGTAAAAGGTCAGACCGCGATCCTCAACCAGACACTCCATCGCCGAAGGAACTCCCACCAACACGCCAAACATCGCGACAACCAACACATGCACCCGAAATCCCCTCACCGGTCCGTCCGCATTTTACGTGCAGCTCAAAGCCGACCTACTAAGTCTACCTACCCGCGTATCCCAAGATGCAGGCACACTCTTCTTAAAAGGCACAAGGTCGAAGTCGCAAGACCCACGGCATTGTCTACCTTGGAAAGAATGTGTACAACAAGAAACACAACCTAGCCGCGTTCTGGGGTTTCTGATCCGCTTTTTCTCCATGAGGAATTACAGAAACTAATGGCTGCGGCGAACATTGTGTTGGCTTTGCGAGGATTACATTATACTGCAGGGATCATCGGGTGGGTTGGACTAGGTTGGGATTAAGTTGGGTTGGACATGAGTGTGTTGTCGAATTCGGTGCATTGGTTGTTGTGAATCTTTTTGGCTAGGTGAGAGTACCGCGGCTGGGGTGTTTGGTTTTGGTGAATGAAGACCAAAAAAGAAACTGAAAAGACCTGAGGAGATCTCCCTAATTACCCTCGTTCCCGGCAGCAAATGCTTCGCAGGTTAGGAAACATGGTGCTAATGGGCTGCAACAGAACCGCTTTGGGTTCGACAGAGAAGTACAGAGTGTCTACATGCCTGATATTATATGGCACGTTTCATTCGTTGTCCAACCAATATCATTTCTTAAGCTTGATCACTATCTCACTCCTATTCTCACTCGCCCGTACACACAATCCACGCCTGATTTGGAACCTAAATGATAAACCCCCCAGCCTTTAAATTTCTCCCAGCCACAGCTGTCATCTCAGGTAGTCTGAATAGTAAACGGGGGGTTACATGAATGATAGGCAACTGCAATCCATGCACAATAGCATCGACGTAAATCGATTCAGATAGTTGATGTTCTGATAAATCACTTGCATGGTCCCGGTATAGTATACGGAAGAGAGGTCGGGAATCGACGTGGGCACGGTAGAACATCAGTCCCGAGCAGCAAAGGCAATGGTAAACTCCATTCAACAAATTGCCCCTTGGGCCTACCCCTGCACGCTTTTGATCTGACTAGCCAGCCCCCTCTTGGAGGAGGATTCCGTCAATCTCAGCTGTATCTCGTTAGTAAGATGCTCTCAAAAGGACATAACACTCGAGAAAGACTAACCAAAAGATAGAGATTGCACCCGGCTCAAAGAAGTATATAATCCATGTGCCCAGAACGTGCACGAGTTATGAATAGCTTCTAAGAACGTAGTAATGCGGAACTTTGCGAAATGCTGTAGCCCCCCAGGCTAGCGAGGTGACTTCTCGAACTCGAAATGGTATTGTCAAAACTGCGTTCATCTAATCTCCGAGGGACTAAAGTAAGAGGGCTCTCGCGGTAGACTGATTCACTTGATTCACTTGATTCATTTAGATTCTTCCGCGGTCTCCTGGGTCTGGCTTCCGGATGCCGGAGGCGGCTGAGCAGCCATTGGAGGAGGAATCTGGGGCATCGGGTTAAAACTGCTGCTTGGTGTACGGTGCTGCTGATGGGGCGGTCCGTAGTGATGTGTTTGATGAGGGCTAGATTGGAAATGTGGTTGTTGCTGGGGGTAGTTGCCTCGTGCGGGCGGCACTGGAACTCTGTTAGTAAACATGGATCTTAGCTGTCGGCGTCAATGTAACATACTGTGACCTGGCTGCTGTCCAGGATACACCGGCTGCTGGTGTTGCCCAGGAGACATGTACATAACATGCTGCGGAGGCTGTCCAGGTTGAGAATTCTGATGCATCATAACCGGTGCGCCACGGCTAGGACTAGGGTAGCCGCCATGCGGCTGGGGTGGTGGGACATTGGGATAGACATGACCTGGGGTCGGCGAATACATTGGCATTTGGGGCTGGAATGGAGCCTGAGGAACTCCCATATATGGCCCGCCCGAGGGCTGCTGCACCATCATAGGTGCTGTCATACCAGCTTGTGGGTTGACGAACTGAGGAGCTCCTTGATAAGGCCTCATATGAGCCGCTTGCGGCCCACCCTGGTTCATGTAGAATTGAGGAACGGGCTGCTGGCCGTACGCAAGCTGTGCATGTGGCGCCATAGGTGATGGATATCCATGTTGAAGCCTTGGAGAAGGGAACATTTGGGATGTGGACGCAGACATTTGCATACGGTGCGGATCATCGAAGTGCGGCGGGCCAGATCCGTGGTGTTGTTGAGGGTGAAGGTGGGGTCCATGAGGAGGGCCAGAGGCGGGAGGCATAGCTGAGGTCTGCTGGAACTGGTAGGGCAAGTGTGGCTGGTGTGGCATCTGTGGATTCGAGGCGGATCGACTTTGAGGAGAAGTTGGTGATGATTTGAACATCTGCATATAACTCTTCTCTTCCTCTGGACTGTTGGCAACTTTCCAGGTGGGGAGAGTGTTATAAGCAAATGGAATGCCCCCGTTAGAAGTATAGTCCCGGTCAGTCTGTTCTGCGCTCTCTTTCTTCATACGCTTAATGGGATTGAATTGATCCTTCAGAGACGGTCGTTCGGAGATAGAACGCGGCTTTTTCGCACCAAAGAAAGCCGATGGGCTCTTGGCGCGCGAGTCAGGCTTCGAAAAGGTGGGTGGGTTTGATGCACCGGGCGTGAATGTGCTGGCCGCAGGGTTCGGCTTGAATTCCATGGCCTTCACATTGAACTTTGATGCCGACGACGACGGAGTGAGAGCCTTCGTGGGACTAGAAACGTTCGACTGGTCGTTAGTAGTTCCAGTCCGTGGCTCTTGAATGGGCAACGGGTTTGGAACTGGCCCGGAAGGCGCACCCTTCCGCTGCTGGAGATTATCGGCGAGCCGGTGCCCGAGCATTCCCGTCGCTTGACGATTTGCGTAAAATGGTTGCTGCTGGAATCGACCTCCGGGGCCGCCTTGGGGACCAGTTGGGGGGTACCCCTGGCGGCCACGAGGGTAGGTGGGTCGGTCTGCTTGTGCTTGTGCTTGTGTTGAGACGCTTTCCTGACGGGCAGGCAACTGGGTTTTCTCCGCGGGCTTTTTCTGTTCGACGGCAGGCGTGCTAGCAGTAGACTTAGGTGTGTTTTCCTCGGAGCCCTGGTGGGCTCGCTGGATGATCGCTTCCTGTTTATGAGGGTCTTTGGCGAGAATGGGTACCAAGTCCTTCGGGACTGGAGTAGCAAGCTTGAAGTTTTGGGAGAACTTCATCAGCTCGTTGAGCTTGATCGTTCGGTCGTGGGCAGCCTGGTTACGGCGCCGTTGGTCCAACTTGGATCTCTCGTTGTTTGCAAAAATACGGAATCGGTCCACGACTTCAATCTCGTAGTTATTATCGGGAGGACCACCTTTCGCGCCACCAGGAGTGGTAGAGGATGCCTTGGGAGCGGGAGCCTTGTCGGCAGCAGAGCCAACATTCGTCGCGGGTGCCGCAGGAGGCTGCTGTAAAGTAGCGTCCTTGTCTGGTGGCGTCGTGACCGGGGTTTCTCTTGTGCTGGTCGCACGCTTGACAGAGCTTGTGTATGGCGGAGCGGCAGCAGTCAGTTGGTTGGAATTCCTGAGCGCAGGTGGTGTGTATTTGTTGGGCTGGCCAGAAGCCAATGGTGGGAAATTCTTTTCGTCCCGACGCACACCGCTGTACTTGTCTTCCTCGTCGCCGCCATCCGGTGCCTGAAGCCCTCGTTCCTCTCTAATGTGGGCATTGTCCACATCGCTAGTCTCAATTTCACGAGCAATGCGGGCAGCCTCAGCTTCCTTTCGCTTATAGGTCGGGTCCGAGCGGTCAATGCGGGTAGTATACATGTCCTCATTATAACTGCTTGTAGCACCAAAAAGCCTGGCATTTGTTTCAAACTGATCCCAGGTCTTTGTAGCGGTCGATGTGCTCTCAAGAGATAGGTCAGCGTCTGCGTCCGCCGCGGGTTCCCAACGCTTCAACGTTCGTTCCCGCATGGCAAGATTTCCGGAGATATCGGCATCTGTCCTGAAACCGGTAGAGGCTCCTGGAATAAAAGTCAGACACTATAAACGGTCCAAAGAACTAGCTTCATGGCAATTTCTGGGTTGTCTGGAGGCGCTCAAAACCAGAGAGGAAGTGGGACATACCATTAGGTTTTGCCAGCACGTCGGTCGTCGTGACATTGGCTACAGAAACATCAAGCACATCGTTCATGTTAAACGTCATGACATGCTCTGGTGCCGACCCGAAGAATGGACTAGCGACGTCGCTTACTCCGTTAGCTCGAGACTGGTCTTGTTTGGATTGTCGTTGTGTCATCTTGAGAGTGATCGAAGACTCGTTGGATTCAAGAGATGAGGAAGAGAATATTCCAGAGTATTCGTCGCCATTTCGCGTAGTAACGGTAGCGGTAAGTCCCTAGAGAATGATGAGCTTTACTCCACATTATCGAAATATAGCATGGTTGTAGACCGTACAATGAAGCTAGTAATTAAGAACAGGAGGCGGTCGTGAGCGTGGTTATCCGGGGTATTTGACTCATTTGCGGCGGGTTTAGGAGAAGACGATGGCTTTTGGGTCATGTTTCCGTTCTGCTGAGGAAAAGAGGGACGCTGGGTAATTGGGTTCGTGCCTTGGGTCCAGGCTTTTTGAGAATTGCTGCGCCTGGAAACGATGATTGTTGTCAGCAAAAGGATGTTGTACGTAGTAGGCCGAGTGGAGAATGAAACAAGTCAGAATTGAGAGGGGGGGTATTGAGACGTATCAATGGATGTCTGTCAAAAGAAAGCAAGGACCTCCAGCCACAGTGGACGACTACAAGACGCATGCAAGTAAATATAGTAGTGATGGTGAGTCAATGGTGCATTGAGGCCATGGTGGTAAAAATGAAGCGATGAATCGCTGCAAAAGGCTGATTGATGATGTTAGGTTTTGGGGCACAACGTACTTCTGCCCGCCGTCGGCCGGGCTGCCACTCTGTCGTCTGCCATCCGACGACTTGGAATTTGTGCTAGGCCTCAGCGAAGGCCGGGAGCCTGAATTCTGTGTCGATGCATTGCCAGAAGGACTGTTCGCAACGGGGGCGGAGTTGACAGTGGACGAAGCCATGGTTCGGCTCTAAGGTCGTAAAGAAACGAAGCTCACGCCGTGTGGTACTTGGCACGACGGAGAGCCTCAGCGAATTGTCGGATCGGTCGTAACGATGCGAGCAACACACCGCCTGCGCTAATGGGGCGCGAGGAAGTGTTGCAGGGCCCGGGAGTGGAAATGGAAAGAGGGGTGGTCGAGGAGGGGAGAGAAACAACAGCAATGCAGTGTGGGTGTGGGTGGAGGAAAAGCACACGAGTTAAGCTCTCAAGGGTCAGGTCACGGGACCTGAAGTCGACCGAAAGGAGCGAAAGGAGGGGTGACGAAGACTGCGACCTGCCAGCGGTGGGAACTGAATCCACGACAGGCGAAACTCGAGGATACAGCGAGAATGCAAAGGCAGAGACAGCAAACGTCACAAAGAAAGACTAAGAAGTGCAAAAACAACTGAGCGGCGTCGGGTGGTGCTAAGTTAGCTCGACGGGCGAAGTTTGGGTGGGAATGTTGGGTGAGGTGGAGGTGGGAAGGCTCAGGCAGTTGATCAGGGAGCCTATTATTAGTGGAACCACCGCCCCGACAACAAAGCCTAGACAGCTTCGTCGCTGCTTGAAGACTGCTGTTCATGGCGTCTCTCTTTCCCTGCTGCGCCAATTCGCCCTTTTCGCCCGCATATCGAGGCTCATCGGGGCTCCTGCGACCTCGCTTCTTACAGTCAGATACTCCGTAGATGCTGGTCGCCTTATTTACGTAGCACTCCGTGAAGAAGCCACCCAGGACCATTAATCTACGTATTGGTTTTCGATAAAGTTTGTTAGCAGGTCGTAGCTTTTGATGAGAAAATATAGTATGTACAAGGGCTCCATAATGACCTGGTTCTGGAGTCTGGACCCATGACCCTACAGAAGCTGAAGAATCCAATTGTGCATCTGGCCGTGTTACTCGGGGTGGTTGATGATTGGCGCATATGCAAGACAAGGTCTCCGGAAGTATGAGTGGCCCAACTTGAAAACGAACTTCCTGTTCTGGCTGCTGCTGAATGCCTCAGGACCCCAACAGTGTTCTATTGTTGTCTATTTTCGTGCAGGTTATTTCTGTAGACTACCTGGGTATGCTTCACATACACAAGCACACAACGCTTAACCAGCCTGTTGAATAACAAGACGGCCAGGGCTGAAGCCGAAGCCAAATGGGGTGGCTGGTGTGGGCTGTGATTGGCCAGGGACTCGTTTCCTGCCTCAGGCGTGGCCCAGGACATCGTGACCTCAGCCCGATTACTCTGCCTATCACGGGCTTGTTTGATTCCTCCTCTTTTATCTCTGCCAGCTCTTCTATCCTTCGTCGGTACCTATACAGGTCGCCTACAATACTCTATTCTCATTCTCTTAGCGCTGCGCGTCCATTCTCATTTCCCGCTCTTCAGTTCTCAGCAAGCCTCCGAGTTCCTCCTCGCTCTCCCTTACGCCTCGCTTCCCGCACGGTAATCCCGCCCCTTCACGTTTCCTGCCCCCCTACGTCGTCTTCGAAATAAATATATTTTTCGCTTCTGCCGGCGCTCGCCTCTTTTTTTTTCACTTCACATAATACTCCGAGTTCCTGCGCACATGCAGTCCGGCACGAGCAGCTCCTCGCGCTCGACACGAAGCCCCTCCGCCCAGCACTTCCACACTGGTTCCTCAGGGAGTGCGGACACAGCTATGACTTCGCAATCCTCTGCCCCGCGCAGTTCGTCGGGATCGACCAGGTCACATTCTTCAAGAAGTGCAGTGGTAAGTTCACACCTCTTCCATCGCCTCAACAGTCTCAGATCCACAGAGCTAACCGGGAGATAATTGTTTTCTTGGCCTGCAGCCGAACGGACAAATATCCCAAATCGAAAAAAGCGTTACGCATTTGCTTGTAGCGACAAAACAGTTACTAGAGACATTAACGCAATGGTCTCGCCGCCAGGTTTCCGAGAACGAGGTGTCGGACGTCTACGTGCGATTGGGATATGAATTCAATCTCGCCTGCCGCGCCTTTTCCGCTATTGGGGTCGACACTTCAGATCTGGGTCCCGTCCCCGATCTTCTGCGTACGATACTTGAAGATACCTTGAGTCAAGATGCGTCGCCGCAAAGCTTGGATATCTTCCTCCCTCGGATTCGTGATATCATCATCAATCTACTCCACGGCCTAAAGAGGAAACAGGCACGCCTGCGATCACGACAGCAAAAGGAAGACGGTAAGCCGCTACCCGGTCGCCAGGCAAGTGCGGGTAGTTTGGCAAACGAAATTATGCCACCGTATGAAGACACTCCTCCTGCAGCTACCTCTCCGAGACGCCCTGGCCGTGCCCGTTACGGCAGCAATGGGTCTCTGGAAGATAAACCGCAGGCGGCATCTCGATCCTCTCCCGATATCAAATCAGGAAGTTATGCGGATCGGGAGGCATCCCGGCGGGAAGCGCAGAACGCGCTCACTCAGCCACCACAAAAAGATAGCGAGATAAGTTCGAAGGAGTCGATGTTACCGCCCAATCTCGCCGCAGGATACCCCCCTCCACCGCCACCACCACCCAAACAGGACGACGCCATAGGTGCCCTACAGCGCAGTGGGGAGCTAGAACGTCGTGCATCTCGGCGATTCTCTGCCTACCAAATACAAAAACATCTAGGAGCACCTTCAAACGGAGTCCCTGTTATCCCAACCCAGAATTCCCCTATCCCCAATCGGGGCCGTGATGTTCGAGAATCGCTCAACGCTGTGCGTCTACGCGGATCATATGCCCACAAACGACAGCGTTCGACGAACAGATCCCATGGGAACATTGATGCCAAGGCTGCTCAGCAACAACAGCAGCAACAACCACCTTCAACTAGTCATCCTCCGGATGAAGATCCCGTGAAGCCCCAGGTTGAAGCCCAACCTGAGCCTCCTGTGGATGACATTTCCTCAAACGAGAATGAGCCTCGCTTGGAAAAAGGTGAGCTGAATGGCGCCCCAGAAAACCCACCAGTATTGCCCCCAACTCCGCAGGAGCCGAGCCTCGCGGACGCATTCGAACCGGCCAAGGACGCTGGACCTCGTACGGATCAGGGTCCGGAAACGCCTAAATCAGCGCATCGACAACAAACGAGTGTCGTTTCAACTCCACCTCAAGCTACACCGTTTTCACCCGATCAACCGTCACCCGGCAAGGAACTCACCTTGTTTCTACAATACAGGAGCAAGATTAAGAAATACGTACTGCCAGAAGGATCAACTGGATTGACGATTGGGAGACTTCAGCTAGCCTTCATAGAGAAGTTCGCGTGGAATACACACAACAACGGTGCCGATCTACCGGAGATCTATATTCAAGATCCTATTTCGGGCATCAGACATGAGCTGGAGGATCTGGTCGATGTAAAAGATCGCTCGGTACTTGTTTTAAATGTTGACGCCCTCGATGAAGTTAAGAGACACTTTGATGACGAATTTGGCGGGGTTCGGCGGCTACTTGAAGGTGTGAAGGGGGCACTAGATGGACAAGGGAACATGATGCAACGCGTCTCAGATCGGCAATTAGAGGCTGTCAAAGAAATTACTCGCATTGCAGCCGCACCTTCCACATCATCAAGTGCTCCTGCCGTCGGAGAGACGCGACGAGCTCCCGTTTCCGGAAGTACGAGTCAGATGGCGGAACTTTCAAGCTTGCGGCGCGATCTTGCCGTACTCCGACAAACATACACCGACTTCTCTGCAGATATTGCGAGCTCGATGGGTGCGATACGATCCAAGGCTGATGGTGTCAAATCTTCAGCCGCCGACGCATCCGTCCCGTCGTTTGAGGGTGATGCCGGTCGCGTGCGGATTAACTCTGGCAAGAAGGAGCTTGCTGAAGAGTCTGAGCGGCTCGTTGCACATGTTGATGATCTTCAGGACCTTATCGAGGATCTGCGGAAAGATGTGGTTGCTCGAGGCGTTCGACCCCTCCCAAGACAACTCGAAACTGTGGGCAAGGATGTCAGTGCTGTTACCAAGGAGATCAAGAAGATGCAAGATTTCCTCAAGCGGGAGAAGCCGATCTGGACCAAGATTTGGGAGAAGGAGCTTCAACTTGTTTGCGAGGAACGTGATCAACTCACCATGCAAGAGGATCTGGCAGCTGATCTGCAAGATGATCTAGAAAAGGCAGCCCAGACATTTGCCCTGGTCGAGCAAGCAACCAAGCAGCAGGCCATGCAAAACACCGAAGGCGGCCCTACGCTGCGGAACACTTCGCGCAATGTGGTGATTGATCCCGCAGTTGACCCCGTCAAAGCAAAGGACGGTGTTTTGGGCGAAGTTCGTGCGCTGCAGCCAAACCACGAATCTCGCCTGGAGGCCATTGAAAGAGCAGAGAAGACCCGGAAGAAGGAGTTGGAGAACCGTCGTGCCAATCTTTTCCAAAAGGAACTGGGCAACTTTGTGCAGGAGGGGAAGCTGAAAAAGAGCGGCGGTGTTGAAGAAACCGAACGGCTTCGCCGGGCTAAAGATGAGCGCAACCGCAAGGAAGTCTGGAATATAGCCCAAGCTCGTGCAGCTGAGATTGACAAGGCAGAAGCGGAAGCAGCTGCCGCGGCATCCACCGCAGAACCATCCGACGATGCTTCACCTAAAGACACTGAAGAACCGAGATCTCCGAAGGGGAAGGCCCCAGCCTCCGACGATGACAATGCTGACGAAGAGAAGAAGAAGGAAGAAGTCCCGGCAGACAACCAGAAAACGGAGTCGGATAATTAAGGAACTATGCCAGCTATGGTGACATTCATTTTGAGCTCATATATTCGCCCATCCATTCTTTTTGCTTCCCCCCTCTTCTACCATTCATTTCAGAACGCCTTTTTATTGTTAAATATTTTTTGTACCTTGGATTGACCCCCATTTTCCTTGCATGTTTTCCAGAAGTACTACGCAACCCGAGTTGCATAATACTGTTGCTGCTCACTTGAATATTGACGATACCCTGCCACGTCCGTGGTGTGTTATGACTATTATGATACACGGGGACGCCTTGAGCGGATCTGACCGTTATCTTCATCCCCGATTTGTGTTTGACTTTATGCAGCTCTCATTTCTTGTCATTTTTCTTGAACTCGGGCACACACTTGCATCCTATTATTGGCCATCCTTTGGACAGCGACCATAGTTTCATTCCCTTGGAAGCGCAGCTTGCATTAATTATAATTTCATATTTCTCTACATGTTCAATACTGCGTAATACAGTAAATCTCTCCTCAGGAAGTCAAATATCAACAACAACAAAAAAAAATCAAAAGGTGACGCCATAAAAACGAAGCATAAATAAAAAGAAGTGACCACTGCCGGGCTCGATCCAGCGACCTTATCGGTGTAAACGATACGTGATAACCACTACACTAAGCGGCCGCTTATTAGATTTTCCGTTACCGCATTTGGCCACATAAGGACTGACTCAAACATCCAGACTCACTATCGACCCTACCTACTCATTACTTGACTCGTTACAGACCCCAGTCATTTTTTTATTAAATCTAGCTGCCATGCTCCGTAAGAAACATTATGCTAATCATATTATCTGTTATTGACTTATGAATAGAACAAAATTATCCTGCATCACAGTCCGCCAACTAATTGAGATAAGGGCTCTAACCACTAGCTGTCACGATCTATACAGACTATATAGATGCGATCCGGGCAGACCAGACTGTAGAGTCTGGTTATAGTGACCTTTTGGCCCAGTTGGGAACATGCTTGCCCGGACACGTGCTCTTACACTAGCTCCCTCAGTCTTCACGTCGAATGTAAATAAGCTCGCACGACTTGATATCATCCTCCGTTGCCCGCAGCAAATATTACTCGTCAAAGCATGCGATCCCTAGAGCAACATCAGGCCAATATAGTGGCCGCTATGACGCAGCAGGCACAATGTTATCCGACAGCATAGAAAGTAGAACGGTTACCAACAGCCCGAGGTCAGGGTGCACACAAGGCATATGCACGACAGTACCTTACACTCGAGGTGTCCCTATGTGAAATCAGTGGTAAACCCTTTGACTAACAACGTAAGAAAATAATTTGCTGGTGTGTTGTGGTTGGTGGCAGCGTTTTCTTGGTGCTTTCTTGGGTTTCATTTTGTAGTAGTTACTCAATGCCGGCACTGTCAGATAGAGCATGCGCTGGTGATATGGATGACCTAGGAATCCACGGACGGGTTAATGGAAGTGTCAGGTCTTGCGTGGGTAGTGTTCTAGTACAAGACTGAGGTTCAGATCAAACCTCAGAGCTAGAGTGTATCAGTCGCAGGTTTTCGACATGGTACGCAGAGCATACAAAGCATCTAATCTCTGTATGGCCTACGGGTCCACGGGGTGATTTGAGTGCATCGTTCTGAAAATACCATTGCCTCTACTACCTAGTAATCATGCCCTAACTACGATAAAAGCTCCTCTGGCTTATTATGTCAAATACTAAAGCCATCAACCAATCAGATGGCCGGTTGGTGTAGTTGGTTATCACGTATCGTTAACACCGATAAGGTCGCCGGATCGAGCCCGGCACTGGTCACTATCTTTTTTATCCTTTTTTCCGTGCTTCGTTCATTTTTGCTAGGTGAGTAGAGTAATTTGGAAGTAAATACATATAGAGCTCTTATTAGTTTGAACATAGTGCTTGGACATCGTTACACCCATGTGCGGACAAATTAGGGCTACAGTATCTAGGCAACAGGATACTGAGTCTATCAGCTTGATTGCCACTCCTGGCACGCCAATACCCTAACACCCTGGAAGCAAGGCTTCTGTAACTCGTAACCTTCCTTCTGTACTTTCCGAATTGTCTCTGCAAATGTCCTAGCAATCAAAAACGCCGTGGTCCCCTCATTCCAGCCAAGCTCCTCCAAGGCAAAAACTTCACGATATGTAACCCCGTTTCCATGGAAAACATCCGGGCTTCTTTCCCCCTCGCTGAAATTTAATTTTTTTGACAGTCCGTCCTTCGTCCGTACAGCTATCTTGCCTATATCCAAGCCGCCCTTCCCACACTTCCCACATCGACCGATACAGTGGTCAACTATATATAGACACTCGAGGTCACGCCGGAGGAATAAAGATAACTGCTTCACCAGCCTGCTAAGGAGATGACTCGCCGGCGGTCCCAGGACTGCACAATCTGACGTTATCTCAGTCGCATCAAACGCCAGCCGACGGGCATTCTTGAGCGTCGACGCAAACTGGGGGCTCCATTTATGTTCCATGACGTTCGACAAGTTGCTGTTCAATACCCCGGTGTAGTAATAATGGTTGGTGGTGAGGTTATGGACTAGGATATCTGACTCCGAGGGGAATAGGACTCCGAATCGAAGAAGTAGCACCTCAGTCCTGTTATCGTACCAGATCCGCTTGTCACGCCCTTGTGCTGGGAGGTGCACTGAATTGAAAGCCGTTGTATTTGTCCTGTTTGGAGAGCTGGGTGGGAGTTCGAGGGCCCAGTCGGCTTCAAGGCAACTTTGTTGGATGGAGTCTGTTACGAGGTAGGCTGATGGGTCGAAGGGAAGGGCGGACTCGATGCTGCAGTATGAGCTTTGTTGGTTCTTGGTGTCGGCGTCTGTGTCAACTGGCAGCAGAGTTTTGGGTCTGGAAACGATGGGCTGGTCGAGGAATATCTGGCCCGCAATATCACTTTTGTGCCTGGCTAGTTTGAAGCTCTCTATGGATTCTTTTGGGTGAGAGGGAGCGCATGCAGGGATGCAAAGGTCAAAGGCATGGATTGCGGGCTTTGGTCGAGCGTCTTGCCAAATCTGGAGGCGCAGCTCAGGTGGGAGGTCCATGAAACGAGGAAAAGTCTGCATTGTGGGTGTTGGGGAGGGGACGAAGAAGCGTAGTCCTTTGGAAAGTTCGGTTCAAGCAAGGTCATTCTCTCTTATATACGAGTCCCACCCCTGCCTCATGTCGGATTTGCTTCTCACAGGTTTCCTGGTATTGTAACGGGATTCCTTTATTGGCTATTCCGACTGACCCAAGTCCATGGGAATTAGGGTTGGATAAATGAAGTCCAGAACAGGATATTAGCCAACAAGAGTTCATTCAGTGGCGCCATTAGATTCACTACTCACGAATTTACATCTTATACACTACAACATTCATCTATGGAATGAGGGGAGCATTGCCTGTTCTATTTAAGCGGGCCAAGCCCTTGATTATTTACATTCTAATTTCACTAACATTCAATAATGAGCTTTTCCTCAAGCACCGAGCCAGCACTTCCCATCAGCTAACAATTCACAAGATGGAGAAACAGAAAATGTCAGAATAATATGTATTCATCTCTCCTGCGTGGGAATATGGCATCTGGGAGAAAAACAAACCAGATGAGGCTCCAATTACTAAACATGACATGCAAATAGGACCGGTCACGAAGCCATCCCCAACTACACTCGTTCCTGGGTTCGACGCCGCTAGAGTGTGGATTCCAGCGGGTGAATTGAACGTCTGGAATAGGCCTGGTAAGCAAAAATACAAAATATAGAGACCATTTAAACCGTCTGCAAAAGGTAAATGACCAGTGCCGGGCTCGATCCGGCGACCTTATCGGTGTTAACGATACGTGATAACCAACTACACCAACCGGCCATTGATGAAGGCGTCTTTGGGTAGGGGGGTATAGCACTATAGCGGGTATTGTCCCACAAAATATATGCATGCGCCACCCAAACATTAGGGCTTGCAGACGGGAAGGAACCAACGGGTCAGGGCAGCCAATCATATCAATCACAACTGCTCCAGTCCGTCCATACAGTGCCGTCGTTTACTGGGCAAAAATTTCAAGACGGTCTCATATCCAACATAGCAACCCAGCAGCGCAAAAATGACTAGTGCCGGGCTCGATCCGGCGACCTCCTCGGTGTGAACGAGACGTGATAAACCAACTACACTAACCAGCCAATAGGTGTTAAGATTCGGGGCTGGCGAGAATATCAGGAGTAGTGATATTAGCAAATTATGGAAGAGCAGAGCCTTCCCGAAATGGGTGTAAGTCAGGGCAATTATCAAATTAACCCTAGGTTCAATAACAATTGACCAATCAAGGAACGGCAGACTTCTCCACTGCGCCTTGAGAGAACCAAAAAATTAAATGGACCTGCTCCTTCAAAGCAGGACAAAAAGGTAGTGACCAGTGCCGGGCTCGATCCGGCGACCTTATCGGTGTTAACGATACGTGATAACCAACTACACCAACCGGCCAATTGTGAAATTTTTTTTTAAATTGTGCTACTCCAGCCTACGGCCGTCTTCAGCTATTTGCGGATAGGACTCCGAAAGCCTTCTCTAGTAAAACAGGCAAATATAGACATTAGCAGTCTAGAAAATAATTCTATATAAACCAATTGAGCTGTCTAGAAGTATGATATGAATGGACTTTGGTGTATTTCAAGTAACGTAGTTACTGAAGGCTAAACCGAGGTAATGACTAGCTACAATCACCAACCATAGACAAGGAGCAGCGAGATATAAGCATTGCTGCTGTTTTCAGCTGAAAACTGTCGAGAGCATTGCCTGAGTCTGGCATCATATTGCCATATACCACTCTATCTATGTAGTTCGCAAGAGATGTTTGATTTGAATATCCAGGCATTTCAGCCACTGTATTGCCATAATAAAGTCATTTTCAAACGCCATAAGCATCGATGGACTTGGTTCTAGTACTGGAACAGAAAAGCGGCGTAACCTAACCCCACGGAATATGACGAGATCAGACGCCCCGCAATGCGGATAATTTGGAGAACTAAGGAAAACACAGAATTAGTCACAGCTTACACCAAAGCCATCTCTTCCCCTCTCATTAAGTCGAGGTGGAGATATTTATCTACCTCAAGTCGGTTATTTCTACCCGCAAAATGACTCGGCCAGTTGTGACAACCCTTGGGCCTGAGCATGCAGAGCGCGTCGCTGAAGTAATCGCCGCGGCCTTCTCGACTTCCTTGTTCACATCTTATTTACTACGCACCCCCGAGTCCACATGGCCGACGGATAACATCCCCGCGGGCATTGTCGGTGCTCATTTTAAAAAGTCCGTCACCAGCAGAGCAGAGCAAGGGGCAGAGCTGGTGGAGGCTGGGAACTTTGCTGCAGTTGCTGTATGGTGAGTTACGATTGTACCAGTCGGTTACATAGTAGTGAAGATGGTACTGATGAGCACGCAGGTTTCCACCAGGCAATCCCATCTCAACTGCAGGAGTCACAGACCCGCGGATCCTGGAGTATCGGGAGAAATTCAGCCAGGTCAAGAAGGAGCATCTCCAGGATCGAGACTACTGGTATCTCAATCTGATCGGGAGACACCCCGAGCGTACAGAACCTGGTAAGTACTCAGTTCCCAACTTAGAACTCTTGGGAAATAAGACTAACATGATCAGGTGTTGTGCGTGCTCTGGTTGATCCGTATTTTAAGAAAGCCCGAGAGCAGGGTGTTCCTCTGTACCTTGAAGCAATCAGTGAACACGCGCGGGATGTCTACGAGCATTTGGAATTTCGCACCATTGCTGCGGTTCGTTTGGGGGTTGGCAGGACCAACGCCAGGGGAGAACTTGATGAGAACGGGGAGGGAATTATGCTGTATGGGATGATGGCGGAATAGACTGGGTATACTATGATAAGTGTTGCTAAGTACAGCTACATCACGCCGGCTTGTGCAGGTCAGACGCCCCGAGATACTAACTCATACGAGTGGTGAAGCACAGCAGAATAAGGCTTACACAAGTTTGGTATACTTGGGAAGTTAAGGCCCATAGTTTCCGTGCGAGGTACAAATATATATATAGATTTCATGGTTGAATTAATACCTCAAAATCACACACTGTGGTAAGATTCATTGCAACTTCAATTTCTCCCGTAGTATTTAAATTAAACCAAGAGATACGCACGTAAAAAATACATTCATGCTGCTGGTACATCTATAGCTTGATGCCTCGTCTTGTTCCATGAACCTACCGTGCAGGAGTATGATGTCAAATAATAAAATTAAGTTCCAACAATTGGCCGGTTGGTGTAGTTGGTTATCACGTATCGTTAACACCGATAAGGTCGCCGGATCGAGCCCGGCACTGGTCATTTCTTTTTCCTTTTCTTTTTTGCTAACCCACTTGACTGTATTTTTATTATTGACAACTATTTTCATGTTCTTGCCTATTTCTCAAAGTCGATGCTCATGTAAATACTGTAGTAATCTTCCCATACCTGTGTAGCCCTATGATATTCCGGCATCGACAATAAGTTCCAACAATGGCCGGTTGGTGTAGTTGGTTATCACGTATCGTTAACACCGATAAGGTCGCCGGATCGAGCCCGGCACTGGTCATTTCTATTTTTTTTCCCTTGGCTTTTTGCTGCACACTTGACTCTAACACACTTGACTCTAACACACTTGACTATTTTGTCAGACAACATTCCTATGTTGTTGACTATCTCTTAAATTCGATATCTGCTTATGTAAATGCTGTGCGATAACTTGGAATCTCCCCATACTTGTGTAGCCCTGTGGTATTCCGGCACCGATTCCGCATCTCCGCGCGGAAAACCTACCCGATACAAGCTTTTCTCACCGACCGTGATAAAATTTAAGATTCAAGGCATCCTAATATACGCGAATACACTTAAAAACAAAAACTTTATGCATAATCTGCTCTGTCCAGGCAGGTCAGGTCAGTCAGGTCACCTCTGGCAGTTCCACGTGATCACCCGATCGGTACTAGCGCAAGCTGGATAAGAAAAAAAAGATTCTCCGCAATTCACATTCTCAACTCTCAACCGCATCCCTCCAAAAATCAGAAATCGCAACGGCCGTGATCCGCAGTCGTGAGCCAGCATAAAACGTCAAAAATGGCCGAAGACACAAACGCAGGTGAGTTTTCGACTTATTTATCACTACTGGAGTATCCAGCCCGTGAAGCACAAACTGACTCGATTTGCAGCTTGGCCCGTCGCGGACGAGGCCCTTTCTCAGCAACTGCTCGACCTCGTCCAGTCTGCCGGCCACTACCGTCAGATCAAGAAGGGCGCTAACGGTTCGTACACTTCCTTTATTTTATTTTCCGAGTCAAATCTAACAGATCATGCAGAGACCACCAAGACCCTGAACCGCGGAACCTCCGAGCTGGTGATCCTCGCCGCAGACACCACCCCTCTCCCCATCATTCTGCACCTGCCTCTCCTTTGCGAGGACAAGAACGTTCCTTATGTCTACGTCCCCAGCAAGCTGGCGCTCGGCCGCGCCACCGGTGTTTCGCGCCCTGTCATTGCCACCAGCATTACCACCAACGAGGCCAGTGATCTGATGCCTCAGATCCGGGCCATCAAGGTCCAGGTGGAGCGTTTGATGATCTAAGCTGAAGCTAGATTTCCTGTTGGAATGAATGGATATTGGGGATATTGCTCTAATCTGAGTTGTGTATCCTGAGCCTTTAGTTAGGCGATTAGGATAGGATAGAGCTTGAATCTAGGTCTGGATATGCGTTTCTTTGGATTGATGTACGTACGGTTTCTGAGTGCGTAGAGTACGTAGAGTGGAATAAACACATTCAACCGCCAAACCAGATCTTCCTCGATCTGTATTCACCTCAAACCTAACAACTCTAGAAAACCAACAATAAACGCTGCTGTAGGTAATCCGCATATCATTAAAACAGTCACAACTTCTGCCAGAACCAGCATCCAAGAACAACAAGTAGCCAAGTTCCATAAGATGAGCGACTTTTCATATATATATAGCTCGTGGGTTTATAGGGCTTTGATCCATGACCGTTCATTTCAGACGTTATTAACATAATATGGAACGTCCAATTAATGCATAGTATTCAGACAAGGATCCACTCAGTAACTCTACATCCAACCAACACTAGCCATACCAAACAGAAGACTAACTCCTACTCATTCTCCTCCACCCCAATAACCGTCGTCTTAAACTTCCTCGCCGGCACCTTGCGATTAAACAGAATATCCGCCTCCCGGTACGACCGATGCTTCAACTCCGGCAGGAAGAAATAAGCCATCACCCAACAAAACAGCGCCGTACACCCCCACACATACCCGCACTTCCCCGCCAGATTCCAACCAGTGGTATTCAGCATCCGACTCGCAAGGTATATCATCGGGATCTCGGTGATGTAGTAAGCGGAGCGGCCGACGGCGGTGCTTAGCGCGCGCAAGCGCACAGAGGACGTCTCCGAGATGATTGTGTAGGAGATGGGCCCCTGGGCGCCGGCGTAGACGACCGAGATGATGACTCCCAGACAGGCCTGGGCGTAGTTTGTCTTGCTGTTCTGCGGGACCGAGGCGCAGATTCCGAGGATGAACAGGAACATGACGTTTGTGCCGGTGCCCCAGAGGAAGACGGTGCGGCGGCGGAACCACGATGTCAGGCCCCAGGAGACGGCGTTGGCGACGAATTGGAGACAGGTTGTGATGAGGTTGAGCTGGAAGGCGCGGCTGTGGTCGATTCCGGCTTCTACTGATTGTTAGTACATAAAATGTGCTGGTAGGGTTGGTAGGCTTACGCTCGAAGAAGTATGTGGCTTGGTTGGCGATGAGATTGCCGGCGAAGTTCTGCGACGCGTAGACCAGACAGGTGATGATTGTCCGTCGGAGGTCAGTGCCCTTGAGCAGGTCGAGGAGGGTCGGGGTGCCACCGATCGACTCTTCGATCTTGACGGTTCGCTCCATCATGGCCAGGGACTGGTGAGCCTGGGCGTCGTCCTTTGCACCGAGACGCTTGATCGAGCGGAGGGCCTCGTCCTTGCGGCCGCGACGGATAAGCCACCAGGGAGACTCGGGGGCGATGAAGATAAGCACCATGAGTGGGGTCTAAAAAATCAGTATTGGTTCCTTTATTTGTATGGTAAAACTCACAGGGAAGATCCATTGCAGGGCAAGCGGCACGCGCCAGGACCACTCGTTCTCCAGTCCGTTGTAGGCGTAGGTGGCGCCGGCGACGATGATGGAGCCGATGGACCAACTCATCTGCAGGGTTGCCGTGCACGCAGCTCGAAGAGGGAGAGGGACAATCTCCGAGGCGTAGGCGGGCGAGTTGGCGATGAAGAAGCCCCAGGGGACGCCTTCTAGGGCTTGTCCGACGACCAGCAGCGTGAGCGAGTCGGCCTACAAATTAGCATTATACTCAACAGCTACGGTATCAGCAGAGACATACAAAAAAAGAGACAAAGATGGTGGCGTTCATCAAGACCAAGCCCACCAGGGTCGTCCAGCGGTATCCAATGCGGTTGGTGATGGGCCCAGCCAGATAGACACCGATGAACGCACCGCACTGTCCGGCCTGGAAGAGCGCGCTCTGCCAGCGGGTTGGAATGGCCCAGCTGTCTTCGCCAGTCTGGACACCATACACCTTGGAGAAGTGCTTCAGCGCGACAAAGTTGGTGTTGAGGAACATGTCGAACGACTCCATGACGATGGTGAAGCACATAATGAACGCCCAGAAACAGGCCCAGGGATACTGCTTGGCTGCGTCCCACACGCCCATCTGGTGCTCGTGGTTCTCGCCATCGACGGCGTCGGCCAGGATCTCGGCCTGGTGCACTTCGGCCTTTTCGTCGATATTGTCGGCCTTTTCGCTGGGGCGCGCATCTTTGTCGGCGCTGTCGGTCGACATTTTGTTTGCTCGATTGAACTTGAAACAAAACGAGGTAAAGACGAGGAGACGATCACGGGCAGGCTAGGTTTTAAATGCCCATGCCGTGTCATCCTGTCATCCTGTCGTCTCGTGCCGCCGGGGGTTCACCTGGGACAAATTGCAATAAGTGAAGGGTTGCTCTCCACAAATTACCCCATTGGCCGGGACGAACAAGGACTGCGGGGCCCCAGAAAGACTGGCTGGAGAGAGAGGATGAAGCTGGCCGGTGTTGGTTTTTAGGGCTAAGAGGCGCAGGAGACCGGTGGTGGTTGGCGGAACATCTCGCGCTTGGACGCCACCACGAGCTAAGCACGCGCCATGTTACATCCTGATCCTTCTGCCCGCGAGGATAAAGGACCGGAAACCAGCATTTTGCCAGTTGCCAGTTGCCGGTTCAGTACAGTGCAGTGCAGTGTCGTTGCAGTCGCGTGGTCTGGCAGTGTACGGCACCAGGTCAGCAGGTGGAATACAACAAGTAGTCCGAAATCATGTCGAATGATGGAGTTCTCAAGGCTAAGCATTCACAAGCACCGCCAAGTGGCAACAAGCTCTCTCCTTTCTGGGCTCAGCCACGGCGCCGAGAGATCTGGTGAACCAGGTGTGAACGTGAACTGTGAACCGAGTCAAGTCGGTTGAGGACTCAGTATTTACCCGAGATTGTTCTCTTTTAAAGAGGATGTTTTATTCCAGGCGAGATCTCCGGCGGAGGCTGTTATTGGTATAATCAAATCCAGTTTGGCTAGGCTGAGTCCGAGCGCAGACAGTGAAGACATGCACTAAGACACTTGGATAACTGAATTAACTGAATTAACCGTGTTATTCTGATTCGCTTGATTCCGCGGGGAAGCTTAGCAGAATCATCGCTGCACCTTCGAGTCATATGCCTGATTCTATATTGCTTGCCTAGAGTATGCATTCATCCCGGCGGACCTTGTCGAAATGAAGAACATGATCTATCCTGAGCCCCTCTTTAATATGGAGTAGACTTGAGTAACAGAGGCCATAAAGCAACCAGGACCGCACATAAACAGCCATGCCAATTGATCCTTCATCCTTCAGTAGTCACCATGTCTCTACGCACTGTACTCGCTCTAAGCCTCACCATCACAGGCTCCCTCGCCGCCCCCTGTGACATCTACTCCTCCGGCGGCACACCCTGCATCGCCGCCCACAGCACCACCAGAGCCCTATACAGCTCCTTCAGCGGCGCCCTCTACCAGGTGCAGCGCGGCTCCGACGGCACCACAACAACCATCTCCCCTCTCTCCGCGGGGGGAGTCGCAAACGCCGCTACCCAAGACACCTTCTGCACGGGCACAACCTGCCTCATCACCATCATCTACGACCAGTCCGGCAACGGGAACCACCTCACCCAAGCACCGCCCGGCGGGTTCGACGGCCCCGAGTCCGGCGGGTACGACAACCTGGCCAGCGCAATCGGGGCCCCCGTAACCCTCAACAACAAAAAGGCGTACGGCGTCTTCGTCTCCCCAGGGACGGGGTACCGCAATAATGCCGCCACAGGGACAGCCACGGGCGATGAGGCGGAGGGGATGTACGCCGTGATCGACGGCACGCACTACAACGACGGGTGCTGCTTCGACTACGGGAACGCCGAGACAAACAGCCTGGATACAGGGAACGGGCATATGGAGGCTATTTACTTTGGGACGAACACGGCCTGGGGGTCTGGTGCTGGGAGTGGGCCTTGGCTGATGGCGGATCTCGAGAATGGGTTATTCTCTGGGAGGAGTGCGAGCAATAATGCGGGGGATCCGAGTATCGAGGATAGATTCTTTACGTCCATCCTTAAGGGGGGACCGAATGAGTGGGCGATTCGCGGGGCGAGTGCGGTTTCGGGGGCGTTGGATACGTATTATAGTGGTGTGCGGCCGGATGCGGATGGGTATAACCCTATGAGCAAAGAAGGGGCGATTATACTCGGTATCGGCGGGGATAATAGTGTCAGTGCGCAGGGGACGTTCTACGAGGGCGTCATGACATCGGGGTATCCGTCCGATGAGACGGAGGACGCAGTGCAGGCTGATATCGTTGCGGCCGGGTATGCCACTGCGCCGTTGACAAGTGGCGACGCACTCACGGCTGGTTCTTCGGTTTCGCTGCGCGCGACGACGGCCTGCTGCACGACGCGGTATCTGGCACATACGGACTCGACTATAAACACGCAAGTCGTGTCGTCGTCCAGCAGTACCGCTCTAAAGCAGCAAGCCAGCTGGACTGTGCGGACGGGACTGGGGAACAGCGCCTGTTTCTCGTTTGAGTCTGTTGACACGCCTGGAAGCTATATCCGGCATGCGGACTTTGCGTTGCTGCTGAATGAAGATGATGGGTCCAAGTTGTTTGCTGAAGACGCGACGTTCTGTCCGCAGGAGGGACTGAATGGCGAGGGCAGTGCGATTCGGGCGTGGAGCTATCCCACGAGGTATTTCCGCCATTTCGACAATGTGCTTTATGTTGCGAGCAACGGGGGTGTGCATGAGTTTGATGCGGCGGCGTCGTTTACTGATGATGTTAGCTGGGTGGTGGACATTGGGTTTGCTTGATGCAGTGCAGTTGCAGATGCGGTTTGATGCAGTGTATATAGCCTAGTTATAAGATGACACAGTGAGTCGAGGCCATTCTGTCAGCGTCTTGTCATCTTTCAGATGTCTCAACTCCTTGCATATCGTGCAGCAAGGGAGACTGGCCGTGCACATTCAGCTGGGACAACCAATTTGACACTGAGTAGGAACAGGCTACTTCTGTCCTTTGCGTGAGAGAATTATACAACAACCTTACCTTTAGTGTCCCCAATTATAGCAGTCAGGCCATCCGTCCGCCGAGCCGACTGTCGAGTGCTGCATCCTTGTGTAACCAAGAGTCAAACCTGCCCAACAGGCTTGGAATGCAGCTGAGGGAGTTACATTAGGCCACTCCCTGTGCGACATTTACCTTGGCGTAGGAATGAGAAGCAGCTGAATATTCAGTGCGGCAGAGTTTATCACCCAGACAGGGTCCCTTGATTCTTTCTTTTACTTTCCAATATCATACTGACAATGGCGCATCGCCTGCTACTCGTATACCTCACCACCGCAGCAGCAATATGCTACTACCCCAACGGCAACAGCGACGACAACCCGCTCAACGGACGGTGCGTGTCCCTCGAGGGCCAAGCAAGCGCCTGCTGCGCCATAAACCGGGCGAACCCATCAGGAGGTTCAGCAGACGCCTCAACCGACGGCCAAACAGCAGACCTGTGCATGAAGAACGGCCTATGCAAGAACATCAAGACGGAGCAGCAGAACGGCAGAAACGTCACCCTCACCTCGTACTGGCGCGGTCTCTGCTCGACCCCCGAGTGGCCGGAGGCGAACTGTGTGGATGTTTGCAGCTCTGGATCTGTATGTACTGACCACTGTGGTTGACTGCTGACTGACTGGTGTAGACGGCCGGGTCGACGACACAACTGACACCCTGCGATGGGACGGACAATTCGACGGAATGGTGCTGTGGTGATAGCGATGACTGCTGTGGGACTTCTTCTTTTACTATTGCCCCTGTGCTCGCTGCTCTGGCTGGCCCCTCGTCTACGTCTACATCTACGTCTACTTCCACGTCCACTACAGCAAAAGCAACACAGTCAGCACGCACGGACTCAAGCCTATCAACAGGCGCCATGGCCGGAATCGGAGCCGGTGCTGGGGTCGGCGTTGTCATATTGGGCGCGCTGGGATATTTCTGGATGCGGCACCGGAAAGCAGCCACCGATAAGGATATAGACATGGTTTATTCACGGGATCCACGCAAGGAAATGGCACCGGTTGAGGTTGAGGGGTCGAATATAGAGCCATGTGAGTTGAATGCTGGCGTGAGGCATGAATTAGGGGATCGATAGTGTATTCATTAAAGCGTTGGCAGTTCTTTTAATAATATAAACAGGGATCTACGTAGCACTCGAGGGTAATCTCGCTAGCCTTTATTACTGACATGGATTATTTTGATAGTATAATAACAGTCCGGGTAAAAGCGGAATGCGCGTTTTACAACAGATGAGACCGTTGCACTGATAACAGCCAACGATACAGCTGCATGGCATATAGAATCTTAAGGGACTGTCTCCAGATCTACAGATCAACATCCAGTCAATCATGTTATTGTCTGGGAACTGATCCACCACGATTTACGGTGTAGCGTCTAGACCTCGTCGACCCTCCCGTTCAGGAGACTGTCTGGATGAAACAGAAGGATGAAATCCCTGTAATAGCGCGATCAATATCAATTCCACCGTGGCATCGACCTAGCCGGCCCCTCCCAAAACCTGTGGGATCACGTTAGGGGTGATCCTGCCAGCTAAACAGCTAACTTTATATAAAGTTTATTAGATGTTTTTTCATTTTCTTTTCTTTTTTTAATAATAATAAGAATTCTATCTTTAACCTAGCTAAATTAAGCTATCTTATAATATAATAATAATATATTAAATTAGAGATATAATTTTTAAGAAAGATTAGCTGTTTAGCCTGTGTAGCACTGTAGCTCATACTAGAAGTGCGATCCCGCAGGTTTCCGGGCCGGCGTCACGACGACGATGTCTCTTATATGCCGTCCATCCCTGCCAGACTGCCAGTCAAACAACCAGTTCCAAATTCCTTCCAACTCAGCAAAGCCCTAAAATACGTCCGTATACAAAATGACCCCCCGCTTCCAAGTCCGCCCGATAACCGACACGGACTTCCCAGCCCTGACCCAAAGCCTCTGGGAAGCCTTCGAAACGCCCTACCAGGGCCTTCTGCGCCTCTTCTTCCCCATCCTCAACAACGACCGCGAGGGGAGCCTGCAGACCTGCATCGCGGGACAGAGAGAGGAATACCAGCAGCAGCAGCCGCACCTGACGTGGATTAAAGTGGTTGACACGCACGCGGGGGACTGTATTGCGGCTGCTGCGAAGTGGTATTTTTATGAGAAGAGTCCTCACACTCATACTAATACAGATGAGGAGAGCCAGGCTGTGGCGGATTGGTATCCCGAAGGCATTTCCAGAGACTTTGCCACGAAGGCGGTTCGGCAGTTTGAGCGGCCGCGCGAGCAGATGGCGCAGAGGCCTCATGCTTGTATGTCCCCCTCCTACACTTTACATTATATCTGAATTAATAATTGACGGATGGCAGTCCTACACATCGCGTTTACAATGCCGTCGTACCGACGACAAGGGCTCGGCCATTTATTCATGGAATGGGGCCTGCGCATCGCCGACGAGCTCGGGCTCGAGGCGTGGCTGGATGCGTCTGAGTTCGGGACTGGGCTGTACGAGCAGTTTGGGTTCAGGAAGGTGCTTACGAATGTCGTCGAGCCTGCTCCGGATAGGGAGTTGACGGAGCAGGAGAGGGGGGAGTGGGAGGCGTGCGAGAGGGCTTTGTTGCCGATTGCGTATACGGTGATGTGGAGGCCGGCTGGGGGGAAGTTTATAGAGGGGGAGCCTGTTCCGTGGGTTAAGAAAGCTTTGACTGCTTAATTGGATATGTATTTATTAGATACCGATCTGGACATCTAGTAATGAGTCTCGATGATAGGCCCGGTGTAGACATGACGAGCACGGACAAAGTAGTACACAATGCTCAGCAGGATAACGCTGACCGTGCCAACAACACTAAAGTTCATAGTCTCCAACTCGACAGGCGTCTGGCTCGGCCAGAAGCTGAAGAAGACCGCAATAAGCGCGTAGACAATGGCAAAGACATTGATCAGCACGCCCCAGATCCCGGGGACGTGAAACGGGCCCCAGACCAGCTTTGCACCGATCGTGTTGACGGGCTCGCTGGAGTCGGCGGACAGATAGATTGTCTTGTTTAGACGCCGCCACAGGAGTAGAGCGGCGACTAGTATATAAGACAGATATAGCCCGGAGATGGACATGGCGCAGAGGTCGTTGAATGCGACTGCAGATCCGATAGGGATCAGGGCTAGCAGGAAGGAGACGACTGTCGTGAGAACAACAGACCAGACTGGGATGGCAGTGGTCGGAGACACCTAGATTGTTAGCACTTTTACTCCATTATAAATTGCACAGACGTACTCGACTCCATAATCTCCAGCCCGGCACACCGCGGTCCCGCGAGAAAGACCAGAACTGGCGAGACGTCGCAGCCATCATGCCGGTCGACGAGCAGATGCACACGGTGATAACAATGGCCGACATGGCCGCTGCACCTCCTACAGAGCCTGTCCCGTTGCGGAATATCTCCATGTATGGATATCCAGTGGGAGAAGCCAGGGCTGTGTCGAGGTCTCCCAGACAGAACAGCACCGCGATCAGCATACCGAAGCCCAGCATGCCATTAATCAGGACACTGAGCAGGATGGACCGGGGGACGACGACCCTGGCGTTTTCAATCTCCTCCGACATCTAGACGAGATTAACTCTGAACACGGGTTGGTTTGGTTGACGTACATGAACAGCAGCATCGCCACCAGCGAATGCAAAAACACACCCAATCAGACCCACAAAGAACGACAGACCATCCGACGACCAATTCCCCTGGTTGTTAAACTGGGTAAAGACGTCCTTTGCCGAGCCGATCTCTGCCAGCGACACCAGGGGAATCATGACGGCGAAGAAGCCCAGGATGTGCACGACGAGGATCAGGCCTTCGAGCCTGGGGAGCACGCTGCGGCCGACGATGTTGATACCGACTGCGAAGGCGACGACTGCCCAATAGTACATTGTTGGATGCCAGGACGCGGGGACGTAGTCTGGGTGTGTGAGGACGGCGACGCCTTGGATCATGGTGCCGGTTAGATAGCATGCTGTGGCGAAGGTCGCCTGCCATCCGATCACGGTGAGCCATCCTATGCTGTTAGATTAAATCACAGGCTGAAGGAACAGTTAAGTACCGGATATATAACTCAGGAATCTGACACTCGAAGGAGGAGCCAGCATGGAAACCCAGTGATACTGCCCTCCGGATGTTGGAGCCCTAAAAATCAGCCGTGTACCATTTCCACATGGTGAGACCATATATTCAGACATACATTGAAGCCAACTCGGACAGAACGACAAAAACACACGCGGTGCCAATCCAGACAAAGATGAAGCCATATACAGTCCCAGCCGGGCCACCACTATTATTGTCAGGCGTCAGCGCTCTTTCAAGGACGGGATACGAACTTGGTCAATGGCTGGAGGAATAAACTGTATATCGTCAGTACTGAGTCTATATTGTATTTCATGACATACCATGTGAGACCCTCCCAAGTGACGAGGATCGTACAGCTGAATCCGAGCATCGACACCAGGCCAAAGTTCCGCTGTCTGAGTCAGTACTAGAATCCTCCGTAGATCCAGGCTCTTACACGAAGAACTTGCTTCTTGCCCAGTCGTGCCAGGACAGCATCGTCAGAGTCGCTGTCCCTCGCAGAGCCAAGCTCATGGGGTTTGCTGAATGGAGTTTTCATGGTGTGATGGAAAAAAGAAGCAAGGTGAAATATGAGACAGATTCACAACATGTAATAAATAAACCGAGACTGCAAACCAGTACGGAGTAAGGTAGCAGGAGATTAGCGCAGTTAGAGTAGCAGCGACACGTTGGCGGCCATTTATGATCCGTCAAAACCCAAAGTACAGCACGAGCCGATAATATAACAGCACTATAGCAAGGGTCCCCGGGCCAATGTCGCATTCATTTCCAGTGCTAAGACTTTTTTAATTGCGGATCTGTCCCGCCCGCCGCCACCAGAAGGGTCAGGACGGCGAGACCGTGCTATCTTCGAATGATATGAAGCAATTCCAGAACAGACTGACACTAGCTGTCTCGGATGCATTGCAATCGGAGAAATGGAGAATTACTGGCCGTGGGTTTGATTCGCAGTGCCCAAAACACCATGTTTGGCCAGTCGGAGGTCCCTCCGAGGGTCGATGGATTATACCGCGCGCGTCCTGGCTAGCCAGAGAAGATCTAACGCATTCTAGAGGTTCTACAGGGTAGATCCGTCTCGGGCAAATCCACTGGCAATCCACTGGCAATCCATGCTGATCCTACGCTGTCTCTAGCTATAGTTGGCTGGATATAATGCTGATAAAAACAGGAAACCCCCTATTTTGACACCTAGCTGTTAGTCTCAACTAGCAGGCCAAGTCTCAATATGTCGAGATACCCAAAGGACAGCAACGCGCCCGCTGTGATTGTCTTGACGCGGTTCCTGCTGGTTACTCTGATCCTAGGGTGTCTCGCCCGGCTGGGGACCAAATGGTGGAAGTTTGGCACTTTCTTTCGAGATGACTACTACGCCATGCTGGCCATGGTGAGCTACTGAACTATCTTCAGGTGTATTCTCTCGATTGACACTTTAGGTTGCGTCCATCGCCCAGGCCGTGGCCGTCTCCATCGCCGTGAATCTGGGATACGGAAGCCCTATCTCGCAGCTCAGCGACAGCCAAGTTGCTGGCATTTTCAAAGTACCTCGCTAATCTGTATACTATAAATAAGCTGCTAATTGCTAATTCTCAGGCTCAATATGCATCGACCCTCTTCTACGTCTTCGGCATCGGCCTCTCCCAGCTCTCGTTCCTCTGCTTCGTGCAATACCTCGCCTCCCGCAAGAACTACAGCTTCATGGCGCAGCAAATTGCCATCGCCGTCGTGGCTGTAGTCGGCGTCTTTGGTTCGGCTTTTCAGTGCCGTCCACGACAATGGGATTATATCCATGATAGATGCTACAACCGAGTAGGAGACCTGATAGGTAGTCCCGTGGAGGAATGTTAACAATCCCAGGAAGCATGGTTCATCTACCTATCTGCATCGATGATCCTGGCCGAAATCGCCATCATCGCACACGCCGTCGTCGTGCTGGTCAACGTGCAGACATCGTGTAAGCGGCGACTGAACTTGACGTCCGTTTTCCTCTTCCGGGTGGTGTAGGTTGCAACCAACACATGTTTTGATTGATTAACTGATTGATCGTATTTAGGGTGCCAGGTGCATTAATAGCCCAGATCATTCTTATACATAATAACATCAACACACCCGATCCAACATCACATACATGGTCCATCGCCGTCTGCACCCAGCTAGCCCTATGTCTAAGCAACGTCACAGCCAGCACACCGCAGTTCGTGCCCATCCTGCGAAGCCTGCAGTCAACGGGGATGCGACTGGATGGGATAACTCGGTATACACATACAAGTAGCGCGCAGGGTTCCCGCTCTCGATACCTTTTCTCTGCAAGGACGGGGGGTGATTCTGTGCATGAGCTGGATAATATCCCGTTGGCGACTACCAAGACGACGGTAACCGGTGGGCATCCGAGTAATTATGAGGAGCGGGAGAATGAAGAGGATGATGGGAGCCAGTCGAGTCAGGCGGGGATTATTCGGGCGACGAGGACGTTTGATATCACGGAGGAGCATGTGAGATGACTTTCTACTTCGTACTATAGCTTTAATTATTTTGTCATTACTAGATAAGAGATACATATGATATGGACTTGTGAATAGCGAAGTTGATTCATCTGGCCAATCAATGAGAATATTGGTGTATTCACAACTGATGGCATCATTGATTCTGTAACACATCGGTGATGTTGATATCTCCTCTCAACAAGATTCAATTCATTTACTCCTCACAAATCAACCACTAGTGATATCTGACAACCACCGAAGAGATAGCCATGAGCATGATAATGGGAGTTTCTCTGTGCATTGGCCTTGCCATGCTGTCAATCGCTGTTTACAGATACCTTGACAACCCCAGACCCAACACCACTTTCGAAACAGGACCAGAATCCCTCCAGATCATCGAAGGAGCCTATCATCCAGACGGAAGAAGAAACTGCCTCTCTGCGCATGAAGCGAGGGCGGTAGAAAACAGGACAATCCAGCGGGTATTCGGTATCCGCAATGCCTTTACTTCTACCGACAAAAACGAAGCAAAGCGGTTTGTCAAGGGGGTCGTCAGGCTCATGAAGCTCACCGATACGGGCTGGGATGGACTCAGCTGTATACTATGTCGGACAGCTTGGGAAATGGCGGAAATGGCACTTGAAACAACCCGGGGAAGTCGAGTGAGTCTGGTGTCTGTAACACAGGTTCTGGCGCTCAAATCGTCTCTCTGCGTGTTTTTCAACATGACGGATGATATTGACAATACTCTTCTTATCGACCTGGCTGCGGTCATACACAAAAATCGGGTAGAGACGAAGACAGAAAGCACATTGCCAGACTTCAAGGACAACCCCGATCTCCAGGCCAAACTCTCCGCCGTCTTCCCTGGCCGGGATATCCTCAATGTACGATCCAACCCGCTGAATCAGATCTTACCCAGTTTCGAGACCGTCTGGTGGGTGGCATTACGACTGTTCATGGAACTGCATCGCCGGGACAAGCAGGACGAGATAGAAACCCTTGTCGCATTTGCTCAGCATCCCACAGATGCACAACTAAAGACCGAAAATGAGAACGGGATCTCTGCAAAGTTTCTGGTCAAAGAAGCCTTTCGACTGTATCCGCCTACAAGACGAATCAGGCGGACGTATTTATTCAGCGACAACAGTCCAATTACCTGCACTGCTGATGTAGAAGCTTGCCAGATTGATGAAAAGGTATGGGGAGATGCCATGAAATTCAAGCCAGAGAGGTGGAAGAGAGCAAGAGTCGTGCAGGATCTGTCGTTTCTTGCCTTCGGTGGTCGCCCGTTTCTGTGCCCGGCAAGTCAGGACTTTGGACTCAGGGTTGTTGGCTTGATTTCTGGGGTTTTGTTGGATGTTTTCCATGATGAATGGGTTTTGGAATCGAATATGGTTGAGGACATGAAAGAGTTGAGATCTGGAGAGAGGTTGCTGAATGACCGTGATGCTTATGACGGTGTCTTTCTTGACTTGAATTATCCTGACCATCTTCAATAGGATCACTTCTACTACACTAGATATCATGGGAGTCTTTGATAGAACATGCATCTGTCTAGTCCGGTGGAGCATCGGGCACACCGGCATTCCGGCTTGTTAGTGCTTACATGCACTCCACCGAGGGGCACTGCTATTTATTACAGAAGATAATCCATTATTCCATTTTCTTGAATAACTTCAATATTACTGCTATACCAATTCAACAATATGGCCACCTACGACAGCACCATCGCCATCGCCCAAGGCATCCTCAACACCCTCACCCACATCCTCACCAAAGCCGAACAATCACACCCTGATCCATCTTCCCTCCTCAATGCCCGCCTGCACCCAGACATGTACCCTCTAACCGACCAAGTACGCTGCCTAGCCAATTTCTCCGAATTCCTCGCTGCCCGACTCACAGACCGTGAACCAGCCCAACCCTGTTCCAAACCAAACACATTCGCCGAGTGCCACGAGCGCATTGAGACAGTCCTCAGCACACTCCGCGCAGCGGATAAAGACCTCGTGAACGCACAAGGCGAGGCCGTTAAGCCGACGAATCGGGGCCCATTGGGCGAGGTGGATATGAGCGGTGCCGTGTATGCGCATACGATTGTGCTGCCGAATATCTACTTCCATCTGGCGACGGCGTATGGCATTCTGAGGGCGCAGGGGGTGCAGATTGGGAAGATGGATTATTATCAGGGGTTTGTGCCGTTGCAAGTTTAGCGTTAGATGTTACTGCTTAGAGTCTTGTCTGGTTGTACTATATATCGAGAAATGAATCTCCGCTCCACAAAGCCGTCTTGTCTGGTTTACGACCTAGTTCTGATTAAACCTTCGTGAAATGAGACGAGTAGAGTAATATTAGTGTATGACGGCATAAACGGCGAATCCCCGAGCTGGGCCGTGGGGAAAGGTATAGCTCCCCGCGGAGACCAGCCCTCAACTGTGTCGTGACGGCGGGGCGGAGTCTGGAGCAGATGGATGCTTTCTTTGATAATGCGGAGAGCTGGAATTTTTTGCGGCGAGTCGGCAGATTAGAGACAAGGAGATTGAGGATTGGATGTGGACAAAAAAGTTAAACAGTGAGGAGGGGCTTAGGGTTGACTACAGCATAGAATAATGAGATGCTATACAACTAGACCAACGCCATGCACAGAGCTATCTCCACGTAGAATGACCACTTAACCAACCGACTTCAATGACTTTCCGGCTTCGACTGAATTACCAGAGAAATTCAACCCGCCGAATGTTCCGTTCCAGTTTGTCGAGAATGAGTGGAGAGTGGAGTGACGATCTGTAAATGAGACGGCGACGACGGCGAAGACTCCGAGACCAAATAGACAATGTATAAGTATGAGAGCATAGAATGATTGAAGGACTGTTCAAATCCAGCAGAACAATTGGACGGATTAAACATCAGAGAATGTCTCTCCCAGACTCTGCCGGAGTAAGTAGTCTGCCTCCATTACTTACCTATCTAACAGTATAGAACCGCTCCTTCGTCCTCGAACGCATCCAGAAGTTCAAATTCGAAGACCGCCCCGTCCCAACCCTCCAAGATCCCCACGATGTCCTCGTCAGAGTCGAATACACCGGAATCTGCGGTAGCGATGTACGCCTCCCTCCTACTAACTATATTGGCCCATCTAACTCGTGTAGGTCCACTACTGGACAAGCGGCCAGATCGGGCCCTTCAAAGTAACCCAACCCCTAGTCCTCGGCCACGAATCCTCAGGGATAGTCGAACAGGTTGGAGCTGCCGTGAAAACGCTCCAGCCCGGCGACAGGGTCACCCTGGAGCCCGGCTCGCCCTGCCGCCGCTGCGATCCCTGTAAAGCCGGGAAATACAATCTCTGCGCAGAGATGGCCTTTGCCGCGACGCCGCCGTTTGACGGGACGCTTGCCAAGTACTATAAACTCCCAGAGGACCTGTGCTACAAGCTTCCTGGGAGTTTAACGCTGGAGCAGGGGGCGCTTGTGGAGCCGCTGGGGGTTGCGACGCATCTTGTGCGGCAGGGGTGTGTATCGCCTGGCCAGAATGTTGTGGTGTTTGGGGCTGGGCCGGTGGGGTTGCTTTGCTGTGCTGTTGCGAGGGCGTTCGGCGCGAAGAAGGTCGTTGCTGTTGATATCCAGCAGAATAGGGTGGATTTTGCGGTAAAGTATGCTGCTACCTCGGGGTTTATACCGGACGGTGGGATGTCTGCTTTTGAGAATGCGACGCGTCTGCGTGTGGAGAGTGGCCTTGGAGTTGGCGCTGATGTTGTTATTGATGCCTCTGGGGCTGAGGCGTCTATCAACACTGGTATCCATGTTCTTCGGCCTGGGGGGACGTATGTGCAGGGTGGCATGGGCCGGGATGAAGTGCGGTTTCCCATTACGGCGGTCTGCACCAAGGAGATTAATGTGAAGGGGAGTTTCCGGTACTCTGGGGGAGACTATTGCCTTGCAATCGAGCTGCTGGCTGCAGGAAAGGTCACTGTTGATGAGCTGATTACGAGTGTCTTTGACTTTGAGGATGCTGAGCTGGCGTTCAAGCAGGTTAGGGCTGGGGGAGGCATCAAGACTTTGATCAGGGGTGAACCAAAATAATTCTATATATAAAATGACGTATTACTTCTATTATCTACAATCGTGCGTAAAATCCACCCCTGTCCAGCTTCGCCAGGCTGGTTGGCGTGATATCAGCCAGTGTCCTGCATCCAGCCAGGGCCATGGTGTGTATAAACTCAGACTGAAGAATCTCCAATCCCCTGGCCACTCCCTGCTCTCCTGCAACCGCCAGACCCCAGAGAGGAATCCTGCCGATCATGACGCCGTCTGCTCCCAAGGCTACGGCCTTGAAGATGTCGCTCCCCTTGCGAATGCCGCCATCCACCCAGACCTGCATGTTCTTGCTCTTCCGCGCAGCTTCAACACACTCCGGTAATGAATCTAGTGTCGGCAGTGCAGACTCAAGCTGTCGTCCGCCGTGATTTGAAACAATGATCCCGGTGACGTTGGCTGGAGACGAAGCTGCAATCTCGACATCCTCCGCTGTACTGACCCCCTTCAACCAGATCTCCATCTTCGTAATCGACCGCAGCCACAATAACGACTCTTCCCACGTAAGCGCATCATCTGCAACCATTAGCTTAACCCGTTTCTTCTAGAAGTTTACATACCAGCCTCATTCGGCTCCTCCACAACCTCTCCATTCTTAAGAACATGCTGCACCATCGGCCCAACCTTGGTCTCCCCAAAATTCGGCAGCGACAGATGACTCGGCAGCCCAAACCCATTGCGACTCATATTATACCGGTTCCCCAGCCTGGGCGTGTCCACTGTCAGCATCACAGCTTTATACCCTTCCCTCTCCGCCCGCTTCACCAGATTCTCCGTCGCAGCCCGGTTCTTGAAGATATAAAGCTGCAGCATATACGTATTCCCAGGCCCAACCTCATCACCCGCCCTCTTCACATCCTCTAGCGAAGTCGTAGCATATGTCGACACACCCATGGGGATGCCGGCCTTTGCTGCGGCACGGGCCGTTGCTTTCTCGCCGTCCGGATGCGCGAGACACTGCATTCCTGAAGGCGCAACGACGAGCGGGAATGGCGACGACGAGCCCAGAAGCGGCTTTTGGGATTGGATCTGGGATACATCGCGCAGAATGCGCGGGCGGATCTTGTACCGGTCGAAGGCGGAGATGTTGCCTTGCAGCGCGAGACCGGATTCGGATCCTTCGTTGAAGTATTCTATCTTGGTCAGTATTTTATATACCTTAGCTTGGTGAGCTATAGAAGTGGTAGGTAGGTACCGCGGACAGTCTTGCTCAAGACGGGGGCTGCCGCCTCTTCGAGGTCTTTGATGCAGAGGATGTTGGAGAGAGTCATGGTGGGTTAATCTGTTCAGTACATTCGCAATAGAAACTGTGTTTATACAGCTTTTGACGCTTCCATATATAAAGCTAGTCAGCCCATCCGGTGTATACAGCTCCGTCATCGGACCCAGACGGAAAATCAGTTTCCACCAATCAGAACCACTATTTCTCTGTATGCGGTTAGTCTGTCTCTTCCTGGCTCGATAGCCGATCCGACAGTTGAAGCCGACTCGCCCGAGTCCAGTCGGCTTGTTGTGCATCTTTCCGGCATTCAATTCCCGACGTCAGGATCTGGATGAACGGCAATTGATTGAGAAGTAATGGGCTGTGAAGATTTATTAAGGCCGTTCTCCATGTCCAACATATACGAGTAGGCTAAATCTACTTGGCACGTCAACTTATAACTGTCACACTAACGACGCAGCAGGTACTCATAGACGGCGTAAGATCACCGACGTAGTTATTCCTCACAACAGACTATCTGGTCCTAACCAAGTAAGCAGCAACTTGGTGACAGTCAAAGGAAACATGACCCCCACACCGTCGACCAATGACATCCCGGGAACTCAGTCTGCAGTGACGGGGAAAACGGCGAATTGCCCGAGTGCTGTTGTGTTACTCCAGTCATCACTGTATTTAAATTTACAATGCAGATTATTCTCGCTTTGCTTCATTATTGTCACACTCGAGGACCGAGACTCGCCATAAATATGCTTTCACAGCGGGGCCAAGTGGACTTCCTTCCTTCCTGACAACTGACCTCTCTTCCTCTCTTTCTCTTCTCACTCAACTTCCACGATGCAAATCAAAAAGGGCTACTACATCGGCATCGATGTCGGCACTGGCAGTGCGCGTGCCTGTATCATCGACCACAATGGCGACATTGTCGGCCTAGCATCCAAGGACATCGGCCTCTGGCAACCAGAGCAGGAATACTACGTATGCCCTACCTTAATGGCATTTTCCAACAGGACCAACTAACACATCACGAAGGAACAATCAACCTCCAACATCTGGCAATGCATCTGCACCGCAGTCCGCCAGGCCCTCGCTGAGCAAAACATCCCCCCTGCAGAAATCCACGGCATCGGCTTCGACGCAACCTGCTCGCTCTCCGTCTTCTCGTCCACAACCGACTGCCCGGTCTCCGTCACCGGTCCAGACTTCAACACTGACCGCAACGTGATCCTGTGGCTGGACCACCGCGCTGCGAGGGAGACCGACCTGATCAACTCCACGAAACACAAGGTGCTGCGCTATGTTGGCGATACAATGTCAGTGGAGATGGAGATTCCGAAGATCCTGTGGCTGAAGAATCATATGCCGTCGGAGCTGTTTTCTGACTGCAAGTTCTATGATCTTGTTGATGCCCTGACCCATATTGCCACGGGCGGCGAGACGCGCAGTTTCTCCAGTATGGTGTGTAAGCAGGCATATCTCCCGAAGGGGGTGGAAGGAAGTACGACAGGGTGGCAGAAGGATTTTCTAGAGGAGATAGGATTGGGCGAACTGGCTAACGGGGGATTCAGTCAGATCGGTGGTGTGAATGGCGAGGTGAGTAGGCTGGCTAATCCGCGTGCTGCATTCTAAACTCGTTTCTAACATTTATAACAGACCGGTCAGCATTTAAGCGCGGGCGGGCGTGCCGGTACTCTGTGCGAAAAGGCAGCCAGCGACCTCGGCCTCCGCCCTGGAATCGCGATCGGAAGTGGTGTTATTGATGCATACGCAGGCTGGATTGGAACCGTTGGCGCCAAGGTGGACATCGAACTGAACGGTTACAAGGGGGTCCCATACAAGGCAGGTGATGGTCGTACTGAAGCATTCAAACGTCTCGCCGTCGTGGCCGGTACGTCAACTTGTCACATCGCAATGTCACCCAGCCCGGTATTTGTCCCCGGTGTATGGGGTCCATATCGAGATACCATCTTCGCCGGCTGTTGGATGGCTGAAGGAGGGCAGTCTGCCACCGGCCAGCTTCTACGGCATGTCCTTGAAACACACCCAGCATCAAAAACAGCTTACGCCCTCGCTGAAAGCAAAGGAACAAACATCTTCGGCCTCCTCAACACCCACCTTAAAACCCTAACCGCTGAGCGTAAGCTCCTCTGCATCGGCGAACTAGCGCGATATTTCTTTTTCTACGGCGACCTCTTCGGAAACCGGTCTCCTCTCGCAGACCCGAAAATGACAGGCTCTCTCGTCGGTCTCACCAGCGACACCTCGATCGAAAACCTCGCGATCCACTACTACGGCACGCTCGAATTCATCGCCCTGCAAACAAAGCAGATCGTCGACACAATGAACAGCTCCGGCCACTCTATCAGCTCTATATTCATGTCCGGATCGCAGTGCCAGAATGACATTTTGGTCAATTTGATTGCCTCCGCGTGTAACATGCCCGTCGTGGTTCCGCGTGGACGTTACGTCGAGGCGGCTGTATGCCACGGGGCTGCAATGCTTGGTGTTAAAGCTGGAAATGTAGATTCCGAAGGACATACTGTTGATCTGTGGGATGTAATTGACCTGATGAGCAAGCATGGGAGCATCTTCTTTCCGACCGAGGGAGGCTATGAGAAGGCGCTTCTTGCCGCCAAGTATCAGGTGTTTCTGGACCAGTGTCAGCGACAGCGTGAGTATCGTGCGGTGGTAGAAAAGGTTGTTAGCTTGTAACCACCTTAGTTTCTATAGTGTTATGGTGTTGATAGTTGTAAGCGCAATAACCAGCCGCATAATATACATCTGCACCTACTAAACGTTCACACTGAATAAAGGATAAAGACATAAGACATAAAATATAAATTCTATTATTACATAAATCTTGTAAACCACAAATATCTATTAACACTTTCTTTCGAATCACGTGAGCACCCCAGTTTTCTCCCCGGACTCCACGACTAAACATCACATCACATCTACAACCAATTGCATATAATCTGACATGGATCCAGATCTCGAAGGCTCATCCCCCAGATCAGAGAACAACGAGGAAAACCAGCCCCCTCCAAATAAAAGGCCGAAAACCCACACCGTGCGCCGCAAGCCCGCCTGCCAAACGTGTCGACGGCGGAAGATCCGCTGCGACAATGGCCAGCCGGCGTGCGGGTTCTGCTACTCTAATGACATTGACTGTGTGTATGTTTCGCGTGGAGATGATAGTACCATTGGTCGACAGTATGTGTCTTGTATTTGCTGCCGGTTTGGTCTTGTACTAAATCCTGGATAGGGAGTTCGGGAAAGTACTTGACCGGCTGGATACATTATCCAAGACGGTCGAGAATATCCAGCAGCTTTTGAGCTCACGGGCGGAAACGCCGCAGCCGCAGCCGAATTGGAGCCGGGCTCAGATACAGCTCCCAGAGCGAGAGCGCGAGCGCGAGCGCGTTCCAACCCGAGCAGGAGAGTGGCAGCAGGATTACCTGCAGATCCCGGCCTGCCGATGCAGCGCCGACGCAGTGCTCACCTGGCCGATATTCAGCAGCCAGTTCCGGGAAAACTCGCTCATCACGACGCTATTCCAGTACTCGCACGGGGTAGTCGAGTATCGGTCTCGGTCGAGCGAGTCGGGGACGCTACCTGACGGGCTGCGGTTCACCCCGGACGAACAGATCCCAGCGCTGGTGGACCAGTTTATCCAGAACGTGCACACGAAAAACCCGATTTTGGATCTGGAGTTGCTGATTCGGTCTGGTCGGCATGCCGCGGAGTTTGGGCTGCAGTGGGATGCGCAGTCTTGTTTGGTTCTGATTGCTTGTGCGCTGGGGTGTATATCGCAGCCGTTTACGGCTTCTACCCAGGGTCCGCGGGCTACGGGGTCGCTTTTTGAAGGGTCTGGATGGCCGACGTCGAGTTCTGCGAGTCATTTGCGTGAGGGGGAGGCGTTTTTCATGATGGCGCGGAAGAGGATTGGGTTATTGCAGTATTCTGTTATCGGTGCTGAATGTCACTTTTTTGCGGGAGGTATGTTATAATTGATTCAAGGTTATGGAAGCGAACTTGACTAACTTGACAGTGTATCTGATGTATACGTTTCGCCCGCTCTCGGCCTGGAACCACTTCTACCAAGCCTCGACATTCTACCGGCTGCGGTTGAGGTTAATTGAAGGCCTTGATAGATCGGTGTACGAGGCTGAGCAGCAACCATCCGTTGCTCAACGTTTCGAACAGAGCCTGTATTGGTCGTGCTTCAAGTCTGAGGTAGAAATCCGCGTCGAACTACCACTGCCCCAGTCTGCGATTGCGGAATACGAATATCCAGCTCTGTTCCCTACGCCTCCTACACTGTCCGACGAATACCCAAAACACCGAGACCAAACATCTGACTGGAACCGCTCTGAAACCCCGTCTGTTCTCGACCCAGTCGGCCTTCCTGGGCTGGGGGTATCAAACCACATCACCAAGCTCTTCAACGAAGAACAAAGCTGGTACTACTACCTGACTGAGGTCGCCCTCCGACGCATCGGAAACAGGGTCCTGAACGCATTCTACCGCGGCGACTCCTCCACCTGGTCCAACATCCGACCCCTGATCCCAATGGCACTCGAGTTCGAATCCCAAATCAACGCATGGTTCGCGAACCTGCCACCGGCAATGAAGTACTACGAAAGCAACTCCAGCCCAGACGCTTCCCAACAAGGCTACACCACCGACACCCGCGAGTCCATCTCCCTCGAACTAAGCTGGGCACTGAGCAACCGCTTCCTGGAAATCCGACTGTGGCTGTATCAGCCCTTCCTGTACTTCGCAGCTCACCACCCCATCGGACCAACCGCGGCGGCTGCCGCATCTGCAACAAGAGTAATCCTGCCCCCTCCTATCAACAACGAGGAGTCGGCCATCATCCAAGACCTCGTCCAGTCCGGTCTAGACTGTAGCCTGAAGATCCTGCAAGCGCGGTGTCTTCGCCACCGACACCACGGTATCTGGTTTGACCTCCGAGCCTTGGTGACGGCATCGTTAATATTCATTGCGTTAACACGGAGCGGGAATATCGAACTCCCTCATATCCACCCTGGCGGATTAAAGGCGCACCTCAGTCCCACGCTTGAAACCCTAACGTACTGGGAAGACGAGGCACCTGATATCAAGAAGGCACGGGGTGTTTTGGATAACCTCCTTCGCGATCTGGACTGACTGCACTGAATCAGTCAAGGACAATGCAGCAAGACTTCGGAATCAAACGACTCAACACCTGAATCATGACCACCGCCGATCGCACAAGCATATGAGCCAAGAGGAACCATGAATGCTAGTATAAAGGCCAGACCGAGCTCGGTACTGGCTGGGCGGTCGATCTGCCGTTCGTCGTGCGTGCCGAGGCAGCTCACTATTCGTGGCCTTTGACTGGCTGACGTTGCAAAGCGCCAAGACAATCCACCTTATTAGTCTACCGCCGATCACCCGGTGGATCTGCTCTAATTCCGAACAACACATATCGGAAATACAAGAGAAGTTAGAATAATGGAACAAGGCTCTTGGCGTAAGCCAGGGGCAGGCTCGTCAAGGAGGTAGTCTGCACCCTTCGCCATAGGAGTACTGACTCGCAGGACTCCGTGCGGGGCATATTCTTGCGCTATCCTGCAGTCAGGGATGGCATCAGACCCTTCGCGGATGGTTCATCGGGTACGCGGACGGCAAAGCATTCTAATGAGGTCCAGTTGACGAGGTCTAGTTGACGTGGCAGCACGTCAGCAGATATATGAAGGCTGTGATTCGTGGATCTGGTGGAAACAATCTAATCGAGGGGCCCGCGATGAAACCCTCCTCCTCCGGGTTGTTTGTTTAGCAGCTGTGTGATTAATATACTAGACGCTGGAGGGGTTGCATTCTGATACATGGATACATACAGAATGTGGACCTGCAGAACATTTCACTCGTCTACGGTGTACAATGAATGCAGTGCGATAAACATAATTTTCATTTCTGTTAAACTAACAGCCAATCAATAACTCATACCCAAGGTCCCTATCCTCAGCCTAACATACTATCTACCTAAGCAGAAGAAGACGAAGTCGGGGCGGAAACACCAGAAGTAGAGCTAGATCCGAAGCCCGGAGGAGCACCGCCAGGGGGAGCACCACCGCTACCACCACCAGGGCCGGAGTTCTCGTTCTCAACACCACCCTCCTCAGTATACCAAGCAGCAGGCTCGGTGCTGTCATTGAGAGTGGCGTTGATACCAAGCGAGATCCAGGCAAAGACACCCTGGGAGACGTCGTCGCCGAGCAGGACGTAGTTGACGACGGGGTCGGCGCCCGTGGCGGCCTCCTCGCCCATGATTGAGTCTTCGGCGTTGGTGGTGAGCTCCTGCGTGTTCTCGGCGTAGGGCGAGGTCTTCTCGACCTCGGTGATCAGGTCCTGGTCGAAGAAGATCTGGCCGACGTGGGAGGTGCGGGTGTCGTAGAGACCGGCGAGGGTGCCGTTGGGGAGGACAGTGACCTGGTCGGCGGCGTGGGAGAGCACTAGTAGTGTTAGTTTGAAAACTAGTTATACTGGAAAATCTGGGGACGTACCGTGAATGTGAGTGGCGCGGCCGGTGTAGTGGCCAGGGAAGATGGACTCATAGCGGATGACACCCTCCTCGTCACTGGGCTGGATTCCACGAAGGAAAGTCGAGTCCAGGTTGCTCTCGTCTTCGGTGTTTCCGTTGCCGTTCGCAACAACACCAGAGTAGACACCGGTGGCATTGCAGTGCCAGAAGTCGGTGTAGATCTCGGGGACGGGCTCGCAGGTGTTGACATCGATCAGCTGGATATCGAGGTACAGGGGCACACCGGCCTGGTCCTCGACGAGGTTCTCGCGGACGAGCTCACCAGCGACGAAGTAAGGACCCTGGGTGACCTCGGGCTGCACGATGCAGGAGCCGCTGTCCTCGAAGAGCTCGCTGGGGTCGCTGTCGAGGTTGACGGTCTTGTTGGAGTGGTGGTCCGTGGCCAGCACGTCGTCGAGGTCGCGGACCTTGAGGTAGGGAGCGGACACGCTGGAGCGCTTCTTCATGCGCAGGTTCTGGATGGTGCTCTCACGGCGCGCAATGTTGCTGGCGGTGATGCCGCGGGCCTTGAGCTTGCGCTCGCAGTGGGCGAGGCTGCGGCCGTGAAGGGGGACGCTGCGCAGGTAGGCAGCGCGCTCAGCGGCCTCGGCCTTGTGGTCGTGGCCAGGATGGGCAGAGGCAATGCTGGCCAGACCAGCAAGGCCGACCATGAGGCTGGAAGTGAGATGGACCATTGTAGGCGATCTTTTAGGCAGTGGATGAGAGTTGAGTGAGTTGAGTGAGTTGGTATCGAGAAAACCTCCCAGACGAGGAGATTCACCCTCTTATATAGCTCGCACCTCCATCGCCGGTACTAGAACCAGCGCAAAACCGGCGCAAGACCTCGGATTTGGCCAACTTTGATTCCTCATCTAATCTCAGTTTCTTGACGATGCGAAACCATTGCGACGACCAAGGTAGCGATCGACGTGGAGCAGCATCCAATGGCAGACACCCGAATTATCATCAGACCGCCGGACTCCTTCACAGTTGACGCAGCTAACCTGGACAGGGCAATGTTCCAGGCTGCAGCAAAAGACATGACTCCTCCTGCACTCCCACTGGAGAGGACGCGCAGGCCCAGCCAGTGATTGGCAAGCTTAAACGTGGTTCCTGGCTTGGCCCGGCTTGGCAGCTGGGCAGTTGAACGGCGACGCGTCTCCTGGAGGATGGGGGTCCCTCCGGCGCTTCGTCAGAGGGTCCGCTAGCAGCTGCGACTCCATATATCAAGCCCTGGCAGCTCCGCATCGTCGCTCCATCTGCACGAGAGGTTATTTAGGGCTTCGGGAGGTATACGGGCCGCTGACTCAGCAACAGCCTGCTGGACCAATCAGAATTGCCGGAATCGACAGCGCCCGCTGACTCAGCTCCTATTAGGGGGGTCCAGTATCATCAGAATCTGGTCGGAATCTGGTCGGAATTTTCGAGTGGATACAATCGCTGCATCGGATATCCCTTTTCGACCTAGACTGCCCTGTGATTGCTCCTGCAATTGGAACGACGGCCATGTCGTCTGGCTATACTCCCACTGGAAGGCTTAATCGCCGCGGCATGGGCAACGCGTGCCATCTCTGCCGCCACCGCAAGGTACGAAACCTGCTGCAGCGCCACTGACCAGTCCTGAACGTGCGATTTGAATTACAGATCCGCTGCGATAGGGTGAAGCCCGCCTGCGAAACCTGCCGCCTGGCTGCGGTCCCTTGCGTCTTCACCCCGCTGCCAGCCCGGCCCCGGAAAACGATCCACCAGTAAGTGAAGACTAGACTGAAGAATCCTTTTACTTCTTTTCATATTAATTAACCGTGTCCAGGAAATTGGCCGATACCAGGGCCCAGATTCAACAGTTAGAGGAGGAACTGAGGGCGCAGAAACGGCCGTCTCCCATCCTGCGCTATGCTGGCCCCCGTCTGGAGGAACCAGGCAAATTCGACACGGCGATTGCGGCATTCCAGTGGCATATGCCATTTTGCGACCCAGACCCGATCTTCGACCTGGATGAATTCTACCGCGAGCTGATCGAGGAGGCAGGTTTTCCGTGTGAGAGCGAGCCCGCCAGTTTTGGCATCGTGAAATGGCCGTCCGCGCGTCTAGGCCGGAGTGCCTTGCACTATTACAAGAGCACCGGGCTGTACTCGGTGTTCCCGGCCGTGGACGTGGACGTGGTAGAGCGTCTTCTCGACGGTAGCAATTTCGACCTCGAAGGGGAGTCGATTGATGTTGCGAGCCGGGCCTGTCTCGCCGCGTTTACGGCACTTGTCACTGGTCTTCGCCGTGATGAGCCTGTCTTTGTTGAAATAGGAGTTGATCCCATTGCGTATGTCCGGGCAGCTCTTACTTTACTGCCTGAATTGGCTATGCATGATACAAACATACGGGCGCTGGAAGCCCTACTCTTGCTCGTAAGTATACCTGCACATGGACATGGACATGCCTAATATCAGTAGACACTATATATTTGCCCTCTTGGGCTCCCACAAACCGGCGAGGTTCTCCTATCCATGGCCGTCAAAATCCTCTTCAATCTAGGCGGAAACACCACAACCCCAAAGCAGAACGGCCAACACCTCCGGGCCCTGTTCTGGCTTGCATACGGAATCGACAAAGAGAACTCCCTCCGCCGGTCCCGACCACCCTTAATCAACGACGCAGACTGCGACCTGGACCTCCCCGCCACCTATGTTTCAGAATACGCCGACTACCACTTCTTCGGCGAGGAGAGCTCCCCCTCCTCCACCGCCCTCCTCTACCCAGCGGACCTCCGCATGGCCATTCTCAAATCCCGCATCTACCGCCTCCTCTACTCCGTCGAAGGCCAGAGACAGTCAATGGCGCGACGCCTGCAGTATATCCGCGAACTCGACCAAGAGCTCAGCGATATGAAGGCCGACTTTCCCCTCCAGTGCCAGCCAGACGGCTTTGCCGGGGGGAGTGTCCCGGATACACTCTTCCACGACCTGAACTTGCGAGGCGTGTCCATACATCTAGGATACTACTTCTGTCTCACGAAGATCCACGCCGCCGCTTCAATAGGGAATGATAGTTTCTCGCCCCCGCCGCCGTCGAGCGTAGAGCTGTGCTACCAGGCTGCGCGGTCTAGCTTGCTCTACATCAGCCGAGTTCGGCAGGGTATCATCCCAGAGACATACTGGTATGTCCCACCTTTAATTACCCTATCCATTTAACTATACTATATACTAAGTAATAAACAGGGTCTACGCGCAATTCATAATCACAGCCGTGCTCGCACTATACAGACGGCTACTCGTCGCTCCAGACGGGTCGTACGTCTACGACGACATGCAGATCATGGACGAGATAGCGGATATCTTTGCGCGGTTGTATAATTCGTCTTGCGATGTGGGGAGGCCATTTGCGCCGTATATGATCACCGAGCGGTTTGTTTCGAAGATAACGGCGCTGGCGAGGGAGAGTATTGAGTGGGCTGCGAGTGAGGGGGCGGGATGAGATGAATAATTTGATCGTATCTTAATAGATATCAGTTCTGTTCTAAGTGAAAGAGTAGAGCAGTAGAACAACATCAGTATACTATGGAGTTAACAGAATATCCCAAAGCTACAGTTCGGACAGACAGACAGAACAAATTAGATGCAAGTCTGAGACCACAGGCACGAGTTCGGATATATATGTCAAACTCGATAATCGACACTCACTAGTTCCCATTCAAATACCATCCAAACTGCCCTCAAACTCCACAAGCGACCTAGCCTGCCTTAGTCTGCTCAGCTTTTGTACCGGAAAGAGCGGCTTTTGTACTTGAAAGAGTGACTTTGCTACTTGAAACCGTGGCTTTGCTACTTGATGGGATAGCCTTGCTACTTGAAGGAGAGTGGCTGCTCTGTGGAGTAGTCGTAGCTGGGAAAGCCCTGTATTTCTTCCAAGAGTCCTCCATACGCCGTATCTGGCCAGGCGTGAATTCCGACTTACACTTGCTGGCATGATAGGACATGTAATTATGAATCGGATCCAGCCCAGGTTTGTCCGGGCATGAATCGAGGCCCTGGTGTGAGGTCAGTGCTACCATGCACGTAGACAGTCTAGAAGAGCAGGAATAAGGAGAAGAACACGTACAACAAGACAGCCTCTCTCACCCTTAGTTTCGGCCGGGGTGTCGTCAACGTAGTCCCCAGGCTCGGTACAACCGCCCTGAAAGGTGTGGAACAGGCCAAGCCAGTGGCCAACTTCGTGGACCAAGGGCTTGCCCAAGGTGGTCTTTTTGTTTTTTCCCTTGGGAATGGCTCTCCTCATCACGATGCCGTCCCTCAAAGGTTTGTCCTTGTAGACCCACGGGAACGACCTAGATGGGCTGGTTAGACTATGTTGCTTGGCTCGTGGAGGCTGGAGAGAATCAACTTACGCGTATCCTAGAGCTCCCTGGCGGGTACGTGGTACCAAATAGATGTTGAGGGTATTGGCGTTGCCGATGCGGTGTTGCTTGACAGCTTTTTCAGCATCCGATCCAGACTTTAGCTCGCCATCGTATTGGTAGACGATGGCCCTGGTTTCCACGAGCTTGAAGTTGAATACGGTGTCGGCGAAGCCTTCGTTGATGGCATCGATCTATTGCTGTTAGCTTGTTATAATTCGTATAGGTACGTAGGATATGCCTCACATTTTTCTGGACATCATCCGTATAAAGGTCGTTCTGGCTGGAGTTTGTGACAACATGGACATGGACCTGAATTGGATCTATCGACAGAGCCCGAGCGTCTAGTCGGCTGGAAGTATTTGCTTGCAGCTGGCGCATTATGGTGTGGTCCTCGTCGGTCAGGTCTGGCATGCCACAGAAGGCTGCTCCAAGGCCGCTGAGGCCTAGGAGCATGGCCAAAAGAGCAAAGAGCAGCATATTCCAAAGATGTCTTTGCCACTACAGACAGGAAAGAGTTGCCTTTCCTTATTATTTTGAACATTTTGAGGGTCTCAGTATTGACAGCCATGGTGGATTCACTGTGGGAAATGACTGGCTGACTACCAGCGTATGGCCTTTTTGGTCCAGGTGCAGCATTTTGTTATTCACTGTCTGCATCACGGTCGAGTACACTGAGAGTTTCTACTCAGTAGTCTCGCTAATCTATTTATATAGCTGTAAGTTCAGGGCGAGTATAACATGGCATTGAATGATTCTGCATCGAGACTTCCGTGACTGCCATTTAACTGACTCTTGGTCTTTGACAAATTCATTGTAGGAGAGGGAGAAGGTTCATCCTGGTGAAGGGGATTCTTCACTAAATCAATATCCAGGTATAGGTAATTTTCACTCTAGGTCACCCGTGGTCTTAAAATCAGTTACTTGAGCTGAAACTACTAATATAAACAAGAATTATGTTATCTAACTCATAACTAAGCTTAGGAAAAGTTTTATCTTAAATTACTTCTTTTATAATATTTATAATTATTAACCTTTAAAGATAGCTTCTCTTTCTACTAATATAAGATTAAATTAATTAAAAATTATTTCTAAAGTATTATTATAAATCTATTATTGCTACAAGGATCTTCTGTGTTAATAGATTTGGCTCTGCTTGTAATCAGGCAATCTGCCACGCTTAAAAATCGAGGTGGTCGTGTTAGCATCCCTACTAAAATAATATTTATTCTATAATATTATTTATTTATCTTGGTTATATAGTACTTTATTATCTAATAGATTTTTTTATACTAAATTAATATATTTTTAAAGCTATTTAAGTTATCTAATCTAATAATATTTATAATTTATATAGATATCCTGCTATTTCTCTAATAAATTATATTTTTTAAGTTTAATTCTATTAAATCTATCTTAAAAATATCTAAACTCTTTTCTCTCTATAATAGAGATCTTAGATCTATATAATAAATAATAATATATTAATTCCTGATTCTAGGCTAGTTTTATAAAGCTATTATAAAAGAAACTAGTATCTTAAAGTAATTAATAAAGTATTTATAATATAATCTCCTCTATTATAATAGTATTAAGAAGCTATAATATTAAAAGCTAGAAAGAGCTTAAAAACTTTTTAAAATAGATAAAAACTCTTTACTTAAATATTTTTTTACTAAGAGCTAGTAGATATAAGATAAATTAGTTTAATAACTATATTATAAGTAAGAAATAGAGATTTCTTATTAAATAATTAAATATTTATTTTAATATTATAAATAGTCTAGAAAGAGTTTAAAAAAAATATTTTTAAAATAAAATAAATATCTTAAATATTTTTATCTTAATAATATATATTATTATATTATAGAGGATCTAGTATTTCTTAATAAATTAATATTTAATAAGAAGACTAGCTAGTAATATTATAATTATATATTTATTAGAGATAAAGCTTATATATCTATTAATATCTAATAAAATTATATATAGAGTATATATTCTATAATAACTTTAAATAGCTAGCTTCTCTATACTAGTATTAGAAAAGGCTATTTTAAAATAAATAACTTCTTTAAATAGATCTATAATAAGCTACTTCCTACTCTAGATATTAAAGACTAAGATTACCTAATAATAGTAATACTTAATAATATATTAATATATATTAATAATAGTATTATAGAGGCTATAAAAATTATAAAATATATTATTTATTATTTATCTCTATATTCTCTAGATTATAATTTTATTAAGTTTATATTCTTAGTATTAAAGACCTAGATAAAGTAGAACTAGATCTTTCTATATTAATTCTATAGAAATTATAGAGAATTTCTTAAATTATCTATTTATAAAAATTATTATAATAGATATATTTATAAGTAATTTAAATATACTAGTAAAGAAGATATCTATATAAAAAAAAAAGAGATAATTAAATTTTACTAATATATAAAAGATAATAATAACTCTAAAAACTATTAAACTAATATTTATACTATAAAATTAAGTAAATTTAAGATTTATATAATCTTAGTTTTTTTTTATCTTACTAATATCTATAAATTTTTTTAAATAACTATAATTTCTCTCTAAATAATCTAGTAAAGCTATTAGAGATTCTTATTTTTATAATATAGTAATATATTACTAATTATCTATTTTTTATAAGTTTTAGATCTTAGATTAACTAGTTATTTTTAAGTATAATATTTTATATTTATTTTTATTTAATTTTCCTGCTAAAATTCCTGGTATTTTAAAGCTTTTATATAAAAAAAAGTATAAGAATCTCTATATTCTTTTCTATAGTATTAATCAGGTTTAAAATATAGGATTAAAAAATAAAAAAAGCTACTTAATTAATTTCTAATATTTATAAGATTAGTATAAGACTCTTAACTATATAATTTATAGTATTTTATAGCCTAGGAGTTAATAAATATAGCTTAATAAATAGCTCTAGCAAGAATACTAGATTTATAAGAATATTTATAGATTTTTATAGTATCTAATAAATTATTATAAATAGCTTATATTTTTATATATTATATTAAACTTAATATTTTTTATTTCTTTTTTTATAGTATTTTTATTTCTTCTTTATAATCTTTATTAAATCTATTATTTACTATTATATTATTAGATTAAAACTCTTATTTTATATTTCTAGTAATATATTTATTTTCTTTTACTATAGTATAGTAATAGTCTTTTTAATAGACTTATAAGATTTTTTATTAATTAGTCTACTATTCTACTAGTAGTTCTATAACTTAAATAGAAGATTTACTAGTATAATCTTATCTTAAAATATTATATTTATCTAGCTATTATACTATAGTATAGTAATATTATAGTACTTTATCTTATTATAAAGATCTAGGAAGTAAAAGTTATAATAATTAATATAATTATTATTATTACAGTACTAGTATTTTATTAATTATTATTAAAAATATCTAGTATTATAAATAGCTTTAACTCTAGCCTTATTCTACTCTACTAGTATTATTATATATTCTATAACTCTCTATACTAGTAGAGTATAATCTTAATCTATCTAGAAGTAGCAGGAAGCTAGAGATAAGACTAGATAGTTTCTAATTCTCTTTTTAATTAGATTTATATATAGGACCTGTTTTTTTCTATATATACTATATATAAATCTCCTAGGTCTAAACTATTTTTAGTATTAATCTTATAAAAATATTCTAGAAGTCTTTAATTATTTATAATACTTTCTCTATTATAGGTATAGAGAACTAATTAATATTATAATATTTTATACTATTATAGCTAGTTTCCTGCTTAAATAAAATAGATATCTTTATAATACTCTATTTATATAGCTTAATATAGTGATTTATAAGACTAATAACTACTTACTTAATAATAAAAATATTAAAGATATAATAAATAAAGTCCTACTAGATAATTTAATAATTTATAAACTTATTATTATTCTATAAATAAATATAGGTCTATATTAGAAAGTTTATAACTTTTATAGTATCTCTAAGATAATTCTCTAGCTTAGAAATCTCTATATTAAATAGCTATAGATCTAGATATTACTAATAAATCTTCTTTATTATTTTTTAATAGATTATAGTTTTATATTATTCTTTAATAATATATAAGATATTTATAAAGACTTTAATCTTACTAGAGAGAACTAGTAAACTATTATTATTAAATTCTTCTTCTTTTTTATAATCTTTTATTATTTTTATATTATTCTCTTTTTTCTTTTTCTTTTCCTCCTTCTCTATTATTAATAATAAGATAGCTAATAATAAGACTACTAGAAACCTTATTATATTTAATATTATTAGAGATACTAATACAGCCTCTTTCTCTATAATCCTAATTTATTTATTACTTATAGCTAGCAGCTGATAAAATATAGATTATAATCTTAACTAGAATTTAGTTTATAGATATAGAAGAGAGATAGATATAAAGATTATTTTCTTTACTAGTAAGAGTTCTGGAATCTTTAAGATACTATATTTTTTAATTTTATTTTAAATAACTATAATAGCTTTAATTATCCTGTAAGATATATATATATTATTATATTATTAGCCAGGCACTGGAGATATATTAATATAAAAAATAGTAGTATAGTAGAGATTATATAGAATTAGACTTTACAGGACCTAATCAGGCTTTTTTTTAGTTTAGTATAGTATTTTAGTAACTTTTATAACTCTAAATAGCTTTAATTTAACTAATTTAGGAAAAAAAATAGAGTATTTTATAGAGCTAGTGAATAAAGTACTGCGTAACCAAGGTAAGTAAGTAATGTTATAGAATAAGTGTTATTTTAGTGGGGACGCTAACACGACCGCCTCGATTTTTGAGCGCGGCAGATGCCCATTTCACCATCCACTCCGACGTTAACACCTCTTCAGCTGTCAGTCGCTCTTTTGGCCGGAATGACAGCATTCGCCGCATCAAATGCAGAAACGCAGCTTTCTCGCTTTCCCCCGTCTCGTCTCCTATTTTCCGTCTCCACTTCTGCACACCGACCTCAAATGACTCTTGAAGCGGAGGCCATCTATTTTCCCTGTGGGATTCTGTTGGATGCCCTTCCTCATCAAAAAATCGCGGTCGTCCATCCCAACGCTGCCACCACTCTGAAGGAATAGGTCCAAGTACATCGATATGTTGAGACACTATCTCATCCTCATGCACGAAATCAGTGCTAAAAATAGCTTTCATTCCGATGATCTCCCAGATTGCCGTAGCTAGACTCCAGATATCTGAGGGATATGCGAGGCGGGTTTGCGATTCGAATTTGGCTTCTGGAGCTCGAAAAGCGGGTGGCGTATGGCAGTCTTGCCCAAGACGATCTTCTGAAGAGGGTGAAAACGCCTCACCAAAGTCACTAAGAAGCGGGTGCGCGTTGGATAGTGAGAACTCCTCTGCATATTTTCCTAAGAATAGCGGCACAACTGCCTTGGCAGGCACATTAGGGGGTAATGGCCCCCCGTCACATCGTGTGACGGGGACTGTCTCGGGTTCACCGTACTTGTCATAAAGCTGCTTGATGGAAAGCTCATCGAAGCTTGATGGGAGCTTGACCAAAACGTTGCCAAGGTGTATATCTAGATCAGCGATTTGCGAGCGTCAGCTTACTGGTCAAACGCACGCAGATATCGTGATCGCATGACCAACCTCCGTGAACGTAGCCTTGAGAATGTGTATAAGCAACGGCCTGTGTAAGTCCGTATGACAGCGCTCGAGCAACTCTGAGGGAGAAAAGGCGGCTAAAGGAGATCTCCCTGAGATTGCATTGTGCAGGAGTCACCGTGTAGCATGTATGTCTTCCATTAGGACCTTGCACTTCGAATTCATCTAGGAAAGTAGGTACTAAACCATGCCCGGGGTGTGCGGGTAACGACGGAGAAGACAGAGACTTAAGGACTTTTGTCTCGCGCGGAAGCGCGTCTGCTATACTGACCTTGACTGCAACATACCGCTTCAGATGGGTATCCAGGGCAAGCCAAACCGTCGAATAGCCCCCAAAGCCAAGTTTATCTGCAATGTGGTATCTGTCATTTAGCACGTCCCCAATCCTGATGGGATGATAACCCCCAGGCTGATATTTTTCGAGATTCTCTACACCCTTAATCCAGTTATACTCGATGCGATGGTTCTCAGCCATTATGGAGCCCCGCCGCGCGAAATATCCCGATTTGGGCTGTCGCGGCCGGAAATGGTATTGGAAAAATGGAATTGAAGGTGGGCGTGAGTTCGGTAGTATACCAAGTGGCGCAGTATTCCTAAATATTTTCGAGCAGCCAGTCATGGTATGCTGGCGTGGTTGTTCAAAGATATTGCTGGAAGCGCTCTGGGAGCATCAACAAAGGCCAGGGCGAGGTTCACGGTGAGACGTGACCAGGATCCAGCTCAGTTTGTTATGTAAGTCGCCAAAGCGCTGACTCAACCCCACACCCTGCACGTGAGTGGCCAGCTTCCTCGCATCGGATCCACTTCTGAACAACATCGATCTACTCAACACCACCAACACATTCTACTTACAACACCAACACCAACATATCGACATCTTTCAGCCGAGAGTACAAACATGGATGCCTTTGACGAGGTAAAGGAACCTCGGCGTGTGAGGCTAATTTCCGAAATCGCCAACCAGATTGGCCATGACCACCCTGTAGACGCGGGCTTTTGGGCCTTTGTCTGGTTAGCGGATATCGAACAGCTGGAAATACTCATCAATTACTTCAAGAACCATCCGACAGACCACCTGAAGAATGGAATCGACATGAATCCATCAGAGATCAAAACTCTCAAGACATGTGAGTTGATTAATACTACCTTTCCCTAGATACCAATGACCTAACCGCTATTGCCAGGGACAACAAGAGACCGGAGCTCCAAGAACCAGGAAATTGTGGGGGATGACGGCGAAATGAAGAGGAAGTCGGCAGCCCATACTGAATCGCCAAGTCCTACCAAGCTTCCTCGCCGCCCCGGAGATACCATTCAAGGTGCCGAGGATGTTACTCGTCTCAGCTCAGATCTTCGGGGTGCAAGTACACGTTCTAGGTCCAGCTCACCCTCGAAAATACCACAGGCGGTACCACCGTCTATGGTCTCCCCCAGACAAGCCCTGCCAGGAACTCCCGCAGAGCCTGTATCTCCCAAAAAGAAGAATCCTGAGGCAAAGAGATATGGCCGCTCCACAATCATGGCAGACAAGGTACGCATGATACCAACATTGGCTCCAGGAATATTACTAAGAAATCACAGTGCCGTGAAAGAGAGAACTGGACCTGCCTTATCACAAGGGCGGCGATTCTGTCGAGGTGGCTCACATTTATCCCTTCTCCTTAGGCCAAACAGCAGGAACCACAAACTACACTGATTTCTGGAGTACCCTGTCGGCGTATTGGTCACCCTCGAAGATTAAAGACTGGGAGAACGTGGTTATTGGCCAGTAAGGTACGGAAATATTGTCAAACCTCATGTCACTAGCAGCCACCACCATGTGGAGGGACGCGAGGTTCGCGCTGAAATCCCATGACCTCTCCGACGACCAAAAGACGCTTCGAGTTGTATTTTATTGGATTTCCAGCGCCAGATATGGGCTGCGCTATCTAAAAGACCCGCCAACTCCTTCTCGCAATGTTGACTGCAGTGTGGGGAGAACCTGCTTTCTGGATTGCCAGTCCAGATCAATCATACGCTTGGGCGATATCCTCACATTCACTACACCGGATCCGACAAAGTGGCCACTGCCATCAGTGCAGCTGTTATGCATGCAATGTTTGCTAAATCGCCTAGTGGCGATCACTGGGGCGGCCGATGTGACAGACGAAGAACTCGAGTCCGACGATCCAATGGGTCTTGCTCCTCCTATCTTGGTCGGCTACGACGACGACGACGACGACGACGACGACGAGGAGGAGGAGGTGGAGGAGGAGGGTATCAGCCCCGGCATGTAGAACTCATCTCGAAGATTGCCACCAAATTCGGTCACAACGAAGTGGTCGCCCAGTTTTGGGCCATGTCCTCCCGGCCCAGCTGCGCCAGAAACTTCGGCAGGACTTGTGTTTTCAAAAGTAGAAAAAGATATTGTCTTCACAATTAAGGGGACCGGAATACGCCTGCGAGTAGCCAATCCAGAATACGTTATTAGCGCCTGAGGCTTTCAAATATCTCAATTCGGGACGCCACGATAATCACAAGCCAATTGCACTTGAAATGACAAGGCGCATGCAAGCCTCCTACCTTTCAGCTGTCGACTGCAGGCTTACGCGTGGCTCACCAGCCAGCCTGTAGGAATAAGAGTATAAGCGCAGGAGTCCGAGCTAACGGCTCTGACTTGAGCGACGAGGCTGAATCGGACTGACATAAATACTGAACACGTCTAGCGAAAAGTCATTGCCTAGCAGCTCTGTCTTCACCACATTATCACCACTTGACGTGTTAACTTGGATACCATGGGCTACCCAATAGTTTGTTTATCCTACACCCGTCAAGAAGTAAAACCATTAACCTATCATCTTACAGATCCTTCCGAATAGCGAGGTTACCTGATACTACTCCATCAACGCCTTCCATACAGACTGCCCTTCCTGCGATGGAATAATCCCAGCGCACGAGAAGTCTTGGAACTGGCAGCAATACACGACTCAGCCAGTAGGATTTGTGAATGGTGTTGCAAGGAATGTTGTCCATGGTCATGGGCCTTACTGTGCGTCTTGTGTGAGTTGGCTTCCTCTATATGTATCAGAGCTTGATATTAATGTGGGATTAGTTTTACGGAGCTAAAAGGCAGTTTGACCGGATGATGTAGATCTGGGGATGGGAGAATTCTTCACCTATGATTTATTCCTAAGTGGTTGTTGTTTCTGTATTAGCTAAACGTACAGCTTATATGATATCGATAACTCGCCATTCATTGAAGCATAATACATTGTAGTTGCAGTTACTGACAATGACTCAGCCGTTGCTTCCTCGATCCCCTCCAGACTACCTTAACAACACAACTCCTCTACCTACGTGCAACACAGCGCGTCGAATCTTTCTTTGGTACTGCCGCAAAATGGCGAGAACCGACCATTGGCCCAACGTAAGGGAAAGAGAGCAAAATACTGGTAGATCAAGACCCAGGGATTCAAACTTTTACGACGGAAGCTTACGGTCTTGTCGAAGGAGAGATAATACAGACCCTTTTCACAGCCAATTCAATGACTAAGGTGCAAAACCTGTTATTTACGAAATCGTGTTGAACTCAAGAGGTAAGAGGTGAACCAATTGTGCAAGGTTCATAGTCACACCACCATATAACTCAAATTGATGACTTTCAACAGCTGTGTCATGATTTATAAGAAAGGGACAAATATCATGTTCTTTGTCTGCAAATGACATGCATCAGACCAGGTTTAGTGAATACAACAAACAGAAAGACATGGACAATATCCATGAGATCGAGGACACTGGAGATAAAGACGACCTAGTCGCGTCAGATCTGCTGCCCGTTCCAGCCGGCAATGGAAGCGATCCATTTTGCTACATCTGTATTTGCACATTCGGAGAGATGGCTCCGAAATCAACCCCAGAAGTGTACTCTGACTCGGCCATGCTGCCTAACAGGGAAGATGAAGATTATTTTAACTATTATCGCCTCAGCATGTAGCGTCTCTTCCGTTCTATTTGCACCCTATTCACTAACAGACGAAACAGTTCTCTTCCACCGAGAAAAGCATATCTGTCGCATTTCGGGCATATCAAACATTATCGTTGGCGACTATGACTTTCACACACGCCAGGCACCCTGGGATGAACACACGGCGATCATGAGATCTACAAAAAATTCATGCTTGAATAACGAACTCGCGACGGCTCTCCAGTACGAAGACCGCGATTTATCCGGCAGTGATCGAAGGCTTATGTGCCTGGTAGTTCATGCTCGCTGCTGGCAATTACTCTGTAAGCACAGGATTTGGTCTCTCTGTGGGGGTGACATAAAACTTGTGATGCGAGCCCTATATCGTCGACGTCTTCCTAAATACCATCAGCCATTAACCTCATTTAAACGTCCGCTGCCTATGCTTGATGATGGCACGGAAGAAGGTAGAGTTATATCTTTGCTATTTGTTTCTTTTTGTTTAGTTCTGCACGCTAACATCTATTGAACCTTTAGACCCCTTTTACAGTAACCGGGTACAGTCTATAATCCGCCAGGCTGGACGCAGGACGCGCAAACAATACCACGCTCTGCAACACAGACATAAGATGATTTACCTCAGTCGACTCCCTCCGGAGATTCTACTTATGATAGCGAATTTACTCCCGTCCACAGACACTGCAGCGGTCCAGAAGGCCATCGGATCTTATTTAGGTGATATATACTGGCGCTCCAGAATCCCAGATATTTTTTATGAAGCCCGAGACCTGACCACTGAGAGCCTAAACTGGGAATATCTATGCTTGGAGCTGGAAAGGCTGAAATCGCGCTGGGCCATTTATTATTCCTGTCGCGACGACATTTGGGATAGCCTGGATAGGACCGTCCAGCTCATTGGTGAATTTAATGATGTATGAAACCAATCATGACAAAAACACCTCCCGACCATGGAGCTGATCTCGTTGGATTGGGGATGGGCATCATACCAAAAACCATGGACCGGTGGTTAGCAACTACGTCTCGCCAGTCACTCCCTGTCCCTACGCCGCAAGAATTACTGAACTTGACCGAGCACGGATGGTTAGTGATGCTGATAGAGCAATGGTTCCACTTATGTAGCTCAAGCTGCGAAGTTATTTCGGCCCACTATGAGATAGGACTCAGGGAATCACCATCAGGACTAGAACTCTAATCTGATACCCAGTCAGCGGCATTATCTCAGCTCCAGAAAATCATAGCATGAAATATATTTGTGCCACTCATCTGCTGCAGTGCCAGCACCTCGCTTGTCCATGGTCGGCCCTGTCAAATATTAAGTAGAGGTCACTGCATTCGGTGCATCTTTTGCATGTACAATGGCTGCTTAGCCGCCTAGCGGCGATCACTAGGCGGCAGAGGTTACAGACGACCGTTGGATCCCGATGACATGGACTTGCTTCCCCCATCTCGATCCACTTTGATTCGTGCTAACAGCGGTGGCCGTGTGACAGCAACAGCACCGAAGACCGGGTCGGCGCGATGTGGAGTGTGATCCTCGCGTCAATCTTCCCCGTAACAGAATACGCGATCGAGTCACAATCCCGAGATCCGGGAGGCTACACCGACTTCACTATAAGTCAATGGACCAACAAGCAGAAAATATCTGCGAGGCCATGCTGAAACGGCAGACGGCGCGGTTACCGATGGCACGAATGTCATTTTTTCACTTACAGGAAGTCGGATGGAAAGCTCAACGGATTACACGGGCAGTGGCGATCATATGAAGTCAGGCGCCTTCGTTATTAAGGAGCCACTGTCATGTATTATTAGAATCGTCACTCAACGAATTTACTAATTTGAGTTATCATGGTGGTGTGATAGTGACCTTCTGCTACTCACCCTTTTCTTTTTGAGTGTGTCGAAAAGTCTATGTAGTATATTGCGCAATAGACTCCTATATGCCTAGAATAACGCAGTATCTTTCTTCAGTATAATTGCCGTCCATGGTCTAAACTGATTAACTCGACCTCGCACAGCAACTCTCCGACAAAGGCAGTCTGTGGTAGATTTATACCCTTTGTATAGTATCTATATATAGGCGGAAATCATTTCCCTGTTGAGTTAGTCACGAGAATGCCACAGAAACACCAGCGTCTCCAGATCGCTGCCAACTTCAGCCTATCATCAGGATGAGATAGAACCACTTGCTTTATCTGCCAAGATACTTGGCTACTTCTACGATGCCTGCCGTATCCAAAACCTGCCGGAGCTGCGCCGAGTCCAAGGTGCGCTGTGTCCGGGCGCCTGACAGCGCTGACATCTGTAATCGGTAAGCGCAGTCCATTGATGCTTGAGAGCTGAATCTGATTATCTTACTAGATGCCGTCGTTTGGGAAAAGAATGTCTTTATCGCCAGAGCGGTCGCCGTTTTAAAGGCTTTGAAAAGGACCGGTGAGATGACTTACTGATGGGTGGTTCGTTCTAACTCGCATCAGAAAGATCGCAGCTCTCGAGTCGAAAATAAAGGAGCTTATCGTCGATGATCACTCTGGAGGGCGTAGTAAATCATCTGTTTCTGGCGACATTGCTGAAGACATCATCAGCCGCAACTTTCTTGATACTGAAACGGCCGAAAGGTACCTGGACATATTCAGGACCCAACTGACTCCGCATTTTCCGTTTATCGTTGTATCGCCAGATACATCTCTCGAGAAACTCCGCCTGGAGAAGCCGTTTCTATGCTTATCGATCCTTGCGGCAGCTTCGTTCGAGAACATGCCCCTGCAGCGGGCGCTGGGGCATGAATTCAAGAAAGTTGTAGCGTCGCGTATTATCGTCGGGGGAGAGATTTCCTTCGAACTATTACAGGGTTTACTTGTATTCCTTGCTTGGTGAATACACCCAGTTCATTCGTGGTCTGTATCTGACATCAATAGGTCCCATTACCACTCAAAGCCACACCGTTATACCCAATTCTTGCAGCTGGCTATCAGTCTCATAATAGATCTGCGTCTGGACCGCCCACCGCAAACAGGGATATGGAAGACGGCGCTGCGCTTTGGACCTACAGATAGTGTGGATAAAACCCTTGACCGGCCTTCTTGGGGGAGGGACGAGCAGAGGGCTGTTTTGGGCTGCTACTATTTATCCTCGTCGTGAGTTGCTGTCACGAACCCATGGGCTCCTGCTAATAATTTAGTATTGCAATGCTTGTGCAGAAGAGATCGAGTCTTCAGCGTCTCCCGTACCATGAAGAGTGTTGCCGGAAACTCGCTGACGCCGAGTATCCCCACGACAAGTACATCGCTCCTGTGATCCAGCTGCAGTTCATTGCCGAGAAGATCGATAATTTATCTGAAAAGCACGTACCTGACTTGGAGAGGCCTGGCTCTGGGGCGGAGCTCTATATCACCAATTTACAGTCAGAGCTGGAGACATTCTACCGCCAACTTCCTTTTGATATCAATGAAAGCCGTACGTTCAGATCCTTTCAAATGATGTGATACTAATAATGTAAAGCTCTTCTGACTATACACTACCACGCCACCGGACTTTCTTTATACCAGCTAGCTCTCACCATCACCAGCCGACAATCGCAAACACCATTCGACTACTGGAGAGACGAGATGTCTGTTTCCGCCCTAATTTCAGCCAGTTCAATATTAAATACACTGGTTCAACTCCCATCCAAAGAGGAAGTCGGATTCAACAATACCCAATGGGTACAGATAGGGTTCGCCTTGCTAGTTGCCTATCGACACACAGTGATAGCCTCCAAACCAGAGCAGACGTTTGCGTTTCTTGATACTCTATCAAAACTGGAAGCGCGAGTCGGCGGACTGTCCACTGAAGAAGTCGATGCAAATGGAAAACGAGATGTTTTCTTTGATTTCAGGAGACGCGTGGTTCAGATTCAGAAGTGGTTCGATGGGCCGAATCAGAATGCGAGTCGTAGTCAGACTACGTCAGATCAGATGCCGTTCTCCGAGGACATGGACTTTGATAGGCTTTCTGGGACTGCAGTGCATCTTGATGCCACTCTGCCAGGGGAAATACAAGTTCCCCCTGATTTTCTGTATTCGGCTTCCTTCGAGGAGATCATGAGTGAATGGGTGTGGAAATAGAATATTGATCCAACACATAATTCAAGTTATTAATAAATACAAGACGGAAGCCATCCGGCCGAACCTGATCAAGCTGTTCCATACTAAATAAGCTGGGGCTGTGCATATCGCCGACCCGATCGATATAAGCCCGCCAAGCCTCATCACCGACCCGAGCACAGTATAAAGCGGGCTTATACCAGCAAGACGGAACCAAACCAACATTATCACTACAAGATGAAGCTCCTACTCTGCTATATATTGGCATCTGTGACTTCCGCCCTCTCCTTCACCCCCTGCCCACTCCTCGGCCCAGCCTTCCCCCCATACACCCTAGACACAGACGACAAAATCCTCAACAAGGCCCTGGAAACACTCACGCACAAGTTCAACACCCAGCTCGGCGGAAACAGCGGCTCTCATGGCGAAACCTCACCCAACACAACGTTCAGCGTTGCGCTGTTCTCAGCGAACCCCGGTACAGCTGCTGAGGAGCCTTTCTTCTGGGAATACCACTATGCAGCGCCGTGGTTGAACAAGAGTACTTCAGGCGGGGCGAGGGTTGTGGATAAGGATAGTGTCTATCGTATTGGAGGGCTTACCGAGGTGTTCACGGTTTGGTCGCTTTTGCTGGGAGATGGGGGTTTGATCTTGGATGAGCCGGTGACGGAGTATCTTCCTGAGCTGAATAGGGCTGCTGGAGATGATATTGAGCGGGTTGCCTGGGATGAGGTTACGGTTGGACAGCTTGCGAGCCATATGTCTGGACTTGCACGGGATTGTACGTATTCCACGGGATATACGAGTCAAACTAATGAGATAGACTGCTCTAGAGACGTGGCTGCGCCAGGACTGCCTAAGCTCTCATCTATCAACACCTGCTGCAGCAACCCGGACAAATGTGACAGCAATAGTATGCCTTACCCTTATTACACTGCGTATGCTAATTCTCAGATTTCATCCAACTCATATCCGAAAAACCCCCTGTTGCCCCAGCCGGAGTCACCCCCAGCTACTCGAACATGGCCTTCCAGCTACTAGGGTACATCATCGAACGCCGCGCAGGAAAGCCATTCACCGATGTCTTGACAAACGATATCTTCACTGCATTAAATATGACCAAAACCTCCATCTTCGCCCCGGCCAACAACAGCGTCTCGCCAGTCATCCCCATCAGCAGAGAAGCCAGCGGCTGGTCATCCCGTCTCGGGGGAGAAGAAGCGTACCCTCACCCATCCCCATATCTACTTCAAGTCTAACATTTACAGATCAAAATCAATCTACAGCAGCACCAAAGACCTCGCCATTGCTGGACAGGCAATCCTAAACTCGACCCTGCTCGACAAAAGCCAAACGAACCGCTGGCTCAAACCCGTCGCTCACACCTCTAACCCCGCAAACTCCCTGGGAATGCCATTTACCATCTATCTCGGCGGGAATTACCCCGATCAGTCCCTTGTCGATGTATACACGGTCCTCAGTAACGAGGGATATAATGAGAGTCTGTATAGCTCGTATATCGGGCTCGTTCCGGATTATGGCGTTGGATATGCCATTCTCTCTGCTGATACGGAAGGACCGGCAGATTTGAATGCGCACGCGGATATCATTGGGGATGTGGTGCTTACGGCGCTGGTTAAGATGGCGGTTTTACAGGCGGGGGAGAGCTTCAATGGTACATATACTGCTGCTGCGGATTCTACCAGTCTCTCGTCTATCACGGTCAGACAAGATAATCTGATGGGATTGTATATCGACGAGTTTATCAGCAACGGGACGGATTTCCGGGAAACGTTGTCTGGGCTTGTTGGTGTGGAGCAGTCCAAGGACCTGAGTATCAGATTATATCCCACGCAGCGTGTTGGCTCGAAACAGGCGTTTAGGGCTGTGTTGCAGGATGTCACGGAGCTGGCGGATAATGATACCCCGACTTGTGTGTCGTGGATGGATGTGGATGAGCTGCAGTATGGAGGAAGAGGTCTGGATGAGTTTGTCTTCGAGGTGGATGAGAGAGGGAGGGCTGTTGGTGTTGAGATTCCGGCGTTGCGGGTGGTGCTGTCTAGGGTATACAGTGATAGATTGAGGTAGTACAGGATCTCTAATATAAGCTGATTCTATCTTGAATGTCGCACAACATGAAACCCAGCAACGCCGTCATTCGCCAGCTGCGCTACAAGTCCATACTCCCAGTCCAGATACCCCTGCATCGCCTCTCGCGCGTTCTCTGTCCCTTCATACGGCCGCTTATACACGTCAATCGGCTCCGAAAGCCATCTTGGCTCAGTCTCGAGGGAATTCCCAGCATCCACCCATGCTGCCGTTCCGCCGGCAAGATATAGAACCTCACGGGAGGTAGACTGTGCCTCCTCGATGTTTGCTGCTGCGACAACCCCATCAGGCGATGTCAAGACAATGGGCCCCTCAGGGAGAGTCTTCAAGTCGCGGGCGAGTTCCGGGCCAGATGCAAACCATGCACCTGGGATATGGCCTTTGCTGTAGACGGGACTACGTGCGAGATCGATTACCGTCTTCGCAGGGAGGGCCTTGAACTCGTCGATTGATATCCCTCCCTTTGGTTTCCACGACGGAATTTCTGGGGTTGAGAGGTCTGGAATTGACCCGTCAAAGACATACACCTCCCATCCAAGCTGTAAAAGCCAGCTGGCTGTCATGCGTGCGCGTACACCGTCGGTATCATATAGAACCAGTCGTGCTCCGCGTACACCGACCCATTCGTCCGTAGCCTGGACGAGTTGACCACCAGGGGCATTGACAAAGCCATCAGGATGGTCGAGGGCATACTCCTCCGGATCGCGTACATCCAAGAGATACAGCGTCCGGTCCTCCTCCACAAACCCAGCCAGCTGCTTCCCATCAACAAGCTTGACACCGACATACTCAGCCCAATTGACTGCCCGCTCCCTCGCCCGATTTAAAGCCTCCTTCTCCGGCCTCTCCACCCTCTCTGTCTTCTTACTATCCAGCTGCAATCCCTCCAACGACCACCCAATCGTCCCATTCCTCAACGCAAGCACCTTATTCGGCACCGCAGCGTGAATCAGACTTTGCGCACCAACAATACTCCTCGTGCGCCCTGCACAGTTCACAACAACAGTCGTCTCAGCAGACGGGACAGCCTCAAAGAAGCGATACAGCAGTTCCCCGCCGGGACAGCTACGGCCACGGGGGATGCTCATGGTATTATATTCCGAGAACCGGCGCGCATCCAGAACGGCGACATCACTGTCTTTATTCTCCAGAATCTCTTTCGCGTCCCGCGCAGACACAGACGGGGTATGGTTTATCGCTTCGACTAACTCGCCGAATGCCTTTGAGGGCACCCCGACGTCGCGGTAGACTTCGCCGACGGCGGCGTAGCCTTTCAGTCCGTCCTGGAGGATTGCGACGTCGGCGTACCCCAGTGCTTGAATGCGGGGGACGGCGCGTTCAGCATACCCTTCTCCGCCATCGTAGACGACGATTGGGACGGAGAGGCGTGGAACGAGAGGGGGGAGTTTTGACTCGATCTCTGAGACGGGGACGCTGATGGCCCACAGGGGGTGGGAGAGCGAGTAGGGCCCTTCTTCGCGCACGTCGAGCAGGGCGATTTCGAGCTTGTTGAGCCAGTGGTGGCGGAGGTGGGTTGCTGTTATTGACTTCATTTTTAATTATGGAATTAAGAAGTCAGTGTATTTGTTCTTTTGTTTTATTATTTTATTTATTATTTCTGCCCCTCCCCCGCATCGGAGTTCGGCTGACGCCATCATGTCTCCAAATGACAAAACAAGAGCACTGTAGCAGGGCTTTATATGCAGTTATATTAAGAATGGCTTATAGGGCTGGACGTTATAATAAACTGTATAGGTTGAATAGATCTTAACCTACCTGTACCACCTAGAAACCAGACTACTCAAGAACAGTAGAAAGACAATTAATTTAAGCAAGGCTTCGTTATAACTACTTGTCCAGCCTTACGACACCGGCAACAGGATCAGCGCATGACCTCAGTATTAATTCCTAATTGCAGTCAACAGCAACTAGCACAGTTTCAGTCTTGATAGGTCTTGTTCCAGCCACTGAATGCCCCGATGCTCGGGCACTCTGCCAAGCGACATGCTGTGCCCGAGATACGAACGCAAGAGTACTTATATATCCAACGCCCTGCTATATCTGTCTATTATATTTGACAGTTCTGCGATGCCAAGGCGGACACAGCAGCGATGAAGAACACGATTGCCCTTGTGGTACTCGGGGCTTTACCAATAGGTATGTATTCATATAGTGATATAGTTAAAAGATACTTGCTAATTTCCAGCTTCCGCACGCGAATGCTATACAAACGAGACAGACCCCGTCTATGCCGTATCCCACTCCCTAACCCCAACAAGCCCCGACCAACTCGCCGCATTAGACGGCTGCGAGACCCTAATTGGCGACATCGAAATCGACGAAACCTTCTCCGGATCAATCATACTAAACAGCGTGAGAGAATATTACCCACTTGGGTAAGTGGGGGTGAGAAAGGTAAGAGGGACGAGTTTATAAAATTTAGGACCTACTATGATTCTCCAAGCTTAAATAACAAGCGTTCATGCATTGCACCAATGGCGTACGTGTCATAGGCATTGGCAGCTCCTTGGGCAAGGTAATTGACAGGTTACAATATTTATCCACACAGGGAGAATCGGAAATAAAACCGATAGAAAATAAAATAAAATAAAATAGAATAACTTGGCCGTGAGGATGTCAGGATAGTTGTCCTGAACGAGTAACACCTATCTAGGCGGACTTGGGCGACACACTACTTGGTGCAGTCCTTTAAAGCCATACGCCCGCCCAAGAAGACACAGATAATAACTTGCTTTGAAGCACCTTGATGTTTTTTCGGCTAATGTTTGCGCCATGAAGCTCTCTACAGTGTCACAGTTCCTTGCGACAGTTGCTTTTACCACTGGTTGTAACCATCACAGCGACAAGGAATGGACAAAGGACGAACTTGACCAGCTTGAGGCCAAATGGGGATACGAGGTCTGCTCAAACCTTTACCAGCTACATGCCCTGGGTATTAACTGTAGTAGTGGGGGTTCGAAGGAATCGGGACATTTGCCCATCTGAACTACGTCAAGTGCCTTACCGAACCCGAAGAGCCATTCGATATTGCAATCCTCGGCGCACCATTTGACACGGCCGTGACATATCGTCCTGGTGCCCGCTTTGGTCCTCGCGCTATCAGACATGCCTCGGGTCGTCAAAGCTCTGTCCGAGGATTCAACCCTCGAGCCAGCATGAATCCCTACCAGAACTGGGCCAAAATTGTGGACTGTGGCGACATTCCCATTACCCCCCTTGATAACAGCGTAGCTCAAACACAAATGACAGAGGCCTTCAAGCAACTAGGGAAGCGCAAAACCACCTCAGCGCTGGCCACGAAACCAAAGATTGTCACACTCGGTGGGGACCATAGTCTCACGCTCCCGGCTCTGCGCGCGTTGAATGAGATATACGGCAAGCCGGTCCAGGTGCTCCATTTCGACGGTAAGTAAGCCTGACAGAATGATTGTGTGTGAATTTCGAGCTAACCAGTCCAATCAAGCCCACCTAGATACCTGGAATCCCAAGGCCTATCCTTCATACTGGGGAGCAACGGCCTTTACCCACGGCTCGATGTTTTGGCTAGCGAACGAGGAAGGGCTGCTTTCGAATTCTTCCCTCGAACAATCTGTCCATGCGGGTCTCCGCACTCGACTCACCGGGGAGATTGATAACGAGGACGATACGGCGCAGAACTGGAGACGGTTCTCGGCCGATGATATTGATATTGTCGGGACTCAGGGTATTATCGACCGCATCATGGGGATACTCGGGACTGAGAACCCAGTCTACCTGTCAGTGGATATTGATGTACTCGACCCGGCGTTTGCCCCCGGTACAGGGACGCCTGAAGCTGGAGGCTGGTCTACTAGAGAGTTCATTAGGATTCTCAGAGGGATTGAGGGGCTGAACCTTGTGGGTGCTGACGTTGTTGAAGTTTCGCCTGCTTACCAGGGACCCGGAGAAGAGACAGCCGTCGCCGCTGCGCAGATTGTCTATGAGATGGTAACTTCAATGGTAAAACGGGGGCTTGGTAGTATGGGAAAAGAGGACAAGAGACACAAGGATGAACTATGACTGTGTTAAATCTTTTGGGGTTATTCAAGAATAAGGGGCGGGACTGTTCTTGTCGGTAGCATGTATGTTGCCCAACGGCAATTAGAGCGAAGGCTTTTGAAAAGTGATTTACCTGGACCTTCCCGCTATGGGCTCAATTGCCGTGTTAGTGGTCGATATAGTGATTATTAACGAATGGTGTTCCTGGGATCCGACAAGAAAGGTATATTCTACAAGAGTAAGTGGAGTAGCAAGACCAGACTTGACTGAAAATGGTCATGTATACCGGCGAACGGGGACGAGCCTGGCTCCACCAGACTGGAAATGACCATATGGAATTGGAGATAATGTCAAAGAAGCCACAAGCTGCGCAGTTACTCCGCAAACCTTGATCCTTTACCGGAACTCTCGGTACATCTGCTGGAGCATACGCAATACTAAAACAAAATATACCTCCGGCTGGGAGTATAAAGTCTCTTCCCGAGCACGGCGAGTGTTGATGTGAGGCAAGGCCACATTCTCTGTTGTGACTTGATCAATTAGAAAATAACATCACGGTCCGCGGATGCCCAACATGTCTGCCAAAAAGACCGACGATACACATCCCCCGGTGGACTACGCCGCCTCCAGCAGCAACGAGTGTCAGGTATTCGAGCACGAATCCTTCCTGACACGCAACGGCATGAACATCCAGTCATTCCAGAGACGGCACTATGGCCATGGCATCGTCGAGCTCGACCGCAAGATGAAAGCCCGACATCTAACTATGATTGCTATTGGCGGCTCGATTGGCTCTGGCTTTTTTGTCGGCACCGGCTCGGCACTCAGTGATGGGGTTAGTATGATCGTGTTGTTGCTAAGCAGTAGTAGACTGACTGACCATCCCAGGGCCCCGGAAGTCTGTTTATTGACTACCTGATAATGAGTGTTATGGTCTTCAATATTGGTACCAACCGCCCTGTGACTGCCCACGAGACATTTGGGACGTGTGAAAAAAACTAACAAGGCCCATAGTTTACGCATTGGGCGAAATGGCTGTGATGTTCCCAGTCTCAGGCGGATTCTACATGTACGCTATTCGCTTTGTCGACCCATCGTTCGGTTTTGCAACTGCGTGGACATATGTAATATCGTGGGCTACTACGTTACCACTCGAGCTGACGGTATGCGCAATCACGATCCAATACTGGGATGCTGAGACATCCACTGGGGTCTGGATAGCCGTCTTCCTCGCCGTCATCATAGTGCTGAATACCTTCGGGGTATTGGGCTATGCTGAGGAAGAATTCTGGGCTTCCTGCTTCAAGCTGAGTTCTGTACTGGTGTTCATGATCATCGCGGTCGTCCTGGTGTGTGGAGGAGGGCCTTCTGCTGGCCGCTATCATGGATACTGGGGTGCTCGTCTCTGGGAAGATCCTGGGGCATTCAAGAACGGTTTCAAGGGGTTCTGCTCCGTATTCGTCACAGGTAAAGTTTGCCCATAGTTCTGCCTTAAAATAAGATCTTGAACTGAAACTATCAAACTCTTTTCAATGTAGCTGCCTTTACGTTTGCCGGCACCGAACTTGTCGGCCTTGCTGCTGCCGAATCACGCAATCCAACAGCTGCCATACCGTCGGCCGTGAAGCAGATTTTCTGGCGCCTCACAATGTTCTATATCCTTGCTCTCTCGCTTATTGGGTTGCTGATTGACTGCAATGACCCGGCGCTTTTATCCTCTGGTACCTTCGCCAACTCCAAGGCATCGCCATTTGTCCTAGTCGGCAAGTACGCAGGACTGCGTGGCCTGGACCACTTCATGAATGTAGTGATTCTATCCTCAGTGCTTTCTATAGGCATTGCATCCGTGTACGCCGGCTCGCGGACCCTGACCGCGCTTTGCCAGCAGGGTCATGGTCCGATGGTCTTTACTTACATCGACCGGGCAGGCCGGCCACTTGCGTCCGTAGGCGCCATAATCGCCTGCGGATGTCTTGCATTTATCAACCTCAGCGCCCAAGGCGAAGTCGTCTTCGACTGGTTTCTTTCTATCGCCGGGCTCGCTGTGCTGTTTACCTGGGGCTCCATTTGCCTGGCGCATATCCGGTTTCGAGCGGCCTGGAAGTACCACGGCCACACTCTTGATGAAATCCCATTTAAAGCGGTGGGGGGTGTATATGGATCGTGGGTTGGACTCATTTTTGTTATCCTGGTGTTAATTGCACAGGTACGTCCACTGCTCCATGGCCTACCACGTTGGACGAGACTAATCGCCGAAGTGTTAATTAGTTATATATCGCTCTTGTGGCGCCACCTGGCGAATCCGGCATGGGCACAGCAGAAAGCTTCTTCAAGTCATACCTCGCACTGCCTGTTATCCTTTTCATCTGGGTCATTGGGTATATCTTAACGCGGAAAGGGTGGCTCAGTCTCGCGGAGATTGATGTCGATACTGGGCGGCGACAGCATGATTGGGAAGCCATCCATGCGAGTCGTGCCCGAATTGCCCAGCTGTCGTTCTGGGGTCGCCTCTGGCATTTCCTGTTTTAAGTGTGTTCAGCAGCTACACGTGGATTGTCTATATTTATTTGTTTTATATCACACAATCATAATACTTGGAGTGGACGGATCGCCCAGAAAGTCATCCCACTGAACTTCCTCCTGACCCGGAACCCTTCGCGTTTCCCACAAAGAACAGAGCAGCGGCTTGAACTTTTGCCAGATCGAAAGCGTAGACTGTTCGATAATGATGTCAACCCACTGCAGTATCCTGGTACGGAGACCAATATCCTGGGCTTCAAAAACCGCCACTGCAACGGGCCACAGGATGGGCGAATACTGACGAGATCTGTAGTTTGCTAGGGCTTCGATATGATCGCAGGCCTGCTCGACCAGTGGCTGCACGTCACTCAGTGGAGCCGCTCTGAGCCGTCGTTTGCAGTAGATTATTGAACCAAGGTAGAAGAGATGGGAGTAGTGATGGACGAGCTCGTCCTGCCCTCGCGTGGCGGCAGGGACCTTGCACTCGGGTGGAATGGAAAGATACAATTCCGTCTCGAGCTGGTCCAAGTCCACCGTAATCAGCAGGTTTTGCTGTCTACTTCTGACAGCCATGCCGATCATATTACTGATGGAATTTAGACACACCTTCGGGAGTCCGAAGATATGATGAAGATGATACGGCTCCGACATGGTATCCAGCCGGAAGTGGAAATTGTCGTCATGGGCGACACTCTCAGAAGCAATCTGCGACCGGAGCATGGTCGCTGTACCAGCTAACATCTGGTACATAACCACCGTGGATTCGTTATGGGCCCATGAGGCAATGTCCGTTTTTTGCAGCCACTGAGAAGCACCCCGTAGGTGTGTGAGCCAGAAGTCCCGCTCCACTGTGACGGGCTCATAAGTAAGACACATCAATAGTGAGGCCAGGACAGACTCCCGTTCATCGGGGTCATCTTTTACCAAATTGTGCTGGAGATGACGGATGCCTCGGTTCTGATGAGATAGTCCTAGAGTCATATACCTTGCGCTTTCCTGGCTATCCGCAATTCGACCCGAGAGGTGGAATGCAGAAGCGGAGCATATCAGGTAGAAGAGCGCCGCAGACCCGGTGGATGATGATGCCGATGACATGGCTCCGACGAGGGCGATGGGCATGAAAAACCGCTTTAGTGGGTTCATGGACCCGGGAACAGACGACAGGGCGTCACTTAGGTGGTTTACCCAGTGCTCAATGCATCTCCGCTGCAGATGACTGGATGGCGCCAGGTCGATATGCCGCTCGGCCCCATGGAAACGTGGACTAAGGCTAGGGCTGACTGGCGACTCGACAGGCCTAGGAACTGGGCAGGTGGTAGTGTTGTCTTCCTGCGCCGGATCCACAGAGTCTGGGACATCCTGGGGTCCTAGAGGCAGCCTAGATGGGCAAGGCTCAGGTGGGAAGTTGTAGTGGGCAGGCGAGACGCTTTGGCTTTGACCCATGGGAATTTGCGGACTGCCATGTGTGCTTGCGGGCTGGTCTTGTGGGTGATGGGGTGGATCGCTCGCGACTGAACCATCCTGGGACGGTGTCGGAGAGCATTGGGCGTGGTGCCATGTCAGGGATGTATTTGGTGCTGATGCAGCTGGTTCAGTTTGGGAAATCCCAAAGTCTGAAAGGCCTCGCACCTCCTTCCACTGCACTGCCGCTCGATAGCCCGGATAGCCCGAACAGTCCAGCTGGGCGTCGGCACATCGACGACACCCAGGGCGCGTCTCATCACACTTCAGATGTCTCGTCCTGCAGGTCATGCACCCGGTGAATGTCTTGACTCGCCGGGGCCGTCGACTGCGGGCGAGTCTTGGGGCGCCATCCATCTCTCCGGTAAAGCTGACCGTATGGCGGAGAGAATGCCTAAGAAGGGGAGTAAGAAAGTCGGAGACTGGGGGTGGATCTTGAATGCCCGCCGCGATGTGTGACCGTTTCAGGAATCCAGCGTTGGAGCAGCGAACTATGCTGTTTACGGGCTTTTATCCCAACTGAACTATGCTGTTTACGGGCTGTTATCCCGACTGTTGGAGTATCTGGACCCACGGAATCGACGCTGCGCTGTCCGTGCACTCTTAGGGCTTGCTTCAACCCGACATTCTGCGCGTCGCCTGCCATATGGGCAGGTACAAATAGCTTCAGCTGTACCGGGCAATGCTAGCTCCGCCGCAGTCAAACATTGCGAATTATGTCGTCCCCGATGAAGATTGATCAGATCAGAGCCCAGTTCCCCGGGCTCTCGCAGGACCAGGTCCTTGCCGACATTGCTGCCGGATCCCAGGTGGTCGCCAGCTGCATCGAATCAATCCGTCACTACATGTCCAAGACCAATGTCCAGCCCGGCTTTGACTACACTCCCTCGCAACAGGCCGCGAGTCTCATCGACGGCTCCCTGCAGGCTACCGCGCGATACATCAACGCATCACCCGACGAGGTCGTCTTCGGCTACTCCACCGCGCAGATTGTGCGGGCCGTGAGCATTGCACTCAAGTTCCAGCCTGGAGACGAGATTGTCCTGAGCAAGATAGACCACGAGTCGCATCTCTCCCCGTGGGTGCAGGTCGCGAAGTGGAAGGGCCTTGCAATCCGGTGGTGGGTGCCTTCCAGGGACACCAGAACCAACCCGAAGCTTGAAGCAGACGATCTGCTCGACCAAGGTCTGGTCAACAAGAATACGAGGATTGTGTGCTTCACACACACGAGCAATGTGCTCGGCTCTATCACCAACGTTGCTGCAATCTCCCAGGCGATCAAGTCCGTCAATCCACAGACGTTGGTCAGCGTTGATGGAGTCGCCTACGCCCCTCATTCCCGGATCGACGTGCAAGCCTTTGGCGTTGACTTTTACTTCTTCAGCTGGTACAAAGTCTACGGGCCGCACATTGCAACTGGATTCGTGGCTAGATCGGCTTTCCCACAGCTAGAGTACCTGGGGCATTACTTTCTCCCGAAAACGAGTGCGCAGTATATCCTGGGCCTGACGAGCGGGAGTTATGAAGCGATCCAGAGCATCTCCGCAGTGATAGAATACGTCAACAGCGTCGGCTGGGACTGGATCGAGCAGCAGGAGACGGTCCTGCAGGAAGAGCTCTTACGCTTCGTGCGATCTCGGGACGATATCCAACTGTATGGTGACCCTTCGTCCGATCGGCGTGCAAGGGTCCCTGTCATCAGCTTTAGAGTGTCCGGCTCCTCTGCGGATGTAGTTCGTGAGATCTATGCGGAATCGAAGTGCCGACCTACGGCGGACAACTACTGGGCGCGGAGGCTGCTGGAAGACGTGCTGCGTGTGGATATGGAGGACGGAGTCATTCGCTGCTCTTTTGTGCATTACAACACAGTTGAGGAGATTCATTGCCTTGTGAGGGCCCTGGAGAAGGTTTTGGACAGATGAACATAGTTTCAGAGACCTTAGTTTGACAATGATAACTGTATTGTCTCCTTCACTCAGTGTAGGAAGTTAACTTGTGCCTTGATAGTGTATCAACCCTGGAAACAATCCCGAGCACAGCGTAGACAGAAAACACCTGAACACTCTTGCAAGACAATTTGGTGGACTTTACAAACAGAAATTCTCAGGTCACCAAAAACCAGGCTCTATCGCTGTCCCGGTTGATTTAACCCACGGCAACAGTCTAGGACCACTCTCGTGCATTTTAAACTGGCTCGGGTTGTATGACCAAAATAGGCAAGTAAATTTGAATCCTTTAAAGAACGGGGTTTATACAATTCATATCTTGGGCCCATTTGTCGCAGCAACTATATTTAAGCTGGCCAAACGACGCACACTTGGTGTTGCATACAAGACATTGATCGCTTATTATCTGGCCAAATTTCATCCTCCATTCCCTCATGGCCCTACAGACTGATCTCCATTCCCCGAATGGGCGACATGTTGTCCTTCCCACTGGCCTGTTCATCAACAACATTTTTATCCCATCTACTTCCGGCAGCAAGCTCACGAGTATCAGTCCTACGTGGGTGCCCAGCATCCAGATATGATATTCCACAACTGACATAGGCGACAGGGATGAGATGGCGATTGCAACCGTGGAGGCTGCTTCTGAACGCGATGTCGATGCCGCTGTTAATGCCGCCCGCGCGGCATTTGTCTCAGACGAATGGTCTTGTATATCTGGCACCGAGCGCGGTGCGTTGATAAGTAAACTGGCCGACCTGGTTGAAGAGAACAAAGATATCCTGGCAACTTTGGAGACATGGGATAACGGGAAGCCATACAGCGTTGCTCTGAACGAAGACCTCGCGGAAGTCACTGCAACCCTCAGGTATTACGCCGGCTGGGCGGACAAGATCCATGGCCAGACTATCCCTACCACCAAACATAAGTTTGCGTATACCGTCAGGCAGCCCTTCGGAGTATGCGGTCAAATCATCCCCTGGAACTATCCATTGGCCATGGCGGCTTGGAAGCTAGGTCCTGCGCTTGCTTGCGGCAATACAGTGGTCCTGAAACCCGCAGAGCAGACTCCTATTTCCATTCTATATTTTGCAAGTCTTATTCCCAAGGCCGGGTTTCCCCCTGGGGTGGTCAACATCATCAATGGATACGGACGAGAAGCCGGTGCGGCGTTGGTTGCTCACCCGGGGGTGGACAAGATCGCCTTTACAGGCTCAACCGCAACCGGAAAAGCAGTGATGAAGGCAGCCAGTGAGACGATGAAGAGCATTACCTTGGAAACCGGAGGAAAGTCTCCCCTCTTGGTGTTTAAAGATTGCGATATCGAGCAAGCGGCTAAATGGGGGCATCTCGGCATCATGAGTAACCAGGGCCAGATCTGCACCGCTACCTCGCGTATCCTCGTTCAGCAAGAGGTCTTGGAACAATATGTCTCACGCTTCCGAAGCATCATTTCCGAACACAAGATAGGAGACCCATTCGACGGCGAGACCTTCCAAGGGCCGCAGGTGACACGCGCACAATACGACAAGATCCTTGGCTATATCCAGGCCGGTACAGAGGATGGAGCTAAACTGATCACCGGTGGGAAAGCATACAAGAGCATGGGCAAGGATGGTGGCTTCTTCATAGAGCCAACCGCTTTCTCCGGAGTCACCGAACACATGAGGATATTCCAGGAGGAGGTATTCGGCCCCTTTGTCACCATTACCCCGTTTACAACCGAGGCAGAGGCCATTAGGCTTGCGAACAGCACTTCATATGGCCTTGGAGCGGCCGTCTTCACAAGGGATATTGAACGCGCGCATCGTGTGGCTGGACGCCTGGACGCAGGTATGGTGTGGATTAATAGCTCGAATGATATTGACATTCGGGTTCCATTTGGGGGCGTCAAGCAGAGTGGAATCGGTAGAGAGCTTGGAGAAGCAGGTCTTGCTGCCTATACTCAGACCAAGGCGGTTCATGTCAATATGGGGCTCATGCTGTGAGATCCAACCGATGCTGCTGGTCTGGATTGTCTTCTTAAACTCATACGGAGGCAACCTGATCCCAGCTGTTGTATGTTTTTTTTGCTTTTTTTATTTTATTTGTGAATGGGCTTATGGTTACTGAATGGTGGCAGGAAATGCGTAACCTAGTAGGGTTGGTTGATAGTACTGGAGATGATACTCAGCCCTAACAGTGAGAGATTTACTCTGCCCTCGAGCACGCCGGAGATATACATTTACGAGGTGATCTTGCAGTGTAACTCTGCTCTAAGCCTAGGCCGAGGTTTATGTTTAAGCAGCTGAATATGTTACTTACTAACAGCAGGGATGCAGGGGTTAATCGAGGGCATTATCCAGCCGTGGGTTGAGAGGAGTGTTTGAGATAAGGTAACTTGCTTTGAAAGCCTCCTCCCTTGAAGCTATCCACTGTGTTCTCCCTCTCCGCTTCCGCCGCAACGCCTGAAAGAAACTTGGGTTCTTCGTATGTCTATCGGCTGCCTACCTCCTGTCCTATGGCTGCTGAGATCTTGACTCTAGTTACAACTACGCTGCTTTTGATCGATTCCGAGGACGGAACTCCCTTGCATAGCTCCTTCTACGAGTGGGTTTCTTTGACCATTAACATTGCTCTCCGTGACTGACTGCTGCTAGGGATGCTGGATGCCAGGGTGAGGACATGGCAGAGGTCTTAACAGAAGCCCCTAGCGCCTCTATCGCCTCCACGGCGCAGTCTGTTCTGTGCTATCGTACCTAAATCTGCCGCGTATTTAATTCTCATGCCCAGTCAATGCACTGTTGCAAACCAAATACGGTGCATGATCTTATCTCGGGGCGCGGTTGGGAATTTGATATACTCTGAACTGTGAATCTGGTTCGCCTGTCAGGCCTTCGATTACATCGATGCTTTTCGATTCTTTTATTGAAGTCTCTCTTTCCAGTGTAAATGGGCATGTGGATGACGCGGTCAAAGGTTATTTCGTGTAGGGGTGCTGATATGCTACGTCAAGGCTGAGTGTACATCCTGATGGAATAAGTCATGAGTCCCAGGCATATATCAGGGAGATAGACAGTAGGCTCAGTATAATCCTTCCAAGCCTTCTCCAAATCCATTTGATGGTGATCCCGTCATTGATTCCGCTGTAGACGTCGCGTAGGAGGTACGGTATGGCTAGAAATCCATCGGGAGCAGTGCGCCAGGTGCAAGCTTAATTGAGAGCGAAGCCAATTGACATGATGCGCTCATTCGCACAACAAAGCGCCAGCATATCGCCCCTGATCTCAGCGAACTGTGGCCTATACTCATCAGGGAACCACAGTTCCTTCTTCCCGCGGATCTTCACCCACTGGCTTCCCTCTAGGGATAGAAGAGACTTGCTCTGTAAGCGAGCCAGGTTCCATGCCTCTGGATCTATAGATGTGGATGCGATGACATTGCCTTTGCCCCTGCCCTGGTGTTTCTGGCGCATCCGATCCTGCCTGGATGGATAGGGATAGCGGAGATCGATCTCAAACGAGCCGAGGTTTGTGACAAGGCACGGCCGGCCAGTCTCAGGGTCGATGGCAAATTCGGCGTTCTCAGCATGCCCGGCCGTTTGGAAGGTCTGTTTCGGCTGGCCAGTTGTGAGGTCCCAAAGTTGGATCTCGTTGTCGGAGGTTGCCGCTAACAGCTGGTCGTCGGGCGAAAAGGTGAGGAGAGAGACGTCCTGCGAGCTGGCTATGGCTGATTTGAGGAGACCTTTGGGCGCCATATTATCGAGGTACCTGACGTGGATGGAATGGTCCGCACAGGTATAGGCTATCAGTTTAGACGTTGACGACAACGCAAGGGCCCTCCTGCCTCGGGGAAACTGATGGTCAATGCAATACTTTAGCCACCTGCTGTTGACGTCCCAGACCTTGATCTTTTGGGCGGAGGCAGATAACAGGATTCTCCCGGTGGAAGAGATATGCAGGTCATATGGGGACGTGTCTTCTTCAAACCTGCCCTTCATTGAGCCATCACAAGAGTCGTAGACCTCGATATACATTCCACGCCCCACTGCCAGGGATTGCCCGTCCGCAGAGCACACGAACCGTAGAGTCTTGGTTCCATGGGATGAAGTATCGTCTAACCCTTCTTCAATATCAACAGTGGGGTTCCAGAGTTTGATCTCTTCGTCAGCGCAAGAAACAAGTAGGCCACCATCTGCGCCGAATAAAATCGACTCAACTGGGGACGTGTGCCCACACAGACTGCGTTGGTGCTTCATTACGGATGTAGACAAAATCTCTATGTTTGCCCCGCAGCTACATGCCAGCAGCTGGCCGTCTGGGGAGAAAGCCAAGGCGCGAGGTCGTGCAACGGCGATTGTGTACCTCTTTTCACCAGAGCGAGGATCCCATATTTCGACCAGGTTCTCGTAAGTGAAAGCCGCAGCAAGCAGCTGGACGCTTGGAGAGAAAGCAACTGAATAGGCTGTACGCGCCTGTCCAAATACACATTTTAAGCCACCGCCGGTGGTATCCCAGACCATGACAGTGGGGTTCAGAGAGCCATATACATATTCAGAGGTCGCAGCGAGTAGCGTGCCGTCCTGCGAGAAGCCAAGAGACGTGATCTTGGCTGCATGCCGACTGTATGTCTTCTTGAGCACACTACTACTGGTGTCCCAGAGCTTGATCTTCCCGTCGGCATGTCCAGCTCCGAGGGAGGAGCCATCAGCGGAGAAGGAGACTGCAGAAACCACCGACGCCTCGTCTAGAATTGTCTGCAAGCGGGTGCCGGTTGTCGGGTCCCAGAGACCGAAGCCTCCATCGTTACTGGCCACCGAAGCCAGAAGGTGGCCGTTGGGAGAAAGGGCAATTTGATCCAACTTGTTACTAGTGCCGAAGCTGTGCTTTGGGGCACCAGTTGTCGGGTTCCAGGTCTGAACAGTGCGATTTGAATGGCAGGATGCTAGCTGGCGGCCATCTCGAGACATGGCAATGCAACGGACGAGAGCCTCTGGTTGCGCTCCTAGAGTCTGTAACTCGGGGCCCCACGTTTGCGCAACTTGTGGTAGCCCGGATATCCAACTGGGGTACTCGGCGAGATTGTCCACAAACTTTGTCCGTATGATTGTCTTCAGCGGTGCAAAGAGAAGCCCGGAGGAATAGATCTGAAGAGGCGCCACCTCGGCTATCCGGCTGTTCTTCAGAGTAAACCGCTTTGCGTCATGAAGGAACTCTTGCAGCCCGTCCGTTTCACAGCCCTGTACATGTTAGCGCGCCAGTTAGCACTAGAAGGGCAGAGTTAAGCGTACTGATTTGGCTGTCATCAAAGCATCAATACCCTCCAAAACCTCGGATATCAGGCCTAGCAAAGCCATCGCCTCCACCCAATGAAGAAAGTGAAGCTCGAGGAAAGCCACAACACGGTCAATCAAGTTGTGCTCTAGGTCTGGTGAGCTTTTTACGAGGTGGTGGGTCCAGTATCGACAGGAATACTGCAGCTCTCGTGGCAAAGACTCGCGGATCAAATGGATGCTAATATCTTTGCGCTCTGTCCCATAGCTTTCAAGCTGGCAGATGTTCTTCCTCAGCGTTCTTTCCATGACACCAATGCAGTAGCCAGTAATTCTTGTGTTTGTACTGCCCTCATCAACCCAAAGGGGTGTTTTCTCACGCGTGTCGGTATCCACAAGGAAATCCCGGAATGATAGATGGAAGAGCCTGATCGGCATAGTGTCATCAGGTGGAATGTCTAGGACCGAGTGCAGAGAGGCGAGTCTGGCGCTGATGGATCTTGCCGGGATACTCGTTAGTCTTGACAGTGATTCAACGGAGAGCGGGCTCTCGAGCAGGATAATTATACCAACGATCTCTCGAAACTCTCCAACCAACTGTTGTCGCCGAGAGCCACTGTACGACGCAAGAAGTCGATCCAACACTGGTCGATACGTGCCATCTAGTCGTGATTCCATATTCCTGTACTGGAGAAGGTCGTCCAGGCATTGCACGGGGTCCAGATAGTGATCCTCGAGGAGACGACAGACGGTAGCTGCAAAGATGAACAGAGGAACGGACATATCTACCAGAATCTGAAACGTAGCATCTCCTGGCCATTCTGGGGGTAGCAAACGTGTCTCTCGGATGATGGCCAAGTTGTGTCGCAAAAACAAGGCAATGTCATGCTCGATAATGGGCCTCGCAACGTCATGGAGGGCAAGGTCCTGCATTTTGTTCTCGAGAACAACGGCCCGAAAACCGACCTGGACAGGCAGCTCTGGTCGACTGGTAACGAAGATGCGCAGCTGCAACGAGCTGATTGCCTGGACGCGTGGCAGGAGATGCAGGATGAGGCGGATATCCTTGTCATTCTCGCACTCATCGAGAGCGTCGATGACAATGAGCAGTATTCTCTTGCGCTCCAATTTCAAGGTAGAGAGAGGTCCGTAGATCAGCTTGCTGAACTGCTGTTCGAAAGTCTTGGTAGTTATTCCAGGAGCATTCCTTATTGCGTGGACTATAGCATCGTGCAGTTCGGGGACGTTGGCCAGCTGGCGGACGATTGTCGAAAAGAACCGAGTGGCATTTCCACGGTCACCTTCTCCTCGCTTGAAGAAGAAGCTCGCCGCCAGCAGTCGGTCTTTCTTGAAGAGGCTCGCGGTGGAGCGTGACACTGTGGACTTGCCGGTCCCAGCCAGTCCGTACAGCCAGAAGATGCACTTGCCATCCGGCGATCGGGCCCATTCTGCAATGTCGTGGAGCAGCTCAGTTCTCGTGCCAGGGAGGCATTCTGTCTCGTGTTGATCCATGTATGACCCAAACTCAGCGCCCTCTGCGACAGGAAGTTTCTGCAGTTCAGCAGCCTGGGTTGCCTTTTCAACGTCCCTGGCGGAGCTGTCCATAACGGTCTGAATATTGTCAATGCCTTCCGATAGTTTATCAATCTGAGCTTCGAAGGCTGTTTCAAAGAGAGCGTCAGAACTACCTTTTGACATCATCTAGCTGGTACTAACCACCCAGGATCTCTGTCGCCTTTTGTTCAGCTCTGACGCGCTGGACCACGATGTGAGACAAGAGGTCTTTTGCATACGCCGCCGCTGTCATAGCTGCGAATCCTTGCCACTCTTTGTTCTTGTGGGAGTCTGCGTAGTCACAGATTCCACGGACTACCAGGCAGGGAAAGTGGTTGGCAAGTCCAGCGGCTTCCATCTCAAAGCACAGAATCCCTTTCTTTGTGGCCATGTCATCACGAAAAAGAGCGTTGCGGACAAGACTGCTGCCGGACGCAATCAGGCCATAGTGTACGGCAGGGTCATCCTCGTCGCCCGCTCTTTTCATCCGACGGACCAGCTGTTCATCGCCACAGAGCTCGTTGCAGCTTCTTTGACTCTCACAATGAACGAAGGTCTTTTCATACAACCGGTCGGTGTGAATGGCAGGACGTGCATACTTGCGTGCCATACGACCATTGCCCTCGAGAATTGCCCGGACCTTGACATCTAGCTGGTTGCCTTCTTCTTCATATTGTGCCTGAAGCCCAGTCACTGCCCCGCGCAAGATAGGGGGCGCGCGGTTGAGAAAGCCTGTCGGGAGAAATTGCTGGCCCTGCCGCTCCTTGCCCAGGTCGTAAGAAAGCAGGCCACCATGATTACCGCCGCGGGACGAGCTCACAACGACGTCCCCCAGGCGGATGTCTTGCTTTGGAGTGGGTGCGCCGCCCCCAATGCCCACCATTAGACCAAACCGAATGTTGGGGAAGCTATGCAGCATATCGCGAGCAACAGCGGCAGCCGTTGACACACCATATTCCCCGTCGGGGAGAACGGCAATGACAACCAGGTGTCCCCCAATGTCACCGAGAGTATATTGATTGTTGTCGTTGGCGGACAGCGCATCTGGCCTGGGGTGCCTGTGATCGAGACAAGCGCGAGCAGCGACGTACTCGACTGCCAGAGCGCAAATCCACCCGACCGTATATGCTTCGTGATCGACCATTTCTTCGACCGTAAAGTCTCGGGAGAGCTGAGCTGGTAGGGATGTCAAAAATAAGAAAAGGGGCTGGGTGGCTTAGTGCATCTAATCCCTGCGCTCTCCATTAAACTCATTGGCGTTGCATCTGCTCAAGCAGCAACGGGGAGAATAGATAAGGGCTTCGGGGCGCCACTGACATGTTTCAATAGAACCACCAGTTTTCTTTCAACTTACTCAAGTCAAAAATTAGGAAACAAAAACATACAACAGCTGGGATTCGCATGTGGTCACCCACCATACTACTAACCAGCCGGCGTGTGGCTTAAGTACGGCTGAGCGGACGGGAAGCCCTGTTTTCCACACCCTGTGGTCGTATGTACCAGAAGTATTTAAAGAGAGGTTGATATAGTAGAATTGGTACCCAGGCGGGTACATTTGACTGTTCTATGATAAGGAGCTGTATTTCTGCTGGCAGCTGCAACATCTTGGATTGAAGTAGTGAGAAGATAGAAGAGGGGTTTCTGGGCATTGAGAGGTTCTTTCACAAGGTTGAGCAGGCGTCAAGTGACTTAGCTCGCTACTTACGGCATTAATATTTCCAATCAGCTAAATGTTTATATATATAAGGATAAACTGCAGCTGTTGTTTTGTTCATTATCTCAGATTCGATTAGGGTTGTAGCAGGCATACAAAACTTAGGGCTGAGGTTTATGTAGATCCCTACCAGCCCTAACAAATTTTATACCCTATCGACAGATTACAATACTCTTGTAGTATATGAATGCCAAATTCCATCATGATGCTGAATGTTTATTAGCTCAACTCTCAGCAAGGATGCCAGTAGCTTGTCTAGCTTGTTCATCTCGTCCCTGATAGCTGGCGGAATAGTGGATTAGCCTTACCCGTGGGCTGGGCGGGTTAACAGCTGTGGTTTTGTTTTGTTTTTTTTTTTTTTTTTTTTTTTTTTTTTTTTTTTTTTTTTTTTGCTTAAAACAAAAAAAAAAAAAAGTTTATTACGGCTTATTGAGCATATAATGGATTAAGATAATATTTTAGTGCGAAGTGCAGAACACAAATAAAAGCCTTCTATACCTCAGTCACTCAGTCACTGTTCTAGTAGATGGACGTATTGTTTGCGCTTGCCAGGTATTNGTCTAGCTTGTTCATCTCGTCCCTGATAGCTGGCGGCCTAGTGCATTAGCCTTTGCAATGGGCGGGGCAGGTTTGCAGCTGTGGTCTTGTTTTTTTTTTTTTTTTTTTTTTTTTTTTTTTTTTTTTTTTTTTACTGTCGCTTAGTACTATACCAATTAGTAGTTTATAACGGCTTATTGAGTATATAATGCATTCAAATACTATTTTATTGCGAAGTGCAGAACACAAATAAAAGCCTTCTATACCTCAGTCACTCAGTCACTGTTCTAGTAGATGGACGTATTGTTTGCGCTTGCCAGGTATTCCTCGCTGAATGGGTAGTCTGTATAACCCACTGGAGAGTTGCAGACATAAAAAGTCTCACGGTCATACGCAGTGAACTTTAGACCCTCCCTGACTCGATACACCAGATCCGGATTCGAAATGAAATGTCTTCCAAAGACCACCACTATGTCCTTGTCTGGATACTCTTGATCAACCAGTTTCTGTGCATCCAACGGCTTATAGCCCCCTGCAACAAGGATCGGACCATCCCACAGCTTATATGCAAAGTCCAACGACTCGCCACCTTCAGCATCTTTGAAGCCAAGTATCCGTGACTCGACCAAGTGAAGATATGCTAGGTTCAAGCCGCTGGATTTGGTGATAATGTCGGTGAATTGAGGCACTGGGTTCTGCATCCTCATCCCCTGGAAATAGCTCCACGGGCTGAGACGAAGCCCAATACGCTCTCCACCGACGGCATCCACAACAGCCTGCAAGACTTCATTGATAAAGCGAGACCTGTTCTCCACACTCCCGCCATACTCGTCGTCTCGATGGTTGCTAGTATCTTGGATAAACTGGTCAGCCAGATAGCCATTCGCACCGTGAACCTCCACCCCGTCAAAGCCAGCCCTAATCGCATTCCTCGCGGCATCCGCAAAGTCTCGAACCGATTGCTTGATTTCTTCAACAGTCATGGCCCGCGGCACGGAAGCATCCTCATCTATCGGAATAGCACTCGGCGCTACAATGTCAACCCCATCCTTAATGGCACCTTCCACACTCGCAACTCGGCCCATTGCAAAGATCTGGCAGAAGATGGCACAGCCTTTGCGGTGGATTTCGTCGGTGATTGTCTTCCACCCCGCTATGTGCTCTTCACTCCAGATCCCAGGGGCGTTGGCGAAACCACCGCATGCCGACGGTGAGATTAAGGTGCCCTCGCTAAGGATCAGCGTGCCTGGTGTGGACGCTCGCTGGCTGTAGTATTCTTTCATCAGAGGGGTGGGAATGCGGTCGTCGGTTGCCCGGAAGCGAGTCAGTGGAGCCATTGCGATCCGATGTTTGATTTCCACGTTGCCGATTTTCAGCGGCTTGAATAGGCGTGTTTCGGCCATGATGTATGATAGTATAAGATAGTGTATGGTAAAGAGTTATGCAAAGAGTGAATGAGTAGAGTGTTGTAGTACTGCTAACTCCAGCTCCCATCCCTTCTTATATAGCCATGATTCTGTTGTTTATTACAAATGAACAGATGAGGTTCATCCTCTTCAGGAAGCAAGATAATTCCACTTCTGAACATGAGGCCGACATACTTCCGAATCGGGAAAAGAGATACTTCCCGATCGAGTATGGCTGATTTGTAATCCATCAGCCTGATCTCTCCAAACATAAGCAACTCATACTCACCATCACACAATGGCTTCATCAAATCCAGCAGCTAAGGACTCTACAGGTTGGTCGGACTGCCGGCAGTCACTTGTCAATCATCGATACTAACTCTCCTAGCTGAGTTCCAGTTCATCGCTATCCAGGGCCCAGATGACGTAAAAGATCGCGCCCAACGGCGTGTGGCCCGCTCACACGCCGTAAAGCAAGCCCTGGGGAGAAAGCGAAAGATGCAGGAAGAATCAAAAGATAATTTCTGTCCAATGAGCTTGAAAGATCGCCCGAAGAAACCTAGAAAACAAGGACCAGTACAGCAGATGAACACCGGGACTCCGGCCGGAGTTCCGGCCGGGCCACTCTGTCGCCTGTCTGCAGGCACACTCGATCCTTTCCAGGCATTTGCAGTGGATATGTCAAGACTGCAGGTTCTTCTTGGTGACTGTAAGTCCTTAGTCAAATGCCTTTACAGTAAGCTTATGAACGGTAGACAGAGCTAGGCAGGCTCCCGAGCCGGTCTTTAGCATCGCAGAAGAGCTTTCATTTCAAGATTTCAAGTCAGTGTTTCGAACTGGATTTGGCGATCCTGCCCTTCTGAATGCGGTTATGCTCTCACTCGCCTTTGCGGCAACTGGTGGTAGTATTGACTTGGAGTGTCTCGGGTACCAGAGTCAGGCAATCAGCCAGATACGTCAAAGGATGAACCGTCTGGGCGAGGCTGCTACAGAAACTACCATTGGAACGATATTGCTGCTAGCTGGGGTAGAGGTACGCATTCCTTTCAATAAGCTACGTAGGTAAATACTAAACGACCAGGCCCGGCTGGGTATGAAGTCTCAGGTCCAGCTGCACATGGGGGCAGTGCAGGGGCTGCTCAAGATGTGTCGAGCAGATGGCATTTACCTGACGCCAGGAATTAAACGGGCCATCTTTTGGTAAGTAATTTCTATCTGGTATGGTTGTCGGCTGCCTCTTACTCCAAAAGGCAAGACTTGAACTCGTCAATCTTGACAGGATCCCGCCGTATATACGACCATACGACTTTCTCCGAACTTCAATGGACAAGGGACTCGTTCATCCCACACTTCTTTCGACTGCCAATTGGATTCCAAACGCGGTCTGACTTGTTCACCAAAGAGTTTATCCAAGTGCTTGAAGATTTACATGCATTAAAGTGCATCCGAGACGTTCCTCATTATACCAGGGGCGATCCAATGCTAATGTCGTATATCAACAACCACACAGCGTCCATCCAGTCTAGGTTAATGTCGCTGCAAGACGTTTCTCCAGTGCAAGAATGCTGCTGCCTTGCGGCGTACAATTGCTCGGTTATGCTATGCTGTACGCTTTGGTGTGCCCTAGTTGTTCCTGTAGGTCACTCTACCCTTCAAGAACCCTATCCTAGATAAACCTATGAACTCCAACTTTTGCTGACCCTATTCAGTCTCATATCTCATCTCAGCTCCTAGTCAAACTACAACAAACGAGCAACGACCTCGTATGGGATGAGCATCCGGAACTCCTAGTCTGGCTGATATATATAGGAGGAGCATTTGCCCCAGCAGGGACTGTACGCTCGGAGTATGTCAGTCTACTACGCCAAATGAACTCTACTAGGTTCCGGAGCCTATATCGATCATGGCCGGAGCTCCTCGATATTTTGAAGCAGTTTATTTGGTCAGACAAGGCATTTCTGTCGCCAGTGAAGGCGCTGTGGGACGAAGCCATAGTCTAGATTAAGTTGCTGTCGATATTTTCCCATGAGGCTTGGATAGATTCCCATGCGTTTAGGTGCTGGCTTCCACGGTTGTCTTCATCTCACGCCTCACCAGAAGAAGTCAGCCCGGTCGTTCACCTATCTATCTCCATAAGGGGGCAAATTTACCTTTTTCATTCTTGCACTTCCACCTAACACGTTTATTTTAATTAATGTGATATGCTGGAATGGTCGAATACACAACCTACATTTGCTTGTTTTGGTCATTATATTAACTACTATACAACTGTCAAACATTTATATGTCCCAACTACCGGTGGATGGATGCCGGAGGTAATGAATTCTCTGAAACTCCCAACAAAGCTGGGGGATAAGGGCCTGACAGAATTCCACTGGTTACAATCTGAACCATTCACGGTGGAAGTTGATGGAGGAACAGAGGTAACATATGAAGTAAGTTCCGTGCTCATTCAGATTGAGCAAGCAGATAACTCACTTATATCATCGATTTAGCCAACAGAAGGGTACTATAAGGGCTGTATGAGTGTCCAGAGGGGCTTCATCTCGGCAGAAGACAACAAGAGTCCGAAGCCGAACAAGAAAGCCGCCGCTCCAGACCTATACAAGTTATCAGACGTATATTTTCTGGAATGGCAGAGGCAAGCTGCCAACAGCAGAAATATCAAGCACCTTAAGTACTTTCTTCGGTTCCATATCGTCAATACCGATACCAAGAGAATTATCAGTCAGGCTACGGGAAACAATGTCAAGGTATGGCCAGGGGATATGTTTGGTATTGAGACCGATGAAGGGAAGGCCCTTCTGGCCACTCCCAATGGGATAGGAGTGGCCTACTTCCTTATCAACCATAAGCCAGAGCTGGGAGTTAAGACAGTAGAGAAAGTCCAGGTCTGGCGACAAGAAGATGATCCGGAGTGGTTTAATATGCTCTTCTACATCAGCCAGCCTCAGAGATAGACCAGGAATAATAGGACGGACTAGATAGTATTTTAGTTTCTTAGTCAGGCTCGCTAGCTCTGAATAAATAAATAGTCCATTGTCTCCTCCTCTCCTCTCTTTTCCAACTCTTATTTCCCACCATGGATCCCTTCACGCGACTCCCCCCCGAGCTCATTACACAGATCATTCTCTATATCGCTGATTTTTCTGCGGTAGAAAGCTTCATTTCTGCATCCCCTCAAGTCCAAGCTATCTTCCAGGCTCAGCCTAGCATTGTACAGGACCTGCTACAGTCAGATCCGATCACAAGCTTCCCAGAAATACAAAAGTTATGCTACAATATTAGCCTAATCCAGACTTCTCTGCCTCAATGTCCCAATCTGGCTCACTACCAACAGTCATGCGATCACATTCCAGTCTTTGATTACACAGAAGCGCTCTGTATGCTCCGGCTGGCTGCACGGACACAACGTCTGGCTTGTACCTGCATGACTACTATCCAACATAATCTTATATCCCCTCTTAGTGAAGTTCCTGCTGGCTCGCTATGTGGTCCTGATCGCGTACGAAAAGCCAGGGAGCCGTTTTCATGGACAGAAGAATACCGTGTCTACTGCTCCATATGGCATCTCCAACACTATTCCTGCCTCCGCAAAGCAGCAACAGAGCGTTGGGGGTGGGATCAAACATCAATTCAAACTTTAGATGCATACGATGTCTGGAACGATATAATAGATACACGGCACATCGAAAAATTCTGGACGATCGCCGCCCTACTTTCAGATCTCGGTCTCAATCCTTCATACGGACATTATCCCTTCCAGCACAGGGAAAGGTCACTGGCACAGGACCCAGAGGGCGAAGAATCCTCACGCGCAGCCTGGACATTTCCTCCAGGAACACCACCACCATTCTTTCCCTCATTTGATCTACCCCCTTCACAATATCTTCGCGATGGCAACAGCTCGCCTTTCTGGAGTCCTCCGCTGCCTCCCCCCGATACCGCAGCTACAGATGCCTGGTGGCTTACGCCGAAATACCGTTCATGGAACCCCCGTCATGTGTCATACTTTCAGTTGGCAGCCAGCGCCGTCAGTATGGACCGAGAGCCAGCATCGCACAGTCTGGTAAACTTAAAGCCCTGGCGGCGCCTTGGGGTGATTATCTGGGACACATGGCGCATATATTCTCTTGGGCTGTGCGATTTCAATAGAAAACAGGCAATGCCAACCCCTGATGGAAGATTGCTCGAAGCAACGCCGAGGGACCGAAGAGCTCTGCAACAGATGCCGGCAGTTGACTATGTGTCGAGGTGGCTGGCTTTGATCGGGGAGTCACGGCGTCCAGCGCGTCGGGTGCGGGTTGGGGGACAGCAGAAAGAATATGGGGTGTGATTAAGTGCAATTCACAGACTGCTTCCTTCTGAATCCCTATCCAGGAGGTGCACAGGATGAATTGCGGTCTTAGAGACTCCGTGTATACATGGCTGTCTTGATCATCCTTTCTTACCTTCACTTGCTCGTGTTGCAAAGAGACTTTGTACGCAAGTATAGCTAGGCAGACAAGACAGCGTATTATTCCCACATCCTGTTACTGTATGTACTGGACACTATTCACAAGACAGTTAACAACTTACCAATGCTAGGACGGTTTTATGTCAAGATCTGTCCCGTTAATGTGTTTGTGGAACTCTCTGCCATGGGTCATGTTTTACTCCATTGCGGGTTTCTTGTCTCTCTTTTCGTTGAGCTTCCACTGTTCCATGTGCTCAGTATCCCGGAAATCGGCAACCTCTGTTTCGAAATGGAAGCGGTCGGGCTGATGGATAGTTTTCCGTGTCTAGTTGTCCGGGGAATCTTGGACTATGCGGACTCGCATAAGAATGACCACTGGCAGGGATATGCGGCTGCGACGGCTGCGGCGTGTGCGAAGGAGCTGCTGGAGGTTATCGCGCCTGAGGAGGGTGGGGATGAGAGGGCATTGCTGTTGGAGATGGAGGCGTAAAATGAATAGATGAGTGATGTCCGGCTTTATGTTGTTGAGACCCACTGATAGACCGTGGTTGATCAACGGGCCGGTCCGATGTCTCTATAGGATTTAATAAAATATCCAAACCACTTGGCTGTCCTGTATTTTCGAAGATAAGAAACAGGCGCAGCAGCGGTGATTTTAGACCAGTGATTCTACATCTGTTTTATCACTATTTGAGGGTTTATAGCATAGCAGTATTGCTGGCCAATATTTCAATTATATCCGTGGCCCAAGCATTTGGTGCGTTGACTTTAACAGTCAGTTATCCTATAATGTCAATTAATCTCAATCTAAATTATTATTTACCGTTCGTAATAATAGATGTAAGTGTACAGGGCAAATACTGTATACAGGCATAGATAGCTGAGACTAGTCCCGATCGGGCGAGCTGTCTCAGCGCAGACTCGAGATTCCCAGCCATCGCATTTCAACCCACCAGCTCGCCGATGGCTGGATTTTCTATCCCTTCGCTGGCCGCGGTCAGATTTATCTATTCATCTCAATCATTCCATCTATTGGAGCTGCCGGATTTGGGCTAATTTTTTGGTCACTGATTTAGGCACATATCGAGAAGCTTAGGCACATTCCGGCATCGGTATGAACCACACTTCCCAGCTTATCATTTTAGACTAGACTGGGACACCGTTAACTCATCTACAGATCGACAAAATGCTATTTACACCCTTATTGATAGGCGCAACCTCAATCGCTGCCCGGGTATCAGCAAGCACAGAGACAAACCAGCAAAGCAATGGCGAAACAGCTCTGTCCACCAAAAAACCCGTAGGCATACGGAAGATGAGCAATGACTCGGGAGAAAAGTTCTTCATGCACTACTGGCACTTTGAGGGCGACGAAAATGCTGCAAACACGACAGAAACTCAGGATAGCACCTCACACACCGAACAAATTCAACGCAGCTCTATCCTGCCTCGCGAGTACTATTTTCAGCCGCCGCTTTTTGAGCGCTCTGTACCTCTCGCTCCAAGGGACTTTCAGTGTCCAGCGGGGACGAAAGCATGTACGTCCATTGACCGATCGGATATCTGCTGCGGTACGGACGAGACGTGTGTGCAGGTTGAGGATACCGGGTCTGGGGACGTGGGCTGTTGTCCGGCTGGGCAGGACTGTTCGGGGACAATTGGGTCTTGCTGGGAGGGATACACTACCTGTCCGTCTTCTCTTGGAGGGGGGTGCTGCTTCCCTGGCTACGAGTGTGTCGATGGGGGCTGTAAGTACCTAAACTATTCTACAAGAAAGGGTCGGTCTAACATAAACACCAGGCTCTCATGTGGTCACTGTCACACTAACCTTTTCCTCGACGACACTGACGACTACCTCGACAGAGACGGTTCGCCCGACGAGCACCCCAGAGCCCACTACCACAAGCAGCACATCGTCAACGGGAGATTTGTCTCCGCCCGATCGACCTACAAGTTCAACTACAAGCACAAGCTCCGAAACAGAAACCGAACCGTCCTGTCCAACCGGCTTCTACGCGTGCTCCGCAGTCTACCACGGCGGGTGTTGCCAGACGGGTCGAGACTGCGACACCACCTCGTGCCCGGCTCTATCATCCACGACAATTGTGAGTAATGGCCAAACCATTGTGGCTGCTGAGCCGACGTCAACCGCAGACGACAGTGAAGAGAGCGGCCCGAAGGAGTGTGCGAGTGGCTGGTTTAGCTGCGCAGACACTGTCGGCGGCGGATGCTGCCCAACTGGATATGCGTGTGGATCGAGCTGTACGGCAGTGCCGGCTGGGTCGACGACGGGGACGGTGGACAAAGTGGCGCCGACGGTCGAGTCGAAGGCTGGAGTTGTGAAGATGAACTGGGGTTCGTGGGCTGTATTGACTGTGATGATGCTATGAACATGTGAACATGATTGATGATAAAAAATGATAAACAATGAATTAGATATAAACAAAACAAGGAATGCAAGTCCCGATCAAACGCGGGGAGCGGGGGGATGGTTTATCCCCGAACAGGCAGGATGTTCCGAGGCCTTAACCGAGTGCGGCGGCGGGTGAACATTCAACTCAACTCGGCGTCTCTCCGGCCCGTCCTCGCACTCCAAATCGCCCCGGCCTTCTCCTCACATCTCCTCTCTCCCTCTCTCTCTCTTCTCCTCGTCCGCTCTTCTCTCCTCCTATCCACCCCCTCTCCACTCCCCATTCACAATGTCGAGCAGCAACACCCAGGCGCCCCTCCCCTTCGCGTACCAGTTCGTCGCTGGTGCCGTCGCCGGTGTGTCGGAGGTAAGTGGGCTGATCTGATCGTCGGTTAAATTGATTTGGAGCTGACTGCCCGCGTGACTCAGATTCTGGTTATGTACGACTTTCCCTGTCGCTTCGCTTTCCAGCGCAATTACAATGGGTGGAGTGGTCGCTAACAGCTAATTCAGGTACCCATTGGATGTTGTCAAGACCCGAGTGTATGTCCCCGCAAATCACGCCCATTGAGCCTCAATTGACACCAGACAGTCAACTGCAGCAAGGCGCTGGCGCTGCCGGTGAGGAAGGATACAATGGCATGTTCGACTGCTTCCGCAAGATCATCCGCAATGAAGGGTATGTCCCTTTCCCGCTTTCCCCTTCCCCTCGTTCTGTCACCCCGGGTGCCCGTCGCCGGCACTGTAAACAAATACTAAACCCACCCAAAGTGCCTCCCGTCTCTACCGTGGTATCTCCGCCCCCATCCTCATGGAAGCGCCCAAGCGTGCGACCAAATTCGCCGCCAACGACTCCTGGGGCTCCTTCTACCGCAACCTCTTCGGCGTCCAGAAGCAGAACCAGTCTCTCGCCATCCTAACCGGTGCCACCGCCGGGGCAACCGAATCCTTCGTCGTCGTCCCCTTCGAACTCGTCAAAATCCGTCTGCAAGACCGCGCCTCCGCCGGGAAATACAACGGCATGCTCGACGTCGTCCGCAAGATCGTCGCCGCCGAGGGTCCCCTCGCCCTTTACAACGGCCTCGAGAGCACACTGTGGCGCCACATCCTCTGGAACTCCGGCTACTTCGGCTGTATCTTCCAAGTGCGCGCGCAGATGCCGACGCCCGAGCCAGGCAACAAGGCCCAGCAGACACGTAACGACCTGATCGCGGGTTCCATCGGAGGAACGGCCGGTACGCTCCTCAACACGCCCATGGATGTCGTCAAGTCGCGCATCCAGAACAGCCCCAAGGTCGCGGGCCAGACGCCCAAGTACAACTGGGCCTGGCCTGCTGTGGGCACCGTCATGAAGGAGGAAGGGTTCGCGGCGCTGTACAAGGGCTTCACGCCCAAGGTCCTCCGACTGGGTCCTGGCGGTGGTATCCTGCTCGTTGTGTTTACGGGAGTCATGGACTTCTTTAGGAAGATGAGGGGGGAGGCTGTCTAGATTAGATCTACTACCTGTTCTGTCTGTTCTGTTTATCTAACTAAAAAAAACTTGGGTTCCGTTCTTTCTTCAATTCTCTTCATCTGCGCAGGGCTTTGGATTTGCATGGTTCATAGATTGTGCCATAGAAAAGATACGCAATTTCATATCTTGTATATGGATATATGTATGTTTTCATCCTGAGTTACGATTCGGAATAAGTATCTTCTCCACCGTCTCCTCCAAGAGCAGTTGGTTGGGAAGCAATGAAGGACTAACTTAGCTACACTCACATCCATAAAATCAAGATTAAATCAAATACAGTAATCAATCAATCACGTCCGCATAATGCGGACCAAGCCATGCAGCGCTGTATGAATATTCAAGACTAATATAACATCACACGTATTCCGAGATACCGAGCAAGAGCGAGGACAGACAGAAGTAAGTTAACTAAGTAAAAGTAAGGTAAGTATTAGGGCGATGAGAAAAGAAGACAAGAGACAAGAGTTCAACTAAAACAGGAAAAGGGTATCGATGGAGTAAGCAAAGCCAATACAGAATGTAACCCAGGTGAAAAACAATCTGAACATATATAGATAAACCAGATGAACAGAACGAAAAAAAGAAGTTGGTTCAGAAAAGAAGCGATGCTAGGACAAAAACCGTAGGTAAGTAGGGTAAGTAGGCATGCTGTGTTCTGCGCGCAATACAAACAGATAGAACAAACAAGATATCATAACGCGATGAAACGGGAACAGGAGAGCTCTACCTAAACCCAGCATACAATGCAGATCAAACAAAACCAGATACGAAATTCCATATAGCCATATATCACTCCTGCGTACGCCGGTCAGCTACCACATCCGTTGGCGCCATGTATGCAACAATTATGACGCGCAATCATAAGAAAAGCACAGTTCGAGCAGCAATCGCATAGCCTAGTTCATCTCCATGGCGTACTCATCTTCCTCCTTGAAGCTCATTCCGGCATGGCCAGAGGTGTTCCAGTACTGTGCCTGGCCGGCGTTGTTGGATCCGCTGAACGGAGGGCTCAGGCTTTGGGGGCTCAAGGCACCATTTGACGTCGCGTCACCAGCGATGTTGGTGTGCTTGGGAACTCGCAGCCCGGAACCGGGTGCACGGGTATACTGGAATGAGCTTGGGTCGTTCTTCTCAATGGCGTCCAGGATTTCGGTGCGCATTCGCTTCTCCTCCTCGGTTTGTTCAAACGGCCAGGTTCCTCCAAGGCTGCTGATCAACTCGGCAAGCTCGGCCTCCTGTTGGATCTTCACATGAAGAGCCCACATAAGATCTCTCGTCCAACCAACAGCGCCGTTGAGGATATCTCCCTTGTTTGGGCCCTTCTCTTTCTCTTCGATTGGGAGACCCATGGTGATATTGCCGGCAGCACGTCGGCCTGTTCCACCGGCCAGAAGTGAGGTGGCCGCATTGGGGGTGCCTCCTGGTCCGGGAAGGGCAGAGCTGTTGACGAGCTGTTTGCGAACTTTGTCATCTTCCAGACGGTGCTGGGGTACTAGGTGAGAAAGGTCTTGGATACGCTCGTTGATATTGTCGCGTCGGCGACGTTCAACCAGGTTGTGGGAAGCCCTCCTGCGTCGGCGCTTGGCTTCCTGTGACTCCGTGTCATGGCCACCTCCAGGCAGGTGAGCATCAACCTTGGCCGGCAAGGAAGCATGCTTTCCTGACTTGATGATTTCCGAAATGGCCGCGTGATGAGATGGATGACCTGGGGATGAGATGGGAGATTCAGCATATGATTGCGCACTTCCGGGCGTGCCATCCCATTGGTTTGAAAGAGTCTTGTGGTGGCGGTGTTGTAAACCTGTTCGAATTGGCTGAGAAGGGAAGCTTCCGGATTCTGGAGTCCCAAGCGCCAATCCACCCATGGCGGGAGTCTTGGGGGTCATAGGGCTGCGGGCATCCATCGATGCTCGGTCCATTGCCTGCATGCTCGGTCGAGCCTTGCCATTGAGGTAACTTTGCTCCAGGTGGGACCCAGCGCTCTGGATATGGGAAGAACCCAGCTGTCCTTGGTTTACTCCCCGGAAGTGGTCATAGTTAAAGCTGCTCTGCATGAACGGGCTGTGTATGGGTCCACCCTCTGGAGTGTTCGAGTACATCTGCGACATTTGACTGGGATGACTCATAGCGATCCCTGCGCTGGATGGATGATCCTGCATGTAATTCTGTTGAATACCATTCTGTCCGTTAATTTCCAAGTCCAGCAATTCATCCGTATCGATTCCGGAGTTCCCAAAGTTGAAGCTAGACGACATGTTCTGCTGGTTTCCGAATCCGAAGTTTCCCATAAATCCACCATTCTGCATTGTCAGGTCCGAGGGGTCGATCCCATCATTAGGGTTCCCAAATTGGTTATGCATGGAATATCCGGATTGCGACATCATGAAAGGGTTCTGGTCACTGTTGGGTTCGTCAGGCTCAGTCTTAATGAACATTCTTGCTTCAGTCATGGTGTGTATCCAGACTGAGCAGGCCTTCAATTTGAAGTCGGTCGGTTCTTATCCACGGGGAGCCCTTACGGTCCAGAAACCAAAAAAGAGAAACGATCTCAGTTATAAATCCCCGAGTCAACGTGCGTGGCGGGGGAAAAAAGGGGGAGGTATGTTGGAGATTGCAAGGTTGAGGACCCCTCGCTTCGGTATGACGATGTAAGCTGACTAGGGCGGGAAGCGACGATGCCTAGTGGGAAACAAAGTGTTCGAAAAAGCGAAATCTGACTAACGCGAATCTGTGTCTTTATATTGTTAATTCAAACTTGTCCAAGGGCAGACCAATAAAGGAATTGCAATTCTGAGCCGACTCAGTAGACAAAGAAGTGCATGGGTGTCGAGGCTAGGGACAAGGGTTTACCCACCAAGGGGAGATTGTTGTCGAAGGCACAAAGCGGTGATTCGGGGAAAAGGTGCGAAGATGAAGAGGATGAAAAAAAGATGATTCGAAGTGAGGAAATGAGTTGTGGCCACGGAGATGGTGGTTTGGGAGCGGACTAGTTAGTGGACGAGTCAGGTCAAAAGCGACTCCTATCGTGAGTGGATTTCAGATTCCAATAGGCCGGGCTGTCGATCGTGAGCCACGCAAGAGCTGAATAATCGGTCTAAAAAGGCCCGGTGTGAGCGACGGCGGGAATGCGCCAAGAGAAATATTGCGAACAGAACGAGGGCAGAAAAAGAAAAGAAGCGACAAAATTCGACTGCGACAAGCAACTCGTGTCAGAGAGGGCGTGAGAATGAGCCGAGGAGGCGAGGCTGTAAGCGAAGAGGGCAATGGGAGCGTGGGGATGGGTCGATAAGGGTGCAGTGGCAGTGGCAGTGGCAGAGAGGCGGGGTGGCACTGGAATGTCTCCTTGACAGCTTGGAGGTGCGGTGAGCGCTGCAGCCGACTGCGAGGTGCGAATTGCGACAGAGGCGACTTGCGGCAATGACGATGCGCAAGACAGCGGCAGTGACAGGTAATATACTCCGTTTCGAGGGATGGAGATCCTGGAGGTAGCGTGGGGGGCAGTCGATCGATTTGGCTGCGACAGAGAGGCGGTGGCAGTTGAGTCGAGCTGAAACAGCGGAGAGATCGAGGCACGGGCGGTCGCGGCCGGCAGTATTCGGTGAAACAGAGTCGCTCAGTCGGTCAGTCCTCACAAGGAGCAACTGTCCCACAATCATTCGCAGGCATTTATTTATATGCCCGCTCAGACTCCGCCCTCGGCCCAACCACGATTGCCCGCCGCGCTGGGGCCCTGGAGCTGCCTTTCTGGGCAAATTGGATCGTCGAATAAGCGCCCCCCGCGAACTGTTTCCCCCCAGGGCGCGATCCAAACCCCGCTGTGAGGGGCATGCACTATGCGGTCACTCACAGTTGTCGTGAATCAATTCGCGGCGCAACAATCCAAGGCGCAGCTTTCTCTGTGAACCGGCGACAAGTAAACGCCGTTTTTACCCGTCACTGCCCCAGGGCTTCACAACTTATTGACGGAGCTGCGGGCGTAATACTCCGTCCCGTCTGTGAAGGCTATCATCCAGGGTCTCGGGATCCTTTCGGCCCAAGCAAGGGTTGGGCTGCCCCTCATCCTCTCCTCACGCGAGTGCTCGTGCGGCAAGAATGGAAAATACGAAATATGAAACTAACAAATGAACTTACCGAAAATGCCAATGTCAAATGCTATTGATGTGAGGGCTCAGGTCCTTCTATCTGTTTCGGAATACAATGTCAGCGTCTGTGCCCTAAAAGGGTTGGTTCGCCCGGGCTCTGGTCATCGAAACAAGTCAAGCCAGATCAGCCTGTCGCAAATGGCCAGAAGGCCCCAACAGCGACCCGACAGTAGAAGGAAGCAAGCGAGGAGCCAGTTTTTCCAAGACTTTCTAAGAAACGTCGCATATACCGAGCGAATAACAGGCAATAGCAAACCATACTTACTTGAGAAGGCCCAAGCGGTGAAGAGATGTCTTCACTATGCCACTCTTGAGCGACAAAGAGACAAAGAGGTCGGGTGTATGAAGATGTCGGATCTCTCAAAAGTCCAACAAAACGGGCGAAGAAGCTGCGGGAAGGATAGCATAGCCGTCTTGCTGTTAAGTGCTTGAGAGGCAAACGGAGCAAAGGAGAAATTACATGCAGGTCAGAGCGACGGGGGATGCTAGAGTCTTTATAAGCGTCTCTGAGACAGCCACACTGCGGAGCCTCTCATTTGATATACATACCACTGCATCGGTCATGCACGGCGTCGATCGACTACTGGGTGAGGCTTAATAGGGCTAACTACCATAAATTACGCGCGTTATTCGTTTCCCAGCAAGGAAATGGACAGAAACGGCCAGAAACAAAAGGTGAAGGGGGTGGCACTGAAGCTAGCAAGAAAGCTATGCGAACATGGAGGGTGTCAAGATGGACCACTGGGGAGAGTTGACGAGGGCAACGAGGGGCCGTGGTTGGTCGATGGCGATGGTGTAGAGACAGGAAAGGTCAGATACCTCAGTCCAAGGTTAGGATTCACGCACCCACCAAGGAGGGTGGTACATGCAGAGGGGAGGAGGAGAATAACATCCACTCTGCATCCCATGAACAGGCCCAGGTACTACTAGACTGCTATATTTGTCACCTGTTGCTTTCCTGAGGCGACATCATGACTCACTTCGTGTCAGCCTTTTTCTTCTTATTTCCCTCCGCACACCCTCTTTTTTCGCCCTGGCTCGAAAACTTGCTTCGGCACCCCAGGAGCGTCAGTTGCCTGGTCGGGCAAAGTCCAAACATACCGTTGCCTCCCTGATCATCCCGACGCTACGGTGAGTGACCAGCGAACGTGAGAGCCCGAAGGTATTCCAGACAAAGGGCTTGAGAATGACATCATGGGCTTTTTTTTTTACGAGTTTATGGCAAAGTAAAAATAAAATAAAATAAAAATAAATAAATCTTGAAAAAGGAAATAGAAAAAGGTAAAAAAGTGAATTGCTGACCACCGTTCAGTCCTGGCATACCGGACCAGACGGATATCAAGGAAAAGCAGAGCCATGTGGGAGACCAGGAGCGACGCAGGCTGCATTAGGAAGCAGGGAGGAGAACAGCGCCCGTCATTTGTCCACAAGCGCAACTAGAGCGAACAGATCGACAAGTGCTGGAAGCAACACCCGACAGGCGTCGCTGGTGAGAACTGAAGCCACTACTCCCATGAGACAGGCGTTTACGTAGGAGGGCTGCGCTATTTCATCATCTACCCCAGGACGTCTCCCAGGCTGTCCGAGCGTTGCCTCAAGCTGGACACAGACAATGCACACAAGGCGGTCCGTGAGTCTGCAGTGTGTAGCATGTCGCCTCCCGATAAACGTTGCGTCCAGGCAACAGTCTTGATAGGTAGAGCACCGAGTGTGGCGCAGTAGATTGCCTACGTATCTGATCCAGATCCCACACCGCGCTTTTGAGGTCAGTAAAGTTAGCTTCGCCCTTGAGTTCGGCGCCTGCGATCATTTCCTGATCGGCCAGATGGGATTTGAAATAGAACTGAGCTAGGAATGTGAAGAAGTCAGATGGCGGCCGAAGACGGCGCTGGGAATGCGCGATGGCCCGCCAATAATCACCCATTACTTCATTAGGGCTGGTAGACAAGGAGGGACAGGAGGGACATTGGGGATGAGGTTGCATTGAGAAAAGCTTCTCTTATAATGATCTGAGCTATTGAACACAGAAAAAGAAAGCAATCCAGGCGGAGAAACAGTCTACACCGTACAAGGGAAACGCATATTGGCTCCCGTAGATTGGTGACCGCGCCGTCCCGTCAAGGTTCGGGGTGCATGGGGGGCGATCGATAATGATACAAGCGTATCCACGGTTGCTGCAAGGAGTTTCCCAGGTGCATCATCCAGTGGGCCGCTGTTACGTCCATTCCCCGCTTGATCAGGATTCAGGAGCCTGCGGAGAGTTACCCGAGCCTTTTCTGTATCTGTAAACCGTCTCTAACGCCGGGCTTGCAGGCTACAAGCGACGGACTGGACAGGTAGACGGCGTTATCCCGCAACTCCAGTGTAACGTGGAGACGGCGAATGGACCAGCAGGCTAATTTGTTCGGGTATGACGAGGTTCGGTTATCCGAAATTTGACTCAGGCTTGTCATACCTTGATAGACATAGCGACAATCTTAAGATAAGGGGGGTAGAAGCAGACTAGCAGTGATCTCCCTCCACTTGGACCGTGCTCAGGTGGACTGAATTGGAGGATGCGCCGGAATGCAGAGGGCGATCGCTTCCGTCTGTGCCATTTGTGTCCTCTTGCAGCGTGGGGAGGGGCAAGGAGGGGAACGGCGAAGAGGATGGTATTGGAGGAAGATAGATAAGATCTTCGAAATGGAGATGGTCCGCGTCTCCGTCCCCGTCTCCATGTGCATCTGCAATCAGATATGCAGGCTAACTGCTAGTCTCCGGCGTGCATGCATACTGACAAGCAGATCAAGCTCTGTGAGGCCGGGACAGACTGCCGAGATGAAGGCTCGCGCGATGGCCGCCAAATGTCCAGTAATGCACAGCCTGCAGTTGGCTTAGCGTATCTCGCTTGACTTGCATGTTTGGGAAGCATTGGGATGGTGTTTTCGTGGAGGAGGGGAAAGAGAACAATCACCAGCTGCTGTGACGGGCCAATGACGGTTGAGCATCACGGCCCGAACCAGAAGGCGGTGGTTACCCCTCCAATCGTCTCAGACATGGAGGGTAACTAGCCAATAAAATGTATGCGCTCTGCCACTCGCGGAAGCTCTGCCATTATCTATTGGCTGCTGCTCGGACCCCGGACCCGCCCAGGATCGCCGGATTTTATTTTGGGACTAGCCCAGTCTCATCAGCTGCCAAACGTCCACCGCCTCTGTGAACCTTGGAACGTTGGATTCTCCGTTTCACCTCCGCAAGTGCTCGCTATCAAGGGCTTCAAAGGCGGCTAAAACATCCACGGTCTCAGATATTTGAATTGGCCAAAAGCGTTCTGGTATGCAGTCTCTCTTTCCCCTCCACCCTTTTGCCTCTGACTCGTAACTGAACCTTCCGATGCCCACACACACTCACACACTCACTCACACACACACCATTGCCCGCCCACCCACCCTCTCCTCTTCTTGTGCTTTGCGTTCTCCAAGTCGGTCAGATGACACAATCGCTAATATCGCAGCCTACTGCAGAAACGGTCCCAGCGTCTCAGCCTCGAGATATCGCAGTACCTTGACGTTACGCCGGACGAATAGGCAGACTCCCACCCCCCCTTCCACCTTCTCCGCAGCTCTCCCCACCTGGTCTGTTCGCCTCCCAGCTCTCGCATTTGCTTCGTTCGGTTTAGAGCCGGCTGTCGCTTCTGCCCTAGTGAGTGGGCTCGCAGGACGGTGTAGTTGCGGTGTATCTTGGGATCTTTCTTGCTTGACCCTTGACGTCACCTCGCATCCTGGCTCCGATCCAACAGCTAGGGAATCTTATCGCGCGAAGGAGCAAACAGGCGGCCAGTAACGAGGCTGAAGTTTGAATAGTGTAGAGCTCTCATTGAAGGGATCACACGCTTGTCCTGGTCATCGAGCTGGTCGGTACTTCCCAGAAGCCCGTCGATCGATACATTTCTTCAGATTTCGCCCGTTCCCAAGCTCCCTTTAGGGCCGCTTTAGTGCCGGTCCGCAGCAGTCACCTGGCCCGTGTTCTTTCCGCCCTATATCCTCTTCTGCCTGCTTAACGCTCGGCAACCCTCCATTACAAGATATATGCAGATCATCTGCACGCCCAACACCAGTATCCGTCGCGCATAGTCCCTGCAGCGACCCTCTGCTTGACATCCCAGTTTCACGCTACAGTGGCTACCAGTGCACTTGGTAAACCCACTGGAATATTCGGCAAGCCAAGGAATTGTTTCTCCTCTCTCTCCGCGTTAGTCCAGGAGCTCCCGGACCTGGTTGCGAAGAGCAAACCCCGTCATGGCATCTACCACGTTCCGGGACTCCGTGAACTCACTGGGTTGGTCGCGACGAGACGGCGATGTCACAGCGAGCACCAACTCGTCCACCCCCTTCCTATCGAGGTTACAGTCCTATAATCCCTTTGGCCAAGGAGATGGCTATCTACAACTTCCCACACACGAAAACCCAGGAGCTCCCCTACCTGCTCCTAATCGGCGAGAGGAGGAGGATGCTTTCCTTGCGCGTAAGTCTCTGGAACCCATGACTCTGCATCTGATTTATCAGGCTTGTTTCATTCGCTGCGCCTTTCTGTCCAGGTGACAAGAGCTCGATCCAGCTTTAGGGGGATAGCTCTCTAGTAGCCTAGGATGGCACTGTCAACCCCAGTTGCTCCTGTCTCGCTCCCTGCTTGCTTTAACATTACCGTTTTCCTTTTTCGTCTTTTTATGTTTCTATGATCTCCTATTTTAGCGTCTCGCCAGGCTAATCCTTTCCCTTATAGTAAGTCGATGGGATCGGATGCTCATCTTCTTTGCATGCAATCTTGGCGCCGCTGTCTGCTTCGTGATTTGCTTTTTCTTATTCCCAGTGCTCTCGATCAAACCCCGCAAATTCGCCATCCTGTAAGTCACCTTTATTTACAAATCCCGCCTGATCGCTTCTTTACGTTATCTGGTTCATACCACACCCTTGCCCCTACGCCGTGAGGCACGGGCGGCGTTGTTCGTCATGCCGTGGTTGGGAAACTGCCTTGGGCAAATCAGAGCCCGTGCCGCATACCTACCCCTTCTTGGATTTTATTGTGCCTGGCAATATGGACTGGACCTGACCGTTTGTCTCTCTCTAATAGGTGGTCTGTCGGATCGTTACTTTTCCTGCTATCATGGGCGGTCCTCATGGGACCCGTAATCTACGCTAGGCATCTGATCTCCGGATCACGCTTGCCCTTCACTGCCGCCTATTTTGGGTCCATCGCGTTGACCCTCTATTTTGCTATCGGAGTAAGTCTCTTCTTGCCTTTCGTCCGCCTTGACTTTCGATGGATCGGCCCGCCGTGCATGTATACCCCCTGCATATAATGCATTTACGTGCAGACGAGATTCAAGAATCCTGCTTGACAATCCCTCCTGCAACCCACCATCGATACCTCTCACAATCGATATCAAAAAGGCGCAGCGCATGACATCATCTTGCTTATACTGGCGCCTGATGTACTCTGTCATCCGGAAGCAGCCGGGAATCCCGAACAAACCGCCGGATGTGTGGGGGCAGGGAGGCGATGTTAAACCAACTAGCCCTCCCTCATCTTCCAATCCCTAGATCCCATGAACAGCACCAGAACCAGTCTCATATCACCCAGAAGCTAACTTTCTTCTCTTTCTCCACAGCTCCAATCCACCCTGCTCACCCTCATCTCGTCCATCTTCCAACTCGCCGCCCTCCTCTGGTATGTCGTCAGCTATTTCCCCATGGGCAGCTCGGGCCTGCAATTCATGGGTCGCTTCGGTGCGCAGCGCGTCACGTCTTGGATGACGAGTTAGCTTGGCCTCGCCATCGCACGCGCAAGCCGTATCACCTGGCTCGCTATGCGTAACCTACCTCAGTCTAGCCGCGTACTCTTCGCTACGACCTATTCTCTCGGCACGATATGATATACGTGCGATACGATATGTCGATATGAACGAGAAACAACACAATCAACCTGTTAATAGTTTGACATACGTACAGAGCCTTCTCAGCCACTGCGCACCTTAGATAATGATCGTGTATAATTAATTAGATCTGCTTTCTTCTTACTGGGCGTGTTTATCCTATGAATCAATAGACTGTTTTATGCTTACTTGGGTCGTTGATTTGGTCCCCGTATTCTGTTGTTGCACAGTGCCTACTTGCTTATGGACACTAGGTAGGTACTAAGTAGTACACCCCTAAAAAGCAGAAGCTTGAGCCGAGGGGGGACAGTTATGCAGCGCCGTTGGAACGTTGTCGTTCTGTGTTACAGTCGGTCAGGTCGGACCTTATTTGGTACACATACTCATTCGTCTATGTAATACTCATCGAGCTAGTTTCGGATACAGCGTAGAATAAATATACCATAAATCATGTCGATTATTTAGTCGTGATATTTCTTTGATCTTTTCCAGTAAAGTATTGCTTTGTAGCTAGGTAGTAATTCCCATTAACGCTTGATCGAATTCATATCACCTCCCTACATCTCGCTTCAACCCAATTCAACTAATACTTCCCACGACTCATCGTAACTCCCACGGTCCCATTAACAACCTTCACACCGGGTATCTCGGCCTCCCAGATCCCAGATCCAGGAGCAGACCCCTCCTGCAACCACCGCTGCAGCAAATCATTGCTCTCCTTGGGCTTGATGTCCGGCGACGCAGTGCCAACCGTAACATGGGGCAGTGGGTTAACGCAGACCCAGTCGGGCTCGGGCTTGCCGTCCTCGGCCTCCTCGGAGGGCAGGATGCGCGCAACGAAGGTCATGAGTCTTGAGTCCCAGACGAGACGCTCGAGGCGGATTCGGGCATGGCCGAGGAAAGGCGTGGCTGTGTGGTTGGTGGGTGGGTTTGTGGTCATTTTCTCGGTATATCGCTGCACGAGGGAGTCCCAGACGTCTGGGTTGTCCTTTTTGGAGGCCCGGTGGATGAGGGTTACGTGGAAGGCGGGCTGGACGCGGCGGGAGTTGACGAGTTGATGGTAGAGGCGGGCTTTCTCGGGGGGTGTAGCGGGGGAGAAGAGGGAGTGAAGGAGGTTGAGGACTTCGGAGGCTGGGAGGGAGATGCCGAAGTATTCGATGTTTTTGGCTTTCGCCTCGACGGTGATCGCAGAAGGACCAGGGCTGTTGCCGTTCTTATTCTGTTTGGGGTTCTTGGGTTGTTTGTATGAGGCGCTGTGGTCCACGTCGACGCTGTACTCGCTTGTTGCGTAGTCGATGGCGTCGTCGAGCTCCTTTGCGGACGGGACCGCAGTCACGAGCTGAGGATAGGTAGAATGTAGAGCTTTGACTACCTTTTCGAGGTTCTCGCGAGAGGTGGCCATGACATCAAGATCAATGACTTCGTCAAAGCTCATGTCTGGCTCACGTTCGGTGTCGATGGCTTCGAATCGTTTAAGGAATCCCTCCATGATACCAATGACCTCGCCGGCGTCCTTCGTACCAGCACGAATAGTCTGGTGGTTGTCACCACGGTCAAGAACACGTCTGCGCGTTACCTCGCGGATTTCAGGAAGCATCATGTCCTTCGGCTCGTGTACATATTGGAGGGCGACGAAGCGAGCGTTCGGAGCAGCCACAGATACATCGCTCATAAGCTGGTCTCGTTCGCGCTTCTGGTGGTTGTTTCGGTCAGCAATAACGGCTGGCTTCTCCATCATGCTGTTGAGGATATCCAATGCAAATTTCTTTGGCTTATTCTTCCCCTTGGGGATATTGTCGTTCTGGATATGGCCCCAGCCAAATAGCTTAGTTAGACCCAAGGCCACTGTTGTCTTTCCACATCCTAGTGATGCAACAGGTACCAATACAACGTCCCGTTTGACGGCTTCGGCCTCCATTTGGATGATTTGAGCTCCGTTTAGCCCACGCTCCTTGAGAAATCCATCGCGCATTGAGATGATCCCGTGATTGTGTTGGTAACGTTGCTTCAGACCCGGATTGAGGACAAATTGATTGCGAGCATACGCCAGGTACTCCTCCGTGATCTTTTTGTGTTTCTTGAATCGAGGGGGCTTTCCTGAGAGTATCGCCTTGGTGCATTCACGCCACTGTCGGTACATCAGGTACGGTTCCTCGAACTTGTATTTGAAGAACCAGTCTTCAAGCGGGCCTTTTCCGCCCTCACTCATTTTGCATCGAATAACGAAGCCTTCAGTATCCCGGCCATCCCAGGATCCAGTCTCGGCGCACTTCTCGAGGAACTTCTTGACGGTATCGAGGTCATCGTAGACTACGAAGTTCGCTTTCTTGAACCCCCACGTATCGGCGAACTGGTGCACATCGTAACTAGAAAGGGTCGCGAATTCAGGAACATTGAAGTTGATTCCATGAAGGTAGATACCTGAGGAGTCCTGGTCGTATGCGAGCACGTGCTCCTCAAAGCTGTCATCACAAAGCTCTCCTACCGCGGTGGCATTCATCACACGCAGCTGTCGAGCTAGGTCTGCAGTAGACTTCCCGACAGATGCGACATGCTTCTCAATCCACTCTTCTCCAACCTGTGCATGGCTCCTAGCAACGTCAGGGCGAGCTCCAGTTGAGTGCTTGCTGCAGACGAGCAGAGATCCGTCCTCCAATCCAGAAATGAATATGATACACCCGTTCTCTTTCACACTGAGCTCGTATGGGCCCCTTGTGTTGTTTTCGATGTTCCTCCACTGTGTCTCATTGACCTCATTCACATTGAAGAACTTGTCGTAGCCACGAGTGACAATTTCCGGGGTGCCGTCTTTCCGCTTCGCAGTGAAAAGTCCACGAGCATAAGTTGGCAGATCATTACGCTTGTAATCCCAGTCCATAAACTTCCAAGAATCTGCGGCTGTGTTTCCAGCTTTTCCCACCATGAAAGTGGACTTCCTGCACTTGAAGGCCTTCTTGTCACCCTTGTTCTGGGTTCGGCCACTTTCCAAAGCTCTAATCATCTCGGCCACCTCCTGCTTGTCCTGCAGGACCGCCTTGGGACCCTCCATCATGCGTCTAGTCTGTGTAAATCCTCGTATGGTGATATTGCGGGGAGAAAAGATTCGAATGGGCGGGCAGGTTGTGTTGATACCGAAGGGCGAGCCGCGGAGTGGAGTGCGATAGGGAGCAGGATTAAGAACAGCACGAAACAAGAACCTATGATTGAAGCAATGCGTTTTAAGAAAATCCATAAATCAAAACTCTCATGACACGGAGGCACAGCTCTCCAGCGGGTGAAGGGTATGAATCATAGCGGGGAGGAAGCAGAGGCTGAATAGATAAACCTCTTATCGCGGGGCTGCAAACGCCAAAAAAAATCACCTTTGTTCCGCTCCGCCACCAACACTCATTAACAGTCCAGACCAGCCTTCGTATCCATTTCTTTGACGCACTTTTCCTCCACAGACTCCTTTGACGCAGTCTGACTCCGACGCCAGCTCTTTGACTCATTTTAGCCCCAATAAGCCGATCGCGATGACTCAACCCAACCCCTACATTCTCGCTGCGGACAACCCTTCTGCCGTTCTGGACCTTCTCAAGTCGGACCCTTCTATCGCATCTAATCAGGACGAACACGGGTACTCTCTGCTCCATGCTGCGGCTTCTTACGGGCACATCGACCTCCTGCGTGCTCTTGTACGAGATTTTAATGTGGATGTGAACCTGCTGGATGAAGACAGTGAAACATGTCTATTTGTAACGGAGAGAGTCGACATCGCGAAATGTCTTATTGAGGAGCTAGGAATTGACCACAATCGGACGAACGATGACGGTCTGACGGCCAGAGAAACTATCGAGGGCGACGGCTCTTTTCCGGAGGTCGCTACCTACCTGCGACAGGTAGCCGGCATACCTGGTGAAGTGTCCAGCAGTTTATCGGCCGGCGATGCGCTGAACCCGGCTCCACCATTGCCACCGAACCTTCAAGTGAACCTGGGGACAATGTCTGAACAGGAAGCTAGCGCGGGGACCAGCGAGGTGGATCCGGAGTTTAAGAGAAGAATTGACGAGCTTGCTGCTCGGGAGGATTTCCAGAGCGAGGCAAGTCAAAATGAGCTTCGGCAGCTTGTCATGGATGCAATCCAAGGGTCAGATATCAATACGCAAGACAAGGATGTGCGGAGAAGGATGGAGTGAGTGTTGCTATAGTTAGGCAAACGTGCATGAGAGACGAATCCAAACGTATATACAATTTAATGTCTTGACCTGCACCAACATCCAGGTACCGCTTACAGTTGGTTTAAATTTCAAACATAGTCTCAATACCGGTCAACGGAATGTCTATATTTTCTGTTGATTTTAAATTTAGGTCGTACACAATTTGTTGTTATGGCTACATAAGTTTTCATCCTCACGATATATATCTTGACCATACCGAAGTTACATCGCAATTGATAAAAAAATTAGTAGTATCCGCTCGCGCCTCCTGCATATCTCTTTAGATCTACTCCATGCTTTTATTTATATATTAAACCTCTAAACATGGAACTGGCTGTTAATAAAGCGTAAACTGGAACTATACCTGGGTCACGTGCTGGACTCTTCTCCCCGCATATCACCGCCTCTCCGCTTCCTCTGACATCAAGCAACAACAACCCTGATAACATTTCCACAATACCAACCTCCACAATGAATCCAGCTTCTAACGCCGATACACCTCCACCCCCACCGCCGAAGCCCAGCAGCCATGAGGCAAGCCGTGGTGGCACACCCCAAGTGAATTCGCCATCACCAGCTACACCACAGCTCTTCCAACAAGGTCAATATGGACAGGACGTAACGAATCGACAATTTCCGACAAACACATCTAATCCAGCCCCCCCGAACATTCCAAGACCACCAACAGTTGACGAAGGCTGGCTACCGGAAGGGATCAAAGAAAAATCGTACAGTTCCCCGCCATTTCTTCCTCTACCTAGCTAACGCGAACGAACCAGGACAATCGACCTTCAGACAATCCTCCAAACTCCATCCCTAATTTCCGCCCTCTCAAGTACCCACCCATCCTACAATAGACACCAAGAAACCCTGCAAACCCTCCTAAACTACAACCAAGATCTAGCGCACCACCTCCTCGACCTACAATCCCAACTGGCAACGCTCCGCTCATCAACCGAAACTCTCCTCCTACAGCACCAGTCGCTCGAAGTTTCCTGGCGGAAAAAGCAAAGCGAGATGGATGCTGCCCTGGCACCGTGGTCGCCCAAGGCGCTATATCAGCGGTTGGGCGCGGGGATTGCGGAGCAGGATGCCGTCTGCTTGGCTGTTGAGGAGAGCTTTTTGGAAAAGGAACATCATGGGAAAGCGACAGAAAAAGAGGTTGCCGATTGGGTGAGGCGTGTCAGGGCAGAGGGCGCAAAGCTGGCGGATCGAAAGGAAGCGAAAGCAAGGTGGGACGAGGGGAGGGTTGGTGGGTGGAGGTGATACAAGTTACCAGTGTTCCGTATGCTTGTGGGATATTGATTGATCGGATGCTGTGATGGGCATGGTGCTGCGCAGTTTGAAAAGGATTATATTCTGCATATACTAATTATATACGACGGATAAACCGAAGATTTCCTCACGATACTCGTTACATCATGAACTTGACCATATTTCCCAGTGGCTTTTACCTTGATATGCAACCATATGGTTCGCTGGCACGCGGTCATTCAGCCAGATCACGTCTTCCACTCTCTAGGTCGACCTCGCCGTTCTGCGTCATTTCCGGTTCCCTTGATACTACCTTCAAGCTCGACCAGTTATCGTCACCGATATTACTTGGGCTCCCGATAGCCTTGAAGAACGCATGATCACGGCTCCTCGCCCCCCAAGACCAGCCTGACCCGCGCTCGAGAGGAGGACTGTATAGTCTAAACGCAACCCAAGCAAACAGCATTCCCATAACAGAGCCGAAGATGATATCAAAGCCATGGTGTCGGTGATCGAACCAGCGCGAAGCCGAGATAAAGAAGGCAACTGCCCACGGCACAAAGGCGAGGATAACCAGGTAAATCGGCGGCGCAGCGCCCTGGGCTCTGATCGCGAGACGGTCCCGGGCGCGCAAGTCCTGGGTAAACGGCGAATGCGCGAGGTGGGGAAACTTGACCGAAAACTTCGAGCATAGCCAGAGGGAGAAATATGTCAAGCCGGCGAATCCAACTATTTTAACGTTAGTTAGCCTCCTGCATACGGACTATTGATCCCGTGTTTGGCGCAAAGGGGTTGCTTACATGATGAATGCCCACTGGGAAAGCTAACAAACCCATTCATCTTCAACGTGTCCGACTTATTCCTGCAAATATCCCAGCTTACCAGCGTAGGGGCTCCCGCGAGCTTCTGTCCTAGCCCACCAACCGCGTAAGCAGCAATGTTCTCAATATCTGGATCACAACGCGCAAGCATATCAGGCCTCGGCTTGCCATAGAGATCCTTCAGCCCCTCCGTAGCCATGAAAACACTGGCGCAAGCCAGCGCCAGTCCGAGCCAACCAGCATTCCACTCCCAAATCTTGCGTCGCCAAACTAGCGCGCGCGACGCGGAGTCGTCGATAGAAGTGCCCGGTGTGAAGAGTAGACACAAAAGCGCAATGAGCACACCCGGTGCAACAAGCGAGACCACGACCATAACGCCAGAGCTGACGGTTTCATCCTCGGTGTATGGGTACGAGAAGTCCACGTTGTCGAGAGAGAAGGGCATGTGATTTGGCTCGACGCGGTGGAAGCCATAGCCGATTAGAGCGACGCCGCTGGAATTTGGGATTAATGTTAATTTCAATTATACCATATGGCTCTGTGTATAACGTTCGATACTTACACAATGAGAATCCAATCGAGGATGTACGAGAGGAACACGCTGACGGTGAAGCTCGCGTGCCCTCTGGACAGGGCGGGGAACGCCTTGATTTGTGAGAGCACCATCGCAATGTTATCAGAAGTATAAGTCTGCTATTGCTTGATGTTCTCAACGAGCGCGATTTATAAATGAATCGAGGTGAAAATAAAGTCAAGCTCGAGCCATGGGCCGACGGGGATGTTAAGCGCTGGGACAGGGAGCATGGGATGCCGACGGGACCAAGGCGAAACCTCCTCGACTCCTTAAAGTAAGTTTGGCTGTTTGTGGCTCGGAGGCCGATCTCCTCTTGGCTGGGTCATTCCAAGAATCCGGACTCAGACGAATAAACGATCATCTCCAGCACGAGACCCGAGTCAGGATAAGCTGACGCATGCCCTGGTTTTTAGTTATGAGCCTGGCCCGCATTCTTCAAGGGTTGTTTGTTTATGATGTAATAATAGCTTGATTCAAAATTTAAATCGACAATTTTAAATTACTTATTCGACCTAAAAGGAGCTGATTTGATTGAGACCTTCTATACGTCGTAGTCGAACCCCTGTACCGAGCTAGTGAGATCGCCGAATTCTTGGGGCTGCTGTGGCGCTTGTATACTATTTCCTCGTGTTTAGTGGAATCGCCGTTACTGCCAGGCGACCAAGATTTCTTCCGTACCAATGATAATTCTGCAACCCAGATTCTGTCCTGCCCGGTTACTCAGTGGGTCTCGGTGGGCAGATGCATTTGAGGCGACGGGGGCTTCCCTTCCTCTGTGCCTGAGGCCACGAAACAAAGCAAAGCATATTGCCGCCTAAGGCATAAGTTTGCTTTGTTGTCAAACAGCGTAGTTGAAGTATTCGGCTACCGTAGTTAGCGTCACAGGTGTTTAAATAAGCTGGCACCCACAACAATTTTTTTTCCATCTGCAAAGCTTGCAGCTTCAACACCAACTCGGTGCTTGCTTCAACAACATGTCTTTGGCAATCTCTCATGATGGCGATTGCTAAAGAGACCCATTGACTTAAATTCTCAGTGAGTATATTCTTTTCTCCTTGTCGACTTTCCCGTCTTCCAGGATGAATTCCTTAACAGGATATCCACGGCCGAAAAAAACATGAAGGACCATTTCAAAGTCTCTAGAATTACTCTGATTCGCAAGACAGCCAACTGCAATTCATGCATTCGGCGTCCGCTGAACCAGTGGCTAACATTTATTGTTTAGTTTTCGTAATACCACTAGGACAACTTTGCCGGACCGCAAAACACATTGTAAAAGGTATGCTGAACAAGTTTTCTATCACTCCCCTCCCCTGGTATGATGATTCTTCGACACGCTATAGGCATTCCTCAAACTTAATCACCATGTGGAATCTGTCTTACTTTAAGTTTCAGCCTTGTCTGACCACCATCTTCACCTTTGCTCTATTTGACTACATTGGTGAACGAGCCCTGACTAACAGTCTTGTTAGGTAAATACCATCTTGTTTTCCAGCTCTTCTTTCCTCGATGAAGATACCTTGAACGAACGGGCGGACATAATACTGCATCTCCCCTCATCCATAAACAGCGAAGCGTACAAACTTCGCGGGTGTTGGGTGTTGTATTGCTTGTTGAGAACTCGTCACCTGAGTCTTTGCACTTTGTCTACGGATGCTCAGTACCTAGTTGCCAGCCATTCTAACTGTCGACTATAGGTACTGTCTCTGCCCTGCATATCCCAGCACCATATCCAGTCAACATCTTATGATGAACTGTTTATTCACACTGTTTGATCCGCACTATGTGTTGGAAATGAACATTAACATACAAAAATCTGATTTAATGAGGTTAGTCCCCCCATCCTACCATTTTAACTATGGAGCGACGCTAATTCTGTAGCCTGACATTAGTTGACATTTGATCACTTCATACACGCACTTCGTGTTGTGACTGCATGCTGACTGGTCGACTACTAGCACTCGGTATACTCAACGTAGCATGACCGTATTCGTACGCAAAGAGTGAGTAGCCTTCTTGTCTTGTTGAATTTCTGATGATGATTTCTTTAATTGCTGTTTTTTCTGAATACACTTTGAAGAAACTTCTTTTTCACCTTGGAGAACTGATGTCTTGTCACTTCCTGAGCGTTGCAACCGGCCATTGTGTTTCCGTTGCTAACCACTCGAATAGTTCAAGTCATATAGAACAATGCAATTTGATTTGTCGTCTGAATATTTGTCTCATAAAACGTAAATACCACTGACCAAGAGATCACTGGGTTACTCGTAGAACAAGTTATGCTTCTTGTGCCAATCTTCCAAACTCTCTGTCGGATACTGCTTGTATACCTGCTTCTTCCCCTCGGGATACCTGGCCCACGCCGGCTTCGAGTCCTCAAAGATACAGACCATTTCATCAGGAACCGGCAGGTCCGTATCAATCGCCGACGCAAACGGATGAATCAGCTCAGGCCAAGTACCGTCCCAAAGCCAGAGCATAGTCCCACAGTCGGAGCAAAAGTTCCGCTCAGACGAGCACTTGGCCTCGTCCTTTGTGCCGCGCGCTTTTATAGCGTTATACTTCCTGTGCACCGTTAGCTCCATCCATCCAGTGTTGTACTACTACCCGAACAGAAGGCAATGGAATGAATAATGGAGTATGATGTGACGCACTTGATCAGTTTCTCCCCTTTCTTGATCTTCAAGCTATCCGCGATCCCGCCCAAGTTCACGGCACCGACATAAGAACCGATCTTGCGGCAGATGCTGCACGCGCAGAGCTGGTAGGGGACTGGGGTTGAAGAGTCGAGACTGAATTCGACTTCGCCGCATTGGCAGCTTCCTTCGAGTTTTCTGGACGGTGATTTGGTAGTTAGACAATATTTTTATGCTTCCGATTTACTCCATTCGATCCCCAATGTTTGGTGGCTTATGTCAAAGAAACAGAAGAGGCAATGTCATTGGGTAGAGATGAGGTTATTCGTCGAGGCGATTCCTCAAGGTACTCGGGTGGCTGGCATAACTGGCAACAAAGTACTTGGGTGGATCAACGTACAGAGGCATATTGAATTCGAAGCGGCTGATGCAGATCGACAAGTTTATTTGGTCTTGTTTCGAAAGTTACTTCTGAGCTTTGTATGGAATTGAATTCAAATGTAGAAGACCAGTGCAACAAACGTCATATATATACCCCCAACATAACAATTCTACTTCCACCTTCCGCCCATCTGCCGACGTCCTTCCGACGCTCAGGTGAGGGGTCAATCCTGCATTTTTGATTGGAGGCTTTGACATACATCTGACGTTTGAACTGCAGTGTTATGGTTTGCATGGTTTGTTTAACTGTGTTTGTTTGGTTTGTATGGTTTGTCTCCGCGGCATACGATACTCTATCGCGATAATAATCTCAATTCCAAGACTCAAGAGTGACGTTTCACAAATCCGACTATATCAACTGCAAAATGAGCTTCGGAGGTCCTGGTGGTGGCGCGATTAATACTAAACCTACGCCGTGAGTAGAGTCTCCCAATTTGCAACCTCCGCCAGTCCATCCCAGACCAAAAGATCATCCCATCCTTTTAAATCTTGCCAATCGAACGACTAACTGATTCACGTTTATAGTCCCGAGCGAGGGAGCTTCCCTCTCGATCATGATGGTACGATTTTCTCTATCTAAATCTTTGAAACCGCCTCATCCCAAAGACACAAACACCATATTCCAACCTTCCGAACCACCCCTAAGCGCAACCATTGACCACCAGTCCCTCCCCCTCATCCCATAACAAAACAACGCCCTCTAACTCGCTCTCGCAATCTAGGCGAATGCAAACACCTCATCCAGTCTTACCTCAAATGTCTAAAGCTGCAGCGCGGCGTAAACGACGACGAGTGCCGGCGGTTAGCGAAGGGATACCTAGCTTGTCGGATGGATAAGTGCGTCCACCCTTTTCCTTTCCTTTCTTTTCCTTCCTATTCCCTATATAACGGCATGAGTCTTGGTTATTGACGGCCCGATATTTGTATAGGAATCTTATGGCGCCGGACGACTTTAAGAATCTAGGGCTTGTGTTTGAGAAGGATAAAGAAGGGGGCGGGACGGGGCAAGGGCAGAGTTCGAGTTCAAGTTCGAGTTAGTGGATTTACTGCGGGAATAGAATGTTTAATGGCGAGATATAGGTATCTACCAGGCCATTGACATGCGCATAGAACGGACCTGGGTTGCAATTGACTGTACACTATTTTACTGTATACTATATTTCCATGGGCTTATGCTCTTTTTGTATATGATGAGCTATGATGTCTCTACTTTGCCTTTCTCTTGCGCACTACGGATATAGGCTTTGATGAATTAATAAGACCGTACAGAGCTTTGTAGAAATAATATCGATTCGATGCAAGTCTGCCATGAGACTTGGCCATGCATGTATTCTTCGCTAGTCAAAATGGTATCCTAACTCATACCAATATCATTCCAAACAACAAAAAGACAGTGAGGTATATAGAGAAACAAGTAAGCAAGCAAACCACGCAAGCAAAAACCCAGCCTAGTCATGTGAGGAGGCAGCCGCCTGAAGAACAAGTACATTGCCGACAGTTCTATTCTCGGTGCGCACCATTGCCTGTGCAACAGCACCCAAAGCACCCCGGGCATCGATCCCGACCTCTTCAGAAGACGGTGCGTCAACTTCCGGCGTCTGGTCCACGCGGGTGTTGCGCCGTCCGACGACGGTGATATTCCCGGGTTTAGAGGCCGACTGTGCCATTTCGTCTTTGACACATTCAATGGCGGTTTGGACACCGGCGTTGGAGCCATCCTTGGCCGGTGTGACGGTCTTGAAAATAACGCGGGATGAGAGCTCATCCGGCAGCGAGTCGCGGAGCGTGGCGAAGATAACGGCATCAGTCGCCTCTTCGAAGTTATCGGGCTGGGAACTTGAGGACGACTCGCGCTGCTTGGACCAGGCAGAGACGTTGGCTGTTATTTTTGGAGCCTCCACGGGTAAATCTATGTGGATAATGGTAGCCGTGACCTGGTCGTTTTGTGCTAATTGGAGAACGAATTTGAGAGCATAGCGGTCATCATCTCCTCCAAAGAAGGGTAGAACGATATGGTGAGAGCGTGCGGCCGCGGGGCGACTCCAGACTGCGCTTCCGATGCTTCTGGCGCTCATGGTTCGTTCGATAGTAGGCCGACCTTTGGCGTTGCTAGTGTACGTGCTGCGCTCTATAAGAACACCGACATTGCAGGAGCTTTGGTTTAGAATGTTAGATACGAAATCAGTATAGGGCCCGTTGGAAAAGCGATTTTGCTCATCCATGCCGAGGCCTCCTTGGTGTTCGCTCAAGGCGCCGGTCTCGCTCCATGGGATGAGAAGGAGGTCTGTGGTATCTTTGTGGGCCATCCCAAGGACGGTGTCTGCATATAAATGCTCAGGAACCACCGAAACTCCAGCCAGAATAGAAATGTCATGCCATTGACCGAATGCACGGAAGGTATTAATGACTGGATCCCACAAGGAATAGTCTTCAACTTCTGACACCTTCATTACACTAGATTCTCGATCCCCGAGTTCCACTAGGCGAATCCCATGGACTTTGAGGGATGAATCTTCGTGTATTTCGCTAGCAGCAGACTCTTCAGCTGCTGGCTCGGGTGATCTTGCGTCGTTCTGAGCTTTCTCTGGATGTACTTTCGGACTTGGAGGTTGGTTTGGTCCAAGGAGCGCGGCCAGTGTACAGATACTAGAAAGACCATCAAGCCGTAGATAAACGAGAAGTCTTTGAACAGTATGAGACTCTAGCTTCTCCTTGGCAGCAGTGACACTGTCACTACGCTCACCAGGTTGAATGGGGTTTCCTTCCCAGTCGATTTCACCGCGGCGCCACCGGTCGACCTTATCTTGGTACCACTTCGGGTATATATATGTGGTTAGAGGGGTAGTCGCAAAAGTTGTTATAAGTGCCATGACCACAAAAATGGTGAAAGTTCGGGTGCTCAGGATATTCGCTTGTAATCCGATGTTCTAAGCGTGTAGTTAGCATCGCGGTATATGTAAAGAGGGTCGTGACCCTAGTCATAACATACCAAAACAATAAGCTCCACCAGGCCTTTGCAGCTCATAAGAACTCCTACAGCAAAGCACTCCCGCCAGAGAAGGCCACAGGCTCTTGATGCGAGTGTACCTCCGGCCACTTTAGCAATAAATGCGATGGCGACCACAGCGACGACATAGCCCCATACGATTCCCGTGTCGAGAAGTCCCAAGTTCGTTTGAAGACCGGAAAGCGTAAAGTATAACGGCAGGAACAGCGCGGCGACGAGATCCTCGATCTTTTCGGTCAGCTTGATAGCGAAACCTCCCTCGTGAGGGCAGAGCAGGCCAATCAGGAAACCGCCAAAAATGGCATGAACCCCTATCACCTGGGTGAAGAAAGAAGACGCTAGGGCAATCAAAATCGTAATTGTGACTACTGATTGACTTGGTCCTTTCTGCAAACTTCCGGTGTAGCTGAGGAAGCGTAAGAACAGTGGGCGGAAGACTATAATCAAGAATGCGACGTAGCCAACACAGACGAGTAATACCCACAGTGCCGTAATGCCGCTGCCAGCGTTAACAAGAGCAACACAGAGCGCAAGTAATACCCAGCCAACAACGTCGTTGCCGACGCCGGCGGAGAGCACAATGACTCCAACATTTGTTCCAAGTAACTTCAACTCGGTCAAAATACGACACAGGACAGGGAATGCCTAGATTGATGACCAGTCAGATCAGACTTGCCGGGGTTTAGAAAAACCTCTGGAGGCAAAGGACTTACAGTAATAGCCATGGCGATACCGATGAAAAGTAGATAGGTACCAAAGTCTATCGGCTTCACGCCATCATCGTCCCGGAACTCGTGGTATAAGCCATAAGAAACAGCAGCACCCAGCCCAAACGGCAGGATCATGCCAGCAGCAGAGACGCTGCCAGCCACCCGCCAATTACTGACAAGAAATCGCAGATTGGTTTCGAGACCGACAACGAATAGAAATAGGACCAGACCGACGTTCGCGAACAGAGTCAAATTTGGAATCGAAGCGTCGGGGAATATCGATTCGGTGAACCCCGGTACACGACCCATCACGGACGGCCCAAGTATGATACCGGCAATGATTTCCGCGATGACGCGAGGCTGGCGGAGTTTGGAAAGAGGCCAATGAATCAGACGGCAGAGCACAATGATTATGAAGGCCTGTTTGCAGATCAGAATGGCAAGATCACTCCATGAGAGATAAAACCAACTTGGATAATGAATATAACAATTGGGTTTTTGGGATCATAATGCGACGGATTACCGCCCTCAAGGATACCACCCTGGGGGGCTACCCGGTTCGTCGAATTGTCGGCCATTGTTTGAGAGAGACCGAGAGCGCCTGATTGCGCAGGTTCGGCGAGGGCAAGGGAGAAAAGAAAGATAAGCGAAGGATGAAGAGAGAAGCGGGACGTCGAGTCTTATATTACCAGGGCCAATGAGCCACTGAGCACAAGGACAAGGACAACTGGGCGCGGTATAGACCAACCCCAGCCGTTAACAAGCGGGGCCCACGTGGTTGGCGTGGAGAGAGCAGTTTCACTGTCACTATCAGTGTCAAGGTGAAGAACCCAACTTCAAGGAGTCAATGAATTATCTTCTGAGAGGGGAAATCCTTCAAGTTCACAGGCATCACTTGTTAGGTTCTGACTTGGGAGATGGTCGGATGATGCACTGCTGTTTGCGTCATTCCATCCTTCACCAGAGACGAACGTTCTGGGGGGAAATAAGAGGACAAAATGGTGGAAGCATCTGACCATTCCCCAGAAGCGATTTAAGCCACTGCGGACACGATCCAACAGGGTGTTGAGGAGCCAGTCTTGAGAGGCTTGGACGAGAAGCTAGCGAGCCCACCTGAGATCTTTGTTATGCTGGGCCGCCCAATCGCTACCTTGGTCCACGCTTACCGGTCCGACAACGCCAAAGGAACCCTATTCTGACCTGGACTGAGCGTGGGGAGACTATCGAATTTTGAGTGCTCAGCTGCTGTACTTCGATCCCGGGCCTCTCGAATGCACGATAATGTGACAGCATAATCAACATTGTCGGGGGAATGAGGACCCCAAGCTGTGTAGAAGGGAGCTATCGCATGGCTGCTGACGACCGCATTCAGCGAAGAACTGAAACTTTGGGGTGCGAGATCGCCTCTAAGCTTGCACCGTTAGATGTCATATCGGAAATCTGCTGGAACATCATAATGGGCCAAATGGTACAATGCCCGTGGGCCAATCGAGATCCATCTCTGCAGAGTGCCCATGATTGGCACCGAAATCTCCGCTTCGGGATTCGCAGAGAGAAGCTGGGATGCAGCTATAACAAATCCATCTTACAAAAGCTCCAAACTCTAGCACACTAGGTTCAAATATGACTCATATCGCATTTTATTCCCCACTGGGATAATACATATGGATCCTTGTCAAAAACAAAAGTAATGAGTTAATATTGGCTGGATATTCAAGCTGTTGACAGTTATGCACTGTCGGTGGTGGGTTCGTCAGATGCGGGGAAGCGATAGCTCCGACCGGCGGGCAGACTTTCTCCGTCCAAGCTCCACGCCAGCTCTCTCACCACCAAATGACCAGCTTCTCAGATGTCGTCCATTGCACGCCCTCCCGACCCTTGCTTGGTTGCCATCGTCCTGATCGCCCGTTCTCGTGCTGGGCCTCGTTTCGTGTTCCATTACCCTCCCAAGCCCCTCACCGATAATCCTTTACGAACCCCAGCGAAACCAAGGCGCTCCTCACGGTCCAGAAGCAGACAAAGTTCGAAGGGCAACGACTCGAGTTCCAGTGACGACAGCCACTCGAGTTCCGACGAAGATGAAGACGATTCTCAGAGCCAAACTCACATTCAAACCAGCCACATCGCAGGGAGCAACGTAAACACTCGAAGGTCGAGCAATCTTGGGGTTGATGATCTTTCCAACTCATCCACAACAGGTGGTGAAAGACCAGGGTCCATTACTTCCTCCAAGTCGCACCTGAAAAAGCGTGGTGCTCACTCCGATGCTGAGAACGATTCCGGTGCCGGTTCTGATAGACAAGAGGATCGATCGAGAGGAGCGGAAAGCCCAAATCGTGTTCCGTTGGAATCTATACTAGGACTCCCGGTAGATGTATGGGAGAAGCTCTTGAGTCCATCACGCTCGTGGCATAAACGACGTTTTGAGCTCGGTATAAACGACCTTGCTTTCGTTGGATGGCCAGTTTTTCTTCGTGAGGACGGAAATTGGGTGAAACAAAAACGGAAGAAGAAGAGGAAGCAGCGCGCAGAATGGGAGGGAGGGGAGTTTGGACATAATGAGACCGCAGAAGACTCACAGGATGATGGTGTGGAAATGATTGCGGCATCAACAGAGACGTTGAGTCCGCACTCAACCGTTCCACCCAGACCTCAACTGGCATCCGCGGGTAGCAACCGGTCGTTAAATTTGCGCAGCGACTCTGTAGATCCCGATGACAAGGATACGATGACAATGTTCAACGTTGTCTTCGTCCTTGACCCTCCACCGCTAGAATATTCGATGCGTGTTCGGGAGGTATACGACAATATCATCAAGAAATTTACCAAGGCGTTAAAATGGGAGCAATCCCGGACAAACTATGTCTGGAATGAATCCCAACATATCCTTCACATCAAGGAGAAGGCAAAAGAGAAGAGTATGCCACCGACCCCCACAGTTTGTTAACCACAGCTAACAATCGTTTTTATAGGAACCTCACTCAACAACTTGTACTCGGACTTAGTGAACCAGTCGTCTCTTGCAAGAGCGATTTGCACCCTATTTACCAGCATATCAGCTTCAAAGATTTCCTCGCTCACGTTAAGCCCGGATGTGTCACTCTCCCTACAGATTCCGCCATTAACCTCTACACCATATCTCCCCGGGCAGAACGACCCTGCATACCCGGGACTTTGGCTTACAACCGCAGATAGCATCAGCCCCGTGGATGAACCCATGACGGACCCAAACATCACACCTCATCAAGTGTTAGCCAAGAACTTCGCCTTACTGTTGCTAGATAATGAGGCAAGCATAATCAAAGATGTGGAAGCGGCCGGGGGGACTTTAGCTGCGCCCCTTGTTCACTATATCCGCTGCTCTACCCCAACGAAGTCATTCATCCAGATCTCGCAGTCCTCCGGTATACCCCTACCTACCATCCAGTTTCTAGCCAGTCACCTGGTCTACTGGAGAAGGGCTCGTGCAATTCCCCCGCTCCACCAACGGGATACCTACTTTGTATCTCCGAACTGTGATCTCAGCAAATTGGAAGTCGCGTCGGCCGCTTATAGACTCGCGTTTCCCACTCTTCCCAGTCTGCCGAAGATGTTATCCGCTCTTAGTGGAACACCAAGGCCTTATGGAAACTTTATACCAAGTAAGGATCACAAAGCTACATATTTTGCTATATTAGCATGGCTACTCCGCGGCGGCTGGGTCACCCAACTTCGATCTTTCGCGAGAGTAAAAGTGACCCCCGAAGTGAAAATGGCCGTTGAGCTGGCCATTCGTCGAGAGGAGGTAGACAAGTACCTGAGCAGGGGTAGACCTTCGTCGGCCGTATCAGACAAGGGGAAGTCTGCCGAGGAGGGTGAACTTGAAGGCAGTGATATGGACGACGGTTCGTCGTCTTCCTCGTCTTCACTTGCAAGCCACGGCAGCGGGGATGAAACACCCATGCCGAATCGCTACAAAGCGGACACTGGATTTGATTTGTCGCATTCCCTGCTCGACCAGAAGGCTTCGCTGACAACATCTTCCCTGATAATATTGCCTCACAAAGCCTCTCCCCTGGAATCCCGGTGGCTGGATGAGATTGTAGCACGATTCCCCGATCATACCACGGATGCCGTTGCCGACGGGGAACAAGGCGGCCCCGATGCACCAGGTGGCCACTCCGCAGCCCCAGTCCTTACAGGTTCGCTGAAAAGCGCCTGGCCAATCTTGGTTAAATACTTCAATGGCTACGACGCTCTAGAAAAGATCCCAATTCGAGAGAATCTGAAGCGCAAACTGGTATCGCAGACACTAGTCCGCCTAGGATTCGTAACTGGGCAATCGACTATCGAGTTGGATACTAGGGAGCAAGTTTTGGTCTCCTTCAGACACTGGTAGTGGCATTTTGCTCTTCCGGGTAGCAATTCGAGAACTCGGGATTTGGAATCTCGGATCGTCAGGAAGAAAAGCCGCACGTGATATATCGGGCCTTTCGACCGCAGAAGCGTTGTCCGCGTTGTCCGGTTCAGGATTGGAGACATCCGAAGATTTCCGATGTCATTGTTACGCCGAGAACCAGCCCTAACAATTCTCAAGCGCCTCCACACTATTATTATGGACTACGCGGAATGGGTTAAGAATTTCGCTTTGACGGATATTATGGTCTATGGATTCGGTCGAGGGCCACAATTGCTCGACCTGGAGAGGTTTAGCCCCTGCGTAACTAGCCTCGGTACAGTTACAACATCAGCCCACAGCCGTAAGCAAACGTTAGATTATCAGTCCTTATTCATGGGCCAACGGCAGGCGCCGGGAACCTTCACGGAATGAGGCGGCTGTCACGTGCTCCCTTGCAGGGAACTGCTTGGAGTGCACGAACAAGCAGCAGGGGAAGTCTTGTTTCAAGATTATGAAAATCTGTATCCCATAGCATTGTCGAGTTACACCTCATAATCGAACGAACAGTTCGTCTGTCTGCATTTGTGGCAATTCTCACGAACCTGTGGACCTGGACTCGGTTCTTTGCATTGGCAGCGCCAAGAAACCGAAGATGGCACGATTTGGAGACGTTGGGATGGCACCAGAGCCAACTGCCGCAGCTGTGGCGCGGTGGTGCGGTCAATGAGGGAGTGGCGAGTAGCAAATCTTCATGTAAATACTACGAACACTGTACGCGATGGGATTATATCAATATAAAGTGTCAAGACATTGCCCCTCTATTGCCCAATGCCTAATCAGCAATACTCCGCAGATGCGTGGTTTTTGATGGGAGGGGTTACGGCCGTGGTTAATAATAATGTCGGATATGCATGTATTCTGTTAGTCAAACAGGGAAAACAAAAGACCTCGGGAGGACCGGCCGAAATGGTGCAGTGATAGTCGAAAAACTAGGGCCAGTACGTGACTGAGGTAGTATTCCCGTTATGTAGCTTGTGAACGCGGATGTCTCATCGTGGCTTCTGAGGAGTAACTTGGGAGAATTTCATGACTCCATAGCTCAGGAACAGGGGGGACCGACGGGAATCTTCACAGCTACCCTTATCGGGATCCAATATGTCATCGAATTTTCTTTTCGTTGTTCTTACCCTACAAGGCACGGATAAACTTAGCTTTGGAGACATTATTGGAGCATTTTACTTGGAGTGAGGACATCCGCCGCGGATCGGATGCAGGTAGTTTATATTGCGCCTTTCACCCGCTACCGAGGGGGTCGGATTACAAGAATGCAGGATGAGATTATGGCTGTGTACGGCCGAAATTACTCCTTGTAAAAGACAAGACGGCGGGAATGCGAAGTGTTATGCCTTGCGGACAAGCAGTGGCGGCTCCGAGGAAGTATAGGCAGGACAGGCAGAAACACAGTCAAGCAGTGAATGTTGGAATATCCAATCATTGCGAGGATGAACAGAATCCAGTCTCGCAGGCATGCCAATAATCATTATTTGGCAATTTGTCTGGCCGGCTGGCAGAGATGTAATATATCGGTTCATACCCACAGAAGCCCTGAAGCCCACTATTGTGCGGGCGTCCGGGACGGACAAGAATAATATTTAATCATAATTTTTTTTTTTTGGTTTCAAACGCGGAAAGCAAGAGGAAGAACCGTTTTTCCCTCCCAATTTTTTCAAGTGGACTCTATTACTTTTTCTCGTCCAGCTGTCGGCGTTTCTTCCACGGCCCTCAGCGGACTGCGTATTGGTTGGCATTATTCTTATTTTCTTCCCTCTCTGTGTGCCTTATTGCTCTCTTCCCTTTTTCCCTCACCCTCGTCTTGTTTCTTCCCCTCCTCTCACCTTCCCCTCCTCATCCCCTCAACTCCCCTGCACTCCGGCTCCCCTGTCATTTCCTCAGGTCTCCGGCACCCTTGTCTGCTCTGTTGGGCGTTTGTGTTGTTGCACTCGCGCCGTGTCATTCCTCAGTGTGTGCCGCTGCCGCATTTCCCCTTCCCACGCCCGTAACTTCACTTCCCGGGCCTTTTCTACCCACTTTCTTTTTTTCTCCTCTTGAGGCTGGAAAGGGTACATTGATCAGTTGATCCCCCTGGATTTTTATCCTTCTCCGCACGAGTCTTTTCTCGAACTTCGCTAGCGCGGCCCTCGACTTTTGACGTTTTCCGTCCTTGCCTAGAAATTTCCTATCAAGGAAGTTCGGTACTTCGACGCCTGTGGTTTTTCCACTCGACCGCCTCCACGTGAAAGTCGCGAATTTTTTTCACTTTTCAAGGGGCGACGGAATCCCATCACCTACAAACGTGTGCCGTTTGTGATTGTGAGTACCCTGGCCCGTTCGAGTTCGAGTTCGAGGTTTGCAGTGTGCCTGGATTCCCCGACGAACCGGACGCCGAACGAACCTGAGTGTTTTTTAGCCGGTTTTCTAAGACAGCCAATCGATCTAGCTACGAACGGCTTCCTGCGCGATTGTCGATTCCAGAGTCCTTCTTCTACGTCCGACGTCATCTCGAATCTTTTTTGCCCCGAGTCGATCTTCTCGTGTGCTCTCCGAAGACACTTTTTACTCCGGTCCGTATTTCAGTTGTCGAAATCCTACCGATGCAATTTGCGTGAGACACCGGTCTACTCAGAAAAATAAAAAGCGGATAGTCGGTTATTTGCACTACCATTTCGAGGACCTTGCTAGAGCGAACATCCGTGTAGACATTTCGCTCTGACTAGGCCAACAATCTCCTTCGAATCGGATAATCGAGAAGAGTGAGATTTAGCAACGGGAAGTTGCATCTAGGTGGGGTTCTAGAGGGTAGAAGTTGATTCCTCTAGTTTCCATCGGTGTTGTCTAAGGTGGTTCCTGTTCTCTGGCAGAACTGTTCTCCATATCTCTTAGCACGGATACATTAGATCTCTGGTATCTAATATCATAGCGAAAAAAATGGCCGCCGCATTTTCCTACGCTCAGGCCGCAAAGGGCGTCGCCCCAGCGCAACCCTCCAATACACCGTCCGAGTCGGGCACGCCGCTCTTGAAGTCTGATGAGCCCGCTGCGGACAGCCTAGATGATGCAGTTCCCAAGGAAGATGTTGCTGCTGAGGTCGATAACACGGCCACGGACACCGAGAATGAGGTGAACACTACCGATGTTAAGGCTGAGGTGACCGAAACTTCTTCGGCCAGTGCTGGTACAGCGCAGAACCCCACGATACCAAAAGAGAACGAGAGCTCAGGTGCTCCGAATGGAACTTCCGAATCCACTACCGAGAAGCAGTCTGAGTCCTCAACGTCGGACAAGCAAAACACTGCCACGGAAAACAGCGAGGGAAAGACCTCTGAGAAGAAGAAGAAGGAAAAGCCTGCACCCCCGAAAGAGCTCAAGGCTGCTCCTCTGCCTACTGTGAATATCTGGCAACAAAGGAAAGAGGCGCAGGATGCTAGGGTAAAGACCGTGCCCGGCGCTGCTGCTAAGACTGGCCTTTCCAAGCCTACTTCCGAGACTTCCTCTGTAACTGAGGAGGTTCAAGAACAGCCGAAGGCTAGTTCCAAGAAGAAGGGTGGTGATTCATCCGATAAGAAGAAGGGTGACGCCAAGGGACGTGAAGATACTACACCAGTTCCTCCGGTTGGAGATGCCGCTTCCTGGCCTACACCTCAAGGTGCCCAAGGCGAAGAGAAGAAAAAGGCACAAGAGAAGACTGAAAAGTCTGAGAAGAGCCCAGTCATCCGGCCCCATGGCAAGGAGAAGTGGACTCCGGTTCCTTACGTTCCTACTGCAGTCTTCAACACTCCTCTACCCTCCGCTGCGCGTCGAGGTGGAAGAAGCGCTCGGGGCGGCAGAGATACCGGCCGTGGTGCAGGTGCTTCCGAGAAGACCTCACCCCACGCCACCCAGGGTTCTACGAAGCAGACCACCCCCGGTGACCGAGGAAGGAATGAGCCAAACTCCGCTCGCGCAAACTCGCTACCCGCGCCGTCGCGACGTTCAAATAGCGCTGACACCGCTCCCACGGATGCACGTAAGCCACCGGCGGCTGACCGAAATCGTGGTCCCAAGGGATCAGACAATGGGAATGTCACCACTGGCAAACAGGTGAACGGCGAGTCTTTCTCGAAACAGGGCAAGCCATTCCCCAAGAACCCGCATTTGGCAGTAGATACTCACAATGGGCCGCGGCCAAATAACGAGCGTCGCTTCGAGAATGGACCGAATGGACCCAAGTCTGCGGACTTCTCTCGAGAACCTCGGGCTGAAAGAGGCAGAGGTGGTCACCGTGGACGGGGTGGTCATGCCGGCTACAGCGGTGCTCAGACATCGCATTTCCCTAACAACCACATGGCCGCTCAAAACTACATTCACCCCAAGTCGTTCGGCTACAACGACCGCCGAGGGCCCCAGCAGCATGGACTCGCTAATGGCTCCCGTGGTCATGCCATGACCATGAGATCACCTTCGTTGCCCAACTCCACTTCCATGTACAACATGTACCCAACCTACCCCGGGGATATGAACGGCATGTATGGCTACCAACCTATCCAGGCTGGCCCTATGTCGGCTGTTCCATACCAACCATATATGGAACAGTGGTCCCTGGTGAGCATGATTACCATGCAGCTGTAAGTTTACCTCGTGAGATTATCGATATGTGTAAGGCATTCTAACAGACGATAGGGAATACTACTTTTCCGTTGACAACTTGTGCAAGGATATTTACCTCCGCAGACACATGGATTCCCAGGGATTTGCTCCGTTGAACGTGATCGCCAGCTTCAAGCGCGTTAAGCAAATGACGGAAGACTTCGAGTTATTGCGCCACATCGCGCGTGGATTGAAGGCTGCTGAATATCACCAGGGTGAAGATGGAATTGATAGACTACGACCGAGGGAAAGATGGGAGCAGTGGGTTCTGCCTGTGGAGCAGCGCGAGCCTTCAGCCCAAAATGCCGGGCCTACCTCTGTTCCCCAGAACGAAACCATTGCGTCTCAGAGCAACCTCGATGCGGCTACAAATGGTTTCGTACCGAAATCTTCGTTGCCTAATGGCACCGGTCCTTCAAAGACAGCGCTGTCCTCCGCTGCCCCAGAGTTTTCGCCTTCTAACGGTGTCCACACTGGAAGCGAAATCTCAAATGTAGGCTGTCTTCTCGTCTCATGTCAATGCGTGTCTTAAGTGCTAACTCCTATCTAGTAAGAGGCAAAATAACTGTTTTTGACCCTCGCGAGGCTCGGATTCTTTGGTGCCAATGAACTACCATCCAACGTGTTTCGGAGCTTATTCCGCCGCGTTCTGGGTCAACAGATTGCACATTTTACTTCGACCCAGTCCCAGTTTCCGATCGCTGTGGATTTTGTTTCAAAATAAGTGTCGGCAAATTTATCTACGACAACTTATCACGGTGGTCACGATGCGTATTTCCAGTAACGGTGGTCGCATTTTTGGTACAATCTCAGTGCACAAATGTACAATGAATTTAAGAATCTAGCGTTTTATGACCCCCTGCACGAAATATCGGCGACGGTTCCCTCAGATATTGTTCACTTTACGGTGCTTATTTTTCTTTTTTTTTTGGGTTGGTTGAGCGACACGGTCAACGCCTGCCGAGGTTATTCGGGACCTCGTTATGAGCGGACAATGTTATTATAGCGCGCAACCTGGGTACGGAGCTCTCTTCCATGGCCAAGTTTGCCTCGAAGTATTCCTCTTCGACCTTCTCGAAACTCTCGAAGCCGCTGAAAAAAAGATTGACCACTTTCTGAATGCTAGCTTGAGAACCGGGCTGCAAAAGTGATTTTTTTTTACCTGTTTTCATTTCTTTTCCTCCGACCCACCCTTTTATGTTCCTCTTGCGGTTTATCATCCATCATGACTTGCATTATTATTTGTCAGTTTATGCATTCATTTGTCGAGTGGCCCGATGACATTTATTCTCAGCGAAGGGGGTTGACATATGCACATTCAGAGTATCGGCTTGTTCTTCGCTTTCCATTCTGTTTCGTTTCCCGGTTTGAAAAAAAATCTCTGGAGTCCGGGCATGTTTTTGCTTTGCTAGTATCTCCAATCTTCGATGCTTGCTTTGGGTGGGTTGGGCTTTTTTCGCTCCCACCGTCATAGAATCTTGATCCGGTTTCTTCATTTTCTTCTTCATTGACTTTCTTTTCTTTCACTTCATTTATTCAATTTCCAAACTCCTCTTTCAATTTCTAATACTGCGGCAATGCTATTTCCCTTTACCTCAGGCTCTATCACCTAGTTCCATACGGATCGAAGAGGCAGCGTGCAAAAGGATAAAAAAATCGTTTCTTTCCACAGCGAGGCGCAAACGAGATTTCAAAAGAGAAAAATGAAAAAATGGCATTGACTGCTTATTTCCGGGTTTCGTCGGCCAGAATGGCATGACACTGCACTGTCGTCCTTCTTCCAAGTCGAGAAACTTTGCATACCTCCTTGTCTCCTCGGTCCTTATATCTTAACATTTCCCGGGCATTCCAAATGCGGTTCAATTGGAGTGGCGCATTGCTTAGGTATATTCTGGCGTGAACGGCTTCCATTATATCTTCATGGTTTTCTTTTTCGGAGTAGGTAAAGGATATAGGTACATATGGTAATTTATTTTCCTCTCTGGGCTGTATCTACTGTAGGTGTTGTCTTCCTGTGTGGGATTTAAAGCGCCATCTTGGGCTGTAGCATAACTTAGATTTCGCTATATAGTGGTTATCATCTAGCTATTCGCTTTGTAGTTAATAAGAAAAGAGTCAGAAATAAATTCATTGCATTGGGAACATGCCTACGTGCAGACCTCTTTTCCGATGTACTCAAGATCATGTAATCAGTTTCTGCCCCAGGCCACAACACACGGAGCCAGTGACGAACACCGGAGTCAGCTTCATCCGGGGCAAGCTCTGTCCTCCCAGCTTCATCATCAGCCATCCAACCCTCCATCCTCCCTCGCCCCTCACCCCGGTCCCTCCAATCCACAATGGAAGTGGCCTCCAGACAAACCGCCCGGCTGCTCCGGTCCTCCGCGCTCCGCACGCACCCCCGTCTCCCCTCACAGACAATCCTCCTCCGACGGCGAAACATCTCCACGACACCCCGACGCTATGCCCCCGAATCCTCGCTCCTCAGTCTCGCTTCGAACTCCTCGCCGTCTGGATCACCACCTACATACTTTAGCAGCCGGCAGACTCTGCCTCTGAACACGGTCGTGCGGTTCGTGCCGCAGCAGACGGCATGGATTGTCGAGCGCATGGGCAAGTTCCACCGGATTCTGGATCCTGGATTGGCGATCCTTGTCCCGTTTTTGGATCGCATCGCGTATGTGAAAAGCCTGAAAGAATCGGCGATTGAGATCCCGAGCCAGAATGCCATTACGGCGGATAATGTTACGCTGGAGCTTGATGGGGTGCTGTACACGAGGGTTTTTGATGCTTATAAGGCGAGGTGAGAAATACTGTTTATTTATTTTCCTTTCAGGAGGGCTATGTACTGATGCCTTGGTTGTAATCTGCAGTTACGGAGTGGAGGACGCGGAATATGCTATTTCGCAACTCGCGCAGACGACCATGCGATCCGAGATCGGCCAGCTTACTTTGGATCATGTTCTGAAGGAGCGTGCGATGCTCAACACCAACATAACACAGGCCATCAACGAGGCTGCGCAAGCGTGGGGTGTTACCTGCCTCCGATACGAGATTAGGGACATCCACGCTCCGGATGGCGTTGTCGAGGCCATGCACCGCCAGGTTACCGCCGAGCGGTCAAAGCGAGCGGAGATTCTCGACTCAGAGGGTCAGCGACAGAGTGCGATTAACATTGCTGAAGGTCGGAAGCAGTCCGTCATTCTGGCCTCCGAGGCCGACCGGATCGAGCGGATCAACCGTGCTAATGGTGAAGCTGATGCGATTCGGGCAAAGGCTACGGCCACCGCGAAGGCTATTGAGACCGTGGCTGTGGCTATCGAGGCTGGCCAGGCGAACGCACACGGAGCTATGAGCCTCAACATTGCAGAGAAGTATGTCGAGGCGTTCGGCAAGCTTGCTCACGAGGGCACGGCTGTTGTGGTTCCTGGAAATATGGGTGACCTTGGTGGGATGATTGCGAATGCTATGGCTGTCTATGGCAAAGTAAGCGGTAGCCAGGCACGGGACATTGCGGCCAAGGCTCTTGGTGTGCAAGATTCTTCGCAGGCTGCCGAGCCCGCTACGGAGGCCAAATCTGAGAGTGAGGCCAAATCCGAGGTCAAGGGGGGTGTTGCTCAGGAAGTCCTTGAGGGATTCGAGCAGACGCGTCAACACGACAACTAAGAACTTGACGTCTCGGGTGATATTCACCGTACAGTTTTTTCCTTTATTCGATCCTCCATGATCGTCATCCACACGATTCTCCAGGTGGTGACGGCACCTATCGCGTCCCCGTCTTACGCCCATTGGTACCCTACTCTGGCGTTTCCGATTTCGTCGCTGTACGATTGTACCATTCCTAGCGTTGTTTCATAATCAGGTCTCAAAAGTGCATGGGCATTTGGTCCCGCAGTTGTGGAGGGCAGTTGCAGGCGGAGGTAGGTGTAGGTTATTCATTTCTGAACCGTGAATCATGTACAGTAGTAGCATAGTTGGACTTAGATATCCATGCAACATTTCGCTCTCCAACATCATAGCCAAATTCAGCTGTAGCAGTGCATGCAAGTGTACTTCACTTGGGCATTTACTTGGCGGCAAAGCAAAGCTCGGACCACCTCCCGCGCCGCTGGAAGATCGCGACTTTTGGGCTTGGGCGCGCCCTCGGCCCTTTTTCTTTTCGTTCGCATTGCTTTCCAAGCTTTCCAATCCAACTCCATCGCTCGACAAGGTCGTATGCCGACTGCACCTGCCCGAGCTCCTATCCTACTACGGTTCGATTCCGTCAACAAGCGGTAGATGCCCCGGTTGTCTTGCGATGCCCCGATTACCGACTCGCTTGTCCACGTCAACTTAAGTTCTCTGTGATCGTTCGAGCTATACCGGCCAGCCAACCCCTTCGAGTTCGAAACAACCAGCCAGCCTCCCGCAGAGAAAAGGGAGGCAGCAAGAGGTTGCGGCTATGCATATCATCAAGCCTACTTGGCTAACGCATGGAGGTAATTAATTCCGCCTTGTTTTATTGAACCTTTCCCAACCATGACTTCGTTTGAACTCGAGGATTGTTTTGGCTAACGTCATTTTCTTTCTTTCTTCGGTTATGATATAGGTGAGCGAAAGGCTTTTGAAGTCTACAGTTGCGATGTATCCCCAGATGGAAGCCGCCTGGTGACCGCCGCAGGAGGTCAGTCTTGTCTATCCCCAGCACGCTCCCTTCCCTACGCCGGCCAGTGCGGAGATGAGGACGCGCTCTGACCGAATGATAATTAACTTGTATCTTTTGGGTATAGACGGTTACGTTCGGATATGGTCTACGGAAGCTATCTGCGGTGGTGAAGACCCCAGCAAGCCGAAACAACTGGCGTCGATGAGCAATCATTCCGGCACTATTCACACTGTTCGCTTTTCGCCGAACGGTAAATATCTGGCATCTGGGGCGGATGATAAGATTGTTTGCATTTATATGCTGGATTCAAATCCGCCTTCTCATGCCGCGAGTTTTGGTAGGTGTCTTGACTGAGCGGAAACAAATTAACGGATGGACGGAGAATTGACATTGTCTGCCTAGGATCGAACGAGGCACCGCCTGTCGAAAACTGGCGCACGATTCGGAGACTGATTGGGCATGATAATGACGTTCAGGACTTGGGGTGGTCGTTCGATTCATCGATTTTGGTTTCCGTCGGGCTGGACTCGAAGGTTGTTATTTGGTCGGGGCATACATTCGAGAAACTGAAGACGCTCTCTGTACATCAGAGTCATGTCAAAGGAATTACGTTCGATCCAGCCAATAAATACTTTGCGACGGCAAGCGACGACCGAACTGTTCGCATTTTCCGCTTCACATCGCCAGCACCGAATTCCACGGCTCACGACCAGATGAACAACTTTGTCCTTGAACACACTATTACCGCGCCTTTTCAGAACTCACCGTTGACGGCCTACTTCCGCCGATGTTCCTGGTCTCCGGATGGCATGCACATCGCCGCTGCTAATGCAGTTAATGGGCCTGTGAGCTCAGTCGCCATTATCAACCGTGGGGCGTGGGATGGCGATATCAACCTCATTGGTCACGAAGCACCTGTCGAAGTCTGCGCCTTTTCTCCGCGACTGTATTCTCCGCAGCCTGTCAAGAAACAGCCGGTAGATGGCCAAGATAATGCCGGGCAAACTGCGGTCACGGTCATCGCCTGCGCCGGTGGCGATAAGTCTCTAAGCGTCTGGATTACAAGTAACCCGCGACCGATTGTGGTGGCGCAACAGCTGGCCGCAAAGTCCATATCCGACTTGACGTGGAGCCCGGATGGCACCTGCCTGTATGCGACTGCGCTGGATGGAACGATTCTCGCGGTCCGATTTGAAGATGGAGATTTAGGATATGCTATGGAGCTAGAGGAGAATGAGAGGTCTCTTACGAAATTTGGTACGAATCGGAAGGGTGCAGGCATCGCTGAGACCACGGATGGACTGCTCCTTGAAGAGAAGAGCAAGGCAGGTGAGCTTAAAGACGTTGAAGGGCGTATGGGTGCTTTGATGGGTGATGAACATGCTGCTGGTGATGCCGCGGCCAACGGGAAACCAACGCCCTTGCCATCAAACGGTGTCACCCCAGCTGCTGCCCCTTCCCCAGCACCTGATACTCAGAAAGCTCAACCGAATGGTACTACTGCAACATCAACACAAGAAACGGAGAAACCAGATCCATATCAAGCCAAGCTGGAGCGACTCAAGCAACGACCTACTTACACCAAAGATGGCAAGAAACGCATCGCTCCTCTTCTGGTATCCGGTGCCGGTGCCGCGGAGTCTTCACTACCTCAGGCTCGGCTAATGGCGGCGTCTGTAAATAATCAGGTCAAGACTGATACACCGCAATCGATTGTCGACCTTTCAAAGCCTTTCGATGGCTTACCGAAGGGTGGACTCGCAACCTTACTTTTCGGAAACAAGAGGAAGCTTGCTCAAATAGAAGGCGACGAGGATGGCCAGGTCGAGAAACGCGTGGCGGTAGCAAGTCAGAATGGTGCTACTCCTATACTCACCAACACAGTCGATGGTCTACTTCCCGCGCAACCCCAAAATCCTCCCACGGGGCAACAGCCGACTCCAGAGTTCATCCGGCCTGCTGTGACAAATCCGTGTATGGCCATGAGCCAGCTTCGACTGGCCGTTCCGAAAGTCCGCATGCAGATTTTACGTGCTATCGATTCGGCTGGCAAACCAACAGAACCCCCCAGCACCTCAGGAGAATCGAACAAATCCCGAGTGGATGTTGTGTTCGAGGCTCGGAACCCATCTACCACTAGTTTGACAGGGCGAGCTGTTGACCGTGAACCAGTCCGACTCACCTTATTCCGTGGCGAGCAACCTGTATGGCAGGACTTCCTCCCAAGGACTGTTCTTCTCGTCACAGGGAACCAAAACATGTGGGCTGCTGGCTGCGAGGACGGATCGGTGTATATTTGGACACCCGCCGGACGACGTCTCGTCAGCGCCCTCGTCCTCGAAGCACAACCGGTGATACTAGAGTGCAACGGTCCCTGGATCCTCGTCATATCCGCCGTCGGCATGTGCTATATCTGGAACGTGGAGCATCTATCCTCGCCACACCCTCCTATCTCTCTCCAGCCCGTCCTTGACGCAGCCATCCACACTCTAGGCGCTCATCCTGCAGCAACTCCATCCATCACCAATGCCCGCATCAATTCCGAAGGTCGCGTCATTGTCGCACTCTCCAACGGCGAAGGCTATGCCTACTCCGCATCCTTCTATACTTGGCAACGCCTGTCAGAACCCTGGTGGGCTGTCGGCAGTCAGTACTGGAACACCACTGAAGCCCCCGTCGGCAATCTCCAATCCGCGTCAGGCGCACAGCAGAAGGACCAAGAGGCCAAGGCTGCTGTTTCGGCTGGCATAATCCCCTTCTTAGAGCGCAACACTACCAATGAGACCCTCCTCCGGGGCCGCGCCTACTTCCTTCAGCGCCTCATCAAGGTCCTTCTCTCAAGAGAGGGATATGAGAGCTTCGAATCCAGCGTCTCAATTGCACATCTCGAGAACAGACTGGCCGCCGCCTTGTCCCTCGGTGCGAAGGAGGAATTCCGGTTATATCTGTCTATGTACGCCAAGCGAATCGGCGCCGAGGGCATGAAAGGCAAAGTTGAAGAACTCCTCAAGGGACTTTTCGGCGGGCTCTTTGAGGAGGAAGACAATGATGGCGACTCTTCGGAAACACAATTGGCACTCCAGCGTCGTCCCGAGCAAGCTGATCGCAATTGGAAGGAGAGCTCCGAAACGCTTTGTGGCTGGCCACGGGATATATTACTGAAGGAGGTTATATTGGCAATTGGTAAGTAAAAGAACCCCTATTTAATCCGGCCTCAGTATTGTGTTCACTCGCTAATCTTCTGTCTTTCTTCACAGGTAAACACCGCGACCTCCAACGCGTCACAGTCCCCTACGCAAAGTTATTAGGAGTGGTTGATAACGAATCTAACGAGGGCGATGCAATGGAAATATAAATACGACCTTTCTCGCTACATCTCTTCCTTATTATCCTTTTCTTTTTCTATTTATATTTCCTATTTGCTTCAGGCGTTCGTGGAACGGCGCAGTAATTAGGCCCATGGGTGGTTTAAGGCAGTTTACTTTTCCTTCCTTAATTCCTTCAGCCACGGCTCTGTTTTCTAGGCACCAGAATACGGGGTTTGCGAATGTATACTATTTGTTTTGCTCTCATTGACTCAGTCTGGACGTTCCTGCCACCGGCACCGTATGTAATTCATCATCAAACAATGGCCAAGATGGTTTACATCGATACCAAAATATTACCAAGTCATGAGATATCTTATTCTAAGACTTGCCTTGAGCATTCTGCTTGTATGTATTTTTTAGATCACTGCTGATTCTTCCAGTGAACCCGCTGGCACCGGTGGAATTCCCCCGTACTCCAAATACCCTCGGGCTTGAGGCCTCAGCAATTTAGCCGATCGTGTGTGCATGCGGAGAACCTAGCATTGACTATATTAATGGCCCTTTTCATAGGAATATGATAATCGACATAACGTTGCAATGATTGACGGAAAATCAAGTCTGGACTGGCCTTGTTTTTTTGTTTCTTTCTTGGTACTCGCAGGATATATAATTCAGCCCACTCGCAAATAATATAGCTGCCAAAGTAGTCACATCACTAATGATGATGTTATGGTTTCTATTCTTTACCACATGCCTTGCTCTCCTAGAACAAGAAATCGTGGTTTTCGAACCCCAGCAGGGAGTACTTGCTATCCACGATGCTACCATCCTGTATGATGCACAAGACCCAGTTTCCATCGACATTGCCACAAAGAGTCTGGCTGAGGATTTACACGCAATCACGGGGCACATGCCTCCTCGGACTGCAGTAAATGAGACAAACCCACCCAGCTTGAACTCGTCGCAAACGGCAATCATCGCAGCTACGGTGGACTCCACCATCATACGCACTCTGGAGAAGAAGGGGCTCCTCGACGTATCTGACATTAGGGGGAAATGGGAAACATTTCGCACAGCGGTTGTCAGAGACTATCAGCCTGGAAGGGACGCGTTCGTCATCGCAGGAAGCGACAAAAGGGCTGTTGTGTATGGCATATACACGCTTGCTGAGCAGTGCGGACAGTCGCCGTGAGTTCTAACCTCTGCATATCGATCCAAGTGGTGAACCGGGTTAATGCTATGGATATATAGGTACCACTGGTGGGCCGACGTCTCAGCAACACGACGTGATGCCATCTATGCGCTTCCTATCACAACCACACACGGGGAACCAAGCGTCAAATACCGCGGGCTTTTCATTAATGATGAAGCCCCTGCACTAACAGGCTGGTGGTCCAAAAAGCACGGGGTGGATCACTATCCGCTCGACTCCGAGTTCTACCGGCACGTCTTTGACCTGATTCTGCGCCTCAAGGGGAATTTCTTGTGGCCGGCGATGTGGGCCTCATATGTGCCTCCTCCAGGTAATATCTTCTTTACCGATGATCCTGAAAATCAGAAACTAGCGGATGACTATGGGGTTGTTGTCTCGACTAGTCATCACGAGCCGATGCAGCGCGCGACGAATGAGTGGAATTCGTCTGAGACTGGGGAGTGGGATTGGAATGAGAATAAAGAGAATGTTACGCGGTTTATGGAAGAGGGTGTTCGCCGTGCTGGTCGGGCTGAGACGTATTTCACGCTTGGAATGCGTGGTGCGGGCGACAGTGCCATCAGCGGTCCAGATCCTATCGAGGTTCTGGAAGATGTGTTTGAGACGCAGAGGGGAATACTGGCCGAGCAATACGGAAATGCCTCTGCTGCAAAGCGTATGTTTGTTTCCTATTCCTGGGTTGGAATATACTCACGGTTGCAGAGGTGTGGACTATCTACAAGGAGGTTGCAACGTACTACGCCCAAGGGCTCGAGCCACCTGAGGACGTGACGATGATGTTCACTGACGATAACTGGGGCAATGTCATGCGGCTGCCGACTGCTGAAGAGGCTGCAAGGTCTGGTGGTATTGGGGTAGGCCAGCACTGTTGCACTTGACGGTTCAACTTGATACTAATACTGGCAGCTCTACTACCATTTCGAGTACGTTGGGACGCCGAAGAGTTACAAGTGGCACAACACGAACAATCTTGTACGCACCCTGACATCTATGCAAGAAAAAACGGCTGATTATGGCAGGCAAAAGTATATAAAGAGCTATCGCAGGCCTTGCAACGGGGTGCAGACCGAATCTGGGTCTTCAACGTGGCCGACATCAAACCGATGGAGTTACCATTTGCCTTTGCCATGGACCTTGCGTGGAATGCATCACGGTTTGATTTTGACGTGGTTCCAGAGTATCTCAGAGCCTTTGCTTCACGAGAGCTTGGACAGGAACATGCCGAGGAGATTGCTTCTATTCTACTCCGCCATAGTCATCTCATCGGCCGGCGGAAGTATGAAGGGATCACTTCTGCTACGTACTCGTTTTATAACTATCACGAAGTCGAACGCGTCCTTGCAGATTGGGAGGAACTTGGGTCCCGAGTTATGGACATCCGTCATTCTATACCAGCAGATGGTCAAGCTGCCTTCTTACAACTCGTTCAGTACCCCATCCAAGCAGGTCTTTTCTACCACCGAATAGTCCTCGGTCAAACCATCAATCAACAGTTCGCCATCCAACGGCGCAACTCGGCAAATACAATCGCCCAGGATGTCCTTGCAGCCTCCGAAGAGGACGCCGATCTGAGAGAGGAGCTGCATAGTATACTTGACGGGAAGTGGAATGGGATGATGGACCAGCCGAAGCTCGAAGAATGGCAATACGAGACCTGGCTATATCCAGCTCGGGACATTATCCAGAACCTATCATTTGTACAACGACGCCAGGACTTTGTCTATGCTCTTGGGAACCTGGGTATATACGCAGAAGGGTCCGAGAGTGCCGCCAGACAGTCCTACGTATGCGAGTCGTGCGATCAAACCAGGCCAACTGTTGACTCGCGGGCGCCTACACTGCAAGCAGTGGACCCATATGGGCCCTTGAATCGTACCGTGGACATTTTCCATCGCGGTGACTATCGAAAGCCCATCTCGTTCAATGTCAGCGCTCCCTACACTTGGATCAATATCAGTCCTGGTTCAGGAACTATCACCGGGAAGCATCCAGAGGTTCGCCTCATCGTTTCAATTGACTGGTCTAGCGTTCCTGAGGGTTTCAACGAGACCGTGCCTGTTGCGGTATACTACGATACACTTCCAAACTTTGACAATCTGCATGTTCCAATCCTGAACAGACCTGCCTTGCCGGAGGACTTTTCCGGGTTCCCTGCAACAAACGGCTACATCTCAATTGAGGCAGCTCATTTCCAGCGCGCCTCCAAAGACACTGTTTCCTTTGAGGTTCTTCCAAACCTTGGAACGCGAACCGAGTCTGGCGCTATCGGGCTGAGACCGTATAAAGCTGCGCGGGCGTCAAGCACCTCCGCAAAGGGGGCATCGGTTGAATATAACATCTACCTCTTTGACAGCACGGAGAGCCTGACTGCTACGATATATCTCACTCAGAATCTAGATACAGATCCATCACTCCCGATGCAGTACTCTCTCAGTATCGACTCCAGTGAAGCAGACTTTACACGGCTGTTGCAGGAGCCAGAGACCGCTGGTGACTTGCCTGATATCTGGACAGACCAGGTGGAGGATGGGGTGTGGACTGTGGAGGTGGAGTTGGGGCCTGTATCTGCTGGTGCCCATAAATTAACATGGCGAGTCAATTCACCCGAGGTTTATCTCGAGAAGGTTGTTTTGGATACAGGAAATGCCGTTAGAGATAGCTATTTGGGACCTCCGGAGACGAAACTGGTTTGAAGTCAAGCCCAATAAGCTATTTAGATAACCAGCCTGACTTGAACTACAAAATGGCACTATTGAAATACACCTTTCATAGATTAAATTCCTTTTTAAGGTGAAGGCTATTTTTCTTTTATCTAATACCTACGACGCTTATTTTTCTCGGAATAGGGCAACGGAGGGTCACTACCAAGAAAACTGGTACGGGGAAGACCTGGGTAACAAGCCTGAATAAGGCAGTTTTTGGCTAGTATAAAACAGAGTTGCCGTGAGTGCCAGCCATAAGCCTATTGATGCTAATGTTACCAGTCTAGGAAATCCAAATCTCCTATAGAACACTCATGAGCTCCGTTGCGGATTGGCATTATCCGCTGCACCGGCCCCACCGTGGCTGGGCATTATCCGCCATGATCCTGGAGTGTCACGCTTATTGGAAGGGTCTTTGTTATATAGGCACTTCTTGGAAAGAAAGGTCTTTTCTAGATAAGCAGACACGAGCTTTCTTGATCGAAAACGTCCCCATCCAAGCCATCCATAATGCAGTCGGAACTCGTTGGACGTACTGCGCTTATCGTGAGTATCTGCGACTACACGCCCCTTGAGTATTCTAATCAGTGGGCTTGTAGACAGGAGCCTCGATGGGCATCGGACAAGCCATTGCCCTCGCCTTGGCGGAGAAGGGCATGAATGTCGCTCTGTTAGCGAGGAGCCATGTAAGCACAAGGCTGTAGTCAAAATTAGCTACTAACACTACACCATAGGATAAGCTGCAAGCCGTCGTATCCAGTATCACGGAGAAATTCCCGAGTGTTGTGGCTCGCGCATATGCCATTGACATCCAAAACCAACCCCAGGTCGACGAGGCAGTCAAGGAGGTGGTCTCTGATCTCGGCGACATTGAGGTGTTGGTCAATAATGTGAGTCTTGATAATGTTATCATTCTAGATTCCTTTGAAGCTGCCTTGTTAACACAGTCCTCCAGGCTGGCCTTGCACTCGGTGCACCGGCCAGGTTCTGGGAACTGCCCATCGACCTGATCAAGCAAATGAACGGTACCAACATTTCCGGTGTCATGTACACCACTCACTCGGTGCTCAACAGAAGCATGTGGCCCCGGAAGAGAGGAACGATCATCAATGTATCGTCAGTAACCGGGTTGGAATGCCCGCCGTTCAACGGCGAAGCTGTATACCACGCCAACAAAGCCTGCCTGGAAGGGTTCACCAACAGCCTCCGAATGGAAACAGCAGGGTCCGATATTCGGGTTCTGACGCTGCGGCCTGGTTGCGTTGTTAATCATTTCCATCTCCAGCGTGTCAAGTATGACCAGGATGCCATGGACGAGTTCTTCTACGGCTACGAGCCACTCGTTTCGGAGGATCTTGCGGAGGCCGTTGTCTTTATGGTTAGTCGTCCTGGGAGAGTCTCGATCAAGGCTCTTGATTGTGTGCCCAGTGCTCAGAGGGCTCTCACGCTTATTGACCGGGAATGGAATGCAAGGCAGAAGTGAGGGACAAATTGTAGCGGTACGGCATCTGATCCAGACAAAAGGAAGAAATCAGGTAGTATATATAGAAGTAGCTCAGCTGTGTAACTGCACATATCGATCTAGGAAACACATACTTCCAGTTCCAACGATGCAATAGTGCTATCCTGTAATATGCACGTAAAAAGCCTTCAAACTTCGAGAACTTCTCTGTCGCCACTATGATTATCTAATCCGAAGACCCGCTGGCCAACGTCGTCCTGGCTGTCTTGTTAAATATGTCAACATGGACAGCACAGGCCCAGGAGGCAGAGCTGTGGAATGGCAACTAAAGGAAGACAGCGCGTGTCAGTCGCCTGTGTTCCATGTCGCCAGAAAAAGCGCCGAGTGAGTCTCTACAACCCAGCGCCCCGAGCCGTCGTTGACAAGCCAGATTTAGTGCGATGGCCAGAGGCCGGTGTGCCTCACCTGTCAGAAAAATGGATCCCTCTGCGAATACTCGCAGAGTCCTGAAAAGCGAAAGTACGGTATGCGAGCAGCACCGGCGATGTCAGTTACTGATTTTGGCGCAGGCCACCTACGAAGTGTTATATCCATGCGCTCCACTGCAGAATCGCCCTCTTGGAGCATCAACTAGAGCAGTCGAGACGCAGCGTGGATGGGTCTGCATTCCCAGGGCCTAATTCATCTACTGAGCATTTGTTATCTCCTAAGGATGAAATGGCCGGCCAATCTTCGCTGCTGGGAGCTGCCAGCCCCTTGTCTAGCTATGGATTGTTTGCAGCATATGGACATCCTAGCAACAGTGAGAAGGATGATGGCATACCACTGGGGAATAGCACCCCTTCCATATGTACCGATGACCAAGATCAGAATCCATTACTGTATCTTGAACCGGAGACACAGACTCGGCTCCTAGACGAATTTTGGACCTGGCAAAATACGTGGCCGCTCCTCGTCCATAAGCCGCTGTTCCAAGAGGACTTTCTTCAAAATGGAGTGAAAGGGTACTTCAGCTCTGCAGTCCTCTCTGCCATGCTGTCTTTGGGTGCACAGTACACCGATAATGACCAAGTCCAGCTGCGGAATGTGTCCGCTGACTCGCTTGCAACCCACGCGAAGCGCCTGGTGCTTGATCAAATCGAACGGCCCAGTCTTTCGCTTACGTTGGCGGCAGCTCTTCTTTCCTTAAAAGGGTTGGCAGATGACAATTTGCCTTCAGCTTTTCAGTACATCGGTAACTATACAAAAGAATGTCTCGATGTCTGTGTCGTGTGCTAAACACCATCTAATATATAGGCATCGCTCTCCGGCAAGCTCTGTTTCTTGAGCTTCACAAGGAAGCCGCGGCAATTCACGATGCTACTTCGTCATCAGTTGAACTCAAGGAAGCGGGATATATACTATGGTTAGGTATTTGGATTCTGGAAAGGTAAGGATTGCGGTACCTTTTACTGACAGACGCGGATTGGTAACAGCTTATAGACATATTGCACAGATCACCGGCCAGTCGAGTTCAACGCATGAATCAGATATACAGTCAATTCCAGTTCCAATGATATCAAGCCTGGAGTATGACCCCTGGCCGGCCTCCAATCATCCATTAACCCTCACCTCTCATTGCATCTCGACTATGCAGTCGTGCTGCGATCTCCAACGAATGGTATTGCCAGTTCTCGACCAACTGTGAGTCTTCGACCGCATTCTAGACCTAAATATCTTGGTTTTCGAGCTAAACTCACTTCGCTAGTTCTGCACTGTCGGACTATCAGTCCTTCGACGCCCAGAATCTGGCGACAAGAACCCACGTTGCCATGTCCGAGTTCTACAACAATCTGCCGAGCCATCTCAGATTGCCTGCTGCCGCTACCAGACCAGTCCCCGCGCATGTGTATCAATTCCAGTTGCAGCACCACACCCTAAAGGTCATGCTTCATCGCCCATTCCTTCACACTACCCCCTCTATAAACACCGTACAGGCCTCCCAGGACCCAGAAATGGTTCACAACCAGTCCGCCACATTCTCCGCCATCCGTATTACCTACATCATCAACGCCTATAAGAATTTCTATCCCCTGGTAGGTACATTATCCCGCTTTATGGCTGGCGCTTGACGCTTCTAACTTGCTTGTACACTAACCGCCGATAGGACCGACTATCCCCACTTACCGTTCAAAGTATTACGCTCTCTTCCCTGATCCACCTGTTCAATGCCAGCTCGGCGGACGCGACGCTGGCAAAGCGGTCAAAGGAGCTTCATCGATTGAATTGCCACGTCCTGGGCCAGATGGCCTCGGCAACGAAGTGCAGTACTCGGGCACTTAAAGTCCTTGAATCTGTTCAGCGCGAATGGGAAAGCTCCATTTCCCTGCATGATTCGGTTGAAGGGGGGGACCCATCTATGGCTGTGTGCGACACGGTTACAGCTGAGATGTTGATGCCTGAGCCATTCAGCCTGGATCTTTCGGACGATGCATTTAACTGGTTCCAGTTACCCTTGAACGACAATCTCTTTGATGATACATTTTTAAACTCGCTATGGAATGTGGACAGCCTGCCTCCGGGATGGGACTTGGACAATGATATCAATGTCGCAACTGAGTTTTAATTCCTTGACTAGATAAATGGAGGTATTCAAAAGTTGTCTCTGTCGACTGTGGAAACCTGTCCAAAGAACTCTGCCACATCATCTGCGAGTACATCTGGCCGCTCCCACGCAATAAAATGCCCGCCGGTTCTGTGCTGTCTCCAGAATTGGATGTTACAAGCTTCCTCCATCCACTCGCGCGGGTATAGCCAAAGCTACCAGTTACAGAATTGCAAGAGTTAGTGGATAATTTCAATGTGAGAGCCGTCTTTGTTTGAAAAAAAAAACCTACTTACCTCTTTCGGGAACAGCGAGCCACCCACCGGCTGCGAGATGTACCTCCCCAACATACTAGCAGGGTTCTCGTTCAAGACTGCTGATGCTTCTTCGTAAATCTGCATGGCTGCACTCGGGCTGCCCTGGTAGTGTATCATTACCCAGTGGATAATTTCATCGGGGGTCCATGGGTAGTTGTCCGTCCATGCTGTTAATTTACCGACGAACCAGGCGAGCATTCCCACGGGGGAGTCATGGAGTGCATATCCGAGTGTGACGGGTTTGGTTTCTTGGATACGTTGATAACCTCTCTGGTGCATTAACATCAGTAATGGCCCATGATCGGATCAGGATAGAATCAGAATTTACGTGCCTCCTCAGTAGCAAACCACCTCGTTCGATCCAGGTTGCGCAGTTCTTGCTCACTATAATCGTTCTGAATGTACCGCGCATATTTCTCCGGCGAGAGCTTTTCGTCAGGGGGGACCGCTAAGAACATGTTAATATGAATGGCACGCACGGCGTCCGGGTGATTCAGGGCCATATAGCGGACTATGGATGATCCCCAATCACCACCCTACCCAATACCAACAGCGTTAGCGTAGCCCGCAATTACGAATACATACAGATCAAAATCTTTACCTGGCAAACGTATTCGCTGTAGCCTAGCTTTTTCATCAGGTTGGCAAAGCATTCTGCGTGTTGTTCAAGCCCGAACCCGGACTTTCTAGAGTACGAACTGAAGCCGTAGCCGGGCAGCGAGGGGACGACGACGTGGAATGGTTGTCTTTCTGGGTCATCAGGTTCTGATAGGAGAGGGATCAATTTTAATGACTCGAGGAACGAGCCGGGCCTGTTCAGGTGAGCAGGGGGATACAATTCAGGGAGGGAGTGCTATACCAGCCGTGCACGAAGATAAGCGGGATGGCACCAGGTCTCGACGATCGACGATGGAGGAAATGCAGATCGACGCTTTCAAAGCTACTGACGGGTACTTGGGTCGTGAGGTGGTGAAACGTATTCAGGTAGGCTTCGAAGCTGCGCCAGTTGTATTGGTCGCGCCAGTATTCCACCAGGCTTTTGAATTTGGCATGTCCAATTTCGAGGTCATTCCATTCAACTTCTGCCATGCCATCATCGAGTCTAGCATACTGGAGTTTGATCTTTATCTCCTTCAGTAGGCTATCTGGGAGATCAACCTAGATAAACCCGTGGTCAGAGCTATGTATGAAGAAATCTCCAATGCGAATGCTGACCTGGAAAGGAACAATATCGTGCATTTTGCCTCTGCGTCAACAGCCAGGAACGAGTAGGGGGCTTGGGTACAAAGCCGAGGCTACGTATGTCGGGAAGATGTGCGGGAGAGATGTTAAGCTGGAGGCCGACGCTTATTGCTGTCTGATTTATACTTATTGCATACTGGTAGACGACATCGGCAGCTTCAAAGCCACCTGGGTGACGTAATTTGTCCAGCCCACGACCTACTTTAGTGATGTTTGAACGGATTCAAACCCAGCGCTTAGAATTTCCGACTCAAGAAATTGAGGCCTTGTTCCACGGGGGTACGTCAGTTCGATAATTACCAAGATACACTGGGGCCGGATAATGCGCACCCGCATCTATACGTGTGGGGAGTATCACCCAACAGGGTATAAATAGTCGATTGAATGTAAATATCCTATGGCTATTTTCTTAGAGGCAGAGGAAGCAGCGTCTCTGTGTTTACTTTACTCAGCCCAAAAGCCACCCACCACGCGGATACCTCCGGTAAATCAGACAGGACAGCACACACGATATGAACCCGACTGTTCCTCTCATATTTCGCAAAGGTGCAACAGCACTCATAACAGGAGCTGCATCGGGTATTGGTCTCGCAACAGCCCAGCGGTGCTATGCTCATGGAATGCACCTAGTGCTCCTTGATTACAACAGCGACGGGCTTTCGAATGCCACCAAGCTTTTCCCCACAACGGGGCCTAATCGAGTCACAACTCATGTTATAGACGTTTCCTCGATGGACGAGTGGGTGCGTCTCAGACCAAAAATTGAAGCCTTCCATCCAGGGGGCATTGACTTCCTCATGCTAAACGCCGGAGCTGGACTCGCACCCACGAACGGGAAGGGGTTGTGGGAAGACGCGGAATATTTCCAAAGGACATTTGCTATCAACGTTCTTGGTTATACTAACGCCCTCGTTGCATTCCTTGACAGTGTGACGAAAGAGAAAGCCGCCCGGCGAGCTATTGTCCTGACTGGTTCAAAGCAGGGCATCACCAACCCTCCGAGTAACCCTGCCTACAATGCGTCGAAAGCGGCAGTGCGAACCGTCGCAGAGCATCTTGCATTTGACTTATCGGAAACTGCACAGAATGTCAGTGTCCATTTGCTAATCCCTGGGTGGACTTACACTGGCTTTCATACCGCGGCATTCAAAGAGAAGCCTCCGGGGGCTTGGACGTCCGAGCAGGTGGTGGAGTTCATGGTTCAGAAAATGGCAGAGAGCAAATTCTATATACTTTGTCCTGACAATGAGGTTACGGAGGAGCTGGACCGAAAGCGCATTCTCTGGGCGACTCGCGATCTCACGGAGGGTCGGCCACCCTTAACAAGATGGAGGGATGATTGGAAGGGGGTAATTGAATCGGAATGGGACAAGATGATGCCTTGAGATGAAAGAGGCTGAGTGTACACGACAGGAAAATGCTTGAAAATGCTCGCAGTGGTGCCCACAAACCTCCCTGTAAGGCCACTACTGTAAATACATGTCATCACTTCAGGAACGCAGCGATATTTCAACTGGAACCTAGCCCTTTGATGACAATGCAAGCTTGTCTATAAAATGGTAGCATCGTAGCAGTAGCGCGCTCCTAGCTGGTATTTTCGGAACAAATTGACCAACAGCTGTGCATGGCTTTTGGTCTAGCGGTATAGCGTCTCGTCATTAATTGCTGGGAAGCATTCAGAGGGTTATTAGTATATACAGCGCCAAGACATATCAGTTTCGCAGCCTTATAGGACAAACAGAAAAGTTATATAGTTAATAGAAGCGTGGACTGGCAGGCCATATGCAACATTGGACTATTCTATCACTATGGCCTAAAGACATTTATTCTGTATAATGCCAGAATATGTTTATCTCCCAAGTGGGTTCGTTCTAGAGATAAAATAGACGTCACATCTTCCAACAGCAAGCCATTGGCAACCAGACGCCGTTTGCGGCAGGGCTGGCTATACACTCTTTCCTTCATTTTCGTCCTCAGAACTATTCAAGGATGGCCAGACCCTGGGAGCGCCTACCCGCACCCAACTTGTCCAGCACGAAATGTTGAATCTGCCGACCCTCGAAGGAGTCAACCACCGTGATTGCTGGTGGTGTTGTGCCATTTCCGGAAGAAAGCGCATAAACGAAGCGGCCAGATACCTGAATATCAGTAAGGCCGGGGTCATCACTGTTCAAGTCAAGGCGGGAAATGATCTCAGATCCATCGGCACTGAGCTCAAGCAGTCGGTTGATTGCCACGTCTGTGATAAAGAAACTTCCTCTCGCCTCAGAGTAGGCGGCCCAGCATGTAGCCTGTTGGTCATTGATGATGGTCTTCTGCTGGACAGATATTTTGTCTGTAGTCGGATCTAGCTCGAGAAGGGTGGCTCCAAATGAAGCGTCCGTTACAAGTAAATCGTGAGGGCCTGGGTCATTCACACCGCCAAAAAGGACGGCAGTCCCGGGGGGGGAAGTCCGTGTGTCTCGGGTATGAAAGCCTGAGGAGTGCGAGTCGTTGAATGGCAGAACAGATACGAAGCCCGTCTTATTGGTCATCGGATCACCCTTGACAGTCGTGATGAGGCGACTATCATTTGCAGCGAAGAACACCTGGGCGATCGTGTTTGTAGGGCCTACAGGAGGTGTGGTCTGCTGGAGCTCAAAGTTAAGCTTCTCCTCCGCAGGCCCAAGTCCCCTTGGGGAAAAGAAGGCGCACGAAACACCGGCCTTCGCTCCGGTATATCCCACACAGACTTTGCGTCGCTTCACTGAAGCTGCAACGGTGACAGGGAAGTCACCTGGCAGAACAGACGGTTCACCAATCCTATGTAAGCATGTTGGGTCATGATCGTCAATACTGAACATGCTCAGGGAATTCGACCCGGCGTTCACGGCGAAAAGGTACTAAACCACAATGACATAAGTCTAAAATCCCCAACAGAAAGACCTTCGGACGGGCTGGGAGCGCTTACCTTGTCGACCACTATCACTGCCCCTTGGGATGAAAGTGCATCCGGAGCGGCAGGCATATGGGTGGTACCATCGATACTACTGCCTCCAGCACCACCGGTAGCAGTAACAAAGCCCCCGTAGAGTTTGCCGTCATGTCCAATTGGGATAGAGATAACGGAGTTGAGATCCTCATTTGATTGAAGGTAAACGGCTTTGCCAACAGGCCATTTGTCATGAGGATTTGTTGAGCAAGCCTCCACGGCGACGGCGCGTGTACAGTCTGCAAGGACTGTCGCACACAAGAAATGGAAAGCAAAAGTAGACCGCATTGCAGATGAAATAAAAAGCAGAAGAGCGAGAGCTATTGTCTGTCACGTAAAGCGCCTTTTTGAATAGGATGTACTTGTTCTGCGAAAGTATCTCGTCTTCATGATGCTGGGAGACTGGCCTTTATATGGCTTCCCAAGACGAGCCCTATAGTTAACGAAGTCAATTCTGAACTACTTGGGATTATGTCAACAAATCCCAAGTTCTCACAGTTGATGGCAGCCCTGGTGGCCTTAAACCATGATGACAACCTACTCAGGCCCAATGTCAAGTCCGAGCTAACCAAGAGAGGAAATCTCGATTGTGTCAACAGTGTTGATTGCGGCTAGTCAGCTAATCAGCTTAGCGGCCTTGATTATGGAATCAACGGTCTCTCTTATACTATTGGGACAAGAGTTCAGCTCAGCTTCAGCCAATGCTGGCCAAGCATGGGGGCGCAGCGAAAGCTTATGTGGAACAACTCATTTTCCCTCATCGTCTGCCAGCTCTCCCTCTTGCTGATTTTACCATCTCAGAAACGAAGTTCCCTCGACAATCAAGTCCAATAATATGGAGAAAGCATTCACCTTCCTTGCCGGTTATCGTTCCGCCGAGAAAACCCCTAAACCAGGTAACATGGTAGCTTTTCGTTTCCAGCACAAGATGCTAACAAAGTTATCCAGAGGACTCGCGTTCAACACTCTCCAAGCGGCGAGAACAACTCAGGAAAGCTCAGCGGTAGGAAGTGCCCTTCCAGTAATTATTTGAATGAGGCTAGAGTCTAGCAGCACGCACCGTCAGCGAAAAGATGCGTATTTCAAGAACCTCGAAAATGAAGTCATACGTCTACGCGAAGTTGAAGTAGATCTGCACGGTCAACTTAAAAACGCTCGCCTTCATGTCCAGAAGCTTCAAGGAATTCTGGATAAACATAATCTGCCCGCGCCCTCCGATTCTGTTGGAGGCTTCGCTGCAGGGATGGAGTCAGGGAAGTACTACGACCAGGGTATAAGTGCACTGGATAAATCTGGGTTCGAGACAGAGACGAATTCTCCGGTATTCACTTCGCCTCTTCATCTATTCGACCAGCACGCGAACAGGGATATCTCCACAGGCTGCACACCATCTCTTAACGGAAACATCCAAGAGCCAATTCGGGATGCGGGCTTCCTCTCTGGTGGTTTCCAACCCACCATATCCCAGCCACGCTTAGCCGAACATCCAGTTCACCAAAACATGATTGATCTGGGCATGGAATTCGTTTTGTCGTAAGTTCCAGCTGGGTATGAGGACCCCTTTTCTCCTTTTTAATGAATGTCCAGGCTCGAAAGTCCTTGTCTCCCCCATCTAGAATCTCACCATGACAAGCCCAATGGCCATGTCTTGCTCGCCTCTACTGCTTTAATGCGTCCGCACCCCCATCGCCACACTTCGTCAACGTCACCCGTATCTTCGCCACACGATCCAGCCGTCATCTTTGACAGGCTCCTCGCCCTGTCGAAAGACCTTGTGTCTGAAGATACCTTAAGTCCTGTCCAAGCATGGTCGCTCATTCTTGAACATCCGACGGTGTCCAGTCTTGATATAACCAGAACGAAGCAGCTAAGTTCATCGCTTCTAGAGATAGTTAAGTGCTATGGGTATGTTCGACCCATGATAGGTGTTTTGTATCTGTTGCTGATTTACTCGTTATTGCGTCGGTTAGGTTTGGCGCTGTCATGAAAAGGGATGCCTTTGAGTCAATAATATCATGTCATCTTCCACGACTGCCACTTTGAGATAATAGGCGACGGGTGAAACTGGGACTTGAACGTTTGATACGCCTCCGTTGGGCTTTCAAATACACAGCCGAAACCAAAGTCTTGTGATGAATGCCTTACATAAACAATGATGCTGAGCCGAAGGCTATCAAGGGCATCCTGGCGGAGAACTGGGAGCCTGGGACCACCTAGAGGGGACAGATATTAATAAACGCATAAAATGAGGGGGATAAAAAAATGTGAGCAAAAAACATATAACACCTAGGATTTATATATAATTATTTATTATAAATACTAACTAGCTAGTATATAGCTTTAATATAGCTAGAAGTTAGGTAAGTACTATAAGGTCCTTGGCCTGTGGGGCTGTTGCGAATAGTGTGAAAGGGTGTAATACACCTAATAAAGGAGATATATAGGTTGCGAAGTGGTCAAATGAGCCAGGGGGTGTTCAACGCCCACAAGGGGAGGACATTGGCATATTCCCAAATAGTCATATGTTAAAAAAGGCGAACCCGCATGCGCCCGCTTCTCGCAGGCACAACCCTGGCTGTTATCTTCTCGCGTTCGAGATCGGCTGGGGTAATGTACTGGAGGAGGATCCGTTTCCGGAATTCACAGGCAATTCTATTTTCCTCTCTCTCACTGCTGGATGATGCGGCAGGATCTCCCCATATCGCTACACAGGGGGTAACTCCGTTCGCTACCCGGAGATCCGGCAACAGAATGGCATTACATCGGTAGCTAACCGGGACGGCGGTATGACTGGGATCCTTCCGTGAGGGAGCATCCATGGCTCTATAGGTTTCGTGGTCGGCTGGGCCCTGGATAATGAAAGGGTGCCCTTCATTGATGACGCTGTCGGAGAAATAGAAGGCTTTATATTCGGCCAACAAACCAGTGTCTGTGCAAGTCGCCGTGCCCGAGCCGAAGTTGAGGCGCGACTCGACGGCGCGCATGAAGGTGGCTGGTGCCCATTGGAACTTGGGTTGTTCCGATTTGGGGCCCGAGAGGAAAATGATATCCTTTGGAAGCTCTCTGAGCTGCAGCAAGAACGACGGCATTCGTTTTGGCGCAGATAGACTTCCTAAGCCACCCGCATCGACGTTCAGTAGCCCTGATACGGCGAGTAGCTCATCATGGGGCTTACTTGTCATCCTCCAACGAAGGGCGGTGGAAAGATCGCTCAGATTCATCGCGCGGGTCCTGTATTTCTGGAGCCGAAATAATTCACTGGCAAGATCGGATGCGACACCGTTGAACAATTCTTGCCCGGTGGGAATGAGTTCTGACAGCGGGACGAGGCCATCGGCAAAGGCAAACACCACGTTTCCGGCAAGGACTGCCTCCTGGAGTGTCCAGAGGCGCTGCATCCAGCCTGACGATAGGGTTCGCAGGAGCTTCAGCTCCCGGGCTGCTGTCACGGAGGTGGATCGAATAGTCGAATCAAGGACCAAGACGACGGCGGCATTCCGATACGTCTGGGCCATCAGGCCTATGGCCTTTTTCCTCATCGCCCTTTCGTTGGGTACACAGAGCGAATCCAGCCAGAAGGCCCCGTTTGGCTCGATCTGTCCCGTCTTCGCGATGAGTGCGTCAACCTGACATGAAGGTATGCCTTTTTCAGCAGTGCTTCCCAGGCCATCGGCCCACACATGAGAGATGGCAACGTATTTTGTTTCCGTAGAGTCCACTGCATGCAGCTCTCCCAATGCTGACGGGTTCCTTTTGATGACTGGGATTTTTCCAGCACCTAGTAAATCAACCACTTTGTCCACCGCAACGTTCTCACATCTGCATGTTGCCTCGACATGCCTTGCCTTGTAATTTTCCGTGTCCGGAATATTGTTGCGTATGCAGCCCTGGACAGTGCACGAGGCATGGTCAGAGGAAGATCTCCGAATGACTGGGCCGCTGACGCTGGCGTATGCAAACATTTTGACAGTCTCCGAGAGAATCGAGATATTCTGCGGACACCAGCCCTTGGAAAGCATGGTCTTTCGAATGACCAACATCGGGGCTAACACAATCGTCCACTCGAAGCCCTGGCGCGGAATCTTGGGGGAAAATACATAAGTTGACGAGACTAGAATCTCGGCCAGGGACCCGATTTGCAACAGCACCTGCGCATGGTCCAATGCTGTCAATCCCACAGCTCCAAGCAAGTTGTGTTCCGCCACTTCGAATTCAAGGATGGTCCGCGCTTGTCTGAACGCTGTATAAATCCGACCGGCCCACTGGTGGGCTAAATCGCTGTCCCCTAGACGTTGAATACGGCATCGCCAGTGGGACAGAATCTGAGGAAGGCGAGTACTGTGGATCATCTGGCGAGAGCTCCCCGGTTCATCATCACTCTCGACAGTGCGCAGAAGACACGACTCATCAACTTGGACTTCAGTTACTGCCTCCAGCAGGCCGAACGTCAGCTGCGCCTGCAGAAGGGCAGCCCGAGATTGAACTGAATTGTCCGTGGACCTTAGTTTCGGATACTCCAGCAGAGAAGTAGCCTCGTAGCCGTCATGCTTGGCTCCCAGCCAGGGCGTGTCGGCAAAGATGAACTGAGGCGGCATGGATGGCTGTGAAGTGGCGTGTAAGCGTGTCAAAGGATTATAAATGCCAATATTACGATGGTAAGGTAATGGTTAATAATGTAAGCATTGTTATCTTCGGTTTGCCGCAAATATACTGATCACTTCTCTCCGTAGTCCCCCGAACCTCCAGGTTTCCTCGGTCAAAAAAAGAAGGGGGGAATAAAAAAGAAGACTTAAAGGTGGTCAACAAATCAATATGTTTAGCCCCTTCGACGGCTTCGTTTGGCCCACCCCACTGCATGGCGTCATGGTGTGCAGCCGGATCTTGAGATATCGATGGCCGATACCGTTGCTCTGGCAGCTCTCAAGTGGCTTTGATCGCCTGCGAGGCTGCCTCGACTTCTGTACTGGAGCCTGATTCCCGCCTGCCATGGAACGTATGGACACAACGCCCTGTGAGTGTTTGCATTGCTGCCACATCCCTCTAGTGCAGTCCCTGTCGATGCCTGACATGATCGGCGCCTTCCTAACACCCTGTCAAAGTTGCCATAAGACATTCAGACCCCAGTAGCACTCTCCAATCACTAAAGTGCAGGGCTACCAATGTCTTAGACAGCATGATAACTATTACCACCAAGTGAAGCGGTTCTAATAACACAATTAAACCTAACATCTATTAAGTACTGAGTTGCTCTAGTACTAGGCCTGAATTCTGGCACTGATATAAAGTAACCTCGGTTACCTATTTTCTTTACTGGACTAATTCGTCTAGGGCTTCTATTATCTAATACTCAATGAGATATCACCAGCCTGGAAGACTAAGAGTTGGCTAGCAGGTTGTGAAAGAGTGATGAACAGTTGAGCCCAGGCAAGACGACACAAACTCGTCGAGTTTTCCTTTGCCTATATTGCCAGATCCAAATTATAAGGCTACCGCTAAATGTACCACCGAACAAGCAACTACCAGTGCATTAATACGGCATTACATATCAACTCCGTTCAAGGAAACCTTCAGAAGCAATGATTTCTGAATATCGCCCGCTCGCGCGATAAGCTCTTGGGCATCCCAGTTCGCCCAGACAAACCTGCCCTTCAGAAACTTGGCTTCGTCCGACGCAAGCCACACAAGGAAGTGAGCTGGTAATTCCACTGGGGATAGCATTAGAAATCAAGTCCCTTCGGAAACAATGGGGCCCAGAAGCATACCCGTATCCGGCCCCTCAGTAATGTCAGGGTTGACCTCTGTAGCAATGATGCCCGGCTGGATATTGACAACATGAATCCCCGGGTTCTCCGCAGCAAAGTAGTCGAACATTCTGATTGTCGCTAGCTTTGTAGCCGCGTAGCTGAACATACCGGGCAGCTCTTTCTGCGGCGCCCAGTGTGCAATGCCGGAGCTTGTGTTGAATACTTTAGCACCAGGCGCAGCCAGCGGGAGAAACGCTTGCAGAGAGTGAAACGCGCCGATAAAATTGGTCTCAAAGGCCACTCGGAGATCTGCCTCGCTATACCCGAAGACCGGAGCAGGCGTAGGGAGCATGCCGGCGTTGGAGGCAAAGATGTCAATCTGCCCGACCTCTGCCACGATGTTCTCAAGCGCGGTCTTGATAGATTTAAGATGCGTAATGTCGCCGGCCTCTATAATGACTTGGGTCGTTGTTGTTGCCGCCTCCTTGATTGCCTGCGCGGTTGCTTCGAGCTTGTTGACTCGGCGCCCGATAATCGCGACAGACTTGGCGCCGGCTTGGGTGAATGCTATTGCGATCGCTTTGCCAATTCCTGTACCCCCGCCGGTGATAACGACGTTCTTGCCAGCGGCTGAGAGTCCCGGTCTGGTGGGAGAAATGAAGGGGTAGGGCTCGCTGTGCCAGGATTTGGTGAAGGAGACCAAGCCGGGGAGATCGGGTGCTGGGGCCATGATGGATAAAGTGGTATAGAACCTTCTTGGATGTGTTGCAATTCTGATCGAGGTGCGTCTTCCGATACTTTTATATCCCATAAAGAGGCTGCTATTGGCGTAGCTTTGTAATAAGTTACGTCCGCGGAGGCAAGTTTGAATGAACCATGCACTAAGCTATTGCTGGTCTCTCCGCGGAAGCCCTGGAGAGCTTTGGATCTGTCATCGACGAACTTCAGTTACTCAGCACATTATAGCCATCCTACAAAAATTACCAGCATGGAGCTGAAAATGGGACGAGTCGGAGCCAGTAATTGCTGATGTGCTGGGGTAAACAGGCCCCTAACCCAAGTTGCATTGATATGAAAAAGACTAGCTCCATAGCTATGTACATGATTTCTCTGGTTTATTATTATTATTATTATTTTACTATAAATCTAGTACCTTCTTCAGGACGCATTTCATTTTTATTTCTCTGAGATCCTAGGTGCTCACTGATCGTGAACGATGGTAGTAGTAACCGCTTACTTAGGGCTTTGAGACCTAGGTCAACATCGCAAAATTGAAAAACCTCAAAAGAGATTAAAAACACGCCTCGCAATGACTGGTATGTTTATCTGATATCTGCATTGCGGTCATGGATGAAGGAAATCATTCTGAAGAGAAATATTATAGGAAAGCTGCAGGAGTTCCTTGCAGGCGCTCCGCATCGTTTTCAGTCCCTTGTACGGATCTTGTTGTATCATCTGGTCCAAAAGAAGCAATGAAAGTTCTGCCAGATACTGGTCATGTTCGAAAACCTCGTGGTTTGGCTGAAGCATGTTGTTGGCAATTAAACATACGGACCCGGTGACATACGTGCACCCGGTCATCCTGGTTTCAGAATGCCTTGTTAGCTGTCATATCATTCTAGAAAATAAGCTATTGTTGAAAATCCGGGTTACTCACCAGATAAATGCTGAATCCTTCGGCTCTACAGCCATGAATAGTCTCATGTACTCGCGAGACTCGTGGACGAGCACCTGCCATCCTTGCGGCAGTAGAACTGGCTCGACCATGCGTCGCTGCAGGGATTTTCCTCCGAAATCTTGTAAGCTCTGCAACCACGGAGTCTCCATGGCGTGAGCTCGACAGATTAGAGCCCGACATGCGAGATGGGTAGAGTAGAGGATCCCAAAGCTTCTGAACAAATCGGGGTTACAGCTTTGGAGTACAGCGCTCGGTCGGAATCGTGATGGAATTCGCGAAGCCCAGTCGTCTAACTTATGTCGAAGGCCTACAAGGTTCTCATTTCGCTGGTGCACGTTCAACGCTTGAGCGCGCGCGGAGTGCATGGATTCGTAGGCCCTCCCCTGGATAATAGCCAGTTGCACACGGGCGCGGAAGAAGTTGAAGCTCGAATTCCCGTCCACGGCAAGAACCAGCCCAGCTCCATCTGCGGGCTCAATTGGAGGTAAATCGATGTCGATATCGCTCTGCAGCTGGATGGGCGGTTGCCCGGTTCGCAAGCTGATATCGCGATCGAGAATGTACGCGATCCAGAAAACACGATCTCGCTCAAGAATAGCTTGGGTACTAAAACCCTCTGAGCTTGTGCGAGCATGCAGTCCCAACTCATGAGCAAGACGAAGAGCGATGGCAATAAGCATCGCCGCGGGCTTCCAATTGCGAGCTCCCTGGAACAACATGGCCAGTCCAAGGACGGTTTGAACGTTGACGATTTCCGCATCGCCCATAATCACCTCGGTTAATACCGACTGAGCTCTATTCAAATAGTAGGCTGCGTTTCGCTTGGGTGTCGCTTGGTCGGAGGGAACTTGACAAGAATGCGCGAGCGCGAGAACCACGTTGATCGCTGCCCACGTGGAGCAGTCTCTTCGACCCCGAGGTGTGTACCAGCTTCGAAGCGACTGTAGTAGTCTGCCGGGGTGGAATAGCGGAATCACGACATTGAGCGTTGCTAGGTATTTCTCTACAGCCAGTAATGCTTCATTGAGCGGCGGCAAGTCCAGCGTGCCGTCCACGAAGGGAGGGATCTCCCCCAACTGCGTCTGCTCCCAGTGACCGGCCATGACGATGGGCGATTCGCTTGAGACTGCTCTTTCCTGCGGCACACTCCCCTCCACCTGGTCGAGTTTCTCCAGAGCTTGGCTCAGGTTCTGCTCTAGCTGTTTCATGCGAGACTGCAGAGCTTCAATACCATCACTGGGCTCCTGCTTCTTGGCTCGCGACTTCCGACTCACAACTTGGAAGGTGCATGTCGAGTTGTAAATTACGCAATGAGAACACCGGGGTTTCTGTGCGTCGCATTTGATCCTTTTGCGGTAGCAAAGGTCGCAGGCCTAGGTAAGAGTCAGTTTGCTGGCAGTCTGGAGAATCACACAACAAACAAACGAACTTTTCTTGGAGGTTTGGGCTGTGGCATCTTGGTGTATTTGAAGATATATAAGCTGCAGACGTGATGCAAGCGACAGAGTGCAGAGTACCCGTGGACATCTTGGAGGAGCTAGGGTTCCGCGGAAGCAGTGCTGATAAATGGCACTTGGCACTATATACCGTAATTGGTTAAATGATTAAGTATTATTAAGCCCCCAGAACCCGGGACTACTCCTGAAGAGACTGGTGAAGAAGTAATAGATTATCAGCATCTGCAAGTCTTTGGACATAGTAATAGTAGTATTAAAAATAGCGAATCTGAGCATTACTATAATAATAGGGATGCGGTGGCTGTAGAGCTCGGGGAAAGAGAACTAGATTAACAAGCTAAATATATATCCAGTAATATAGAGCGAGCTTGAAAGTGCTGTGACTTCTAGACTGACACTCAACTACTACACGATATATTATAATAATAAGCTTAAGATAGCGGAGTTAAAGGTAGATCTATAGTAGGTAAAGGCAAGAACAGTACTCAGGTATAATCTTTAAAGGGGCAGAGAGTATTATTAGGGTTAATATCTCTATTAGTTCATATAGTAGAAGGCATAAACTTTATCAGTAAAGGCTAGTAATGAGAAAAGTCCTTGTCCTTAACTTAAAGGCTACTATATATTTATTATGCTCGTGTATTTCTAGAGGGTATTCTGCGCCCAGAGCATGAAAGCCTTAGAAACGCACAAACAGATGGGACTACACTATCATCGGCTACACCCCAACCTGTAAGCTTTTCTTTTTCTTCTTCCCGTGTTCCCTTCCGGGTCTTCATAGTCACCATCGTATTTTCCGAGAAAAGGAGATAGGGCTAACCAAAGAAACCATCCCCCCCGCCTCTCCAGATATCGGCATCAACGAAGCCATCCCCATGGCCCAGTACTTCCTTATCTGCCGCTACCTCAACGAACCTCCCCTCTGGCCCGGTACATTAGCCGGCTACCACCGTGTCGAGAACCAATAATATGATGATAGTTATCGCACTTGGTTGGATACCTACTGGGCTTATCAGTGTGCTGGGGTGTTGCCGGCGCCTTGGGAGTAGGGGTGAGGAGTCGTCTTTCAACAGACTTATTCCACCCTACTAAAAAGGGTCAACCCTACTTTAGTAAGGGTTTTAGGGTATCACAGCATGTTTCTTCCAGCCAACATCTTTCTACATGGTGTTGTAGATAGGGGTGAATAAATTGACTAACCCTTCAATGGATTATGCCTATGGTTCGCCCATCGTGCCGATCTGTAGAGCAGCACAGGAAGTGGAAAGAGTGATAAATACGCCGCGGCAGTTAAATTTTGAGCTGAAGGTAAACAAAGTAGGAGTCTCTTAATCGGTTGAGATACTACATCCAGCACTAATGATGATATGGTTGCTAGAACGAGTATACTTTTCCGTGCATGATAAAATCCTTGTATCTCAGCCTCATTCCCATCCCTATATCCCCCGTCCAACCGCGGATTTTATTTCCTCAGGTCATACGCAGCTTCAAATTATTCTAGCGCCTGATTCATCTCAACTGCGCCGATTCGCACTGCAAAAACGAACCTTCATCCAGGTCCCATCCACTGGTTTAGCGGAAATGATGAAAGTCTTTTTATAGGTTTCAAGGTCAAAACAATTACAACCATAGTATATTCAGGACCTAACTTACATTATAAAGAGGCCCTTCACTCCCCCACTGGCTAAACTTAACCATCTTCACCAACTGCATGCAATTCACAACAGTCACGAACCATGGTCGTAAAACACACACACACACTCACACACCTCATGTAGTTTCTGAGTGAGGAAATAAGATGATGGTCAGGAGATGAAGAGGCCCTGCTATTTATGCTATGTAGAGAAGACTCTCTGTGCCTTAATAACAGTACTCCGCCTCACTTACTTTCTCACCCTCTTCTCACCCTCTTCTCACCCTCTTCTCACCCTCTTCTCACCATCTTCTCACCATCTCTGTCACCGAGGCAAAAAATATCATCCAAATCACTCGCACTCACCCTGGGAGCTAGTGGAATTTATGGATATAGCGGCAACTAGCCCAGGGCTCATCTACTGTTCAACCGCGTTCAACATGTGGCTTAAGTACGGCTGAGCGGACGGGAAGCCCTGTTTTCCACACCCTGTGGTCGTATGTGCTGACTGTAACTAAACAATTGATCATAACGTAAGTAATTAAGGTAATTGGGTGGCATAATATATGAGTAGGGTCTCTACATGGAGGAATCCATCTGTTTGGTTCGCTGGCTTTGGTTGAGACGTCATAGCAGCAAAGCTCGTACTCGCATTCTCGCATCTGAGTAAGATTTATATGTAGTTGCCTAAATGCCCCAGCGTTTTCAATTGGTGATTCAAGAATGAGAAAACCTATGTAGTGCTTATTATATATCTCGCGCAAAGCTAATACCTCTACAAGAGGCTGAGCACAGAAAAAACGGAAAACATCACTGGTTAGGTTAAGCAGTGATATTCCAATTTCCGGAAACAAATGGACTACGAGGATGCCTACATGGGGCACAGCATCACAGCCATAGTTCATGGTTAGAGTTTGTAGGGCGCCATGAACCTGGGCCCGCGGATCTTCAGCTAAATCCAAATGCGGCCAAGGACCGCGAACACGTGAGGCTGAACAGGTCGCGAATACGAGCTGGACCCTTTTGGAATCCTCTGATTTGACGGCAGCCGAATCTTTCAACCATGTTTTCTCCTTGCTGCTGATACTGCAGAAGTGCAGATAGGGCTCTCCAGAATTCGGCGGTGGGCACTGCCACGCCCTCAGGTCCACTGCTCGTATCTCTCGATTAGGAATGTACCGAGTATATATATCTAGATAGAGATCGCCCCTTCAACAACACAAAATCTTTCATAAAAACATAACCATTCTTCAGAACGTTATCATAGTGTTATATATGATGAAGGTTCTTTTACTTTCCTTGTTTACCTCGTTGGCTTATGCCAGCTCTGTCTCATCCCACTGCCGTTGTAGGCCGCACCAGAGTTGTTGGCCATCCCCAGAAGAATGGAACTCTCTGAACAGCTCTGTCAACGGGAACTTGGCCGCTGTGAGACCTGTAGCCGCTGTTTGTCACAATGGAGGCGCGCAGAGTGAAGCCTGCCAGGCTGTACAGGCCCTATGGACCAACTCGACATGGAGAGCGTCGCAGCCTGGCGCTGTTCAGTACGAGAACTGGGAGGCATGGCCTGAACACAATCAGACTTGTCATATCGAAAATCCTTTTAATCAACCTTGTGGCCAGGGTCGAATTTCGCTTTACTCGACTGTAGCGACGTCTGCGTCCGACATCCAGAATACTGTGCGTTTTGCAACGAAGCATAATCTCCGGCTAGCCATCAAGAATTCCGGCCACTGTTTCCTAGGTCGTTCAACCGCTCCTGAATCGCTGCAAATATTGACCAATGGCATGAAGGATATCGATATTGTGGATGATTTCACGCCAAAGGGAGCCCCCAGCGGAAGGGCTGGAGAACCGGCAGTCACCATCGCAGCTGGTGTCAGTCTCCAAGAGCTCTACAGTGCGTTAGGCGAGAAGCAGAAGTTAGTTGTTGCTGGTGCATCCCACACCGTTGGTGCTGCGGGGGGATATATTCAGGGAGGTGGTCATTCTTTCCTGGGGCCATGGAAAGGAATGGCGTCCGACAACGCGCTTCAATTCACTGTGGTAACTGCTGATGTGAGAGATACTCCCTTGACATTAGTTCCATATCTAACGTGCGCAGGGCGAGTTGGTTGTTGCCAACAAATACCAGAACCCCGACCTCTTTTGGGCACTACGCGGAGGGGGTGGCGGCACCTTTGGAGTTGTGGTGGATGTCACGCTCCGGACATTTGACGACGTGCCTGTGATCACAGGTAGCCTCAACATATCTGCCCCTTCCGGAAGCCCAAACTTTTGGGAAGCTATAACCCAGTTCCACGCTCATCTGCCCGCTCTGAACGACGCTGGAGGAGCGGGTTATTACTTCATCTACCCACAACTTCCCTGGACTGGGAACACGACAATTTCTGCTTTCACAGTCGCGCTTTTTTTCCCGAACCAGACAAATGTCGCAAAGGTTGACCAAGCTTTTGCCCCGTTGCTCAGGTCGTTGAACTCGACGACAGGCGTCGAGACGCAATACATTGCCCTGCCATTGCCTAATATCAACACTCTCATCTCGGACGTATTACTCCCTGGCGACGCAGATGAGACTGGTACTATTACACTGGTGGGTTCCAGATTGTTTTCTCGCGATTTATTGGTCTCAAAGCATGGACCCAGAAGATTGGTTTCAACTCTACGAAGTCTTCTACAGGCGGGTAAAGTTGCTACAGGTCATATCGTGGCTGGAGGTTCCGTGGCCAAGAACGGTAGGGATATCGACAGTGCCCTCAATCCAGCATGGAGAGAGGCTGCCACACATATCACAATCGGCGCTGGCTGGGGTCCAAATGCATCGCTGGCGGAACAGGAGGCGATTAGGAAAAACCTGACAGACGTCGAAGTGGAACGGCTTCGCTCTGTAGAGGGCGCAGATAAGATGGGCGCGTACTTAAACGAAGCGAATGCCTATGAGAAGGACTTCCAGTCATCTTTCTGGGGAAGCAATTATCCTCGCCTGTACGCGATCAAGCAGAAATGGGATCCTGAGGGTCTGTTTATTACACGCAGTGGTGTGGGTAGCGAGAACTGGGACGCAGAAGGCCTTTGCAGAGACCACTGAGAAAAATCGCGAGCTGATCCCAGCTGTGTTTTGTGTTTTTGTATGTATTGGAGTTGGGGGTTGAGTTGGTATCCAGTGTGTGGACTGCGAGCAATATATTGCCTGTTCTGGAAAGACGTCATGTGCATTAGTAAGCCAGAGTCAGGTGGGCGGTGAAGTACGGAGATGACGGAAGATACATGTAAAAAAACAACAAAATATTTTCGATAGCTTCGAAAACTTGATAGCATTGGGTGCCAAACTGGTCAATTGGAGTATCTCAGTGTCTTCAATTACTCTCTTTACCGTCCCTGGTACCCCCGATACTTTCCTTTTCTTTCTCAGCGTTTCCGCCCACTGGTTGGTGGGCCGCCGTCACGACGTCTTCTCCCGTTCTGTTTTCCCCAATCCGGTCGGCAGCTGGTCCTGCGCTGGTATCGCGTTTTCTCTTGAGCTGCTCCTCTTCCTCTGCCCCTCCACTTGTCTCTGTCTCCTCTCCTCTCTTCTCTCTTGACTTCCGCCGCTTCGCCTCCAGCAAGAAGAAGAAATCCAAGATGCCCCCTAAGAAGGCCGCCGTCCAAGAAAAGGTCCTCCTGGGCCGTCCCGGAAACAACCTGAAAAGTGGTATCGTATGTGAGCAAGACCCCACTAAGCTATTAATTTTTTCTTCTGCCCCTCCCAGCCTCCTCCTTTTCTCCTATATAAGCGCTCTCCCCCCTAAAAAATTTCCATTCTCTTTTCAACAACTCTGTCAGTTCTCGTAACTCAAGATGTCCTAACATCATGACAGGTCGGTCTTGCCAACGTCGGCAAGTCCACACTCTTCCAGGCTATCACCAAGTCGGGCCTTGGTAACCCTGCCAACTTCCCATATGCCACCATTGACCCTGAAGAGGCCAAGGTCATCGTTCCTGACGAGCGATTCGACTGGCTATGCGAACACTACAAGCCGAAGTCGCGTGTTCCTGCCAACTTGACCATCTACGATATTGCCGGTCTGACTCGCGGTGCCTCCACTGGTGCGGGTCTTGGTAACGCTTTCTTGTCTCACATCCGAGCTGTCGATGCCATTTTCCAGGTCGTCCGATGCTTCGACGATGCTGAAATCATTCACGTCGAGGGTGATGTCGACCCAGTCCGCGATCTGACTATCATCAGCGAGGAGCTGCGGATCAAGGATATTGAGTTTGTTGAGAAGGCTCTTGATGCCCTTGGCAAGCAGACAAGACGTGGTGGACAGACTCTGGAGATGAAGAAGCTGCGCGAAGAAGAGGCCACTGTTGCTAAGATTCTTGAGTTCCTGAAGGAGGGCAAGAACGTCCGACACGGCGACTGGAGTCCTAAAGAGGTACGTTTTTTTTTTCTTCTTTTTCTGTTTTTTTGTTTTGTTCCTTCCACTGTATGATGAATAAGAGCTTTGCTCGATATAACCCAGCTCGTCGAATGCCTCAAATTTAATTCCAACGTAGAGGCAGTATGAGAACACACCCTATCTGATTACAGCTTTTGACACTTTCGTTGATTTTATCTGCACGTTGCATATCTTTCGGAGGCTAACTACATCGCAGGTTGAGGTAATCAACCCTCTCTTCCTTCTCACAGCCAAGCCTGTTGTGTTCTTGGTCAACCTGAGCGAGAAGGACTACATTCGCCAGAAGAACAAGTACATCCCCAAATTAATGGAGTGGATTAAGACCAACTCCCCTGGAGATTCCATTCTGCCCATCTCAGCTGCTTTTGAGGAGCGTCTTACTCAGTTTGAAACCGAGGCGGAGGCTGAAGAGGAGTGCAAGAAGCTTGGCACCAGATCTGGTCTGCCCAAGGCCATTGTACAAATGCGCCAAGTCCTCAACTTGGCCAGTTTCTTCACTACTGGAGCTGACGAAGTCCGTCAGTGGACAATCCGTAAGAACACCAAGGCCCCTGCTGCTGCCGGTGTTATCCACGGAGATTTCGAAAAGACTTTCATCCAAGCCATTGTCTACAACTACAATGTCCTTAAGGAACTTGGTGATGAAAGCCAGGTCAAGGCTGGAGGTAAGGTCATGACCAAGGGTAAGGATTATGTCGTTGAAGATGGAGATATCCTTCTCATCAAGGCCGGTGCTGCCCGGGGTTAGATAAAATCAAAAATTCTACTTGCAATTTGAAACCACCTGTCGAATACACAACCATAGTTGTATTTTCATGTTAGATCCAGTGTAGAACATTCAGTCGTGTAGCACTAAGTACTAGGAGCTGCAACTTCGTTGTACTCTTGCAGCTCCATATGTCATAGAAATTTATGCACGTGACCCCGTTCCCCGCGATCTCAGCGTATCGCCGCAAGAGAGAGACAACCTAACAAACATAAGTCAGACACCATGTTCAAGAAAGAGTGAGTTCATCCAGTCTTTATATATACTAATATACCCAATACCGAACAATTCCTGCTCCACGGGTCGATAATTCAAGCACAAAAGACCTGAAAACCCAAGCTAACCAAGAAACAGCATCCCACCAAGCAACCGCTCAAAAGTCAAGTCCTCCGTGCAGCGCGGTCTCCGCCAAAAGCTCATTGAGGCTCACCCACTATGCGAACCATACATTGAGGAGATCCTGCCCAAGAAGGCGCAGCTCGATGCCGTGAAACTGTATGCTCCCCTTCTCTTCGCTTCCATTCTCCTGTCCCTCTCTGCCCCGCCGTGGAAAACAGCGATGAGAGAAAAGAAAAACAAAAAGAAGCAGCAAGCTAACGAAACCCCAACTCCTATTTCTAGACCAGACAGAGTAACTCTCTACACAATCGACTCGATTCCCCTCTTCTACCAACCCCTCGACGGGCCCCCAATCCCGCACCTGAAGCTCCTGCACAAGTTCCCGAACATGCTGCCTACGATCCAGATCGACCGCGGCGCGATCCGCTTTGTGCTCTCTGGCGCGACACTCATGGCGCCGGGTCTGACGAGTCCCGGGGGCCGGTTACCGGATGCGGAGAATGCGCTGGAGAAGGGGACTGTTGTTGGTGTGAAGGCCGAAGGGAAGGAGGAGGTTTGTATGGTTGGGACGTTGAAAGCGAGCACGGAGGACGTGAAGAGTAAAGGGAAGGGCGTTGTCATTGATGATGGGCATTATTTGGGGGATGGGCTGTGGAGTATGCAGCTAGACTAGGGTGGTGGGTAGGTGTTGTCTTTGTGTGTATTGGTGTTCTGGGGATGTGGACTAGGTATTTCGAGAAGTTATTACCTAGATTTATTGAGTAAATGAGCTAATCAAAATTACTGGCTATGCCTGAGTACATATGTTGTTTCTGTAGACCATACATGTAGTCTGGCTAGTTATGTGAGCTTGCGTCGCCGCTCCTGGTTGACATGTCGCTTGCTCGGCTGGGACTGCCACGCGGCGAAATCGAGGCTGCAGGAGACTGCGAAGACCAGGAAGGAGAGCGAATGGCCAGTCCGAGCCCTTTCAGATTGGTTGTGGTACCGTTTAGTCCAGCAGGTGGACCAGCATGTCGCAGACCTGCACGCGACACAGAACGGCGGAGCATCTCACCGGATCCATCAAGGGCAACTAGAAACCGTGCAAGCTGTGCACAAAGTTCCCAGTCAGTTTTTTGCGATGCCAATATCATTAATCTGACAACATAATCTTCGACTGGGGCGTCGTGGCCCTCTGCTTCGTCTTCAAATGCTTGTAAGACGAGTAAATAGCCCACAGCGGTTTTCAGGGAATTCAGTTTAAGCGCTTGTTCAAAGAGATCCTTTGGAGGGGGGAGGTAGGCAAAAAGCGTACGCCATGATCGAAGCTCTGTTTTACGTGTACATTGGACAATGATATCCAGGTACACGCTAGGCGGAACAGATGCCTGAAGGAAGGAGATAACGGAGGGAAGAAGAGGGTCGTGTCTTGGAGTTTGGTCATCAAGTTTGCTTTCTTGCGCTACTTTATCATCTTCTTCGTCGAGGACGTGGTGGAGAAGGATTTCAAGCGCATGCGGAAAGTACGAAAGGTGGGAGAAATATTGACACAGTGAGTGTGCCGAAGGGATGTCACCCTGGACTAGGCTGTGCTGAAGGAAGTACGGAAGGAAGAGATGTGTCTGTTATAAAATTAGCAAGACTATAACTAGCGCAGGGTTCAAAACCTACCCGGATAGCGAATTTGAGAACCACAAATGTGATATCGCGCCGTTGTATTGTTTCCGGTTCCACCCCAAGTACAATCCCTTTGTTTAACAGCACTGAAAGGGGGTAAAAATCCAAGGGCACTTCGATAGATTTCGGCACGTCCTCTCGTTGTAAAACTTCCTGGACATCACCCCAAGCCGTGAGATCTTTCCCGGAAAATGTCCAAAGAGAATCACGTAAGGACAGATTGCTGTGATATTGGTTGAGGGCCAACTCTGCAGCTGGACTAGGCGGGAGTGATTCCTCTACAGGTGGAGCGAAATTGAACGATAGCTGATCGCGCATCAAGATGTAATACTCGACGTCGTGTGATACCACGCGCATATCATATTTGAGTTCTCCGGAGTCCGACATGGATGGTTGGAGGAGCACTAGGTTCCCGTCGACTAGTAGGAGCACGGCTGCTACCTTCACATCGTGGGCCGGGTCCCCGTTCCCTACAGAAGTCAGCATTTGGTTCTCGAGAAAGAAAGAAAAAAGGACATCATATATGGTTCAACTTACGCAATTGGTCTTCAGGTAACACCCAGCTGATAGATCGAACACGGGTGGGTGCCCGCACAATTCCGTGGAAGGCGATCTGGCCAACCGGGACGAGCGTGATTCGGGATTGCGTCGAATTAATTATATAATGATATAGGATATTCTCGTAAGTGTAGACGAGTAGGGAATCCTCGCCGGATGGGCCGATAAAAACCACAGGCGAGGGAAGATATTCTATATGAAGAATAGAATAGTTGTTTAATGGAAGCTCGCGGGAAAACATGCATAGCTGTTACAACGTTAGTATACGCCATGTTGCAGAGACCCAAGGAACTAACCTCGTAAGAGCCATCACGATCAATAGCCGCGATTAAAATATGGCCATACCAGCACATTCCGCCCCGAACAGTGAATGAATTTTCGACCTTGGAATCTTCGAATACCTTCCAGCGGCCACTGTTCACGCTATAGTGCGCAAGGCCACGCTTTCCTGCAATGGCGACATATCTTCCATCTTGGGATACAGAACTGGCGCGGATAGGCCATTGTGAGTGAAGGTAGGCGGGTGGATACTGGGCGTGATGCCATAGTGAGTCTTTGCCAGAGATTGTTATGAGATCCGGGAGATCGTGTCCTCGGTAAATGATTACTTCTGTTGACGTTTGCAATAAGCCCCTGGCAAGATTGGCAGAGGAATAGCACCCAGTCAACGCGCTTCGGGCTGTTTCGAGAATCCACAAGCGTCGGTCATCCTGGGCAGTCAAGATGATGTCTGAACCCCCACCTATCCAGCAACCGTGTGACGCACCAGTCAACCAGTCCTCACCATTAGAGGTAGCAAGCGATTGATCAATCGAAAAGCTGTTCCCGCCAGGCTTGCCGAATACGCTCCACGTTGTCCAACCATGCTCGTAGCCCGCGAAAAGACAGTAACCGTCCGGCGAGTAGCACATGAATGTTAGCTCACCAGTTGTATTCGGAGAGGCAGGCGGTTCGAGCTTGTGTGACAGAGGAACGTTCCCCAGATAGTCCTTCGCCGTGTAGACGAGGACATCGCCGTTGACACAGCTGACAGTGAGCAGTGAAAAGCGAGCATTCACTGTAACCCTAACAGCTTTATTGTCATCGCTAGTTGGGGTATGAAAGCAGTGGCCATTGAATAAGCCTTTATGAGATTCGGATTCTTGTGATAACTCGGAGACACGTTGAACAGCGTAAGCGTGGCCCTCATTGGTCACCCATACCATCAGGTTTATTGCACGGTCATACACCATATCAGCAATAGATGTCCGCTTTGAGACACCTAGAACTCTGCTTAAAAGCTCCGACGTTGTTTGTGTACCGTGCTCGTCAGGTGTCCATCGTATGCATTGAATTGCAGCGGGCTTCACAGTCGCAACCACAAGCTCATTGTCTAATGCTAGAGCCTTCATAATTCCAGATTCTATTTTAATTGCCATTCGAAATCGAATACTGACATCGTGTATGCTGCTAGAGTCTTCATCGGCTGAGATGCGGGCTAGTTGTTGACGGCGAGAGGCGCTGCTCTGGTCGTACTGCTGTTGGTAAACACGGGAATTGGAGTCCGTCGCAACGGTATAGGTAAGTAGATAGCCTTTCAGTGTCTGAACAACAAGGATTGTCGCATCAGGACGCATAAGGAGGGCAACATTGGCGCCATAGGTTTCCAGTGATGTCGATGACCGAGAAAAGGCCGCAACAACAGCAGTGGGCTTGAATCGGTCAGCCTCCAAACAACACGCAATACCATTTTAACATACCCTAGTTTGCCATATGGCTATCGAAGAGTCGGACATCGTCGCAAACATATGACCGGTTCGAGAAACGCAGAGACCCCTTATTGCTTCATCTGCCCATTGCGACGACGGCGCCGTTTGGGGATGGGATGTGGAGCCATTGCTCTGATTCAGCGGTTGATCCTGTTCAGCGTACTCTGCGGATGTGTCCTCGCGGGTTGAATCGTCAGCATCGTCTGGTAGCGGTGCAGGAATCCCAGGGCCGTTGATTGCATAGACCCTGGGGACTCCGTTTGGCCAGTACATGGCTCTTGAGAAGCGGGATAGTTATGGAGAGTCGCGGTGGCAGATTTGGGCATCTTCGTCGGGTCCAGACACGCTATACCGCCGGAAACAGGACCTTTACAGCCCCAGTGCGTCCAATCATATTCACCAAGAACTTTCAACCGGTGATGTCGTGTGTAGATAGATGAGAGCTACCTTCTCCGCGTTCACCGCCCGATTTGGGACGCGGCCCGAGCAATCACGTGGGGGAAGCTGCACAAACAGTGCAAACAAGAAGATTTGAGATTCGCTGCCATTAAAAAATATCCCCGCATCACAGGCCGCCCCCCACTGCTTCTTGCCAGCTATACAAAGAAAACCCTCGAGCTTCAACAGACGCCAATCCCACCATCTGACATGGTAGGAACATCTTTAAGATACATTTATTGTATTTTACATTGGCACTTCAAATGCTAACATCGAATCTTCCAATTACCAGGCTCCCACCGAGTCAAAGAAGCGCCTAGCGCTAGCTATCATTGATTTCCTCAACACCAGCGTGAAAGATGGCACACTTACAACAGACGACGCCGAGTCCATCGAGATTGCCCAGTCATGCATTGCGGATACATTCAAGGTTGACCCGTCCGATGAGGCCGCTATGAAGGAAGCCCTAGGTGGACAGTCGCTCGCTAGCATTTACAGCGTCTACGAGAAGCTTCGCAACAAGGGCGGCGCTGCCGGCTCCTCCAGCGCTGAACCCCAGGCTGAGAAGAAACCACAGGCTGGCACTCCGACTCCCGAGTCCGACAAGTTAAAGTCCGAGGGTAACGCCGCCATGGCACGTAAGGAGTACAGCACTGCCATTGATCTTTACACAAAAGCCCTGGCCATCGCTCCGGCCAACCCCATCTACCTCTCCAACCGTGCTGCTGCGTACTCTGCATCTGGAAAGCCTGAGAAGGCCGCGGAGGATGCCGAGGTCGCAACTACCGTTGACCCCAAGTACTCTAAGGCCTGGAGCCGCTTGGGTCTCGCCCGATTTGACTTGGCCGATTATCACGGAGCCAAACAAGCCTACGAGAGCGGTATCGAGGCCGAAGGTAATGGTGGAAGCGAGGCGATGAAGAGGGGTCTTGAAACCTCCAAGAAGAAGATCGAAGAGGCTAGCCGCGGGCCTGAGCCCCCTGCAGACACCGTTGACGATGCACCTGGTGCGTCCCGAGGTGGTGGCGGCGGTGGCATGCCTGACCTTTCTTCCCTCGCTAGCATGCTAGGCGGTGGTGGTGGTGCCGGCGGCGGCGGTGGTATGCCAGATCTCGGATCTATGATGAACAATCCTATGTTTGCTAGCATGGCCCAAAACCTCATGAGCAACCCAGAAATGCTCAACAACTTGATGAGCAACCCCCAGCTGCGACAAATGGCCCAGAACTTCGGCCAAGGCGGTGGTATGCCTGACATGTCAAGCTTGATGAGCGACCCAAGCATCGCTGATATGTAAGTGTTTAAAACTCCTGATATCTCCACTCGCTCCACGACACTGACTTGAGTTATAGGGCCCGGAATTTCATGGGTGGTGGTGCTGGACGTGGTGGTGGATCTCAATAGTTTATACATTCGTCCCCAACTTAACGTTCATGTTGATGCCCGAATTATTATCATTCCCTTATGACAATGTCTCGGTACATACCTATTTTAAATCTGACTATAGTGTTAAGAATATAGACGTAGCTTTAGGTTACGTATTTACTGGTTCAGCTTTTTCTGGAGCTTTCAAGACATTTAATATATTTTTAGAGTGTACCATCGAGCGAGTAGTAGTAACACATGTTGCACAGAAAATAAAGCACAAGACACGCTGGGCCAAGGCCCTGATGCAATAGCATTAATCAGAAGAGCGGAGGATGGTGATGGAATAGCCAGCCAAAAAGAACACCATGCGCCATCGAGAGCCAGAAGGATAAAATCATGAGATTCCGAGGGATGGTTCTTTCGGCATTTTAGGAAAGGGACGCTAATGCCTCACTCCAAAATCCGACAAAACAATAATCAGATACAAATACATGAACCTCAAAGACTAAAATCGAATCGATGATCCTGGGAAAACGTCGATGAGAATGGTTACTATAAAATCATAGCGTGATGTGCCAGTCCAACTGGCCTCTATTCAGAATTGGTAATATTGTACAGTCGGATATATCAGACAGTCGAGAAGAGGAGAAACGGATCGGAAATAAAAGAAGTAGGTCATAATAGATCGCCGCGGATTTGAGTGAAGTGGTGTAATGTTCGAGGAGTAACGGTGGTTGTTTTAGATGTAGTCCCGAGCAGCCTTCTGCAGTTCAATCAACCTCCATCCCTTTGTCTCGGGGTTGTTCACATCCTCAGGAATTCTCGTGAGTCCCATGACATATGAGACCAGTTGGACCTTGTCCTCCATCCCAGCGGCAAGCTCGTTCGTCTTGGTGTTTCTGTAAACGTGGACTTCTTGCGTACGGCACATTACCACGAAGACGGGGATATCACCGGGATCCAGCATACGGGCGCTCATAACATCCACTCCACGGATATCAAGGATACGGCCGTCTGACTTCAGGCCGGCAGTGGTGATTTGTTTGGTTAGGGCGGCATAGACACTAAATTGTGCGTCTGAAAGCCAAAGCTTGAGGGTTTCGACGTCTCCCTTGACGTAGGCGTCAAGAACCTCGGGAAGGATATATTCACGCATTTCCCGTAGGAATGATTCCATCTGGAAAGTAGGATCCATTTCACGGAACCTTTTGACAACCTGAGCAGTCTCGTTCTCAGCAAAGAAACCGGCAACCCGGTCTGAAATACTGCGTGCCGTGCTAATCAGAGGGTTCTCTGACTCATTGTATGTTTCTTTTAGGGTGAAGAGCTTCTGCATCATGGGATTCGAATCTTTGAAATCGCGCCAGCTTTCTTTCCAAGCTGAATCTTTGTGGAGCGTCACATTTGTTCCGGCGCTATTAAAAAAAAAGGTCAGAAACTAGAATAAAGTGATTTGGAAGCGAGGGGATGCATACTTGGGATCTTCGACCATAGGCCCAGACTTCCGGCGTCCAGACTTGGCTTCCATCTCTTCACGCTGTTGCCTTTGTCGCCGACGCTCCTCCTTCTCGATCCAGCCACCGTACCGCGAGCTGCTGCCATCATCAATGGCTTGCTTTACACCTCCAACGGCGGTCTTGTAAGCTTCGGTTTCTCGCACGGGGCGCGTTGCTTTATCGAGTCCAGAGGCAGTCACATTGACACCCTTCCGGAGCCCTTTAACAACAGGGGTGTTCCACGTCCACGAAGCGCTTTTGCCGATAACGCGACCTGTTCCTTTCAGGGCAGTTGAAGTTCGCGTGGAAGCTGCTCCTGATGCAGCCTCATAGGCAGCACGAGCACGCTTAACGTTTTCGTTCTCGGTGAACTGATTGGCCGAGGAGGCAAGAGCCTTTGTTGACTCGTTCCACTCTTTGGAAGCCTTAAACTCCGTCTGTAAGGTATCCCGGAAAACTTGCCACGGAGACTTGTCACCATGGGGAGGAGGGGGGGGCGCATCCTCCTTCTTCTCCTCGGACTTTTCCTCATCCTTTGATTCGTCCTTCTTCTCGTCCTTTGATTCTTTGGACTTATTTTCACCCTGCTGTTCCTGTTTTTGTTGCAACCGAGGTGTGCCGACATGGAAGGATCTAGTCAGGTGAAGGGAGGCGTAGGGGGAAAGAAGGCGAGAAACCGGAGGGTTGGCACTATCCGTTGAACGTGCAATCGCGTATAAAGGAGACTGAATCAAGGGCCGCTGTATAGCGATCGCGTTCGCAGCTGTCGTCCTCAAAGCGGACGTTGGAGATCGCAGAGCGGCCACCCGAACGGTGGCCGACATCCTATTAGCTGCAATCATGCTCTGTAGTAAAGAAAAGAAAGCAGAGAATAAAGCAGCAGGAAGGGATTAAATGGTATAAAGCGCGAAAGAGCCCCAAGGGGAAGGGGGAGCCTAAGAAATGGGTATTGAAAGGTGAGGCGAGAGAGAAAGCGATGTCGGCAACGGTTGATGATGGGAAAAAAGTCGAGCTGTAGACGCCAAGAATCGAAAATTCGGCCTTCTTCCGCCGCCTTCACCTTTCCCGAACCATTGCGGCTACGCTTATTATCCAGCCCAACAAGTCGTGCCTGTGCCATTAATATTTTTCGCTTTTGGATTTTGAATTCCATATTGCAAAAATTGCCTACATAGCCAGACCATCTGCTGAAGGGCTGTAGGCAGATCGTTGCGCTCCCCCCCCAAGACCCAGACCCAGACCTCCTCTCGACCGATTCCCCAGCTCATCGTCTCGCGAGCACTCCAATTCAAGATGAACAACACATTTACGCACGCGTTGGCGCGAGCTATTCCGTCGGCTGGTCGACACTGCCAGCCTAGGGCGTCCCTCTTCCGTCAAGCAAGAGTTTTCTCCACGACACCCCGTATTTCCGAATCGCCCGACGAGACACCCAGTGCGCTAGGGCGAGCATTTCAAGCTGCACGACTAGAGGAAGCGGCCCAGGATAACTCACCGGAGTCCGCACTCACTAAGATGATGCGCGGGAGCAGGGCCCCAGTGAGCGCAGACTATTCGAAGATGGCTCAGAGTCTAGAGGCCGAGATGCTTAAACGCCCATATTCCGACCATGCTCCTCCGCACCGCCTCCACGTTTTATCGCATAGACGCAATACGATACTGACTCTCACACGACCAAACGGCAGTCCACTGATGTCGATGGGTACCGGGGCTCTGGGTTTCCGAAAAGCTCGTCGGGGAGGTTATGACCCAGGGCTCCAAATATCTAGCCATGTCTTCGCGCAGATCCAGGAAAGGGGTCTTCTATTGGAAATCAAAAGCCTAGAGATTATCTTTCGTGGCTTTCATTTGGGACGGCAGGCCTTCGTTAAGGCATTGCTGGGCAATGAGGGGAGGAACATTCGGGGGTTGGTATGCCGAGTGTCAGACTCGACTAGGATAAAATTTGGCGGAGCAAGGAGCCCAACAGTCCGCAGACTATGAAACCTCCTTTCACTATTTTGCCTTCAATCTCATTGCATGATGTCCAACGCTTGCAAGACCTCAGTGCATCTTGACAGCCTCAGGAGATCGCGGGATTCAAAGGGGACAGCAAATTTCCGTTAAACACACAGGTCAGCTATACACAGCTTGCTTCGAGGCAAGACGAGGGGCCTGGTATTTGTAGTCTAGCCGATCCATGTATATTAACTTCCATTTTCCTTGTTCAAGAGTACCAGCTTCTTGTATCCAGCGATAAGAAGAATAAGAGTCCAGAACATTTGATTTCCATATCGGGTATAGTGCGGAGAGCTGCCAGGTCCCAACTGCAGGAAAGCTGTTGACTGAACTCCTCCTGATCCCGGTTTCAATCCGTTTGTGAATTTGCCATTGCACCCAATTTTTTGAATCATCCCTGTTTTAATACAAATATACTATTCCTGTTCCTCTTCCGGCTGTCGTGCCTGCTACCTAAGTTGTTCCCGCTGCCTGAGGGCGGATGCGCCTGAGCTGTCTCCCTACGTCGATCCGGCGAACGTTCCTTTCTGAGAGTTCGACTGAGGCGGCTTGATGAGCGCCAGATCATCTCCAACGGGCCGTCGTCCAGGATCGCTTGGATGCACCCTCTAAACCCTTTCCTCCGGGCCTTCTTTCGGAGCACTGTGCCCGGGCAGTGTGTCCCAATCGAGAATCATGTACGGCTTCCCCTCTTGAGCCGCACGTTAGAGTAGAATTAATGAAACGCGTTCTAGGTTCTCCTCGTCCCCGTGAGTGAATCCTTAATTGGATCGCGCGATCGCGAATCGTCCCTATTCTACTCCGACCTCGTCGTCTCGGAAGAATTCCTAGGCAGCCACACCTTGCGAATACCGGTTTCAAGTGGAGCGGGAGGAAGAGATGATCCAAGTGTCCGCGATGGGAGGGGAAAAGCGAAACAAGTGACCACCGCCAATGGGAGGACAGTGATACTGAGAGACAACTCGGTTTATAGCAATAAGGGTGAGAGCACCTGTAATGTCCGCTCAAATGCCATTGCGCCTAACAATGAACCCAGGCTTCAAGTCGTTGAACCAGGCACAGTTGCTGTCCGATGCTTTATACTACGCCCCCACGGGTGACTCCCAGCCATGGCTTGTATACCTCATCTCCAAGCCACTTGTGGGCTCCTTCGAACCCGCGAAAATCATCCCTGCCGTGGTCCCTGGAACCGTCAACGCCAGCCGCTCACAGGTCAGCGGGAAACCTGGCGAACAATCTGGTCCTACGGCCTCCTCGCCTCCGAAGAAGGAAATAAGAACGTTCGGAGAGCTTCTGGCTCATTTCCCGATGATTGCGAGACAGATGCAGCCGGGGCTGGAAAGGCTTTTTAGGGAATTTGGAAAGGAACTAGGGAAGCCCTTGCCCCCGCCACCATCGCGGTCGCCAATGTTGGAGGACGGTGAATACAGTCGATCTCGTGAGGATTTACTTGTAGATGAAGCCAGCTCTGTTAAGAGTTCATCGTCACGCCGCAGCAGAGGTCTTCCCTTTAATTCTGAAGAATATTTCGAAGACGACGAGGACTTGATGCGCCGCAGCTTAGAGACAGCTGTTACTGCCGCAATTGACTTATTTCGGCTGGTTGATCAACAACAGTTATCTCTTCTTGGAGCGACTACCGACCTGACAGGGCCAATAGTCGAGGGCTTTATTGAACGATATGTTGCCGAACAAGTTCACGAATCGCTGTTATTTCCTCGCTTATGCAGTTTTCGCCAACCAGAAGACATGGAACTAGATTCTAGGATTCGCCAAATGGAGTATGTCGACGTGTCCCAAGTTGGTCTTACAGTTGAGGGTGGCCGGGATGGTAAGCGCGAACTTTTGTTGCGGCTTGGTAGGGCAGTGGAAGAGTTTCGCAAAATCCTGGATGCAAAGTGTCCTCACGATATGCTCAATACGCTTCTGGAGACAGTGAAGGTCTTATCGTATCCGGGCGAATACAATAAAAGCGATGAGAAAGAATCTGCACCTGTGACGATAAATGCGGATATTTTGGTATCATTATTGCTGGTCGTGGTGATTAGATCGCAAGTGAAACATTTACACGCCCGATTGCTGTACATGCAGCACTTTATCTACGTCGACGACGTTGATAGTGGGGAAATGGGTTATGCTTTGAGCACCTTTGAAGCGGTCCTTACATATCTAATGACTGATCCTGCAGGGATCCGAAGAGCAAGCATCCGGAATAAGCGCCTATGGAATGCGACAAAGGCTGGGCGTGTTGCCGATATGAAAGCTATTCTAGAACCAGATGGCGACCATGAATCACTATACGATACCTGTGACACCGCCGACCCCCAGAGCCAGCCACTAGAGGATGCACGGCCTAACCGACAGGCTTTACGGACACCTCCGCTATTGGACAACCATATATACTTAGGCGATGAGCGAGAAATCGCAGATGCGCCATCAGATGCTCCGCTCGCGCACGTATTCCCATTTCAGACATGGGAGAACTCATCTCCTACTCGGGAAACGAGACCTCCCATCAAACGAGTATCTATGGATGTCCGTAGCATATCGGAGTCGTCGGGTGTTTCGTTCCTCTCACGCTCCACTACCATGAACTCAATTGGTACGGCCATCGAAGGGGATAGCTCTATCGAAACGCTGGTCAAGACCCAGGATCCTCGTGGCGATTCTATATTGATGATGGCGGTTGAAGGCCACCGTTCTGAGGCCCTCAAGTACCTTTTAAGCTTGGATGAATATTACTCGGTACATGACGTGCTCGACGATACAAACACCGATGGAACGACTTTACTCAGTGCTGCCGTCCAGCTTGCTATGGATGAGATCGTCGATATTTTGCTCAACTACCTTACAGAGACCGCCGATGGAGATGCCATTGTTGCTTACCTACGAAGGTGCGATGAGCGAGGGCGTACCGTCGCCCATTATTTGTTTAGCATTCCCCCGGTGATGCGAAGACTTAAAGGCTTACTTCCGTGGCGTCAACGTGACAAGCATGGACAAACTCCGCTTTTCGCTCTATGCAGGTCGTACGATCACCCTGATTATAAGACGATGGTGAACGAGGCGCTCACCGCAGCCCAAGAGTCCCAGGGAGATGGGAAGCCTTTACATCTGGACGACCACATTGACTCTAAAGGCAACACCTTGTTGCATATCGTCAGTGACCCTGAGATTACAATTCGCATACTCAGGGAAAGTGACTGCGACCCAAATGCCACCAATGACAAGAAGTTCACACCATTGATGATGGCCAGTAAATACGGCCGGGTTGACCAAGTGCGCATCCTCTTTTCGGACTCCAGAGTGGACATCCACGTCAAAGAAGCTCGGGGGTTGACTGCTATCGAGTTGGCTAAGGATGATGAGGTGCGCAACCGCATCGACGACCTGATTCTCCTCTCCAACCCGCCATCATCCCATGATGCGTCTTCCGGGCGTGTCACCACAGTGGTCCGCTCCTTTTTTGTTGAGGATGCAACTGTTCGATTTGTCCTCAAGTCTGGCGCGCCCATGCGACCAACTGATGGGCAAAATGTACCTGCACATACTAAGATGTACACTGTCACGACCTGTCGCCGCACGTTTGCTGATTTTGAGACTCTGGCCGCGTGCCTCGCCCTTGAGCATCCTGCCTCTTATCTGCCGTCTCTGACCGACTTTCGCAACCCTTTCCAAATACATTCGAAGCCATCTCGCGCTGTTCTTCATAACATGCAAGATAGACTTGATAGGTTTTTGAAGATTCTTCTTTCCCATCCTACGTTCGCCACGCACGAGCTCTTGTGGGAGTTTATCCTAGTTCCAGAGCTACAACCTCAAATGATGACAGAAAGATCCCATCGCAAAGCTCAAGCTTTCGCCGAGTCCATCGTCGAGGACCACGATCCCATCACAGAAGACGGCATCCGCGAGGCAGAGAACTTCATTTCCCATGCTCAGGATATAGTCCGCACAACCCACTCCCACACGCGCACGCTCCTTCGCCGCGGCCACGCCCTCAGGAACGCCGCCTCAGACATCGCCGACGCCGTGTCACTCTGTTCATCCGCCATCTCAACCTTAAAAGAGCCCACCAACGCGCTTCCCCGATCTCACATCGATGCATTCTCTCGCTACGCCTTTTGCCTATCAACCTCTTCATCAGACTCCTCCCCACTCCTCCAATTCCTTTCCACTCTCAGCTCAATCGACACAACCACGTCCGCAATACTCACCTCGCTCTCCCGCCCCATCTCCCTAATCTCCTCCCTCAACTCTACAAGCCGCAACCTTGCCCGCTCGCGCTCCGCGCTCGCCTCCTCATCTCTTCCCCGCAAGTTCAACCTCAACTTCCCGGGCCTCGAGGAATCTCGCATCCGCTCCACCCGCGACCTGCAACAGAAAATCACCACCTCGGAGACCCAAATTGCCCGCCTAGCCAGCGAAATATCCTGGAACAGGGACGTCGTGGTCAGCGAGCTCGCCGGCTGGACCTCATGGCGCGAGCAGATTGGCCGCGACGCTATCCGCTCGTTCGTGAAGTCTACACTTGTCCGCGAGAAGGAACGAAAGAAGAGGCTCGAGCGTTGTTTAAGGAGCGTGAGGGAGATTAGCAAGAAGCAAGAGGGCTGACTTGACTTCTTACCATGATTTAATGGTTGCTGATACATACACTGTGATTGATTAGCCTTTGGCTGCTCATGTTATAGATAGATATTAGGTGCTGTAGACATACTTACGCAACTTTTTTTTATGGCTAGCTATCTATGTCGATAAGTGTTTATATGATAATGATGAGATGACACCGGAAATGTTTCACCGTATACATAATGTAGTGCATCGAGTAATTCGGTTTAAATGCACTGTCCGTTTTAGAAGCCCTTAGGAATATAGAGCCAGAGGCCACAGGTGTATATATTTATCTATCCTGGTCCTAATTTTTGAGCTTGAATCTTATGTTTATTGTCCCCAACACTCGCACATACCAGGCGCGGTCATCTAACTATATGTATTCGCTATTCTAGTCTAATAACTAATCTAATAGGAGGTATAGAATCAGCCAAAAGATATAGGAGACCCACCAAGGTTTCAATGGCCAGACAACTGAATTCAAGCACGCCCGCTATGCCCTTTAAACAGTTCAAGCCATTCGATACCAGGCGGGAAAATGAATGTATATCCCGGCATGAGTAATTTTAGGATACACAAGTGATAAAGCAATTGTAGAAAAAAGATGTCTGTCAAAAGCTGAACAGAGGAGAATTGCTTGGTTTTATTGATGGCAGTCGAAACAGCGACCTTCTGAGACTCTGGGACGGCGTAACCTCTGCTTCAGTTGTATCCTGGTCCAGTTCCGGGTACCTGAGATCAGCCGGTGCAGCAAGTGTATGGGGCAATTCGGTTCCTAAAGTCGTCCCATCTTGAGAATCAGGAATGGCTGTCCGTGAAACAACAGACCTTAAGGGAGAAGGAACAACGACAATCTGCTTCGCAATCGAGCCAGAGCGGCCACTGTCAGCATCGCCCAACACACCAAGATGGCGTGAAGCCCCGGTTTTCATGGTCGTTGCGGCAGACTTGAGTTTCTGGACGGGAGCACTGACGATAGAGGCACGAGGTTTATTGCGACTTGTACAGAAAACACGGACAACTTGGCCATCGCTCTCCTCTTCGACCATATATGATCGAGCAGAGGTATTCTTGCAGAACATCAAGCTCTCTCTCCTCCGTCGCGCCTCGTCTAGTGCATTGTTATCGCCTTCCCTCTTGCGTCTCTGCCATCGACGGAATTTCTTGACCATCATCACAGTTAGGAGAATAAGGGCGGCAAGAGCGACAGCACTGAATATGCTTGATGCAGCAATAGAACCCTTCTCGTATTTCCAGTCCTTAGCCAAGGTCTTTTCTGTCTGGTTCAGTACTAGCGGAGCTGTTTTATTCTCAGATGGTGTCACTGGATCAGAATTGTTCTTTTCGGGGTTGGGACTACGTTTAAAAAGATCAGGGGAGGCGTGTGGGAATCTCGAGGGATCGTGCGAGTAGAGGTCACGGAAGGCCTCTGAGTGTGTTGCTCGACCGGGATTCACAGTCTGTACTGGCTGACGGATTACCGAGTGGGCTGTCTTTTCGTTATAAAGGATAGAAGTTCTAAATGAAGAACTGTAGATGTTAGCACCCATCCAATATAAAAGATATTATAGACTCACAATGACATTGAATAATGGGAACATTCAGCCAAGGCAAAAGGAATGATAATAAAATGTGAACTTTCTGGGAAATGCCTAGACAGGAAACATCGTTGATGAAGAATCATGTCGTGATAGCGACTTGGAGCTATGGAGGTATGTGGTACTGTGTCTGGCACAACAGGCAGGCACCCAGCACCCTGCGCAGCTTCCTATTTTGTAACGATAACAGTCTATATCTCCTAATTCCATCACCAGCAGTCTTTAATTAGTCTCACTGTACATACAGCACCTCAAAGCTCGAAAAAAAAGCCACAGCATCGGCACATTCGTTGTTGTGCTGGTGTTCCTGGCTGCTTTTCCTGGCTGCTTCTTGGAGCCAACCTTTTCGATAAGAGCGCGGCGCTGCTTAGTACTTACTGCGTACTCGAGTCATTGGTCTTCTCGTGTTTGGCACAGCAATTCAGGAGCACTTCAGTTTGATTATAACAAACTGAGAGTTTCGGCTCAGAGACGAGATGCTGTGATGTTCATGGTTGCATGTTGAGGGCATACAACAATGTAGGGCTAATAGGCGCAACTGTCGACCATCTGCAACCACTGCAGATTGATAAAAACGAAAACAATATCTATTAATGTTACCCGTCGAAAAGAAACTCGTTATTAATTGAAAATCAGCTTCGCCAGATGTAAACTACTAAACGTCGTCTCCATTGGGTGGACATGGTGCATTAGGGTAACTGCTAAGTACCTAGTCCAGCCGCCGAGGACCCATTCTTCAGCTGCACATCGAGCTGACTGCTGCCAACTGCCAACACCACGCTCACACAATATTCATCCTTCTTTCCGAGTGGCCTACCTTGAGATACTTATTTACCTAACAATGGAGCACATCCCACGAGTGCGTGGCTCCAAGCTCCCGATAGCTCGCCTCCGCGTCCCGCATTTGGCAAGCGATTGGGACTACGGCAGCCAGCGCCAGGGATTCAACAGCTTTCTCGCATTCCCCAAGAAGCATAGGTTCAGTTCGCTCATAGACCAGGAGGGCGCCGGTGATGCGCTCGCCGCCCCATCGATTGGATTCCTACAGGCATGGCTGTTTTTCGGCCTCCTGGCTGAGGCTTTTGGAACCAACGAAATGCGCTTTGACCCCAGTCATTTCATTAGCGATACTGGCGAGGACACTAAAGTCATTACAACAAAAGACTTGGATCGATATATATGGTACTGGGACGCCGCGATTGCGCATGGGACGCGTGACGAGATTGACGACCATGCAGAAAATCTGGACAAATGTGTCGAGCTTGCGAACTCGGTCGTTAATGAGTACTGTCAGCGGATGCCGGTGCCCGCGCGATACACTTATTCTGAAGAGAAAGACAAAGAAGAAATAGTATGGTCGGCCCCAACATCCGTCCTTTTTTCAATCATCACGCTGGTGGACTACCTGCGCCGCGCGCGCATCGACATCAACAAGTACAGTTTCGAAGCCAACCTTCCCAGCCTACGATGGGATTTCCCGCCGCTCGACCACGCTCTTTTGGAGGCGGGATGGTGCGAGGGTGAAATCGCTAAACTGAACCGGCAGGCTGATTTCCCAACTCGTTTCTATCTTGCTCAAATAGACCGCTGGGTGCAAGGCAGAGACCATAGCAAATGTTCTGCTCATGATGGTTGCCAGGTGCATCAGATTGACGAACCAACTTACAGGACCAGACACCGGCCTGACTGCAAGGGTGATGCAATGTGCTGGGGTATAGGTACTCCTGTTGATGATGTTACCAAGATCATCGCTGGCGGGGGGTACCCGGTCGTTAACCTGGCCGACAGCAATAGGGAAGTGGAAGCGCATCCAGCAAAACAGGGGGATATATATGTCACAATCTCACATGTCTGGTCAGACGGCCTGGGAAACCCGCACGACAATGAATTGCCATATTGCCAGCTCGTGTACATCCAAGGCCTGGTTAACGCGCTATACCCAGAGCCTCTACGCCCAGTAAAATTCTGGCTTGACACGTTATGTATTCCGGTTGGCACTAGGGAGTCTGCATTCCGAAGTTTGGCCATCAATAGGATGGGAGAGACGTTTCGGCGCTCTAGCAAGACTCTTGCGCTAGACAACTCACTCATGGCTCATGAGCCAGATTATATGGACTGGGTGGAATTGAATATGCGCATCAAGTACTGCCCGTGGGTGACGCGCGCATGGACATTGTTGGAAGGACGTATGGGTAAAGAACTGCTATTCCAGTTCAAGGGCAGCGCTGTTTCATCAAACGTCGTGTTCAATCGTTCATATGCGGCACGAAACATCGCGGCCGTATCCAAGATGCTTCAACAGCGAGGGGTAGAGGACGTGCTCAATGAGCCAGCCGCAGTCAATCTTGTCCGAGCGCTGGTCCAGTTACCGAAGGAGCCGAGGCAAAGTTTAGAGAGCGACGAAGAGGACGAACAGGAGAACATCGCGTATCAGGACACTATTCAAGCTGCAGTCAAAGCATACCAGACCTGGATGCCAATTCTTAAATCTGCTGGGCTCGCCGACAATCCATCAGATATAGACGACGATATGAGCGTCAAAATTCAAACCGATGTTTTTTGTCCTGTAATAAAACACTCTAACTACGGCACACGAAATATTCGCAACGAGTTCTGGCTCGAATCCATCGAGACTTCGCGCGCTGAATCAACAGAAGGAGGCCAACAGTGCCTCCCCCACGCATTCTTCGAAGGAGTCTGCCTCGCGTTCCGCGGCCGAACAACAAGCAAGCCGGAGGACCAAGCCATATGTTTCGGCCAGATGTTGGGTATAGATACATCGCAGATAATAGATCTCCGCCCGCTGCACCCGAGGTCGCGATACTGGTTCACGGTCTTGGATTCGCATCCAGCCCTCCGATTGTTCTGCTGGGCAGTGGGCTTTGACGCACGGGCTAAATTGATTGAGTGCCAGGAAGGAAGAATAAAGATGCTTTTGTCGCAGACTGGTAAGCTCCCCCTGTCTATTCTGCTGTGGGTCGTGCCACGCATGCAATCATTGGGCTGGAAATGGGCGCCATTGTCGCTGCTCGATGTAGACCCCGGCACCGAGGGGACTTGGGCAAGTAACGAGCGAGGAACTGTCACACCTAATGGCTTCACAGTCAGGTTCCCTGTGTTGCGCTTGAAAACAACAGAGAGCATGACTACTGAGATGGACTTGGACATTAACATCTGCGATCCTGTTTATTTCGTAGTCTCCACTGCGGACGACGGCCTGGGAGCTGGAAATGCCATTTTAAGGATCCGTGTAAGCGATTCCTCGTTGGGAGGGTATAGAAAATGGTCAGACATTGTGTGCTCTGGCGTCCTAGATAGTCTTGCAATCTTGACTCGGCGGCGTGCATCAGTCCATGACCCTTTCAAGAACAGGGGTGTTTTGCTGGAGTTGCGTGGGACAAGGGACTCGCTTAACCTAGCCCATTTCAGAGCTGTGGTTGAGAGGATACATGGAGCAACTGAGGAGTCGGTCCCTGCCATTTCCATAGATGGAGTTTGGGATTTGGACTCAACATGGTGTATTGGGTGATGCTTAACTGCAACCCACCGTTAACACCAAGAGAACAGAAAATGAGATATGAGGCCTGTTGACGTGTGTATGATATTGATGATCATAAATAGCGAGATAACGCGGACACAGAATTCGGCATCACGCACGAGATAATTACCTATCCTTCCGTAAATCGCTAGTGGAAGACATCCAGTCCTGGCTGGGACCCTGGTGGAAGAAGGATCTACAAACAAATTGGCAAAGTGGAAATAATCGGCGATAACACGACTTAGTCATCATGACATCGGCCGGAACAGATCGGAACTAAACTAGATCCGGAAATCATAAGCAAGCAGGGCGACGTCATCGTGTACTCCGTGCAACGATCGTAGCATATATACCAGGCCACTTCTAGGCATCTCAATTCAAGAAAAAAGTCTCATGAACCTGCTATCTCACTTCTTCAAAGTACCTCAGATACATCTTCAACTCATCTCAAGATCATTCCATAAATACCCGCAAACCAAAATGCCTCTTGTCGTTCCTGGAATCAACAACACCGGTGGCGGCAAAGACGAGTGGCTTAACAAGCTCGTCGGGAAGAAGATTAGCGAGTCGTCGGATGCTACTGTACGGTGCTCTTGGATACTGTTTCCCATGTTTTTTGTTCTTCTGTGCTGAGGTACTGACTACTGCTTGGTTGTTTAGTCGTTCGCCAAGAAGGATCTCCCCGAGACTCACCGGATTGTGAAGCCGGGTAGTATGCAGACGATGGATCACAAACCGGAAAGGTACATACCTTGCACACCAATTGTAACAGAACTAACATGGGTTGTACTGCAGGTTGAACATCCACGTCGATGAGAACGACAACGTCCGTGATGTGAACTACGGCTAGACGCTTACGATAGTTGTATGATACAATAATACTACTGATGCTACGGGAATTTATTTCGAAATTCAATTGCGTTCTATAATCGTAAAATAGTAGCATGAGGCCGTCACTGGGGAAAACACCGGTGAGGCACATGGAGGTCGCTCTGCTTAAGCCTTCCATCTCAGAAGTGTAAGCGAGTGTTTGGGGAACAAATACGATCCCTGTGCAGTCCACTTGCTCTCAACAAGGCTAACTTCCTCCTTGCCCTTCATGTTCGTCACCGCGGGGCTATCACCAGTAACAGTGAACACAGAGACCTCGCCAGCGGGTCCCTCAATCTTAGCCTCGATTCCCCTCTCCTCATGGATGTTGATTACAACGACATTGACATAGCCGTCCTCGCCTAGCGTAGCGCTGACATCTAACCAAGGGGTATCCTTGACACTGCGCACCCATTTCGGTTGCGTTTCACCCTCATAGGCTCCGGCAGCAACATGAGCGCTGATGGTCCAGCCCCGCATGTAGTTTGAGAACAGGTACAAAGGCCACCAGGTGGTTTGCTTGACGATACCCTCTTTAGTAGTCATAAGGGGCGAGATGACGTTAACGCTCTGCGCAATACAGGCCATTCCGACATCCTTGCTCTTGCGGACGAAGACGTTGAGCCAGACGCCTACCGCGAGGGCATCGGATAGGTTGTAGGATTCCTCTGCGCCCTTGCTGCCTTCAGCACGGATGGGGTCCCAGACGTTCCATTCATCAAAGCAGATAGTTGGGCGAAGTTGCTCGGGAGGGACACCATTCTCGACCCGGGCGAGGTCGATGAGGGAGGAAGTGATTTCAATAGCACGCTCTGCGGCTAGGGGTGCGGTGACATTGGGGAGATGAGAAGAGGAGGCAGTGTACAGGTGAATACTGTGCATGTCGATGAGAGGGACAGCACTGGTTGAAAGTGGTGAATGGACAGGGAGCATGGTCTGCTTCAAGGTGTAGTAGTCCCAAGACGCTGTACCATCCTGTCCGCATAGGATCAACTCAATTGAGGGGTCAAGGAGTTTTAAGGCTAGAAAATAGTTAATAAGATTTATCTTAAATAAGTAATAAAGTGGTTACCTTTCGCCCATTGGTATGCTTTGTGAGCATATTCCTCCTTGGTAGCCTGCTCAACCTGCCACGGACCCCATACCTCATTTCCAAGAGCCCAGTATTTTACCTAGATTTATATTAGCATAAAAGCAACATATGAGTAACGAAATTCATACATTGTACGGCTCCTGTCGTCCATTTTTGCGTCGAAGGTTTGCGTAGTAGGTGTCCCGCGTGCCATTGCAGTAATCAACCCACCCCAAAGCTGTATTACGAAGTTTGTCAGACTATTCTAGCAATATTGGCCATATATCTAGACTTACCTTCATCGAGAGTACCAGTACCCATGTTCAGGCAAAGGTAGGGCTCGGTCCCCAGGACCTCGCACCATTTCAAGAACTCGTCGGTTCCAAACTGGTTAGTCTCTGTACCCAGCCAAGCAAGTTCCGGCCTCGGAAATAGTCAGTATACCATTGGGTGGAAAGGTAAGGTACAAGACATACCTTGCAGGGCGTTGGTCTCTCGGGCCCACTCCATCAGTCCAGTGGTATGTTGCAGTAAAGTTACCACCAGGGTAACGAACTACAGGAATTTTGAGTTCCTTCAGGGCTTCGAGGACATCTTTCCGGAAGCCATCTGCGTCTGACAATGGGTTACCAGGATCATAGATACCCCCGTAGATGCATCGACCCATGTGCCTGGAGTCATGCGTCAGCTTAGGATGGTCTTAAACTCACGCTAAAACGCCGCGACGTCAAAGCTTACTCTGCAAAACCCGCATAGATATTAGGGTTGATTTTCGAAATGCGGCGGTCTGGGTGTATGGAGATTCCCGGAGCATCCTGCTCAGCCAGCTTTGTAAAGGTCGTCATAGCGGCGAAAACAACGAGCTAGATCAAAGAAAGAGGTCGAAGCGAATATGGGATCGAGAACTGATTGGTAGGGAAAATCGAACTAAATAATCGAAGTGCTCTTTATGAGTATTCGAAGACCGAGGCGAGGCGACTGGGCAGCTAATATTAATGCCAGACGGACTTATCTCGAGGACCAGATTTAAACGGGCAAACCCCCGGTGGGGTCTCTCCAAGCGTGAGAGAAATTATATTGATCGCATTCCGGCGGAGTTGAGGGCGACTGGCGAGATTCTGGCGCCATTGATTTGGCGGTTTGAGGCCGAGGCCTGGCCCTGAGATATTCCATCAATCAGAGACGGCTCCTCTGTGCATCGCGCTAGCCCATGCCTTTCGGCTCTCCGCAGGATCGGCTGACATTCCATCCCGTATCCTGGAATCGGGGTCCAACTTGTTATTCGTTACGGAAGCTAGTGGTTCTGCGTTGATTTGCCCTCTCATGGTGTTGCCGTTGGTTTTGGCCGACGGGGCTTGTGCAGTGCGAGCTCCTCGACAACCGTGCCAGCTGAGTCCCGAGTCCTTCTGGGATTAACCCGGCGGGCACTGTGTTCGTAGTGATGGTGACAGTCGTCCCATATGCCTTGAGGCGTAATGTAATGTCAGAACTTTCGGATCGCTGTGGTTCGCGGTTCTCCGTTGTGGTTGTGCAGTCTCATCCCCGGATTCTTTAAAAGAGGCGGGTCCTGCTCCTCGCTCTCCGATTCCTGTCTCCGCAATTTTGCTCCGGATTTTTGAATCTGTTAAGAGCTGAAGGTGTTGGTACGCATTATCTGGGTTACTGAGCGCACACCGAGTTGTTTTTCACCATGCGTCTCTCTCCTGCATGGTACCAGGTATGTCTAGTTGCTATTGTTTCAGCAGCTGTTGGGAACGCCATACTGACGACCATTTCAGTTCCTGGTAGGCGTTTTCGCCTCCCTTGGATCATTTCTTTACGGATGTGCGTCTAATTCCCCTTTTGGATCGCTCCTCCTTGAAATCTGCCAGATTTTGGTCAACTAATCATAGACATTGGGTGCAGATGATCTGGGTGTCATCGCAGAAGTCATTGCTAGTGGCTCTTTCAAATCGACCTTCAATGAGCCGACCGATACAGAAACGTAAGTTAAACCTTGAGAGAGAATCGAGCATGCTGGGCTGACTCTCACTCTAGTGGTCTAGTTGTTTCCATGTTTACAGCCGGCGCTTTCTTCGGTGCTATGTTTGCAGGTCCCACTGGTGACTATCTTGGTAGACGCTGGACTATAGCCATTGGTTGTCTTGTCTTCTGTCTTGGTGGAGGCCTCCAAACTGGCGCCCAACATATTGACTATCTGTACAGTGGCCGGTTCTTCGCTGGCGTGGGGTAGGCCAATCCTAGATCTGAGTACATACTGAGATTCAGTCACTAACCTCAGTTTTCAGGGTTGGTTTCCTTACCATGATTGTGCCTCTATACCAAGCCGAGATTTGCCATCCGGATATCCGAGGACGTGTCACCTCTCTACAGCAGTTCATGTTGGGTGTTGGAAGTCTCTGCGCTGCGTGGATTTCCTACGGGACATATATCGGCTTTGACGATACCAACGACGCTCAATGGCAGGTTTCTCTTGGTCTGCAGGTCGTTCCAGCAGTCTTCCTTGGCCTTCTGATCATGCTCTTCCCTGAGGTGCGACAAGACTCCTCTCCTTTCGTTGTGACTTGTGCTAATGTTTTGCGATCTACTTTAGTCTCCCCGTTGGCTTATCGATCATGGTCGCCAGGAGGAAGGACTGAAAACCCTAGCGAGGCTACACGCCTACGGTAACGAGGACGATACCTGGGTTCGTGCAGAATACACTCAGATCCAGGAGAGTATTCTCCGCGAGCATGAAGAGGAGGCCAAGTCTTATTTCGAGCTCTTCAAATCGCGGTCATCGTTCCGTCGTCTTTTCCTCTGCTGTGCACTCCAGGCATCCGTGCAAATGACCGGTGTGTCTGCAATCCAGTCAGTATCACCTCATCCGTCTCATCTCTTTCAAGTCTATGTCTAACAAATCACGCCCACATCAGGTACTACTCGGTCGACATTTATGGACAGATCGGAATCTCGGGCGATGAGACGCTTCGCTACCAGGCCATCAATTCCATTATCGCCTTGGTTGCGCAATTCCTGTGCATGATGCTGATTGATCGCTTTGGTCGTCGCTGGAGTTTGATTGGTGGGAACTTAGGCAACTGCCTCACGTTCATCATCGCTTGCATTCTGTTAGCCAGGTTCCCTCCAGAAGTTAGTAACACTGGAGCTCATTGGGGCTTCATCATCATGACTTGGCTCTACAACTTCTCCTTTTCATGCACCTGTGGCCCCTTGTCCTGGATTATCCCAGCTGAAGTCTTCGATACTCGTACTCGTTCAAAGGGTGTCTCGCTTGCAACTATGACCTCCTATGCCTTTAACACAATGATCGGCCAGGTGACGCCAATTGCCATGACCGACATTGGGTACAAGTACTATTTTGTGTTCATCATCTGCAACTTCACCAACGCGGCGTTCTTCTGGCTGCTTCTGCCCGAGACCAAGAAGTTGCCGCTTGAAGAGATGAACGACCTATTCTCGAAATCGCCGTGGATTATTCCTGGCACAAAGAAGGAAGACTACATAACTCATGACCTGGAGCGCAGAATCGCGGAACAGGAGGAGAAACAGCACGTTTATGCAGAGCATGAGGAGAGGAAATAAGCTGGCGAACGCGGGCGCGCTCATATAGTCGGTGTCTCGAGATACTGTGTATTTTAACAAAGAGTAATCGTACATCTAGTCACCATGTGTACGGTGATAGCTCTGAAATCGAAGTGAGCCAGAATAAGAAGCCTATCACTTGAATCATAGTATTGACTTTATAATCGGCCAATGGGTCCAAGATGCATTGCCGTAATCGTTATTTTCGGCAGTCTGATATATTCCAATAGAATTAGATGACCAACACATCTGCTCTGAAGATGGTTAGTATGCACCAGGATGATTGCGCATATGCGGTTTGATATTAAGCTGTTACAGTCAGAACTGTTGATTTCGGCATATCATATACTTATATGATAGGGAGTTGTGATGCTGTCACTCCGAATCTGAGCTATATCCAGCCAAGCCAAGAGACGGTGCAGGTGGATTAGCAGCTTGCTTCGTGGGTTGTTGAGCCAGCGTGCCCTTTGTGTCCTTGGTGCTATTGTCCACAGTTGTCTGTTTGACTTTATCCTCCGCGGCCGTAGAATCCACGTCCTTGCTGCCCTTGTCCTCAACGTCTTCCTTCGCTTTTTTATTCTGTCCCGGCTTTTTCGAGGGATCATCGGTAGTATCTTCGCCCACGGATTTACGTTTTCGTCCTGGAACAAGCAACGTGCTGCTTTTATCGCGTCGCTTCTTGCGGGGAGCAATCTTCCAGTCTTCTCCTTCGGCCGCCGGTGCAACATCTGCCGTGGTATCTTCAAGGTGGGCCTTTTCTGCCTCCTCCCGCTGCCGCCGGAACAACTCTAACTGTTCGGCAGTCTCCTTCTTCACGGTGGCCTCCTGGGCTCGAGTAGATTCCATTATAGAGTCAAGAAAATCGACTTCGTCTTCATCGAGGGCACGGAATTGGTTCTTTAACTTTATCTTTTCCTCGAATTCTTCTTGTTTGGCCACTTCATGCCGGCAAGAAGATCATCATGGAATGTCAACCAGGCGCTTGAGGAATCGGGGCTAATGTTCGTCTCCGAAATTCCTTTACTCACTTTTATTTTGCTGGAGAACATCGAATAGACTTTTCCCTCCATCTTGCTTCCCTAACTCTGCCTTTCGCCTTCGCTCCTCCTCAAGTTCTTGCTGTGCACGGAGCCATTCGTCATCGCGCTCAACGGGCGCCTGGTCCGTTCCAGCCGAAACGAACCCTGAGGACATTTTTTGCGTCTTTTCCAAACGAACGATAGGGCGCAACGAAATGTCTCCGCTGCTTCTAAGGCAGCATAAACCAGATGGGTTCCAGCGGAGAAACGCGAATCCGGAGCACTGTAGCTTAAGACACAGGACGAAAATTGCTCACTTGTCGAATATCTCGCTAGAGAAAATATTTACTGTGTATATCAAACAAGTGCCAGCAAAACGGAAGCAATTATTGAAGAAGATACACAGGGAAAGTTATGCCCGAGAATCAGGGTGAGGGTCAATCTTGTCTATCTAGGGTGGCAGAAAAGGGCGGTGAATACCGCGGTTCTGGCGCAATGGCGGGAACTAGCCTAACCGGCCAATAGCATGATGTGATGGCTTCGACAGCGTCAGTGTCACCAGGGCTATCTCAGTCAAGAGACTGGAGACTCAGGGGTCTTCCTATCTGCCGCGTCTCATCCGAGTACAACGGTGGAACCCGGCCGCGCCAGATTCTCTAATGAGTCCGATATTCCCGCCAGAATGCCGACTCGCGGATAAATTGAAGTCAATATGAGTGGCCCGGGAAAAATGGATAAATGCGGCTGGATCGCAATCTCCACTCTGAGGTGACCATGCCCCTCCAATGCCATCATTGCCCCTCCGCGGTTCTGGATGGACCTGCCTTGCCATGCTGTCCTTGGGATTTACAGGCCCTCTTATAAATCCCGCCTCTGCCTCGTAATCCCTCAAACTTTTCAACCTCTCTATTATCTTCTATTGAATTGAGCAATTCCACGCAAACAACATGTCAAACACTGAGAACACGAAGTAAGTGGTCGCGTGTCCGCTCTTAACGCGGTCCCCCCAATTTAATACGAAGCAACTGCTCACACATTTTCTCAACTTCTAGGAAGGTGTACACCCTCAACACCGGTGACAAGATCCCCGCTATTGGTCTTGGTACCTGGCAATCCAAGCCCAATGAGGTCAGGGAGGCCGTCAAGAACGCTCTGCTGAAGGGCTATCGTCATATTGATACGTAAGTTGCTTTATGAAAACCTCAGCGAAAATACCATGTATCTGACGGCAAATCCTAGTGCCCTTGCATACGGCAACGAAGCTGAGGTCGGACAAGGTATCCGTGATTCTGGCGTTCCTCGTAGCGAGATCTGGATCACTACCAAGCTCGACAACACATGGCACCACTGCGTCCCTGAGGGCATTGCCAGCTCTCTGAAAGATCTCGGCGTCGACTACGTCGATCTATACCTCGTCCACTGGCCCAGCTCGACCGACCCCAATGATAAGAAGAAACACCTTCCCGACTGGAACTTCATCAAGACATGGTACGTTGCTTACATACACCAAGTGGCGGGTCTATGATATTAACTCAATGATAGGCAAGAGATGCAGAAGCTCCCAGCCACCGGCAAGGTCCGCAACATCGGTGTCTCGAACTTCGGTATTAAGAACCTTGAGATCCTCCTGAACGACCCCAGCACCAAGATCGTCCCAGCTGTCAACCAAATCGAACTGCACCCTAACAACCCATCGCCCAAGCTCGTCGCTTACAACACATCCAAGGGTATCCACTCTACCGGCTACTCCTGCTTAGGATCCACCAACTCTCCTCTCTACAAGGACCCTACGCTCCTGAAGCTGGCTGAGAAGAAGGGCAAGACCCCCCAGCAGGTACTGCTTGTGTGGGGCCTACAGAAGGGCTGGAGTGTTATCCCCAAGTCTGTCAGCAAGTCCCGCATTGATGCCAACTATGAGATCGATGGCTGGAGCCTGACCGACGAGGAGGTTGAGCAATTGGACAACCTCAAGGATCGCTTCAAGGTCTGCGGTGACGATTGGCTCCCAATCAAGGTCTTCTTTGGTGATGACGAGTAAATATTTTAAAACATACCCCAATTATCTAAATTGAATTAGAATTTCATTCCTCTGAATTTAACAACTAATTGAGTAGCATTAATATTCGTGACTGTAAATACTTTTAGCTAAAGTAACTGAGGGAAGCCCGTTCTGGCGGAAGTATATATCGGAGCTTCCGTCAAGGACAAGCACCAACAATTCGGTAACTAAGATACGCAGTCTTTTGTGGAACTACCATTATTGTATCTTTGGAGATTCAAAAATTTCTTTTTTATCGAAATCCTTATAAAAGTCCTGAGGAATGTCATTGGTGAAGATGCTTCCGACTTCTACCGTGCCTGAGGCACGTGGCGAGAGATCACATGCTGCACCGCCACATGGGGTGATCACCTCCGTCATCAGGCATCCTTCGACCTTCTCCCCTCTCATCAATCATCTCGAGGATGATAGTCTCATCTTCGTCTTCTATCTAACTATCTATTTTCTGAATCGTCAGGATGCCTCCGTCAAGTGGGCACCTGCTGCTCCCCAAACTTTGGAGAGCAGCTAGGTGAGTCATTCGCCACCGCCCTGTATACTTCACCCTGATACTAACAGCTCTTTCAAGGTTTGCCTACGCGAAGGCGTACAAAGCCGTAAGGGCAAAAATTCATGAACCAGCTCAGCAGGTTTCGCTTCGTCTCCAGCCAGCGTACGCCCGGGTTACTCCCCGACAGCCCATCAATCGAGCCGCTGCTATCCGGCAAGCCCGCAGTCGCCACTTCTCCACCCGTGCGACGGGCTCGTTTGCTTCATACTTCCAGGCCGCAGCTCAGGGTAGTCGGACTGCTTACCGGTCGTCGCGAGTAGCGTCAAACATTAGTCGGTTCACCAGTCGAGCACCTTTTGCGTCGACTCTTCGCCCGAACCTCACCGGGGGCACTCTTGGTCGGACCGCAGGAGGTTATGCGATTGGTGCAGGCCGCATTGGGGGTGCGCGATACTTCTCTCATGGCGCAGCTGCACCCGCCCAGGTTATAAACAATGTCTCTGTTGGTGTGAGAGCGTTTTTCCTCTCTGGACAAAAGGCTCGGTTCGACGGCATTGATCCGATCACGGGAAACAAGAGATTCAAGGCCGTGACCGTGCTTCAGGATGAGGCCGAGAAGAAGATGACTGCGATTCCTCGCGCTGCCCCCGGCTCCTTCATTGATTTCCAGATTTCTCCTACCATCACCGCTTTCGGTCTTCAGAAAAACTTTGCCCCAGCTGGCGCTGAGACTGAAACCCTCAACTCCGAGGGCCTCTTGGACTTCCTGTCTGCCGACTTTGCCCGTGCCCTCAAGGACCTGGCCGTTATCCTCAACGATCTGAAGCGGCTAGCTACTCTGGGAGACCTACCCATCGCACTCCAGGATAAATCAACTATTAGAGTAAGGTTTCCGGGTTGCGATGCGGAGACAGTGGAACGACTTTGCGACGAAGTAGGGGTACACCGAGGAAAGGTTATGCAGGATGCAGATTTCGACATCCGCACTGGTGCTGAACTTGCGCTCCTCTTCCCCTTCGCCCCCAGCGTTTCCCCGTCCTCTGACACGGAGGATTTCTTCTTCCACGAAGAGGCAAAATCGTCGCAACGACCCGATGAAGTCGATTGGGAGGCAATGCTATCCGGTGAAGATGGGACACAACCATCCGCCGGATATCCGAAACAGTCACCCAACGAGTTCAGCTTCGATGACGTGACCATGTTTGGATCCAACCCTTGGGCCAAGTCTCCCTCGGATTATTCAAGCATCGGTGTGAGCGAGCTCGGTGACCGTGCGTTCTTTCCTGATGTGATGAGCAACGGTATTCCGGAGAGTGCGTCGGCCTATGAAGGGTCTGAAGGCATCCGCAAGTTCATAGCCGAATGTGACCAGGCCACTGCGTTCCGCTAATTTCTTTTTGCACATTTTGTTTTGACATCAGACTTGACTATTTCTTTTGTATTTACCATATCGAAACATATACCACAGCAATACCAATCTTGAACCTACAGAATAACCAGACATACTCCCCAATTTCCTCAAATAGCGTCCTTGGGTCCCAACAAATGCCAAGGCATAGTTGCAGCTCCAGCTCTTAGATATTTTAATTTGGTTAAATATAAATAAAGCGAGCTGTAGATTTAACTAATACGCCTCACAAGATCCATACCGTCGTAGGCAAGGCCCTGCGCCTCAGGTATTGATACGTCCATGGACAAAGCGTTTTTTGTGCCAGACAAAGATGGGTTTAAGTCGGGGAACCGCAAGGGGATTTTGCTTGGTAGGGTTGGGAGGGTCTTTCTGTACGAGTGTGAGTGGTGTGGATTTGGCTGGACGAGTCAGGCGCAGATGGAGTGTGTTTTGGCTTGGAAGGAAAGCTAGATATCTGGGCTGGGCGAATTAGTTTGCCTGGTGGCTATTCAGTCTGGGTGGTTGTTCTCTTAACCTGGATAGAGACTTTCGGCCTACGACAGTGTCGGGAAAGAAAAGACGACACTGAATAATCAAGTCAGTTTTCTCCACGCTCAGAAGAAACCAGCAGATCCCTACTTAAACTAGACCGTAATATGGGCAGTCATCCGACTGACACGGACGTTCCTGACACGGTTCAACGGTCCGAGCTTCCTGAAGAATACCCCCGCATTTTATGCCGCTGGACTGATCCTTTTGGGAAGTGAGTGAATGAGTAAATAGCACAATATACGGGACTTGGCTTCTTGGCTTGTTCATGGATTTTTCCGCTGTAGACGATGATATCACATAATCCTACTTATGTTCGACCTGATTACTCGCCCACCCACGAAATACTACTGCTGTAGAGTAGCGCTCTTAGTACATTGAACTGAAAAGTGACTGGTTATGTGTGAGGTTTATGGTAGCTAACCCGGTGGGGGGTTAGTCAGTAGCCCTATCTCTATACATGAAACATCTGGCCTTATACGGACTTATCTCCACTCTCCTCATGAAATGGGGGATCCGCGAACGCCGGAGTGAAAGACCGTAGCTGTCTTCAATATTCTCTTCCAGCGCGCATACTCATTTCCCTAAATAAAACAAGGAGGCAAGCACAGATGTTGAGATGCTGAGAAAGCTCCGTCTTGGAGCTTAGAGATCAGCAGGGGAAAACCACACCCACCCAGCCAAACAGAGGCGGGAATGAAACAGCCCGCGATCCTTTCGTACAAGCAAAGGAAATGAAACACCCGTTGGTCTTGCTCGGCGATGAACTTATGACGATCAGCTACTAATTGTGCCTTTTCAGTGACGGAGAGTGTCCGTCTAGGTTGGCGTCATTGTCGAATCGAACCCTGATTGTAGTGGGAATACAGCCCGGATGCTCACCGTCGAAACAAGTCACCTCTTAGTAGTTTAATCGGTAGGCTCCAGGAACAATGGACTCGTCCAATCTGCTCGATTCCAGATTTAGCCAGAGGGCGTTGACCCTCTTCCCGGCCGTATGTTCCTTGATTCTTTTGGTAGCGAGCGCCGATTTGGAATCAATTTAATCAAGCTTGTGAAAGGAATCTCCTATATAAGAGTCCGCCTTGCTCGCTCTCGATACCAGTCTAGTTTATCCAGCCAAAAAAGAATTGTCTTTCCTGCAGGACCAGAGAAAGTTGATTTCCATTCACTCTTTTACCTTGCTTCAGATTCACTATGCAGTCCGTCAACATGAGGGCATTGATGGCCCTTGTGCCACTCCTTGGTGCCGCAGGCGTGAAGGCTTTGCCCCAGGCAACAAGCACAGCTGTTCCAACTCCGACGAGCTCTGGTCCTGCTGTTACAGCATCGGGAAACCCATTCGAGGGATACCAGCAATACGCCAACCCCTACTATAGCTCTGAGGTTATCAGCTTGGCTGTCCCCTCCATGACAGGCTCCCTGGCGGCGCAGGCGTCTGCGGCTGCTGATATTCCGTCGTTCCACTGGATGTAAGTCTATTCCGAGCCATGAGCTGCGCGTTTGCAAGTTGAGTACAGGACTGATAAGTGTTCTGTAATCAGGGATACACTGGACAAGGTCCCAACCATGGGTGAATACTTGGCGGACATCAAGGAGCAGAACGATGCTGGAGCGTCGCCCCCGCTTGCCGGTATTTTTGTCGTCTATGACCTTCCCGACCGTGACTGTGCTGCATTGGCCAGTAACGGAGAACTCTCCATTGCCGACGGTGGTGTCGAGAAGTACAAGGGCTACATTGACTCCATCCGCGAGCATATCGTGACGTACTCAGACACGAACATCCTCCTCGTCATCGGTTGGTTTACCTTGTAAAATAACATGTGAGCTCCGTTGCTAATAGTCGTATAGAGCCTGACAGCCTGGCCAACTTGGTGACCAACTTGGACGTTGAGAAGTGTGCCAATGCCCAGGATGCTTACCTCGAGTGCACCAACTACGCCATCACTCAATTGGATCTTCCCAACGTGTCCATGTACCTTGATGCCGGTATGCTGAAGTTCCCCATTACCCCATTATTGCGCCTTGCTAACATTGCCCAGGTCACGCTGGATGGTTGGGCTGGCCCGCCAACATCGGCCCGGCAGCCGAGCTCTATGCAGGCGTGTACAAGAACGCTTCGTCCCCGGCGTCACTCCGTGGCTTGGCCACCAACGTTGCTAACTACAACGCCTTCTCCATCGACACCTGCCCCTCCTACACCACGGAGAACGAAATTTGTGACGAGAAGAGCTACATCAACAACCTCGCCCCTCAGCTATCTGCTGCAGGATGGGATGCCCACTTCATCGTCGACACTGGTACGTAACCACAACACATCCCACCAAGATCCCAAGATTCCAATTAGACGCATATACTGATCTAATGAACAGGCCGTAGCGGCAAACAGCCCACTGGCCAGATCGAATGGGGTGATTGGTGTAACTCAAAGGGAACCGGCTTTGGTGCCCGCCCAAGCACAGAGACTGGTGACGAGTTGGTCGACGCCTTCGTTTGGGTCAAGCCTGGTGGTGAGAGCGATGGCACTTCTGACACCAGCGCTGAACGCTACGATGCCCACTGCGGTGCCGAAGCTGCTCTCCAGCCTGCTCCTGAGGCCGGTACCTGGTTCCAGGTAAATATCCACCTTTCTTCTTCTTATCTGCATTCATGAGCTAACGCATTACCTACAGGCCTATTTCGAGCAGCTTGTGGAGAACGCCAACCCTCCTCTTAGCAGCTAGATGCTCATTGGTAATCTATGTGTCGAGACCTGTAAATAAGTGGTGGGGGTTGGATATTTGGTCGGGACAAGATGTAAATAGGTAGAAATTGATTGAAGTTCGTCTGCTTTATAAAATCTGTCACCCAGTCATCCTAAGGTAGATTAAATCACCCACTGGCTTTCACGGTGAAAGGAAGAAAGATCATACAGTAATCACCACAACACCAGCAGGCAGTGCAGAAAAGAGAAGGCGGTGTGATCAAAGACCAAAAATCCGATAGAAACTGACCGCCAACCCCGCGCTAAGCCTCAACAAGAAGATCCTCTGATAACATCCGCCGCAAGAAAGGTGAAGAACACACTCTGCATCTGTTTGAACTCTACAGACCTCGCTGCCATTGTGAAGTCTTCTTTTGTGTGCCTGCTCTGAAACATAAACCGCTGCATGTTCTGAAGGAAATATCCCTGCCATACAGTTCTGAGGACCATTCTGTGCTTGGGGCATCTTGGGCCGGTGTTCTCTCAGTAACTGTTGCAGGAAAAAAGCGACAAGCACTTCTTCCTACCTCTGATATTGCTTCGTCGCGACCGACGACCCGACTATTCAAGATGATGGAGGATTTCAACTCTGAGACTGATAGCGACTACACCAGCTACTGGAGAGATTGGGTAAGTCCTGTCATTTCTGTTTACAATTTTGGATTGTGGGGTATTGGCAGAAGAAAGAGAACCGCACAGCTGAGTCGCACCTTTATGCACTGCTGTGAATGGCGTCGCCGAGAAGGCCTCAGTGTTTATATCCAATGTTTGGATCGCTGCCCTGAGGAGCTTAACACACTCTTCGCTCGCTCCTTTCTCTCTTCCCAGCGTTCAACAGCGCTTCTGTCAAGACGAAATGGCGGCTCCTACCGAACATTCTGATATGGACTCGCTGTCTGAGCCTGGAAGGAACCTCATCTCTCTTTCTTCGGGTCTCTCTTCGGGGTCAGATCCGACACGGTCTTATTCTGAGTCCGAATCGCGTTCTGAACCCACCCCCGCCATGCGTTCCCTGCGAGAGCGTTATCCCTACAAGATTACTCTTCCAAAACCCAAGCCTAACTTTTTTTCCAAGTTCATTTCGTCCCGCGGAAACGAGTACTTTTGTGAAATTGACGAGGAATACTTGACCGATCGTTTCAACCTTACCGGCCTTAACACCGAGGTCCCTTACTATCAGTATGCGTTGGACCTCGTGACCGACGTTTTCGACCTCGATGCGGACGACGACCTTCGTGAGCAGATCGAGAAATCGGCTCGCCATTTGTACGGACTTGTCCATGCCCGCTACATTGTCACTACTCGTGGTCTCGCCAAAATGGTACGCAGTGGCTGTTCCGATGCTGAGGCTTGTGTTACTGACGAGTTGGCTGTTTAGGTTGACAAGTACAAGAAGGGCGACTTCGGAAAATGCCCCCGTGTTGCGTGCGAAGGCCACCCTCTTCTTCCTACCGGTCAGCACGATATCCCGAACACCAGCACCGTTCGCCTTTATTGTTCCAAATGCGAGGACATCTACAATCCCAAATCGTCCAGACACGCATCCATTGATGGTGCCTATTTCGGATCATCCTTTACTAGTATGCTGTTCCAAGTCTACCCTGCTCTCCTTCCGGAAAAGAGCGTTGCTCGCTATGAGCCTCGCATCTATGGCTTCCGCGTCCACGCCAGTGCCGCTCTTGCACGCTGGCAGGACCGTTACCGCGAGGAGACCAGAGCCCGTCTTCGCGATGCTGGTGTGGAGGTGAAATATGTCGAAGACGACGAGGACGACGAGCGCGAAGACGATGACGATGAAGCTGAAGCTGAGGAAGCCGATGCCAGAGAAACCAGGGTTGCAGGAGATGCCGCCTCTGGCCGTATGGACATCGGCAACTAAGTTTCTAACGTTTCTACTTGAATGATTGTTTCCACCGTTTGTTGAAACAGCATATTCTGAAGGGGCGGGTGTTCATCTTGTCCATCCATCTGGTCGATTTTTTCTTTCCTTTTCGTGGTTGGCAGCCCAAGCATTAGGCGTATGGTTTTTTCTGCTTTCTTCTTTTTTTTTTCTTTTTTCCGTTTCATATTGTGCGAGTACATAACGATCAACGATCATGGGGGAGTTGAAGCTTTTGCAAACGGCCGGCCTGCTTTCTTTTCTTCTCTTTCTTTCTTCCTTTTCCTTTCTAATGTGTACTAGTTTCGTGATACCTACTGTTCATAACTTGGGACAACGAAATCGAATGATATCTACTCTTACAATGCAATGCACATCCACGGATACGCTATCTCATACCACCCCCCATTTCCTATAGCCGCGAAAGAGTAAATACAATCGCCCTCGCAAGTTCCGCGCCCTTCTCCCACGCCTCATCATGTTTCCCCTCAATAGAAAGCAAATGTACCTTCCTCTGCCCATTAGATCTACCCTCCTCCCAACCCCGCAAACGCTGTTTCATCCCCTCGCTCTGAGCAACATCACAAAGCTCATCACTATCTGAATGGGCCAACACAACAACCCTCCCCTCCTCCCAGGCATCAACTCCAACAACGCCCGGCGACACAGCATCCCACACATTCTCATCATCCCCAAAAGCTCCTTCAATAAACTCCTGGTACGCAGATATATCCTTATGTGAATCCCTCAAAAGCCGCAGGTTATATATCCCCGCCATTCCCAGGATCGCTTGGGGATGCTCATACCCAGCACCTGCGTTGGACGTCAGAGGCGCCAAAGGCTTCATAACAGCTTGAAATGCGAGTGTCGCCCCACAGCTGTGTCCCGCAAGTACGTATCGCTTCCCGATATTGTATTTCGCTTCGAGAAACGATAGTGCGGTTTGTATGTCGGCTACGTGGTCTGGGTGCTTTGCCGTGCGGTCGGAGGTAGGTGAGATATTTGACAGGTCTTGACGGTGTGAGGGGTGGGCACTTAGACGGTAGGATATTGAGGCGATGCCGGTTATTGCTGATTGTAGTTGTTGTTGTGAGGAGAGGATAGATAGCGCCGGGGTTAGGTAGGATGTTGCGGTTTGGGTTGGGTCACGCCAGGCGCCGCCGTGGATTAGACTGTTGGGTTGGTTGCGTTAGAATAGGATGGATTATTATATGAGGAGAGGCTTGTAATTGAAGCAGGGTTTGGCTTGATTTGGAGGCAACGTACATCACCCAGTAGCTGGTATCATTTTCGGTGCTTGCTGGTGCGGGGTATGGGCGTGCGACTGTCACGGTCTGGAGGTCGTGGTCCCCGTACGGGAAAGTTTCTAGAGACATTAGAGCAATCGGTGATATTCCTAAGTGGGAAGTTGTTTCGGAGTGGAGGTGTGGTATGTTGGTTGGAGGGAGAATTGAGTGGGATGAGGATTGTTGGAGTTGGAGTTGGAGTTGAGGTGGGGACTTGATCTTATCAATCTCTATACAGAAATAGGCAGACAACAACGATTGCCCGCTTTTTCCACCTCTATAATATCACTTCTTTACTGGACTAGAATTGACAGTCAAAACACACCGTGTATTTGAAGACTATGTTCTCTTTTCAGAATCGCTCCCAGTAATACCGTGGAATGATACTTAGAAAAACATTCAACTAAAGAGTACTAGTACCATAGAATGATGGAACTTTTTGGCAAATTTTATGTTGATCGATGATCCAGTAGCAATGCCGCAGACCATACAGAAAGTTTAAAGGCTATGAGTAAGAAGTTCTTGGGTGCGTGCCAACTGCACACTCGTCTTATTTCTATCTTCAGTTCAGCCTACCTGCTGCTCTTCTCGCGCTCACAGAGAAGTCTTTTCTACCAGGAGGTTTTCCTAGTCTCTGCCGTCAGAATCTCCGTTCGATATTTACAAAATCTGTATTTTTTTGGTCACAATTCTTCTCCTGACTTGGACACTCAGAACTAGGTCCATACTCTAACCAAGATTCTCGCTGTCAAAACCTTAACACGCTCTACAGCTACAGCAATCTATACCTCCAAGACCCTGATAAAATCATAACATTAATTGTCACTTTCTCCAGGTTCCATTGCTTCTTTATGAAATACGAGAACCATGCGTGCTCTGTTATGAACGTTCATCGGCGTTGATAAGAAGCGCGAGTTTTGCGGCAACCGGAGGATATTTGTTTGAAAAGAGGTTTTGAAGCGCTGAAGGACAGTCTTCGGAATATCCCAGCTGGCCGGCCAATTTGCTGACAAGGTCTGGCAACTGTGGTACGATGATACTGGCTGTAGCTTGTCATGTAACGCTTTCATTCAACGGCATGGGAGTGGCTCACTTACTGCAACTATTCTAAATTCTTCTCCGCTCTTCACTAGGCCATCAAAAAATTGCCCTTTTGTGTTTAATTTTAGTACAATAGCAATATTGTGTTCGCGTGTTGAGGAGCCCTTTTTTGCGCTGTATCGAACATGGCCACAAGATGGTATCTTTTGTTGATCTCCATTGTTTTGTCTTGTCACGAGAATGGCCTGCGTGTGCTTTGTGTTGTTCATTTAAAACATCCTCGACAAAGAGATCATTGTCAACAATGACGACACATCTCTGGTTGACCAGCCGTTTGTACGCGTCCTCCTTTGGCGACATCGTTTGTTCTAGAACGGCAACACACAAATCGACCTGCAATTCTCCAGCAAAGTTCCTCATTCCATAACACTTCCATCTTTTCTTCTAAAAATATTCTACCGCCAGCAAGCGGTTGAAACACATATTTATATGCTCCTTCCCGTGATTCCTTTATAACGACTCTGGCTACGCCGGATACCTGAAGTATGTTGATAAAGGCCTCTTTATCCCTATACCAAACGCTGCGATGGAGGGCAGCATCTGTCCGATTTACACCCTACAGCGCACATCATGAAGTTAGATAAATCACCTACCCCTACCCCTGTCCTTCATCCCAGGAGAAATGACAAGTTCGATAAGCCAAGCCCATCTACAGCCAATTCCTACGTGACGTGCTGGTATACACGCTACGAAGATGGAAAACAAGGATAACGAACAAGCTCCCGCTCTCCGACGGAGTGCTCGCATTCCCAAGGTACAGCAGCAGGCTGCCGCCAGGGCTGCTGCACAAGCGGAGACAGAAGCAGAAGCAGCTCGTCAACCCAAGAGACGACGGAAGAATGCATCTACGAAGGCGGCTTCGACAACGGTTCCACGGGCTACTACGAAGCGGGCTACGTCTGGGCCTCCTAGGCGACGGGGGAGACAGCAGCTTGTGAATGAACCTGCGGCACAGCGTCAACTGGCACCCTGGCCTGAGAATCAACCCCAGGACCCTGTATATCAATCTCAAATTCAGCCTACCGCCGAAGCTGTACGGCAGCCTGAGTATCAACAGCCAGCACTTCCGCAATACCAACTCCCGGGCCAGTATGAGGCCCAGAATCAGCAGGAAACCCAGTATGTTGCTCAAGCCGACTATCAAACACAAGTTCCGCAGAAACAACAAGCTCTGTATTATCACCAAGCCGGTTATCCACGTGAAGTTTATCAATATCAACCTACATATCCCCCTCCAAGTCAGCCTGCAAATCTTCCCGCAACCCAGACTGTCCTACCCGCGCCAGTTCATACAGGAATGTATCATTATCCTCAGCCCCAACCTGAGTATCACATCGGGTATGGAACTGAGCAGCAACAGCCTCTCTCGACTATAAACCAGCCCGCACCACCTACATGCTATTCTGCGTATCAAACTACACAGCAACCGCGCCTTCCGTCTGTGCACCAACTTGTACATCCTGGGGATGGTGTAACGTACTATGATCAAACTGGAGTGCAACTACCTCCCTTGCAACAGGCTCCGGTCCAGCCTATACCCTCTCCTGTGGGCCATGCTACATATCAAAATGCATATCAAAATGCACAGCAACCTGTGCAGCAATCAGTCGCCCAGACGGGGCAACAACCTCCGCCGCAGCCTGTAGTCCAAGATGCGGAAGCGCCAGCGGGCAAACCAACTGGTCAAACTGAACATCAATTGGCCGATGAGGACAATCGAAGAGTAAATGTACGTATCCCCAAGCGAAAGCGTTACCCAATCTACCAGTGGAGTCGATCTATGAACTGGCCAGCGGAGTTCATGGGTGCGAGAGGGAATCAAAATCAAGGGGGGGTAGCCCCCATATATAGATTTGACGAGATCAGAGATCTGGCAAAACGCACTGTGTCTGGGTTTACCGTACCCGGATGGTCAAACTACAACATGCCTAATGACGGGGATATGCTGACGCCAGAAAAGCAGAGCGAAGTCCCGACTGGCTGTCCAATCGACCGCTGGACGAGGGACTGGATGTATGACCATCGTGCGGTTGATTACCTCAATAAATGGCACTGCTGCTTGAATGATGGGTCAAAGAAGCCGGGTAATGATGAGTCCACGAGTCCGGCGAGTGATGAGAAAGACTTTTGCCTTCAATTATTGGAAAACCAGTGCCCAACGCCTAAAGGAACTTTATTCGATCCCGACGATTTCCAATACATTTGCGACAGAGCGGTATCAATGAATGAGGTAGAGATGCTTCACCTCATCGGCGATTTGATAGTACCTCAAGCGGAGATTGCAGTCCATCGTGGTCAGGTCACTTGGACCAATGCCCTCAAGGAAAAGTTCTGCCAGCCCTGGACTCATTCAATTCCATTCGACGAACAGTCTACGAGATTATCGCAACGATTTGCCCGGAATATGGAATCCACTGGCTACCAGCTGCCCATGCCACAGCCAGATCATACCGTGGGATTTTCTCAAGGTGCTTTTAGTGCGAGGCAACATCGGCGGCTGATGGCGCAGACACTCTACAATGATGGATATGACGAGTATGACCCGGTTTCTTTCTTCAATGGGCCCCACAATATGCTCTTCCCCTTCCTGACCACAGAAGTACAACGCGGGACCTCATTCGGGCCCGCAGAGCGGGAAAACGCCCACAACATGGCGGTGGCTATGAAGGGAATTGTCACATTATTCAAACGTGTGCTGATTCCAAAAGAGGAAGAAGGTCTAAACCAGAAAATCCTAGAACTAAACCGCAGAGTCCTAGGATTCTCAATCTCGCATAATTCCGAGAGGGTGAGGATCCATGCTCATTATCCCATCATCGAGGGTGGGAATATAACGTACCACCGCTGGCTTGTTAAAGATTTCAAATGGACATCCGAGGCAGAGAAATGGCAGGCCTATAAGTTTGTCATGGCTGTCTATAACGACTGGGCACCGCGCCATCTCAAAAGACTGTGCTCGGCAATTGATGGCCTACCGCTTGAAGATCAAATCAACATGTCACCCTCCCCAGAAGCGACTGATAACAACGGACAGACAGCTGTGGCCCCACCAGATCCTGAAATACCAGATGTTGACGTCGATGCATTAAAGGATCACATGCAGGCCGTAAAAAACGCCCGTGAAAGAGAGGGTATACATTATACTCTAGAAGTTAGTGAGGTGGCTCAGGCATAAACCCTAGCAGTCTCGCAAGATATACTGTTTGCAATTTTGTGTATATATTTGATAGACCCGTATATATTTTATACTCTGGTTAATGGATGAATGATGAATGATGGTTCATGATAAGAATTTGTGGAGTTGCAAGCTTGTTCCTAAAGAGGAAATCGGATGTCCCTGGACGGTCTTGGCGCGCTAACCGCTTCCAGCCGGGGCGGTGGAAAATGTTCGATTCATCCACACAAATCGACCATCACATCAATCTCGCCGTCGCCGTCAGTCAACCTCATACCCCAGCTACATCATTCAATATGGCGGAGTAAGTGTTTCTGGTCTTCGAATATAATTTTTCAGGATCCTAACTAATATTTTAACAGGCAAGAAGTAGTCCCCCTCACGGCCGTGAAGGTCGAGGCCCTGGTACGAAAACTCCGTCCAAATTCCCCGCTCTATTTGAAGATTTTCTGCGATGCGATATGTATAAGGAGGAAACTCATACCGGATACCTAGGTCGTTATGAAAATTATCAAGCACTGCTCTCAGACATTCCCGACGACTGCGACCGGTTCGATCGTTGGTATGGACGTGGGCGGCGTTCTCGAAATCACAAACTCCTTCCCCTTCCCCGTCGTCGAGGTCCCACCGGAGTCGCACTTTGACAACGCCGCGCCCAACCCGGCCGCCGCTGCACCCCGCGCGAAGGCGAACACCGTTTACCAGGCAGAGATGATCCGCATGCTCCGGGAAGTCAACGTCGATGCCAACAACGTTGGATGGTACACAAGTGCGAACATGGGCAACTTTGTCAACATGAACGTTATCGAGAACCAGTTTTTCTACCAGAAGGAAATGAACGAGAGGACTGTCGCCCTTGTCCATGACCCCAGCCGCAGTTCCCAGGGAAGCTTGAGCTTGAGGGCCTTCCGTCTCTCCCCCAAGTTCATGGCCGCTTTCAAGGAGAACAAGTTCACTTCTGAGGAGTAAGGCCTTCCATGCCATGATCAACTCGCTAAGCGCCCAGCTCATATTTTATAGGCTGCAAAAATCCAACTTGAAATACCAGGATATCCTGATTGAACTCCCCGTTGAAATCCACAACTCTCACCTGATCACCTCCTTCCTTCACCAGCTCCAGAACCAGTCCCAGTCGGCGCCTACTGACTTCCCTCCCTCTCTCGCCGCCCTGGAGAACTCACAATTTGCGAAGCAACCCATTCTGGCCCCCAACTTCGACAACCTCGCCCTCAGCATTGACCCCTTCCTCGAGAAGAACTGCGACCTCCTCCTCGACAGCATCGAGACCCACCACACCGAGACCAGCAACTTCCAGTACTACCAGCGCTCGTTCGCCCGTGAGCAGGCCAAGATCACAGCCTGGCAAACCAAGCGCAAGGCCGAGAACGCCACCCGCGCAACGCTCAAGCAGCCCCCTCTCCCAGAGGACGAGTGGCAGCGACTATTCAAGCTGCCTCAGGAGCCCAGCCGCCTCGACAGCATGCTCAACAGCCGCCAAGTGGAGCAGTACGCTCGCCAAGTCGACAGCTTTGTCTCGTCCACAACGGGTAAGATGTTCGCCGTCAAGGGCAACCTGCTACCCGGCGAGATCGCCAAATAATTTACTGGATGTGTTATGGAAACGGGGATTTGGGATTCATGCATGACCTTACGGCGTAAGGAGGGAAAATTCTTGTACTGACTGTTAATATGTCCCTTGTGTTTATTCCAGTGACGAATAGAGTTACGGGATATGTTAGAGATGCTATCTACATGACTTGAATACTCGTTCCTATTCTACGTATTCGTAGCTTTCTGTGAGACCTGCCAACTAATTCAATCTATATAGTATCATGTGTTGGAATATACACGTGAACAACACTGACACCCTAACCAACATTAAACTTCATTTTTGTCGGACTTTCTGTCTACCTACGGATATGCCATACTATATACTCTTTACTACGCAGTATCGAGATCAACCATCCGGACTTGACCGTACCAAGAAGGACTGCTGCATAATCGAGAGCTCAGATAGTGACAGGACCACACCTGCAATTATGCTTTGGCATAAGTCTCGGTAACTTTATCGGCCTCCACCGCAATCCATCAATGGCTGCTTCTCTCACAGGATGGACGAGCTGGACAACGCTTTTGAAAGAATGATGCACATGCTTGGGAGAGAGATCATCGAGGAGGCGATGGGTGAGAGACGAGGATATGGGTATCATCTGTCCTGCCGATGTTGATGTCAAACTCCCTGCACAAGCCTTTTTTCAAGATACCCAGGAGAGCCCTCCCGAAGACAGGCGTGGTGGTTTTATTATGCATACTCGATGCTAGGATTTACTCCGAGTTCACAAAGTCTGGTGTCTTTCTGGGGGTGATTTGAGTCATCCTAATTAGTCGGACCCAGGTGGGCTTTGAAGCAATTGCATGACATAGCAGCTTTTATTCCTTTCCGAGATGATGGTTGAGATTTTGGCATTTAACTGGGTAGCAAAACAAACCCGACCATGGCCGGAACTTACTTATCCAAGAATAGTTACACCGTATCATTATGGCAGTCTGGAAAGAAACAAGTTAGGGCAAGGCCTCCACGTGCAGGGATGGATTGGTATGACCTCATCGATTGATAACGATAAGATCATGACATCCATCCAGCTTCATCAGTTATTTCAGACGCTCTACATGGAATCTCAGCATAATATCTTATTGATGTCCTTCTTTCTAGACCATGGTCAACTTAGACAATGCAAAACAGCGCCCTTGATATTTGGATCGTAAGTCAACAACGTCTTTATTAACCATCCCCCTCCTTCCGCCGTGATCCTATATACTCCCCTCCGCCTCACTATCCTCACTGGTTCATTGAACTCTAGAACTAACACAAAACCTACCACCAAACCAGTCCGGTGCGGTCGCCGTCGTGACAGTCGACTTTCTTGTCTACCCTTTTGACACCCTCAAAACCCGCATCCAATCGCCCAACTACAACACAGTCTACAAAGATGTCACTACGAATACAGTTAGGAAGAATGTGCTGTTCCGCGGGTTATACCAGGGCGTATTAAGTGTCGTGCTGAGTACAATTCCTGCCTGTACGCTTTTACCTCCAACCCGCGCTCAATTTAAATTATCTACGGGCCATCCTGGTACTGATAAATGGTATCTTTGGGTACAGCAGGAGCATTCTTCACAACATACGAAAATGTAAAAGCAACGCTCAACAAAACAAAAACAAAATCCAACTCTGCAATTCTCCAAGCAACCCCAACGCCGATGATAAACGCCGTATCTTCATCGGCGGGCGAAATGGTCTCGTGCTTCCTCCTCACGCCCGCAGAAGTCATAAAACAGAATGCGCAGGTTATACATAATACCCCTGGAGGGAAAGGGAAAGGGAAAACTCCCCCTGGAAATGTAACCCTCCAAGTTCTCTCCCGCTTCAAGCGGTATCCCTGGAAACTATGGAGTGGGTATACCGCGCTTGTTGGGCGGAATCTCCCATCAACGGGCGTGAACTTCCCTATCTTTGAAGCCGTGAAGGGTTATCTAGTTGACCGGCGACGAAGACGTCTTGGCTACAATACTGCTACCGGTTACCCGGACACTACACGAGGTCGCAAAGATATACAAGAAGAGCCGGTCTTCGAGCGCGCAGTTTTAACGGGGGTTGCAGCGAGTATATCCGGGAGTATAGCCTCCGTTGTAACGACGCCGATTGATGTTATTAAGACACGAATGATGCTTGCTGCTACTAGTGATTCTTCGTCTGGGGTTTCTACTGCCGCGGAAATATCTAGGAAGGGAGGGAACAGCATTTGGACTGTTGGGAGGCGCATATTTAGAGAAGAGGGGGCAAGGGGCCTTTTTCGGGGAGGCGCAATTCGCGTGGTTTGGACGGCGATCTCATTCTGTATTTATTTGAGTATGTATGAGGGAGGGAGGTTTTATCTGGAGAAGAGGAGGGCTCAGCGGGCCGACTTGGATAATTCATAAACAATTTATATTGGATATCAGATGCATTTGATAAATTTTGCTTCAATATAGTGGAGGTTAGGGGTTCGTTATACAAAAAGGTATCAATAATCCAACAGCAAAAGACAAAAACAAGAGGTCAATAATAAAAACAATAATAATAACAATCATCTTCAGGCCAAAAAACCAATAACCCATATCCGTAACGTATCATTTCATCATGTGAATCATCAAGCATCTGTAAAAAAGAAGAAAAACATTAACCAAAAGTTGTGAGCTTCTTCAGCCAGCCGGGTCTTTTCGGTGGCTCGGCTCCATATCGATTGTACTTCATCCCACGGTCTCGTTCATAGTCTCCACTAGAGCTGGTCTTGCCATTTTCACGTTCTGCTCTTCGGTCTTCACGCTTTCTTGCACGGAGATCTTCAATCTCTTGATCGTCCAATCCGGGATACTTGCTCCGACGGCGGGACTGGCGGCGAAGCTCGCGACGAGCTTCTTCATCTGATGAAATTGTGTGGCCAGGAATTTCATCTTCAGGTCCCGGGGGCATATCGAGCACAGTCGGCACAATTGGCGGTGGCTCCGGGGGCTCATCGGCCTGCGAATCTACCCAAGACGATGTTTTATCCTTTCGTGCTCCAAGTGGCACCGGTGTAGGCCTCGTCGTATCTGGAGGCGCTTTGGATTTCCGGCGGCTCGATTTTTCATCGTCTCTGGATCGTTGAGTGAAGCGAATTCTTTCAGGATCATGGCTATCGAGATAGAAGTCTCTCGCGCCTCTGTCGTCTACCCGCGAACGGTGCCGTCTCTGTCGTTGTTCATAACCACTGGGGTTTTCGTGCATTTCTGCTTCTCTCTGTCGCCTGCGCTCTCGTTTTTCAGCGGCCAAGCGAGCCTCCGCTTCCCGAGCCTCTTGCTCTTCCCTACGGATACGCTCTTCACGAGCTGCTCTGCGGGCGCGCTTCTCCTCGCGACGACGCTCCTCTTCTTCTCGAAGTTGTTTCACATGCTCTTCGCGCTCACGGGCCATTTCCTCTCGTTGGCGAGCCTTTTCCTCTCTCCGACGTGCCCGTCGCTCCTCAGCTTCTCGGAGCTCGGTCTCCCGGAGCTCATCAGCGGCAGCCTGCGGGGCTTGTCGCGATGCACGTTTAGCTCTCCGTGCTGCCTTTCGAGCCTCCACATCTTCTGCCTCCGCATCAGGGAAAGCACCGACAACAGCAGGCTCAGGTGCACCCCCCTCGCCATCTGTGTCCGGACGCATAGAGCGTCTTTTCCGATCATCACGACGACGTCGAGTCTCGTCGCGCTCGGTCTCTGTTGCGTATCGTGTGTCGTCATCACGACGAGAACGAGATTTGCGACGCTCTGGGGCTGCGGCTTCGGGCTTTGTGTTTCTTCGCAAAGACCCAAGTAAGCCCATAAGACCGGTGGACTCTTGCTTTTTGGGCATGGTATTTGACCGCTTTACGCGTCGTTCACGTTCCCTTGATGGTGGGGGTTCGACAAAGGCAATGTCATCGGGACCAGAGAATACATCGGGGCCTCTCTCCTCATCTTCTCGAGGTTCTTCCGGGTTTGATCTCGACTAGGAATCAAGTTAGTGACCTTCAATCGTTTTTTTTTTTTTTTTTTTTACGTGGGGCGTCTCTTACCCGTCTCGCCGAAGCTCGTCCAGAGTGTCTAGAACCGGAATGTCTTGAATCCTCTTTGGAAGGTTGCTCAACGTCTTCCCGGTCCACTACAACCAGATCTTCGTCCTCAATAGCATATGGATCGGGCGCACCTGAAACTGGGTTAGGATTCTAAACTTGACGCATGGACAATAATAAACTTACGAGATTTCCTTCGCTCCTTGTGTCTGTCTTTTCTAGAAGATGATTCCTTAGCGCCCATCAATTTTGCTGCTTTCTCCGGAACAGGGCCGTCATCCGGAGGAGTGGGAAACCCAGCCTCATCAATATCGACTGATTGGTGTCGTGATGACCGCTTAGAGTCATGTGCGGCAGATCTTCTAACCGACTTGGTTCGGGAGGGCTGCGGAGGCGTGCCGAGAATAAAGTTAGAGAACCCCATGCCACGGCTAGCCCTAGCATCCCGGCGTCTGTCCCTGTCAGATGCCGAAGACCTCTCGCCTTCGTTCTCAGACTCTCTCGCCCTTGCCTGCTTCGTCGATTTGGACCGCGAAACGGCCTGTGAAGGTTCCTTCTTGCTAAGCCTAGCCTCAGAGGTGCGCGGTTTCCTTGGAGGTGTAGCGCCGAAAAATCCCCAAGTCGCAGGGGGAGCTGAGCGCTCAGCGCGCGAACGCTCCTTTTTGGCGGGCTTTTCTGGCGTTGTCTCCGGTGAAGGCAGGTTTTCGGCATCCGCGTCTAGCGCACCGGATGCCATCATATCGTCAGCAGTAAGAGGCTCTTGTGGCGGTATAGCCTTTTTCGAACCTTTCTTGCTCTTTTTACCCATCTTCTCGGCAGGTGTTGGCTCTTCTTCAGCGTCCGGGCCTTTCTCCCCCTCTTCTGCTGGTGCAGCATCAGGCCCCGGCACTGGCTCAGGTTCAACCTCCTTGGCCTTCTTCTTCTTCTTCTCGGTCTTTGATATGGGTTGGGGCTCCGGTTCAGGGGCCGGTTCCGGCTCGGGCTCAACGTTCTTCGATTTCTTTTTCTTCTTTTCGGTCTTTGTCAGTTCGGGTTCTGGTTTCGGTTCGGGCTCAGCCGCTGGCTCAGGCTCTGGTTCTGGTTCTGGTTCGGGTTCGGGTTCCGGCTCAGGCTCCTTTGCCTTCTTTTTCTTTGTAGACTCAGATTCTAAAAGCTTCGCTTTCTCTTTCCTTCTCCTTTCCCTCTCTTTTTCCTTCTCCCTCTCCTTTTCTTTTTCCTTCTCCTTCTCCCTCTTTTTCTTCTCCTTCTTTGAAAGCGGAGGCTCCTCCTTTTTAGATTCGGGCTCCGGTTCTGGTTCTGGTTCAGGCTCCGCTGGTGGAGTCTCCTCAATATCGTCGTCAAAAGCGTCAGGGAAGCTGCCTGGCACTGAGTCGTGCGAGCGCTCTTCTTTGCTAGGCTCGACGTCTACTAGGTCTTCCTGTGGGGTTGGCTCCACTGGGTTTGGTGCAGCTCGGGCGGCGTCCTTGTCTTTTGACTTTAGTTTTTCCACTGCATCTTTCTCTTTCTGCCTCTCTTTCTTTGCTTTTTCGAGAGCGCTGATGCGCTCCGCAACAGAGAGTTTTGTTGATGGTTTGGACTTGGAGGTGGCAAAACCCGTCTTAGCTGACTCCGCGGCTGGCGCGGGTGGCTCAGGTGCTTCTAGCGCGACTGGCGCTTCTGGCGGGACATCTTTCTGCTCGTCACCAACATCAATGAGAAGATCAGGTTCGGCAGCTGGGGTTGTTTCTTCCACAGGATCGAGTTCCTTAGGCTGCTCCTCGGTCTTTTTCTTGACGGTCTTTGTTTTGGTTGTGCCCATTGTCGCTGCTCCCAGGCTGGCCCAAAACCCTTTGGCGGCCTTTGGGGTCTCTACTTTCTTGGTCGACTTTGCAGGCTTCGTATCATGATCATCCCAGATGGAATCTTGATTTTTCTCCGATTCCCTGGTAAACTCCCGCTCGAGCCCTAGAGATGGAGGCGTGGGGGCAGGGGGCGGAGGCTCCTCTGAGATCCTGTTCTTCGACTTTTTCTTGTCCTTGGATGAACCCCAGATTCCTGCCCACCCACCGTCCTCGACTGGATCTTCTTCAGGTTGTTCTTGGGCTATCTCGACTAGTTGGTTGTTCTCGTCTGGAACTGGCTCTGGGTCATCAGGCGCTTCCTTGACTGGATCAGGTTCTGGAGCCGGTTCTGCTTTTGGTGGAGGCTCTAGAGGGAAATCTCGTCCAGGAATAGGCAGATTCTTCTTGGTCAAGTTTCTTTCCCGCTTCTTTCTCTCTTTAGATGATAGATTAAGCCAGTCGTCGTAGAGCGGGTCGTCTGGGAAATCGGGTTTCCATTCTTCAGGCTCTGGCTCCGGCTCCGGCTCTGGTTCAGCTGGAGGAGGCGTAGGCTCTCGAGGTGGTTCCGGGGCAGGCTCTGGGATAGCCTTCCCTTTCTTCTTCTTACTCTTCTTGTCTGTTGCACTGAAGCCCCAACCCCAACCGTCGTTCTTTTCGGCTTCCTCTTTAGCTTTCCGTTCTTCTTCCTCCTTGGCTTTTCGCTCTTCCTCTTCCTTTGCCAGGCGCTCCTCCTCTTCCTGCCGAAGCCGTTCCTCTTCTTCCTGTCTCTTTTTCTCCGCCTCAGCTTCCTCCTCTTCCTGCCTCTTCCTCTCTTCCTCCTCTTGACGCTTCTTCTCTTCTTCCTCCTTCTTCTTTCTTTCCTCCTCTTTCCTCTGCTTCTTATTCTTCTTTGTAGCACCAAACCCACCTAGCCAATCGTCAGTAGGAGGCGGTTCCGGAGCCTTGGGTGGCTCCTCAGGGACAGGCTCCTCTGCTTTCTTCTTGTCCTTCTTGCTGCTTGACAAGATATTTCCCCAGCCATCATCAGCGGCCTTGGAATCACCATTGGTAGCTGGAGCGGGATCAAAGCCTCCTCCAAAGCCAAATCCCATAGAAGTGTTCAAAGGATCAGATTTGAGACCACCACCCCAAGGGTTGGTGTCTTTCCCCCCAGTTGCGCCTGAGAGAGAATCAAGCCCCCATTTATTACCACCACTGCCGCCACCACTCCCCCATCCGCCGAAACTGAATCCGGTAGATTTTTGAGAACCAAGATTCAGGTCAAGCTGCGGGGCTCCATCATTCAGACTCACATCTTGGAGATCACCCGCCGGTTCCACCTAGTCCATGGTAAGCAATCAACATTAATAAAGCAAGTACAATAATAGGTGCACGTACTTTGCCTTTTTTCTTCTTCCCTGCCCCGACGCCGGCCCATGAGTCGTCGTTGTCCCCATCAGCATCATCCGCCCAGCTCAGTCCTGTTTTTTTGGCAGCGTCGGCCTCTTCTTGGGCTTTTCGTTCCTCCTCTTCTTTGGCAAGCCGTTCTTCCTCCTCTTTCTTCTGTTGCTTCTTCTTCTTTGAACTTGTTGCTGTGCCCCAAGGATCTCCCCAGCCATCATCGTCGCCATTATTCCCATCATCGCCGTTTCCGTCCCCAGATCCACCTGCATCGCCGCCTCCATCATCTGGCTTATCGCTGTTCTCTTCCGGTGGTGGTGGCGGATCGTTCGCGGGCGGTGGCGCGGCGGGTTTCGCAGCTCCTCCCTTCTTCTTCTTACCTTTATGTTCCCGAATACCGGAGGGACTCTCAAAATCAATAATATGATGCGAAGACCGTGTCTTGGAGTCCTTACTTTCCTCTACACCTGCCTCGTAAGCCCATGTTCTCCTTTCAGCCAATGGTGCAGCCACGCAATAATCGGGAGGGAGATCGCTGATTGCCTCGTCATATGAAGGTGGAGGGATATCGTTGCTTAAACGCTCGGGAAGACGAAGGCCGATTTCAAAAGCTGATGCCGCCTCGCGGAATTTGTTCAGACGGCTCTCTATATCCTGTATATACTAAAACAAAAAAAATCATAAGCATCATGCATTCGGTGGTCGGAGGCATCTTCAAGCAACGAACCTCTGTAACCATCTTAGTTATAACCAACGCCGTTTGTTGAATATCTCCACATGGCAAATAAGGTACAGCCTCCCAAGCACTCATGTCATATTTCAAGAGCACCTCCTTTGTGATTGGAGGCCACAATTCGTCGCGACTTCCCATATTACCCTTTGACGATACCATGCTCTGGTTACGGCGCGGGGTTTCGTGATTTAGCGTAGGCCCGTGATAGAGTACGCGCGTAGCATCCATGGCGGGCAGTAGGATGGCCAGCGACCCGAGTCCACCAAGCGCATGCGTATTGGGGCCGAGCCGCAGGCAAAAATAAAAACGCTTCTATAGGATTCCTTGACTAGACCGCAATAGCGAACGCGGGTCTACGGGCGAGCGGAAACCAATGTTGGACGGCGACGCAAGTATATACAAACAGTCGAGCGCCTAACGAAGGCTTGAAAAATCCGAAGAAAAAATCCCACCTCGGTGACTCGTCGTACTGCTAAATCACAAGCGTTCGGCGCCTGCTGGCGATCCCCCCCCCAAAAAAAAAGTTGATCTCAACTCGGACCAAGCAAAGGTTTATCAACCAGGTACCGAATTTTGTCGGCTGAGAGTAAACAGCCGAAGCATCTGGCTCCTGGCGACAGAGGGGGAAGTGATATGAGGGCGATCGCAGGGTGTTTAATAGGGAGAAGTAAGGATACAGATGAAGGTCATGGAGTTCATGACCTCAAGGCACTCGAGGCGGTGGGTGGGAATGAAGGAGGATGGATAGCGCTGCGAAAGATCGGCCAACGAAGGAACGGGATTGGACGGTGTGCTATGCGATGGATCCTGGATACAGCTCGGAATGTGAACGAAGTGAAAGAACTAAAGGGGCTTGGGAAACCCAACAATGTTAGTGGTTGCGCAACAAGCAAGAGGAAAAATTTTCGTTCTTCTTTTCTTTTGCGGTCATCGACTGATCAGGCTCTGGTTGCTTCTTTCTTTCTCGTTCGTTGCATGCTTACCCGTGGGATCTGTGCTACGCATTGATCGGCATGACGGGGAGAGTCAAGTGCTCTCAACGGTGGCTGGGGAGGGAAACTCTGGAGCACCGCTAATCGATAAAGGAGAGGCGTGCAAAATTGGATACAGCGATGAAAGCGATAACGAATGGGACGGCCGAATGCAGAATCATAAAAATGATTGATTGAAGAGACGATAAAGGCGGTAGATATGGTAAAGGTCACGCAGGGACACCACTCAGGAAATTCAGTGGTGGGCATAAATGGTCCTATCGATAAAGATTCCACCCCTCCTTTACACCAAGTATGATGCACGATGGCTGTAGCCAAGGGGGGGTAATGCAGCTATTTAATCTACCCTCTGTCACTTGCTTCGAGGTTGGAGTTGGACTGCCAGGTCGCATTCAAATAGGTACCTAACTGGCTATACAGAGCAACCTTAAGATGTTTGTTGTCGCCAAACCCAAGTGGGGTTCGTGATGGACGGACCCTTGGTTCATCCCCAGCATAAATAAACAACAATGCCATGGTACAACCTCAACCTCCCGATCTTGATGGATCATATATTACCTCCTTCACTCTGCATCAACTAGCAACTTGCAAAGTTTGCCAAACAGCCTATCAAGCACTGGACTTCCCCAACAGGAAGTCAAGAACCTCGGATACCCGCCAAACAGTCGAGGTTTCAAGCTGCGCCGACGTCTGCTCTTGCTCACCGCATCGAAGGCAAAGCCTCCAAGATCATCCCCCGCAGCCTATGAGATGAGTTGGCGCACGACCAAGCCTTCGCCATTGGACGTTTTATTATCGTCTGCCTCTTTGACACTGCCCGGGCACTGTCTGATGCTTCCATTCCCATGTTTTGATCTGCTTCCCGTTCCGCCTGTTATCTCCGCAGGTCGCCTCAATTGAACTGACTCATCTCGAGGCTGTTGATACTGCCCGTCTCGCACATTACTTAAAGAACCTTCGATCCGTACTCTCGAGTCTCAATTAAGTGACCACAATGACCTACTTACAATGGATCCTTAGTACTCGAGCAAGACTCGAAATCACCAATCGACTCGACTACAATAATGACTCAATCTCGGCCTCCTACTAACCATACCCACCCAACTACGGGGTAAATCCTCCGTGGGCTGTCATGCATTTCTTCATGCCCAATATGGAGACCTTGTCCCTGCATTCCAGCCATTACCCGACGGTTTTACACACCATCGACTGTGCCCTCGATATCGAGGCCATTTGCAAGTGCTTTCTACTCCAAATATTCACCCCATCTCCCACTGGCGGTGAAGGATTTCTGCACGTTTATCATGCCATAACACTGGTTTAAAACAGGAATCTGCATGATTGAAATCTATTACTATGGTAGCACGGACATGGCGGCTTACGCTTTGTATGCATGAATTTCCCGACTGCAGACTCAAGGTCGCAGAGATTTCCAATACAATACTATGCCTAGCACATCTGTTATCATGGCTGTGGCTCGGATGCGGAGCTTCAACGGGGTCGCTCTAAATATGTTGTACAAGTCATTGTACTACTTACCTCCGTAATCAAGGCATGCAGATTGTTCTCATAGCAAAAATAATGTGCGTATTCTTGACCGCGGAGTCCAATAATCCAGAAAAAAACTACAATACATTCAAGCCACGAGTAAAGTACATCAATAACACCTAGCGGAAAGAAGGCCAGGAACAGGCCAATACATGAGTACTTGAACAAATCAAAATCAATAAGTTCTCAAGGCCCTACAGCACTGAAACCTTATCCCTCTAATACCAGAAATCCCATCATACAGAAGGCATAAACTCGAGCTGCTTGCATCAAAGAAATAAAGAAAGGATATCATGTGTTGGTCGAGATCGCACCGGCCTACTCCTCATCTTCGGCTTGTTGAGACTGCTCCGGAGCCGCCTTGCCATAGACCTCGAAGTACTCGCGCTCGTAGCGTTGCCTATCAGATTTCGCTACCTCTCTGTATTTCTATTCGCACTCGTTAGCCTGGATGGCGAATGATTGTAGGTGCAACCCGTTTGCGTATTGACTCACCTCCTTCGCTGATTCTGACAAGCTCTTCCATTCATTTGCCGCTGCTTGGGTCAAGTTTGCAACATCGTTTCTGCTCTTGTCGCGCTGCTCCTGGTAAAATATAATAAAGGGTGAAAGTGGCTTTTTGACCAACCGATCATCTCGGATTAAAGTAACTTTCTTGGAACCCTTAATTCTCCCCAACCGACGCCGAGCCTTGTTGGCTTCCAGGATTTGAAGAGGCGTGTGAGATTGAACCCATGCTTCATAAGCAGCTTTGTTGGCGGCTCTATTAGCAGTGGCGATATCGGTATAGCGCTATAAATTTGTTAACCATTATCCCTAGATGTGTACAAGCCCAAGGTGTTGGCGAACCTGATTCTCCTCAGCACTGATTGATCGCGCAAGTTCAATTGCCTTCTTGAAGACCTCGGGCCTTGTTATTCCCTCTTTATCCACCTGCTGCGACTTGGTGGTAACTGCTACCACCCAAGCAGACACCGGAAGACCCTTTGGCAGCTTTAAAGAAGTCTCCTTTAGTTCCCGTAGATGTTTCCTGTACGCCGCAGCTTTCTTCTTCTCCTTCTGTTCTTCGGTCATCGGCCCCTTCTTCCTGCCAGGTCTCTTTGCTTTCTTGGGCTGCTTCTTCTTCTTCGGTTTGCCGGCGGTCGACCCCTTCGGACGGCCTTTGCTATCGGCATAGCCTCGGACCAAGTTTCCAACTATGAAGCTTGATTGGGGAACGCTACGGGTGATCGAGCTTGGTCGGGTTTGACGCGCAACAGACGAGATACGGCGGACCTGATTCTGCGGCGTGATCACCCGGATAGAGCGCGCAAAAGCCCCCTGCACTGGGAGCTTTCGCAGGATATTTCCGCCACGGCGGACGAGATTGATAGGCATTGCGAGCTTGATTCAGCAACAAAGCAACAACAACACGGGGTGCAGTAGAGGGATTGGTGATGGAAGTTAAAGGGAAACGAGAGTCTTGGTCGTGCGACGGGGGGGTGGAGTGGCTCTGATACAGAGCTAGCGTCAACCAGGCGACGAGCCGACGATTCGCTGCAGGGGCTTGGGCGAAGGAGCTTGAGCTGAAACCGGAGGCTGGGGTCGCGTCGTTTGGGCTCTACCGAAAGGGGAAGTAAGTAACACGTGACCGATCTCCGCGAGCTCGGTGACTTCATCTTACACGTGATTTAGGTGGCCAACGCCTTAAGGCTAAAAAAGAACAGGACTTCATATCTTGGAGCAGCCAAGACAGCCAAATACCCAACACGGTGGTGGTCTCCTGTCAGGGTGTTATATTGATTTGATTCGACATCAGATGGAATGGTAATATAGGAACTGTTTCGCTTACCTCGCCGCTGCTCGAGTTTTCTTTGAGTCCCAGTACGGAGTAATACTCACTCATTGCTGGCCTGCAACAATGGCTCGCCATGGGGATACTCGCTCACCATCACCTGTAGGCAGCACATATTCATCATCCAGACGAAGTCGCAGAGACGATGACCGCTATGAGCGGAAACGGGACGATGGCCGGAGCTATCGGAGATCTCGTAGCCCTGAGGTTCGTGCCGCCTGCTCATTTTTCGTTCACTACAAGTACTTGTCTAACAGTCTATTCTTTTTTTTATTCAGAGGCGATATCGTGAACGCGAACGTGACCGCGACCGAGATTCGTACCGAAGACGTGACCGCTCGATAGACAGGCGCGACAATCACCGCGACGATGATTATCGGCGGCGAGACCGCTCCCGAGACCGACGGCGCTCTAGGGATAGAGATTATGACCGTGATTACCGTCGAAGGAGTCGAAGCCGCGATAGGGATTACCGAAGGCGAGATGATTCCCGCGACAGGGTCCGAAGACGGACAGACGATTCTGCTGACTTGAAGCACAAGTCTAGACGGGACGATAGCCGAGATCGGACCAGGGGTTCTACGCCCAAGTCTCGAGAGGCAAGCCTCCTAGTGCCGTTTAATTCCTAGATGAACACTACTAATACAGGCTGAACAGACCTCGAAACCTGCCACACCGACGCGCACGGGACCCACGGATGATGAAAAGAGAGCTGAGCGCCTAGCCAAACTTGAGGCGTGGAAGCAAAAGCAAGCCGCCGAAAAAGAACGAAAGCAGAAAGAAGCGGAAGCTGTTGGTGGACCAAAGAATATCTTGGACGCAATTGATAGAAAGTCTGGATTATCCCCAGCCGTTAGTTCTCCCCAGTCTCCTGCCACTCAAGGCGTTGATACCGCCCCAGCCACATATGCTGGGAAATTCGATCCGAAAGCTATCGCCAAAAGCGCTGCTCAGGCACCAGCTGCTCCAGCGGTGTTGGGCGAAGATGTAGCTGTTCCGGCCGCTGCAAAAACCAACGGCCAGTCGTTTGCCAAGGCCCAAGACAACAAACTGTCAACCAAAACTCCATCCTCAGGTACGTGCCCCATTTTGGCAGTCAACTACGAGCTATGTACTTACGCACCACATTCAGCTGCCCTAAAAGCGAAGGGAAACGTTGGAAGATTCGGGTTGGGTTCCAAACAAGCAGCAGATAATGAGAAGTCAATTGCGACGAAGACGCTCGGGTTTGGCGAAGAGGAATCAACGCGAAGGAAACTAGAACGCCTTCCAACCCCACCGATGGACGACACGGAAGCCAGCAAGGTCGTGGATGCGACCGCGGATGATGACGACGATGTTGATATGCAAGAGGGAGAAACGGAAGAAGATGCTGCTGCTGCTGCCCGTGTGGCCGCCGAACGACGAGAGGAACGTTTGCAAAATGAAGCTCTCGCTGAGCAAACCAACGGCGATACACCAGCGAAAGAAGAGGTTCCTGAAAAAATGGAAATCGACGCCCAGGAGGAGGAAGAGGTTGATCCCTTGGACGCCTTCATGTCGGAGCTTGCAGAATCTGGCCCACCGAAAAAGAAGGTTGGCGCCAAGTTTGCCAAAGCTCAGGAGCCTGAGGCCATCTTTGGTGATGAGAATGATGTGGACGTTACTGCTGTTGGTGAGGGTGACGCTGAAGATTTTCTCGCCATCGCCAACAAGGCAAAGAAGAAGAAGGATATCCCGACTGTCGATCATAAGAAGATGGAATATGAGCCGTTCCGTCGGAAGTTTTATACCGAACCCTCAGACTTGGCCCAGATGTCTGAGGAAGAGGCAGCGAACTTGCGGCTAGAACTTGATGGAATCAAAGTCCGCGGGTTGGATGTTCCTAAACCAGTGCAGAAATGGTCGCAATGTGGATTGGGAATACAGTCGCTGGACGTCGTTGACAAGCTTGGCTTCGAGAGCCTAACTTCAATTCAGACTCAAGCAATCCCCGCCATCATGTCTGGTCGGGATGTGATTGGTGTGGCGAAAACTGGATCCGGAAAGACAATGGCTTTCCTCATTCCCATGTTTCGGCATATCAAAGATCAACGACCCCTTGACAATATGGAGGGTCCAGTAGGCTTGATCATGACACCTACCCGTGAATTAGCCACCCAAATACACAAGGATTGCAAGCCATTCTTGAAAGCCCTAAATCTCCGAGCCGTGTGCGCTTACGGTGGTGCTCCAATCAAAGATCAAATCGCCGAGCTGAAGCGTGGAGCCGAAGTCATTGTGTGCACCCCAGGACGAATGATTGACCTTCTGGCGGCGAACGCTGGGCGAGTGACTAATCTACGCCGAGTCACATATGTTGTCCTGGACGAAGCTGACCGTATGTTCGACATGGGCTTCGAGCCTCAGGTTATGAAGATCTTGAGCAACGTGCGTCCTGATCGGCAAACTGTGCTATTCTCCGCTACATTCCCGCGGAACATGGAAGCGTTGGCTCGCAAGACTCTCGCCAAGCCGATTGAAATTGTTGTCGGTGGTAGAAGTGTTGTTGCACCTGAGATTACACAGATCGTAGAAGTCTGCAGCGAGGACAAGAAGTTCGTCAGGCTTTTGGAGTTGCTGGGTAATTTGTACTCAACGGAAGAAAACGAAGATGCTCGGTCGTTGATTTTTGTTGATCGCCAAGAGGCAGCTGATACGCTCCTGAGGGAGTTGATGCGCAAAGGCTATCCTTGTATGTCTATCCATGGTGGTAAGGATCAGATTGATCGTGACTCTACCATTGAGGATTTCAAAGCCGGCATCTTCCCTGTTCTGATCGCAACTTCCGTCGCTGCACGCGGTTTGGACGTCAAACAGCTGAAACTCGTTGTCAACTACGATGCGCCCAACCATCTGGAAGACTATGTGCATCGTGCTGGACGTACTGGTCGTGCCGGAAACACAGGAACAGCGGTTACCTTTATAACGGAGGATCAGGAACGGTATTCGGTTGATATTGCCAAAGCGCTCAAGCAGAGCGGCCAGCAAATCCCAGAACCTGTACAAGCTCTGGTCGACTCATTTCTGGAAAAGGTCAAGGCTGGTAAAGAGAAGGCCAGCACCTCTGGCTTTGGCGGAAAGGGTCTGGAACGATTGGATCAAGAGCGTGATGCAGCGAGAAATCGCGAACGTCGTACATACAAAACTGGAGATGAGGGCGAGGAGGAGGAAGAGAAGGATGAGAAGAAGAATGAACAGGCCGAAGAACAGTTCAACAAAGTTATCTCCTCCGTCCAATCCGCCTCTACACCACTACCTGGTGTTCCCAAGGGTATTGATCTTGACGGCAAGATCACCGTTCACAAGAGAGAAGTCGACCCGAATGCTCCCAATAACCCTCTCGACAAGGTTGGTTCAGCTGTTGCGGGTATTCATGCCCGTCTTAGCCGTGCGGGAGTGATGAGATCGGGTGTGCCCATTGACAACCGCGGCCCTGACGCCGGTGCATTCCATGCCACGCTTGAAATCAACGACTTTCCTCGTAAGTTCCCAATCTACAATCATTCTAGCAGTAATTTGGCTAATATACCTTTTACATTACAGAAAAAGCTCGATGGGCGGTTACAAATCGCACAAACGTGGCCAAGATTCTCGAGGCTACTGGTACATCTATTACCACTAAGGGTAGCTTCTACGCAACTGGTAAAGAGCCCGGTCCCGGAGAGAACGCCAAGCTGTACATCCTGGTTGAGGGCGAAACCGAGCTGTCTGTGACGAATGCGATGCGAGAACTAATGCGGTTGTTGAAAGAAGGCACAATCGCGGCGGTGGATAGTGAAGCTCGGGCTCCGGCATCAGGCCGGTATAACGTGGTATAGAATCACACGGCTGTATCATATTCTGATTCAAATCGAATACAATTCAATCAATTACGATATGTTATGATCTAATTCCGTAACGCAAATCCTAAATCTCGAAGTAGATGTGTACAATCAAGCCTCGCCTCTCTTTCCAAGCCAGCTCAGTCCCATCTCCTCGCAGCAGAGGCACCATCGGCATCCCTAGCAGCTCTCTCATCCCGACTCACCTCGTTTAATGTTTGGTTTTGTGTCTGGGCCTTTTGCGCTGCCAATTTTGACCCTAGTTTCCCTTTATTCGCGGGCCCCGTAGCCTCGGCGCGTTTCTATCAAGCAAACTGTTAGCACCAAGTTCATATTAAGGACAGCGCAATACATCGGCAACAATCAACAATGCCAGCCCAATCTCTCCAAAGGAAGCCCGTGCGCAACCAAGAAAGCACAGGCTAGAAAAGCAATACGGAATAAACATACCTGAGCTGCCAATGCCGCCTTCGCCCTTGCATCATCCGTATCTTCTACCGCCCCTGTTCCTGATGCTGTCCCCGCACCAGGATTGGCGTTTTCCCCTCCTCCTCCTCCGCCCCCCAAGGTCCTCCCTGGCGACTGCCAGTGTGATTTTGACTTTGCATTTGCGGGGACGGAGGCGCGCGGGGCGGAGTTGTCTGCGCTTGACCCGAGGACACGGCCGGGACGGGCGAAGGGTTCGGCCGCGGATTCGTTCTTGGATCTGGAGCAAATGTTTCCCATTATTATTTTGGAGCTTGCGGGTATTGAACGGTTGCGTGGTGGTGATGTGATCTAGGTGTGTTGATTGATTATCGGGTACCTAGGAAGGNGGGCCGCAATGGGGTTATTGGCGGCAGCAGAGAGTGACGGTAGCACAATGTTAATTGTATTATGTATAAAAGTAGTTCTAGAGTATAATCCTCGATGCGTATGGAAAATCAACGACTTAATGGGAGAGTCGAGTCGAATGGTGTCCGAGAAAGGGCATCCATACCGCATGGTTTCTGCCTGTGTTATCCCGATAAGAGATAGTGGGTCTTGGCGGTGAAAACACGTGCTGCGGCAGCCGTTCCGGATTAGGAATGGGGGGTAAAATCTGTCTCGGCCTGAATTTGAAGGTATACACCGGTACAGCGCTCGAGGACCAGAAATTCGGCAATCAAGCACTGTCCAGTTGCATCATCCGCCATCCGGGAATTCCTGCGCTGAAAACGAGCTGCTTCGAGTCAGTGCTCGAGCCGGGAGTCGTCGTTGGCGCCTGAGATATGGGCAAGTCGCCATTCGTGGACTCTCGCGCAGCTAACTCCCAAGGTCCTCCCCCACGTCCGCAGGGTCCTCACTGATATCAGAAATCCACAGCCAGGCGCAAGATCGTTTGCCAGATTGCCGAATATTGCAGGCTGGGTATCCCCAAGGTCCCCAGCTCAGCTTCTTCTGCCCGCCATGCCTCAGGCCAGTGATCCGGGCTGCTGCTTTTGCCCATTCTCGCCCTCCCACCCACGCCCGCGCCGATTGTCATTGGTATGTGATCGTCTCATTTTGTTCGCTTGTATCGGCTCCAGGGCTCGCTAACATCCATCCTTGGGTCCAGCACGAGAAGGAATTGGATGCCTTTCTGCTTTTGTCTCGCTCATTCATAGAGCGTTCACCCGAGTCGACATACGACTCATCAAAAATTGCAGACAAGATGGCTACCCACACGCGAAAGGACGACTTCTGCCTCGAATGCCACTGGGAGTCCTTTCATCTAGACGGGAAAAGCTCGGAGGATTCGTCCGTGGCCCCGGCGTCTGAGTGCTGCCCTGATAAGGAGCAGCATGCCTCAGAAGCGCATGGCGACAGCGCTTGCTGCGACACTGACAACTGCTCCATTACCTGCCCATCAGTCTGCGACGGCTTTGTCGACTGCAACGACGAAGACAACCACGACCCTTGCTCTGTATCTAGATGTGAAGAGTCACATTGTCATGACCCTGCCCCTATCTGCTTTGACGAACACTGCTTTGATCCCGACGCCCACCCAGAAATCCCAGACCACTCATTCGAGTCCCTATTTGGACTGGGGATACCAATGACTACAGACAAGAATGACTTTTCACTCACCCTGGATCAGTGCCAGGCCGACCATCATATGCCCAAACCAACTGAGCATACCGCAGCAGACCTCAACCATCTATGCGCTGGTCCCTTTTTTAGCCCAGACTCAATAGCAATCACTCCCTGCCATCCCCCTCACAGCTATCATCATGATCCTCACTCCGCCGGCCTCTCCCAGGTCCCTCCTGCTCAGAGTATGATGCCTCCATCATTACCCATGCAAAACGATGTCAACCCCTCCGACGTCTTCCACATGCTTGGGATGTGCCCCGACTACTCGAATCACTTTCATGTCCACGAAGCATCAAATTGTCCTGAGAATCTGGACGGCAGCACCTCGTCGAACTCTTTCACTTGCCTCCATCTCGACGACGATAGTTTAAACAGCATACTGAAGAACCCTATATACACAGGCAATAACCTTCCCGCCAGGGGTCCCTGCCGTTCGAACCATCGTTGCCGGTCTCATCACCACGCACACGCCCACCACTTCTCACCCTACTCCCGTCATTCTCGATCAAGCATCAGTTCCCAAATTCTCCCCAGTCCTGGCGAAACACCGCCTCCGCTAGACGGTGGTGTATCTTCAGTCATAACAAGTCCCGACTACTCCGCGGCTGATGGTGAATTGCACGTATGCAAATGGGTTATTAATTCCCGGGGCATCAAAACCGGCTGTGGCGCTTCCTTTTCAAGCGCCAGTGCGCTTCAAGAGCACCTTGTCTCTCGCCATATGGGACCCGTCAACGGCGCCAAGGGAACTGGATACTACTGTTGCTGGGAAGGGTGCAGCCGGCCTGGAGAGCCATTCTCGCAGAAATCGAAACTTCAAGGCCACTTCCTCACACACAGCAACTGTAAGTCACTACAATCAAATTATGTGTGATACAAATTAACAATTTAGACAAAAACTTCCAATGCACGGTCTGCGGGAAGCTCTTTGCTCGACAAGCGACGCTTGAACGTCATGAGCGAAGCCACCGCGGCGAGAAACCCTACAAGTGTCCAGATTGTGGCAAGTCATTCACAGATAGCAGTGAATTAAGTATGTTGCCTTGCCCTGGTTTATCTTTCTACTTTACTAACAGGATAGAAACTCATTCGCGCACTCATACCGGCGAGAAGCCCTTCAAGTGCACGTATCCAGGATGCAACTTTCAAACCGGCGATGTAAGCCTGCCAGCCTTTTTTGTTTTTGCAAAACTACGATGCTAACAACTTATCTTAGTCGTCAAATATGTCCAGTCACAGACTCAGTAAGTTCCTTTCAATTCTACTTCTGTTAATCACAGTGATTCTAATACTATCCAGCACATGGCGAACGAAGACACAAATGCCTTCACGCTGGTTGTAACAAGAGCTTTACTCGACCTGGTACGTTCCGTCACCTATCCTCGCCATCCAAGTGGAACACTACTCACTAACCAACCTTACTTTTATAGACCAACTCAAACGACACATGCGCTCAACGCACAAAACCGAAATCCAAATCCCAACCCCCCTGCTCGGGTCTCCAACAGATGACCAACTCGCATTTCCAATTCAGTCTCAGGTTCCTTTCAGCATGGCGTAACAAACTGATACCAGGCTATAGTGGCTAAGGCGTTATCGAACGGATATTGTGGCGTTGGTAATGGATGGCTAAATGGGTTTATGTCTATATCTTTGTCTTTATACATGCTTTATTGGAGGCGTGAAGGTGAAGTACGTGTGAAGTACTTGGACGAGATGAAATGAGGCAAGGCGCGATGAGATGAGATGAGATGATTAATGATTGGATACCACTACTATTCACACAATGAATATGGATATTACTTCCACGCCTAGATTTCTAGGTGAAAAGTCGAAGATCATGTTTAACTCCTATACGCTATTATAAATTGTGCATCGCAATGCTTCCTTATCCCACGACAGCCAGTCAACTAGGGTTTGGACTTGGAGGTTGGGAGGGCTGAGTCAAGCCCTAATCCATAAGCAGAGTGATGTAAACAGCCCGGCCTTTCGTGCATCGTCTGCATTAGTATCGATAGCATAGGGTTTATTGAGGTTCATAGCTACTGAGTTCATGTTTCTGGGTTTAATGGCATTCATAGTTCTACCATTTATTTTACTCTTTTTCTCGAACCCATTGGGTCGCGGGTTATCGTATCATTAGAGACACGAAATTCTCCAAGTTCACGGCCATAAAGTACGCTGTGCCACAAAATACATATACCTATATACCTAGTACTTCGGCCCGATATAGATTACATACCCCCTTCAGATCAACGAATCCCCAACAAATCAACCCCAAGGACAGAAGCCGGAGGGATAAAGAAAAGACGGAGGGGAGCAAACGACTCAAAATTAATCATGAGCCCTTCCCTCCAAACCCTCCACCGCACTCTTGACCTCCCTCACCCGTTGGCCAACCCTCTTCTTCACCTCCTCCTTAACAGCGTCCGGTACCTCCGCAGGGTCAATCGACAGCTCAACAAAGGCCTCCTCTCCTTCTGAGTTTTCGCCCTTGGCTGGATCAACGTTCGCCGGGGGTTCGGAGGCTGTGTATATATCGTAAGCAACAACAAGGCTATTCAGGGCATCGCGCGCGGATTCACGGTCCGAGGCAGCGTAGATAGTTGCCGAGTCGGTGGACTCAGTTGCGATTTCCAGTTCGTCGGTGGCAGTTTCGTAGCTATATATTTATCATGCCTGGTTAGTATCATTCTCTTTATTTGGGGCTTTGTTCAAGATTTCAAGGGTTTAAGCAACGTACAGTTCTTGCAGTTCTTCAACGATAAGGTCTGCTTGGCTTTTCCCGGAGCCGGAAGTTGCGGCGGGAGACGAGGACGGGGGTGTTGAGGAGAAGGCCCGGGAGATGCTTAGGTTCTTTTGATTGGGGATAGAGTTAAGGTTTGAATGAAGCTTGTGTTGTTTAATTGGTCCAGCTGGTATGGAAGCAATGGAACGGAGAGGGATCCTTGTGCGGAGAGTGGCGTGAGTGCCGGAGCTCCGAAGGGAGGACGTTGAGAGTTTCAATGGTCTAGGAGGCATTTCTGCGGTGACTTTTTCTCGGCAATGAAAGTAATTGAATCGATAATAAAAGGACAATTGAGCGAGCGGATTTGATTGTACAGGAAGAAATGAAGGAGAAAACTGGAGGAGGCTTGAAGGATGGAGTGCAGGTGGAATGGCATGATGCTGGAATGCACGATGACGTTTATCTAATCAATCGGCTAAGGTGAGCTAAACCTCACGTGTCGCCAGCAAATATTTACTAATGCCAGGTCTCTTATACTTGCAAGGAATTGGTCATAATCGAATCAATTCTAAGATAATGAGACGATTTTTTAAATCTAAAGTCCAAACTTCATCCCCCCATTCGCGCAGACCACGCTCCCGGTACACCAGCCCCCATCGCCCGTACACAACATCCCCACCACCCCCGCAACCTCCTCCGTAAACGCCGGCCTCCGCCCGCCCATCTTCTCATTCACAATGCGCACCTGCTCCTCTGTCAATCCCAGCTCAGCAAGCACCGGGTCATTCTTCGGATCAACAAGCTTGCTCAGCGGCGTCTCGTCCTGGAATCCCTGGATCTGATTCCAGAACCCCTCGCCCGTCTTAAAGTACATATCACCCGAGACAGGACCAGGGTTGATCGCGTTAACCGTCGCCCGGTCCGCGAGTTCTCGAGCCCAAGTCCGAGTCATGGCCTCGAGCGCAGCCTTTGTCCCACCATAAACACTTTGTCCGGTGAAGCCGAGACTCGAGGAGACTGAGGAGATGTTCACGATACGCCCGGAGCGATTCGTAGGTAGATACGGCGCGACAGCCTGGGTGAGGAGGAGCGGGGCAAGGACATTGATGGTGTAGTGCCAGTTAAAGTAGGCCGCGTCGATGGGGCCCTTCTCGGTATCGTTTAGGTCTCTGTCTGCCGAAACGCCGGCATTGTTGATCAGGATGTCGATTGTTGTGTTGGGGAAGTGGGTGTTGGCTGCGGCGAGGATCTTGACCACGGCATCGTCGGGGGTAGAGAGATCGGCTTGCACTGACACGCAGCGGATGGAGTGCTTGGTTGAGAGCTCGGCGCAGAGGCTTTCGGTTCTGGAGCGCGAGGACTCGGAGGTAAAGTTTAGCAGGAGCGAGCAGCCTTTGCTGGCGAGGTTTTTGGCGATAGCTTCGCCGATGCCTTTGTGACGTTAGTGACGGTCCAAAGGTCTATAGTCTCCTTAAAACTCCAAACAGATGAAGAGGGGGGAGCTTACCCCGCGAGCCGCCAGTGACGATACCGAACTTTCCTTCCAGTGAGCGAGACATAATCGGTCTGGGTGTTAATGTTGTGGATAAGTAATATTTCCAGGTTGGGAGGAAGGTTGTACTTGTAAGTTCCGTGACCGGTTAAATAGGCTCTCTCTTCTGCTGGTTAATTCGGGGTACTGTCCCACTTCTCGACGTTTCACCCCACCATTCGGGAAATTTCCCATCCAAGAGTCCGAACAATCGAACCATATGCATATCTACCGAGGACTACGGTTAAATAAAGCTCAAACTCTACCAGAATTTCAGGTTCACGACGCAATGCAGCAATGAATGATGCTGCGGTTCATTATATGGTATAATATATGTGGGATCCCCCCATCTACTCTTCGTAAATTATGGCACTGTTGAATGCAAATACTCCACTAGACCGGCCCAGTTGAACCCAGAAACTACCAGAAACCCCGTGTATGCCACTTTTATGCCGTTGAAGGACAATGCTTTTGAGCTCCATGTTGATGAAGAACTCCATATGTTAGTCGTAACATCGTGATCATGTTGAAAAAAGTCTACTCAGGGTATCGGAAATATTAAAAGAAAATGCGCTTAGTAGCGGTAGCTAGAGAAAAGTCAGTTATGAGAGTCTTCAAGCAAACAATAAGAGAGACGTACTGGTCAGCCTTGTAAGGACCCTTGGCATCCAGGCCAAGGTACTCAGCCTGCACAGGGGTGAGGGTGGAAAGCTTGGCGTTGACGTGCTCAAGGTGGAGGTAAGCGACCTGCTCGTCGAGAACCTTGGGCAAAACGTAGACGCCAACATCCTTCTTGCCACTGGTACCGAACTCAGGGTACTTCTGGCCGAAAGCCTTGTCTTCAGCCTTGAACAGGGCAATCTGGGCAAGGACCTGGTTGGAGAAAGAGCAGGACATGACGAAGGAAGAGTGGCCAGTAGCACAGCCAAGGTTGACGAGACGGCCCTCAGCAAGGAGAATGATGTGACGGCCGTTGGGCATCAGGTAGCGGTCAACCTGGGGCTTGATGCTCTGGACGGACTTGGCGTTGGCCTTGAGCCAGGCAACGTCGATTTCAATGTCGAAGTGACCAATGTCTTGAGGGGGGTTAGCTACCTAATCTAGTAATCACAGCCATGTTAAAACTTACTGCAAACAATGGCGTCGTTGCGCATGGCCTCGAAGTGCTTGCCAACCAGGATGTCACGGCAACCAGTGGTGGTGACGAAGATCTGACCGAGGGCAGCAGCCTCGTCCATGGTGACGACCTCGTAACCCTGGACAGCGGCCTGGAGGGCGTTGATGGGGTCGATCTCAGTAACGAGAACACGAGCACCCATGGTGTGGAGAGCCTGAGCGCAACCCTTGCCCACATCACCGAAACCGGCAACGACACCGATCTTACCAGCAATCATGACATCGGTGGCACGCTTGATACCATCGATGAGAGACTCGCGGCAACCGTACAGGTTGTCGAACTTGGACTTGGTGACGGAGTCGTTGACGTTGATGGAGGGAACAAGGAGCTTGTTGTCCTTGAGCATGCGGTAAAGGTGGTGAACACCGGTGGTGGTCTCCTCAGAGAGACCGAAGCAGCCCTGGAGCTGCTCAGGGTACTTGTTGTGGACGAGAGAGGTCAAGTCACCACCGTCATCGAGGATGAGGTTGAGCTTCTGGCCATCCTTGAAAGCAGAGAGCTGCTGGTCCAAGCACCAGTTGTACTCCTCCTCGGTCTCACCCTTCCAGGCAAAGCTACTCAAGTTAGCGGAAGTCAATCAATTAGATAAATACAAGGTTCACGTACACAGGGACACCAGCGGCGGCAATGGCGGCAGCGGCGTGGTCCTGGGTGGAGAAGATGTTGCAGCTAGTCCAGGTAACCTCAGCACCGAGAGCAACGAGGGTCTCAATGAGGACGGCAGTCTGGATGGCTATAAAATGTCAGGTTGGCCCAATAACAACCCGGTATAAAGTACATACTCATGTGAAGACAACCGGCAATACGGGCACCCTTCAGAGGCTGGTCAGCACCGTACTTAGTACGGATGGCCATGAGACCAGGCATCTCAATCTCGGCGATCTCGATCTCGCGGCGACCGAAAGCGGCCAGCGACTGCTCACGTTAGGATTGGGCTCTCGTCGAGTGGTCTAGAGTTGGAAAACATACGATGTCGGCGACCTTGAACTTCTGAGCGGGGGCAGCCATGGCTGTGATTGTGGAGGATATTTAGGAAAAGAGAAAAACTAGAGAGGTTTGTTAGCAATTGACGTTCTGGTCAAAGTTCTCATCGAGAGACTCACAATAGAAAAGGATGAGAGGGATGAGAGGAAAGAGAGGAGGAGGAAGGAGGAAGAGAAAAGGGAGGAGAAGAAAAGGATGAGCAGAACCAGAAGAGGGGCAGCCGGGGGGTCGGTTGGCTGTCCAGTTCTTGCGGCGGGGCTGTCAAAAAATGGGGCGGTCGGTCTTACTCAGCCTATCAACACCGCTCCTCTTGGTGTTTATCCTGATCCTGGCAATATTGCTGCAAAAGACCATTTGCTCCAGATTTATACATTTCCGAAAAAAGATAGAGCGTGTGTTGGTTGTGTAGTGAGCGGCATGTCCTGAATGTTATCTATATAACTAGTGGACGGGTGGAGCGCTTGGAGCGTTGCCGGGGAGGAGATCAAACTTCTTCACTCTCCAAAAGTAGACCCCTCATCGCCAATCTCAAGGGTTTTCCATGTTCAAGGCATTGGAATAGCTCTATTACGACTTTCAATTTGGTTACTGTTCAAGGTGCTCTGGCCCAGCTGTATTCGGGGCATTTCGACGCTGCCAACCCAGCCCCACATTCGGCGTTGGTGAGCGTCCAACGCAGCAGTCTATAAGCATCAACCTTGAGGAACACAGAGGACCACAGCAACAACCCCGAGGATCGGACCTTGCTCGGAGTGGAGCAGAATAAACACGACCGTGAATGGGCTGTCGATCTGGACGTCGGTCTTTTTTCTCCGGGTAGTCTCGGACATTCCATCAAAAGTCTCACAGCAGCTAGAGTCGTGGCGGGGCACCTGCTACAAAGGTACTGTATAAGATCGCAACAATACTCACTGAGTGTCAGGTCCAAGGAAAACATAGTAGGGTGTCATCAACATGACACTTTTTTACGACCAATATTTCAGGTTTTGATTGTCAGGTTTTCCACGGTTTCGGAGAAATAATGTATACTTGGAATATTGTAATATATATCTGGTTAAGCACATCGCAAACCCGATCTCTCCCCAAAAATTAAAATATACAAACAACCATTATGTAATAATCCTGTACTACAATTTCTAGCTCCTAACAAATCCCGAATGCTCTCATTACGTCCATCGCTAACAATAATGAGCTATATCACCTAAACATCTTCGGATCCCGCCGCGTGGCGGGAAGAGATCGAGTAGATCTGTTTATTTTGAATCAAGTTGAATGACTTGCTGAGAAATATTATATTAAAACGTGATATTCGTTAGTTATATATACCCCCCGCTTAAACACCGTCGCCAAAACGATACGCATTCATCCACCTCTGCGAAGCGTTAGTATCAGTTCAACCTGTGGATAGCAGGCTTGACGTACCTTATCATAAGGCTTCGACGAGTCACAGAATCTCAAATCTGTAGCTAGGCGGATAACTCCCTCGGGATCATTATTTATGGTCGAAGCATGGATCTATCAGTTGCTATCAGTCATGTCTAATATATAATCAGTGGTCTCGAACGTACCGCGTGAGGCTTGTGCAGGACGACATCCCCGGCCTCATATGCAGAAGCTAGCCAACGCCGATTGTGCTGCTTGGCAAACTCTGCTGGAAATTCTGACAACAGCCCAGTCGCCATCATGTTCGAATTGAACGCACTGCGGGCTTCGTCCTCTGTCAAGCCAGCATTCTTGGCCTTTGTGGTGAACTCATCCTCGATCTTAAGCCCGACGGAGTCACCTAGATACGAGTTAACCCTCTGGAAATGTAAACTGAATGAAGGCGCTTAGTTGATACATACCATCCTCGAGATAAATCAATCCTCCCCCGTTTAACTTAACATCGCCAATAGGAACCCAGGCCGTCACGCTCGTGGGCTCACCATACCTCAAGAAGATCTGATCATAATGCACTCCAATGGGTTTCGTCCCGGGGGTATTGTTCCTCAACAACGTGCGCTGAAAAGTCAAGGTGTCTTTCCCCCACCCACTAAACTTGGCCACAAAATCATACAACGCGGGATGATGGCACAGCTTTTCGACATACCAGTCCTTATAATGGGCCTCTATGGCGCGATCCACGAACTGATCTGCCTTCTCGCCGCCTGGTCTCCCGTTCCCACCAACAGCACCAGCCCCAATGCCGGGGTAATGCTCTGGGTCTTTGGTGGGGTTGAAGATGCCTTCGACGGGGTCGGAGCCTTCTTTAAGGACTTCGGTGGGGGCGAGGTAGGAAAAGTACTGGCGGCGGGTTTCTAGGACATCTTCGCGCGGGAGAACCTGTTTGAGAAAGAGGTAGCCATCTTCGTCGTAGCGTTTGCGGAGCTCTTCGATGGGAAGCGATGGGTCTGAGGGGCGGAGGAGGGCGGCGTTCTCGGAAGTGAGGGGCCCGTCGTTGACGGCGAGGGTTTCTGTTAGGACTCCTGGCATGGTTGTGATGTTATTATCTAGATAGAGAAGAGGATGCGATATCGAATTTGAGAATACCTGGAGAGACAGTGGCCGGTTAAATAAGTCTCCTGGACTGCACCAAGAGCATCTTCTGTTCTATTTTTTCCGAGTCAGTCACACCCCAGACTTGGTAGCTACCCCCGCCTTCTCCAATCCAATCCTCAACTTTGCTGGGCCCAGTGGATTCACTGCTGCGAGCTGTATCGCAAAAGCATTCACTGTGAGTGGACGATTTCCCGACCATCAACGTGGAAAAATTCCATGACGAAGTTCGAGCTCCAGGCGGACGGGGAAAGATTCCCTTTTAAAGCCTGTCCCATGATCCCATTAAACGTAATGTTCCATTTCAAGTAATCTTCCACTTAAAGTAATGTTACTCTTTAAGGCAATAAAATGTCAAGCCTGACGATATATCAAACCGAGAGAGAACACCAATGGACCACCTAATACGCCCGTATGTCAAAAACCCATCCCATGATTCATAACCGATTTAATCCTTCCACTCCTTGAACTCCCAATCCCCAGCTTTCTCGCCCACCACGAGCTCCAAAGTCGTGAACTCAATTCGCTCATACATTGTCTTCGCAGCCCTTCGCGCCTGCGCATGCCACGGCCCCGTCCCGCCAGCTCGTGCGTCTTCTCGACTCCTCCATACACCTAATGCGCGCCACAAGTTAGCAACCATTACCAACAAATCCCGCCAATAGATATCAGGCAATATCAAACGGACGGACAGAACAGCGTGGGATGAACATACAAGTAGCAAGATTCTCTCTCTTCTCATTCTTACTCCCAAACCAATACTTCAGCAACCCGCCACTCGCCACGGCCTCCGCATGAGACCGCTCATCGAGCAAATGCAGTCGGTCGGGGTCCGCATCTGCGCGCAGAATTGATCGGAAAGCAACTACATAGAAGCTGTGCTGTGTCCAGGGCTGCTCTCCTTGTTTCGCTGCGATATCGTGCAGGGTTTCGAAGACAGAGTTCCAATTGAAGGCTTCGACATAGGGCGCTGTCGCGTAGTCTGGCCGGATGGGCGTGAGTGTTGTTAGGGCTTGTGCTAGGAATTGGTTTGCGGCGTCGAGGGTTGAGAGATCCAGCAGGTGCTCTGCGGTTGTATAAGGGGATGAGATGATGTGGTTGGTGCTGGTGTCTTTGTCTTTGTCTTTCGACGACCTGAGCGCGGACTCGGACTCATTGTAAGACTCTAGAGGTATTGTTGGTGGCACTGCTGGCAAGGCCGAGGGGTTGACTGCGCTGTCTGCAGCCACCACTATAGCTGCGGATGCCATTCTATATTGTATGATGTTCTATCGGACTGAACTGGAATAATTGCACGCTCGCCCAACAACGCCTCAATGTACGCCGAAGAAAAAGTGAAAAAGAAGGGTAAAAAAAGCCGAAAATTATAGGAACCGAAAAGAACAGAGGAATAAAGAGTCGAGCCGAATTTATAGAGCAGCAAAGGGTGAGTCAATTGCAGTCCCAAAATCCAGAGCATAGCAGAAGATTCCACCCGAAGCACGCAATGCGATGACGAGCTCGCCCTGGGAAAGAACATCACCGTTGAATTCACGATTCATGCCCATCTTGAGCACAATATTACTGTTGCGGTGACAAAAACCGTTGCATTCTCTCACCGTATTTTAGTACTACTACTGCTTCAAGTAGTTAAGATCTGGGCTTGGTGGGATTTGCAGGGGTCCTCGGAGTTCGGAGGGTTTGTAGATCGCAGACCGCGTAATGCTGGGTCAGTGATTGGTATCTGCCCCCGGGGAAATGGTTTAGTCTGCGGGATTCCCCGCGCAGCTTTTACATATTAATTTACTGAAGATTCTGGAATGGATGGTGGAATATCTTAATTCTCAAGAATTTTAGTATATCATACATTATCGATGGTATCATGTGAGCCCAGAACCCTCACTCTCGAAACGCCGTGAAATGCTCGCATCCCGAATGGAAGCGATGAAACATAAGTAAAAGAGCTAATACTACTTCGAAGGGGGCGGAGGAGGTCCCATTTTTCCTGCACCGGTATCAACTTTCTTATTGGGTAAGGCAGGTACTTTGAATCCTCCATTTGCCCCTTGAGAAGGATTGCTGCTCTGTCCACCGACTTGGGTGAAGGTGCCTGATTTGAACCACCGGTCTTCTTCCGCCTTGCGCTTGCGATTGAGCTCGGCTTGCGCCTTGGGGTCGACTAGTTCAAGACCCTGTACCGGTGTGAAAGCGATAGTACTGGCTGTACCGCCTGCACCACCGAATGAAGTCCCAATACCCGAGGACCGGAGACCCTTGGCTTGCAAAACGCTCGCCGTCCCACTTGGACCCTGACCGAATGTGCGTAGAGATGAAGCAGTTCCACTGGCCGGAGTCGCCGCGCCCCATCCTTTGTTGGACTTGCTTAGTCTTGCCCTCGTTCTTTGATCGATCTGGGTTGCTCGGATGCGCCCGTCGTCCTGCTGACCCATCATACCAAGACCGACAGTTCCTTCTCCAGTGCCATATCCAATTTCGGCTTCCTCCTTGCCGAATGCTACGCGGTTCTGTGCCTTGCGAAGTTCGGTCATTGCGACAGCCTCCTTGGCCTTTCGAGCCCTTCTACCACCTCGCTTCCTTGAAGGCTTATCATCCGGTGCAGGAAGAGCCTTAGTCCCAGAGTTGGGAGGAGGCTCGGTCAGTTTCTCCAGACGTTTAAAACACTGTTCCTTCAAATCCTCTCCCAGCGAGCCATCGGGGCTATAATTTGAGACGTCGGCCCGAGTAGCAAGAACCATTTTGGCGGAGACAATGCGAATCGCCTGCTTCTTGAGGTCGTTCGGAATGTCTTGGATGAGTTCTGAGTGGTAGAGAAACCCCTGCGATCTGATACCAATATTCGTAGCGAATCCTAATCCTTCCTTTCTCTTCGAACCTTGGGCACCCAAGTTGCACGCCGGAATCTTAGCAAGCTCACGCAGTCCTCCCGACTGATTAAGGAACTGGGCTGCGGTTTCCGGTCCGATCAGCGCTGCCAAATTGGGAGCAATCTGACTCATGCGGGACTGAATACTCTGTGTAAGCGCAGTCCGTTCTTGGTCCAGCTTCAGGATTCTCTCGCAAGTATCCAGCACGGTCTTCAGTTCCGGCTCCGTCATCTCGCGCCCTCGAGTAGTTGTACCTTCCACCGCAACAACCATCAAAGTGGGACCATCCAGAATCGATTTCAGAGGTACCCCAACCATATTGTCCGCGGTGTTGGATAGCGCTTTGATATCCTTCAGCGGGCCATTCTTGAGAATAGCGACGGTTTTCGCATAGTCGATAGAGTTCGTGACAAGGGTTTCGAGTTCAGGAAATCTGATAGAATAATGATCGCGTAGTGATTTGTGGAGTCGTGTTAGTTCATCCGCGGTCGATATCGCAATGTCGAACTCGTTCGTGACCTCTTTGTTAGCGGGTTCTTGAAGAAGTTGCTCTTCGTCCTGGTCTTCGTCGATGGCCTCAGCACCTTCAGCGCCCTCGGCGCCGTCGACGCCCTCGAAATCTTCATCGTCTTCGAAATCTCTCAATAGTTCTTCGGCGGTAGACATGATAGCTCGATTGCCTGCAACAACTGCAGTTACCGCAAGTTTATAGAATATTTCTTTGAGGGTGTGAATTTCATCATAAAACTTGCCGCTGTTAGAGCAACTGCTGAGTCATCCGTGCTAACCAACTAACTAACTATCGGAGTCCGGGTGGCGATATGAGCCGCAAGCGCAGCTTTTTTGCATTTTCGGTAGCTAGGCACTCGGGCATATAATCGTCACCACTCAACCATCCACGTATCTTTTTTTCGAACCATCTCCCCGCCAGAATGGAGGCATCGCGTGGCCCTCCCAGGGTCAAGAATAAGGCCGCTGCCCCGGTCCAGATCTCGGCGGAGCAGCTGCTCCGCGAGGCAGTGGACCGGCAGGAGGACTCACTGCAGGCGCCGACGCAGCGATTTGCGGACTTGGAAGAACTACACGAATACCAGGGTCGCAAGAGAAAGGATTTTGAGGACTATGTGCGGCGGAATCGAATTAACATGAACAACTGGATGCGGTACGCCGCTTGGGAGTTGGAGCAGAAGGAATTTCGACGCGCGCGATCCATCTTTGAGCGGGCGCTGGACGTCACGGCGACCCATGTGCCGCTTTGGATTCGGTATATCGAGTCGGAAATGCGGAATCGAAATATCAACCACGCGAGGAACCTGCTTGATCGTGCAGTTACCATTTTGCCCCGGGTCGATAAGCTTTGGTACAAATATGTCTATATGGAAGAGACTCTGGGGAACATTCCTGGAACGCGGCAAGTGTTTGAGCGATGGATGTCATGGGAACCGGATGAGGGTGCTTGGAGTGCGTATATCAAGCTGGAGAAGAGATACAATGAGTTCGAGAGGGCGCGGGCGATTTTCCAACGGTTTACGATTGTGCACCCAGAGCCTAGGAATTGGATCAAATGGGCTCGATTTGAGGAGGAGAACGGTACCAGCGACTTGGTGAGAGAGGTATACGGAGTGGCTGTGGAGACGTTAGGCGAGGATTTTATGGATGAGAAGCTATTTATTGCCTACGCCAAGTTCGAAGCGAAGCTGAAAGAATACGAGCGCGCCAGGGCTATCTACAAGTATGCTCTTGACCGACTACCGCGTTCAAAATCTACTACCCTCCACAAGGCGTACACCACCTTCGAGAAACAATATGGTGACCGTGATGGTGTTGAGAATGTCATTCTCTCAAAACGCCGAGTCCAGTACGAGGAGCAGCTAAAGGAAAACCCACGCAATTATGATATCTGGTTTGACTTTGCGCGCTTGGAAGAAACTTCAGGCGATCCGGAGCGAGTGCGGGATGTCTACGAACGGGCCATTGCGCAAGTCCCTCCGTCTCAAGAAAAGCGACACTGGAGGCGATATATCTACCTCTGGATATTCTATGCTACTTGGGAGGAGATGGAGGCCAAGGACATCGATCGTGCTCGCCAGGTCTATACTGAATGCCTGAAACTCATACCTCACAAGAAGTTCACATTTGCCAAGGTTTGGCTGATGAAAGCACAGTTTGAGGTGCGACAGCTGAACCTCCAAGCGGCGCGCAAGACTCTAGGTCAGGCGCTTGGAATGTGCCCGAAGGATAAACTTTTCCGTGGGTATGTCGAACTGGAACGTCAATTGTTTGAGTTCGTACGGTGCCGGACGCTGTACGAGAAGCAAATCGAATGGAACCCATCTAACGGCCAGTCTTGGATCCAGTACGCAGAACTGGAACGGGGCCTAGAGGATAGTGACCGTGCACGAGCTATCTACGAGCTGGGAATTGAACAGCCAACTCTGGATATGCCAGAGATTGTTTGGAAATCTTACATCGACTTTGAGGATTACGAAGGCGAGTACGAGCGTGAGCGACAATTGTATGAACGCCTTCTGCAGAAAACGGACCACGTCAAGGTGTGGATCAACTACGCCCGGTTCGAAATCAACGTGCCGGACGAGGAGGAAGAGGAAGAAGAAGAAGAAGAAGAGCGACCGATCAGCGACGAGGCCAAGCGACGAGCCAGAGCCGTCTTCGAGCGCGCACACAATGTATTCAAGGAGAAGGAACTCAAGGAAGAGGTATGTTATCGTCGCCGTTATACTCACGGGAATGAAATACTAACATATGTCCAGCGAGTGGAACTGCTCAACGCGTGGCGGTCGTTCGAACACACACATGGATCGCCAGAGGATATCGACAAGATCGAGAAGCAGATGCCACGACGCGTCAAGAAGCGACGCAAGTTGGACGACGACCGGTACGAGGAGTACATGGACTATGTATTCCCGGCGGACGACCAGTCGGCAGCGAACCTGTCGAAGCTGCTGCGGATGGCGCACCAATGGAAGCAGGGGTCGGCAAGCGGGCAGTAAGGAAGAGCTGGGCGTTGGTCGCGATGGTCGCGATGCATATGTATATCATGATCAAGAACAATCTAATAGATACTCGGCGGAATCCGTCACGTTCCACGTAGAAGGGTCCCCCACAATAATTCAGGAACAGCTAACTGTCGTCATTCGCCGCTCCTCATTGGCAGAGAACCTACCTGTGAAAACCGAGACCCGCAGCCAATCGCATTGCAAGAACAATGCACTCGTGAGCTGGAGGCCCGACCGACGATCAGGGCGCAGGCTCGGGCGCTGTCAGTGGCAGACCAGAAAACCACTCACAGCCATCTGCAGGAACAGGAAACCGTTGCACGCCGTGATAAGCTGAATGCTTGTGATGTCGTTGCAGCTGCTGAAAACTTTGTGCTCTCAGAAATTGGATCTGCCTGCTCTTGACGTATTAGCGTGCCTGCTGTGCCGGAACACCTGAGAGTCGCCGTCAGGGCCAACCATGGGCCGCATGGGATGAACTGACCTCTGCCCCTGAACGATCCCTGGCTCAAGGGCTCCTTGCTGACGCTGTAAGGAACTAAGGATCGCCTAAACAAACAGGTTTGATATCATCCCGTGCCTGACGTCGATGGAGGAAGCTGTCCATTGTCAGCCGGAGTCGAGTCGCGTTTCGTTCTGATTTTCCGGTGCGGTTCTGTGTAGTCTTCGTAGCGTGTTCAGTGTTCTCCTCACTTTTGTCCCTTAGTGTGATCGTGGTGTGGTTTCATCCATCCTCTCGACCCCCGTCGATCTCCCCGTGCTGGTCGCTCGGTTTCCCATCCTCACCTCTGTTGGATTTCTATCCTTCACTCTGTTTTTATCAATTCATCTTCAATTTCATTCACGACGTGAACGATATCAGGTCCAGACTCGCAGCAGGTAAGAAAATTTCCACTTGTTGGTCCAAGCTGTCGGCCCGTTGTTTCACCAAACCAGTGTTCGCCCATACAATCAATGTAAATTAATTACGGAGGCTTCCCACTCTGATTCTTGCGACAGTCTGCCTCCCCTGACTCGGAGTCTTCCGTCACCCTCTCCTCTCCTCATCCTCATCCTCAATCCTTTCTCGTCTCCTCTCGTTTTCTGTTCTTGCGTTTTCTCTGGCCCCTGCGGTCTGTTGTCCCTCGTTTTGCTCTCCCTGCCGGTTTGACATCGTGCATCGGTCGCCCTATGACCTACTATTCCAGCCCCTGAAAATTCGCCGATTGACAGCCACCAGGTCGCCCTTCTTTTTTCTGATTTCTTTTTCCTTCGCTCCCTCTTGGGCTATCGAACCGTCGATCTCTTTTCCCTGCCAGCATCCCAGCCGACGTTTGCTCTGTAAACCCGTCTTGTAACACAATCGAGTGCCATCCTCGTCCCTGGAGACGGCCCTTTACTACACCCCTCGATACCATGAGATAGGACTCTGGCAGTCACCTTCCGTTCTCTCCCTTTACTCCTTATCCCCGACCGCATTCGTTTCGGGTGGCTGGTTACCCACCAGGTCCTATCTTCGGCTGGTATCTTCGAAGACTTCGATCTGAATCTTTGCTATCATTGAGCAACATGCTTGTTCCCGAGCCCCCGGTGAAGTTAGAGGGACATTGCTCCGTGATTCATGAAAACACTCTTTACACCTACTCCGAAAATGGCTTCGCCGCTATTCCTCTCAAGCGCGACGGCGGATGGACCGAACCTCCCACGGAGGGAGCTGAGCTAGTCTCGAAAGCAGCTTGTGTTATAGGCGGTGTTGATGGAAACGAACACCAAAAAGCGCTATATGTAGTTGGAGGGACATCGTCAAAGTCAAAGAATTCAAAGACGCCAGCTCTTCAACGATACACTTTCAAAGATAGGAAGTGGAAATCTATTTCTTTCGATCAAGCCAACCTCGTCAACCGGACATCCCACAGCGCTGTCTACCTGGAATCCATTTCCACGATCGTGGTATATGGTGGCAGTATGACAGACTCAGAGCAGAAGTCGGCTGACTCGTTTTCCGTAACGACCGGGCCGGAATACATTCTTGACTCTATGACTGGAAAATCCCCGGCGATTTTGCCCGCGCTTTTTGCCTGGGACGATGAAACCGCTGTTTTGTTCGGAGGTGATACTACTGAAACCAGGACGCAGTTTTGGTCCAAGGGTGATGGACACTGGAACCTAGGCGAGCAAAACTTGACGTCAGAATTGCCAGAGGCGAAGACTGCCCTTCTCACTAGATCCAACGGAGAAAAGATACTGCAGACTTTCGATACCAGCGCTTCACCAGTCACAGTCAAGCAGTTGTTCAAGTCAAAACAATCCGATTCCTCCAAGAAGCAGGAAAGAGCCGCCAACGATATGCCGAAGTATGATGATTCTCTTGCACCTACCACAACTGCAGAGGGCGCCTCGTTGGCCCAGAGTTACGGCTCAGACGACCAACTTGTGGTGTTATCAGGTGGTGGCGGTACCGACTCCTTGTCCATCTTCAACCAAACCTCGAACAGCTGGGTGAATTCAACCAAACTGTTCTATGGTGACAAAACCGAACAAGAGATTCTTGGATCAATAACACCCACATCGTCCTCACAACCTTCGCCCACCACATCAGAATCCTCGACACCGTCAGAGCCGGTAGGCGGCAGCGGCGGCTCAAGTAACGATAACGTTGGCGTGATTCTTGGTGCAGTTTTGGGAAGTCTTGCAGGCGTTGCCATCATCCTTGTGCTTATACTATTCTATATCAGGAGGAAGAAGGAGAAGATGAGACAGGCGGGCGGTCTGGACAAGGACCGACTGAGCTTCCAGGACCAGGGTGTAGAGCCCCTGGCTCGCTCAGCCTACCCCATGGCCGAGAGTCCTGCACCGAGAGCAGCTGGGTCCATGGATTCGTTAGCCATCTTCTCAGGAAATATGGGAGATGAAAAGGCCCCCAAACCCGCTGGCTCTCTTCCACAGCACATGCAAAAGTCTCAGCCCGCACGGCCTAGTCCGCTCAACAACATCCATTCCAGCGACGGCGATGATAAAGCCATTGAAGCAGGCGCATCCGCTGTACGCCCTGGTGACCGCACGACCGATGAAGGCTGGGGTAAATACTTCCAGGACAACCACACAACCCCGACCCTGGTTGGCATGCAGTCTCCTTTCGACTCGACGCGCGATTCAAAAGCCACCATATGGCCTGGAAATAACAATACGAACTCCCTCCCGCCTTTGGACACAAACTTCCTCCACCAGCCCACCCCATTAGGGCGAGTCAACAGCGGCAGCCCCACAGCAGGAGTCGCGACATCCGTTGTAGACGGCAGGCAGATCGTGATCGCTGAGGGCCAGTCAGCCAGGATCTCCAGTGCCGACTCTGCCAGCATAGTCTCAGAGGAGGACCCGGAGCGGTATAACCCTATCCGTGAACACAGCTGGCTCGGTCGTCCCCCAAGCAGTGCCTACAGCAGGAGCTTTTACAACCCACATAGCAGCACGCGGGAACTTCCTTCCACAGCCGTCCCTTCTACAGCTACCCCCTCGACCGTTGACTACAGAAAGCACGACTCGGCTCGCACCAACACGCGAGGCTCCAGTGTTCTCATCCCTGATGGCCAGCCGCTCCCACGAAACAACGTCAACTCGGATATGAGTTGGCTGAACATCCACGCCGATCGATAATCCGAATCCTCTTTAACCTCTGATGCAACTAAGCTCGCTGCTGGTCATCTCAATCTTTAGCACCATACACAAACAAAAAGCAAAAAACCCCCTCCCAGCCATAATCGGGCCGGCACGCCACCCACTCACCCACTCCCTCAATCTCATCTTGTCCAGCGCGGTACGGTGCTCGACTTGGCATGAATTGTGTACAACTCTTTTCGCTCTCAGCGCTTCTTTTCTTACATCTTACTGCATCTACCGTTTCTTTCATTTCGCGTCCCTCCTTCCTCAATTTATTCATATAATACAGCCTGGCCTGCTTTTCTTGATATCCACGTGGTCATTCATTGTCTCTCCCGCTACCTGTTTGTTTACGTCCATGTTCTTCGTGTTGGATTGCAGTTAGGTACATTGCATTGTATGTACATAGATTACATTTCCTTGGCTAGGTTTGGTTTGGTTGTATGTGGTGTATCGAGTCGTGCCGTTTCTTTTCCTTCAAGGTTGGGCTTGATGTGATGTTGATTTTGTTGTTAACTTGTGCATTTGCATGGCTTAGCTTGGCTGCTTGTCGGCTAGGCTAGACTACGCTTACTTTACCATTGGTATCCCATGCTTGATTTGCATGGCTGGAATGAAATGGATTGACTGCATAACATTGTCTTGCATTGCAATTGAAACCCTTGCTATTCTTCGTAATGATTACTCGGATGGAACCCGAAACAGCCCTGGGGGCATGCTGCATATGGGTGGCCTGTCCCAAACATCCAATTCTGCCCTGTCCACGCTCCACAACCATGTTCTCCAAAAAAATAAATAAAATAAGCAAATAAGAGGAGCTACCCCCATGTTTGGTGCGGTTTCTCTACAAGTGCAAGGCTGGCGTGACCCAAAAAATTAAGTGGTTATCAACGCTATCAGTCATCAGCTGCAGTAAGATGGGTTTCGCCTAAGCCCTAACTCAAACCAAGAAATAACTGCCGGATGTTAAGCATCAATCCCTTGGACACAATTCACCAGCACCAACCAACCTCTATCTGTTTATGCGTAACACAACTTGACTGCTGTCTTTGATAAGGGGACGGGAAAATAAATAAATTAAAAAAAAATGTGAGCAAAAAACATACAACAGCTGGGATTCGCATGTGGTCACCCACCATACTACTAACCAGCCGGCGTGTGGCTTAAGTACGGCTGAGCGGACGGGAAGCCCTGTTTTCCACACCCTGTGGTCGTATGTACCAGAAACAACTAAAGGAGAGTTGATATGGCATCTATTTCTTTTTATCTTTTTAAGGTGACGCTAAGAGTATTCAGTCGAGTCCGAAAAGTTGTAAGGTGTGGCTATAGTCGTGGATTCTGTCACAAAATGCATAACTTCCGAAGCGGAGCTCTATACAGATCCAGATACACTCATAAAATTGAGACATGGTGCTGAGACAACAATGGAACATAGTCCATCCTATGTTAGTCTGTTGACGGGAGCCCTAGGTTCCTTCCTGACTGAGAACTGCGGGTTCACCTCTTTAGACAGTTGCCATTCACGCCATTCCCTTTTAAAGACAAGCATAAAGGAGACCATATACTGTCCCGGGTTAAAATACCTTTATCTTGCTCCATTCACTACCTCGACCCTTCTTCCTTCACAAAAGAGACAAGAGTATAAAAAGAAGTGTCAACTAGCATGCACCTGCCTCGAGACCCGTTCTCCCATAGATCTCATTCTTATTAGTATTTTCAAGACGGCCGAATTACCGCCATGCCCAGCACCGGAAGGCTCCTAGCAGCCAACACGGCCTACCTCCTCGACGAAGCCAAAATCAAACACGTCGCCATCGGCTGGCAAGCCCTCGACACAATCGGAGACGAGAAAACCCCCGGAGAAGTCGACATCGCCATCCTAGACGATCAAATCACAGACGCAACCAAGCACCTCGTCTCCGCAGGATTCGACCAGCCCTGCAGTAGGCCCAACTGCGCCGAGTTCAAGATCGACCGCGGCGACCCCATAGTCAAAGAACGAGAACGAGCCAGGGCGAGGAGATTGAGACCAGCGCCAGGCTCGAAACCAGCACTTGACCCCGAATCTGGGTATGCCGGACATGGCTGGGCATACGCGCGCTGGCACGGAATCGCCGAAGCGCATTTCCACATCCACGGTGCAGACTACCTCCTCTCTCTACATCGCAAGTCACAAACGCTCTGGTGGATGAGTGATGAAGAATTTTGTATAACCAAAGAAGATCTCGCCATTGCAAACGCCCCGGGCAGTGAGAACCGACAACCGCATTTGATCCTCTCGACTGACACAGAACGCACCCCGCCGCGTGGTGAGCCATACAATGGTTCTGGACCCTGGAGCACACTGTACGGTGTGAAAATCCTGAATCCGGACTCGTTCACGGACGCGGTGCTCTTCCTTTTATGTCGGTATCTTAACCACGAAGGGCATCTCGACAAAATGTGTTTGAATATGATTGATTGCTTGAAGGATAAGTCCCCGAATAGGCTTAAGAAGAATGTTCGACCGGAGTTCAAGCACCTCTGGGACGCGTTTAATGGGCGTTCTACGTCTAAGGTGGTGCCCTTGGTTGCAGCGAAGTATCCAAGGTCATATCTTGCGGGCAGGAATGAGTTGGGGCCCTTGCCACTGCCGCCTGCGAGGGAAGAGGGACTAGATTGACGTTGATGTTGGGATTTTAGGATTGGATAGCTATGTATGTGCTAGCATGAGTTATGTTTGTCCTGTATTTTGTCTTTCTTTTTGGATCGATTTGCTCCATATTAGATTGTCTTCAGATTGATATCTGAGCGTGAATAAGACCTTTTATCCAAGTAATATCCATGATCTTCTGCCCGGTCCATTTGATTGCACGTAATCAGTTAAACGTGTAGCGTGGTAGATACTGCGACGAAGAACCGTTAGGTTCAATTTTACGTGTACAACTCAAGTCGCTATATGCATAACGTAAGGTAGTAAACCATAGCATACAAAACGAGCGTAGAGATTAAAATGAAAGCAGAAAAGAAAAGGTAAAAAACCGAAAATATTGGAATTGTGAAGTAGACAACGTCGTGTACTGTGTCATAAGCATTGTCATAAAAATCATAAAACATTCAATCGCGAAACGGACAACATCGTGTACGGTGTCATGGGCATTATTATAAAATATCATAAAATATTCAAGCAATTTCGTAGAGCAGATAATTTTCGTTCAAACGATCAGTCATAAAGGTCATTTTTGTCATAGCCGTGTCAGGTCATAGTATGGGAACAGGGTTGCCATATCTCATCAATCATGTAAAGGAAGAAAAAAAAAAAAAAAGGATTAATTTGCAATACAGTTCAGCTTCATATTTTGCTTAAGGGCGAGAAGGACGAAAAAGACAGACGTGTGATAAATGGGGAAAAAAAAGAAAAGAAAAACAAAAAATGGTTAAACCACTACCCCAGGAGACCGCGCACCACTGACCGAATATCGTCGATCTGGAATGGACCAATTTTCTTCGATCTCATCTGGATAAACTGTCCGCGGAGGGCGGTGGCTCAGGCTCTGGGCTCGTTGCGGTCGAGAAGAAGTAGAGTGTCCGGAGTGGCGATTGGAATTCGAATTGGAATGGCCTTTCGACAAAGACTTGGACCGTTCTTTGCAAGCCTTGTGCACGCTGGCTCGCTCGCGGCGTTTTGCATCGAAATGCCTCCAATCTTGAACGGCGGACTGAATACTTAGGGCTGCGACGCCTACACTGGCGACGTCGGAAAGCTGGTTTTTTCGGCGGCGGTGGCGGGCTTGGTCCTTCGATATCTCACCCTCCTTAAGCTGTTTACTGCGTTCTTTGTGCTTTTCCATGTTTTCGGTTAGGGAGTGGGCGGCGTGGATGGTCGCTGCGGCAGCGATGCCGGTGGCCCATAATGTCTCCTTGTTGAGTTTCTTCAATTTTTTTGAATCATCGATACTATCTTCCGCGTCAGAACCCTTCTTCTCCTTCGAATGGTGCCGTGGCGCGTTTTTTGCGGATCGGGAGCCAGAGCGCGAGCGTTGTGCCACGGCCGAGCGATCGTAACCGTCGTCGCTTCTGGCTCCCGATGTGGGGATATAATAAGGTCGACTCACATCTTTGGAATGCCTGGTTCGCGGCGGGCTTGGATGACGGCGGTAGTAGTCGTCGTCACTGTACCGGTCATCATCAGAGTAGTCATCGTAGCGCGATGACCGATGGTGACGACGGCGCCGATCATCCCTGTCGCTCCTGTCGCTCCTGTCCCTATCGCTCTTTTCATCCAGGCCTAGGGCTGCTATACCCTTGTTGATATATTCGGATACACTCTTGCTCCGTTTCTTAGGTCGAGGCCGAGAGTCGTAGCTATCATAGCCATCTCTCGAATCGGATCGGTCACGCGGGCGTGAGCGGTCATGGGACTTCTGGTACCGATCATAAGCCTCCTTCCCAGCAGTGGCTAGAAGGCCCATGAGAGCAGCATCCTTAGTCTTCCCGCCGTGGCTCTTAGAGCCGGAGTGCCTCCCATGTCGAGAACGAGAGCGGGAGCGCGATCCGTTGACAAGCCGGTTCGTAGCAAGGCCAGCAAGCGTAGACTCGATGAAATGGCGCTTGGAGTGGCTGTCAGGGTCTTTATCGACAAGCCCATCAGTGCCTCCAGCAGCCAACGCAGCAGTGAGGACACGCTTGCCCTTTGGGCCGGACCAGTCACCGGGTTCCTTGCGCGCACGGAAAGCTTCGACAGCTCCCGCAGTCACTGCAGCCTTGACAGCTTGCGCGATACGTGCTTCATTCTTGCCACGGGCACTGCGCCCCCCACGGGTTGGAGACGGCGAATAAGAGTAAGATCTGTGGTGACGACCATGAGAACGGCCTCGATTACTACCACGGTGTTTGGAACCCGCAGCACCTTCTAGACCGACTGCACCGAGAGCACGCTCTGAAAGGGATCGTCGGCGACGGGGTGGCGAACGGCTGGTTGAAGGAGAGTATGCATATTTCTCACGTCCGCCTGCGTGAAAGTCAGCCTCGTGTTTTTCTTACCTTCCTTTTTAATCCACCGGGAAAGTGAAAAAGGTTTATACGCACGTCGTTCATCATGATGTCTAGATCGGCGGGAGCGGGGTTCATAATCATCGTACGGGTCATCGTAGCGCCCGCTTGCTGAGTGCGCTCTGTGGCGGCCCTTGCGTGAACGCTTCGAGTCGCGGGGGTGGTCGCCATATCCGTATTCATATGCATCTCTTGCAGGGTGGTTGCGGTAGTATGAGTCTCTGGTTCCGCCGGTGGGGGCGGCGCCATGTGGCATCACTTCTGTCGAGTGGCTTCCACCGTAGTGGTAAGGGGCTTCCGAGTATTCAGGCGGGGGGTAGCGATCGTGGGGGGAATATGGGATTCGGCTGTCGTAATATGCCATGTTTATCGGAGTTGTGGTGATGGCAAGGGAAGAATTAGATGAGAGAGGAAAGAGTCATGGGTTCAGTAATTCAAGAAGAAAGAGATGATGGCCGTGACTGCGAGGGTGAAGAGAAGAGGTCATAAGGCAGACTGGCAGAGAGACAATGTTTTAAGTGTGGCGAGTTAGCGGGGGGCCACCAGCCGCAGTTACTTGCTCTGACGTAACTTCTTTAAGCCCTTTCAAGGTGAAAGCTGCGTTAAAGCCACAAACCACCAGGTTCTCGACTGGGTCCTCTGTGGCTGGCGGCCATCTCCGCGGCGGGGGACTGTGAAGGGCCACGGCTGAAAGACCGTCATTAGACCCAGAAAAGATGAATCGAGAACGACTGTGACTGGATAGAAAATGCAGCCTGAATTCATCATGATGTTCTGGACTATAATTCGATGCTATTATTATTTGCAGGTGACAATGATGTCATAAGGCTAGGTCGGTGAGCGTCAAGGCACAAAACCAAAAAGAAAAAACCTCAGTTGTACAAGCATATATTGAATTGACCGAAGTTATAGTATAAGGCGTCAAATTAGCTCCACTATATCAAGCCCAACCTTGGGGCGCTCGGGTTCCTGATCCAGGCCCAACTTCTACCCCGGCTCCTGTTCCATGGTTCTACGGACTTACTCATGTGAGGCGGCGACTTCAAATCCAAAGACAATAAAACCCTCTGGGTATCATATGATTGGGGCTTGAAAATGAGCCCTTTTCCAGTTGCTAGCGTCGCTCTCTGGTATTGTACATGCCGATTCGGCCCCGTGACCTTTATGCCCTTTCATGATAGATAAAAAGCAAAACAACAAAACACGCTGATAACATACATGCAAGTCTTGGTGTGAAATTGAAACAAAATATGCAATGAAGTAAACAACCATGAAAAATAGAAATGAAAATAAGAAAAATCCTCGCCGACGCAACACCAACGTCGTGCGTTTTTGCCTGAAGGCATAAGTCTATCCAAATTCTATCCGTCATTTTCAGACGGCGGGGAAGAAAAAGAAAAAGAAATAAAAGCGCGAGCAGAAAGGAGGTAGCACCAAGTACCGCCCAGTAGTCACCCCGTCTTAGTCACAGGAGTCTCTTCGAATCGAAGCCTTTTTGAAGGAACAGTGAGCGCTGGGACCAGTTTCATCGGCACCGGGGTTATGCTGGGAACCTAAGAGGATAAAGGTCCTCTCGGACATCCATTATTCACCATGTTTCATGATGGCGAAACGCAAGGAGCCCTGTGATGGTGGCTGCTGCTTTCACATCGGAATCGTCGTCCTCGTGTCATCGTAGACAGTCGTATCTCCGAGAACATACATCCCAAATCTAGTTATCGTACAAAGTATTGTTTCTCCTGGCCTCCCATTCCCGGCTCATTTCCGGACTTCGTTGAGACGGGTTTGAGGACATATCATCGGAATGTGTTCGGTGCGTCCTGATATGTTGCTTCATGTTGTCTTTCCGGGTAAACGCCTTGTTGCAAATCGGGCAATGCACGCTCTTCTCGCCCGTATGCTTTTTACCGTGCCGTGCTGCATGTCCTGACGTTGTGAAGGTAGCAGTGCAGGCGTGACTGGCGGCAAATGGGCAGGGGTACTTGTTTTTGCGAGCTGGTTTTGGAGCAATAGACTCTTTCGAGGTGCTGGCAATCGATGTTTGAGGAGACGGCGGTTCCGCCATGGAGTTGGCGCTGAGCCGCTTTTCCGGGTGTTGTTGGTAAGCGTAAGGATCCTGACGGCTAGGATAGTGTGCGTGGTATGAGCTTGCAGAGCTGGCAGCATAATCGTAAGAAGAACAATCTGAAGAACCCGGTGATGTTGCGCGGGTGGCCTCTGTGACAGGATCGAATGGTTGCCGCATTACCCTCGGGGACGGGGAGTCGGAGTATGTGCGGCCATAGTGATAATCTGGCGTGACCCTTGCTGGAGGCTCCAATGAATAGTGATGTGAAGAGGTGGGATAATGTTTGGGTATCCCGTAAGCCGATCGAACCGCGAATGCCGGGTTGTCATCGTTGTTCAAAATCGACACAAAACTTGCCCTTGACATTTCCTTTACACTGGGGATCTGAGCGGACAAAGTAGGAAAGGAAAATAAGATATTTAAACCTGAATGTGAACAGTCAGCTGGAAGTCTGGCTTGATAATTCCAAACGACTGCTAGGAACGGAGTGGTGGTATTTTAAAACCCTATGAGCAGAGCAGAGCACGAAAGGGAAAAAAAAAAAAGGAGAAAAGTGGTGAGGGAGAAAAAGGAAAGCGACGACAAGGAAAAAAGGGTAAGAGTGCACACACCAGCTGTCTTCGATGATGTTTGTGGTTTCGTTCGTGTAACGCGCCCTTCGATCTGTAGAAAGGCACCTGGGCGCAAATCTAGCAGCAAACCGATGAGACGAATCGAGACCAGCCCGATTTGCTTCAAAAGTGGATAGACAGGGCTCCAATAAAGTTGGCAGGCGATCTGATTTTCAGGAATTCAGGCTGGATTGTCCAGTCGTGCTGATGGTGGGGAGCTGCTGGAATCAGGATCCCGAGACACAAGGTCGACGAGACGGCTCAGTGCAGCAATGGATTGCTTTTATTGTCTTTTCTTCGCAATCCCTGGTCGAACCTAGAATAGGAAATAGAAAGAGCGAGTCCTGAAGAAGACAGCAATTGCAAACTGGGCCAGGAGATGATCGTCCTGGGTTTCAAGAGGCGGGAGGAGGAAAAAGAAACGTGGTGGGTGACAGAAGGTAATTAAACTCGAGCAGAAGTCTTCCAGAGAGGTGCGAGAGTCAGAAAAGCCAGCAAGCAAGCGGCTGAAGATGCGAGGTTGAAAGTCGGGACTCGAGGGGGTATCCCAGTGACGATAAGGTAGTGATAGATAGAGTGGATGGTGAAGAGGTAAAGAGGCCTTAAATATAAGAATAGGCGATATGGGATATGCAAAGTGTCAGTGAGGGAGAGAGTGAGGAGTAAAGGAGTCAAGAAACAGAGGGCGAGATGCAGCAGCCAGGATGAGATCGCACCGGAAGGGAAATAGATGAAGAAATAAGAAAAGCATCCATCTTGAAACTCCAGGGTCTCTCCAGAAGCTCTGGCCATCAAGCCCGAGAAAAACGGGGCTTGAGTTAGTGTGCACCTTAGTTCGTCTGCGAGCCCACCAGAGTGGACTCGGTCACTCGAGCTTCATTCGGGTGGAGCGGCCGCTAGGCAGCATAATTCTTCACTGCTTCACATTGGCCTCTGGCGCGACGACAATTCTCACTCTTTTGCCAGGCATTTGCAATGACAGTCGCCCATTCTCGCTGTCAGCCCCCGGCTGCCAATGAGCGGCGCATATCTTCTCAGCCTTGGGGCTTTGAGATTAATTCCGATTAATACCTCCTTTTCCTCCAAATTTACGTACTGCCAGTGTAAGCATTTCAGGTTCTATACACAGAGTATCTCCGAAGTACACCCACCACCAAATGGCTAGTGCCCTCCACCCGTCGCCTTGCTCCCCTCAGGCCCTTGAAACGAATACGTGGTACGGCGCCTCTGTTCTAACTATCTCCGACCGAATAACATCAACCTACGCGGCGCTCAGCCACAGATGCTCTCTGATTCTGATCCATCGCTATCCTGCTCTAACCCATGAAGACGCCGAACATCCCTCTTTCAGGGCCCTCACCCCCATCCACAGGCTCGATCTGACTCAGTGGAGGCTTGTCTAGTGCGTGTCTTTTGTCGTCAGCATCTATTAAGAGAAAGCCTATATACGAAGCCGAGTGCGTCAGGGCCTGATCATGGTAATAATAATAAATTACACTGGGAACAGGCGGAAACCGCAACCTTGGAAAGGCCTGGATGAGCATGGGGACTTGGTCGACGACGAGTCAACGACAGATCATGGGTTCTGGGTTCCAAACTTCCAAGACATTGCTAAGGCTTGGTCGTGGTCGGCAATGCCAATGAGAGGACACCCGATCCTTGGATGACGATTATCACGGAACCTCTGTGTAGAAGAGTAAGCTGTCTGCATAGGTGGCCTTGACTCAGGGTTCTACGCACCCTCTTTCAATCGAATTCAACTTCCAAGACGCTGATTACAGACATCAAGAGGGCAATGATATACTCAAAAAATCTATAAGTTAATCGCCAGTCCAAGACCAAGAAATGCCGGGAAACAAGTGCAGTCCAACGATCCGTCCAGATCCGGTATATGCGTTTCGCAAATACACCGTAAGATACGCTATATCAAGGGATTCAGAGCGAGTCAAGCAAGACGGGACCGGCCTCCGCCCATCCCTGCCCATCGCGGTAAAGCCGCCCTGGGGGATCCAGTAAGCTCTGCGGAAGAGCCCTGTGGACAAGCTTTTAACCACGCTGTCTGAACCGCCGGATGGTGCTCAATCTGCATTAGCCCTCCTGAGCCCACGTCTGTCTGTCTGTAGTCTGTCGTCTGTACAGTAGTCTGTACTCTGTAACCACCGTCCGATTCACATTCAAGACCAACCAAAACACATCCCCTCCTCAGCCTCCATCTGAACCTGTTCCAGGTTGTTTCCTTCGGCCTTTTCTTGGAGTACGTGTGTCGTTGCCCTGCGTATTGACCGTCTCAAACAAAAGACCCCGGCAGTAAATTCCCGTCCAGGAACCCGCCCGGAAGATCCGACCTCGGATTTAACGAAACGACCCCCGAACAGAACAGGACTGGACTGGACAGAACCAAAGCTCGGGCAATATTCGCGATTTTACAATAATAATATTCTGGCCAAACAGCTTTAGCACGAGGGCAAGCGGGTGTGCGAGTGGAATTGGGTTGTTGGATCAGAAATCTGGTTCCAACGTCCCAAACTTTCGACGTTCATAAGTGAGGCATAACTTCCTTTTGACTGCGCCCGTGTCGGTTCCAGCGGATCCCGAGGGACCCTGTATGTACACAAGTTATGAAAGGTCCATACTCCATAAATATTCAAGGTTTGGCACACGGCTGCGTTGATCCACATTTTGCAGATGAATATGGAGAACGGTTAATCTGTTATGTTTTGGTTATGGTGTCTGCCTGTTTGGATGGATGGAGAATAATAACGATATACATGATTTACTACGAGAGAATACGAAAAGATGACCTCACCCTGTCTATCCATGATTATGATTCATCCTGGACTGGCAGACCCTGAACCGGCAACCAGCCGCGAAGGCTACTGCCGAGACCAGCCCAGGGCCCAAACGTGGCTCGATCGCACCCTGCTTCCAATGGATGCAGGCCGGCGAGTCAAGCGTCAAGACTATGGATTTCTTTCTTTTCTCCGTGTTTTTTAGCCCGAAGGGTCGGCCGTCGAGCCCTTTCTGGACTGTGGCTTGGGGTCCAACAAGAATGATTACGTATCTGTCGAGCCGAAGTTCCGAGATTTTAGCAGGAAACTGACAACCGCTGGCTGTATGGAGAGTACGGGGTTGGTATATGTAAAATTAATGATTGGATGACATTTAGGGAGAGTTGACAGTTCATTCCAAGGTTTGACTTTGGGGCAGTGAAGCTGGCGATTATCTCAGATAATCATGGTTTCACTCGCGAAATATTCCGCTATTTCTGGACTGGCTGTGAATTCGAAGTTAAACCAGTCTTAGCTTTGAGGGGAATACGGAGTTATCGACTTGATCTGGTTAGTGGCAAGCAGGTCCAGGCCGTGAGAACCACGCCATCATCCATGAAGGCTAAAGATGGTGATCTGGCGCCAGGCTACGCAGTCTGTGTACGAATAGTCGTCGAAAGCACAAGTTGCTTGACTTTGCTCCGTTCAAATTTCAATTCCGATAAGGTGTTCTTGCCGTACTTGCCGTATCCTAGCCGGAGCTTAGCTCGGAAATAAACGTCCTGGGGCCGCGAGTGTACGTACGACTACACCACGGAAGGAGGGCTGGTTGATGAGCATCAGCTGAACATCACCTTGTCCAAGCCGTAATGGGTTGTAATACATACACACCGAAGAGGCTGGTACTTTATGTCTTATGAGAAAAGCAAGTCACGCAAAATATGCATAATTTACAGTCATTGCTTATTTTTCCGAGCCCTTTTACCTCACAAGGGCAATGCACAGTTCCACTTATCAACGACCAAGAATAGGATTCATGAACCTGTCCTCTCAAGTCTCAACCTCGACCAACTCAACCCCTCAGCCCACAGGGCCACCGGCTTCGGCTAGCAGCCGCCGAGCCCAGAGATTAATATTTCAGCCTGGAACTCCAACTGCATCCAAGTCCCTGAAAACAGTGGAGCCCGTGTCTGGAATCCCGAAAAAGGGCTGAGACGCCAAGTTTCGCCCGCAGATGTTGATCTCAACCTGGAGTCTCGGCAATCTCATCTGCTTGGCCGCGATGGCAGATGGAGACAGGAAGGGTTGATCGGGCGCTGGCTTGTTTATGGATGGGCAGGGACTCGTTGTCGCCCTGCATCGTAGCTGCGGCACTCCTTTGCGGTGCTGCAGTGCTTGCGGGTATTGCAGGACTGCTGTGTCGACGCCATTACAAGAACGGTAAATGTACTTGTGATTTCGACCCTTCGGGGGTTTGAGCCTGAGTCCAAGGCTGACCCTGACTCTCAACCGGAACTTGAACCTGAATGGAATTGCCGTTTATGTTCCATTTGTAGTTAGTCGCAGCGACCCCTGCTCACGGGCTGACGCTATTCCCCTCGGCGCTGTCCACTCCCTCTTGGCGAGTTGGCATAAGGCTGAGCAGCGACAGTGACCAGTGAGCTTTTCATAGAAACTGGAGACAGTCCACCAAGCCAAGTTCTTAGCATTGCACACGAAGGCCGGAATTAGAAATGATTTGTACCATGCCAGGACCCCGAGTATGCCACCTCAACGTTAGGTAACTATTTTTTTTTTTACCAGGGCGCAGCGCCGCGGCTAGTTCAACGACAGTTCGATTGGCGCACACTGCACAAAGGGAAGAAACCCACATGACGGTTTGATGGAGCTGGATCAGGGTCCTTTAGGAGCCACAAATCAGAGTGAGGGGTGTGGGCCATGGACGAGCCCTGGCGAGGATGATCGAGTCTCGTCAGTCTCAGCGAAACGACAATCGTCGCCCTGACAATCCGCCAATCCAACCCTGCAATTTCTCGCCGATGCTGAGAAGTGGGAAGGCCATGTGGATGAGGTTCCAGTTGTCCCTCATGCATGAAGTCCCGTCCGAAGCCGCCGCAGGGGACCCTAAACTCCCTTGAGGCATTGCTAGTGCTGCATTCATCGCCATCTTTGGTCTTGCCCAGCGCCCACTGGACTCTGCTGTCGTCGAGAGTTCGCCCCTGGTTCCGGCCCGAAAACTGTCCAAGTTTCGTGCTTGGAACTGAGCCTCGGCAGGATGTGAGTGGCAGGCCAAGCACTCGGCGGGTTCAATACGGATACGAAGGTTGCTCGTCGAGACTAAGGCCAAGCAAGCAGCGCGAGGGGAAAAACATTGAAACATTGAAACATTGGCGAGGGCCAGTTTCTCGGATCTTTGCTGCGAGATCTCGTCCTGGTGTCCATGGATGCGTCTGCCACAGGGTCTCGGAATCAGGGACGAAATCCACAGGCTCCTGGCTCGACATGCACTGAGACTCGAACGGGCTCGGTGTCAAGATCTAGAAGCAGTGGGACCGGGAGAGAAAATCCCGCTGACAAAGCATGGCTGGTAACTTACGGCATAAGTTTCCGTAAATTACCGCCAGCAGTGAGCGCTTTTTGAGTCAGCGCCGTGCGATCTTCAGGGTCCGGACCAAAAAAGGGTGGAACTGACCATCAGGATTAAAATCACAAAATGCCGTCCGTGGACGGTAATCTTGAAATGCACTTTCCAGTAATTTACCTTGTGCTACTCGGGGTCGGGGCTTACTCGCCCCGATCAGGGCCAGTGTGGACTTGCACTGTCAACCACACGACTTCGGATCCAGCAGCCGGGCCTTCTCCTCTGGAATCCACAATCTATTTGAAAATTTTCTTCAGGTCCAGGGGCTAGTTCAGTTCGTTCGTTTCCTGAATCGCCTGTGGAGATGGCACTGTATCACTGCTCGAAATCTTTCCATCCGGCTCGCTCTCCGACACCTGTGCCCTAATCAGCAGCAGGATCAGCAATCATGGATCAGCATACGTGATAACGCTTGACAAAAAGTATACAAGATTAGAGTACGTCCATCTATGACTCCTCCCTCTTCATCCCCGAGTCTCAACGCGTACACACTCCAATGTCCGGAATTACAATAGAACCCCCGAGAACTGACGAACTGACTTCCCCTCGTCACCCCAAAGCTACGTAAGCGGAGTCGTCACGCAGTGGGTAGCCTTTGGTGTCAAGTTCGAGTTTGTCCAAGGCCATCTCCCCAGCCTCAGGCCAATCCCAGAAGGGAAAGCACATCGTCCTGAAGACAATATTAGCCCGGCCCTTTCTCTAACGCGAAATATTTAGCTTCTACCTTTAACTTTTGAGGGGTCCTTCTGTGGCTAGTACACGTAAGCCACACACTCAAACACATCTCCAGCCGAGCGAAACGAGCTGGAGCGAGTCACGACCTGCGGATACTAATACCAAAGTAGTAGCATCCGATCAGGCAGAAACAAAGTGACAAGCCCCAGCAAACAAGTTTATGGACCCAACTAGAGAGGTCCCGAGGTCCAGAGCAGAATTAGCTCCGACCTTCATGATTCATTAAACGCCTGAGTCCTTCATCTGGAGGCATCAAGGCGTTGAGCTTGTTGATAGCTCGCTCACTTACGTAGGCGCATACGAATGCCCTAGTATAGGTGGGGTTAGCTTGTTTGTGACTTTGTATGGACAGATTGGACTTCATCAGGCGATTGGAGGGAATGCGAGGCCCCAAATGCGCTTTGCTCGGCGCCACGCGTTGTCGAGTCTGTGATGGTGCTTCATTTCAGCTTCGATGCAGGGATGGAGTTGGGGTTGGTTGGACTCGGTCTCCTGGATGAGGTGTACTCTCGTACAAGGCGACGAGTAGACGAGTAGACGAGCAGATGAGCAGTAGTAACTATCGTCCGATATACCGGCAAGGATAGGCCCTGACGGCTCTACTGCATCTGCATGATTGCGTATACTTGCATGGTTAGACGTCGTGCAGCGTATTTGGTTTTGGCGAGATATCGAAGGATGAATGGATGGTAGATGCCCACTACCGAGCTTCATGCCGTGGCATACGCAACGTCCATGGCCTAGTCAAGGTACTCTCGAGCCGTGTGCTTGAGGAGATTCTGCCTGGGTAACCTCGGCTTGATGTTGTATACTTCGTTCTAGTACCTTCAGTATCAACTACTCACCACACATCAGAGTATGGGAACTAATAGCCTCTGCAGGTCCTATGCAATCTACCGCATTAATTCCCCATACCTTGGAATTATTCCATTCTTTTGTATTTCCCTAATCTGCTTACTTTTGCAACATAGACAACGAACGATATCGAACCGAACCCATACCAAAACACAATCAACAGACAGATCAAACCAACTCCCTCTTAATCTCCCCTGCCCTTTCCATCTCCCCCAAGATACCATCAACAGTCCTCATCGCCTCCATACCCGCCGGCGCACCACAATAAACCGTCGCATGGATAACAGCCTCGCGAATCTCCAACTCGGACAATCCATTCCTCACCGCGCCGCGAACATGCATCGCCAACTCAGGCTGACGATCAAGCGCAATCAGCATCCCGATGTTCATGAGCGACCGCTGCTTCCTGTCTAGCCCCGGCCGGTTCCAGACGTGGCCCCAGGCCCATTCGGTGATCATTTCTTGCATGGGTGCTGTGAAGGCGTTGCTGTTTTGGACGGAGCGGTTTACATGGGCGGGGCCGAGGACGGCTCGTCGCGTGTTGAGCCCGGTTTCATAGTCGTAGGGATTTTGGGAATTGGTGTTGTTGTTGTTGTTGCTATTGGTATCCTGGGTAGAGGGGTTTGAGGTTGTGGTGGGGTTGGATGGTTGATTGTGGGACATTGTGGGAGAGTGTCTGGTGTTTCCCGCGGTATAGATACGAGATAAATTGGCTTGCTAATTCAGTTGATGCCAGGATTCCGACCGGTTGCTTGCAGCATTGATCGTGTTTAACGCGATGGGGATACATACAGATGGCGAGATGTCGATGGCGGGCCGGGTCGGGTGCTTGCGGAGCGATTCCGCGGTTGAATGGATGGTCTGTCTACGTCTACAATATGCTTTTATCGGGATGCCGATATAGCCTCGCGTCTCTACGCAAGTATCGATACGGGGGATCCTGTATTCCGGAGAATACATCTTCTCGGGTTTACTGTTCAAAGATACCATCCGCGGAGAATCGAAACAGTCCGGGACTCCGAGTAGGAGAAGGGCATTGAAAACATTCCTCACGCCACAGCTCCCCACCATGATTCAAGCCCCGGGAGTTAACGAGCAATGGGAGCCTGGGAGGAACCGAGGAGACCCTCGGTGGATAAACATTCTGGTGGAGGGCTCTGAGGCCATTGGAATGCGCGGGTGAGCCCCTTGTTTCAATTGATCTCACCCTGAGTCCGCAGTGAAACCGGACAACAACCCTAGAAGTGGGTTGCTTCCACTTCTAGAAAACGGAACCATTCACTATTGAGTTAATGTATACGAGACAATTCGATGCATGCGATGCCAACAGGCTCGTAGGACAGAAGAAGGTGCTGCGTGGTCAGGGGTTTGCTGTATACTTGCCGTCGCATTGGATAGCGACTGGTATGTCCATCCCTGGAAACAACGGTGCATCGCACTCATTCCTGACGAGAATCGAAAAACTCCTTGACTGCCCTTCGGGGATATATAGGGTATATCTAATGGCCAGTATCTTGTCCTATGTTTCGCAAACTCATATCTCTGTATACTTCTACCTGTACTGTACAAAAAACGCACCTCCTCTATCAGCCTCCAAAAGCCGGCACAATGACCCCGACAACATCATGGCCCTCCCTCCTCCTCGGTTTCACACTCCTCTTCTCCCCACTCGCAACCTCAATCCCCCTCCCCCTCCCAGCCAAGGACTCCAATTGCAACAACCTGAACCCTAGTTCGGGTCCCGAAACAGGGCTGCAGCCTCGATCTCCGATCCCTGACCCTGTATGTCCAGTCCCACCCATTATCCACTCCGAGCGAGCAAAGTAAAATAAACTAACAAATCGCAGCGCATGATTCCAGGCCAAACAGACGGTGTTGCAAGAATCCTTGCCGGACTAGGCCTGGAGAAATTGGCCAACCTCAACAAGCTGAATCCGGAGGAAGATACCCAGGAGCAGGAGCAGGAGCAGGCGGAGAAGAAGCAAGATGCTGTTCCAATTGACGACAGCAAGAGCAATACCCCGACTGTGACGGCTCACGACAACGAGCCGCCTGTCGACAACCAGTCTAACCGGGTGGAGCCGGTGCACGGAAACAACAAGCAAACTACGGAGAGCGCGAAGCCTAAAGACAATGAAAAGGCTAAGGACGCGAACTCGTTGAATCCAGCAACCAACACCGATGGCTACCTGGATAGTCTATTTGAGAAACTGAGGACCAAGATTCGTGAGGCCTTTAACAGCAGTGATGAGGTTACGCTTAACTAGGTTGATTGGAGTTTGTTTGTTGGACTGGATTGGAACGGGTGCTTGCTTGCTTGCTAATATCCTTGCTACGGCTGATGTTGGTGTTGGGGTTCAGGGCTGGTGGATTTGTCTTCTGAAGGTCGTTGACTGGGAGGAAGCTTAGCGTTAATGAATGACGACACGGAAGTGTTATTGTAATATTAGACATAAATAACAAATGGAATTTGATTTGCTGAATGTATCTTGATGTCCAAGTTCTCTATAACTCATTTTACCTACTTGGATCGCAACGTACAACGTGTCTGCAACAGTCATGCAGAAGTCGACTCCCCCTGGTATCTACAAACACGAAGCCATTTCATCGAGGCAGGGTTCAAGCTAGCATGTCGAATGCGTTTGAGCACCTACAGTATGATACGGATAGGGATGCCAAATATGGCGCAGTCGAATCTCGACATCTTGCGAGATGGATGCGACGAAGCCTTTGTACCAACACTCGATCATCAAGGCGTGTACTGACGTCTTCCACGAGGTAGTCCCTTAGCACTATGAATGCCATAGGACGAACAACGCGCGAACCAGGCTGATTCGGTAAAGTCCAGAAGCAGCTGCCCGCGAACCCTGACTGTCGCCTGATTCCTGGTGACACGAGTACAGTTACTCAAACGTGTAAGGAGACCCTCGCACATCAGCAGATACCATGATAACGATGAGCTCTAGGCGAGATCCGAATTGCTACCCTCGGCGACTGCCTGGAGCTACTCAGAGAACCGCCAGGCTCAGGGTTTCATCGTCAAACACCCAGTCAAGCAGTGCGACCGCCATATTGAAATCAGACCTGTAGAATAACTAGAGGCAGTTGTTAGCCTGGTTCAACAACTTTCGAAAAGAGTGTCGCGGCGAAGAAAACAATCAATCAGGTCAAGTGTAGAAGGTCAACACGCAATCTCACAACAATGCGGAGATTGTCAGAATTGCAGAATTCTTGAAAGGATCATCATTGAAAAAAAGAAGAAAAATCAAACAAAATGCATTAACTTACCCATTAGTTCAGCGGACATGCCGGACAATAGGTCGGGGGTTGTCCAACGTGTCCGTCAGTATTTGTTGTGGGGAGAAGAGAAAAAGTTGTGGGAGACTTAAAAGCAATAGCCTCATCACGTGCCAGCTGTATACTCGAATCCTCTCCAGAATCCAGACGCCAGCATCACGTCAATCAAAGTCTGGATTCACCCCAAAACTGCTCACTGCCTTGTTGACCCCGCTTTTGCCCCATCAATTAGCTCATTCATCCGACCGCAACGCTTCCCATTCCAATGGCAGATTCTCCCGGTTCCCCCCTCTCCTCCGTTGCCGACGACGATGTGTCGGATCGCGAAGACACCAAGCAGGGTGTCTCAACTCCAACATCCAATATGCCTCCCTCGAAGCGTCGCCGCACCGGCATGGCCTCTTGGGACCGTAACACACCTGTATCAACATCATTCCAGGATGAGCTGCCTCCGCCTCCATCGCCGTCGTCTTCAATATCGTCCGATACGTCCGGCGATATTCCCAACTCGCCTAGCACGCTGTCTCTCATAGGGGCAAACCAGGACGAAGACTACAGCGGCCAATGCAACGACCAGGTCACTGTGTGTCGATGGGAGGGATGCGATTTTAAAGATCTCGGAAATATGGACGACTTGGTCCAACACATTCACAACGAGCATGTCGGTAGCCGACAGAAGAAATACTCCTGCGAATGGTCCGACTGTCCTCGGAAAGGCCAAACGCACGCCAGCGGCTACGCACTCCGGGCGCACATGAGAAGCCATACAAGGGAAAAGCCCTTTTACTGCGCGCTCCCTGGTAAGGTTCCCTTTTCCATCTTTCCCCCTCTCCCTACCTTGCCTGCTTGCCTGCCCCTGCCAGTTGGCTCGCGTAACCATAAGGCAGTTTGACTAACGACAATGCTCGCAACCTCAACAGAATGTGATCGCAGTTTCACCCGCTCCGATGCCCTTGCAAAGCACATGAGAACAGTACACGAAACAGAAGCCCTGCGCCCGTCTGACCCCGTCCCGAAACGTCATGATCTCCTCTCCGCCGCAGGAACGCCGGTCGGCACTCCAGCTAGCAAGCTCCAACGCATCAAGTTGAAGCTGTCGCACCCACCCAGAGATGACTCGGAGCAATACAGCGAAAGCGTCAACGACGACACCGCCGGGACGGAAGACCTCGACGAGTTCGAAGTTCCCGAGTTCAGCTCCGACACCGGTTTCGACGATCACGAGCTTGAAATGAACCCACACCAGTTGTACAGGCTTCTCCGCCGTCAAATCCACTGGGCCGAAAAGGAAGGGGTAGATCTACGAGGCGACTGGGATAAAATCAGGCCAAAGAGGAAACAGGCGTGGTCAGAAAAGGAGGCTATATTCGATGACTTGATGGATGCCGAAGTCAGGCTCTTCAGCTCGCTCGTTGGCAATGAGGGAGCCACGGCCCCAGCTGCTTCAGCGAACGGGGTGGCTGAGAAAGAACCATCACATCCGATAGAAACCTCAGGCAATGGAGAGCACAATGGGGACTCTATCGCGACGTGAACGTTCAAGGGAATGCCCTGTTTCATCTACTTTCTACTTCTCCCTAATCAGAGACCGTATCAAGCGGTTTCCTTACACGGGTTCTATTTGTTATTATTTCTCTACTATGTATTAAGATGGCGGGTTCAATGACGGTTCAAGTCTACGCTTTTATTATTTTGATCCTTACACTATTCTGGCGCTAGTTCCATTTACTGCTTTTCCACTTGCAAGACCTCAGCCAGAGCAAAGCATGCACGCTTTAATTCACTGCAGAATACAGTACAACTTCGGATAAAATTTCGAATTCATGAATGTATTCTCAACACTTTTCATCAATTATATAAAATCAGAAGAAAAGAGCAATCTGGTAGCCAGCCACCCATTCACTCGACTTCAATCATCCATGGTATAATATCATAGAAAGCGGGATGTTGGTAGAAAATAGAAACGAAGTCTAACGACATTTCAACATATCATCCCATAATAGGCAAATGGATCATCCCCGTAGCAGCAATAGTAGGATACATGAAGATCCGGGTACACCCCCAACGCCAGCGCAGAAAGAGGCAAAGCGGATCTAGGTGAATAAGGTGGGAAATACAGCTGAACCCGGTTCGTTCCAAATATATGGTAAAAAGACAAAGGGCCAAAAGAGATATTGGAAATAAAAAACAACAACAAAGTATCTCATGCAACATCGTATCAAGTCCACCATATGGAGACCGATGTTCAAAGTTCCCTGAGGTGGACCACACCAGACGCCGTCGCCATGCTTTCCCAAGTATGCATAAATGAGGAAGAACAGGAAAGGGGAGAGTAAATGGATGAAAGTGGGAGGGGGGAAATGGGAAAATGTTTAAACAAATTTAGAAACAGCGCTTTTTGATGCATATCAAGGGAGTTCTCTAGTCCCTGTTCGAAGAGACCTTGGCTACGGCCGCTTTTTTGTGAACATCAATCAGTTTGTGGTACATTTCCTGGAGCTTGGCTCCTCCTGCGTCTTTATTCGGCCAGTAGTGAGCCGAAACATAATGCCTATACATGAGGTATTAGATCTAGATTGGTCAAGGAGAAAAAAAGAAAAATAGACGCAATTTTCAACATACCATAACCGAGTTTCAAGGGAGGAGAGAGAAGCTGAATTCTCCCCCCCAAGGTTGCTGACGATAAAGTCACCAATTTTGTTGAGCAGGCGTCTAAGCTCCAGGGCGCGTTCTGCCTTGTTGGGGAAACTGTCTTTGGTGACATCTGCGACCTTTTTGAGATCGTCACGGATCGGTTTGAAGAACCGACGTGACATGTCCTCTTTGCTCTGGGAATGGCCATTTTCACTGTTCTTGCGACGACGGACATCTTCACTTGAGCCATCGGACGGTCTGTGCCGGCGTTCAGGTTCGAGGGCAGATCTTCCTCGAGAATCGCGGTTCGGCGTATTGTGCCGCTCCATGCTCTCTCGGCCACCATGGGTGTGGGAGCGATGGCGCGTTCGATCCTGCTCTCGGTGCCCCTTACGTTGAAGAGATGGCGCAGGAGACGCTGAGACACTAGCTTGTGGGCGAGAATGGCTCTTCCGGGCATTGCGATGATGGTTTTCCACAGTTCGCTTCGTAGTAGTGCTCGACCCGTTGCTAGCCTTGTCCCTAAGGATAGACAGAAGATAATCGGCTCGCCGAACAAGGTGGACAGCGCCGGGTGATTTTGTGGTCTTGTCGTCTGCATTCAACCGCTCCGTCTTGCGCTCAACACGGTGTTCTTCCAGGAAGAATTTCTCTGCCAGTCCGAGATCGGGGTCATCCCGAATCTGCATCCAAGCACCATACCCATGGCGCGAGATACCAACGCAGAGCATGCCATCTTCTCTGGCACCCCATGGGCATGAATAATCAGGTGCTTTTGTTGCCTCCGGAACGCGGAAGTTCCTAAAATCAGGTATCGCTAGCGTTGCTTCTTTTAGTACACGCATCTCGGCGGGACGCTCAACAATAGTGTATGCATTGAGGCGTTTGACACCATGGAGGTCAAACAAAACCGCCTTCCTCTCTTTCTTGGTGAGAACTTTGCCAGCGTTTTCGAGAGCTTCTAATCGCGCCACGTCCTCCTGAACCAAAGCCGCTGCCTTGTCGGTTATCTCACGGAGTCCGCCCTTGACGGTATCCCTATCGCGTTCTGTTAGGCGTGCTTCACGTATAACCTCCTCTTCTCGATCATCAATGTCACCATAGCGTAGGAAGGCCCTAAGGAGGTGACGATACTCTTTCTCCACAAGCGGACGCTTTGGGTCTGCCTGTACATGTGAATCTGAATCATCACCATCTCCATCATTCATGCTGACCTGGACTCGTGCTTGGCGTTTGGCCTTCCGTTCTGCGCGGGTGTCCCGTTCATCCCCTGCGATAGCACGCTTGCGTGGCCGATTCTGCTCAATCATATCTGCCAAGTATCTCTCGTCCGATTTCTTCTTTTCCTCGGCTTTTATTTCTTCGAGTTGGTCCTTGGGAATTATATCATCCCACGTGAGGTCGTCAACCTTAATATCAACGTAATCAAACGCTTTAAGGAACTCTTCGCCTCCATCCGCTTGAATACCTTCAGCCTGTTCTGTTTGGTGTAACTCAGCGTTTGCGAGTACTGAATCAATGTCAAGCTGCTCCAATTTCTCCTGGTTGCCAGTTTGCTCGAACATTCTCTGCCCACGGCGCTTGAGAATTCGGGAAATGTCATCGGTAGAATTGGGTTCGCCAAGAGTGACACCTCCTCGCGCCATTCTGTTTTGAATTTCAGATGCTTCTTTATCTGTAACGCCTCTTTGGATCGTGATAAATTCCAGAAGGAGTTTGTTACGGGCTCTCTCGATCACTTCCTCCTCAACTGTGTCCTTAGACACCAAACGATACACGCTGACAGGCTTAGTTTGGCCAATACGGTGTGCTCTCGCCATAGCTTGAAGATCAGCTTGAGGATTCCAATCAGAGTCAAACAGAACCACGGTATCTGCAGTCATGAGGTTGATTCCGAGACCACCTGCTCGAGTGGACAAAATGAATGCAAAATCGCTGCTATCGGGTGCGTTATAATGCTCAATGGCAAGGCGACGTGAGGCTGAGGGTATTGTCCCATCAAGGCGCTGATATGTGTAGCCACGGTACTCCATGTAGTCTCCCAGGATATCGAGCATCTTCACCATTTGACTAAAGATCAAAACACGGTGCCCATCCTTCTTCAGCTTGGTAAGAAGCTGATCAAGAAGCATCATTTTTCCACTGCTGGTAATCAGAGCTCGCAATACGTCTTCCCGACGGGTGCTACCCTCAAGAATTTTGGCTTCCGCATTAGGAAACATGAATGGATGATTACTTGCTTTCTTCAACTCCATCATGATGTTTAGGAGTGACTGCTTTTGTCCTTTGGTGCCTTCGTTCAGCGCGGCGTAGTTTTTGGTGAGAATGTTTTTGTAATACTCCAACTGGACGTCGGAGAGTTCAACACGGATGATTTTCTCTGTCTTGGGCGGAAGATCAGACTCTACTTTTGTTTTCGTTCGGCGTAACATGAACGGTGAGATCGCCTTCGTCAGCTCGGCAAGCTTCTCGGATGCAACCTCAGAGTTCAAATCCATATCCGCATCGACTTCGACCAGGCCTGGATTCAAGAAATCTAAGAGGGCCGAAAGCTCGGCCAGGTTATTTTGAATAGGCGTACCGGTGATCAGGAGACGGGCGGGTGAGTTGAATTCGAGAAGTTTGATATATAGTTGAGACTCCCGATTTTTTAGTCGGTGAGCCTCATCAACTGCCATGAATTGCCAGTTGAATTGGCTGAGGAATGATGAGTCCACTAAAACATACTCGTAGGTGGTCAGGAGCACGTTAAACTTCGGTCGTCGAGGGTTGCCGTCCACCATGAGCTCATGTTCTTTGAGAACGTTGCGAGAGGCTTCGTTTCCATTATAGACAACGTAATTCAGATCCGGGGACCAGTTATCGAACGTCTCAGCCCAGGACGGCATTGTAGATAGAGGGACGACTACCACAAAGGGGCCTTGCTGACGTCTGACGTGGCGCAACCAACTGATAAATGCGACTGTTTGTACGGTTTTTCCTAAGCCCATCTCATCTGCAAGGACAACATTGCGATTTTTCACCCAGTTGAATGCCATGAAATTGACACCTTTGACTTGAAACTCCTTGAGTTGGCCATTCTGTAAGAAGCTCGGTGTTCCCTTGATGGGTTCGAAGGGTTTGCGACTGGCCGGGATCGACTCCTTTTTATCCGAGACCGGTGGCCGCGAGGAACGGTCTAGGAAACGGTCTATCTCGCGTTGAGCAATATGACTAACCAGCTCTTCACCTTCCCATGTACAAGAGTCATAGAAGAGGCGCTTCCATTTCACCAAATATTCTGTGCCATCTTCCCCTTCGCGCATGCCAATAACTCGCTCCACGAACTTATGATCCTCAATAGCATCCACATCCCTTTCCCGGTCGAGGTTCCATTTCTCTCGATCCTCGGGCGGTACGCCTTCGTCATAGTTCAAACGTAAGTCTTCAGCAAGGATTTTCCGGACGTAATTGTCAAGACGGCGTATACTCCGACAGTTGGCTAGGGTTTCAGTTGTCTCCCACGTCGCGTGGTAGTGGGACTTTTCTTGCCATTTGATGCAAAATTCGAACTGATGACGATCAACATCCGGGTCACTGGGATCGACGCCCTCCTTGGGACGATGATTGAGCACAATGTCTATTGCTGGGCGGTCATCTTCCACCGCATTTACCCAGTAACTCGGCGTTAAATCTTCCACATCATCCTCGAACATTGAGTCATCATCATCCTCGTTATAGTTGGAGACCCTAGCAGCATTTCTTGTTGAGAAACGAACCTCCGCATGAGAGGGAACATTATTTGCAGACGCTTGAAGTAGTCGCCGACGCTTCGCCTTGCTTGCACGAGCACGACTACCCCCATATTCATCGCTATCGGAATCGTCAGAGAATGTTGACTGGGTCGCGGAACGTGAGGGAGCTTTGGAGGATAGATGTGACGGGATAGCGCGTCGACGCTTAGAGCGAGGTGCCACGTCATCGGACTCTGAGTCTGACGATTCAGCTATTCTGCGTGTCGTACGAGCTCGACCGCTTCGACGAAGCCCGTATAAGTCAGGATTCTGTCGAATTAGGTCCGCATCATCGACAGAGGGCGATTTGCGCTTCGTGCCCCGTGTTGGTTCGGGGGAGGAAGAGTTTTCAGCAACGGATGGACTGATAGCTTTCATGCCATTTCCCACCCCAAATCCATCAGCTTCCCCCTCTGCATCGGGAGAATCGGAATTATACGAGTCGTCCGCGGGGTCTGGATCGGCGGAGGACACGGAGGCAGCGTCATCATCTTCGGGGGAATGAGGGACAGCGCTCCCATTGTCATTCGCTGGTGACTCGTCTTTGAATCTGGTAGCATCGGCGACGGGAGACACCGAATACCCATTGGTGAAGGCACTTGTGACCCCGGGTTCGGAGGTAGATGGGATCACCATGCTAGTTGCTATAGATGAAGAGAGGCATCAGCATTGTAGCTCAACAGAAGCTTAGAGATGACCATAAGACACAGGGAAGTGTAGAGCAGCGATATGCGACTCAGTTTCGGAGTATTAGAAGCTACAAAATCGGGAGAATGAGATAGGAGATGAAGATAACATGGATTGACATGATTTTGATGATGGGTTAGATGAGACGCGACGGGACGGGCACAGGAGAAAAATGGCGATTATCGCAGGCAAAGCAAGAGAAAAATCAGATCCAGTAAGAGATACAGATGTAAATTTCGACTTGACAAGGTCTACTAGACCCTAAGTCCAAGAAATATCGAGGAATCCTCAAATCTCAAGTGGGTCGAAGCAGTAGATGTACTCAAGCGGCAGCACCTGAACACGCCGAAGATGACAATGAAAATAGGAATAAATACTTACAATCCATAGCTTGGTGACCCCGGATCACCGCAAAATAAGGGAAAGAATTGTGAAAAAAAAATAATAAGAAAGGTGGGGGAAGGGGAGGGGGTGGATGGGATGAGACGGTGGAGAGCAGCAAAGGAATGATGGGAGGCCGCTGAGAATATGATGAGGGAGTGTTAGAGGGAAGAGAGTTGAACGTCGGGCTGGGGGACGGGCGAGTCACAGTGAAGGGATTGGCTGCTGGCCTGAGGCTTCAGGCTGCACTGTCATACCAAGCCCCATTAGTGTTAGTCAATTCACAAGCGAGTTCATTCTTGTGTTAGTGGCGGCTTCTAGTCACGTGCAAAACGGTTCGGATCAATATTAGATCCGACGAAGTTTTGAAGGTCGGGCGCTCATCCAATCAGACTTCAAGCAAATAATAGGTCCTGATGCCTGAGGCATTAAACGGTGCCCACAATGAGCCGGGCATCGATTTCTGTCGCGAGAGCCCCTCCTCGTTGAATCCACGCAACGTCTTCCTCTTCTTGAATCCGGTGGTTGCTGCGCGGATATCTGGTATCGTCAACTTCAGGCCCACAAATTCGTCGCTGAATAGGCCCTATCCCGCTGGTCCAGTATCCGCATCTGTGGGCTTTGTTCTCTTCTTCCGAGACCTATATTTTGCTCTGGTTTTTCATATTTGCCTCACGACCCCGTCAACACCATGTCGGACAAGCTTACCCGGTATGAACGTCCCAACCCGACGATACTGATTTCGTAGCTGACATCTTGATTTCTTCTAGTATTGCCATTGTCAGCACTGACAAAGTGAGTCTTGAATGCCCCGCTAACCATAAGAGAGCGTCATATACTTATACCAACGCGTTTGTTACAGTGCAAGCCCAAGGTGAGCGGAAATTTCCAAATCGGTCTACTATTTACCGCAATTTCGCTGACTCTTCCTGTCTTTACTATAGAAATGCCGTCAAGAATGCAAAAAGTCCTGCCCCGTTGTCCGCACCGGAAAACTTTGCATCGAGGTCACTTCCGAGTCCAAGATCGCTTTCATCTCCGAGCGCCTATGCATTGGTTGCGGTATCTGCCCGAAGAAATGCCCGTTCGGTGCTATTCACATCATCAACCTGCCGACCAACTTGGAAAGCCAAGTCACCCATCGTTATTCCGCCAACAGCTTCAAGCTTCACCGTCTTCCTATGCCTCGTCCCGGTCAGGTTCTCGGTCTTGTTGGAACAAACGGTATTGGAAAGAGTACTGCTTTGAAGATTCTCAGTGGAAAATTGAAGCCCAACCTCGGACGTTATGAAAACCCACCAGACTGGGAGGAGATCCTCAAATACTTCCGTGGTTCCGAACTGCAGAGTAGGTCTATTTGCGTTTGTCCCTAACTAAAAAATCCATATCTGACCTCTTTAGACTATTTCACGAAGGTGCTTGAGGACGACTTGAAGGCTGTGGTCAAGCCTCAGTATGTTGACCAGATCCCTCGAGCTGTGAAGGGCCCTACCAAAAACGTCGGGGACCTCATCAAGGCCCGCGCCCAAATGGACAACATGGAAGAAACCTTGAACAACCTTGGTATGTCGCGAATCGGCCAAGGAGTTATAATGTTACTAACCGTCCAATACAGAACTTAGACAGGTTCAGAACCGTGATATTGATCACCTTTCAGGAGGAGAGCTTCAACGGTTTGCCATTGGTCTAGTTTGCGTCCAAAAAGCAGATGTGTAAGTGCTTCATCTATGTATAAAAGACACCCTTGGGTGCTGACGAACCGAAAAGCTACATGTTCGACGAGCCGTCCTCATACCTTGATGTCAAGCAGCGTCTCGCCGCCGCCCGCTCTATCCGGGACCTCCTGCGTCCTGACGACTACGTCATTGTTGTTGAGCACGATTTGTCTGTCCTTGATTATCTTTCTGATTTCATTTGCGTGCTATATGGAAAGCCCGCGGTCTACGGTGTCGTTACCTTGCCAGCTTCGGTGCGTGAAGGTATCAACATCTTCTTGGATGGTCACATCCCAACAGAGAATCTTCGATTCCGTGAGGATTCTCTCACCTTCCGTCTGACTGAAGCCGGTGACGACTTCATTCTCGACAAGTCTCGTGCGTTTACCTACCCGAGTATGGAGAAGACCCTCGGAAACTTCCACTTGAAGATCGAAGCCGGTGATTTCACTGATTCTGAAATCGTCGTCATGATGGGCGAGAATGGAACTGGAAAGACCACATTCTGTAGAATGCTTGCGGGTGCCGAGAAGCCTGACGGAAACGTTACCATCCCTCGCATGAACATTAGCATGAAGCCTCAGAAAATTACCCCCAAGTTCCAGGGAACTGTCCGTCAACTCTTCTTCAAGAAAATCAAGGCTGCTTTCTTGTCGCCGCAGTTCCAGACCGACGTTTACAAGCCTCTTAAGATCGACGACTTCATTGACCAGGAAGTCCAGAACTTGTCCGGTGGTGAACTGCAGCGTGTCGCCATTGTGTTGGCTCTTGGAATGCCCGCTGATATCTACCTCATCGACGAGCCCAGCGCCTACCTCGACTCTGAACAGCGTATCGTGGCAGCCAAGGTCATCAAGCGTTTCATCATGCACACTAAGAAGACTGCGTTTATTGTGGAGCACGATTTCATCATGGCTACTTATCTCGCTGACCGTGTCATTGTGTTCGATGGCAAGCCCTCCGTTGATGCGCGTGCCAATACTCCTGAGTCACTGGTTACTGGGTGCAACAGCTTCTTGAGGAGCCTTGATGTTACTTTCCGACGTGACCCCAACAGCTACCGCCCTCGTATCAACAAGTATAACAGTCAAATGGACCAAGAGCAGAAATTGAGTGGTAACTACGTAAGTGGAAATTTTCTTTTGATCCCCAGCCATTATGCTAACACTATATTCTCACAGTACTTCCTGGAGGAGGAGAAATGAAGAGGGCATCCCAAAGAGGAATGACCGCGAGCCTAACAGGCGTGACGGCCGCGACTCCGACCAGCGACGTCATCGTCGCAGGCACAGGAGAATCCTTCGGTTAGGGGCGTTCTTCGGCGTTACCAAGGCATCAGCGGCTCAGCTAAAGCGGTGGCCCCGTCGCGGCCTTGAGGTTTGCAGTGATGCGGAGGAAGCGTCCGAGGAGAATGATGAAGAGGACGACGTCGTGGCGACAAGTATAGGTCAACTCACAGCAGTTATGTGGTTTCTCTACTCAGTGAGAGTAAGCGAGCCCATACGTGCCTCAACTCCAGATATGATCTTTCCCCAAGGAAAAGCCGATCGTCGCCCATCATCAACCCCTCTTCCGCCCCTTCGCAGATGCTATGTCAAGCAACATTCGATTCTCGAACTATTATAGTTTCCGCAGTGGCAGTAACTGAAAGACACTGGGTTTTTTTTTCTTGCATGTTCTATATCAGACCTGGGTCTTGTTATTTCATGGGTAACGGCTTTCTTTTTTTTTTTCTCGGTCGGCATGATTGATACCGCTGGAGTTGGGTTGAGCCTGTTCAAAAGTTTCTTCTGACTGCTGCACCGCCATACAGGGCCACCGTTTTCGTTTACTAGTATTCATGATTCTCCTGCCAAAACCAGTAAATACTATTAAAAATATTATTATTATGCAGTATTGCAGAGTGGACACTTTGTAGTTGTAGAAGAGAAAAGTTCTTCATTCTACCGGACCACCATGGACAGGAATATATATAAGTACCCTGTCCGTTTCTCCAGGACCAACATTGTGAATATACAAGGGTATCGTTGTTTACATCACGACACCAAAATTCGCTGGATGCAGATAGCACAATGGATAAGTATGCAAGTCATTATAGATAATTAGTTCATATTTTGGGTTATAAGTAATGGGTTCCGCGATGTTACAAACTGACATTGCCCATAGCGTCCAAATATACTAATTTCGTAGTTTGTACTAACACCACAGTTACTCCTCCTCAATCTCACCCTCCTCGCTACCAGAGTGCACAGCCTTTTCCTCTTTCGCTTCATCTGTAACGGTAGGCGTCCGCTCTCGACGCTCTCTATCCTTTCGAGCGCCGTTGCTACGATCACGACTATCACGCCTGTGACGCTTGGCGGAGCGACTCGCAACGCTCTCCGTGTCGCTATCGCGTCTACGCCTGCGGTCATTGCTAACAACGCTTCGGGTATCGCCGCCGTAGTCGAGCTCGTCGCGACTGCCGCGTGGGTCACCGCGTGTTCGATAGAGGCGTTCCCGCTCGTCTTCACGATCACGGCGCTCGCGATCGTAAGGGCGGCTGCTTCTCTCGCGGTCATGATCTCGACGATCCCTGTCGCGGTCGCGCTCGTCCCATCTCTCCCGAACGGGTGACAGACCGCTAGTCTTTCGGTAGGACCGTTCGCGATCGGCTTGGGCCTTTCGGCGATCGGCTTCGTAGGCGTCTGGTTCGGGAGTCCGGCTTTGACGACTGGAAGGCCTTCGTCGTTCGCCTCGGTATGAGGTGCCGCTGCGGTAGTCACGATCACGGTCACGGTCACGGCGACTGCCCCGGTCTCTGTCGCGTGATTCACGGTCCCTTTCTGCGTCTTCTTCTTTCTCTTTTAGGCGGCGGATGACCTTCTCGAAGGCGGTTTGGCGGAGATCGTCAGATTCAAGGGACCTATATTCCTCGTATTTCTCCAGTCTGGGTTTCACCTGGTCCCATGTGTCGGTTGACCGGAGAGGAGGTTCCAGGCGCTTCAGCCGTGAGCGCAGAGCGTCAATAGCACGTCTTTGATGGCGATCTGCGGCATGCTTTTCTTCTTCATTGCGACGGAAGGCCTTCTCCTGAATGCGTTGGAAGATGACCTGAAGAATATCAGGGTCAATATTTGCCGTCCGGCGGTCTGAGAGTACAATGTCATTGAACTCATCGAAGCTGGTTTTGGAAGTAACGTCAAATCGTTTATCCTAAAACGAGGTTAGTCTTTCTCAACCAAAGTGATACCGCTACTACTGTTACACTCACATCAAGGACGTCTAAGACATCATTGCGTGGTCCGCGTAGAGTCCGTTCTTCCTCTTCAATCACATCCCAGAAGAGATCCAAAGGAGACGAGCCAGAGTGTCCAAGGATACCAAGGTAGCGAGGGTCTTCGCGTATCGATGGGTAAATATTAGACCACTTACTGCCAGCTTTGATAACGCCCTTGGACCTCAATTCCTTGAGCAAGTCAATAAACTGTTCACGCGCATGGCGTTCCTTCCTGGCCTTCGCCGCTTTCTGCTGCTGACGGGCATCGTTGAAGGCGCGCTCAAGAGACTTGATATGGTTCTCGAACGCGGTCAAAATGTCCGACTTGCTGAGGGTCTTGAACTTATCCTCATTTTGAACTCTCTCGTTTGATTGGATGATGTTTTGAGCCTCGGACCATCGGGTGTAGGGCTCAAGGTCCAAGGACTTTAAGATTGTAACAAGATCATCCATGGCAGCCTTGCGCACTGCAGCCTCCTGTTCAACATGCTCCTTTTTGAGTTCTACAATGTATTCCTCGAAGAGCTGTCGCCGTTCATTTTCATCATTGGTCGACCTGAAGATGGTCTCGCCTTCGATGATGGGACGGATTGTCTTCCATCGGCTATAATGCTTAATTTCAGGGTGACGTTTCAACATAGTATTGAAATCTGCTCTGAGCTTAGCGAATCTCTCTTTCGCTCGGTCTTTTTCCTGCAAGCGAACCTCGACCGCATATTTCTCGAAGGCTGCCTTGCGGTCTCTGGGGTCTTTGAGAGCGCGGTACTGGGAGTCTTTGATAGTTTCGCGCATGGTTTGCTCCCATGTCCAGTCAGGCTGGACATTGTGGCGCTTGAGCATCTTCATGAATGCTCCCTCGGCTTCTTCCAGAGATCCATAGTCCGGTTCTTGTGTTGCTCCTAGCATGGAACCAGCTGCAATGCCATTGACATCGCCAGCACCAAAGCCTCCACGGGTATCGTTGTATCCTCGGTCATAGTCATCGCGATCACGCGTTTGGGGGTAGGAAGAGAATGAGCTAACTCCGCCGGCAACGAACGTTGGGGCCCTAAACAGGAATTGATAAGTACAATATATAAAACAGGACGAGGATGAATCACTTACGCGGCAGGTGGAGGCTGCGCCGCCTGAGCCTGCGCCAACGCATTTTTGTACACCTCTGGCATTTCCCATGTACTCTGCTTGGTCTCCGAATTAGACCAGTACTTTCGCCCACCCTCAGCAGTATACTCTTTCCACGGCTGATTCGCCAAAGCCCGCTGTGAACAGAGTAAACTGTTAGAAAACTAGATAAATATGCGAATGAAAACCACACTAACCTCGACAGGCGTCATCAACTCGGCGGGTTTTGCCCATTGTGTCGCTTTCGTCTGAACGTTGTAGTAATAGGTTCTCCCTTCAGCAGTACGGGCTTCCTGCCATAAAGGAGCAGCGCCGCCAGGCGCACTCATTGGGTTCATCTTGCAGCTTCAGACGAACCTCTTGATGTCGGCGTTGTTCGGATTGCTATCTTGCCCAACGAGGTTCGGGGAAAATTAGATCGTCAAGAAGCTCCTCGGGCTCCGTGTGTTTGTCCTGTTTGCATTATTTCCCGTCCCCCAACATCGCGCCGCCTCATGCTAGGTTCCAAAGAACAACCCCCGATTGCGAGTAAATGCATGGTGAGTGCAGTCCATAGTCGGCGCTTATATTGAGCCATTTCTGATTACGAATTTTAGGTGGACATGCGACTGCCCCCCCCGCTATGCCTAGTTTCGATGTCCCTGGCGAGTTCTTGAGACATGCTGTTCTAGATACTGTTGTCCCACATGCATCAAACATCGATCTAGAAGGGGCGTTGACGTCTGCGCTCGAAGACGGTGCAGAAGATCTTCCGTCTGTCCTTTCAAATATACCCCAGCGGTCCATTTTGTTCTTTGGTAAGATATTATCTGGTATCCTCACCGAGCTTTATCTCTTACTCATATACAGCCTGGTATAGATGAATTCTGCACCGCCCGCGTTGTCCTAAGACTCTCCAATTGCTCCCAAAGCAGCTTAAGATCACATCTCCAAAATCTCGATATACGTGTCGATGTCTTTGCCATTGACCCTGCGGAGGCTGTCGCCGAGAACCCAACGCCTACGCGGGACCTTATCTTCTCAGGGGTTGTAGACACACAGGCGGACCCGCTAGTCGTTGTAAACGAGTTTGAAGGTGAATCTGGAGAAGGAAACCATATATATGTTATCTGGAACGTTGAGACTTTCCTCAGTAAGGACTTCAACCCTGATGCTCTGGAAATTGGGCTAACCGTGACTCTTTAGAGCGCCCACGTATCCGCATTCAACACCCCTCCATAATTTTTATTGCCAACGCCAGCCTTAATCCGGCGGAAACTCGACATGACGCTCGTGAGGATACATACCTACCGTCTCTGGTCCCTGCTTCTACGAATGTGTTGCAGCCTCTCACAACAGACTCCGCCTTCGGTCACAAGGACCCTTTCCTTCCAGCTTCTAGGCTTTTGCGAGTCGTGCCCGCAAAATATAGTGAAGACCCTATATACAATGTGCTACAAGAATCAGGACATCCGACACGGATAGTGCCCGCTGCCAGTGCACGAATACGTTATTCTAGGTTGAATTCGTTTTCCAGTCGACCGACAACCATCGCGAACCTTGATTTCGAAGTTACGCCTTTCTTGAATTGTGAGGTGGTTTTTGACAGGGCAGATCTTCGGCTATCGGATGGGTCAATTGAAATACTGACAGATGGGACGGGGCTTGTCCCGCCCGTTACATGTCACCCACGAGACGATATCACTTTGATGTACAAATTAACCCCGGAGTATGGGCCAGACTCGAGAGATTCGACTACGGTGCTTGTGAGCACGTTGGAAATATCTCTGGAAGCCGTTATCAACGTATCAGAGAACTGCAACCCTCGGATCTTGATGCAATGGACGACGAATATCGATTTTTCGCTAGCGCTTAACCCAAATTTCGGTGCTCCAGGCCAAGCCTTACAGCGGACTAACCGGCCTACAAGTCTTTCAACTCTACCAAGTCAGGCTGGAACTGTACCTGGAGGGAATCAATCAAACCGAACGTCTTTAAGGGAGCGGGCGTATTCTGTAACAGAAAGTATGGGCGTGACCATGTCTTTTACGGGCCCTCAGACTGTGGACGTTGGGAAGCCATTCTCCTGGAGTGTTTTCATCGTGAACCGCTCGGCAACACCTCGAAAATTCGCCATGATTGCCATACCTCGACGGAAGGTAGCTAATGCGAGAGGGCATGTAGCCCGGCCATCGTCCTCGTCAATGACAACCCGTCGCAGTGATCAAGTTGCGGAAGCAGTGACAGACGACAATATCGTTCACGCCATGCAGAAGAGTGTGGCTGGCCAGGAGGCAGATCTTGTTTGCTTGAGCACAGACGTGCGCGTTGGGTAGGTCTTCTCTATGACCCTATGAATATGGCGGGTAGAGCTAACAACTTTTGCGTTCTAGTCCATTACTGCCTGGAACTTGTTTTGAGACCGAATTGAAGTTCCTCCCCCTAGCGCTGGGCTCTTTACGGCTGGAATCAGTACGCCTGATTGATGTAAATACCAACGAAACAACTGATATCAAGGATCTCCCGGATATTTTGTCCCTGGGGCAGAATACATAGCTTTACGACTAGAAAATGATGACTGAGTTTGGACGAAGATAAACTCACTCGCTTGAGAATAATATGAGCATACCGGTGTAACCAAACGTAGTATGGCTGGCAGTCCCCGGCCATACAGTGTAACCATCTAGTACTGTTATCCATAGCATCCACTTGAGCATATATTCTGGGTGGTATGAAGTTTACAACCAGAGTGGAGATCTGAGCATTGGTTTTTTTTACGAGGTGAATTATTTCGGGCTACCTGCCTTGCCATTTAGAGACTGAAATAAGATCTTCATCATATGAAGAGGTGTCAGAAAATACGTGAACACGAACAGTGAAAAATGAACCATTCCGGGGTGAAGTGTCAGACTCCTAGCGTAGAAATGGTGGCAGGGCAGAGGCTAAGCGCCCAGAACCTCTTGGGGACGGATGAACAGCGGATCTTGAAAGGTGAGGGGGTCATGCACAAAAGACTCGACCAGACTCTGAGACTTCAGGCGCCAGAGCAGACTCACCATCGATTTATCTATCTTGACACTCCCTCGCAGTCAAAAGAGGCTTCTTTGATCGACTCTTTCCTTTGTATAATTTGTGGTCCCTCAATCGTCACCCTGGGCCCAGCCGCACTGGGTCACTCACAGGCATCCACTTCTCGCTCACATTTCTTGTCCTGAACTCCCTTTGCGTCATACTAGCGCCGACCGGTTCTTCGACTTGCCTTCGTTCATCTCCTCCACCCTTATATATCTTTACTTTCTTCCCCGGGCTGTCTTTACAATGTTTACTGTAACTCGCCGTCGAGTCCTGGATGGTTTGAATAGAAGATACATTTACGGTCGCTTGGTGAGTTGTGTGCCTCGTGTTCCCTCCCTTTTTGATCGCCACTCGCTTTTTCCTTTGCGAACCGGATAAGCGTGGGTCTTTCTCTGAGCAACTGTTCTGATTGTATCATATCTTCGATAAACAGCCTTTACTTCATACTATTATATTCTTGATCGAGATGGCGGCAGCAACGCGTTTGGCGGCGAAGTTCAACTCCTACTATGCGGAGAAGCCGGTCCTGACTACAATGGTCACGAACGCAGTAAGCTTTCCTGAAGCTCGATGACTGGCAGACACAACCTTTGCGGAAGACACACTATTTGCGGCTTTGCGAATTCAGGTGCGCGGGTGCGTGATACTGTCGTACTGGCGAATATTCTAAAGAGATTTTCGGGCTCGTCCGGTCTTGTGTCCCTTGCAAGGGGAGAGACACAAGGGCATTTCATCCCCGTACCCTCTGATCGAGACGTCCATTATCACCCTGCCAGCCCATGAATATCGACGAAAAGCATAAGCAAGTGGCGTGTCTGAAGTGATGGTTGTGTGGCAGTGTCGACTACTGGCGTTACCTATCCAACTTCAAGTTGCTGACATGGCATAACAGATCCTTGGAGGAGTTGCAGACACCGTTGCCCAATTGATCACAGCATTTAGAACACGAGCGACAGCACCACAGAGTGATGATTTTATTTCGATCGAGATAAATGATTTGGACAAGGAAAAGCCGCCTGCCTTGGGAGAGCTAGGTCATGCTAGCCATGCACCTCCTCCGTTCGACTTCGAACGACTCACTCGGTTCATGTCGTATGGTTTCTTCATGGCTCCAGTCCAGTTCAAATGGTTCGGCTTCCTGTCGAGGGTGTTCCCACTCGCAAAGAGGAACCCGACCGTCTCTGCTATGAAACGAGTTGCTTTTGACCAACTTCTCTTTGCTCCTTTCGGTATGGAAATAAAAGTCAACAGTAAATAGCAGTAACTAATGAGTTATAGGTTTGGTGTGCTTCTTTTCGTTCATGACGGTTGCTGAAGGTGGTGGGAGACGGGCCTTGACCCGCAAGTTCCAGGACGTTTACCTGCCAACTCTTAAGGCAAACTATGTTCTCTGGCCAGCAGTCCAGATTTTGAACTTCAGAGTGGTTCCTATCCAATTCCAGATTGTAAGTATTGATTGAAACCTTCTCTTGTTTCCCTTGTCTAACAGCTCGCCCAGCCGTTTGTCTCCTCCGTTGGTATTGCCTGGACTGCGTACCTCTCCCTCACAAACTCTGCAGAGGAGGAGTAAATCATTGTTCGTGTCTATCATCACTAGAGCCTCGTTGAGGAGAAGCAATGCACTTAGTCGGTCAAGGTACTGGACTGGCATAATATAGCGGAAGCTCGCTTCTCTTTGGTGGGGAAAGGCGACTGACTTTGACTACGGGCTTGACAGCACACTGGTTGGTGCTGTTCTGCCCTTTGCATACGGTTATCTCGGGATTTTCTTATATCTCTGGCTGCTCTTTTCTTCCTTCATGTTGCTTGCTTACCAGGCGTTGTAATTGGATGGGCCATGTTGTCTTGGAGTTATGTTCAGGGGCGTGTCCCAATTGTTTATATGGATCACACAGGGTTGTGAAGTTCTTGCAGATAAATGTTGATTCTTACTATGCAACAAAATATCAATTACGCCATATTTTTTAACCGGACAACGTAGGCAAACCCCGCCGTCATGCACAGGAGGGGTTGGACTCGGGCCCTGGGGACGAAAACGGGACGGCTGTTTATAGATCCTTGGAAGGACGGAGCATGATTGCAGCTCATTACTACTCTATCCGAGGCTATCGAGAATGCGCAGGCTCAATGTTCACCCCCTAGACATAGAAGCCCGAAGCATTCCGTCATGATCGTGACATCAGTCCCGCATCAGCCCGAGCCCTCTCTCCCCTTCACCGGGCAGCCCCACCATGCCGCCAAAACAAATGGAAGCTCTTCGATTCCTACCCCGCCACTCACCGTGATACGGTTTCAGCATTTTCTTTCTCTTTCGACAGTAAAAGGGTAGTCTAGTCTCCTGACACGGGTTATTTATCCCTGGTTTCCCTCCGATTGCTGTTCCTGATCGACCATCTCTCCCGCTGCACAAGCTCCAGTCACAATGTCTCTCACCAGCAAGCTTTCCATCACAGATGTGGATCTCAAGGACAAGCGTGTCCTGATCCGAGTACGTCAATGAGTCTGATATCGAAGAATCCCGTTGAATTGATCACTAATGCGATTGTTCATTAGGTTGACTTCAACGTGCCCCTCGACAAGAAGGACAACACCACGATAACCAACCCCCAGCGTATTGTCGGTGCTCTGCCTACGATCAAGTATGCTATCGACAATGGAGCCAAGGCCGTTGTCCTGATGTCCCACCTCGGCCGTCCCGATGGCAAGAAGAACCCCAAGTACAGCTTGAAGCCTGTTGTGCCTAAGCTGAAGGAATTGCTCGGCCGCGACGTCATCTTCACCGAGGATTGTGTCGGCAAAGACGTTGAGGAGACCGTCAACAAGGCCTCCGGCGGCCAGATCGTCCTTCTTGAGAACCTGCGCTTTCACGCCGAGGAGGAGGGCAGCTCCAAGGACGAAGAAGGCAACAAGATCAAGGCCGACAAGGAGAAGGTTGCTGAGTTCCGTAAGGGACTTACTGCTCTTGGCGATATCTACATCAGTGAGTAGCAGCTTTATCCAGGGTTGTATAGATATTAAGCAGTAACTAATTGTTATGCAGACGATGCCTTCGGTACCGCCCACCGTGCTCACAGCTCCATGGTCGGTGTCGACCTCCCCCAGAAGGCCTCCGGCTTCCTCGTGAAGAAGGAACTCGAATACTTCGCCAAGGCCCTTGAATCGCCCCAGCGCCCCTTCCTCGCCATCCTCGGAGGTTCTAAGGTCTCTGACAAGATCCAGCTGATTGACAACCTTCTCCCCAAGGTCAACAGCCTGATCATCACCGGTGGTATGGCATTTACCTTCAAGAAGACTCTCGAGGGCGTCAAGATCGGAAACAGTTTGTTCGACCAGCCCGGTAGCGAGATCGTCGGTAAGATCATGGAGAAGGCCAAGGCCAACAACGTCAAGGTCGTTCTCCCCGTCGACTACGTCACCGCTGATAAGTTCGCTGCCGACGCGAAGGTTGGTTACGCCACAGATGAGCAGGGCATCCCTGACGGCTTCATGGGTCTGGATGTTGGCAAGAACAGTGTCGAGTCCTACAAGCAGACCATCGCTGAGTCCAAGACCATTCTCTGGAATGGCCCCCCCGGTGTTTTCGAGCTGGAACCCTTCGCTACCGCTACCAAGGCTACTCTCGACGCTGCCGTGTCGGCTGTCCAGAGCGGCGCTACCGTTATCATTGGCGGTGGTGACACAGCTACCGTTGCCGCTAAGTACGGTGCTGAAGATAAGATCAGCCACGTCTCCACCGGCGGTGGTGCCTCTCTAGAGCTCCTTGAGGGCAAGGAACTGCCTGGTGTTTCTGCTCTGTCAAGTAAGTAAATGACTATGCAAAGGAAACAAAGCATTTCCATTTAGAAACGAGATGATCTATACCGACCTCAACCTTGGGGGGTCGGCTACTTTTGCCATGAATCTAATGTACCATGACTTTTCTAAAATAATAAATCAATATTTTAACTACTTCGTTCCTATTTATGCATATTTCTAATTCAAAGTCATTGCTATAGCTACGGGACCTAGACTATAACGGTGATACGGCATTGTCGGTTTATAATTAGATTTGGAATATGAACATGCCTGTAAATTCAGTAAGAAGATCAGAGATATCTCGTGCAATAAACTAGGCTCCAAAATGCAGGCCTTATACTGACTGCACCATCATCACCATCGATTATTCCACGACCTCCTTGACCGAATATACTATCTTGGGAGCAGGTAGCGTAGCGAGAAATCGCAACTCCCGAACTCTAGCGAACCGCTCGATAGACTCGGCTATATATGCAATGTGGGATGGTTTCCATGGTTTAAGTGTCGTTTTCATGCATCGCTCTAGAATTCTGTTCCCCGTTCACAAACTATAAGGTGAATGGACGGACCCGTACGTAGACTGGAATAGGATTTCGAGTAATGGACACGAGAAAAGGTATGGTTTATTTAGATTATTATTCTCATAGTCATTGTCACTGTAGTTGCAATCGAATTAAGAGGAGGCGTCGACTTTCTTGAGCTCTTCCCTGTGATGAGATATGTAGGTTAGTCAATGAAACACGAAACAACGTCAAATGTGTAACATATCCATGGATATAGACAACGAAACACTCGGGTAGATAGGCAAGATGGTGGGGTATGCATCAGGCTGGAAACCAGGCATGGAATCGGAGGTGACAAAACACACTTCAATTGCTTGGAAAAGTCCTCAGCGGCGTCATCGTCATCCCAGCTCTCCTCCCACAAGTGAACATTATTCCCGTTCGCGGTTGCCTGCTCTGTCTCATTCTCTGGCCAGTCTGTTATATATCACGAAAAGATGATTAGTTATTTCCTTAAAAATGCTCGTCTTTGTTTTGAAGGACGAGGGATAGGGAAAATGGCGACTTGTGAATGGTGGGCAGTTCTCACCATCAACAGGGAAATCCTCGAATTCATCATCTTCCTCTAGAACGGTAGGCTTTTGTTGTTGGGGCTGTTCGGAAGCTTCTTGCTTCGTATCCTGGGATTGTGTGTTTGACATTATGGCGGCGGGTGGTGGGTAGGTCGTAAGACGGGAAGTGAGCGGTCTGCAGTTCGGTCGAGTTCTTAGGAGACAGCGCTATATATCCAGATGCGAGCGTGATGGGCGAGAAACAGGGGAGCTGGAAAGGTGAAAGTTGGAGTGCGGAGAACAAGCTGAGGTGCTCAGGTAGATCCAAGTTGAGGTCCAGGTCCCGCTTTGGCGTTGCCTTGTTAGGAATGGGCCGTCACATGTCTTGGCCTGTTTGAATTGCGCTCTCCTTCGGTCACCGGTCAACATAACTTGCAACAGAGTCAGACATACGGATGATTGAATTTCTTGTATCTCAGTTAAATGATCAACTACCGAGAAAGGACGCTTCTTGATAGAATTTTATGTCGCAATAGAGAGGCTCTTCCTGACGATCTGACCGGGCAATTCTCCAGGTTACTAGGTAAGGTGTATTTATTAGGTACTATTTACTCGGTGCCTCTTTTGGGGGAATCTGTAGCCACGACAAGAAACCCAAGAATCTAGCCCCGTGGAGATAGACGATTGCCGCGGCGCCATTTAGCATAAAATGCATAAACGAAGGGATTCAGAAATAACTATGATGTCACATCATTTGTTTCCGTCGGAACGAGGATGGTCGCAGCGGTCAGCAATGGCAGAATCCGTATACAGCACACCAGCACGAGGTCGTCTGTGAGACCCTGATTCGGAAATGGAGGCTCTGAATCGTTGGCCAAAAACGCTCTTTCAAAGGGCCGGATATTATTCGTGTCCCCGCATTCTGATATACGTCCCTGGGATCAGCCTTACCGCCTGATATCCTTCAGTTGTCCCGCTGCGATCAGAAGCTGAAAATGCTCCGCCTCCCCGGTGGACCACGGTTAGCTTTGTCCCGTTTGGTCGCTTCTTCTTCTCCTTAGTGCGAGCTGTGTCTCGACAGGAGTGTTACAATCTCCCTTGTCTCTTATAAGTTTACCATATTTTCGGTCCTTCGCTCTGTTGCTTCTGTTCGCTTGCCATTTATCCTTACTGTGGCTCAGGGCTGACGCTCCCGGGGATTCCTGCTCTTACATTGGAATTCGACCATTACGTCGTTTGTCTTACGGGTTTCGGACCGCCCGGACCACCATCTGGTTTTGAACAATTGAATTATTGACGGCCATAAACTACTTTCTGCTCTTACTTTCATTTTTTGGTCCTTCTCTGGTGATCTTGCATTTTAAGATATGTTTGGCGGCTGGTTCGGGGGCAAAAAGCCCAGTCCCAACGGCTCGACTCAGTCACTCGATGCTTCGTCAGAATTGCAGGACTGTAAGTAGTGTAATTGGCGGTTTTTTCTTGACTTTACAAGTTCACATACTGATGCTTGCTGCAGTAGAGGATGCAATTTCAGGTACGCCAGAGTTTATCAATGTTCTCGGCGCTTGGATCGGCGCCCAGAATATACTCTGCAAGGTGATCGATGAACGCTAATCTTTCCTCTTTTGATGTTTCTATCAACAGCTGCCGAGTTGATCCTCAACGACGATGTTGATGGTGCTGAAGAAGGCCTTTCTGGGCGAAATTCAGCCTTTCACTTGGTTCGTAGAGCTTTCTCCTGTTATTTGGTTCCAACCTACATGGATTTTGGTTGACAAGACTTTGCTGTGTAGATTGGGAGGGCTGTGGTAATGTTCATTAGGGCCACATTGGGCTTCGAGCAAGATATCATGCGCCAAGGTTTGCAAATTTCCACCTAGTCTCCATGTCAACTTTCTGTCCTAGCAACTTATGCCTTGCAGCGGCGGACCGACTCAATGACGCTGAGAATAAAGCGTACAATGATCAACAACGGGCCAAAAACCATTCCCAGTCCCCAGACACCTATCACTCCGAAATCTATGAACCGGGAACAGAGTTTGTTCTCATCCAGGCAATGGCGCAACTCATGTGTGCGGTTGTTGGTGTACTCAATGAGAGTCTCACAGAAAGTATAAAAGGCTTCTATAAGCTACGAAAGGCTTACTTCGCGCTGGATGCAGTTTTAAAAATGGAGGAAAAGTTCATGCAATCAAAACAGGCTGCTGTTATGAGTAGACCTTCGTCAGCTGCCTCTTTGAAGGGTAAAGAGGGCGGTTCTGTGAATGTCTCTGAAGATCTCTCTAATCTTAAAGTTGATGACGCTGGCACTGGCCCGGTATCAAGCAGTACCAGCACATCGGAGCTAATTAACCATGACCCGGAGTCCGATATTTTCAAAACCCAAATCGATGTTTTTATTCATTCTGGGGCTAGTTTCTGCTATGGAGTCCTCCTTTTGCTTATATCCATGGTTCCGCCAGCGTTCCACAGGCTTTTAAGCATCGTTGGATTCCATGGCGATAAGGACCGTGCTCTAAAATTGCTTTGGCAAGCCAGCAAGTTCCACAATTTACCTGGTGCAATTGCGGCATTGACGCTCCTTGGGTACTACAATGCCTTTGTTCGCTACTGCGATATCATGCCTGATGCTGTACCCGGCAAGGACGGAGATATCCAGGGTTATCCTCAGGAGAGACTCGAGGCTCTTCTCTCACGAATGAGGCAACGGTTCCCTAAAAGCCAGCTTTGGCTCCTTGAGGAGTCCCGTATGCATGGCGCTAACCACAGACTTGATGTTGCATTAGATATTTTGTGTACGAAAGAACACAGCCCACTAAAACAGGTCGAGGCCCTCAAGGTGTTTGAAAAGAGTCTGAATGCGTTGTACATCCACAAGTACAAACTATGTGCCGAAGCCTTCGTTGAGGTTCGCCCCCACTAAACCCATCTGGTGATACGTAGTAGGCTAACAAAAACGAAGTGCGCTGATCTTAATTCTTGGTCTCGTGCATTATACTATTACATTGCAGGAACCTGCCATATTAGTTTGTACAGAGAGCTTGCCGCAACCGACCCCGAGAAAGCAGATGAACATGCTCAAACGGCAGTCAACCTGCTCCATAAGGCTCCCAAATTTGCAGGAACGAAGAAGTTTTTGGCACGCCAATTGCCGTTTGACCTGTTTGTTGTCCGCAAAATAGCTAAATGGGAAGCTCGAGCCAAAGAATGGAATGTACCTTTCGTGGACGCCGTTGGAGTCGATCCTGTAGAGGAGATGATTTTCCTCTGGAATGGACATAGTCGCATGACGCAGGCACAACTCGAGGAGTCGTTGACAAGACTTTCATGGTCTGAAAGTGATGCGAACCGAACATGGGCTCGCGAGGGAGCGGAAGAGAAGGGTATTTACCAGCTCCTGCGTGCCGCTGTGTTGCGTTCAATGCGGCAGCATGAAGAGGCCAAAGAAATCCTCCAGACCTCGATTTTCACGTTAGACCGTTCCACGTTCAAGGGGCGCCATAAGGACGACTGGGTGTATCCCGTTGCCCACTTTGAGATGGCAGCAAACCTATGGATGGAGCGCCCGGCCTATATTGCACAGCATGGCGGACCGACGGCTCAGAAACAAAAGTCAGATGATTCACACAATTCTGAAAAGGAGCTGGTGCGCGAATGCAAAGAGAACCTGCAAAAGGCTGCGCACTGGGAGAGCTACGAGCAGGAAGCTCGCTTTGGGCTGAAGGTGACTGCTGCGCTGGAGGCTGTCGCGAAGTGGGAGAGCCAGCACTCGATGACACTGTAATGATGCTTTGTTATATATGGATGAGCCACTCGATGTACATGAACCGTGCTTTTATTTACTAGGCAATTGATAGACTGTTCCTGTTATATTATCCTATATTCAATTGTCTAACTATCGCATATGGATTAGTCATTCTGAGCACCTTGATCACGCTCTTTTCGCCTATATTCAGCAAGTATATCCTCGAAAGGATTAGTATAATGCTGACAATCTGTTTGACTCATCTTTGATGCAATGATGTTAGCCCGCTACGTTACAACTGCCCTTATACGCACAATTATTATTTAGTTTGGAGACGGTTTCCACCATTCTCGCGGTGGCGATCCACACTCCACTACCGCCCATGTCAAGCTCCCGGATAAGAATCCGGCGCCTTTCTCTCTCGATCTTTCGCCTCTTGACTAAAAATTGACCCGTCGACGCTACTTTCCAGTATATTGGCGTCTTTATGTCTTGCGCGGTGTTATGGATTGCCACTTAGATGATTCGGTGCTACACCATATCAGACCATAATGGCCTCCCGAGCCAACTCAACGAGTCTTCCCCTTACAAACGTTGGACGGAGTAGCCCGACGTCTGGAGTACAAAGTTCTGCCGACGATCATCTCCAGACTCCACCCCATACATGTAGGAGCGAATCGAGGGACAGGCTTATCAGACAGCCCACAGACAAGCGTTTTGGTGCTGGTTCTGGGACCTGGCCGGCTAAGACGGCTTCGATTTCCGAGCTTGGATAGGTCTGTCGCGTGGCCCAGAACCTTCAGGCAGAACTCTCGAAAGACCTTTTAAGTTATGGTTCCTGCTGGGCAGAGGTTTATTAACCGTTGGTTCGCCCAGATGTCGTCAGTCGTGGAGTGACGTCTGAACCGAATTCTCCACCTCCAAAAATTTCTCAATGCTGGGGTCTTTTTCCTTTGGTCTACAATCGCATTTTAAAAAAAAAATATTAATTCACCTTGAACGATTTCGGAGGTTATCTTACCTTCGAAAATGAGAAGAGAGGATGATCACACATCGCGCGCTTCCACCGACGATGCCGATGATATATCTTCCGTCGAAGAGCACGACCGCGGCCTCGATGCTTTAGAGAAGCAAACCACCGCATCATCCGCCTTTTCGGCGTTCGAACAGCGTGCGCAATCTGTCGTCTCTAGAATCCGAAGTCGGGAGCCCGGCCAGACGGCTCGCTTTACACATCCGCTGTCGCATACCAAAACCAAAGACGATGTGATCGTTGACTTCGATGGACCGGACGATCCTTACCGTCCGTTGAATTGGGGCTTCCGGAAGAAGGCGATCACAACGGTTTTATATGGGCTCACCACGATGGGTAAGCATATCCTTCCGCGGATCTGTAGGAAGCAATCGAAGCTAACACCTTGCTCTGCATAGGCGCAACTTGGTCGAGTGCTATGTAAGACCAGAAATGTGCTTCAATGAACACTCCGCGCGTTGCTAATGACGAGATAGCTATTCAGCCGGCACAGCTCAAGTAAGTTCAAGGTTCGGAATAGGCGAGGAAGTTAGTACACTGGGAACAACATTACTGCTTCTTGGGTTCGGTATGTCAGCTCCATCTGCAAGCGCGAGCCATCACTTTCTCGGCGCAGCTAACATTGTATACCCTAGGTTTGGGCCCGCTGGTTTGGGCACCCTTATCAGAAGTTTACGGGCGCAAGCCTGCCGTTTTAGGCCCTTACTTCATCGCCGCAATGTTCTCGTTTGGTAGTGCAACTGCGAAAGATGTCCAGACCCTCATGTTAACCCGGTTTTTTACTGGCTTCTTTGGTGCCGCGCCTGTCACCAATACTGGTGGTGTCCTGAGCGACATCTGGACGGCAGAGCAACGCGGGGCAGCTATAGTCGGTTACGCCATGGCAGTCGTCGGTGGACCTGTCCTTGGCCCTATTGCTGGCGGTGCAATCACCCAGAGCTATCTCGGGTGGCGCTGGACTCAATACGTTTGTCTCCCCGCTCAAAGCCATTCAATCGTTTGCTTTCTGACATACGCAGATAACCGGGATAATGATGCTATTCTTTCTAATCCTTGACGTCCTCTTTATCGATGAGTCCTACCCTCCGACCCTCCTACTCTATAAAGCTCGCCGCCTCCGTTTCCAAACCGGAAACTGGGCCCTCCATGCCCGCCACGAAGAGTGGGACGTCACACTCAAAGAGCTCGGAAACAAATATCTCATCCGCCCCTTCGCCCTCCTCACAACTCCAATCTGCTTCCTCGTCGCCCTCTACGCCTCCTTTGTTTACGGAATCCTCTACCTTTCCCTCGCCTCCTTCCCCGTCGTCTTCCAAGAACTCCGTGGCTGGAACCAAGTAGTCGGCGCGCTGCCCTTCCTCGCATATCTAGTCGGAATCCTCTGCGGCGCCTGTATAAACCTCGCCAACCAAAAATTCTACATCTCGCGCTTCAAAGCAAACAACAACCGCCCCGTCCCCGAAGCCCGCCTTCCACCAATGATGCTCGGCTCCGTGTTCTTTGCCGGTGGCCTCTTCATCTTTGGCTGGACTTCCCAGATCCAAATCCACTGGTTTCCGTCCATGGTTGGCGGAGCTTGCATGGGACTCGGTTTCTTCACAATCTTCCAAGCAGCGCTAAACTATCTCATTGACACATTCCAGTCTGTGGCTGCGAGTGCGGTTGCAGCGAATACGTTCCTGCGGAGCGTGTTTGCAGGTTGCTTCCCCCTGTTTGCGACAGCCATGTTTCGGAATCTGGGGGTACCCTGGGCGTCAAGCGTGCTGGGGTTTTTCGCGATTGCGTTGATTCCGATTCCATATCTTTTCTATATTTTTGGGCCCAGGATTAGGGCTAAAGGGAAGTGGTCGAGGGCGTCGGTTTATTCGTGAAAACGTTACTGAGCTTTTCGTCTTTATTTTTATTTTTGCTAGTTCTTACTTCTATTTTCTATGATGAGCTGGTGATTATTTATACCCCTGATTGAGCTCTTGGTTAACGAAAATGGTTGTCTAAGGGGGCATGTTGGTCATGATTGTTTAAGCGCTTCGACTTTTGCATTAATACCCAAAATATCTAGACATATTACTTTCACGTATATAGTGAAGTTAATTAAGGACAGGCATGGTAAAACAAATAGAAATGAAACAAATGGATGATATAATAAAACAAATATAGTGAGAGAAAGGCAGTGATCACGCACGCGCAGACAAGCCACCAAGCTTGGTGATTTTCTTCGCTAAAAGTCTAGCCCTGTCCAGGGCACTCCATTCGCCCTTAACAGGAATAATGGGCAATACTTCCTGTGCCGGAAGGGACATTGTCTTCGACACATCGGCAGGGACATAGGCTGGCGCGACGTCTGAAGAGTTCTCGGATCCCGCATCAGGGCCAGCGAGATTGAAAGCCAGTACGGCCATATGGCCAAGGAACGTCGAGTGTGCCAGAAGGTCTTCAAGGCGGATATGCAGGCCAGTTTCTTGCTCTAGGATCCAAACAACCTGTGCCATGCTCACAATGTCTCCGCCAAGTCTGAAAAAAGAGGAGTCGAGCTGGAATGGTGTTTGTGGTTTGCTCGCACTTGATTTGGTCGGCAGGACTTGCTGCCAGATGCGGGTAATGAGGTCAGAGTGTGCTAGGATCTCTGATAGACTGCGGTTATTTAATGAAGAAAGAAGGTAGCTGTCGCTACCTGAGATGGCGGGGATATCTTTAACGCGCTGCGGAGGTAGGGAGCGGAGCGTGGATGGAGAAGGAAGTGCAACGTTGGGGTTTGCGACAAAGCTCTGTGCTGTGTCGCAGACCATATCAAGGACTGTTGAAACGAAGCTGGGATGCATAGGTCCTTTGAGCGAGTATCCCAGGGAAACGGTGAGTTGGCTGGGTTGGCCAGCTACCGGTTTAGAAAAGAGTGTGAGGTCGGTGAAATTGTCAATGACACCCACGCCACCCATCCTGTAGGGGTTGTTGTCAAGATGCATTTCCCCTTCATAGTCGACATTCTGGTGCAATATGGATGTGGTGAAGTACGTCGACTCTGGCCAGTCTGTGCAGTACCTGGCAATCTCCCTGAAGCCCAAGGATTCGTAGGCCATATTCGCTACTTGCTGGTCCTGGAGGAAGCGGAACAGGTCCAGTGCAGTCCAGCGATCCTTGAACCTAACCCTAATAGGGATGTGGTTCAGACATGGTCCTACGGTGTTTTCGACCCCAGGAACTGCATTTCTTCCGCTGACAGTGAGGCCGAAGACGACATCATCCTGGGCACACAATTTGGCAAGGGTGACAGCCCATGCAGATTGCATTACAGTGGCGATAGTGACACTCTCTGTTGCAGTAGAGGGAATCTCTATAACCTTCTTTTGTTCCGCAAAGCCACCTATATGTTGGAATGTATTTGGCCTGTCTCGCTGCACAATCTCTGTCATCCTCGACCCCTTGAGCAAAGTACTCCAGTGTTGGTAGTGTTCAGGTGTAATTGTTCCAGGTAGGAGTCGCATATAACCCAAGAAAGACGAAGGTGAAACAGGGCTTCCTTCGTAGGCCATTTTAATAGCAGTCATGATTTTTGATAGGCAAACACCATCAAATTGAGCATGCGACATGCGTATGAGGATTCGGTGTTCGTCACTGTTGACTTTTCTGACGACATAAAACTGCACATATTGCACCCCTTGCCCTGGAGGCTCGCTCCGATCTCGCTGCTGCAAGGACTTAGTATATTCGTCTAAACCCTGCTCTGTTTCATGGACAAAAATATCAGGACGAATCTTGCGCAGGACAACCTGGAAAAATTGTCCATGAAAGCTTATGAAGACTGTCCTGAGAATGTCGAAAGCGTCAACGACGCGGAGGAAACTTTCCCTCAACCTCCGGATGTCCAACGAACCCTTTCCATCGAGGTAGAAATAGTTTAGCATCCATCTTGACTCAAACATTGTCGCTGCGAGGGAGAGAGATTGGAAATCTGTGACAGGCAAAACATCGACTATGCCCCCTTTGAATACACCAATCTTGGGACAGATTGCCGCACGCAGGGACGTTTCATCAAGCTCGATCGGCCTCAAGATGGATAGTTCCTGGGAGGATTCGATTCTTGGTAGTATAGGCCTATCTTCAGCCAGCTTCTCCATAGTCTGAATGTTCTTCATATTGTCCATATTCTCCACATGTTTGGCCATGAGGTTTGATGTCACTGGCTTCGCCCTGCCATTGATTAAAGATGCCAATGTTTCAAACACAGGGTGCTGAAACACATCACCAACGCTCAATTTTATTCCTTCATCTCGTGCAGCGCGAACCATTTTCATGGCCGTGATGCTGTCACCACCTAGCTTGAAGAAGCTGTCTTGGTACTTTATGGGGTGTGGTGGCAGTCCTAATGTCATGCTCCAAATTCTCCAAAGCTGATTCTCGATGGTGGTCGAAACTTTGTCGTCTGGGGTAAGTGTTTGCATGGACTCTGAAGGCGTCATTTCCCTCGCAACAGCTGAGATTTGAAGTGAGTTCTCGATATTATCACGGATATTTCTTGATAGACCTTCGTCGTGGGTTTTGACCAGAGACGATGCGAGTTTGCTGTCACCGAGCATCTGCTTGATAATGACCTTGATACGTTCATCAACAATCTTTTCAAGTGAGTCCTGGTCTATAAGATGCTCTGTAACCCTAATATTCTCTTTCACTCCGATCTCCAGACTTGAAATTGGCGTGGAGGGGCCTTCCGCAAAATAGGTGAGGATCCTCGCAACAGTACCGGCAAAAGTGGCTGCTTCTGCCTCTGTGATGGCATTAGCCCAGTATCTCAGCAAGATCCCCTCATGGCCTCGTGCAGTCTGAACATTGGCAGTAAGCGGGTACTAAAAATCCGGGAATTAGTATGCAGACGTCTATACGATGTATTGTTGATGGAACTAACCTCGCAAGGATCGTGCGCCTTTTGGAATTCATATGCGATTCCCGCAATCTCAACCTTATCAGCTGAGTGATTTTGTATGGAGATACAAGTGTTAAACAGAGGCTTGCCTTGTCTACCAAGTGCATGTTGTATCTCTGCGAGCGAAGCGTGTTGATAGGCAAGGCTATTGATATGATCTTCTTGCACAGACTTGGAGAGACCGAGTAGCGTCTGACCCGACTGGAACTTGACTCGGCAGCAAATGTTGTTGATGAAGATACCCACCGCATCCTGGATCCCGGAAACGGGCAAGTCACGGCCGGTGGATGGGTATCCGAAACAGACATCGTCAGAATGTGTATAACTGCGCAGGAATATTGCCCATACTGCAAGTACTAGGTTTGCAAGAGTGATCGAATTCGTCTCACAAAAACGTTGAAGCTCGGCGAACCTACCAAATGGCACCATGCGAGTACCTAGTTGGTGGGCACCGTCCTTACCCGTAGCAACTGGCAAATGACACGGACGGGCACCGGCGAGGCGCCTCTTCCAGTATTTCAGGGCTTGGACAGAGGATTCTCCCCTGAGGTATTTGATATAGTCGCTAAATAATGGCCCTGATCCTGGTGGAAGTTGATTTCTGTAGGCTAACGCCAGCTCCCGCATTAGAATTGAAAAAGATCCACCGTCAACAATGAGGTGATTCAGTTCAAACTTCACTAGTATTCTCCCAGTAGATGTTCTGCAGAAGACCAGCTGATGATAGAGTTTTGTGGACTTGTCGCAGTCCCGAAGACTGATGGTGTCGAGTTTGCTGAGCGCAGACGAATCGTCACACTCAATTTCCACTATTGTCTCCCTCGCTCCCTTGACCACTATTTGGTCGAAGGACTCGCCTTTGCAGCTGCTGTCAACGAAAGCTGTTCTCAGGATAGGGTGACGTGAGACAACCATCAACCAAGCGTTTCTCAGTTTCATTAAATCAATTTTCTTTTCTCGGGAGCATCGCATCTCAAAAATTACATTGAAGATATACTCGTGCGGATCACGGAGCTGGCTGAGGAGGATACCCTCCTGGATCGGAGAGCAGGGGTATATGTCTTCCACCTGGTCCCAGTGTGATATATCAAGTCTCGGAAGCGTATTCTCGGTAAGATCTTTCAACCCATCGTATGTTATGGGGAGTAAAGGATAATCGCTCAGTGTAGGCTCCGATGTAACGTTCCTGAGGTTGGGCATATCGATTTCGAGAACGCGTTTACACTCGGTCATCCAGGCCTGGATTCGGGCCTGGTGGTGCATAGTGCGATTGTAGGTGAATGAGACATGTAGTTGCTCCTTTATTATCACCGCGGTGATCTCGAAGAGGGAGAATCTCGGTGTCTCAGATCCCATATCCCCAGCGGAATCCATCGTCTCGGCGTTGAACAAATCGCCGTAGTGCTGGAAAATTGATTCATCGTGTTCCAGCTGCTGAAGCTTGCCGAGGTAGTTGAAGAGGATCTCAAGTGGTACAGGAAATTTGTTGCTATTGTTGTGGAGAACATCCTGTGCGAAGAAAGTGCGACTGAGCGCAGCAATCTGACGCCGTGTGTCTTTAACACGCTTCATCGTTTCGAGAAGATCTATACCAATTAGTACTAACAATTAATTTGCTTAACCATGTGGTTAACTTACCTGAACGCGTTTGAGCACGTATGGGGTTTAGAGTGGTAAACCAACCAACTGTTCCAGAAGGGTCAGAAGAATCCCAAGCTTCACGCCCATGACCTTCATTATAGATCGTGGGAGCATTTCTATCGGTAAAGATGCGGCTGAACGATTGAAGAACAGCAGTAAGCAAAACCTCAATTGTCTCGGTTCGAAGGATTTCGTGGCATTTCCCGGAAATAAATGCAGTGGTTTGTTTGTCCAAAGTGAAACTTTGCATCTTGACTTGTCCATAGTTGTTGGGCACTTGAGTCATGCCCCAGTAACCAATGTTGGGCAATTCGCAGGGAACTTCGACGGACTTGGTGGTTTTGCTGCTCTCACGTTGTACATTGCACCAGGATTGGAATGAAAGCGGTGCATCGGAAGATAGTGACCCAGTGCGAACGAAATCTTCAAGCTCCTGAAGAACGATGCGCCAGGAGACGACATCCACGCACAGATGACTCGCTACCAAAAATAGAACTTGCTGGCCGTTCTTTTCGAAGAGGTCTGCAGCACATACAGGTCCTGTCTCAACGTCCAAAGAGCATTGAGTATCTGCGATTCCGCTTAACATCTCATTGGAGTTTTTGACAGAGTGAGTTCGAAATTTGTAAGATGGATCAATCTCCTGTATCAGTATAATTAGTTTCAAAGCAAGAATATACAAGGAGTTGTACGCACGTTTGTAACAACTTGGTGCCATGCTCCTTCCTTGGACTTGACGAAGCGTGCCCTAAGCATGGGGTGCTTTTGGACAACAGCCCGTAAAGCATTCTCCAGTACACTTGGTTGCACTCTCTGCTTGAGGCTAACAGTCATGCTCTGGTTAAACCGCCCAATGTTCTTGGGTACGGCAGGCGATGAGCGGAAGAATAGCTTTTGAATTGGAGACAGTTGAAAGGCACCGCTTGAATCTCCCTCAGACTTGACTTGGCGTGGCTTAGCCCCAAGGCTTGTAGAAAGCTCAGCAATGGATTTGCTTTGGAGAATACGGTTGAGAGGTAGATTTAATCCACGCTTACGCGCTTTTGATACCACCGCCATTCCGGTGATGCTGTCCCCACCAAGATAGATAAATGAACGGCTTGTATCGATCTTGTGCAACGGTAGATTTAAGACCTGGGAAAAGATCTCTCGAAGAAGTGCGGGGGCTTCATCTTCATTTTCTTGCACTTTCCCCTCCATAATGTCATGACTCGCATCGTCGTAGTCCCGCATCATCCGATCGTATACGGAGTCCTCAAGTTGCTCAAGCCAACTTGTGACTCTCTTCCTGTCCAATTTTCCAGAAACAAGCATCGGAATGCTTTTAACAACTGCCCAAACTTGTGGGACCATGTAATGAGGCAGTTGCGCTTCGATGCTCTTTTGGATTGCCTTGGCTTCCTGATGTCCGCCTCCCAACATGTCCCTTTGGCTCACCAGCTCGCAGGCTCCTGTTGTAATTGTGGTTGAGTCACCTGCCAGTGACTTAAGAGAAATAACTGCAGCTAGCTTCTGTCGGAGGGGACCAGTATGAGGAAGAATGACAACTGCACTTCGAACATTCTGGCTTTCAAGCAAGCGATGTTCGATCTCCCCGAGCTCCATACGCTGTCCATGAAGCTTGACCTGGTGATCCTTGCGGCCAATATACTCTATCGATCCATCGGGATTATACTTAACAAGGTCGCCAGTCTTGTAGATTCTCCTAGGAGAAGACAATGAGCTTGGAAAGTCCTTGGTCCAAGCAGGTTCATTGACAAAAGTGTCCGCTGTCTTCGTAGGATTGTTGAGATATTCCCTTGCAAGAGCCGGCCCTTCTAATGCAAGTTCGCCAACCGTCCCCAAAGGCATCAGTCGGTGATGGTCCTCAGGATCAACTATCCAAGTTAAAGTGCACGGGATTCCATAGCCGATACAGGAGAAGCCATGGTTGACAAAGTCGTTGTTCACAACTGCAAATACGACTGTTTCAGTAGGACCATAGCCTCCAAGGAACTTCAGTCTGTTTCCCCATTTCATTACCACTTCGCGAGATAGTGCTTCCCCTCCGCAGGAAAGGACTTTCAAGGAGGGTACAGATGATGGTTCAAGGATAGAGGCGACAGAAGGCGTCAAGAACGTCCATGAGACATTCATTCGTTGCATTGCTCCTGGAATATCGTTCAATCGTTCATCATCACTTGGAACACAGATGCAGCCACCCAGCATTAGAGTTCCGAGAACCTCTAATATGGCCGCGTCGAAGGTAAGGGACGCAAATTGGAATACTCTGGAGTCCTTGTTCAGATGCATAACAGAAGCAAAGCCCATGATACTGCTGCATAATGCGCGGTGGTCAATTACTATCCCTTTAGGACGGCCTGTACTGCCTGAAGTAAATATCGCATATGCCATATTGGATGGCGAAAGGCTGGAGCGCGAGTTCTTGTTGGCTGTGACAGCAGCGTAGGCCGTGATGGTGTCTCTGCTCACAGGGACAATTGTGCCAACAGAGCCTAGATAGCGGTTGCGTAAATGTGGAGAACAGAGTATGATATCTGCCTCTATCTCTTCCAGGATCTCTTTGTGCCTCGAGGTCGGATGCGAAGGGTCGAGCGGAACAAAGGCTCCTCCCGCCAGAAGGACGCTTAGTATTGTGATTATTGCCCAAAGAGACTTGTCCACACAGATTGGGACAAAAGTTTCCGGACCTACTCCAGAAGATACCAGGTATTCCGCGAAGGAGGAGGCAAGTTCAAACATTTCCCGATAGTTAAGGTTCCCATCCCATGAGCAAATGGAAGGCGCTTGTGGTTGTGAGAGAGAATGCTCCCGGATAATGTCATGGACACACTTGTTGATACATGGCACCTGTCGTTGGTTCCATTTGGCAATATCCTTTTTATCCAAAGGACTGGTGACATCAATGCCGCCTACCATGAGTGAACTGCTTCGAGGAACCTTAAGAAGCTGCTCGAGAACAAAGCTGAACCGCCCTATCAGCCTTTCTGCTTGCCAATTGTCGAGAACCAGTTCATCGTGATGGACTTGGATATTTAGCGTTGAACCGGATATTTGGCATTGTACAACGAGAGGATGAGTGAAAAAGTCTCCTCGAGTCTGCTGGTTCTCCGAGCTCCATATATTTTGGTTGAGCTGGCCGCTGTCAGACTGTATCACAAGCAGGTTCTGGAAATTGCACGCCAGTGCTGCGTCCCCGCTGAGTTTCTGTATCCTCTGAAGACCGTGGTGTTGATGAGGTATCATAGCTGTTGTCATTTGTCGCACATCGTACAGATATTGGACCAATGGAAGCTTGGTGCCCACTCGTATGCGCATAGGAACTGTTGTCAACACGGGTCCTGCAACGTCCGTGACTCCTGCCATATCAATATTCCTACCCATTAGGGTTTCACCGAAGCAGACGTCATCAGACCCGGTGTGCACCGAAAGCACGATGGCCCATGCAGCACGAATTAGTTCGGGAATGGTGGTGTCAGCAACCCCGGTTGTCCTTGAAATATCTAGACTTCTGAGATGAATGCCTGCAGCCCCAGAGGAACTCGGTTCCTTGCTTTGCTGCGCGGGAAAGTGCTCACAGCATAGGCCGCCCAGATATGATTTCCAGAACTCGTCCGATTGCGATATATCACGCTGGAGTAGATGGTGAATAAAGTGCTTATACGAAACTGTTAAATTCTTGCCTGGAGAGCCAGAGTAGATGTCCTCGGCCCTCTTCAAAATGCGTGGGATGTTCCACCCGTCATACAGGGCATGGTTGACTGTCCAAACAAAGTAACGCACGGAGGGTCCAAGTTGAACAATTGCGTACTTGGCCAGGAGGCCTCCATCGTTGCTCATGGGATCATCATTTGAATCATCAAGCGTTGTCTCAAGGGTCCAGGAAATCCGCTCCCTTTTCAGGACGACTTGGAGGAAACCAGCATCCTCAACGTGGACAATTCGAGTCCGGAGGATATCAAACTCGTCAGCAACCTGCTGCCAGGTGGTTTTGAATTTCTCAATATCAACATTGTTCGCGAGTCGATAAATGGACCGTGCAACATAAGCCCCACGATGTTGAATTGAGAGCGTAAGCAAACCTTCCTGCACTGGGCTGCAAGGGTAAATATCAGATAGGGCATCTTCAGCAACGCCACATTTGTCAGAGACTTCGTGTATAGTATCATGCAATGGTACCGATTGAGGGGCAAGGCTGAATTTCTCAAGGTCTGGTTGTTCCACGGTCTCTTCAGCGTTCTCGCAGCACCCGATCATGTCTGTTAGGACGGGATGTTCGTATATCTGGGCAACCGTCAAATAAATATCCTGGGACCTCGCGGCTCCCACTAGCTTCATCGCGGAAAAGGAATCGCCGCCTAATCCGAAAAAGCTATCCTCCGCACTAATGGAGCCTGGCTCAACCTCCAGAACCTCTGCCCATAGATCCCGGAGTGTCGATTCTGCTGCTTGCTCTATCTCCCGGCCAGATCCAGAGTTCGAGATCATGTAAGGCTTCAACTGGTCTCTGGAAAGGGCCTGGACCATGTTTCGGAGTCCTTTGCGATCAAGCTTGCCAGTCGTACCCAGAGGTAGATATCGGACGGGGAAATAGAGCTTAGGTATCATAACCTGCGGCAGAACCTGGCTCAAAGAGCTGTGAAGCTTCCTTATTGACTTTTGGGTGGAATCAGATAAACCAAGTAGCACGCTTGCGGACACGTCCTCTTCCAGAGCTGGGTGTGCCTCAGTAGTAAAGAAAGCAGCGAGTGTTTTCGCGACAGCTTTTGATTCTGGTACCACGATGTCGACCGCCACCTGTGTATTAGCTGGTGATAATGTGGCACATTGCTGTTCAATCTCCTCCAATTCGATGCGCTGGCCATTAAGCTTTACCTGCGTGTCCATGCGAGAGATGAAGCAGATATTTCCGTCGGATTTATAACGGACCAGATCACCGGTCCGATACATTCGTCCAGTGCACCTAAACACACTTCCCATCCCTTCAGTGCGACACCACTGAGGCTCGGTGATGAACACCTCTTCCGTTTTCTTGACATTGTTGAGATAACCACGAGCGATGTTGTACCCTTCCAGGACTAGTTCTCCTACAGCCCCGACAGGAAGGAGTCGATTATGATTATGGGGATCAACAATCCAAGCTCTTCCGCACACGGCAGTACCAATAGAGTTGCTGTCATCGTCCAGCCGTATTCCATCCTGGTCTATTTTCAGGCTTGTGGTGGCAATGACCGTAGCTTCGGAAGGCCCGTATGCGTTGAACATTCGTCTGCCTGACCAACGGGTGATCTGACTTTCAGTTAATTTCTCGCCTCCGTTTATAATAGTTTTCAATGTCGGAACATTGCTTGGGTCCAGTGTACTGGTGACAGATGGAGTGCAGCTTATCAGGTTCGCTCCCATTCTCGTAATTGCGCCTGACAAGTCGTTCAGACGTTCTTCATCACTGGGAACGCATACACAGCCGCCCGTCATGAGGATAATTATCGTTTCAAATATGCTCACATCAAAGGTGTAGCTTGAGAATTGTATCACACGAGTCCCTGTGCCCATCCCAAATCTGTCAGCGAAAGACACCGAGGCTACCCCAAGTGCAGCGTGTTCAAGGACGGTCACTTTAGGTTTTCCAGTTGTTCCAGATGTGGAGATTGCGTAGGCTGCATTATTTACGCTCAAAATCGGGGGTGGCTTGACGTTTGATGGAGTTGGAATTTGGTCCAATGTACTTTGACTGACATCTAGCGCAGCCTTACATACTCGGGATACCTTCTCCAGATATAGAGTGGAGCACAGCACAATCGGAGCACCAATATCAGCAACAAGGCCTTGCAGCCTGTTTTCGGGGTGCGCGGGATCTAAGGATGCAAAAGCACCACCGGCTTTTAGAACAGCAACTTGTGCAATGATAGCCCAAGCTGATTTCTCGAAACACAAACCAACAAAGACTTCCGGGCCAACACCTCGATCCATCAAGTAGTGAGCAAGCTTAGTCGTTAATAGATCCAGCTGTGCATATGTGAAGTTCTCATCCCAAGAGCAGATCGCTGGTGCTGAAGGCCGTGCAAGTGTCTGCTGCTGGATAACCGTATGCGCGCACTGTTTCGGCATTTCAGGGAAGGTTGCGTTCCACGCACGCATTTGTTGGCGAGAACGCGCTCCAAGAAATTTCACGTCTCTAATAGACCGAGCTTGTTCAACATGGGTGAGGACCGAGTTAAGGGTGCATTCAAAGCAATCGATAATATTTTCGATATCATTGGCCGAAATGTTGCTTGTCTGGTATTCAAAGTTGATCTTGGCTGCAGACCCAGACATGCTAACGTCAACAACGATAAGATACCGATCTAGCTCATCTGAAGCCGGACCAAAAACAATGTTGCTGGAATCTGCTACTCCTGTCGAAGTCTTCCTATATCTTAAGGCCGTATTGAAGATCGGAGAGTTCTCCGAGCCGATGGCCCGTTGGATTTCGAAAAGGGACATCTGATACCCCAGCGTCCGCTCCACATCTTCTTTTCTCTTCTGTAAGACATCTCGGAGTTTGAGATCATCATTCAATTTAAGTCGGCAAGGTAAGACCTCGACAGAGGCCTTTCTGCCGGTGACATAGTAGCCAAAGCAAACTTCGTCCATGCCAGTGTAGCACCGAAGAACCAAGGCCCATACAGTCTGAAGGAAGTAGCTCGGGGTAATCGATAGGTCTTTGCATGCGTCCTGTATCATTGACACATTCGATAATTTTAGTGCCTCCGAACCAAATCTGCTTTGTTCCTTTTTGAAATTGGCCGTTGGGAATAGGCATGGCTGAAGCTCGGCTAAGTATTCTTTCCAGTAGTTGACCGTGTCATTAAAGGCTTGAAGGCTTTCGCCTCGTTTGGCAAGATCGCCAACCTTTTCCCTCAGCCCAATAGTTGGTCCAAAACCATTTATACACTCGCCAAATAGTTCCAGTACCTGTTCAACCTGAGAGTGGTACAGAACCCTATTGTCATAGCGAGCGGCCAGCTGCACACCTGTGTCTTCGATAGTACAGAAAACAACGAGTGGGTACACGAGGAGCTCGGGGTGTACATTTTCTTCTGCCTCTAGGCTCTCCAGGTACTTCTTTTGCCGATCTGCCCCCACTGATGAGATAGAGAGCACAGTTTCAAAGTTGCAGGCGCGGGAAGTATCTGCGTTTAAATGACTTATTGACGAAATCGATGCTGCCTCGAAAGGCTTAGATCCAGTCAAAGAAGAGCATGTGCGCTCAAGGAGCCCGGTGATACTCTCCGTTTTGTCTACTCGAACTCGTCGAGGCACTATTGTTCGGGAGCTTCCTTCGGTGCTCATCAATAACTCGCCCAGAATGATATCATCACATTGAGTATAACTGTGGATTGCCAAGGCCCAGGCACAAAGTAATGATTCTCTTGCCCTCGACTTCTGTATGGCACCGGCCCACGATATCCTGATACTCTTATCAACCATCTTTGGAGCTGGAGAACCTTGGGTAGAAAATGGCTGCAGCAGGAGCTGCCCCGAAACTGACGGTTTCTCTAACTCGTGGCGCCAGAACTCCGCAAACCTCTTCACGTCATACTCTAGTAGTGAGTCAATTGGAAGAGCTCGCACTGCGTCCTTGAGTAGCGAACGGTTCACTGTTCCCAGTGGGGTTAACGGTAACCCTACCACCGGTACGTACAGGCTGGGAGTTTGGTAGGTAGGCAATGAAGCTGCCAGGTGAGCATGAAGTTTAGTCATAAGCTGATGTGACTCGCTGGTCTTCGGCGAAATTACTGTCGTATTCTCCGTCGTCGTCGTTGGCTGCGCATCTGTCGAGAGAATGAAAAGCACAACGCAGGTCTCCGGGTATTCTTCAACCCCCAAATCAATTGCTTCGACGGTGCATCGATAGCCCGGCAACTCCATTGTATCAAGAACCAGTTCACTCTGGAGAGCAATCATATGGGACTTTTGGCTTATCTCGCCGTCTTTCTTTCCGAGGTACTCCAGTGATCCGTCGGAGTTGTAACGAGCCAAGTATCCCGTTTTGAACATTTGCTGGCGGGCCCTTGGGAAGCGCGAGTGTGTCGCAATCCCACTTTCATTTTCAATGAAATTATTTGCTGTCTGCTTTTGTCCCTCTTCACATAGATATCCGCGAGAGATTCCGGGACCCTCGATGGCCAGCTCACCAACACATCCCACGGGTACCAGGCGGGCAGAATTGGACGGATCAACCAGCCAAGAACAGCAACCTGCGCTGGCTTTAATCGTCATAAATTCACCCAGGTCATTTGACTTGATTTCTTGGATGGAGGTAAAAGAGCACTCAAGTGTTCCTAGGAAAGAATGGAGCTGAACTTTCTCTGACCATAGTTTCCGAACGTCTCTTGTTGAAGGCTCCCCAAAAAGAACCAACACTTGAATCCCCGGGATTTCTGACGGATCAAGCAAAGAGGCTACCGACGGAGTGAGGCTGGCGAAATTCGCGTCCGTCGCATTGATCGAGTGTGTCAGTTTGTTGATGGAGCCACTTTCGGGGATGCAAACGGAGCCTCTATGCATAAATGTACCAATTAATTCCTGCAGAAACATATCAGACGTGTAGGGCGCAAACTGAAATGTTCTCGTTCCAGAACCCATATTTATTGCGGACGCAAAAGATGCTGCTCGAGACACGATTGCGCGTTGGTCCAAAATCACGGCCGACCCATCGGCATCGAAGACAACATAGCCATCGTCATAAGACTGTGCCTGGCTGAAGGTGATGGTGCTAGAACTTGGCATGGCTTCAACGATCGACTTATCAATAGCCAGGACAACGGGGAACATTCCCTCTAGCACTTCAGCGCCATTGAGAGACGTAACTGCGATGTGTGCACCGTTATCAATAAGCCATTTGTCAAGACTACTCCCTGGTTGGGTCTTGTCTCTTGGAACACACACACCGCCGGCTTTCAGAATAGCCAATATAGCCACAACTTGCAAGATGGATTTGTTGAAATGGATAGGCACCAGAGTCCCCGTGCTCACTCCAAGTTGCAGGAGGTAAGTGGCCAGGCACGACGACAGGTGCTCAAGTTCGGTGTAGGTAAGAGTTCCATCCCAGGCTACAATAGCAGGTGCGTTGGCTTGTGAGGCTGCATTTTCTCGAATGATATCTTGGACAAGCATATCAGTTTCTTCAGGAAGTTGTTTATTCCATTTCCTTATCCGCTGCTTATTCCACTCGCTCAAGGTTTCCAGTCGGTCAACCTGATCTCCATGGTGACGAACAATATCATCAAGCAATTTCAAGAATACACTGGATACATTACTAGCCTGTTCATCTGATAATGTGTTCGTCCAGTAGTTCAGCTCGATTTCCGCAGCCTTGTCCGAGGCCACGACATTGACGAAGAGCGGATACTCAGCAGGATCCTGGATGGTACAGGCTCGTGAAAAACTTATTTTCGAAGATGGTTGAGTTTCCATCCTGGCCATCTTCTGGTATGATATTCCGGTATTGAGCAGTGCTGTGTCGGATAGCTTGAGTTCATGCTGGATGTCGATGAATGACAGGCTGTTGTGAGACAGCTGTTGCATGCAGTCATTCTGTACCCTTTGCAGAATGTCCCGGAGTGGCTCATCTTTGGATATCTGCATTCGACAGGCGAGAAGGTTGATAACAGGCCCGACAATCGACTCAATATCCTCAACCATTGCATCTCTCAGAGAAGTCATATAACTAAAACACACATCATCCGAGTTGCAGAAGAGGCGAATTGTGAGCCCCCAGGCGGCAGTAAAAGCAGTTGATAGGGTCAGAGCTTTATTCTCACAGATAGACTGCAATTCACGGAAAGAATCGAAGTTTAATCGCAAAGTTCTGAGCTGCTTCTGCGAAACATTCTTGCCGTCGGTAAGTGCCGGGAAGAGGCAAGGCTTAATTCCAGCCAGGTAATTGCGCCAGTACTCAATACTGGCTTCCTGTGGAGTATTGCGCAGATAATGCATATAGTTCTTGAACAGTGGCTTATGGGTATCGGCTTTTCCGTCGTACGCGAGCTGCAGGTCTCTCAGGATGACTGCAATTGACACACCATCCATAGCCGCGTGACTTATTTCTATTCTGAAGAACAATCGGCCGCCTGGTGTCTCGCAAACGGTTAGGCGGTGGTGTGGCTGATATCCGTTGTGATTTGCAGGCTGTTGGCTGTTGAATGTCGACACCACATCGCCATGGTCTGAGCAAGTCAAATGAACTATAGATGGCTCACATTGCTTCAAGACCACCTGGCAGAATAGATCTTGGCTGGTCAGATTCTCTACAAACAAAGTTCGTAGCATCGCATGGCGGGAAATAACGAATTTCCATGCCTCCACAAGCTTACCAGCATCAGGCTTGCCCTCAAGGCCTAATACTTCGTACGTGTCGTGAACGGCATACAACGAGCTATCTCGAGATCGAGCAAGTAATATGCCCTGTTGCATACGAGAACACGGGTAGATATCCTCGATAAGTTCCGGGGAGCTTACTCCGATACTCGGTAGCTTCTTCAACAGCATATTATCGAGCTGCGAGTAAGTCAAAGATAAAATCGGGAAGTCACTCAATGTCGGTTTCGCAGGAATAGTCTGGAGTGTTTTTCCCAGAGACCTGAGCACGTCCGCACATCTAGCGATCCACGTCCGGATAGTCTCTTGATGCTTCATATATTTGCTGAAAGAGAATATGAAGCGAATCCTCCCATTCACAGCAAGAGCCGAAATCTCGAATAGTGCAAACCGAGGAGTATCTCGTCCAAAGTCAGATGCGCCTCCGCCTTGACCAGTTTCACCGGCCATTTGATTCATGAGCTGGAACAGGCCATCCTGTCTTTGTAGATCGCGGTGTTGGCCAACGTAGTTGAAGGTTAGCTCCATCGGGCAAGGATGGCTTTGAGCAGACATTCGACTCGCAAATTGCTGTCTTCCATTATCCGAGACGCGCCTCCGAAGATCTTTGACGTGCACGACGGTTCCAACGGGGTCATCCGGCACTTGACCCGCGATTGAGATGGGATACAGTGTAGTGAACCAGCCAACTGTACGAGATATATCAATAGTAGGATCCCAGACTTCTCTTCCATGTCCTTCATTGAAAATCGCAGGTAATAGCCGGTCTATAAATGTCTGGCCAAATGAGTGTATGAGCGACGCTAGAAGGATATCAATTGGTTCAGTTCCTAGGCTTTTATGGCATCCCATTAGTATCGAATGAGAATCATCCAGGTCAAGCTCAAATGTCTCGCAGGTAACATCTCCATAGGTTACCACCTGGTTTTCGACTCCCCAATAAGCGAAATCGGGCGTGGTAACATCTCCCAAATCTTCGCTCAGGGCATGTGTCCTCTCATCCTGCAAGCCACACCATGTTGAGAACGGGAGAGATTGGGTATTGGGGGCCTCCTCTTCGGGATGAAGCAAGATGTCTTCGAGGTCCTCCAAGATAATCCTCCAAGATACAATGTCAACGACCAGATGATGAGCAACCATGGATAGGAAATAGTCATCCCCAGAGGAGAATAGATCCACAGACAATACTGGCCCCTCTACCGCGTTGATGCACAACTGGCTATCGGCCACAACCCTATCAATCTGAGCCTCCTCTTCAATATTGTGAAGGCGTAATCGATACGACGAATCCACATCTTCAGTGATACGCTGTTGAAGACCTTCAGTCACAGCATCAACAACAAGCCGAGACCTCAACATAGAATGCTTCTTAACAATCACTTCGATCGAGCGACGCATATCCTTCACACTAATCCGCTGATTCAATCGTGTCCTAATTCCCTGATTAAAGTAACCCTGGCCCTCATCCCGGATCATGAAATGAAGTTTCTGAACAGGTGAAAGGTCAAATGGTTGCTCAGTCACTTCTCGGTATTCCATAGGCCGACTGATCTCTTTTACGCGAGTTGCCAGGTCTAGAATTGATCTGCTTTGCAGGATGTCCTGTACGGTAACCCCCATGCCCTGTTTCTTGCAGTAGCCCATGCAAGTTATGGCAGCTATGGAGTCGCCACCTAGAGCCAGAAAGCCGTCTTCGAGGCTAATCTTGCTTCGTGGTGTAGCGAGGACGCGACTCCATATTGAGATCAGTCGGTCCTCGACCGTTTCTTCGACTTGTGTTGCTGGTGTAGGCTCGTCATTGCTGGATTCCCCATCTTGGCTTTGGAGATTGTCTGTTTGATTGGTTGCCCAGCTTACGATCTCTTTTCTGTTCAATTTCCCGGAGGGTAGTAGTGGAAGGAATTCGGCGCATAGCCATACGGACGGAATCATGTAAGTCGGAAGTCTTTTCAACAGTATTTCCCGAGCCTCCGCGACAGCTGAATTCCTCTCCGGCTGTTCTAAGAGCTTGAGTGTCTCAGTACTTGAAGATGATCTGCCCTGTAAAGATATCACGGCCACAATCTTCCCCTTGGCGAATCCTGATTTGCAGAAGAATGTTATGCAGTGCTTGATCATGGGAAGAGTGCTGATATTGTTTTCAATCTCACCCAATTCAATTCGCTGCCCATGAAGTTTAATCTGCGTATCTTTTCGCCCTATGAAAATTAGCGAGCCTTTATCAGAGTTGTATCTTACCAAATCCCCCGTCTTGTAAAACCTGCGATCGCCGCGGGAATCTTGCCGCGCCCACTTAGGGTTATAGATAAAGACCTCGTCCGTCTTTTCCGGGTTGTTGATATAACACCGCGCAAGAGTGGGCCCCTCAAGGAGCAATTCACCGGGACTTCCCACCGGAACAAGCTGATCGTGATCATTTGGGTTTACGATCCAAAAGTGCACACCTGTGGGCAATCCGATATCGCGGCAGTCAGAAGCCATGTGGATTTCAGTATTGATCGCAGCACAGACGGCACTCTCTGTGGGCCCGTAACCGTTCACAAGCTTGATATGGGACCACGTTTCTAGGTCTGCGCGGGACATTGCTTCACCGACCAGGATAATGGTCTTTACCCCGGGAATGCTGGATGGGTTGATGAAACGCACAAATGACGGTGTTAGGCAGACAACGTTGACTCTCATCCTGTTAATTGCCTGGATTACGTCGTTCAGGCGCTCGTTGTCGCTCGGGACACATACACAGCCTCCATGTATCAGCGGGGATATCGATTCGAAAAGACTTGCGTCGAATGTGTGTGCTGCGAATTGCAATATCCGGCATTCGGAATCCATATCCATTGGCTGGCCATAGGACATTGCGGCCGAGACGAAGGCCCTATGCTCGAGCAAGGTACCCTACAAGATATTAGTTGGAATGCAAACGTACATGGTAAGTGATTTACTTTGGGCTGCCCAGTTGATCCAGAAGTAAAGATCAGGTAGGCTGCGTTATTGCTGTTCACTTCGTTTTGCTGGACAGCTCCAGCAGGTGATGGAGATATCTCGTCTAGGAACTGTTCATCCAAAGGTATCAAGTTCTCCGCTACCGTGCTCAAAAGCTCTTCTCTATTTCTAGAGCAAAGGATGATCTTGACCTCCACTGAGCCGATTAGGGACCGCAGACGAGAGGTCGGGTGAGTTGGGTCAAGGGGGACAAATGCGCCGCCGGCCTTTAAAACACCCAGCATCGCCACAATATTCCATTTCTATAGACTCGTTAGCAAAGCAATTTAATATTGTGGTAATAATCACATTCGAATAGAAGAGAACGAACGCACCGATTTATCAAAGCAGAGGGCGACACGAGTCTCCGGACCAACATTGTGCGCTTGCAAATGAGACGCAAGCTTAGTAGCATGGCAGTCCAATTCTTCGTAGGTAAAGCTCCCATCCCAGGCACATACAGCTTCTCGCTGTGGATGAAGGCGTGCTTTTTCGTGTATGACCTCGTGGATACACTGATCACAGTCCTCGGGAATTACGGAATTGAACTCGCAAATCCGGGACCAGTCATGTTCAAGGAAGCAGCCTGCGTCAATAGCCGCAATGTCCTCGTCCGAGAGGATCTGGTCGAGCAACTTTTCAAAGTGGCGAGCGACACTTTCCATCTGTGTCGCCGAGCTAAATGTATTCCACCATTCAAGAAAGATGCAGATGTCTTCCTGCAATACTTTGACGTGGAGACGGGCAGCACACTAGAGAAAGATGTCAGGCGATCATTTTAGGGTCATCTATTCCCACAGACAACTTACCTCCTCTGGAAGAATAGTCGGGAGCATTGGTCGTACAGGATTCCCTGCTTTTGCGCGGTCACCGCAGACCCGTACCATGACGGTAGTGTTGAATAGCGAATAATCATCGACATTGGCATTGGTCTCCCCACCCATACCAACAACTTTCTCGAGATCTCCTCTCTCCCGGAATTTCTTCAGGAGGGTATTGATCGTATCGCTCTCATCAATGGTGAGCTTGCACACCAACAACCCTTCGGAATCTGACAAATGGGGACCCAAAGAGCCATCGCCAAAACCGTAGTGTTGATAGCCAAAGCAAACATCTTCTAAACCAGTATATCGGTAGAGCAGCAAGCCCCACGCGGTCTTCAGTAATGAATCTAGTGATTTATGCTCAAATGCGGAGAGTAACTTGGCATTTTGCGAAGGCGTTGTTCTTGTTCTGATTGAAACAGGTCGTTTAGGGCCATCAGAGGTGGTACCGAAGCTAGGTAGACAACACCGCGCATGCTGGGCCATTTTTCAGGTCAATTAAAAGTATTAATCAAAGTATAATTATTAAAGAAAGGGAGAAAGTCGAGAAAGGCCGCTTGTGGTTGTTAGCGAGGCACGCCAATCTACCTTTAAGAAGAATTTTATATCATCATGCGGGCTCTGCTCCTAAGGGACAAAAATAGCCTATGGGGGTGGTGCTAGCAAATGCAACCCCCGTGGAATCCCTCGCAATTGTTGCAAACACCATCGGCAACCAATATGAACGCCTCGAGGGGGCCAATGGCAAGGTACCGCAGTGCCATAAGGGACATGGGAGGGCTCTGGCCGTCAAGCGATTAGCTTTACCGAGACTATTCTCGGTATGCCCTTGCTTATCCCCGAGACAAGTGGGGAAGGTCTAAACTGGCTCAGTGACTTTTGGGCTCTGCAACGAGACTCCCTGGGGCAATTTCAAATTGATTCGGCCAACGGACCACATGGTGGAGTATGGTGAGCGAGTGGCCGAGTGGCGTCCATGTTGGAAATGGGAGCCCGGCTCGGGTAGAGAAAAGCCAGGGCTGATGCTGCACGAGAGCATGCTGATCCAGAGTTGTTCCACCTTTTCCCATTCGGGGGAAATGATACCAAGGGTGGACAAGGTGCCAGGCTGTATGCACCATTCCGAGTCATCCATGGTTTTCCATGGAGCGGCTGAGATGAACCCAGTCAGGTTGCCAATAACAGAGGTCAGGCGAGGCTTGCTCATAAGCAGTCAAAATCCGTCAGTTTAAACGAATAGCCATGGAGCTTCATCCCTCCAGAGAAAGAAGGAGTCTGTAAGCTCGCTCATCTAGAGGCGAATCGAGGCATCCAGAGGCTAAAGTTCCGGTTGGGGGAGAATGGTCCAAGTGAGAGTTAATGGTGGGTTGAGGAGAGAGCGGAGGTCACGTCCACGACGGATCCACATCGGGCCCAGTATTCTCTCGTTCCTGACTGGAACCACTCGATCCTTTCGGACAGTGTCCTTCATTTCTACTACTATTTTCTAGTGGGTGGCCCATCACCGACGCCCAGGGTACTTTCATCCAACCGCTTCCTTTTCACCCTTGTCAGCAGTACCGATGCCTTGTCCTTGATGCCTTGACTCTTGCCAAACGGGGCTTATACTTTTTTTCGGACTCCATAGGATGGGTACCACTACCATCTGAGATCTCAAAGTTTAATGGATTACCATTTCTCGGTTTACAACGGCATACGCATACGCAAAAGTTGGTCGGCTCCCTAGAGCGTCCCACAACGCTGGAATCTGCCAGGGCAAACCATATCACTCTGGAGGGTTGCGCAGCATGAGTGAGTCATTTCGCGTGAGGTTCAACTAAGTTCACTTGGTCGGTCCGAAGAGAAATGAGCCCAGAGCAGTGGATGATAAATCCCTCAGGCTGCTGCATCTGGGCACATCAAAGGCCTACCGATATTGTTCTCTCATTTCATCTCCACAAAAATCCCAAGACGAGCACAGATACCCACAGGAAAGTCTGACCAGGAACTGCGAGTATGGGCATAAGCGTCCTTTCGATGTCAATGCTACTATACAAGGGACCAGGTGGGCCACGCCTCGATCCCACCAAGGGGAGCACACCATGTAGCAGACTAGTTCGATTTGTATTTCCGTTTTGGTTATACGGATATTTTTACTGGGCTTGGGGCGTTGCGGGTGATGATCCGATGCCTTTTGATCAATATTCTCCATGCCAGGACAAGCTGAGAGCTCGGTTATCATAATCTGGATCAGTTGACGTGTACTCGGGTAGCCAGGATTTACGAAGTACGGGCTCTGGGCGCCTTGTTCTCCAGCATCTCTTACTTCGTGGATCCATTCTGTGGATTGGATGACAGGCCTTGTGTTGCTAGTGACGTAGGTACATGCCCATCGCTTACAAACTTTTCGAGCAATCCCCCTTGCCAGGGGTAAAGATGGCAGACGAAGCACGGAATCCGCCTCAAGGGAAGTGGATGCCTTTTAAGCCATTCGAAGCCATACACCCTGTGAGTAGAGTCTGGTGCATTTTAGAATAACTATGCCTGGGTGGTGGGGGGACGCAAGGAGCTGAGATTCTTCAAAAACCGGGTCCCCGGATGTACGCGCTTGAAGAAAACCGATGACAAGCTGTAAGCTGCATGTCGGAGTTGGTCCAGTAGGACTTACTTGTGTGACAGCCTCTGCAGATGATCAAAATATGGAGTGGTCGTAGATTTGCTTTTTTGTCCCGCAGCGACTCAATGGCATTATTATGCATTATTTTCGTCTTCAAAAGGACCTGGGCTTAGAGTTTGGACGTCAAAGCTGGAGTGGATCTCTCTCGGGAGATTTGCCGATTATTCCTGTTGCGGTAAGTCTCTCGTCGCAGCCTTAACGCCAACTCAATCCACATCAACGTTTAATAGCGTGAAGCTAACCGAGCACTGTCCACGAATCCGATGATTCCGATCCCAGAGCGTCACTTCCAAGGCAGCCTGCCAAGGTGCCTGGCAATGCCTCCAACTAACCGTGTTCGCGTCGGTAGAGCATTTTCTTTCTCGCTCTGTTTACCTGTGCAGTAGGGCGCAGCCACAAGAAGCCCAGATCTTTCGGGGAAGGACTGTCCCCTGTCAAGCGCCGGCTGGCACTTGTTCTTAGCGGGTCGGGTACCTGAGGAAATTTGCATAAACTCTGGCATAATAAATGATAGGCCGAGATCAGGATCTCGGTTCCGCCGCCGCCAGTCCTATAAATATAGTTTATGACAGGTTATTTGAATTGGGTTGGTGCCTGGACTCTGGAAGCAAGGAATGAATGAGCTGGTCCAGGCCCTGCGACTCATCACGCCGGCGGATACCGCCCCGCCTGACAGGGATCCTCGCTTGCTTGCTAGCTTCCCTCCTAACAAACACCGCCATCACAGCCCATCAGCGAGCAGTTCTTCCCAACAAATCCCGTTCGGGCCGTCTGCAGTCGAAGACAGGGGTATTGTTGGCGAACAAATCTCGGCCTCTGCTGGCAGTCGCTGCCGAAGCCCCATGCCGAGCGAATCCGGAAGAAGCAGCCAGGACACGCAAGTACCGGTGGGCGAAGACACAAAGTTGACGTGGGATTATTATGAAATAGAAACCAGGAATAATCCAGCGCTCCCCAGGTGCATTTGCAACAATGGCCACCGACATCGTGCATGGGCCTATGGGGTAACCACCACCTGCCACTGCCAGGCTCTTCAGGAAATGATCACTGCCAAAACTCCGCGCTCTCAAGCTTGTGGCCGTCGGAATTGAAACCAGGCAATCAAGTGCCTCTCAGATCATCAAAACCAAAAACACACCTACATAAATGATCTCCTGTGCTGCATCATTCACCGCACGGATGAGCATCTTCTTTTCGAAGCGATGGAGGAGAGCCACCTTAAGCCTGACTTCACCATGATATGTACCATGTCTGTGCATCTAAAAGTGGAGGCAGATCGACTTCGAAGAATTTTTTTCCCCGACTCCTGCAAACGCTTACCATGCATGCCTAGCGCAAGCGGTCCACAACGAGAACCCATAGTACACACACATATATCGGAAATTTCAGGCGATGCGCAAGATAACCACCGATTCGATTTGGCTCGGGGAGCGACCACTTCAGGAGTCTTCACAGGGCCTTGATGTTACACTGCATGGTTCCTCGTGTTGGTTGGGGATTTGCTCCAGTAACTCGATTGTCACACGCATTATGCGAGGGGTCAGGAGTTATTGCCACTACTTGTAAGCCTTGGGAGGTTATGCTTCGCATCCCATGGAGTCACGCTTTTTCCCTGTAAGGTGCTCGAACAAGGCCAATCGGAGAGTGTCACTCGGCAGGAGACAAAAACCGATGTTGATATTCCATCCACTGATGTACTCCTTTCCTCCTGGCTGGAGTGCTGGGTAGACACTGATTTAGGGCTCAGCTACTCACTAGACAAAATACAATGACACATAATTTCCTCTTCTCATGGTCTATTTCCGGTCCAACTGTCCTCGGCTTTCATTCGTTATTATTTGCGACCACCGCTTTCTCAGGGCTATCTTAGGTGGCCCTCGAGTTGTACCTTGGTCCGTCCGTTCGTTACTACAGCAGGTGCCAGGGACTGTATTATAGTTCATCCTCGCCATTCATGCCCAATATTGAGGCATCTGTCTGTAAGTATGTTGAACGATAACGTGGGTCCTTTCGCAAAAAGCCCTCATCTCGCTATATCTATACAGTGAAACGCCAGAAAAACAAAACAACTAATAGGCGCAAGGCAGGGAAAACAAACCGAAGCCTCACCACGCCCCGAGAGGTTCCCGCGCTATAAGGTGTCAACACTGGTCATCACTACCAAGCATACATTTCTTATGGGAGCCTACTGTAGAAGGCAGTGATGGCGCTTCAATCTCTTATTCTCTTCTGCCATCAGGCTGACAACCGTCTACACCCAATTCCATCATCATGTCGGGGAGGTTTTGATTTCTCTCTTCTTTTTGAGGAGTTGATTCTAGGTATCATACCTCTAGCAGTCATAATATTGATTTTACCATGGCGGATATGGCACTTGTTTAAGAAGCCCCGCAAAGTGGTACCATCGGTCTTGCTCTACGCCAAACTTGTGAGTACGAGAGCGCATTATGTCTGGTTTCCAATTTCTTGAAATACCTTTACTCACCAATTGCGTAATCCAAAAGTCTACGTGGATTTGTTTGGGAATAGTGCAGCTCGGATTAACGACACAATGGGCGCGTCCCTCGACCTCGCGAACCGATGCCTCCATCGCCGTCAACGCCATCCTCGCCTTCGGATTCTTCCTCCTTCCCCTCCTCTCCTACGCAGAACACAACTTTTCCACGGCTCCTTCTTTCCTTCTTGATGTCTATCTCTTCGTCACGTTTCTCTTCGATATTGCAAAATCAAGGACGCTCTGGCTTCGTGAAAATGGAGAAACTGGTGAAACAATCGCGGCGCTGACTTCGGTCATCGTGGCGCTCAAATGCTTTCTTCTCTTACTCGAGATGGCGGAGAAAGGGTCAATACTCCGGGTAGAATACAAAGATTATCCACCAGAAGTCATTGGGGGTATATTCAACAAGACCTTCTTTTGGTGGTTGAACCCTTTGTTCAGACGAGGGCTCACCAAATCCCTCGCCGTGGAAGACCTGTATGTCCTTGATAAGCAGCTGTCTTCGAAGCGCCTGCACTCAACTCTTGAAACTGCTTGGAGTAAAGGTAACGTCTTGGAAACTACTTTATTATTCTCTTGCTAACAAAGTTTAGTTTCGACAAAAGACCCAAACACCCTACTCCTCTTAACGTTCAAAACTTTCAAATGGCAGATTTGCGCTGCCATTCCCCCGCGAGCCCTGCTCGTTGCTTTGAACTTTTGTCAGCCACTCCTACTACATAGGTCACTTTCTTTTTCAATGGAACCGGTCAACAGCGCCACGAACAATGTTGGTTATGGGCTAATCGGGGCATATATCCTCGTATACATTGGACTAGGAGTGAGTACTTGCCCCTGAATTTATCTACCAAAAGCGCTGACGGAAGACTTCTAGGTGACAATGGGACAGCAGCAGCATCTGACATACCGTGCAATAACAATGATCAGAGGCGCCATCGTGTCGATGGTTTACAAAAAGGCGTGTACTTTAAACCTCAAAGACGCCGATCCAGCCGAGTCTGTGACTCTTATGAGCGCAGATGTCGAGCGAATCGTCCAAGGCTGGCAAACCATGCACGAGATGTGGGCAAATGTGGCAGAGATTGCATTGGCGATTTTCCTTCTGGAGAGGGAACTAGGCGTCGCCTGTGTGGTTCCGGTTGGAGTGACCATTGGTACGTTCTAGTCCTCCTAATTCAAACTCTAAATTTTCTCTAAACATCACTAACTGAATATTTTGCTATCAGTGGCTCTAGTGGGATGCTTAGGCGGGATGGCTTTGGTAGTGGCAAGGCAAGCCATGTGGCTTGAGGCAATCGAGAGGCGTATTTCTGCAACCTCATCAATGCTAGGTTCCATGAAAGGAATTAAAATGCTTGGACTTCAATCTTCTCTCATGAAATTTGTCCATGGTCTGCGAATGGATGAGCTAGGTATTTCGGAGAAGTTCAGGAAACTCTTAGTTTGGAATATGGCTTTCGGTCAGTTACCTTATGCCGAATTCCCTGTTCCTGTCTATTGCTAACTCACAGCCCAACAGCTTGGTTGACTAGGATATTTGCACCCATATTTGCATTCGGTGCCTTTGTTGGTATTGCGCATAATAAAGGCCAGGATTCGGCGCTGGACACGTCTACTGTGTACACGGCGTTATCACTCTTTTCCCTTTTAGCTGATCCGCTACTCTCACTTGTCATGGCTCTAATGGCATTCGCTGGGTCCGTTGGCTCCTTTACAAGAATTCAAGTGTTTCTGGAAAAGGAAAGCCACATTGACCCACGGGAGAAAGTCCTCGCACTCCCCTCCAACCCGCTGAAGATATCCAAACAGCTCGCATTACTCGCACAATCAGAGGTCGCCGTCAGCGAATCCGACTCTTCCCAACTCTCCTCCAAAGGTTCATTGTCCTCCCTCCCTCACCAAATTCTTGCAGTTCAAAATGGATCCTTCGGGTGGGATCCTAAAAAGGTCCCATGCGTACAGAACGTGACTATAACCATCCCATCCGGGACTTTTGCAATGCTCGTCGGGCCATCGGGATGTGGGAAATCAACGCTGCTCAAAGCCATTCTTGGCGAGGTGCCCTGCAAGACTGGGTCTATCCAGCTCGCAACGGAAAGTGTGGCCTTCTGTGACCAGTCGCCTTGGCATATGAATGCGTCAATTCGGGATTGTGTTGTTGGCATGTCTGTTTTTGACGAGTCCTGGTATATGTCTGTTATAAATGCCTGTGCTTTGGGTAAGGATTTCGAGCAACTTCCCCGCGGGGATGACACTATCATTGGTAGCAAGGGTATCTCTCTTAGTGGGGGGCAGAGTCAACGGATTGTAAGTCCTGAATAGCTACCACCATTGATCTCTAACTGCGGCTCACACTTTGGTATATTTTAGGCTATTGCAAGAGCAGTATATGCCAGAAAGGAACTCATCATATTCGACGATGTCTTTAGCAGTCTGGATACGGAAACAGAAAACCATATATTTCATCACTTGGTAGGAAACCATGGCCTTCTGCGCTCAATTGGCACAACAGTGCTGTTTGCTTCGTCTTCAGGCAAGTTATTTAACTCAAACTGCGAGTGTTCTATTACTAACATTATGGTTGATAGTCAAACGAGTCCCTTTTGTCGACCATATCATTGTCCTTGATAAACACGGATACATCACTGAGCAGGGCAGTTTCGCGGCACTTGACTCAGCGGGAGGTTACATCTCAACTTTTTCATTGGGCCACGCCGACACAGATATCAAGATGGGCCAAAATGACAAAATGGAAAAACCTAACATGCAACTTCTTATGAATGACAAGAGCTCTGAAGCAGAATCGCATGATTACAGGGGAAATGGCGATATATCTGTTTACTTGTATTACATTCGGTCCATTGGATGGATGTCATCAATATTTTTTGCCATGGCGATTGCAGGCTTTATTTTCTGCATATCCTTTCCAAGTAAGTTGGGTCTTGAATCTCAGTTCAGCCCCTATACTAACACCATTTGGCCAGCTATTTGGGTGAAATGGTGGGCGAGCTCCAACGAAGCCAATCCAGGAAAACACACAGGATATTATCTAGGCATATACGCAATGCTTGGGGTGGTAGCAATGCTCTCGCTGGTTGCAGGAGCCTGGTTCGTACTTCTAAAATCCTCATGTCAACATACAGTCTGGCTTACTCTGTGTAAACTACAGGCAAATGATCATAAAAATGGTGCCTAAGTCTGGTGAAGCCTTTCACAGGAGACTCCTAAGCACGGCTCTAAGGTAATTAATCATCAGGCGCATTTATGAAGTATACTAACAAGAGGAGTGCACCCATGCTATTCTTTTCCACCACAGACAGCGGTTCTATCCTTAATAGGTTCAGTCAAGATTTGCAGCTCATCGATATGGAGCTTCCAATTGCGGCAATTAACACATTTGCTAGTAAGTTTCCTGCTCTAAACCAACTTGTGGACTTCAGCTTACATGCCTTTCTAATAGCATTTGTTCTTTGCTTATGCCAAATGATATTTATGGGCATCGCCTCTAAATATGCGGCCATTTCTTTTCCCTTTGTTCTGTTAATCGTCTATGCCATTCAGAAGATATACCTTCGTACGTCAAGGCAGCTGCGATTTCTAGATCTCGAAGCAAAGGCTCCCCTGTATTCCCTCTTTACTGACTCGTTGAGTGGTTTGGTCACGCTGCGAGCATTCGGGTGGGAACAGTCACTACAAGAAAAGCACTACCAGCTTCTTGATCGCTCTCAAAGGCCGTTCTATCTTCTCTACGCCGTCCAACGCTGGCTTACTCTCACCTTGGATATGGTAGTTGCGGGTATCGCAGTGCTTCTCATTATCCTAGTGGTCGTCCTACGGGGAGAGATCAGTGCAGGCTATGTTGGTGTAGCACTGCTGAATGTTATCATGTTCAGTCAGAGCATCAAGCTCCTCGTGACTTTTTGGACTAACCTCGAAACTCACATTG